ATGCAGCATTAAGATTATCCCGCACGGCCGCAACAGGGCATCAGTACGGCCTCATCCAGCATCCTCTACACCAGACAGGCAGTGTGTGTGTGTGTGTGTTGTCCGGTCTGCATCGCCAGACAGCCATCGAGCCGTTCCCATTTCAATATATACGTTAAGATTAATATATAATAAGGTTAGAAAGATATATATTTTACTCTTAAGGTCTAGTAGCACTTTTACCTTAAGAACTTTCTTTTATTTTTTTCTTCCTCTAAAATAGAAAATTAAGCTATTCTTTCTGGATATACTATAGAGAAGACTCTATTCTATCGTATTATAAAGACTAAGAGCCTATATACCTAAATTGCGTACGTAGTAGGGGTTTTATTTTTAAGGAGGCCTAAATACAATATTATAAGGTTTTTTCCTAAAGAATTTTTATTTAATTTTTATTCGCCTAAAATAGAGAATTAAGCTATTCTTTCTTAATACACTATAGATAATACTCTATTCTACTATAATATATAGTCTAGGAGCCTATGCACCTAAATTGCGTATATAGTTAAGGTTTTAGTTTTAAGGAAGCCTAAATACAGAATTGGAAGTGTTCCCCTAAAAGTCCTAATAAATACCTTTAATCTAGAATCTTACTACTCTAATACCTTAAATTCCGCATAAATTATATTAAGTGCCCTACTTAGTATTAATGATTTCTTAGCAACCCATAGGTTTAACCCATAGGTTCGACCTATAGATAGCCTAACCCAACCCATATATGGGTTAACCTATAGTGTCCAGGACCCGTCTATGGACGGGTTGGATTCGACCCATGGGTCCGACCCATGGGTTATGTCAATGTCTAACGGTGAGGCTACTTACACTATATACGAAATAACAATTAAGATCGATTATTTCGTAGGTTCGACTTTCTTGGCTACCTAGACGGTGCCAAAAGGATTATACTTACTTCCGTATCTTAAGCTTATTTGCTACTGGGAATCTAAAAGTTTCTAGGAACATAGAATAATTTGCTAGGGGACCGGAAGCCGAATAAATAGAAAACCATACCACGTTCGAGAGTGTACGGTTTATGCTATTCCCTCAAAGCTAGTCGGATCTCTCAATAAGGTAGTCTTATATCGCTGTTGCCTAAGGTAAGAGAGGATTAAGGGAGTATTTATAAAGTGGCTCTTTTGGCGGCTAGTGGGGTTGTGGTAGTAGGAGCTGTTGGGATATAAGGGGAAAGCTACCACGAAGCAGATCGTGGCCCCTTAAGTCCGTGGGATCAACCTTAGTCCGGCTAGGTCAGTCCGTGCCAGACAAAGGAAGAAGGTCAAAGGTCGTAGGAGAGACTATAAGCAGATATAGCCTAAACGAAGGCAGAACCACAGTCCTGAGGATCAAAGGAAGAAGGTAGAGATGACTTTGGAAAGTGGAAAATGACTTGAGGAAAGTAGAACTGACTTGATTCTATCTGCTAGACAAGAAGGACGTATTTATAGGCTAGGATAGCCTAGAAATGACGTCTAGAATAACATATAAATGACGTACAAACACTAGGCAGCAACATAATGAAGGTGGCAAAGAAGGGAACCGAAGAGAAGCGAAAAGAATGATGTCAAGGATCGACGGTCTAAGCCACCCCGAAAGCACCCCCGCAGGATCAGGCTGTGCATGCCTAAAGGTGGACCATTTTACCTCTAAGGGAAAGTGGTCCGCCTATCCTTAAGGGGACTGAGGGTCGAAGTCTGTTCACCGGGGTACGAAGACCATAGTCGAAGTCCGCGGGCAAGGCATGCCTGAAGGCCCCCCCGAAGGAACGGACCATTCATACCTGAAGGCGGACCATTTACCCCTAAAGGAAAATGGTCCCGCCTATCGTTCGGGGGGAGGGCCGCGGACCAGAATCAGAAGTGGTCAAAACATCATTTTGATAGAAGAAAAAATCTGGTCACGTGATCAATGCAATCTGGTCTTATATGTTGAATATAGGGATAGATCTTTCTATATAGCATTGGTCTATATTCCAATAGGTACCAAAGGTACTCTCTATAGAGTATTAAGTATTATATCGAAGGTAAGCTAGCTTAATAGGAATAAGCTTATAAATAGGATATTATTTAGGATAAGGTATTATAACTTATCTATTCTAACCCCCTTAATTACTAAGGATAAATATATATTAGAGATTTAGGATATAGTAAATATATAGGTTATAGAGAGATAAAATAAGAGGACTTATAAAGGTTTTAGACAAAAAAAAGCTATTATATAAGGGGAATCTGTTTACCTTAGTCATATAAAGATGTAAGTTAATATATTATCTTATAAGCCCTCACTTAGCTCAAATTCTCTTATCTAATTAGGTCGCGGAGAGGGTAACCCTTAAGACCCTTAGGGTAACCCTTTAATTATATAGTCTTAAGTTTCGTAATTAAAAATATCTAAATCTAATAATCTAGATCTTTAAACTTATTTTATATAATAACTAAAATACCTATAAGGAATCTAAATCATAATTATTTAAATAAGTCTCTATTTATTTTATAACTAAAGAAAGATTTCGATTTAGGGTATTTTTAATATTAAAAAAAAAAGATATATTTACTATTATATAAATATAGTACTCTCACTTTACCTTTAATATATATTTCCGTAACGAAAACTCTTAACTTTCTATAACCCCCTTAAAAACTAGCTACCTACTATATAATTTAAGTTAGATTTCAGAATACTAAGGTAATAATATATAAGTTATCTATTTATAATCTAATTTCTTTAAATTTCGTAGATATTAGTATATAATTAAGGAATAATAGAAATAGATACTAGAATAGCTATAAATAATAGTATTTTTATAAGCTAAATCATTAATTTTATACGTCCGAATTAGGAAAGGCGCGGAGAAATTATTTATTTAAGGGTCTAACGGACCCTCTGCGGGTGACCCTTAAGGGACCCTTAGAGGGTCAGGGTTAGGGTCAGGGTCGGTGAGGTTAGACCCTGACCCTCGGAGGTGCGGGTGGAGGTTCCTGATCTTGGACCCGCGGGGCGGGTGAGTGCCAGGTCTAAGGGTATATATGCCAAGGCCCTTTAGTCAATTGCATCAGGAGGATGCGTAGTCTTGTGACCACTATAGGGTTTCTCAAAATCGCCTTGGACCAAAACACACTCGAACACTCTTTTCTGGTCCCACCGCCAAGCCCTTAGCGTAGATCAATCATTTATGATAGACTCATTAAACTTAGGAACGCCGTAATATGCACCGTGTACGGTATTGTACAATTCTAGTAAGTTTACTGTACTATAATCAATAGGTACGGAATCCAGCGGAATCCTATGGAAGTTGATTGTCGGTATCAGTCTATGGACAGTCCGCGAGGTGGATTCGACATTCCGACTTTCCTTCTGAACATGCATATATTCCCTTCGCCAGCCACTGCAACCCAAGGCGTTTTTCTTCGGCTTGAGGAAAATTATAGCTGATGATAACACCGACAAGCTACTGCCTTTTCCAGGACTCTGTTGTTTGCGGGCGAATGGCAGGCCTTCAGCAGCCGATGGCATAGGGCCTCGAATAGTATCACTAACCATAAGTCCGTCTTCCTAGTAGGCCCAGAAACACAAGGGCTAGCCCTCTTATTAGCCATGATGATTATGGCGTTCAATAAAGTATACGCAAGATGGTACTATATCCTTTTCTCTCGTATGTGCCTGATCAAAGTGGAAAAGCTTGATGTGCCATATTCAATGCTGCTGTACTCGGCTCTGACGCTCTAAAGGAAAATTGTTGGAAGCGCCGGGGATCTCTCCCGCCCTGAGGACCTTCATCAAACGGTCGCGATGAAAAAGTAGAGCGTGAACTGTTCTTGGACCACTTCGGTTAGGAACCTTGGAGACCGTCTCGGCCAAGATATTCAAAGAGGCTCCATTCTTGAACAGCCACCTGAATTTTTCGAAGTCGCTTCTGTCGTAAGATTCGCGACAGAGCGTGTTGATCCCACCTCGGACCTCTTGATAAGAAGCACCATGATCGGTCAACCAGCTTAACCGTATTTTATTATCCTTCGAACGAGCTGCGCGCTCAGCGATGTCACCACAAGAAATATATTTCAGTGATGCTCCACCTTGTATCAGAATATCCTGGCCTGGAGTCACACCATTCTTGCGATAGGCGTATAATACAATTGTTTCATGTGCGTTTCCTACAGAAAATTGTTCTCAGGGGTCAAGATATCTCTCCGAGAACACAAAAAAGCTAGACATACAATCATAAAGTTTCCTTTATGAATTGTTATTCATCTTCTCTCCTGTAAATCTCAACAACTGGTGCGGGGATATAGCGACTGGAGCGGGGATATAGGCAACTGAAGCGGGGATATAGGCAACTGAAGCGGGGATATAGGCAACTGAAGCGGGGATATTAACAACTACCTAACTAACTAGTCTAACTAACTAGTTAGTGCGGGGATACGATGACCAATTTACCCCGTAGAACGAGCTAGTTACCTATAGAGGAACCCCGCCGTGGATCATAAACAAAGTTTTGGACACAACACAATGGGGAGTAGGTTGATCACTCTGCTTACAGATATCCGATTGTTCTAAACCGTTGCTCCGTTCGCGACAAAACCATAACAATTGTTAGTCTATCGCGGGAGACCGTGAGACTCTATCGGAGACCGTGAGACTCAAAGAAGTACATAATTGGGATTGAAACAGACTACACGTCATAATTGTTAGTCGTGAGTGACTCGAGACTTTCGGATCCTCCGGTATTCGGAGGACAGAAGCCGATGATCTATTGTGAACCACGGCTGTTTATGCGGGGCTGCGAAATGATCGGCCTAAGCATGAGCTCATCAATCATGGACGGTAGCTTATATAGCCTCATAGTTGACCCCGATGGCATTTCAAATTTGAGCCTCGTTTGGCGCAAATTCGAGAACAACCCTTTCCTGTCTACCAATTTAATCTGCCATTCGTCATAACATCTGCTCTGTGCACTTCCCTCCGTCATGTCTAACACCAAAACCGTGCATGTCCCCCACCTCGGTGGTATCGAGGCATCTTACCAGATGCCTCACCCTTACGATCCGAAAAAGCCAACCTTGGTTCTCGTCAATTCGTTTACCACCTCGGCAGAGCTGTACCGCGAGCAGTACGCCAACAAGGAGCTGACCGACACAATGAATCTGCTTGCCATCGAGCTTCTTGGTCACGGCCAGACACGCACTAAGCGCGAAAACTGGACGTATTGGGATACTGCCGAGATGAATCTGCAAGTCCTTGATGCCCTGAACATCGACAAGGCTTTTGTACTCGGCACAAGTCAAGGTGGCTGGATCACAGTGCGCATGGCGCTGATGCGGCCGGAGAAGGTGAATAAAACCCTTGCAATCTTGAATCATTCTAAGAAACCATTATGCTGACACATGGGTATTCAGATCGCTGGCATCATCCCCTTGGGCACATCATTGGATGCTGAGACCGCCACAACCCGCAACCTTAACTGCTGGGACGCGCCTAAACTGTTGACTGCCGATATTGAGAAGTGGACTACTCAGGAGCCCACACCTCAGTTTGAGCCCGACCTGAAGTTCTGCGATTTCTTGATCGACATCGGCTTCGGTAAAGATGACTGTCCTGCTGATGTTCGCGAATACTGGCGCAAGACCATCCGCCAAAATTACCAAGGCGACGATGGCCGGCGTCGCATTCGCATGGCATCTATCAACTTAAGGGATCGGGATGGTCTGCACCCGAGGCTGTTTGATGTGCGATGCCCCGTGATGTGGCTGCATGTAAGTTGTTGCATCTATTTGTCCCATTCGCCCAAGTCTCGCTTTTGTATCCACACTAAATTACCATTCCTGCAGGGAACCAAGGATGTTGTCTACTCTGTCGCCAACGCCGAGCGCGAGATCAAGCTATTCGTGAACTCTCCTGACGCGCGCCTTGTGACTGTTCCAGGTGGTGCTCATTTCTTGAGTGCTTCTCACCCCAAGGAAGTGGACCAGGCGTTGATTGAGTTTGTGAAGAAGTACAGCGCATAAGATTGATTATTGATGCATATATCTGTGGATATCTCTATGCCTGATTATCTTCCCACTGCCGAATTTTATCACCTTGGGCTACCTATTTGTTATAGTCGACATACATCGAGCGGACGAGCAATAAGCATGACAAAGTATTGGTGTTGATGGGTAAACCTAATAATGGCACAGTAAATATATGATTTTCAACTTCATCGATTGTTCCGAATGAAGAAATATGTATTACCAGATCGGCAGAGGCTCTGGGGTCGCCCCCAACTTCACTTGCAGGAGAACGGTTAGTCGTAACAATACTCTAGGTTTTTTCAGTAACGTCTTCCCAAACGAGGACTTGGTGGTTTCTTTCAGGTCGCCAGGTTTCTCTTTCTCGTGGTCGCGGGCCGGCGCGGAGAAACAGAGAACCACTCCTTTGTCCCCTTCGCAACGTAGCGTATCATCTACGTCAGCAGATGCATTACCTCTGGGCCTCGACACGGCTTGATGTAGGCACTGAGTATCATCGTTCTCGTTGCACCCGATTTCTTGAGCCATATCGTGAAAAGAGACCATTGAGCGAGTGCAGTCTCTGGTGATATTTGCCCTCGCCTAAGACTGCTATGCGCCGAAGTGGGAGCAATACGGGGCGTCCCGTCTCTGCACCCTGCCCTAGCGAATATGTAAACAACAACCAGCCACTTCGGCTTTCGCCGTACCACCTCTAGAGGCAGGGACACATGCGAAGGAGCTTGGCTCAGAAAGCTAGCGACATAAGAGTCGAGCATGTTGGGGGGGGGGGTCCATTTGGCGGGTTCGCACGCGCTTACTCCGTAATGTATGAATAGTCGTCGGGGCACAATGTGTTCTGCTAGCGCAGAGAAGATATCCGACTAGTACAGAAACGCATCACTCAGCCGTCATTGTGTACTTGTCTCGGAACCACCACCCGGGTACTTTATGCAAATTCCAAGCACATCTAGTGCTCTTCGCAGAGTTAACTTTCTCTCCCTCCCTCATCTGCCAGACTATATCAAGGCCGGATCACCGGTAGCCGTTCTTGCTCGGAGATCTCCACCTGTTCTCGAACCGCAGGTAGCAAAGCACGTTTTTAGCACTTCCTAGGACCTAGTCCTGAAGACGTCCACCAGGATGTGGACTGCGGCAGCACTGCCTGCCACCAAGAACTCAATTTTCATGGTGTCGGCAACTCACCGCGGCGACATGTATCAAGTTCGGGCGGCCATGATTGCACAGATCAGGGTTGACAAGAAGGTGGCCCGCTACTTATATGTTCACGACTGCCCAAACGTACCGAACGATTTGATGGAATATCTCAAGGCCATTGCCCAGAAATTGAGAATGCCTTATTTCTTCGTCTCGTATGGCCGTGAAACTCTTCAAGCCTCAGCTCGCCCACCGAGGGATGGCAGGGTGTATTCTTGGAGTCCCACAAGAAGGTGCCGGATATAAGGAGACGATACTGGACTTGAACAACGACGGATCACTCGCCTTCCAAAATATCTCCTTCATCACTGAGGGGTATGCCACATTGCGGATCGCCGATATTGTGAGCACGGACGAGTCTAAAGCGATATGGAACGAAGTCAAGGCGGGTATGACCATTGTCCAGGGCAATGAGGACGTGCTGCATCAGATGTTTGAAAATGCCAACACGCACCTCTTTGGACAATGGCCGAAGCCCAACTCGGAACAGAGGACCATCCTAGTGCTGTATCGCGACTCGGGCAAGGGAAAGGACGGCCCGTACCCTGAGTACGACACAGGTGAAGCGCTGGCGCAAATTGTTAGTATAATTGCCGCCCAAAAAAGCTCGAAGGGGACAATGACGCTATTCCCCGTTGTATCGGGCCAAGTTGTCTCCACGCCAAATATCGGACAGTACTGGACACGTCTCGGGGCCGTTCATGGCGTCACCAAGAGAAATATCGAGGCTTATTCCTGAAATGGGCGTACGAGCAGGGGTGGTACCACATGGTCGTGGGGTTCCGCAGCGGCGGCCTGGACCTCTTCACGCTCATGGGGATTCCAACGCTATCGATTGGGATCCGCTTCCTGGTTGGCGAAGATCGACACGAGCTGCTGGCGACGCAGCTATTCAGACGTCTCAATGTGCAGTACGACATGCCGCGACACCAGCTCACGGCCTGGTTACAAGGCCGCCCGATCAAGCGCAAGTTTAGTACCGATCCCGTCACCTTTGAACCCGACTACATACACTCGCCGTACTGGATGGCGCCTCCTCCAGACAATCTATTGTTCCCGCCCCAGCCCGCGAAGCCAGCCTCGGCCGACACCGAGATTGCACTGCGCAGAGTGGACACGGCTCCTTTCACAGAGTTCGACAAGTGGACGTTTGAAGCCGGCCTGCGCGTTGCCTGCGAGCGCAACTTCGATGGTTGGGGCACGACTATCGCCTTCATGGCTCCTTTCAACGGCTGCGTCATGACCACCCTCAAGGCGCAGGCAGCCTGTCCGGTGGGTCAGAGCCTTGAGCCGGGACCCCTAATGGAATTCATTGGCGAACAGAGGGGTATGCAGGCACGAACCTGGGAAAAGATGATGCAGCTCAGGAAGCAGCTTCAACTCAACGACGTGGATTTCAAGAGATACACAGCAGGTGCGCTGGGGGTGTGGATAAGCTTAGAAAACATTATTGACGGTAGCGGTTTGCAATGAGGTGTAGGCAGCAGCAAATTCGCTCATGGGGGTAGAACTAGAAAGATAGGGGTGATATCTCGGAGAAATCACTTCTTAGGTCCTTGCCGTGGGTGAACTTGGGCTGGATAATGTGGCTTTCCTTTATAGGAAGTATATATTTTCGCGGGGTTTTTTTGCCAGACCGATCAAGTCACCATAATTACTGTAGTATTTCCCTTTTATTTTTCAATAGAATGTTAATTGTCGGCTTCCTCATTGAGAGGGTTTATATGCCAGCGTTTGTTTCGTCCGTCCTCTCATCCGTGAGACGAATGCAAGTGTATGTAGGAACTAGAGACGAAATGGATGATTCTGGGCAAGCGTAGTCTCTATACTACGTTTCCTAGTATCGCGATGGATTCGGGAACTTGGCTATTGGCCCTGTAGGCAACTGCAAGTGTATGCTGGGAAGCCAACCGGCATGGGTGGATCCCGAGAAATACATATCCAACTTTGACAACAAGTTCTAGGACTTCGATGGCCTTGCACACTTGCCTATTTGCCAAGCATATACTACTGCGTGTGCATCCCGGGTACTCCTAGCCGTCACTGGCTGATCTCGAGACACTTCCCCTCCTCACGGCAACCGTCAACGAGTCCTTGCGCTTCATTCCATCAGGCGTATCACTTACACGTAATAGAAGGAGGAATGGCTTTAAGGTTCAACAAGACATTCTAGTGTAGTCCATTAAAATTCAAGACGAAGAGCAAGTTCTAACAATCATACAACATCCTCAACTTCATTCTCATGTCCACCGTGGCGCGGCATCGACGCCAGAACCGACACCAAAGAAGTAAGCCTGTAGTAGTCGACGATAGTAAGTATCATTAGACTGATCATCCAGGGCAGACCCTATAATCTCCACAGTTTTCAAGATATCCTTTTGGTTACGAATATCAAACCCTCGACTTCTGGCACAATACCCGCATTCCGTAGTACAGTGGCCTGCGGCTCGACGTCTATCTGCAGCTTTTCCGCGCTTTTCGCAGCATCCACAGTCACGGCCGCAACACCCTCCATTTCCTGCACAATCGTTGATAAGGTCAGGGTGAAAATACCACTTTGGGTTTGATCTCCATAAATTGTATGCTCTAAGGAAAGCACCTCTACGAAGCAAGGCTTCGTTCTTGTACTGTCATATTCGAAAACAAATTTCCCCCATATGCACTCACGGATTGTTTCCCGAACCCTATCTTGAAAGACGCTAGTCTAAATTAAGTTACTCTCTCAATACCCCCTGCTTAGTTGTATCGTACTGGCTGCTAGTAATAAATGAGTCATTGTTATAATACTGTAAGTCTCCAATCTTGTAGAATGATTCATGCAATCAGCCCAAACAAAGTGGGAATTCTGGCAATATCGCCGTCCCCGTTTCCTCCTTCTGCACGCAGCCAAATTTGGATACATATTGCACGCCAGAAGGAGATCGTGAGGAATCCTATGTATTCAACGACGGTAACGAAGCCGAAGAGAGAAGAAAAGAAGAGAAAAGCTAGCTAGTGGGGATGTTCGTGATCTATCTCACGATAAGGCGTTTACCACCCCAATTCGGCATAACAACAAACCTCTTCTTGCAAACCTCCCAAACACTCGACTAATCCTTTCCATCGTCTCCATATTTTTCATATGTATACTAATGGTGTTAAAAAACAGATATTCTCAAATCAGCCGCCAAGCCTTGGGCTCAATATATATCCCTGGTTCGTTGAACTGTCTTCTCACACGACTATTCCCTCTATATTCCGAAGAGTGTTCTCTATAAATAGAAGTGGTTATTTCCTAAAGATCGACCTAAACAACTTTCGTCTGCGAGGCTTTGGTAATTGGATTAATAAATTTAATCGCGTTGCAACCCGTTGGGTCAGGTGATGGTTCCGCCCGTACCACTGTCTAAAAATAGTACTGCTTAGTTCTTCATCTACTTTGGTTAACTGATTCGAACTACCTAGCTGCGCCAGCCGCGACAATCGCGTTGTGATCAGCACTGACCCGTGGTCGCTAGGCAGATATTGCCGAACATCGTACGCTCTTATCGCGCTATCGTGTTCGTAGTCTTAATCTACGTTATCGAAGATAAGAAGCCAGTGGACATTATCTGGCCGCCCAAGCCAGTCCAAGATATCTATTACCGCGATATTAAGGCTGTCTGTGTTATCAACAACAAAATTACGGCACCGATCCGGAATCTGGCCTTTGGGAATCCTATGTGCGCAGCCAGCGAGGCTCTGTCTCAGCCGGTCCTCCGACCTGCCGTCCAGCCAGAAGATTGAACTGAATAAGACCTAATAGCGTCGAGCAAGATCGATAGCTAGCTATGTCTTCCTAGTACCACCGAGTCCGTGGAGGACAAATATCTGTCGCCGTGTTTGTTGGGAGAGATATCGCGGGAGAAGGCACCGTTCTAGATCGGCCGTATCGGACAGTCTACTAACAAAGTTATCTGAGGCAGGCACGCCCTGCAGAGTGAACGCTGTTTTATAGGGACCGTCATCTAATCACACAATATCAGTAACTAGGAGAGGCTAGGTTATTTATTTAAAAAAGAGATTAAAAATTTAAAAGGAGTCCTACTAACATTCTCGTCCCGCCAGATTGTTCGCGTATGCCTTCATCTGTTTGAATATGGCCTGTGACGTACATACCGGCCCGTCGCGGCTGCGATTTCCTTTTTCTTCTTCGACTCTTCTAGCCCGATGTGTTTCAGTCCGTGGTCAACGTTGAAGTGATAATAGCGACCTTCCTCGTCGAGGCTCGACTTATCGCGCCGGAACAGCTCTCTGTCTTTTCTGTCTCGGTTACGAGTTCTTATAGTGTAGTCTAAATCCCTAAAATGTCGTCTCGCACCGGCGTTAGTATAGGAATTCCCGTCCTGATCGACACCAGACACTAGAGCCTGCCCCATAGCTGGTCTCCCTATACATCCTAGGCCTGGTTCTATAGCGCGTAGACGGGGTTATTCGCTCCTAGTGCACCGTCGACAAATTCTTCCTCGAAGGGACCTATTGCAATAGGGTCAAAGAAGGATGTAGCGGCAGATGTGGCGCGGTAGGCTTGCTATATTTTGGTGGAATCGAGTAGATGGGTGCCACCGCGGGGCGATCGGTAGCTTGTTAGGCAAACGATGTCGCTGGTTTGTTTGCTTGTCGCACAGACGAAACTGACAGATTAGTATGTATCGACCGAACGGTTGATGAGCACGAACACTTTGTAGGGAGCATTAGGAGAATCCTTAAATAATGTGTCCGGGTCCAAGCCGCAATCGCTTAAGATCTGCTTAACCGCCCGCTCGAGCTCAGCCGTGTCAAATCTGCCCTGGATTTGCCCTTTTATCGTGACCGATGCCTCTTCTTCTCGAAGACCTTATTAGACAGGGAAGTGTATGCATCGATGCACTCGTTGACGGTCATCTGCAGCCGGCCTAGCATGATCGCAATCAGGCCGCCTGTACTGGTGCCGCCGATCATATCGAAGTAGTCGCAAGGCTTGGGCGGCGACTCGGGGTCGACGGTGGCCATGAGCTGCTGGAGGATAATGAGCGAGGACAGGCCACGGACGCCGCCGCTATCGAGAGTAAGGAGCCGGATTTGGTCGCCAGGCATTGCGAGCTGTATTCAGAAAAGCAGAGTAGTTCACAAAGTACGAATGATAGTAGACCAGAGTTGCAGTTGGTATAAAGATTAAGGCGTACTCCTCGTGGCTATGGTGTACGGCTGAGGGTCGCTTCTTGGATCGCATGTGGTGCTTAGCCGCTGTCACATTTCCTAGGCCATTTAGCGTCCTTCTGTGCTTGAGGGGCAGCAGCTGGGCCACCCGGAGCTAACCAAACCCCGAACTAGAACACGCTAAGCCAAATCATATAAGCCATCCATTACCTAGCTATCCAGTTAGCAAGTGGGGTATTGCCTTGAGCACGATGAAAATCGCGAAGGTATCCATGTCCATCCAGACCTTCATCCAAGTCGTACGTGACGTGGTATATATTTAAGCAGGGTCATGAGTTGAGAAAGTGACAGCTTACCAAATCCGCCGGCTCTCTCCCGCCCTAGTTGTTTTACTGGTTTGCATAGATATCGAACGTCGAAAGTTCTACGGAGTAGCTACAGCGGTGCTCCACAAGTCTACTTAGCGTTACCATGGTGAACGCAAGGATCTTTAGATAGAGGAGAGTTAAAGTGGGAGATAGTGAGATTGGAGTTACCAGGATGTAGGAAAAAGGCCGCGTAAAAGTGATCCTTAGGCTTTTTATATTCCAGGCGTCATTGTCTCTTTAGGCCCGTCGCACTATAAAGCGAAATATAAGAAGATCGGCAAAGTTTTCGGCTCAATAACTAATATAAGCATAGTAATAAGACTATATATATTATGAGCGTAGCTTCTCGACCCTTTACTGTAGCCAATTAAAACCCCGTTCTATCTCGTAGTGGATCGACTGGAGGAAGCGTTCCCAGGAACACTAGCATAATATAGACCGTGTGGGGAACTTCTCTTCCGGATTTATACTCGGACCGATAGTTGTTGAGATATAAGGGTAAAGCTACCACGAAGCAGATCGTGGCCCCTTAAGTCCGTGGGATCAACCTTAGTCTGACGAGGTCAGTCGGTGCCAGACAAAGGTAGAAGGTCAAAGGTCGTAGGATAGACTATAAGCAGATATAGCCTAAACGAAGGCAGAACCACAGTCCTGAGGATCAAAGGAAGAAGGTAGAGATGACTTTGGAAAGTGGAAAATGACTTGATTCTATCTGCTAGACAAGAAGGACGTATTTATAGGCTAGGATAGCCTAGAAATAACGTCTAGAATAGCATACAAATGACGTACAAACACTAGGCAGCAACATAATGAAGGTGGCAAAGAAGGGAACCGAAGAGAAGCTGTTGGAGCATAAGGGGAAAGCTACCACGAAGCAGATCGTGGCCCCTTAAGTCCGTGGGATCAACCTTAGTCCGGCCAGGTCAGTTGGTGCCAGACAAAGGAAGAAGGTCAAAGGTCGTAGGATAGACTATAAGCAGATATAGCCTAAACGAAGGCAGAACCACAGTCCTGAGGATCAAAGGAAGAAAGTAGAACTGACTTTGGAAAGTGGAAAATGACTTGATTCTTTCTGCTAGAAAAGAAGGACATATTTATAGGCTAAAGTAGCCTAGAAATGACGTCTAGAATAACATACAAATACTAGACAGCAACATAATAAAGGTGGCAAAGAAGGGAACCGAAGAAAAGCCAAAAGAATGATGTCAAGAATCGACGGTTTCAGCCACCCCGAAAGCTTCCCCGCAGTATCAGGTTATGCATGCCCAAAGGTGGACTATTTTATCCCTAAGGGAAAGTGGTCCGCCTATCCTTGAGGGGACTGAGGGTCGAAGTCTGTTCACCGAGGTTCGAAGACCATGGTCGAAGTCCGCAGGCAAGATATGCCCGAAGGCACCTCCGAAGGAACGGACCATTCATGCCTGAAGGCGGACCATTTACCTCTGAAGGAAAATGGTCCTGCCTATCATTCGGGAGAGGGCCGCGGACCAGAATCAGAAGTGGTCAAAATATCATTTTGATAGAAGAAAAAATCTGGTCACGTGATTAATACAATGCTGATCTTATATGTTGAATATAAGGATAGATCTTTCTTTGTAGCATTGGTCTATATTCCAATACACCCCCTTCAGCTTATCAGAGCTTATAAGCTGAATAAGGCATAGAATTAGACCTATGCGTACATAGTCTCGAAGATCTAGATTTCGACAATTCTGTCTTGGATATCGGTCATGTTTAGATGATCGATAAACCGCTGGTGCTTCTGATAAGGCAAAGGCTTGGTTAGACCGTCCGCAGGCATAGAATTGGTCTCAATCCAGGCAATATCGATGTTTCCGGCCACTATTTCTTGTCGTAACTAATGGTGGTGGATATCAATATGCCTAAGCTTTGTGCGGAACAAAGAATTGACCTTAGTAAGGAGGTCCACGGTCTGTTTGTTGTCACAAAGGACACTAAGCCTTTCCTGATCTAGGTCTAGTTCAATAGACCTAAAGAGACGTTTCCACCACATCATATGCTTACTAGCTGATGAAATAGTAAGCAATTCGGCTTCTGTCGTTGATGTCGTCACCGTCTTCTGCTTCCGTGCAATCCAGTCTATCGGACCATTGAATAGGTAGGCTATATAGCCTTCAGATGACTTTCGTCCGATATTGTCTGCATAGGATGCATCGCTTGCACACACAAAGGTAGGACTATCAGACTGCACAGGGGAATACCCTATAGCCTTATATCTAGTGTGGTATAGATAGGCTATGGCTTTATCTGCAGCGTCCATATGCTTTTCAGTAGGGTTCGTGAGATGTTCCGAAAGTATTTGTGTGGCTTTTGCGGCATCAGGCCGTGTCATAATTGTGGCATAAAGCAATGATCCTATCTTCTGCTGATAGAGATGGATCATAGCTAGGGGAGTCTGGTAGTCCGAAGGTGGAGCGGGGAGCGGCGAGGGTGGAAATGGTGTTTTAACCGGTTTCAAAGGCGTTATATGGAATCGATGCGCAATTTTCTCAATATAGGCATCCTGGGAGATCTATAGCCTTTTCGTGTCCCTATCGCGGGTGATTCGAATGCCTATAAACCTCGTTGCCTCGCCTAGGTCTTTTATTTCATAGGCTTGCATGAGCTTGTCCTTAAGCTCATAGGCTTTATGTTTGTGCGTTTGGTGGAAGATGACCAAGATATCGTCCACAAATATCATCAAAACGACGTTTTTATAGACAAATAGGCACGGGTCTTCAGGAATAGGCACGAATCCAAACTGGGCCAGTTTCTGAAGGATTTCTTGCTGCCATAAAATAGGCGCTACCCTTAGACTATATAGGGCTTTGTTAAGCCGTAGAATGTAGTGTTTGCGGCTATATCCTTGGGGGAAGGCAACATAAACGGGGTCGTCTAGCTTGCTATTTAGGAAGGCATTTACTGTATCCAATTGTATGGTTTCAAGGTCAAATGCAGCAATAATAGCAAGAAGAGTCCGAAGGGTCCGTGCAGCAAGGGTAGTAGCCCTAGTTTCATCATTGCGGTCAACTTGGAGATCTCCGCGGACACAAATTCTAGCTTTGAATTTGGCTAAATAGCCATTTTCATCCACTTTATAGGTAAAGACCCATCTAAGTGGTAGAACTTGGTGCCTAGGGCATCGGTGGGGCTTTGTAGACCATTTGCATGTCTTATGGTCTTCTTCAATGGTCTTTCGCTTCATGGGTGTCCATGCATTCATATTCTCAAGTTTCTGATATTCGATGTCTGCGGCTTGCATAAATTCGGCTTTATAAGGATGATTAAGCATTTCTTCCCATGATTCTGGTGGAAGGGGAAGATCGTCCTGATGCACCTTTTTAGGCTGATCTTTTATAGCCGCAGAAAAGGCATTATAAAAGGAAGCGAAGGCGTGCCGTTTATTTGATGAGTCAGGCGAGGAAGATCTGTCCCGTTTGTGGTGGTCGTATTGATTCAACATTTCCTCGTCATAGGAAGAGTTATCAATTAAGACCATAAAATCAGGTGATTGGTCGGGAACACGTGCATCCGGGGTAAGGTCTTCGGCCGGAATAGTGATTTGGGACAATAAAGAAGGTTCAGAGGGAAGTGAGGCGTTTCCGACTTCTGGGTGAGGATAAAGTGAAGGGTCATTTACTCTAAAATTGCCCGAATAAGGTGCGTTTTCGGTCCCGTTTAGAGTAAGGTTATCCTCACTTTCGCATTGGTTTTGCCTCACTTCTTCTTCTTCTCTTCTTCTGATTCGTCTGGGGAAGGCGGTAGGTCGCCGAGGATTTGGTCTTCGTAGTCATGCTCCCTATTTTTAGGTTTTTCAATATCGTCATTGGACAATAGTTCTTCAATGTCGTCATCGGACGATAGTTCTGGTTCGTCCGGTAAAGGCCGTATCGTCAAAGGATCATCGAGAGGCTCTTCAATGCTAGTCTCGGAAATGACTAGGTTGAATTCGTGTGTTGATAAAGGCTGGATAGCTTCTTTGGATTGGTCGTCTATCACATCGTATGCCGAATTTGGTTGATAGAAACTATTCTCATCAAACACACAGTCTCTTGCATTAAGAACCTTATGGGCCTTAGGCACCCATATTCTCCATATATTGGATGCTTTGAAGCCGACAAGGTAGCCTATCATTGCTCTAGGCTTCATCTTTGCGAGACGAGGGATATTATTGATCCTCACAAAGGCTTTGCAGCCATAGACCCGTAGATTCGACAAATCAGGCTTTGACTTCATATAGCCTGGTTTAGGGTCTAGGCTTTCAAATAAGGCCTGGTAGGGTGTCTTCCACCCTAGTTTTTTATTTGGGGTTCGATTAAGCACATAGACCGCGGCTTGGACTGCTTCAGGCCATAAATATTCAGGTAAGGATGCCTGAATGATCATAGCCCTAGCCCTAGAGATAATGACTGCACCAGACCTTTCTGCAAAAGGGTTTTGCTCTGGTTGATAGGGCGGTGAGGTTTTGACCTCAATTCCTTGAGTCCGAAACCTATCCTGGTGGATATTGCGGTCCCCGTCTAGGTGGATGCGTTTGATGCGGATGCCGAATTGGGTAAGGACAAAATCAATCATTTGCTGCAATGATGATTGGATCAGGTGTTTTCTTGCAATAGTGACTAATAGGTGGTATTTCGTCACTGGACAATACACATGGCTTGCATAGTGGATATTGTTGATTCCAGGACCCAAATGAATAAGGTCCCAATGCATTGTTTCGAACGGGTGGTCTCCAATATGCATAGGACGTCTAGACACCTGTCTTTGAGCCTTAGAGACTAGGCATGTCTCGCAAGGTGGGTTTTCGGCCGAAAAATGGTCTACCTCCACCCCTGTGGTAGAGGCTTCTAAATGCTTGATTGCGTCGATGCTAGGATGACCTAGACGCTGGTGCCATAGGCTGTCTGAGCCTTTGAGGATAGCCGGATCATAGGATGATGCAAATGTCATAGGCTCGTCCTTAGGCTTCGGATTAGGCTCGCAAGTGTCGTTTTTCGGGTCGGATTCCCCCTCAATGGGTTGAATAGGCTTTGTAGTCGTATTCAAAGCCGTTTGTAGATGGAGCGAGGGGGAGCCGGGGGAGCCGCGCCCCTTTTGCATCAACTCATTTTTTGCCCTTAAAATGAGGGTAATACCTGTTTTATCCGAAGTCTTGCAGATAGGCGTCCCATTTTTTGTCTCAAGCCTATCAAGCCTTTGATTGTGGTAAACACCCCCTTTCTTGGCCCTTTTTGCTGAAAGGATATTCAAATGGAAGCGAGGGACATATAGGGTTTCATAGAGGTCGAAAGTGGTGTTTTCGAAGCGAAGATAGACTAAGCCTTTTCCTTTTATGGAAGCCTTTGTGTCACCGATTAGAAGGTCTCCTTCATAGAGCGCAAAGGTGACGAATTGAGAACGATCATTGCAAACATGGGTGTCTGCGGCCGAGTCATATGCCCACAAATTAGACCGTTCATACTTAGAAGCTAGGCAAGTGACCATACCCATATGGGTGTCGGACTGGCCCTGCTTATGCTTCTTGATAGCATTGTCGTAGGCTTGTTTAAAGCCTGAATGGGTGCATGCTTGTTTAAAGCGGTCAAGGACTGTTTGGTCTGGTTTCCAACCTTCTGTCCTTATTGAAGGGTTGATATAAGGACAATCACTGAATGTGTGGTAACCATCATAGGCGCCCCCTTGACATGGACAGGGCTTTTTAGTCTTCTTGCCCTGGCCCTTTTCTGATTGTCCTCGAAAAGTGGCATTGACATAAGAGGCTCGTTTAGGCGGAATAAGCCTAATAGAATCCCTATACTTCTTTGTCAAGGTAAAGAAGTCAATAGAGTCTATTTGGCCTATAGATTCAAGCCGATTGATCTCATTATGCCAGTATTCGGCGAAGGAGGGAGACATAGAGGCTAGACCATCAAGGAAGTCCAAAAGTGGTCTAGTCTTTGATTGGACTTCACCAATACCCAATTGGACAGCCTCCACATAAGTGTTCTCGCATTGTGAAATCCATGCATCTATGGTCAAAGAGTGTGGAATTCGGTGCATTTGATGGTATTTCTTGATGACCGACCGCTTTCGGGCTTCAGTGGTCGGTGCATAACGCTTTTGGAGGGTTTGCAAGGCTTCATAAACTGACGGTAGGTGCTGAATAATAAGCTTGCTTGAATAGGAAATCGATGATTGAATGATAAGGTAGATCTGAGAGATAGCACCCGAAATACGGTCATATTCGCGAAGGTCAAGTTCATAATCTCTTCGTCTGTCTCTCCACCTTTCACGCTCGTTTGTGGTCAGGTCTTCATCGGTAAGGGCTTTAGGGTTAATATCAGTAGCCCTAGGACGAATAGGATAAGAAGGAATATCCCTCTTTATTGGATTGTCGGGGTCAATATAGTCCCATACGCCTTTTGCAATAGCATAAGACTTAATTTGACCAATCCAGAGATACCAGTCTGATGACTCAGACAAGGTTACACCTATCTTGCTTATATCGGTCATAATAGGCAAGAAGGTAAGGACAAAGTGAAGACAAAGTGAAGTCAAAGTGAGAGCAAAGTGCTCGTCGATAAGCCGTGAAGTAGGCTAGAAGTCGAGAAGTCGTCGATAGCTTTGGATCACAAGTCTTATAACTATCGGGTATAAGACCGCAGCAGAAGAACTGGTCTTCAATAGAAGACCGCAATAGATATCAAAGGGAAGCGAGATCCGGGCTCATAACTGTTGGAGCATAAGGGGAAAGCTACCACGAAGCAGATCGTGGCCCCTTAAGTCCGTGGGATCAACCTTAGTCCGGCTAGGTCAGTCGGTGCCAGACAAAGGAAGAAGGTTAAAGGTCGTAGGATGAGACTATAAGCAGATATAGCCTAAACGAAGGCAGAACCACAGTCCTAAGGATCAAAGGAAGAAAGTAGAACTGACTTTGGAAAGTGGAAAATGACTTTATTCTTTCTGCTAGAAAAGAAGGACATATTTATAGGCTAAAGTAGCCTGAAATGACGTCTAGAATAACATACAAATACTAGACAGCAACATAATAAAGGTGGCAAAGAAGGGAACCGAAGAAAAGCCAAAAGAATGATGTCAAGAATCGACGGTTTCAGCCACCCCGAAAGCTTCCCCGCAGTATTAGGTTATGCATGCCCAAAGGTGGACCATTTTATCCCTAAGGGAAAGTGGTCCGCCTATCCTTGAGGGGACTGAGGGTCGAAGTCTGTTCACCGAGGTTCGAAGACCATGGTCGAAGTCCGCAGGCAAGATATGCCCGAAGGCACCTCCGAAGGAACGGACCATTCATGCCTGAAGGCGGACCATTTACCTCTGAAGGAAAATGGTCCTGCCTATCAATCGGGAGAGGGCCGCGGACCAGAATCAGAAGTGTTCAAAATATCATTTTGATAGAAGAAAAAATCTGGTCACGTGATTAATACAATGCTGATCTTATATGTTGAATATAAGGATAGATCTTTCTTTGTAGCATTGGTCTATATTCCAATATTAACTATTTATAACCGATTCCGACTAATTATATCCGATTATACCCCTTAAGACTCGTAGTTCGCACGTCTAATAACTCCGAATACCGAGTATATACTCCGTTCGCTATTAGCGGATAGCGCGCAGATATTCTACTAAGCTTAGATAACCGCCTCGGAAGAAAGCTTACCTATTTAGGCAATACTTATTAAATAGGCCGCGAATATTCTAGCTAAGAACACTCGCCTCCGTAAGGCCGAACTTTAACGCACGGAATATAAACGTATACGTATTTAGGAAGATCCGCTCTAATAACTAGTAGATATCCTTAAATAGGTATAAACTAGACTGGCTAATACCCCGGATACTTCTGAAGCTAGCCGTTCGATATTATCCTAACTTAATAGCGCTCAGAAGGCCGTCCGGAAGGCAGTCTTAAAAAATATCCGCCCTATTAAGGTCTATCGGGGTGCGGTTAAGTCCGATACTATACGAAAGTACCTACGTAACTACGAGCGTTACTTCCGCGAAGTTACCACTTTTGCGGGTACGGAGCTAGATAAAAGCTCTAAGGTTATCTACGCTAGCGGATGTTTACTAGACCGTGCTACCGAAACTTAGCGTGCGTATACGGAATAGGTTATAGGAATATATAGCGACAAAATTACTACTTAGTAAGCCTATAAGGATTAAATTAATCGCGAGTTTTTGGAATATCTTAGACCTAAAAAGTGATAGGATAAGTTCGTGAACTTAAGGTAAGGGTAAATTTTATTCTATAAATACATAATTAACCTATAATAAGCTATATATAATTATAATATAGATATTTCTAAGCTAATCCTAATTTAATTCTTATAAAAGGGTGCGAATATAAATCTAAAGAAGCGTTAGGCTAAGGATTGAGAATAAGATCGCCTTACCGCCCTATAAGATATTATTTAAAGATTTATTAAATTCGAACGAGATATAATAGTGGCCGGATAGATTAAGCGTACGGACCCAGACGAGATAGATCTTAGTATAATACTAACCTAAGCACGAGACCTTTCTGCTATTATCTACTATAATTATAATAAAAAGGGACACTATAAATATAATTACCCGGCCCTAAAAAAGAAGAAGAATAAGGATAGGAATAAGGATAGAAAAAGCTAGTTAAAAAACTAATACGGGCGTCTTCGTACGAAGCCCTAGCCGCTCGTATCTGTGAGGATTCCTATACGCCCGATCTCTCTGAACTTAACTGTTTAGATCTAATTAAGAAAGATCGTAGCGAAAAATATCTGGATATATCCTTAAATATCCTAGGCGATTCCCTCCTTTACTACCTAATTTCGCTCGGAAAGACTCCTTTATCTCCGACCGTAACCGCTCTACTTAATAGTGATACGTTATATATATTTATATCTCTAAATATTGCGAATCGCTTAAAAGAAAGCCTATCGTTACTAACCTCTGTGAACCCTATTATGGTTAAGCTCCCGAATAGGGAAGAGCTCCGTATATAGGCGAAACTAAAGGTTCCGGTTACAATTAGATCCTAGCGAGGAATCCTAGAAATATAGATTTTGGACTTCCCGGATTTTAACTTTATTCTTAGAAGAGACTTCTTATAAAATATTAACCCTATTATTAACTAGGTCAAGGGAACTATAACTATATAGGATTATAAGCGGACGTATATTACTTAATCCGCGAATACCCCTAGTCTAGAAGGAACCGTTAGCGCTTAATTAAATCTGATTTTCGCTAAATAATACTCACGTATAATACGGAAACGGCAATTATAAGGAATATTCGTGGCTATTCGGGATCTTCCCGAAAAGAAAGAAAAAGGAAATATTAGGGGCACTAAGGTATTCCGACCTACGTATATAGGAAATCCTATTGGAATATAGACCAATGCTACATAGAAAGATCTATCCTTATATTCAACATATAAGACCAGATTGCATTGATCACGTGACCAGATTTTTAGTCTATCAAAATGATGTTTTGACCACTTCTGATTCTGGTCCGCGGCCCTCCCCCAACGATAGGCGGGACCATTTTCCTTCAGAGGTAAATGGTCCGCCTTTAGACATGAATGGTCCGTTCCTTCGGAGGTGCCTTCGGGCATATCTTGCCCGCGGACTTCGACCATAGTCTTCGAACCTCGGTGAACAGACTTCGACCTTCAGTCCCCTCAAGGATAGGCGGACCACTTTCCCTTAGGGATAAAATAGTCCACCTTTGGGTATGCATAACCAGATACTGCGGGGAAGCTTTCGGGGTGGCTGAAACCGTCGATCCTTGACATCATTCTTTTGGCTTTTCTTCGGTTCCCTTCTTTGCCACCTTTATTATGTTGCTGTCTAGTATTTGTATGTTATTCTAGACGTTATTTCTAGGCTATTTTAGCCTATAAATATGTCCTTCTTTTCTAGCAGAAAGAATCAAGTCAGTTCTACATTCCTGAAGTCATTTTCCACTTTCCAAAAGTCATCTCTACCTTCTTCCTTTGATCCTCAGGACTATGGTTCTGCCTTCGTTTAGGCTATATCTGCTTATGGTCTATCCTACGACCTTTGACCTTCTACCTTTGTCTGGCACCGACTGACCTGGCCGGACTAAGGTTGATCCCACGGACTTAAGGGGCCACGATCTGCTTCGTGGTAGCTTTCCCTTTATGCTCTAACAATAGTATTTTTTATAAGTATATTAAGCTTCCGATAATCTATATAAAATTATAAATTATTATTAGCCTTCCGAACTATTAAGATAAGAGATATATAGGGGGCCTTACTAAGTATAATAAAACCTTAGGTAAGGTTCTAGGTAATATAAGCTTTTATTACTTAGAGTTCTTTCTCTAATTACTTATAAAGTGGGTAATATCTAAGTATTATTTTTTAATTAAGGAAGATCTAATAATCGGTTATACCTTAATATAGCGATAAGGTATTTAAATCCTATTTTAAAAAAATATTAATATATTCATAATACTCTTTAAGAATTATACTTTATATCTCTTAGTCTTTAGCCTATTATTAAGTATCTCGCTTCTTTTCTAAGATATAGTCAATTTTATAAAGAGAGATAAAAAAGACCTTATTATCTTTTTCTTAATAAATTAATAAAATCTATCTCTAATAAATATAATTATATTTAAGAGACTAATATAATATTCTTAAGGTTTTTATAATAGCTATAATAATAAAGGCTTATGGATTTAGTCCCCCTTAAATAGAAGAAGCTTTTAGGCTATATATAGTTAAGGGAAGTCTTAAAATAATATATTTTATTAGTTAGTATTCTCTTAATACTAAAGATCTAGCTTTAGTCTTTTTAGAATAGTCTAAGAGAGAACTATAAATATCTAAATAATTATATTATTCTTAAGACTACTTGAAGCGCGGCCCCAGTCAGCCGAGTCGATCGTTCTCTAAGACGAGTACGGACCCACGTTATGTTGCTTCTTGGCTTTACGAGTGAGAAGAGCCACAAATGGTTGCCGTCAGTGCACAGCATTTAAATCCTGAATTTTTGTATGTGGACATATAGGCTTCAAAGTTGCACTAGAGGATTTCAGGGGACGATAGACAAGTGTCGCTCGGAAAAATGAATTATTTACACCTTGTCATAATTCCAGGTCAGAGCCGTTCCTGGACACCTAGTAGTAAATGTGGGTTTCTGAAAGTCTCCACCGACGAGCCATGGCGGACCTAGAAATTCTTCGGACTTGCATATGTGGAAATCGGTGATCTGGATCAAGATTGGGGATCAAAAGTAGTGTACCGAGCAGCAGCCCCCCCTTGATACATTCATTTCCAAGCTCGCGTTCTCAACAAGCGCTAGCGGAGACTATTGACTACCCCGTTAGGAATCGTGGATGAATTGCTCTGACAAGAACACCAATCCCAGCCAAGACTGAAGAGTTGCAGTGGAATATATGTGTTGACTGAGGACGAATCGACAAAGGTCTCGGAAACATCTGGACTTATGCATACAAAGGTCAATCTTTTCGTAGAAGATGAAGCCTGGGCATAGACATGGAGAAATCGTCTCCACCTACTCCAATGCGGGGAATGTACTCCATATCTACATGGGCAACGTTATCAAGGGCGGACAAAGTCCGCTGCATCCCCCGCTCTTATCACTTACAACGCCGAGCTCATAATTGGAGTATTCTCTCTATAATATCCACGCTCTTCCATGGCAGGGATCAATTTCTTGCGAGCGACCTTGACAAGGCCAACTTCTAGATTGTCGCATCTTCTATTGAACCCCAATTTCGGAAAGCCTCTTATCAAGCACTTCTCGACGTCACCGTATTGCGCCATGTTGACCACCGAATTATCAGAGGCTGAGGTATCCGCGCTTAGGGTCAATAAGGAGCGATTGGCTAAAGACCTTCACCATTCGTGTCAATGGGGATATGGTATTCGGTGGGGGGATGAATCGACAGATACTGGTATGCAACGTCTAGCTCTATCCGAAGAGGATAAGAGCGTTCGAGACTGGTTCATTCACACCATGAAGAGTTTGAAGTGTCAAATTACTGTCGACGAGATGGGCAATATCTTCGCCGTGCGTCCTGGGAAGAGGACAGATGTTCCAGCAACTTTCATCGGAAGTCACCTCGATACTCAACCTACAGGAGGTCGTTATGATGGGATTCTGGGTGTCTTGTCTGGCGTAGAAGCTCTCAAACGAATGGATGAGATGGGTCTTGAAACAGAAGGAGGTGTTGGGGTTGTCAACTGGACCAAGTAAGATTGAAGGGCGTGCATGCTCAAAAGCAATATACTAACCCTATCTCAGCGAAGAAGGAGCTCGATTTCCGGTCAGCATGATTGCCTCAGGCGTGTGGGCAGAGTGCATCCCGCTTTCCAAGGCCCACGACCTCAAGGAGGTGCCGACTGTTGCATCCTTACCCACCGCCGCTTCCGCCCCGGACACAATGAAGAGTGCCCTGCAGAAGATCGACTACTTGGGCAGTGTACCATGCTCGTACAAGTCAACACCAATGGCGGCGCACTTTGAGTTGCATATTGAACAAGGTCCGCATCTCGTATCGGCAGGACAGCGAGTTGGTGTCGTCACAGCAGTCCAGGCTTATCGTTGGTACCGTTTGAATGTGATCGGAAGGGATACTCATACGGGTACAACTGCCTTCGAACACCGCGCTGATGCTTTGTATGCATTTTCGTGCATGATGGTCAAGGCTCGAGAAGTGGCCAAAGCTCGAGGATGTCTTGCCAGTGTGGGCATTATCGAGGCGAAGCCTGGCAGTGTCAATACCGTTCCCGGCACAGTCACCTTTAGCTTGGACATCCGTGGTCCAGAAACCGAACTGGTGGCCGAGGTAGAGAAGCAATTGCGCAAAGAATTCGACGCCATTGCGGCTGAAGAAGGCGCTGGTATTGGGAAGCCGTGTCGTATCGAGTGGACCCTTGACTTTGACTCGCCTGCCGTGAAGTTCCATGAGGATTGTATCTCTTGTGTTCAAGACTCAGCTCACGCAGTCGTTTCAGACGCCCCTGTTACTGATACAAAGTCACTGGTCCGTCCCATTACGAGTGGCGCCGGTCATGACAGTGTATTCACCTCGAAGAGAGTTCCCACAAGCATGATCTTCGTTCCATGCAAGGATGGATTGAGCCACCATCCCGAGGAGTTCTGCTCAGCAGATGATTGTGCCACCGGAGCATCGGTGATCTTACAAGCCGTTGTACGATATGATCGTAAGAGGTTCGCGTAGGTCGAAGCTACTGGACAACGCCAAATGTACGTACACAATTCAAAGCGTTATACAAGATGGTCTATAGTGAAGCACAAAGCACTGAGGTCATGAATTTGCCATTGAGTCTAGCTACATCATTAAGCCAGTGATCTCATTTAACTTTTTTTTCCGTATCCCCAAGCCTCAGAAACAAGGGGCCGTATAAGATGTGCCAGATGACAATGCCTTTCAGTACCCAAATTTTTGGGACCTACCGCGCACCGAGTCCAACAACATCAGTCCCTAGGATGACCGAGCAGTGGATGACAGGACACCAAGATCTCTCCTTTACTGGGGGGCACCACGGCCACGGCCGAAGCCACCACGGAAAGAGGGAGCGAACTCGCCGGGGGCACCGCCCTCCTTGCCACCCTCCTCGCGGCGGCGGTAGCCACCCTCGCGGGGAGCGCGGGGACGGCGCTCGCGCTCCTCACCGCCCATCATGCCGCGGGGGGGAGCGTGGGAACGCTGCTGCTTGATGTGGGTGGCGGGGACAACCTCAGCGGGGAGGTGGAGCCACTCGCGGAGGTAGTCCAGACCCTCGGGGGTGAGGGTGTAGTAGTAGTACTGCCACGAGAAGCGGGTCTTGACGAAACCGCGGGAGTCAAGAGACTGAAGAGCCTTGATGACCTATAGGAAGAGTCGTGTCAGCGAGTGATTTCCGGGAAGACGAAAAGTTCGAGGCGCATCTTACGTAGAGGTTCTTGGTGTCAATGTCACCGTGCTTGGGAAGGTTGAAGTCCTTCTTGGCCACGAGCACACCCTCTGTGGATACATAGTCAGTCAATTTGTTCGAAGTCGTTCGTGCGCAATGACGCTGTGTAGGCCGGGGAGTCGGCGAGGGCAGTCGTTACATACCACGGAAGAGGTACTCGTGGATCTTCTTGCGGTCGTCCTTAGGGATAAGCCTGGGGTTTGATTAGTGATAGTTCAAACGTAAAAGACATAGGGCCGCAAACTTACATTGTCGCGAGTTCCTGGCGCAATTCGTGGAATCGCTTTGACAACGTCAGGAAAGATGGGTGATTTAAAGAACGGAGAGTGGAGCTGCGGCGCGAGAAAAGTGCGTTCCATTTCGGGGACTTCGCTAGGGTGTTAGCCCTAACAGGCTGGTCGTGCCAGTCAGCTGACTCTGCTTGCTGAGTCACTTATCGATTGGTCCCGTGATCTCCAGTCTCTAGCGTCGCCATCTTATCTTCGAAACCGTCGAGTTGCTCCGGCTTATCCATCACCTTCTTGAACGAAGATCATTCACCAAAGATCATTCAAAATGGCGTCTTTTAACGTCAACATCCTTCTGTCGTCCTTCCCTGGACTGTCACTGCCATCCACTCTCTTCTCCTTGCCTTCAACCTCCAGCATCTCCGACTTGACCGAGAAGGTCGCATCCTATCTTCCATCATCGCTGTCGCTTCAGTCCCTTGTCCTCACTACTACCAACAACAAACAGATAACCTCTTCCGCCAACACTTTGCAATCACTCTTAACCGACCGTGATGGCAACTCCGGTGGCTCGTCACTTCTCCCGCTCCGCCTTTCCGTTCCCCTATGCGGCGGTAAGGGTGGTTTCGGATCGCAGCTGCGTGCCGCAGGTGGCCGCATGTCCAGTAAGCGCAAGCGCAACCAGGGTGATAATAACAGCTCGAGTCGCAACCTTGACGGCCGCCGCCTGCGCACTGTCAACGAGGCCAAGGCTCTCGCGGAGTACCTCGCGGTCAAACCTGAAATGGACAAGAAGGACAAGGAAGAGCGCCGTCGCCGGTGGCAAGCTGTCGTTGACATGGCAGAGAAGCGCCAAGAGGAATTGAAAAACGGTGGAGGAAAGCAAAAGATTGATGGTCAATGGATGGAGGACAAGGAAGAAATGACTGAGAAGCTCCACGAAGCCGTCATGGCTGCTATGAAGGACGACTCATGGACTGATAGCCTCCGCGACGCGGTCCTGGGCGGGTCCAGCACCAGTGCCAGCGAAGGCAGCGATCATGCAGAATCGTCTACCTCCGATGAAGATGAGGATGATGATGAGCATGCTTTACCCTCAGCTGTTCCAGGTCCCTCTGCACCAGTGACAAAAGCTGCACCTCGCCGCTTCATCGGATTCGACGATGATGATGAGTTCATGAGTGACTCTGATGAAGAAGAGGATGTCTCTACAGGCAAGGGCAAGGGCAAGGCGCGCGCTTGAGCTTGACCCTCAAGGTCAGCCTACGGTTTATGATGGCGTTTATTCATGCTTTTCGGGAATTAAGCGTATCGGGTTTCTAGCATCACTGTATTAATATGAATTCTCTTACACTATTCGGTACTCAAGTCCTACATCAGAAACTTTCCTCGTCCAGAATATTCGGAGCACAAAGTTGTAGAAGCACGTAGAACAAAGCGGGTCCTCTGTTGCGACGAAAGTGGGCGTTATCGATAAGCGGCTCCAGCAGAAAAAAGCTCCGCGCGAACTCCGCAAACCTACTCGTTAACCATGTCGCTTTCTTCTCGGGGCGCGATCACGCGAAACCTGAGGCTTGACGCGATACGATTGCCATCTCGAGCATACTCTCGATACTTGACACCCACTTTGCAGCCACGAGTTTGTTCCACGAGAACTTTGTCTTCGATCAACTTCCTCAATATTGAGCAAAAGACCACGACTTCTCACCGTGCTTTCTCGACCACTCGTTTCCTACAATCCGAAATATCTGCCCAGAATCTAGTCGACATTCTCCCTGTGTGCTGCCCGGGATGTGGCGCATTCTCCCAGACAATCGAACCGAACGAGCCGGGCTATTATGGCAAGACTCGCAAGCAGAGACGAAAGCCGTCCAAGAAAGACAACATGGAGCAGCAGAATGCCGAGGCGGAAAATGTGGCCATTTCAAATGCCCAAGACAGTTCAGTATCTGATATCGGGGATCTAGCCGGAGAGTCCACAGCTCCCAAGCCTATTCAAGGTAAGCCATCGGCATTAACATTGCGCCCGGTCCCTGATAGCTGACTCAAAAAACTAGGCGGAGCTCTCCCAGAAGAGTGGTTCCAACCTGCTACGAGAAATTCAGCTGAGTCGCAAAAGCAGCTCAACCAAGTTTGCGATCGATGTCATGACTTAATACACCACAACAAGGCAGTTTCCGCGCCTAAGCCGACCATCCTTTCCATCCGAGAGTTCCTGAACGAGTCACCTTACAAAGACAACTGTGTCTATCATATTTTGGACGCTGCAGATTTCCCGATGTCCTTGATCCCGCGCATACACCAGGCACTATCGCTCCAGGAACAGCGATCTCGAAACCGAAGAGCCGCAAATGAAAAGTACATTGGCGGAAAGAAGTTGGCTACCCTCAACTTTATCATCACGCGCTCCGACTTGCTAGCTGCTACGAAAGATCAAGTTGACTCGAAGATGGAATACGTTCGCTCAATACTTCGCGAGTCACTGGGGAAAGCCGGAAAAGATGTTCGTCTGGGTAACGTCCATATGATCAGTGCGCACCGTGGCTGGTGGACGAAGCAAGTGAAAGAGGAGATTTACAAGCACGGTGGAGGAATTTGGGTGGTTGGCAAGGCTAATGTGGGAAAGAGTAGCTTCATCGAAGCCTGTTATCCCAAGAATTCGAGGACCATGGAAAACATGGTGGAGTGGATTCACCAACGACGAGTAGAGAACGAGATTTCGAGACATGGACAGGCCGATTTCCTTGATCTCCTTTCCCTGACAGTCTCCTTCCTCCTGCACCTCGCGAAGATGCATTTCCAGTGCTACCGGTAATTTCATCACTACCCGGAACAACTGTTTCGCCCATTCGTATCCCATTTGGCCGCGGAAAGGGTGAAGTGATCGACCTGCCAGGCTTGGAGCGGGGTCAGCTCGAGGACTTTGTCCGCGACGACCACAAACGCGATCTCATCATGGTCAAAAGAGTCAAGCCCGAGCGCTGCACCATCAAGCCTGGCCAGTCTCTTCTTCTTGGTGGTGGTCTCGTGCGCATAACACCCGTCAATTCGGAGGACACTGTTCTGGCCGCTTGTTTCGTGCCCATCGAAAGTCACATTACAAAGACCGACAAAGCGATTGAAATTCAAGCCGAACAACGACCGTATCCAGGGAAAATTCTCATGAAAGAAGGCACCGGTAGCTCGATCACTTCGGCGGGGAAATTCGACCTTGAATGGGATATTACCGCTTCCAATCTCCCCGCCTTAGTTGCAAAGGCCGTCAAAGACAAGAAGATCCCCATCCCTCCGCTCCCGTACCGAGTGATGTCAGCCGACATCTTGATCGAAGGCTGCGGCTGGGTGGAGATTAGTGTGCAAGTGCGCGCCAAGCGCAATTCGGAAACCGAGTCCCCTTCATATCCTCAAATTGAAGTGTTTACTCCCGAAGGGAAAACACATTGGATTTCGACCACCGATCGAATGTTGGAATTTCATTGCAGAGAAAAAGAAGGCAGATAAGCGCAAGAGGCCGCGTCTGCGATACCGGTACAGTTAAGCTTGTTGGAATATAGCTCGATGGAAGTGTCAGAAGTGTATACTAGGTGGCATAGCGTGGCGTTTACTTTTTACAAACATCTTGTGTATCTATATATCAATCTCCTTTGCCAAAATTGTTTCTCAGGGCTTATTCTGTGCCATACTCGTCAGCATGTGTCCGAAGGGCGTGGTCTCCCGCTGTGGGGAATCTCGCCCGGCTCCGGTTTAGGTACCTTGCGTCTTACATCCCCAACGCTCCACCGCGTCCAGAAGATAACAGACTTTTCAACGTGTTTTCAAACATCTGTTTACATCTCCATTGCACATAATTCCCCAATTGGGTACCAAAGATTAGATAAGGAGAGTATTTGGTTCATCTAGGTATCGTCACCGCTTCCGCATCGAGTACTGTCTCTGACAATTGACGCGCTGCAAAGCCGAAATGCTATCGTCGCGTGCACTCAAAAACATCGAGCAGCTTGGTCGCCCCTGGCGATTTGCACCTACGCCAGACTATGACCACGAAACGAATCCAAAGGGGCTCATTTCTTTTGGATTGGCAGAGAACGCATGTACCTATCACCCTCTGGCAAGAAACAACACTAACAAGACGTCAGAGACCGATGAGGGCAGAAATTGTTCAGTTCATTAACGAGAAAGTATCGACAAACTGATATTACTCTCTGTGATAAAACATTAACATATCCTAGGTCGTGTTTACATTGGACTCCATAAGCTACCGCTCCACCACAGCGTCCAACGCCCGGCTCCCTAGTATCGCAGCCACTCACATGAGTAAAGCTCTGAACTCACTTACATCAATCAACCCAGAACATGTTCTCATCGCTGACTGCCCAACTTCATTGGGTAGCATGTTAGGCTTCAACCTCGCAGCACCGGGTGAAGGTATACTCGTCAACAGGCCAGTATACGGTCGCTTCGAGTTAGATTATGGCATTGAAGCAGGTGTTGAAATTGTATATGCCGACACGGACACGGATATGGCGTTCACGCCTGATGCTGTGGAGAAGTATGAGCAGGCTTTAGGGGATGCCAAAAAGCGTGGAGTGGTTATTCGGGCGGTTCTTCTCGTAAACCCTCATAACCCTGTCGGTAAGTTGGTCTACTTTTTACAAGTCTCGTCGAAGATATGGCTAGGTGCTTATTTCGACGTGCCACCAGGCCGCTGCTATCCGATCAAGACGTTGAAGCACATTGCCCGATTCTGCGACAGGCACAAGCTTCATCTTATCAGTGACGAGGTTTATGCGTCCTGTATCTTTGAGAGCGGTGATCCGGACGCTGTTCCGTTTACGTCAATTCTTTCTTTGGATTTGAAGGGCCTCATAGACCCTAATCTTGTGCATGTTTTGTACGGCTTCAGCAAGGTTGGAAAGAACACTGTTCCCAAATAACTCCAATGACACTGACTATCAAAGGACTTTGCCTCTGGTGGCCTTCGCCTTGGATTCTTGGTCACTCAAAATGAGCAACTGCGCCTAGCATGCAAGATGTCTTCGTAAGTATTACGCTCAATGATCTATGAGCTTAATTTTGTTATTGCTATACATGAGCAGTCAAGCTAAGTCCGGGCAGGCGATTCCACACCCCATCTCAGGCGGCCGTCACAATCGGAATGGCCATTCTAGAAGACCAAGCCTTTGTCGAAAGCTTCACTGCCAAGACAAGAGAAGTGCTAGCGGCACGCTACAAATTGACTACATCGACCCTCGACCAGGCTGGGATCAAGTACGCCAAGAGAGGGTAGGTCAACACACACCATTACCCAGGATATTCGCTTATGACTTTAGGAATGCCGGATTCTTCATCTACGTTGATCTATCGCCTTTTTTGCCCGACGGTCATACTACCCGAGAACAGGAATTCGCCCTTGCGGGAGAAATTCGTTGAGGCTGGTGTCTTTTTGCATCCTGGTGAAGAGCACGGGAAAGATGCAGGATGGTTCAGATTGGTGTTTTCACAGGAGGAGAGTGCGTTGAAGGAAGGACTCAGAAGGCTAGTATTATCATTTCTTGCGAGGTTTCACTCAATTTGTCGATCATTGCTAATTCTAGGATTCCTGTTACAGACTGTTGAGTGTTCTGAGGCCCGCGGCTTGATTTTGAAATTGCCGATCACGAGTAGACCTCGGACGATGATGCCTCCAAAGTGTTTAATTTAATTTTGGTAATTTCCGTTCGAAGGAGTTTTAGATACAAAGCTACGCTCAACCCTGTTGCGAAAGACTAGAACCATGAAATGCATTTATTCTTTTTAAGCATAAGCTCATCAAACATGACTCTTTAACTATAGAAAGATCATTTACGCCCTAGAATGACCAGATCTAAGCAGCAACGTTGGAGAACTGGAAGGTAGGGTTTCCAGGGACTGCATTCTCAGCCGAGAGACCCTCCCGCTTCTCACCAGTACCAACAACCTCGCCAGACTTACCGCCCTCGTCAAGGGCGACGATCTCAACCTCCTTGTATCCAGCAGTGCGCTTCAGACCATCGACCATCTTAGCGAGGACAGCGAACTCATCAAAGGGCAGCTTGCGCTCAAAGACTGTCGAGGGGTCCTCACGGGCCTGCACCAGACGACGCTTGAGAGTCTGAACAAAGGGCATGGCCTTCTTCATCTCGCCAAGCTTGCCGACCTTGCCGTTGAGCTCCTTGTCATTGAAGGTGAGGTTGAGGCCGTCGAAGGCCTCACGGACGAGGTCGATGTACTTCTCCTGCCAAGCGGGGAACTTCTTGGCGGCGTAGATGGTGAGCTTCTTGGGGTCGCGGGGGTTGAAGTTCACGGTCTTTCCCTTGGACAGGCGCTTGACGAACATGGCCTCGGAAGAGAGAATGCTCGAGGAGGTGCCGCGGACGTATTGCTGGGCAGCAGTCAACTCGGGCGAGGACTCGGGCACAGTGGGGAACTTGGCGTGGTGGATGGACGAGTTCTGGATGATGTTAGATGTGTCCTTTTTTCCAGATGGCGGAGGATGCGAGGCTTACCTTCTTGAGAACCTCAAGCCAGACGTATTCGGCCCAGTGAGGAGCAATAGGGGCAAGCATGAGAGCCTGCAGCTCGATGTAGCGCCCAACAACGTCCTTGTGCATACCAACACCGGCGGCAGTGGCCATCTCACGGTAGCTGTCGCGGGCACTTGTGAAGTCGTAGAGACCAGACTTCAGGGCAAGCTTGAAATCAGTGCTAAATATGGGTTAGCGGACAATTGCAAATCGAGTTTTAATGATATACGACATACTCGCGGTAGTGCTTCTGGGTTTCGCGGACCAGAGCGTTGAGCTCGTTGTCAAAAAGCTGGTCGGCGAAGGCATCAGCAGGGCCGGTGCGGAGAGTCTCGTCTTTGGAGATCTCCTCAATCCAATCCTTGAGAGTGTACAGACGCAGAATGTTGCTGTTGGCAACAGACTCCTCGAAGTTGGCATCCTCAATGCTGTCACCGGCATCGGCGAAAGCGATACGGGTAGCGTCGGCGCCAAACTTGTCGACGGAATCCTTCAGAGTGAGGAAGTTACCAGTACTTTTACTCATCTTCTCTCCGTTCAACAGCAAGTGGCCGTTGGCACGGATACCACGGGGCCAGTACTCCTTGGGGAAGAGAGCGACGTGAATGTACAGGAAGAAGGTCAAGTGGTTCTGGATCAGGTCCTTGCCGGAGACACGGACATCCAGCGGGTACCAGTACTCAAACTCGCGGCGCATCTTCTGCAGAGCCTCCTTGCTGATACCAGTCTTAGAAACAAGCTCATCGCTGATTTCCCGACGGCAGAAAACGTAGTCCCAGACTTCATCCGTCATCTGTTCAGCAGTCACGTTCAGGGAACCGACAGTCTTTCCGTAGCGGTCACCGTGCAGAAGGTGGGCAATGGTGTAGTAGGCCATGTAGACAGTGCTGTCGGACAGAGACTCAACCAGGAACTGCTTGTCCCAGGGAAGCTGAGATCCCAGACCGTAAGTACGGGCACAAGCCCAGCGGTTGAGCCAGGACAAGTTCTTCTCGAAACCGTGCTGGGCCTCAGGCGAGTAAGTGTTGAGGTCGTTGACAACGTGGTTCAGGGTATCAGCCTGCCACTTAGCGTCGTTCTCGCCGTAGTTCAAGAACCATTGACCGAGGTAGGCGACAACGCAGTCATCTCCACTGCGGCTGACAACCTTGCCCATAGGGTCGGCGAAGGGGAAGGCATCGCCGCTGTCGTAAAGGGACTTGCGAACCTTGTCCTTAGCCTCGCTCACAGGCTCGCCCTTGAACTCGCCAACCAGCATGGTGCCCTTGTAGAAACCCTCCATGTAGGCGAGGTCCTTGGCCTGAGCAAGCTGGGTCACGTCCTTAGGAGAGTTGATCTTCAGCTGCTTGACCAGGGTAGGTGCAGTCAGGTTGCCGTAGGTGGGAGTATCAATCAAAGGGTGAATCTCCTTCTCGGCCCACTCTTTCTTGATGCCGTAGAAATCGGCCTTCTTCTGCAGATCCATCAGAGTAGCATAGTCGTCGGGGCTGTCTGAGGGGACGGAAGTCACAACACCCGTACCCTTGGAAGCAGAGACACTCTCCATGGGCAGAATGTAGACACCCTCGGTGTGGAGAGAGAGGGAGCGTTGATAAGAGTACCAACGAAGTCAGAGCCAGGAGCCTCATAGACCATAGGCAGCTGGTCCTGGGTCTTGGGGAAGTTATCATTGTCAAAGAAGTGACCTTGGAAAGCCATGTTCCAGGCAGCACGCTTGGTCACAACAATGTACTCCTTCTCTTTCAGCTTGAACAATCCATATTTGATCTTAGGACCAACAAAGCAGTTGGTCTGGCCGTACATGGTCTCGGGACGCAGAGTAGCGGGAACAAAGTAGACCTTGGCGTCATCCTCAATCTTACCCTTGATGGCCTCAGCCAACTTGGGAGACCACTCTTTGACCTGGAGCTTAAGGGCAGTGTACTCCTGGGGTCCAACACCCTCACCCTCAGTGCGGTCGTGGTCCATGCAGGGCTGGCCATCCTTAGGCGAGTAGATGGTGTAACGACTACCGTACATAATCTTGCCCAGCTCGTGGAGGCGGTTCATCTGCCAGCGAACGAAGGCATCGTAGTAAGGGTTGGCGTCAGTAGTAACGAACTGTCTGCGCCAGTCGACACGAGCACCCATGCTGTCGAGATCACGGATGGCGAGAGGAGGGAAGTGGTGGAGCCAGTGGTTGGCATCAGCGAACTTGTGAATATCCTCGAGAGGGACACCAATAGCCAGCATGATCTGGAACTGGTACTTCATCTTTACGGTCTTGGCAGCAGCCTTGCTCTTCTTTCCAGAGAACTTCTCGGCCTGCTCCTTGACCTCCGGCTTGGACTCCTGGGTAGGCGCTGCAGGAGTGGCAGCCTCCTCTGCCTCCTTGTAGCCCTCAAAGTTTTGACCGAACCACTTCACCTCGTCACGCAACTTATCGGCACAGGCTTTGATGGGCATACCAGTGCAGTGGAAACCGAGGGGGAAGAGGGCACGCTTGCCCTCCATGCGGGCAAAACCGGTCATGAACTCGACCTTGCTGGCAGTGAAACTGTGACCGGCGTGGAGAGTACCGTTCATGTAGGGGTAGGCCATAGTACCGAAGAATTTGGGGTGCTTCTCACGCAGCTCGGCGGCGGACATGGAGCCCTGGGGCACCTCGTCGAAGGAGGGGGCGTCGACCTCGAAGACCTTGTCCTTCTTCCATTGCGCCTGGTATTTCTTCTCAATTGCGATCAGAGAGTCGCGCTTCTCGGTCTGGGGGTAAATTTAGTTAGCATGGGGAAACCCAAAAAAAAAATCGGGAAAGCAACGGAGGGGGAGGGGCAGATGAACATTTTCCAATTTCAAGGTGTTTTTCGTGCCGTTGCTCGGATCGAGCGCAGCAGACGCGGCGGCGGCGGCTGCCATGATGTTCTCTGCAAAAGTTATACCTTGATTGCAAGAGTCCCGAGGGGCATAGAACGAAAGACCGCGGGGTGGATATAAAACCGTCAAATGGAATTGTGAGTCAGTATTGTAATTCTGGCGTATTGATGAGATGTAATTTACGGCACGTGCTACATCATATTGAGGGATTGCAGTCATTTAGTACCCATGAACTCCGTCTCAGCTATGGGTATTAAAATTAAAAGAAGATCGATCATCGTCGAGAGTAATTGAATTCTACGTATGACCATTATTCCTGCGATGCGAAACTTGGCAAATGTGCCAGACACTATCAGACGTCACGTGACCGATATCACGGAGACTTCGCAGCGCAAAGAGTTTCCGCAACAAATTTCCCCGAATCATCAAAAACACATCCTAAGCTCTCCGTGAGGCCATTGAGCAGTGTGTTGACTGCTACATCCTTGAAAAAACCTCCAATCACCACCACAAACCCCGTATCAAGGCCCGTCCCTGCGCGACACTTGCCATCATGGTGAACCTTTTTAAGCGGATGCGGAAGTTGAAGACCGTAAGTTGTCCTGCTTGCCCCTTGCTACGGGTTCTCACTTTAATTGGAAACCAAAATGGCTAACATTGCGTGCTTGTTCTCTTCAGAGGGTAATTTCTCCCATGTTTCCCAATATTCTCCCCCAACCCTTATAGCCCGGATTCCCTGACCCCCGGCGTATTTATACACGCCCAGATTCACCAGCCTTCATATGACCACGTATACTTACTCAGTATCCACAGATGCTCGAAGTCCGGGTCGGCACCGGCGCCGCCATCTTCCCAACCTTGGCCACCGCCAGCAAAGAATTCCCAGCCGTCACCCGCCTACACCTCACATACGCGCAAAAGATCTATGGCGGCCACCAAGGCGCTCGTCACTTCTGGCGCAAATGCCTCCCCCGCTTGAAGTACCACAACCCGGGTGTCCGAATGACAGTACAACAAACAGAAGACCAAGCCGGACCGGCCGCATTGACAATTTACTTCGCCGAGCGGTTGAGCAGCACAGCGAGCGCCGTCGCAGGCAAGAACCAAGTCACCGATAAGCACGCGCCAGCCCCGGAGGCCAATGAGAAGACTGCCGTGGTGGACTTGAAGAATTTGACATGGGAGGAGATCTGGAGTCGCGTGCAGGCGTCTACTGGTGCTGAGGATGTTCCTGCTTCTGAGGCTGATCAGGAGGAGGCGAAGAAATTGAAGGCTATTGCAGAGAAGGCGGTTGGAGACCGTGAGCGTATACAGGCCATGCGGCAGGCGAAGAAGGATCAGGAGCGGATGCTTGCTGAGGCGCGTGGTGAGGTTGAGAAGCTTAAGACGGTTTAAGAGGACCTCTGTTGCTGTCGGTCCATTCCCTGGCTCCTCGGTGAAAGGAGCCACCTGTAGCATATAGCATCTTTTGTTTTTAATTTTCCTTACGACCATGTATTTTTGTGGAATATCAAATTAGAGCATTGGAAAAGATGCATTGAACTTTGAAGAGACTTGGATTTCAATGCTCGACGTTTGGTATAGAGCTGAGGAAGAAGTTCGAGCAGGAAGAAGTTCGAGCGTAGAAGAATACATATGCTGAACGGAGGAAGAAAAGGTGACCGAAAGACATCACACATGGGCTCAAGTGGGCCATTTGAAGAGAGAACCAAACAAAATATGGATAGGCAATATACATCAGAAGAAAGACGAGAGCATCAATGCAGGCTCGTCAAGCTGACCGTCCTGCTATGCATGCTGATATGTCCAAAATCTTGGTAAGTCCCAAAACACCCGACAACTCCTGATAAATTTATGCCTTATTTATGCATTTTCTGGATTATAGCTGGTTTCACCCAGCATGCTCTGGCCAGCAGGTGCTGACAGCGGTTGAGCTGACGGCTCGACAAATATTGACGTGCCGGCTTGTGAGCGTCCTACAGATGCCGCTTGAAGGCGCTGGTCCAAAGCCTTGAGGGCCAAAGCGCGTCTCCGTTCGGCCTCTTCGCGTTTGCCGGCACCTCGCGAGCCTCCACCGCGCTGGCTCAGGAGGGTTGGGAGACCAGCTTCGCCTCGGGCTAGCACCTGCTGGTTTCCAGAAGCAATATCATCCTCGGAAAACGGTCTCAATATTCTCATGGCCACCAAAAGTGCATAAACCTGATCGGCAACGAAGGCGATCGGTGGCTGCATCACATCGGGGAATAGGCAGGCAAAAGCAAAGGTCTCGCTGGCGTCGCCCTTGATTCCGAGGCCATTCGTCGAAGTTCCAGTGAGATCGGGCTGCTGCTTGTAGAATCGGAGATAGGTCCAGCTAGTCAGGAGACCCAGCCAACCCAAGAAGGCAGCGGTATCTGTTCCAATCAAGATGCCACTGAGGGTGTTGAGGAGCAAAAATAGAGCCGGGAAGTGTTTCACGCGCATCTTGATCAGACCCTTGAAGATAGTGACTGTGTGCTCGGGGACGAGCTGCTTGAAAGCGACAAGGAAGGAGGCCTGGATGGCCACACCCCCGCAGATCTGGGTGAGGCTGCGACGGAAAAAAACAGTCAGCTCCGAGAGTCTCATTGATTGGTACAAAATCTTACCCTATGCTTGGAGAACCTCCGACAGCACTCCAGATGAGGTAGATCGGAACGATCACGGCATTGGGGATCACAGTGACGGCGGCAATAAACTTGCTGAACTCGCGGGAACCCCACGCGCGCTCGAGATACTTTCCCCCATAGAAGATTGTCGTCGCGTTCAGAACGACGGTGAAGATATTCTGCTCGACAAAAGTGGCCGTGACGAGCGTCCACGGGTAGTAGTAGAAGAAAGAGGGAACGAGCGTAAGGTAGGGAATGATCGGGGTGGCCTGGACGCTGCCAGCTGAGGTGTCAAGTTGTCGCCATCTGGCAACGTTGTAAAGAAAGGAAAGGGCGAGCAAGATGATGAGACAAATACGAGTAGCCGGAGGGATATTGACTCGGAGCGGCATTTTGTCTCGCGGGCGCGAGACCGCAGGCTTGTCGGACCGTGTTGTCGAGGGTGAGGTATTCCAAGGTTATTTGGGGGGGGGGGGCGGTCGCGGGCTTGGAAAGGCGGACAATGACACAGGGCTGAGCCAGGATGCTACACCCGTGCGAGATGTGAGACCATACCACAATTTGGATCATGCATTCGTGGAGCAAACGAATAGGTCAAATTTGACGCATTGGGACCAGATTCATTACTGATGGGTATTCTTATGGGGGTTGGCATTCTTGAGCTATCGTTTAGGAGGTTCATCTGATACGTGATTCGCGCGCGCTCAATCTGGTACCTTTTTTCCCCCCTCTATCATTGGTCACCAGAGAAAGGGACAATGGGCAGCAGTCATGTCTAGACGAGCTATGGAGAGCCAAGGTGAGTGTTCTAGCCTTAGAGATACATCTGTAGGAATGTAGCCAAATGGGGAAGTGGCCCCGCTCCACTTTTCACTGCAGAGCATCGGGTCGCATGCAGCAGACCCGGGCACTGAAGGCCGAAATTCCCCCGTGCGAACAGGTGTCGTGAACTGCCATTTCGTGTGGCAAGTCCCTTTTACAAGTCTTTTAGTCCCTACTTTTTTAGTCCTGAGTCCTCAGTCTTGAGTCGTGTATCGGGAGTCATTGGTCGTTAGTTATTAGTCCGTGGTCCTTAGTTCCTAGTGCTTATTCCTGGGCTCTAAATTCTTCGTTCTCAGCCCATCGTCAGTGCTTAAGTGCCTAGTCCGCCGATCCACAAGCGAGTCTCACACGGAAGGCCTGGGGCGCCACAGGGAGGATTTGCTCTGCAGTTCGAGATTTGGAGCCCACTTCTCTGAGTGGCTGGTGCGCTTAAGCTTGAGTGTCACTTTCGCGATCTTGAACTTCTCTGTTTCGTGTTCCACGATCGATCTGGCTCTCGACCCTGGATCCCCGGCTTTGCCTTAAGCTTCCCTTCCCGGCTCCAACTCTTGTCCAACCTTCAACCTTCAACCGTCAACTGTCCACTTTCAGCCTTCGACTTGCCTCCGCCCGACTCTCCCTTGCCCTTCACCCCGGAGTTTCGACCCTGAGATTTCATCTCCCCGAACCCTATACCAGCACTTTAATCCCCCCCCCCCTCCTTGACTTTTTCCCGGACTCCGTTCCCGACTCGTGTTCCTCGACGCGCATCTCGCATCCGCACTCCACTTTTGATTTTCTCTTTCCCTTGCGGAAGTGCCTTCTCTGGCATGTCCACCTGGAGGTGGTCGCACATGTAATCATGGCACACCCCGACCTTACATCGCATCACGTCAACTACTTAATATGGCGGTACGTTTCTCTCCCCTCTCTCTCTCTATCTCTCTCCATCCGCCTAGGTCTTCGCTAATCCCGCGCCCAGGTATCTTCAAGAAGCAGGTGAGTAGCTCGGTCCAATGCCCCGGCGCCATCCCCGGCTTCCCACTCTAACATCCGACAGGTCACGGTGAAGCCGCCGTATCACTGCAGCGCGCATGGTACCCTGACCCGCAGAGTCTGCCTTTTGCGCGTCACATTCAAACCCATGCGTTGGTATCGCTGGTCCAAAAGGGCCTGCAGTACCACGACTTGGAGTCCTCCATTGACAAGGTACGTTCGCGCGACACTCGGTGTGACCCAGCAGGCCTTCCAATCGGGGCTTCACTTCCAAGCTCTCGTCTACAGAAGAGTATCTAACACTAGGTCTCCAGGAGGGAAATATTATCACATCCAAACCATCAGACTATTTCTTCGGGCCTGAGCCTTTTGACGTAAGGGATTTGCAAAATCGCGATGAGCCTGAACCTGAGCCAGCCGTTGCGCCGGAGTCTCGCGACCGCGCGACGAATGGTCACCCGGTCGAGACCGGCAAACAGACCGGCAAGGGTGCGAATGGCGAAGAAGCAATGGAAGTCGACGAAGAAACCGAAAGTAAAGCGGGTTCACCGATCCCGGACCGCCTGGATGGCGATGGAGATGTGAGCATGGGGGCCGAAGAGGTGCCTCAGGAACCCATCCTGACAACCGGCCCCAGCGTCGGCGTCCAGATCTCCCCCGCCAAGGCCGCCGATTTGGCGCCCGACACCGCCTTGCTCCAGACCGACGATCACGTGCTCTCCACGGCCTGGCATCCCCAGGACTCGAACCTGCTCGTGGCAGCCGGCGAGACCTTCTGCAGTTTGTGGAAGCTCTCCAAGGCATCAGACCCAGTGCAGAACCGATTCCTGGATCTCAAGGGTAGCGGCGCTTATGTCTCAGCCGTCGCGTGGGACGCCATCGGCGCTAAATTGGCTGTGGCGTCCATTCGGGACTTGAAAGGAACGGTCACCATGTACAATCCCGATGGCAATGTGGTGGACCTATTGCCCGATCTTCCACGGGTGATTAGTGGATTGCATTGGGCAGAAGATGGCCCGCAACTAGCTATTGTCGCATCGGACGACCGAACCTCAGAACTGGCCCTTTGGGACGACAAGCGCCGGCCAGATGTATTCCCGCTACCCCAAATCATCGACAGCCATATTTACGATTTGGCGTGGTGTGGACGCAACCAAGCATTTGCCTGTGGCAATGGGGCTGTCTATCAATGCGATGTTGACCAAGATATCCGCCTCACCAAGACCTATCCGTCCGCCAACACCGAGGCCGGCTGGACCTTCATTCGCTGTATACAAACAGAAACTCAGTCAGTGGCAGTCACAGCCAGCCATGAGAAATTTGCCATCTGGATCCCCACACACGACATTCTCATTGAAAACGCCCACCAAGACTTCATCACAGGAATTGACATCCGTCCGCAACCACAATCACAAAAAGGGACCTCTACAATCACGATCGCCTCATATTCGACCGACGGCAATGTCAACGTGTGGCAAGTGGATCTGGAATCGAAGCAGTACAAGCGTGTCCATCGCCTGCGCCTGGGCACCTCTCTTCCTGCTCTTGCTGGCGGCTTCTCCCCGGATGGATATGCTCTGGGTGCAGTAAGCAACCATCGTCTCTTCATCTGGAACGCAGACCGTGGTGGCGAGCCTGTATCTACGTGGACTGCACCCGGCTCCGACGAAATCAAGGAAGAATCCGAGCACACAAACGGACAAAATGGACACACAGCGACGAATCCCGATTGCGCTTTGTCATGGGACTTCGATGGCAAAAAACTTGCGTACGGCTTTGGAAATCAGGTGAGTTACATCTTGAATACCAAGAAATCAAGACACATTCCTAACCCCGATCAGATGGCCATTGTGAACATGCAACGGTGACAAGCTTTGCCAGCTTCACTGCATGGAAGCATTGCTTGACGCAATGAACGCTTCCCCTGTCACCGACGAATTGGAATCTCCAGATCCTCGGCCACGGCATTGGTCTAATTGAAAACAGACCACCTACAAGCTAGGAATGAATACGGGCCTTTTCAAATGAAAGCTCGGTGTCATTCTCATAGTCTTCTGGTGACAAAAAGATCCAGTTCTCAAAGTAAATACCGTCTAATCATGGCCTTGAGCTTGATGTTGGGAATATGTCCACCGTCCACCAAGGCCGCAGACGGCTGGCATCTACAACTCCATATTCCACATCGTCTTTCCCGCCTTCCTCTACATATTTTCCCTGGACATAAATTTGTGATTTAGAAGATGCATGGCGGCATGCATTGCTTGGTATCAAGCTTGGGTACGGCGAACGGTACGGCATCCTGGCGATAGGTCTTGTTTCTTTCAACTGCGTTATGGGGTCTGTGATTATGAGCTGGATTTTCCTTTTCCTTGTGAATCTCGCAAAAAAAAATGCATGATCAATACTTCTACTGGTCCAAATTTTCACAACGTCGTAGCTTCAAAGAAGCTGGGCCGGAAGGGCTCTACTCCACAATCCAGTATCGGTATCTACATTTGCACCCCTGTCTTCTTTCTCTGTTCGGGAGATTTTCTCCAGCATGTCCGGTCTCCGTTCTCGTCTCTTGCGTCGTGCGCGTGCCCGAGATCGGAACCCCTCTTCCACGTCTCGCAGCCCACGCATCCACGCGTCAAGACCTTCCAGGATATCATCAACCTTTGTATCGGCTCCAAGATCTTCGTAGTCGCCAATTTTCTGGCCATTGGCCCATCTTTTCCGTCGCGCCTTATGCTGCGCAAGGTATCGTTGTCGTCGAAGCATTACTTGCTCCGCCTGGAGACTATCGATCCAAGTCTGGAGGCCAAGAATAGTTCCCTGAATGCCTTCCAGCTCGACGGCATCTTCGACCAGGTCTGATTTTCTATAGCCAAAACAAGCATGTTAACATAACTGAAAAATCTATATGAATTAGAAAGCCATCTAAGCGCAACTTACAATTCCACGACTTCCAGCTCCAACTCAGCCACTCTTCTTTCCAACCCGCGACACCTCTCTTCGTACAGATCACATATCTGACTCGTCTCCTTGCGACGCTCTCCCAACTGCGCATGCAGCCCTTTTACCTCGATCAACAGAGTCGACAGCTGCGCCAGCATCTCCGTCTTATTGAACCCATTCTCAATCTGTGGGCCGTTGCGATGCTGATTTGGGGCTTGTGACGAAAGACTTGATGCGCGAGATCTATCCGATCTACCGTACGAAACACCATCCGGTCGACACTTTGCTACCTCACGCGACAGCGCCGGACGCGGGTCGCGAAGGATGGTTTCAATCGCATCGAGGTGGGAGTGGATTGATTGTGCTGCTTCATCCTCGTGCTCACTCTCCGTCGATGCCGATGTCAATGCCGATGCAAGGTGTGCGAGAGCCGCCAAGCGCTCTGACAAGGATGGCACACTCAACTCGGCGGTCTCGGAGCCCGGGATCGGGGGAGCTACCGGGGCACTCTCGAACGTCGTCATGTGAGATTCATGCGTGGATTTTGGCGAGTTGGTGTGAGATGAAGCAAGGCGTTCTGTGGACGTGTCGACCATCTGGTATTGGGCTATCGATAAGCGATAACCGCCTAGCGCTTGTGTTTCTGGATATGACCTTCGCTTCACTGAAGCATGGACATTATTTGTGTCGGCTCATCGTATTTTTTGAGGGACCATAGCTCAATTTCTGTTGGACTCGTCTGATCTGCCCATATACTCAGCATCATCCATGCTTGCGGAGTTTACGGTCAACCAGCGGAAACCCGCGTCCAGAGCCCCACAGTGACTCTTTTTCCCACCGCCAAATCCCTTTGAAGTTAACTCTTCCTTTCTCTACTTTTGGTCCCGTAAAAGTAGCTCAGCATGGCAGCTTCGGTATGTATAGCTCTAGCGCTTCATACTGACTCTTCACTTGTCGGGAAATCGCTAAATCGTATTATGTGACTCAGATCGCCTGTGTCCCGTCGCTTGAGACAGCGCGCGAGGTCATCTCCAAGTCGAGAAACGCCCAATTCGCCCCGAACCTCCTGCCTGTGACTGCTTCAATCCCTGCGGACCTTTTGACGCCGACATTAGCATATCTCAAAATCGCGGAGAAGTAAGTGCCGGTCTTGGATGCCACGACCTGCGGGGCAGGCGGGGGAAATCCTGGTGGCACGGCTGATCCGGCTTATAGGTCGCGTTTGTCCTTTTTATACGAGAGTGCGGCGACTACGGAGACTATTGGAAGATACAGTTTCGTTGGCGCAGGTGCGTGATTCGGTTTTTATACAACCCTGCGTATCCTGACTCACAACCTCGTTCAGACCCTAGAAAGACCATCAAGACAGGTTCCGGTCATGGCCCCGAGACCGATCCCTTGCCTATCCTTGAGGAGGAACTCTCCCAATTCCGCGTTGCTACAGTCCCGGGACTGATCCTCCCCTCCGCTGACTGCCGGGGCCATCGGATACGTTGGCTACGACTGTGTCCGATACTTCGAGCCCAAGACCGCACGGCCCGTCAAGGATGTTTTGGGTGTGCCAGAGTCCATGTTCATGCTCTTCGACACCATTGTTGCCTTTGACCACTTCTTCCAGGTCGTCAAGGTCATCACCTATGTCCCGATCCCGGGCAACGGTGCCGATATCGAAGCCGAATACCAGAAGGGTCAGCAGATTATTCAGAAGACGATCGATACACTCCTTCAGGACCGCACACCACTGCCTCCTCAAGGTCCTATCATCCAGAACCAGGAGTACACCTCAAACATCGGTCAGGAGGGTTACGAGAATCATGTCAAGAAGCTGAAGGAGCACATTGGCAAGGGCGATATCTTCCAAACCGTCCCTTCACAACGGCTGTCTCGGCCCACTTCTCTCCACCCGTACAATCTCTTTCGCCACCTTCGCACCGTCAACCCTTCCCCTTATCTGTTTTATATCGATTGCGAAGACTTCCAGCTCGTGGGCGCCAGTCCCGAGCTCCTCGTAAAGGAAGAGCGGGGCCGCATCATCACCCACCCTATCGCTGGAACAGTGAAGCGTGGTAAGACCCTGGAAGAGGATACAGCGCTTGCCGACGAGCTCCGCAGCAGTCTCAAGGATCGCGCCGAGCACGTCATGCTGGTCGACCTGGCCCGTAACGACGTGAACCGTGTTTGTGACCCGATCACCACGCAAGTCGACCGGTTGATGGTTGTGGAGAAGTTCTCACACGTGCAGCACCTTGTCTCACAAGTTTCTGGTGTTCTTCGACCGGGTAAGACACGCTTCGACGCCTTCCGATCCATCTTCCCCGCCGGTACCGTCTCCGGCGCTCCCAAGATTCGCGCGATGCAGCTTATCGCTGAGCTTGAGGGTGAGAAGCGTGGTGTCTATGCTGGTGCCGTCGGGTACTTTGGGTACAACATTGCCAACGGCGATGGATCAAGCGAGGAGCCCGGTGCCATGGATACATGCATTGCGCTGCGGACGATGCTAGTCAAGGACGGCGTTGCCTACCTGCAGGCTGGTGGCGGTATTGTCTTTGACTCGGACCCTTACGACGAGTATATGGAGACGATTAACAAGCTCGGCGCAAACATTGCCTGTATCCGTGGAGCGGAGGCAAAGTACCTAAGCCTGGAAAATGGGTCTCACTGAATTAGAAATGTATCTATGATGCTGCCTTGTGGCTAGCGATGTTGACGAATCATGTATGCTTTCATTCACAATCACCAGAATACTATTGCATAACATATACAATCCATACAACTCCCGATTCTCAGGAGATCAAAGCATCCAGTACAGCCTTGATATCCCCCGTGATCCCGGCAGCTTTACCTTCTTCCTCTAATTCCCAAGGTGCACACCCCGACGCATCCATCCCGACCCGAATCAACTTGAATCCTTCCGACTCAGAAACCAGATCCTCATTCGGCCATCTCAACACACCAGGCGTATTGAGCCCAACCCCAAGCTCCAAAATAACAACATCCACCCCTTTCATTTCCTGCAAGCCCTTAATAAATCCCTTATACTCCCTCTCCATCTCCTCAAAAGGCCCCTCATTGAAATATCCCCCACCCCGCACACAAAGCGTGACCTCCCCCTGACAGTATTTACATCTCGGAACGAAACTTTCATCCGTGAGACATTGACTCACAGGATCAATGAAAGACAACCCTCTATCCACAAAGTCCATTGCTTCGAAGACTGCATCGGGTCTACATTTCCTGAAACATTGTAAATATCTATACGAGCCTTGCGGCGTCGCCACTCTCCTGGCATCAAACCCATTCTTCACGAAGAATCCATCTGCATTCGTGGTTCGAACGAAATAGTTCTTCCGAAAGCGAGAGACTAACTGGAGCAGATTCGCATAGAGTGGTGAAGTAGGCCACGAGCGGACCATGTCAAGGTGTTTGAAGTAGTAGCCCCATTTCTGAAGATCCGAGTCCCAGTTCTTGTAACCGAAGACATCGTAGAGTTTGCGAAGCCCTTTTGAGTGAAAGGCCGGGAAGTGAGTGGTGAAGAGAGTTGGAGAAGTATAGTCTAGACCTGTAGCGGCGGAAAGACCCGCGCCGGCGGAAATAATGAGGTGTGTTGCGGAATTGAGCCAGTTTCGGGCTTTGAGGATTTGAGGGGAGAGTTGGGAGTTTGTTGGCAGATGTCGTGGTGTGGTGATTGAGAGGTTTCTGGATTGGTAGGATAGTGTTTCATCGTACAGAGTGTAGTCTTTGTCAAGAAATGTGTCGAAAATAATATCCGTTATGGTGGTTTTTGAATGTTCGGTGTACCAGGATATCACTGTGTTGACGGCGATTTGGGTAGCCAGCTCAGATGGAAATGCGAATAGACCTGTTGATATGCAACAGAATACGACGACTTTACGTCCATCTGGTAAGGGGGTTAGTGACTCCGCCGCGTTTAAACAAGAAGTATAGCATGATGCTAGCTGCTTCTTGTGGAGAGATGAAGGGTTCTCTCCGGAATTCAATTGCGGTCCCACGGTGTGCAGCACCCATGATGCTGGGAGGAGGAATCCCGGGGTTACTTTTGCTGAGCCAGTTGGCTCATCACAACCTTGAGATTGCATGAGAGAGTAGCATGCATCTCGAAGACGAGGGCCTGCAGCAGTGTGGATGACATTATCGATGCAGCGATGTTCAGGGCGGAAACAGCCTAGAAGTTGACTATTCGCTGCATTGACAATCGCAGAGACATCTGTCAGCGCTGTGATGTCGCCTTTCCAGCAGGATAGATTGACACAGCTGGATTCAGGCCCGTTCTCCAAAGTGGCCCGGGGGGTGATAGATTTGGTGGAGGTGAAAATCTGATGGCTGTTTCGATATGCAATGACTATATCGATATCAGCTTGGATTTCGCTTGGGATTCCAGGTGATACTGGCCGCTGGCAGAGTAGCCGGCGTAGATATTCCAATTGCGACCAGGTGTCTGACTCGAAGATCCATTCACGGTCGTGATGATGTTTGCAATGGCATGCCGTATGCTCCGTGCCTTGTTCGTTGAGAAGGTAACGAAGAACTACTTCAAGTCGAGAGGAGTAAGTCGAATCCATCGTGTCGGGCGGTGAAGGACGATCTTTCTTGGGCTGTAGAATATCTACTTGGTGCATAATGGACCGGCGCATCTATATATGGCAAGCCGAAACAAGAGTGCAAACATTGACTCCATTCAGGTTCGCGTAAGTGGTTGGCCGAGAGGCTGTTTGCATGTTTGCATTCAAGTCAAACCGATATCGGTGGCCAATGAGGAGCGCAGAATAGTGTTTGGTCTGTTTGGCTCTGGGCAATCGAAGTATATAGACGCGATCCCATCCGGGATGGATTGAGACAACTGCCCTTCAAAATATCAATTGATCAAATAGCCTCATGGCAATGATTCCACATCCAGTCGTGGCCGTTGCCGGAGCCACTGGCCATTTGGGTCGGCGTGTTGCATCCGCTTTTCTTTCCTCGCTGTTTCATGGCCAGTTTTCCGAGGTCATCCTCTTATCACGGCAAGACTCTTCTCTATCCTCAATTCCAGATATGGCAAGCAAGTATACCATCCGCAAGTACGATGAGAACAACCTTGTGGATGCTCTACGAGGCGTCCAAATTCTTGTCAATACGGTCGGCCCATCGGGACATTCGTTCAAAGAGAAGCTCGTTCAGGCACTTCCGCATACAGACGTGCAAGTCTACTTCCCTTCTGAATTTGGCGTCGACCACTACTGCCATGACTTCCCGCACTTGGAATGGGACCAGAAAAAGAAGCATCTAGCTCTAGCTCAACAACTGGTTCCAAACATGAAGATCTGTCGGGTGTTCTGTGGCCTCTTCTTAGAAGACAGCATAGGGCCGTGGTTTGGGTTCGACACCAAGAACGGAAAATATGAAAGCGTGGGAAGCCGTTACTCCCCGATATCTTTCACCTCGCTTGATGATGTGGGGAAAACGGTTGCTTCCTTGGCCGCTCTTCCCCAAGAGAAGATTCCAGATACCATTCATGTGGCCGGTGACACTGGATCTTTTGCCGAGATCGCCAATATCATGCAACAGGCTGGAGCTGGGCCTATCCAGGTGACGGAAATCCCCCTTCAGACTTACAAGAAGGAAGTTACGGCCACATCCTCGTGGGATCCCGCCCAGTATCTAAGATTTTTGATGGGCGAGGGCAAGATCAATCATACTGCGGACGGGATGGGCAACGATAATGAGTTCTTGAATCCCGATCAGCTGTGGAAATGGACCAGCCTGGTTGATTTGGCTTCCAAATCTGGTGGTCAGCCTTGGAAAGACTACTCCTGGCCCCCAGAACAATAGAAGTCCGACTGAGAGACGGGAAGGTATATGCGATCGGGGGAAGGCGCCCGGACGTGTCCATTAGTCCTCGGCTGCTTCTTTTCACATTGAGTGCTTGTTTATGTACCTAAATAAGTAATTTGCCTTGTCTCAATTGCATATTTCAGGATACACTTGATCTTCTTCGCGCTCATACTTCTTATGATGGCTATCAACAGAAAGCAGCTGACTGTAGGAATTTCCTTTTGCATCATCTACCTGTTTCTGTTACTCATTTCTCGCTCTCACTCCATACGCGATCCTGGATCCTTCTTCTTCAAGCCAGAAGTGGGCTACAGACCTCGATACAGTCTCAAAAGGGTTGAAGAAGCTCTGCGGCATGTTTCCGACCATAGCATCTCTACAAGTCCTCTGCAACCGATCGGCAGCCCAGCCAAGACAGCCCGGCAGGTTGAGATTTGCATTGGAGTCATTACCGCGAAGCGACCATTTCAGCAGAACCTCGACACCACCTTGGGGTCCATCCTAGATAACTTGTCTGAAGATCAGAGATCCACTATCTCTCTTCACGTCCTGTTTGCGCAGACGAATCCCGCTGATCATCCCGACTACACTCAGCCGTGGCTGTCGAGCCTCGCCGACAGTGTCCTCACTTACGAGCAGCTCGAGGCGCCCATGTCATCTATCACACGGTTGGAAAGAAACAAAGATGTTCTCCGGAAATCGCTCTTTGACTACCGTCTCCCGCTCAAGTTGTGTTACGAGAAGACAGAAGCCCCATGGATCGTTATACTCGAGGATGATATCCTCGCGCAGCGGGACTGGTACGAACACACGATGAAGAGCCTTCAAAAGATTGTTGCATGGAGACAACAAGGCCTGATCGGAGACTGGCTCTACCTTCGCCTCTTCTACACCGAGAAGTTTCTCGGATGGAACTCTGAAGAATGGCTGAAGTATCTGACCTGCAGTATACTCGCACTGATAGTGGTCGCCGGCTCACTTCATCTTGGACGAAGAAGATACCGACCAATGCGAGAGCTTGCAACCTGGCCTTTCTCGATCGTCATCTGCTTTGTCTTTCTGCCACTATCGATTGGCCTGTATTTTATGAGCGGGCGTGTGACAATGCGACCTTTGAAAGCCGGCATCCATATCATGAATCGATATGGCTGCTGTACCCAGGCAATGGTTTTCCCCCGAGATAAAGCACCGCTATTGGTAGACCACTTTCGCCTCATGGGACGTGAAAGAATCTCTATGGCTGTCGACACGGCCCTTGAAAAGTTTGCCGACGAGAACCGCCTGGATCGTCTTGCCATTGTACCCTCTCAAATGCAGCATGTTGGTGCTGCTTCATACAAGGGAAATCCCAAGGAGGAGGATTGGAGCAAGCTTTATCGTGTCCGCGGTGCAGATGGAATTTGGAGTCTGAGTTTCGAAGAGGCGTATGGAAATTGAAGTCATACATGAGAGGACTAAAACATAGGGTATTATTAGACACTGTCAGGGTGCATAGGTACAACCATGCTGATTACGCTACACAATTGGATCTTCAATGACCTTCCCCCTTCATGTAAATTGGCCTTGGAGATAATCAGTGATGTGTGAACTTTCTACATAGGGGTATCGTCTGTAAGTGATCCTACTAGATGTATATTAAGCTAGACTAGTTTCGAGAGGCATCTTGGAAAAGAGGTCTACAAAGAGATATGAGATGAGATGAAGAATCAGGTGTATAAACCCCTCCATATTCACTTTGGACCGGGCTATATTGTGCTCTTTACAGTCGGGTCAAGACGATAATCAAATTGGTTCCGTACGGCAGCGCACCAATGCCACTGCCACTGCCACTGCGGGGCTGGGGCAGCTAATCCACATGGGGATGCAGCAGCGAACGACATACGCCAACAAGAACACACGATGAACAGACCAGATCCGGCGCTGCAGGGATTCCTGCAGCCGCTCAAGATCGATAATGATACGCTTTATCGCCTGTCCTATCGCCTGTCCCATACATATCGCGAGCTGGCTGCGGGGTCCTCGGATCAGTTCTTCCCTACGGCCACCACTCGTCTGCCTACCGGGCATGAGAAGGGTCGTTATCTCGCAGTCTACTTGGGGCTGTACTACCTCCGAATTGCGTTCATCGATCTCCTAGGCGAAGAGCAGATGGGAAAGCCGTCCCATGTCCGGCGAACACTCGAAAAAGCATGGCCAATTGAGGACCGTCTGCGACGAGACCAGGCGAATTCACTTTTCTCTTGGATTGGAGATTGTATTGCTGAAGTCATTCACGATGACCTTGCCAACTCGAAAGAGGATGCACCTTCAGAGGTGGCGATGGGCATTTCCTTCTGCTTCCCGATCAAGTAATCAGTTATCCCAACTACTTGATCGAACCTGAGGACTAATGGATCACAGACAAAAATTCATGAATGAGGCCATCCTCATGCCCACTGGCAAAGGCTTTGCTCTAGGTTCGTCGCTTAACCTCCATCAGGCCCTGCTCGATGGCTACGAATGTCATACGCGGCGGTCGGATGAGGACCCTGCCGAAGTGCCAGCCAAGCGACAGAAGCAATACTGTTTACCAAAATTGAAAATTAACGTCATGACTAACGACACAATTTCCACGTTCGCTTCGCTGGCCTATTCCATCCGTGCACTACCCAACACTCGCGTGGTCATGGGCCTCATTGTAGGCGCAGGCTGCAATTCCGCTGTACCCATGAAACTTTCCGATCTACAAGAGTCCAAGATCCAACATATTCGCGAAAAAGATCCCGATGCAGTTGAGTCAATTGTCTCAACAGAGTGGACCCTTCGCGGCGCGACAGCCCCTCTGCAAGAACTAAGCATCATGACGAAGTGGGACAATGCTTTGGAGGCGAAATCTAATCGCCCCGGATTCCAGCCACTCGAGTATATGGTCGGAGGTCGCTACATTGGCGAGCTTGTCCGGATTATCTGCTATGACTGGTTCAACGGGATGAAGAAAGTGTCACGATCGTCATTACCCTTGAAATTGGTCGAGGAATACACTTTGACAACAGACTTCCTCTCGTTCGTGGTAGCTCCGAGCTATTCAGACGAGAGACTGGCGAAGGAGCTGGACGAACAGCTTCCGGCCCCAGCTGGGAGTGACTGGAAGTGGACACCCGAATATGCAGGACATTTTCGATGCGTCGCCGCGGCCGTGCAGGACCGGTCCGCTGCTTTAATTGCTGCCGCAACTGTTGGTCTTCTCGCTTGTACGCGAGAAATCAAGCTGCAAAACACCGAACTCTTGAACTCAAATACACCCATCGCCCAAACACTCACGGAGCCGACTCCAGAACGCAAAATGCCAGAATTCGGATCAACGAAGCCAGGCTGGCAGAAGGGACCCGAAGAATTGGTCGTCGCGGTCTCTGGCGGAGTCATTACGCATTACCCACATTATAAGGAGACGATCCAGCGATTCATCGACCGACTCATCATTAGCGCTGGAACGCAGAGTGAAGGGAAGAGTATTTTCCTCCGAGAGGCCACCGACGGAGGCATTATTGGCGTCGGCGTCTTGGCGGGGACTGTTGCTGGAAGCATCGAAGGTATCATTGGATCTACGCTAGAGGAAGAGCGAAAGTCCGATGAGAACCATCGAGAGTCGGTGATTCCATCGTAGACCGAGGAAAAGGAAAACATGCATCTATAGAACGGCATGGAAAGAACACCGAACCAAAAAAAAAATATCAAAACCTTTTGCAAAGATCATTTTAATACTATCGTACAAACAATTCTAGGCCGCGGTTCCAAATGGCCTGAGTGCTATCTCGGTATCATCAATGTCCTGCGGACAATATGCAGGATTGTGCGCCTTCATCAACAAACGTATCACGTTGGATCGAGACAATGCAGAAAGGCAGGTCGAGAATGTTCAATTGACTTCTCGTCGCAGCCCATTCCCAACTATCATGTCATCACCTCCCGCGCCGAGATCGTGAACCAATATAGGTATTCCGCGACCCTATTGCTGCAAAGCCTGCCATTGCTCGGGGGTATAGCACTTGGGGGGTCCACGCATGAATAGCGGCAATCTCAGCCTTAAGCACGGAGTTCACAAGACGATGACGCGCAAGCATAGTCTTGCTCTCGAATTGGGGAGAAACGATCACAGCCTGGAATGCCTGACCACAACCGCCTATAGATGCTCGTTAACCGAGGTCTGCGTCAAGCGATGTGGGTCGCCTCAAAACATACCAGACAAATCCTCAATCTCCACATGCTGAGCCTGCAGCTGCTCCACCAGCTTGTTCTTCAGCGAGTCCGCAGTGACGCCGGAGGTATCGGCCATTGCGGCGTCGACGGCGGCGAAGGAGCGTGCGGAGAACGAGAAGAAGGCGCGGGGGGCAGTCGGGCGGAGGAGATAGCGGCAGCCTCTGCTCAAGACAGTGAAGGAGTATGTGCGAGGAAACATGAAGAGAAATTAATTGATTGAGAATGTAGGTACCCCCGAGAGATCGCGATTGAAGTTCGTATTACAAATTGCGCCCCCCGATCGGCTGTGGCTGGTGTAGCACGTGAAGTGGCGTTGGGGGTTTCTTTAGCGTCACGTCCCACTTTCCAGTATCTTATTTACTTTTATCCCTTCATGAATTGCCTGCGTACGACTGCACGGCGTTATTCTGCTATGGCTTGCACTTCTTCTTGTTCGCCTTTCACAAGAGCCGTTGTGAGCTCGATGAGAAAGCTGTATGTGGTGAGGAGGGGAGCTTCCTGCGATAATCTTGAAGCTGGAGTTTAACTGGAAGCTAGGTATCCGGAGGCATTGGCTGATAAGAGCTTTGATAACACTGGATGTGAGCTTCTCTCTTCTGAATTGAAACCATACCTAGTCAGACTTCAGTGCTAATGACTCTATCACAGTGCTTCTTGAAGCTCCCTTGGATCCCTCACGACGACAGAAGAACTCGGTCCTACTGGCCATTGATCTTACTACAGCTGTCGCAGATGAAGCGATCAAGCGTCGAGACTCAGTCATCGTGGCCTACCGTAAGTCCAATTTTCTCCCATCCCGAAATTGATCCCAGCGTTCAACATCTAAATCAATCACAGATCCCATCATCTTCCGCGGACTCAAGTCCATCACACTCGAAGACACGCAGCAGCGCTCTCTTCTCCGTCTCGCGCAACACGGAATTAGCGTCTACTCACCGCACACCGCAGTTGACACCGTTCCTGGCGGAATGGCCGACTGGCTCTGCGACGTAGTAACCGGCGTCTACGGCGAGACCAAGCCATCCCAGATCGCAACATGCAAATCATCAAATTACTCCGCACCCACCTACCCACGCCCAGAGTTCGCAACATCCGCCACGCAGACCTCGATCCCCCATACCCGCACCACCATCCACCCCTCACCCTCCGCTTCTATCCCCGAGGGCTTCGAGGACGCCGGTGCGGGTCGCCTAGTTACATTCAACTCTGCCCAGCCTTTAACCAAGCTGATCGACTTCATCGGCCAAGGTGTCGGGCTACCCGGTGGAATCCCAATTGCCATTCCCCAGTCCAAGACCGTAGACGAGATCCAGATCCGCACGGTAGGCATGTGCCCGGGCTCTGGCTCGGGCGTCCTCATGCGCGGCGAACTTCCCGATCTTCTATTCACGGGCGAAATGAGCCATCATGAAGCATTGGCTGCTACGGAGCGTGGGTCTGTGGTTATTTCACTTGCGCACTCGAACTCCGAGCGCGGATATCTGCATGCCGTCATGCGGAATAAGTTGCTGCAGGATTTGTCGCAGCGGTGGCATGCTGAGAGGGAAGCTGCTCTTCAAGGTGCCTCGGAGGAGAACTCTGAGGTTTATCGGGATGCTGAGGTCTCGGTCTCGGTTAGTGAGGCTGATCGGGATCCGTATGGAATTATGATTCGTCATTGAATCATTTGAAGATATATAATTTTTAGCCCTGATATGCAATGTTGAAATAGAAGGGAACTCGAAAAATGGATCTTTCTAGTAGTAACGGTCAATTGTTGTCGGGCAAAGAACATCCCGCTCGTTTACAAGGGAAAATGTCTCGTGGCAAGTATACAATATATCAATCATAAATCAAAACTTACAGATCTATACCCGACAACTACCCAGCTCAAGCTGAAGAAGAAAATTCCTACTAGAGCATCTAGGTTTGAAAAAAGAGTTTGCGACCAGTAGAGAAGTGAGAAGGATATCCTAGTGACGAACGAAGGAGACAAAAGAGAAGCATTTGAGATAGGAAGAGAGAGGGAGACATAAGAAGAGACGAAGTGAGAAATTGGTTGAAGTCCGGAGAAAGGAGGCGTGGACGAGGACAAAAAGCCTACAAAACAGGACCTGACTGATGCATTGCCTTGGGGCATCCATTGGGAGGCGAAGTAGAAGGGCGAAGGCCTGGAAGGCGGAACAGGAATGAGCAAGGAAATATTGGAGCAGAAGGAAAGAGATTGAGGTAAGTGCAAACAGGCCATGTTAGAGGTCTAAACGAGGATGGATCCCGAACCAAGTCGATATGGTTACAGGTCAATCAAGCTGCCTCCATGCTGCTGCTGTTGCTGGCCTCCCCAGGGGTTTGATGCTGGTCGTTGCTGGACAAAGCCGGTCTGCTGGGGCATACCAGTATACTGCTGACCGAAGAAAGGGTTGGCGCCGGTCTGGCTGGCATGCAGACGATCCAGACCTTGGCCGGCAGAGTTGACGAACGTGCCGGGTGCAGTGTGCTGCGCAGGGATGCGGAGATCGCCGACATTTCCGAAGGTATCCTGCCCCTCGCCCGAGGCAAGAAGTGCGTTCAAACGAGCATGGTGCGGGTCTGAGGCCACGGGAGGGGTGCTCCTCGGAGGCTGAGGAGCTTGGAAGTTGGCGATTGGGTTGGGCTGGGTAGGCTGTTGGGAAAAGGCCTGATTCTGGTTGCCGAATTGGTTATTTTGGCTGTATTGGTTGCTGAACTGGTTCGTGGTGCGGTCCTCTGCCAGTGTGTTAAGAGAGGGAGGTCCTTGTGACTGAGGCTGGAACTGAGGCTGAGTCTTCTGAGCGAAGGGGTTATTCGAGCCCGTGGGCATGGGTTTGAGTGCCTCTGCTGGCTGGTTCGAGGACCAAGGGTTGTTACTTCCAGCAGACAAGTAATTCTCCTGAGACTGCTGCTGTTGCTGCTGTTGAGGGAAGCCATCCGGCGGTCCATAGGGGTTGTTGGTGTTGAACGCGGTATGCTGGGGTTGGAGAGTAGCTTGAGGCTGCAAGAAGTTGTTCTGGGGCTGTCCGTAGGAGTGCTGATCGTAAGCGGAGGGCTGTTGGTATCCATTTGCATAAGGGTTGCCAGTAACTTGAGGCTGGAATCCGGTGGCTTGCGCATATTGGTTATTCAAGAAGCCGGTCGTCAACGGTTGCTGGACATTGATCGGGTTGCCGAACCAGTCTACGGCACCCTGTTGCTGGTAGCCCTGGTTGAACCCAGTCGGCTGAACCTGGGCTGGGGTGTCATCGAAGAGCGAGTGAGCGTTGCTCTCCTCCAATTCCCGCTTCCGCAGTTCTTCCTCTTCTCTGCTAAGCTTGATAGCTTTGGCCAGGGCCTCGTCATCCTCGCCGGCAGCGCTCTCCTTAGCCCGTCGTCTACGCTCATCTTCGGCTTCAGCCTTGCTAGCTTCAATCGCTAGCCGGTATTCGGTATCGTCCTCGTCTTGGTTTGGTCGTCGTCGCTCACGGCGGGGAGCCTCCGCTTGGCTTCCATAGCCGTCGTCGAGTCCACTGACACGGGTCTTCCAAAGTTTGCGGTCCGATCGTTCACTGCGCAGACGGTCCTCATCCAGAATGAGTGCGGTCAGTTCCTTTGCGGCGACACGAACTGCCAGGAATATTAGCAACAGATATGGCATACGACTTCGGGAATCACCTACCGTTTTGTCCGACGTCGCGACTTTCCTCATCAACATATTGGAACTCGCGTAGCGTCTTAATTATGTAGACGTTCTTGCGCGCCCAAGTCACTACCAGCTCGGAACCTTCGTGAAGACAGTAATCAAGGACCTTGAGCGATTTCAAGACGTGGCGCCAGTTCTTTCCCTTATCGTTGAGACGTTTGTCGATCATATCCATGATCTCGTAGAACTCGTTCGGGCTAGGCGGAAGCGAAACGTCAGCCTTGCTACTTTTGTAGGATACAGCAACTAACTTACCTCCCGAATGTCATGGCGGCGATCTCGGACATATCAGTGCCCGTCGGGCCCCAGGGGTCATTGCTCGTAGCTGTGTGGCGAAGACAGTTAGCATGTTGCGGCCACTCCAGGACATACAGTCATTTAACCACGCTGTCCAGGCAAGGAAGTTTAGCAAGGAGAGACGACGATGCCGGGGTCGCGATGTTTCCCCGTGATCCCCAGACTAAAGAGCCAATCCGAAGCACAATTTCACAGCCGCTAACATTGGCGACACGTACCATTTCGAACCTTGACCTGCACTGAGGAATAGCCCTTTGTAACGTTCTTGACGCTGCGCACGACTTTAGACATGTTGCCGGTGTTGACGCGACTATCGTACTAGTTGAAGAAGGCGAAAGGGTCGCAGTCGAAGCGATCAGACGAGTCGGGGAAATGTAGCCGGCTTGGTTGCCAAGCTCTCACAGCCTACTCAGCGTTGTTCCGGATGGCGGCCCAAAAGCGGTTGTCGGGCGAAATTGATGGGCGACCCTGCACCTGTTCGGATAGATCGAGGGACCAGCCACTTCAAGAGTAATCAAAGTGGAAATTGTTTTTGGAGTATGGGGAGAAGGGGAAGTTGAATGTCGAGAGAGGGGACTCTGTGGCTGGAACGGGGGCACAGCCTTGGCAATGACGAAGCAGCCGTCAAAGCTTGGATTGCGCTCTACACTGTACTTTCTCTAGGCTCTTTCCAAAGTAGGTGCATAATGTTGGAACTATGACTTGTTTTTTTCTTTCACATCTGGCATTATTGAAGACGGTGAACCTTGGTCGAAGACACTGGCCACGAGGACAGTGACTAGCGTTGTATGAGTTGCCGCGTATCCGGTGTCGGAAAGTGATAGGAATTCCTGAGCCTTTGTCTCCATAAGTATGTACCCTTTGGGGGAATGCTATCATTCTCAATGTCTAAACTAAATGCCTCGCTACGGTAGACTGAGGAAGAAAGGATATCAGCCCTCTCGATGTGAAGTGGGGATCTGCAGGGTTCAGTACTTGGGGTCCAGAGAAAGCCCGAGGACCGTTGCGGACACGTTCTATCACCGCCACAGATGTGGCAAGGGGCCGCGTCAGTAGGCAGCCGCCAATGAATGTGTGCATGATCGGATTAAAGGTTCCAATGCTTGTCTACTCGGGTAGGTGTGGGACATAATTGTGGTTTCCCTAGATGCCAAGGTGGACTCCAATATGAATTGTCTTGCTTAGTTCTATGTATCTGGCCCAGAGGACAGATCTGTCAGGGCTTGAGGCCCAGTGTTCCTATCTTGACCAGATCTCGTGCCGATCTATCGCTCTTGGTATTTGACCATGCGCGATGCTCTGTATTTGCGTAAAACTCACTTTAACCGAGCACCTTCTCGGCAGCAGAGACTAAATTGCCTCGCGTTAGTGATCACCTTCCAATCACGTCGGAGAGCAAACCTACCGTTGAGACCGATGTTGTCGGGTTCTACGAAAGCCTGCTTCACCTTTCCATTCTCTACCAGCAGAGCGTAACGCTTGCTGCGGTCATTGCCGAAGATGGCGCTGCTGTCGAAGCTCAAGTCCAAGGCCTTGGTGAACTCGCCGGAGGGGTCACCCAGGAAGCGGACCTACAATCACACATCAGACCATGATTTGTCCACTCACGAACATAGAATCACTTACACCGCTCTTGCCAGTGGGGTCGAGGAGGCAGCCCAGGCCTTGGTGCTGTAGAAATTAGCGTTTCATTCGCAGAGGAAATCATTGATGCGTGCCGGTATCCTTACACGAAGGGGTCGTTCACGGCAACCACAAAGACCTGACCGGCCTCCTTGAGCTTGGGGTGGTTGATGTAGCCCGGAATGTGCGAAGAGGAGCAGGCAGGGCCTGTGGATGGTCAACTTTCTACCCTTGTTGTATTTGCTCCGATTCACGTACTGAAAGCCGCGGGGACACCGATGATGACACCCTTGCCCTTCAGCTCATTGGCGAGGTTGACTTTGTTGCCGGGGGGAGTTCTCGACGAGGTCCAAGCTGGGAATGGGGTCGCCCTTCTGGACGAAAGCGGGCGCGGTGCTGTGGAAGAGGGCAGCCTGGGGGCGCGCGCGGGGGAGGTTGGTGACGAGACGACGGGCAGCAAACATTGTGATGTTTTGATGGAAATCTGAGGCGATGTTGAAAGGAGGGTGGGACGGGAGAGGTGGACAAGTTGTGATGGAGCTCGCGGGGATTTCGTCATGGCTCCAGGGCTGGGCTCGGGACATAGCCGTCCATTCTTCACAGACACAGGGCCCGGGTGTTTATTTTCGCTACTGAGCTAAATGCTTTAAATCTAAACGAAAATGTACGCATGCTTGTGCCGTCTTTGTGGAACCTGAAGCCTCATGCCAAGGCGTCATGGTGGCGGCAGCTCTTAGTATAGCTCGTAAGTCAAGCAACCCAAGGTGGAGGGCAACGTAGCTACACCCTCAGGTACCTGTCTGCCCTGCTGGCGCAATCGGTAGCGCGCAGAACTTCTATATGTCATTCTGAGGCTGCGAGTTCGATCCTCGCGTGGGGCTTGTTTTTTTTTTGCCCGTTGCATCGCCTGCTATAGGTGATGTGACAAGGTCATCTGTGTAAGGGTACTTAGATTCCTGGACAACCAAAACAATATCAATGAACTCTGTACTAGATCATACCATGCCATAAATAGAATGGTCATAATGAAATCAAAGATTAATCTAAAAGTGTCCACTGCCAACTCAGCAGTTCATCAGCACGAACGCGTGTGAGAACCAAAGACAATGAGCCAGTGGACGCGGTTTCCAATGGTCTCAAAAGGCCCCGGTGGAGTTCTCGGTTCGCGGACTTGTCTCAACGGTCTTCTTGGCACCTGCATTTTCTTCTTGATTTTGATTTTTTTTGTGATAAATCGTAGTTGAGGGGTGCTAGGTAATAGGGTAGAGAGATGCAGGCACCCCCTTCCATCTCGTGCGCACTGACAATTGTGCTGCGTGCCTTCGAGGGGAAGTTGTTGGCTGCTCACGGTCTCGACGGAGATGTACCGAAAGTTTAGAACGAACGTGCTCGAGATGGCGGAAAAATGTCAAACCCCTGTCGATAGGAGGCAGGTATAGGAAGGGTGTAGAAATAGAAACAACGGAACTCCTTGCATCATTCCTAACGACCTTATTGTCCAGGGTGGAACAGGAATCCAGGCTCAGCGAGTACCGCGATGTACCGCGCAGTACCTGCGCAGTAACTTTGGTACTTGGCTCTACCGCCTCCCCGTTGACAATTCCCTTTCCTCTTCCCCATCCCACCTCTTCGATCGGCCTGGTATTTCCGTTTTTCCTGTTGTTCCTTCTGGTGGGCGATCTAGATCCAAAAGACTTGGATTCTCCCGCCCCGGGTCCAGCCTGCTCGTTCGACCGGTCGCGACCCGTCTAGCCCGGCATGGAGGGTGGCCAGGCCTCCTCGAATCCCCCCGCTGGGAACTCCAGCGATTTTGTGAGTCGAGTCGATCTTTGACTTCTCGAGGTTGTATTGCTAACACCATGCCTGAGGTACGCAAATTGTACAAGTAAGTCCTCTCAACTTTTGTGTCAACGCGACTCTCTCCGTACCCCCTCTCCACCTCCCGACCGCCCTTTTCGGAATATTAACCGTCATGGTAGAATGCTGGAGGACCCCTCCTACGCGTCCATAGTCCGCTGGGGTGATGAAGGGGATAGCTTCGTGGTTCTCGAGGTAACTGCGCTCCGTGGCATTGTGCGGTCGCACCCACTTCCGCTGACTCGACGCCGTCAAATTTAGTGCGAAAAATTTACCAAGACCATACTTCCCAAACATTTCAAACACAGCAACTTTGCCAGTTTCGTACGCCAACTCAACAAATACGATTTCCATAAAGTTCGCCAAAACAATGAGGAGAATGGCCAGTCGCCGTATGGGCAGAACGTAGGGCTCCCGCATAATGCTCTCTTCAATTCTTGGCTAAGAGGACTAATCTCAATCACTCAGGCCTGGGAGTTCAAACACCCCGAGTTCCGTGCGAACAGCAAGGACTCCCTAGATAATATCCGCCGAAAAGCCCCTGCGCCTCGCAAGCAGACTCAGACCACCGACGACTCCGTGCCTACCCAACAGATCGATTTGCTCAACCAGCAGATCGTCGCGCAGCAGCAGCAAATCCAGCACCTCTCAGACCGATATGCGCAACTCACGGTGGACCACCAGCTCATGCTGCAGGAGATGATGAGAGTGCAAAAGACGGTCTTGAACCACGAGAACGTCATTCAGCAGATGATGCAACATTTGCTCTCGACAGATGCACGCCAGCGAAGAGACAGCAAGGCCGCTGTCGCCTATCAAGGACAGCCCGGCTCTACCATGAGCCCATCCCAAGTTGGTGCGGTGGATGATGGGCCGTCTTCGCCTCTTCAGCAGGCTTCAAAGCTCTTGAACGATATGAACGCAGAGGTCCAGTTCAACCTTGCCGGTGGGGACCCCAACGATACTCAGAAGGCAGGAGTTGTGCCAGCAGCTGCTCCAATGGATCCGGCAGCTCGGAATGGTGCTGTTCGTCCGGCAACCACTGTGCCTCCCAACCCAGCGCTGGTTTACCCCAAGATGGGTGGCGACATGGACCAGGTGGTCTACCCTGTGGGTGCCACCAACGGCATCGATCCTATGTATAGCGAGCATGTCAACAATGTCCCGTACCCATGCCTACCAAGACAGAGGTCGAGCCCCCAGACGCGCGCCGCCAATACCCGGACAATCGGAAGAAGAGCACTAATGTTGACCCTGGTTGGATGCGCAGCCCGCAAATCCTGCTGGTCGAGGACGATGCTACTTGTCGACAGATTGGTGGCAAATTCCTGTACTCGTTTAATTGCGTTATTGACACAGCGGTACGTGAGATTTGGGCAGTGTCTTGACACGATAAAAACTGACTTGTTGCTTAGTTTGATGGCTTGGAAGCAGTCAACAAAATGCAGGGTGGTTCCAAGTATGATTTGATCTTGATGGATATCATTATGCCGAACTTGGATGGCGTGTCAGCTTGTCATCTTATCCGCCAATTCGACCGAACTCCTATCATTGCCATGACTTCCAACATTCGAAGTGACGATATCCAACTCTACTTCCAACACGGTAAGTCTCAACCCATCTTGACCTTGCAGGACTTGACTAATAATTTCAGGCATGGATGATGTTCTTCCGAAGCCTTTCACCCGCAAAAGTCTTCTCGACATGCTTGAGAAGCACTTGGTGCATCTCAAGACCATCCAGCCAGGCATTGAGGCTCCGCCTTCTGCGGCCGCCGTGACCATGGCCCAGACATCGGCAAGCCAATCGATCAAAGAAGACAGCTCCCCCGGCCAGTCTCCGGCCGGCTCTATGAACAACTGGCAATCACCCGGGCAATTCCAGGGTATGCAGGCTGTTCCTCCGACAATGCCCGCTGTCCCGGGACAATACGTGCCAGCGACAGCTACACCGGCCGCCTATACTGTTGACCAGAACGGCGTTCAGTTCCCAGCACCCGCGGTTGCCGTCCCATCCACCGGGGGCCCAGCCCGGCCACCTCATCGGCGGCAAATGTCGGACATGGCAGGAGGCCCGGATAATCCGAACATGGCTAAACGGCAACGCATGTACCCTCAACCGCAACCAATGATGGCGGTACAAGCTGGGCGTCCCGGCTAAACTCTAACCTTACCTCCTTTCCGCCTGTCTATTACTCTACGATTCCCACTGTTCATAACGAGGTCTTCAATCGTATATTGCTTTCCATTTATGTTGACCAGATGTTTGTCTCGGTTACGGTTTTTCTACCCCTTACAGGTCATGGGCGTTCTCGCAGGCTTTTTCATCTCACGTTTGGGTGGCGAATTTCTTTTATTTGCGCGTCTGTCATCCACTCGGGACTTTGATTATACATTCCCGAGAGAGAAAGGTTGTTTCGTCAGGTACATATTTACGAACATATTTATTGAACAAGGTCGGGTACTCGCTCAATGCAGTCTCTTGGATAGAAAGGGGCCAGGCATGTAGTGAAATGATAATTTCCAAAGATGTTGTCGTCAAGTTTTTCTTTTTCTTTTCTTCGGTATGTGTTCGCGCGGGTCACGCTTCCGACAGAATACCGAGTCTCGGGAAGGGCCACCCCACACCCGCAATGCTATCGATTATGTTCGGACGAACCCGAGATCTTGCTCAGCGCGAGTCCGAGGGAGAGTCTAGACCGCGTGTCTCCCTAACAAAAAAAAATAATGGAGTCCAGGAGGGCCCAGACCTTGCGGGGAGTTCTGGACCGCCTGCGACACACGTGGATGTAGATCCTGCATAGTCATGTGACAAGTTTCTTTGTTTGTGACTTTTGTCTGAAGTGCAAACAGTGCAACAGCGTGGGAGTCATTAGAGGCTTGGCGGGGTTTTTTGTGCCTTTCTTTGATAACGAGCCTGGGACTAGCTGCTGCGCCGATTGAGCAGACCTGGTCAATCCCATTCTTGTATCCCGTTTGTTTCTCGGTACGATCCAGCCGATATTTCCCCAGCTCGCCACTGTTGTCATCTCGATAACATCAAGCTCCTCGTGTGAATTCCTACTGACGCCTTCAAGGATCTTTCAGCAATGGGTGCCAAGCAAAAGGGAAGCTCGAAGCCCAAGGGTAACCAAGCCGAAGAGGTAGAGGAGACTCTGCAGGCAGTGGTCCTGGCGGATACTTTCGAGACCAGATTCGAGCCCTTTACTCTCGACAAGCCGCGGGTATGTACCTGAAGATGAAAGTGTGTGGGGAAGTCATAGAACGATACCAGATGCTAAATGGCTCCCGTAATGATAGTGTCTTCTTCCTTTGGCCAACACCCCTCTTATTGAATATACCCTCGAATTCTTGGCCAATGCAGGTGTCGAGGAGGTATTCCTCTACGGAGGCGCTCACTCAGACAAGCTAGAGAAATCATCAAGTACGCCGGCACCATCGATGCGCTTGTCATTATTAGAAGACGCTAATTATTCTTCTAGTTCTTCGAAATGGAGAGCGCCGTCCTCCCCCTTCAAGAAACTCACCTTCCTCAAATCCACCTCTACCTCCGTTGGTGATGTTATGCGAGACTTGGACGGCAAGCACCTGATCACCGGTGACTTCATCGTCGTCAGCGGTGATGTTATCAGCAACCTGCCCATTGAAGGCGCCCTGGCCACCCATCGAGCACGCCGCGCAGCGGACAAGAACGCGATCATGACCATGGTGCTGCGCGAAGCCGGCCTCAACCACCGCACAAAGTCCTCCTCCGTTTCCCCCGTTTTCGTGATTGATCCGACCAAAGACCGCTGTCTTCACTACGAGGAGATTGACCACCATGACGAAGATGCGCCGACCCGGTTGAACATTGACACCGAGATCATCCTATCCCATTCCGAGCTGGATATCCGTCAAGATCTGATCGATTGCAGTATCGATATTTGCACACCTGACGTGCTGAGCTTGTGGTCCGACAGTTTTGATTACCAGTCACCGCGGAAACACTACCTGTTTGGTGTCTTGAAGGACTACGAGTTAAATGGAAAGACCATCCATACGCATATCATCAAAGACCACTACGCCGCGCGGGTACGTAACTTGAAGGCTTACGACGCTGTTAGCAAGGATATTATCTCGCGCTGGACTTATCCCTTGTGCCCTGATACGAACTTGCTCCCGGGCCACACCTATGATCTCCGCAAGGGTAGTTTGTACCAAGAACGGGGCGTGACTCTGGCTCGGTCATGCGTAATCGGTCGCCGCACAGTCATCGGCCAAGGCACTAGTATCGGTGATCGTACCACAGTTCACAGCACCGTCTTGGGTCGGAACTGCAAAATCGGCCGGAACGTCAAGCTGGACGGCGCATACATCTGGGACAATGTCGTGATTGGAGATAACACCGATGTCCGGGGCGCTATCATCGCCGACGATGTCGTCATCGGCAAAGGCTGCAGTGTTGCCGCCGGTGCGCTTATCTCTCACGATGTAAAGATCGCAGATGGTATGAAGATCCAGAGTGGACAGCGCATCGCTAAGGTCCGACGGGATGGAACCCCTGGTCCCACCGACACGGACATCGTCGGCCAAGGTGGCGAGGGCTACGAGTTTGTACCTGGCGAGGACGACGACGAGGAAGACGACGATGTCTCTGTCGCGTCATCAGGGCTGGTCTACCGCATGCCTGGACTTTCACTCTCATCCGCCTCAATCTCAACGCTATCCTCTGAAGTATCCGATGGCTCATGGCAACGTTCCCCACGCAGCAGTTTCTCCGACGAAGAGGAACAGGACCATTTCCACCACGACGCTTCAGCTAGTTTATTCGACGGTCTACGTGACGGCGTCTCCGCAGATGTCGTTCAACTGGAACTAGTCAGTCTTCGCATGACAGCCAACGCCTCGGACGTGCAAGTGCGACGCGCCATCGTAACCTCGTTCATGAAATACATCCAGCAGCTCATGGAAGGTGGCAAGGGCGCCGGCGAAGCCGTGCACGAGATATTCTCCAAGTACCGAGAAGTGGTGGAGCGAACGCTATTCGACCGGAACAAGGACGAAAAGAAGGACCAGGTGGATATGTTGTTGCAGTTGCAGCAGGACCTTGTGCATCGGAATAAGGGTGATACAATTCTGCTGTTCACAGCGAAGGAGTTGTATGAGTTGGAGCTTGTAGATGAGGAGGCTTATGAGCAGTGGTGGGCTGATGAGAGGTCAACTGCGAGTGAGGAGATGAAGGCTGTGAGGAGTCAGGCGCAGCAATTTGTGGATTGGCTTGCGGATGCTGAGGAGGAGAGTAGTGAAGAGGAAGATAGTGATGAGGAGGATGAGTAGGGGCCCCCCACTGGGCATGGTGTCTTGAATGAGACACCAACGCCTCTACGTCTAAAATTCAAACGCATTTGTCATCTATATATTGTTCGTGTTGGTCTTTATAATGATCCTCTGGATCTATCCACAACGTTCACTTGTTATCTGCGGAGGAGTGTCCACACATGATGAGGCATATAGGCTCGCACGATCTTGCCTCTGTTTACGTTTGAATTTTGATAGGGTTAAAAAAACCCTAAGTCAGGAAGAAGAATGAATAAAAAAACAACGATGAAGCTCAGAAATAGCAGCCGAACGGAGTAACCACTGTCCCATACCGACGGTGCGTCGGCACCAGGATTCGAACCTGGGAACCCGAAGGAATTCGGTATGCTTAACCAGTAAGCTATCACCGTTGTCGAAACCTTGCCACCAAACACGGCCTATCAACCCAGAGGTATTTTGCTCGAAACGTATAGAAGTTCATTAATAATGATGATTCTTAATTCAATATTTAGAATTTCACAGAAATCCAGTATCCATGCCACGTTCGCTCCTTTAACAAGATTCTGTCTCGAAGTAGAAATATGATTTTGTAATCGGTTCTACGTGACCGCTTAGATGCTGTATTCTGCAGGCAAACATCAGGATCGACTTCGTAATACCCAGATTTCCAGATTATCCAAAGCTATCCATGGATTTCCCCAGGAAGCTTCGGAAGAGGCCTAGCCGGGATCATTAGAGGACATAGCATATCTGACGGACAGCTCGTCTCGTACGTAGGGTGAAAATTCGTCAATTCTCTAGCTCTGCCAAACACCATCCGAGGCCCCATCCGTACGTCACTCCAGCCTGGTCAGTTCAGCCTGACACGCTGGAAATCCGTAAAAAGCTCCACAGTGAATCAACGCGTGAGTCAAAACGCCATCAGAAGATCACACTCTTCCTTGTGACCTACGATATTTCCCCACAAAGCAACTCAGCCAAACGGGCTGAGTATAGAGTGATAGAGTAGAAAAGGGATCCGCCTGATCGCAGCCCCTTCCCCACTCCACCCCTCTCTGACCGATGGTTCTCGCCCGCGCGCCATTTTCCAAGTGACGCATCCATGCCCCTTCGCCGGCAATCTGCCGCACCTTCTTTCACCACGCCTCCTTCTACACGGAAGAGAAAGGCGGCCGAGGCGGCGATTGCGGACAACCAGCCTCTCCCCAAAGCCGCCACCAAGGCTAGCCACGCCGAGAACGCCACTCCATCCGACCCGCGCTCCAAACAAGATTCTCTCACAGTCTCATCGCTCTCCCACTTCCCGGACTCCCATAGCCCCAGTCGAAAAAAGACGGATCTCGTGACCCCTGCGACGACTACGGGCAGCATGGATTCCGACGATGACTTCCTGAGCGACGTGTCGAGTTCCGGCGACTTCCTCGACAACCAGAATAGCGACGATGAGAGTCTAGGTGATGGTATGTTTCTGTTCCCTCCGTCGGTGCTATCGTCTTCTTGCTGACCTTGCTTTGCGTAATCAGATTTCGGTGATGACCTCGACACCGGCTTTTCCGATGACAAGGACCTGATAAAGCAAAAACGGAAACCCTACGAAGTCGAGTACAAAGTTCTAGACCCATTTGACATTCAACGTGAGCAGGATGTGCAAGTCGAAGATGTCTCCGCGATTCTCGGTCTTCCTCCAGAGTCGGCGGCGATCCTATTACGCTTCGGTCGGTGGAAGCAAGAGAAGCTTATCGAGGGGTACATGGAACACCCAGAAGAGACATTAGAAGAGGCAGGACTTGGGACGAATTTCGAGGGACTCGCGAAGACGGAGAAGCTGGCAGACTTCATGTGTGATATTTGTTGCGAGGAAGGTCCCGACCTTGAGACGTATGCGATGCGATGTGGCCACCGGTTCTGTGTCGACTGCTACCGACACTACTTATCGCAGAAGATCAAGGATGAAGGCGAGGCTGCACGCATCGAGTGCCCAGGTGATAGCTGTCACCGTATCGTGGATTCCAAGTCGCTTGAACTACTTTTGGCAGACAACCACGCCCTTCAGGAGCGGTATGTCTTCCCATTCTCGGCGACCAAAGGCAAGCTTACTGACAATAACTCTCTACATAGATATCGCACGCTTCTCACCCGGACGTATGTGGATGACAAAGATAATCTTCGTTGGTGCCCGGCGCCCAATTGCGAGTATGCCATCGACTGTGCAGTTAAACCACGCGATCTGCGCCGCATTGTACCCACCGTATCCTGCCTCTGCAAGCATGACTTCTGCTTCGGATGCTCCCTCAATGATCACCAGCCCACTCCTTGCGCACTGGTAAAGATGTGGCTGAAGAAATGTGAGGATGACTCTGAGACAGCAAACTGGATCTCGGCCAACACCAAGGAGTGTCCCAGGTGCGTCTCAACAATTGAGAAGAACGGCGGCTGCAACCACATGACTTGCCGCAAGTGCAAGCACGAGTTCTGCTGGATGTGCATGGGACTCTGGTCGGAGCATGGTACCAGCTGGTACAACTGCAACCGATACGAGGAAAAGTCCGGTGCAGATGCTCGCACAGCTCAAGCCAAGTCGCGCGCGTTCCTGGAGCGCTATCTGCACTACTACAACCGTTATGCAAACCACGAACAGTCAGCCAAGTTAGACAAGGATCTATATCTCAAGACTGAGAAGAAAATGACTAGCCTCCAATCACAGTCGGGGCTGTCTTGGATTGAAGTTCAGTTCCTGGACACTGCTTCACAGGCATTGCAGCAATGCCGACAGACCCTAAAGTGGACGTATGCATTTGCCTTTTATCTGGCGCGCAACAACCTCACCGAGATCTTTGAGGACAACCAGAAGGATTTAGAAATGGCTGTTGAAAGTCTCAGTGAGATGTTCGAGAAGCCAGTGCCGGAGTTGGCCAAGTTGAAAGTCGACATTCTGGATAAAACTGCCTACTGTAACAAGCGCCGAGTCATTCTATTGAGCGACACCGCAGAAAATCTGAGAAATGGTATTTCCAACATCCCAATCCTGACACACTTTGAAATATTAATCGCTTACACCAGTCGCAGGAGAATGGGCGTTCAACGTCGAATGGTGAACCCATATTTCAACCCTGTTCGGACGACTACGGATAAGATCTCACGACGTGAACGAAAACTCCCCCAACTTGTCACCGCCTGATCCTCCTCTCTTAATCTCCATTTCATGATTGGTGGACCCTTGAAGTAACTGCCTTATATGCCTCTTCAATTTCGATTGTGAAGCAACTGACACTCTGCTCTGTTTGATCTTATCGCATTTCCATTTCGAGACTGTGGCGCAGAAGGTGTTGAAATCATTTGTTGGGATTACCATGGCCAGATAGCAGTGCTCTCTCACAATCATATTCATAGCGAATTTTCTTCCTCATCGTTCATTTACCTTGGCGTTCTGTGTGTACATGGGGAACCACTTCAGGAGACGCTTCGCTCCTTGCAGAATCCAAAATATTTCCCCCTACCGCGGCTCTTTAGACCGCACTTGTACCATTTTTGCGGCTCCTGAGGGGAGCGAGTCATGTGGCCACATCTGAAAAAATTTTGGCAGCCCGTTCGACGACACGATGGGTTTAGTCTACCTGGACTAATGCTCACCCGGGCCTCGGCAGCCCAGTCCCCAAAGTCGCGTGTTCGGGCAGCCCCTTTCGTAGCGGATCTCGGATTGAAGACTGTCCAGGGTATGTGCGGGCTTTTTTTTCTTCTTTTTTTGTAGGTACCTTTCGCAGAGCCCATTCAATGGGAGGTAGACGAACGGAGAGTGTATGCAGAGTATAGGATACGAGTATTATGATCATCTTCAAGGAACTGATGTCTACAGCTTTATGGCTTTTCTACCGTTCCCGGGGCCACCGATTCTCATGAGCTAAACCCCAATCGAAGGGCAATAAATTAAAGGCTTATCAGATTGATAAAAGTTACCGGTATTGCATCCGTACCATACCCAACTTGCCTTGGTGCAGAAAGTGCAGCCGGTACAATACGTCTTACCTAAGCTCCGTCATCGGATCCCCGGGAGTCGATTGCCTTGATTAGGATGAAGATCTGGACCTCGTTTCTTGGTGATGCAACAGGAATCAGTAGAGGCGAAGAAAATAGTAACTGAAATATGATAGTTGAGGGAAAGGAGATTAGTCCAGCACTCTATAGTACTCGGAGCTAGAATCTAAGTGGCCCAGGGTCGGAGCTTGTGGAATCCGGCGAAGGTCGGCCTGGAATAATTTCCCTAGTGCCAAGTTGTTACTCGCTCTGTCCCCATCTTCTCCTTCTCCGGGTGCCCGAAAAAAAATTTGGAAGGAATCCCTTCATTTCTCTGTTGATCAACTTGCGAAAATCTCAAGTTCCTTCGCTTGTTCTTCTACCCTGTTTCGGGCGTACCTGTGCCTGTTGGCTCCCACGAACCCCCGTTTACCTCAGCACGTTCTACCTTCCCCAGCCTGTGCACCTCGGCCACGGCATCACGACATCCCCGTCGCCCCCAGCTGTCTGTCCCTCTCTTTCGAATTGCGCCCGCTGTGCCTTGAGCTAGCGGAGCTCCATGGCGGTCACCGAGCAAATCCTCGAGCAGGAATATGAGTAGGTGGCTTTCTGCGTTGGAATTTTCGTCGAGCGGGCAACGCGACTTTCCATCGATGGATGGGACACGGCGGTTCCGTTCACTTGCGGAGCGATTGAGGCATATGCGAACGTCTCATTGTCTTTTGCTGGTGCCTTCGGACGGCTCGTTCATCGTGGATATGATCTTTTCGCGTTGCTAGAGACTCCGGTGTATTGGTGCATGCTGACGCGGTGCCTTTTTCCAACAGCTACGAAGCTCTTCCTTCCAACTATGGCTTAGGCCGGAACATGCTTGCCGGTGCTTTTGCCGGGATAGCAGTAGGTTTACTGCATTGACTTGGAGGAGTGGCAGGGCTGATGGTTATTCAAGGAACACTCGGTGATGTACCCAGTCGATTTGCTGAAGGTAAGATTTTGCATCTGGATGCGATAGAAAGAAGATTGTGGATGGTTCTGGACTAACATATCCCTGCCTTCTAGACTCGCATGCAAATCATCAACCCCTCAAGTGGCGGCCTGTACACCGGTCTCACTAATGCGGTCTCCACAATCTATCGCATCGAGGGCTGGCGGACACTATGGAAGGGTGTGTCGAGTGTAATTGTTGGCGCTGGTGAGTTTCAGAACAATCTGAGGCGGGAATAATTCGAACTGATCTTGCGATAGGCCCGGCACATGCGGTGTATTTTGGAACCTACGAGATTGTGAAGGAAATGGCTGGTGGTAATGTCGATGATGGGCACCACCCTTTGGCAGCTGGTAGGTTTTTGGGTACTCGAGGCTGGAAATGAATTCATGACTAACTCGCATTGAAGCTATGAGTGGTGCCTCGGCCACGATCGCGAGTGATGCGCTGATGAACCCATTCGATGGTAAGTGGTTTATGAGACCAAAATGAGATTCAACATGAAGTTGACACCAAGAAGTCATCAAGCAGCGTATGCAGGTTCACGGCTCTGTCCACAAGAGCTTGATGCAATGCGCCAAAACCGTCTACCGCACCGAGGGTCTCCAGGCCTTCTACGTCTCCTACCCTACCACCCTCTGCATGACCGTCCCCTTCACTGCTACCCAGTTCGTTGCCTGTGAGTCCATCTCCAAGGTGATGAACCCCTCTCAGCAATATGACCCCTTGACCCACTGTATGGCCGGTGGTCTTGCTGGTGCCTTCGCGGCTGGTCTCACCACACCTCTCGATGTTGTGAAGACCCTTCTCCAGACCCGTGGTCTCGCCCAGAGCGAGGAGATTCGCTCTGCGCGTGGTCTGTTTAACGCCGCCGCCATTATCAAGCGTCGATTTGGCTGGTCTGGCTTCCTCCGAGGCATGGGTCCTCGCATCATCTCGACCATGCCGTCCACAGCCATCTGCTGGTATGTTTGGTCCCCCCAAGCTAGAGTTTCATGATTACTGATACGTTTCAGGACATCTTATGAGATGGCCAAGGCTTACTTCAAGCAACAAAGCGAAAAATAAAATCAACGCCTTGTCACGCGATCACCATTTGCTGATTTGACTACCATCTACGGATCCCGATAAATGTTCCGCTGTTCGATATACCGCATTACGTGGGTATCCACGTAGTGCCTTTTCTTTTTCTTCTCCGAGGTAATATGGACGAGGGACGGGCAGCGCCCGATCAACCCTCATGAAAGTGCATAGGCCATGAGCGGGTTTCGATCTTTCTGCATGTTTGGGACTTCTATTCACAAAAAGCGACGGCAATGTATAGTTTGGAGGGGATTGAAAATGGTGGCCGGCATGGAGATCTTGTTCTTCTCTTCTTGACGCTCTCGCCGTGTCCTGTGTCCTATATCGTTACCGGCGTTGGAACGTGGATCGGGTTTGACTTATGCGGGCCTGGGTTCTCTCTGCATCGATACATGTCTTATTTTCTATTTTTTTTCTTTGTTATTATTTCTGTATGTACCGATAGACGTGCCACCAGGAATCTAGAGATGATAATTCACAAGTACAGGGCTCAAGGTACTCTCAATAGGTATATTAGTCAAATCGAGTCTCCGCATGCAGTAATGGACCGTCGACGTCACGCGAAAAATCCCTAAAACGGGAGATCACCACTTCCATCTTTCCCCGCTCACAAACTAATGGGTGCGGGCCTGAATTATACCAATGATGCGCCCACGGCCTGCGTCTTCTATGCAGAAGACGTATGATGAGTGCTATCTCTTGTGCTCCACTGCAGTCTACTTCGAAGGTCAGGTACGTTTTATTCTCCCCGGTCGCCTTTCAATTGCTCATGACATCAGAACAACGAGGAAGAAGCATTAAGATCCTGGCGATCTGCCCTCGAGACTATTTACCATCACAATGCCCGCCGGGTCTCGTCCACCTATACTCCAAAATCCGAAACCGAGAAGGCCCTGCAGGATTCCATCCGTGCGTTGGAGATTCAATGCCGCGAGCGAGTCGATCTTCTAGCAGCACTGCGCGAGAGCCGAAAAGAGTCAGACGCCAACGGCTCTAAAGAAGGCCCTACGACGCTGACCAAGGGCAAATTCCCTACATTCACATCGAGTCCTTCCTCCAACCCTCCTGGCTGGATCGGAGACGGCACAATCCCCGCTGTCGGCTACACAGATCTCTCCAAGCCGGCTGCTATACCAGGCCGACCACATCCTCCCCCGATGGCGCGACGAGATACCGATCCTCCTGCGGTATACGACGACCCTGCACTTTCGGGTCCGTCACTTAGCGCCACACCTGCACGGCGCGTGGAATCCAACTCTTCGGGCAAAACGAAATCCCGCGGCTCCAGTCCTGAGCGACGGAAAGGAATGCTGACGACATTACGCAACGTCGACGGAAAGAAGAATGGCAAGAAAAGCAAGATCGGGTCCAAGAAGGAGTCGCGGCCGGCCGCCTCCACAGCTGCTGGTCTGGCATGGGGCAACCTCTACCGGTCTTCGTCAGCAAGCGACCGAATGGTGAGCGATGCGGCGCTGGCTTCGTCCCGGTCAACCGCTGTCCACGACCCTGGTATGCGGCGTGATCCAGAGCCAAAATCGAGTTCTAGCGAAGAGCCTGCTTCGGTACGAAGGTCTCCACAGAAGAGCCTGTCATCGGATCGAATTCCTGCTGCAAATTGGCGAGAGCCTAGTCGTTCTTCTCCAGCTCGTTCATCCCCTCGCCCTGTGGCCCAGGCACCGGTTCTGCGACCTCAGCCTTCGCCTGATAACCGCCGGGCTCCCCCGCCTGTCCCAGTGCACATGCCAGACCCTAAGGATTACACGTCCAGTTATCCACGCAGGCCATCGGTCAAGCCTAAACCTGCGGGCTTACGAACCTCCCTTCCGCCTCCACCGCGTGTGACACTGGCCAAGTCCGAAGGCAGCTCTCGACCGACAACACCGCGGCAGGATCGCGAGTCAAATGTATCGAGCAGTAAGCCGCGGACCAAGTCTGCTCCACGCACTACGAAGCCCGCGCCATCATCCTATATCTCACCATCATCCGGGAGTGATGACATTCAGCGCGGAGTTGACCGGTTGTCCGTTTCTGCCGCAAACGGCGGCGCTGTGCGGCGCAAAGCAGCTCCACCAAAACGTCGTGAAACACCGCCATCAAGTGATCAAGATTCCTCGGGGCAGCGGTCGGACAGCGAAGCCGAGGATGAGCATGAAGAGGAAGACAACCGAGATATCGTCAACATCTTGAACAAACTTCCCAAGGGCGTGGACCTACAATCAGCACGACAAATTTTGAATGATATTGTCGTGCGCGGTGATGAAGTCCACTGGGACGACATCGCTGGGTTAGATGGAGCTAAGAAGGCTCTCAAGGAAGCAGTGGTGTACCCATTCCTTCGACCCGATCTTTTCTCAGGCCTCCGGGAACCAGCACGAGGAATGTTACTCTTTGGGCCACCCGGCACAGGTAAAACCATGCTTGCGCGGGCAGTTGCCACGGAATCCAAGTCCACTTTCTTCTCCGTCTCCGCCTCCAGCCTAACCTCAAAATGGCACGGCGAGAGTGAGAAGCTTGTGCGTGCCCTTTTCGGACTTGCCAAAGTACTCGCCCCATCCATTATCTTCATCGACGAAATCGACTCTCTTCTCTCTGCACGTTCTTCTGGCTCCGAGCACGAAGCCTCGCGTCGGTCAAAGACTGAATTCCTCGTCCAGTGGTCTGATCTCCAACGCGCTGCCGCTGGCCGAGAACCCTCGGCTGAGAGAAAAAAAGGAAGGCGATGCGGGTCGGGTTCTCGTGTTGGCAGCTACGAACATGCCCTGGGATATTGACGAGGCTGCGCGCCGCCGGTTTGTTCGGAGACAGTACATTCCCCTGCCGGAGCACCATGTGCGTGAGCAGCAGATACGCAAGCTTCTCGGGCATCAGCATCAGACGCTAAGTGATGCGGACATCCAGGTCCTGGTCCATGTCACAGAAGGTACTTTCTCTCTCCCTTTCCTATCACCTGCCCTATTTTAATCATCGTGACAACAGGCTTCTCCGGCTCAGACATAACCGCACTAGCTAAAGATGCTGCGATGGGTCCACTCCGCAATCTCGGCGAAGCACTCCTCCATACCCCAATGGACCAGATCCGGCCTATCAACTTCGAAGACTTTGAAGCAAGTCTTTACTCTATCCGGCCCAGCGTGTCACAGGACGGGCTACGCAAGTATGAAGAATGGGCTAAGGAGTTCGGTGAAAGGGGTGGCTAGCGATGACGCTTGCATACCTCTTCTCTAAACCCTGTCATTGGAGTTGAGTTCGGGCGTGTTCCCGATGTTCGATGTAGGAAAATGGAATGGTCTATGGTTTTATGTTTCATGCACACTTGCTACTCGGACCGGAAGGGTCATTGTACTTTACGGAGTTGAGGAGGGTTCTTCTGCGTCTGGTGTTGAGATTGGATAGGTGTCGACTGGGATCGGCAGCATGGCATACATAGGACGTTGATTACGGACATACACACTCGTTTCATCATATTCACGATCTAAGCCTGTACTGTAAGCCGATAGCAAGTCCAACTGTTGGTCAATCTGCATGAATTTCAGTGTTGTGCTGGAGAGATTTTCACCATCAGCGGCTTCCTTTACAGACGTTGTACGCATTCTGGTTATTCCAGCCAGCTGTACTCTCGTCCAGTGTCATATCGAAACTCCAAAGCACTTGGCTGCAATTGGCCTCATTTCGGCATAGGCCAGGCTTCAGGTACACAGATATTAGCTCTGTATTCGACATCTGATGAGCGATACTGACTTTCTCCCAAGACAATTCCGAGGGCCAAGCGAGAACGCCTGCAGTGCCGTCCGACAATCCGATTCGAAGCGGCTATCTCTATTCTCCAGCCATCGCTCAGGAATGAAAGAGTCAGCCTCGGTGAACAGAGACTCGGCATGATACGTGGAATAGTGAGCCCCGGAGACAAGAAACCTACTCTGGTCAGCTCCCGCTCAACATCACCAATAACAAAGAAGAGAGAGAGAGAGAGAGAGAGAGAGTAATTACCCCTTCAGGAACAAACCGTCCATCAATCATAGCACCACCTTGAGGCACAACTCTTGGAATCGTCGCCGGAACAGGAGGATAAACCCTTAGACTCTCCTCCAGCGCAGCATTCAAATACTTCAATTGACACACCCCTAGGAAATTAATCCCATCATACCCCGAACGCCCCTCTCACCTCTTCCACAAGCTTCTTCCAAACCCTAGGATTAGACACTGAATAGAACGTAAGCCCCGAAAGCAAAGTAGCCGTCGTCTCACTCCCCGCCCCGATCAGAATGGCCGCACTCGCCTCCATCTCCATCATACTCAAGAACCGATCATCATCAGCCCGTAAAATATAGGTCATGAAATCAGGCCGATCGGTCTTAGCCTCCCCCTGCCTCCGCACTTTCTCAGACGTCATTGCGAAATGCTCATCGCGCATCCTCGCGAGCCGTCTCGGCATCAGACTTGTGACGATCGGGGCCAGGAATGGGTATACTGCGAGTGGACGCCGTAACGCAAGGACTTTCACACTCGAAAAAATCATCTCTACCCATGGATGATACTTATTATCCTTCAGACAGTCAAAGGGCTCCCCGAAGGCGAGGTTGCCGACGATATCAAAGGTGGTGAAGTTGTACCATTGCGACATATCGACTGTGTTGCGCGACGAGGCGATCTCACTGCGGAGTCGCGTAATCAGCATTATCGACATACGACTGGATCAGGGATTCCTGGTCTCGGAGGGCTTTTTCCGAGAAGGCGTGGGATAGAAGTCTTCGGATTCGGGAGTGGTCTGCATCGTTGGCGTTGAGGATACTGGGGCCCCGGGGTCCGCGGAGGTAGAATTTAGGATCTTTGAGAAAGGAGTGTGTGTTGTGTTTGCGGTGGGAGTAGATGTCTTTCCATGCTTGTGGGGAGCGGTAGACGAGGGTGTGAGGACCGACTCGAACGACGTCTCCGTATTGGTCGTGGAGCTCTTTGAGCTTGTAGTAATATTGTCCTGTTGATGTCCAGTATAAGTTTAGGAGGTCGGTGCAGGCGGCGACTTTGGGGCCTGGGTATTTCGATAGAGGGTGGATGTAGAGGTTGTAGAATATCGTCCATAGTAGATATGCCGCTAGCTGGAGATTTTTTTAGTGAGATGGTTCCGGACTCGGATAGTACACACACACATACAGCAATCGCTACTAGAGAAATTGTTGATGTCATGGTGAAGGTCTCGATAGCAGGTAACATCGGGACGATGACAGTCGGACTGTAGAGATCAAAATTTGGGGCAAATAAGAAGTAGAATTGAAAAAAAAAAAAATCCGGGCCCTTTACAAAGCTTCTTTGTCTATTCGATGGGGGTTGAAGAATCTATTTGAGAATGCAGTCATTATATCGCTATGCACTTTGAGCGTCGTCTACGTTGGCAATGTAGGATCGCGAGTGGGTGAGCCCGCATCAAGCCGGAAATGGGCACGGGGCTTATGCGTTGTGCAAGTTGCGAGACTCGGGATTGGACCTGTCTATGCGTTTTGATCTCGGGAGAGATATTGAAATGAATGACACCTGTTGTGTCTTATCAGACTATCATTCTTGATCATCTCCCTTCCTCTAATCGAGATGCTAGGTGTTGACAATCATCTATATCATCGAATTCAACCAAGGCTGGCTTGGTTGGAAGCAGTGAAGCTCTCGGTCTCGAAACCTGAACGCTTGACCCCGACGGCTTACTTTGGTGAAAACTAGTCGAGGATCTATGGATAAGGGGGCGAATGGAAGGTAAGCAGGATGCGATGATGGCCACCGAGGCTTCTACAAGACTCCAGATCAAGGCCGTGGCAATGGTGTCCAAGAGGTCCCGGTATCCATCCGAGGTACCTATCCAGTCAGCCGGGGTTCATGGAAGTGACACTAGTCGCTTACCATAGGTAAAGTACAGTATCGTGACCATCCTAGTGATGCCCACCGATGTGGACAATGAGCCCAATAGGAAGACTAGCAGAACACTGATCTTTTTAGAGAGGGTGAGCTGTAGCTTCCACACCAATGGCACGGGAAAGAAGAGAATAATCAAGTCTGTAATCACGTCGGAAATGGCATAGCCGGACCAGGATATTTCAGCCTGAATGCAGTGATGTCTGTGCGACCATGCCAGATACTGCAAACTCCGGTTTCTCACATGGCATTGAAAGGCAGATGTAATCAAAAAGGCAAGTGCTAGCAGATTGCATAGGACGATCATGCCCAGCGAGGCAATGTTAAATATCTTGCCCCGGGAGATTCTCCGGTAAGCCATGAGCACACTAATCTTGATGACTCCGAAAGTGATCTTCTCAACGATACTATATCCCAGAACAATCTAGCGCGTGATCAGTACAGTTCAATAGCAATAGCGAAGGCCATTTGACTCCGGGACAGAAAAGGTCCAGCCAAAGACCGTGATGAAATGGCCCCTGTTAGCCCGTGGCCCCCAAGACACGACGTGCAGAATAGTGTGGATAGTATGAATAGAGCTGATGGCCTGATGAAGCGTGGGGGCTGGCCATTGCCTGATTCAGGCAAGATATTCACGCTTGAAGACATTAGTTCTCGAGGGGCAAATCGCCGAAAAGACCAATGGTCATCTCGGGAATAATCAACTCCAATCTGACTGTGTTCTCAAGTGGAAGTGGAGCAAGGGTGAGAGACGCAGGATTTGCAGGATTTGCAGAAATGCAGCATTGCAGGGGCCAAAAAATGGAGATGCGGACCTTTGGCCTGGACTGGAATGTGGTCAAACTAGCAGTAGTTTCTATCTAGTCTTATAGTCTATGCATGCCCCTGCTACGTAACGAGACACTTCAAGCTCCAAATGCACGTCGCATCCCTTCTTTCCCTGGCCCTGGCCTTGGCCGTGGGCTCGGCCCAGTCCTCGGGCTGTGGCAAGAACATTCCCTCCAAGTTCCCCAGCCCTGGTTCCAGCAAGAATCTGACCTTGCCAGGAACTGACCGGGAATACCGTCTGTACATCCCAGCCTCCTATGACAAGAACCGACCGGCACCACTGTACTTTTCCTTCCATGGCGCCAGCAAGGATATGGTCGAACAGGAAGGGCTATCCCAGTTCTCCAATCCAGAATTCAACCCGGACGGCATCGCCATCTACCCTAACAGCAAGAATGGGTACTGGCTCTCGAATCCCAATGCGGATACATCCCGCCCGAATGATCTCGACTTCACCCACGACCTCCTGACACACATGGAGGAGCTGCTATGCATTGATCCAAGTCGAGTCTACTCCGCAGGCAAATCCAACGGCGGGGGCTTCACCAATGTACTGGCTTGTAATGCCACCGTCGGCAGTCGGTTTGCTGCTTTTGCCTCTGTCAGCGGAGCATACTACAACAACACCGAGACACCCGGCGTAGGACCATGTGCGCCCGCCCAACGCAAGCAAGGGTATCCATTTCTTGAATTCCACGGGACCATAGATACCACCGCTCCTATTGATGGAAACGATTCAAAGAATCCCAAGCTTCCCACGATTGACATCTTGGAAGGCTGGGCCGAGCAGAACGGATGCGGACATGACGCGATGTGGGCGAAAAATGAGACCGTGTTCACCAACCCGCTCGTCAAGCATGCAACTTGGAACTGTGGTGGGAACCCTGCTATTGTGCAGCATTACCGGGAAGGTGACAATGGTCATTGCTGGCCGAGTACTGTCCCGAATGATGATTACACGAGTCAACCTGATCAGTGTCCGCTGGGAAAGTATGTGTTCAACGCCACCGCCTATATCTTTGACTTCTTTGGTGGGTATCGCTTGGACACGCAATTGGTAGATCGGCATCATCTGTAAAACCTGTACTTGAATCAAGGCAGATCTAGATCGGAGATCGCAACCTTAAAGATGACGGCCCATGGCATCACATCGCAATTGCTATACTCACTTTGAATATAAATATCAGCAATATTGCTGCCAGTAGCACAATCATTCCAGTTACTCTCTCTACCTATACCTTTTTATTCTACGAGCTTTTGTGCTACCCCAATTTCTCAACATGTCCAACGCAGCGGAACGCCAGCCTGAGATCGTCGATGACGATTTCGAGGACCCCGCCGACCAAGGTACCTACGAAATGGCGGATTCTGATGAGCAACTTGGTATAACCCAGCCGCTAGTCATGTCGCGGGCGCAAGCTAATTCTGTTTGTTCTTAGCTCGTGATGAGGACGACGCCATTGACAAGTCCAACATCACAACCGAGGGTCTCCGCCACGCCAAGCCTCAGAGCAGCACTGGCTACAAGCAGCCCGGGGAGGATGACTTGCCTGAGGAAGTTTAGGTGGACCGGTTTCGATACCCTGATTACGTATCTGTGTATGATTAATCTTATCCGAACTTGACTATGATCCACCGTCCAAGTCGTTTGAAGAAATTATTCATCAGTAGACCTTATTCAATGACTTGTACAACTGCTATGCTCATGCCGGTTTTATTTACAGATCTTTGTAGAGCAACCAAAATCATGTGCTGTATCAGACACTTGGTTCTACCTGTACATTGGAGAGATCAACTTAATAGAACGCGAATCTCCCCAGTCGTTCGGGGGAATAGCGATCGTAGACTCCACTGCTCTTCTTTCGCATTGTCGTCTCTCGCTTCCTTCCCATCTTCCACCGTGCGTGCTGACTTGCCACTTCGACCACTGATCATACTACCACTAGTTCTCAGGGTGACCTGAGTCATGCCCCGTGCATCATCCGCGGCGATGATCATGCCCTCGACAAACTCGAAATCACGGCAAAAGGCCTCAACAGCATCTTCCGTGACGCTTTGAATGAGTGATGCACTCTGAACGCGCTTCAGATGTTCTGTGGCGTCCATGAGTGCCGATGGGAGGAAGTCGTCCAGCTGCTGACTGGACGTGACCAATGAGTCGGGCTGGAATGCCGGCAGGTTGGCTCAGGTCTGCAAGCTGGGGTTTCTGCTGTTCTGTCTTCTCTGTCTCGGCATCGGGATATCCATCCTTGCTCTTCTTGGAGAATGGCTCCAACGCGTCGAGCAGAACTTGCAAACCTGATGTTTCGAGAAGGAATTCATGTTGAATGTCGAGAAGGTTGGTGCGCAGTGTAGATAGTGCTGTAGATAGGTGGGAGTTGTGAGTTTCGCTAGCAAATGCGAATGACGAAATGGTAGCGCGGGCCGCAAGAAGGATATTTGTACGGTAGATGGTCTGTTCTGTAGCATCCTTGAGCTCATCGGATGAAGACCGCGCCAAGGTCAAGAAAGGATCAAAAGCAACGCGGAGAACCGGCGTGAATCGATTTTCGTTGTTCTCGATCGGCTCCTGTGGGTCAACCGAAGCCTCGTGTGTCTTCATGAGCGATACCAGTTCCTCCAATGCATCCAATAAGAACTCTGGAGGAGACAGGTCTCTGGGTGGGATCAAAGCATTTGGCTCGGCTGAAAGGGCGCTGATTTGGTCGCGCATCAGGCTCTCAAAGTGACCAAATGTAAAATTTTCCAGTGTTTGCATCAGATCTACCAGATGTGATTGAGCACCGACCAGTCTGGAGAACGTCGTACGATAAAAAGACAAAAGGTTTATCACTTTGTAGCAAGTGACGGGGTCGTCGTGACCTTGGATGACCAGCTCCACTCGCTGGCGGAGCGAACGAGAAACCCCCGTAAGGTCCCGGTTGACCAAATCGCTGAGTGCCTTGCGCCCATCAAAAACAGCTTCTTCCTCTTCGTCAATTCGGGCCCAGGGCTCGCTACTAAGTCCAGCTTGGATGCCCTGCACGAGTTCTTCCCCGTCGGCGACAAAGAGGGCTTCTAAAGCTTCGCGTTCAGACACAGTAGTTGAATGCACCCAGGCAAGCATGTCGCCGACATATCGGAGCGGGTCATGTGCGGAGAATTCAATAGGCTTCACACTAGGGTCACCCCCGCCGCCCCCTCCGGTGCCACCAGACATAGCATCGGTCAGTGCATAGTGGAATGCATCGGAAAGGACGTAGTCACGCGCTTCTGCAAAGAAATCCAGACAGCTATGGAACATACTCGGCCGCTCGGCCAAGACCCGCAAGGCACGGCGAATGGAGCTACTAATTCGAGGATCCTCGAGATTCAAAGACTGGAACTCCTTCTGAATCCACCGGTATAGTTTCTGATATGCGGAATTGAGGTGTCGGGTGCTCAGCTCCATAACCTCTAACCCTAGCCGTTGGTCGTCGCCGCCGAGGAGGTGCTCACAGTCGTGGTGGACTTGTTTGACGCGGGCAAGTATATCGAAGAAGCGTTCGTCAATAGGCTCTTCTGCCGATGTCAAAAATAACACGTCTTCTTCGGGCACGAGAAAGTGCTTGGAGAAGGCATCTAGCAGCCGCTGCTTCGTCTCGGTGTCCTTCTTCTGGGCCATGAGCGCGTTGGCTTCTTCTAGCACGGGTGTCGAGTCCTGCTTGGCCAAGCTGATATGCTTGCGCATCTCATCGCACGTCTGGTTCAAGGCCGTAATAACGCCGCCGATTCGTCTCAATTGCTGTTACGACCATGGCATTAGCGCCCTGGTGCTTAGATGTGGATCCGACGAGTCTCACCTCCGCCACCTTCCCAAAGTCCCGTACAATCTCCCCATTGCAATGAACTACTTCCTTTTGCACATCAAGTCGAAGTTGTCGCCGTGTCTCGGCAGAGTTGTGAATTCCTTTGACACTCAAAGTTTCGAGGGCGTCGCGAATGTCGGAGTCAGCGTAGGACGCAGAGAGAATGGAGGTCAATCGATTGGACAATGCAGAAGATCGCTGGCTGGGCGGGGAAAGCGGTGATTGCGCCGAAGGCGAGCCATGACTGGCACCGGGAGTGAAATAACTTGTCATGGTTGACGAGCAATGGCCAGTCCGGGTGGGGGAGAAAGGACAGTCCGCAACGTACAATGTGAACGGTCAAGCGTATGTAAGCAAACACCGAGTGGGGCTCTCTTATCAGCATCGACGAAACATTCAAACATTAAGGTGTCTATTTCCATCCATGCACGTCCGATTGAATGATGGACTCTTTCGATAGTGTGCTCGCCTCACCGACTAAAGCTCGCCAGGCTGCTATCCAAGCCAAAGATTGGGCGTACGTGAACTCCTGGCTGAGTCGACAATACGCGCCCAAGCCAGTACCCCCGTTCGAACGGAACGAAGATACTCTCAAAGTTCTTCTGACATTGGCAGCTGCCAATGACGCCGCCGATGAAGAAGCTCTTTTACAACATTGCGCACGCGAAGAATCTATTCAATTATTCAAGCTACAAGAAGAAGCAGCACGCAAGGACGCACATGAGCGACAGAAGAATGAGATCCTAGAGGAAGTGGAACTGAGCATGGAGCACCAAGGCAGACACGATCTGGATGATCTAGCCGAGGCAGCAGTCGTTCTGGGCAACACATTGGATCCAGATCCTGCTGATCTGGGCCAGTCTATCGTCGAGCTCACTATGGAGGACTTCGATGCACAAGAGCAAATGGCCAAGGTAGAAACGTTGCATAGGTACCTCCAAAAAGAATTATCGCGGCTACATGCGGAGCTCGAAGATCTCAAGTCTGACAAGGCTTATGAGACTCCGTCAGATATTCAAAGCTTGACTTCTGAGTGGACGCGGGGTACGAAGACACTGGCCAAGAAGGTCGGTGAATATCAGGACCGCATCGCATCTCTCGAACGAAACCAGCCGAAAGGTCCCACTATTGGCGAGCTGATGGCGGAAGAAGAGAAAGTCATCCGGCTAAGTGAGACAGTCAAGGCTCTAGAAGGAAGGGTGAAAGCTTTTCACGATCTTCCCAAAGACGTACCAGGGGCACGAGCCAGGTATAAGGAACTAGAGCGTGACCTCAGTCAACTCACACGGCAGCGTGATACTATGTTTGGAAGCTTAGTGCGGCACCGATGAAATCACAAGGGAGCTCCATGTCTATAATATTGAAGGAGAATCATAATGATCACAAATTTCATTCATGAGAATTGTGGCACACTCATAAGTAGATCATAGCTAACAATGAAAAAAAGAGCAAATGGTATCGTTGACTCATCGTGGAATCATGGCAGCAATTTGACTTCCCTAGAAGAGACAGGCACGTTAAGGAAGCCGTGAGGCACCTTACTTGTTCATGCCGAGGGCATTCTTGACCTTATCACCCCTGTGATGATGAATGAGTTCTGAATTTTCGAGCGGACTTGGATGTTTGAGGGAAGGAGAGCTTACACAGAGCTGGTGGCACCGCCGTAAGCCTCATTGTCATGGGTACGCTGGGTCTTGTCGAAGGCCTCCTGAGGACCACTCTTGCTGTCGTCGGTTTGGGCGCCGCGAGCGAGACGGTCAGTGGTGTCGGTGACAGTCTCCTTGACCTTGTCCTGGGTGGACTTGGTGGAGTCAGGAGTGATCTCCTCCTTGGCCTCTGTTGATCGGTGTCAGGATCGCTCACATCAATCAAAGTGAACAAAGATCCCACATACTAGTAGAGAAATCCTTGCGACCGGTGTCAGACATCTTGGCGGTTTGTTGGTGTTTGGTTTAAAGTTGGTTGATCTTGAATGGAATTGGATAGATAGTTCGATTGATGAGAAAGAAATAAGAGAAGCAGAGTATGAGCAGGCTTATATAGAACTTCATTTTCACATGGAAACATCCATATCCCTATGACACCAAACAACATGACGTCGCTGTCAAACAAGTTGATTCTTTACAATGTACAGTATACCTCGACCCGTAGCTTCACCTCATAATACGGGGTAACCGTGACTTATGGCTCTGAAACACAAAGCACGAGTCAAGACCCCACTTTCTTTTACTTTGATGCCGATGACGTTGGTTAAGGTGTGGCTTGTTCTTAACAAGAATAATTGGCAGGCTTTGGGAGAGCATGTGGCACCTGGCTCCCTGACGTTGTTACATAAGATGCACGTCGATCATCCAAGTCAAATCACGAGACGTCTGGATCGGGCTGTTTCCTCATCGGAATGGAAAGGCGGTGTTTCTTTGATTGCAGAATGTCTTACCGCCTGTGCCTCGCCACCCGGATCGGCTCTTGCTGCCCAGAGTCTCTACCTGACTCACCTTGCTTGTTTCAACAATCCTTTCATGCCTTCCGCGAGATGGTTCTCTATAAACCTGCAATCTGGACTTTCAAGCTTTCTTTTTCTCCTCTATTGATTTTATCGTCCCTCTGATTCACCACTTGGGGTCTTCTAGTTTCCATACTCGTCAATGCCCTCACCTGATCACACCGAGCCGGCCTCGAATTGGGACTTCACCGCAGTGCTTGACCTCCTCCGGTCACCCACTTACGGTGATGCCTCTACTGCCGCGCGCTACCCTGACCCCATAGATCACCCGCCCTCTGGGGGCCAGTCAAGGGAAAATGTGTCCAAGGTTGGGGATGGTGACTGCAGGGCAGCTACAGAGGTAAAGCCTAAGCGAAGTCACACCCAACTTGGAGACTTTGGGTCTCTTTGGGATCTCCTCATCTCAGATCGGGCTCCTAAGAACACACCTCTTGGCGACCCCACACCTGGCCCATCGCTCAATACCCCTTCAACGATTCTCAAGCGGACTTCCCGCGGTGGTACAACTACCACCGAATCATACCACACCACTTCTAAGCATGCACCTTCATTGACTTCCTCGAAACCTCTTGTTTCCAGTGATACCGTTTTGGGCTGTTCTTCACGTTCATATAATGAAACTCATAATCAACCTCCTATGACCATTTTCAAACGAGCCACGGACCATGTGGAGACCCCTTTACCACCTCGAACGCCCTCAAAGCCGATTCCTGGCGCTAGCAATACAAAGACTCCGAGAGCTAAAGTTAAAGCCAAGGCCAAGTCTACCGGGAAAGACGCCAATTTTACATCTGAATGGGTTTCCGAAAGCAGCGCAGAGGCGGAATCGGACTCTAGCACTATCATCTTCGATTCTCCTATTATCAAGAAGTCTGGAACCCTGTCGTTTGTTCCGATACAAGTGGGCACCACAGACGCACGGACTGGCCAGGATGACACCCCGCCATCGTCGTACGATGACCCGAACTTGTTTTCGGACGCGGACATTACCCGGAATATCATTACTACCCCCTTAGGAATCCGGGTCCTTCCTGCTGTGTACAAGACCGCAACGGACAGACGAGCTGGTTTGATAAACAAGCTCATCCATCGATTTCCCGATTACGCTCGACACGTGTCGCAGGCAGGAAGTTCGTCTTCTTCAAAGAAGAATCTTGAAGAACGCCCTGTCCATGTCTTTGTCGATATGTCCAATGTACGTCTCAATTCACCTCTATCCTCAACCTTATCATAGTCAAGCTCACATTTCTCTAGATCATGGTTGGATTCCACGACTCGGTAAAAGTCTCGCGGAACATTCCCATCACAACCAGAATTCGTCGCCTCCACATGTCTTTTGCCAATTTCTCTTTGATCATGGAACGGGATCGCCCTGCCACCAAGAGAGTTTTAGTAGGTTCAGACCGACTGCCATCGATCGACGAAGCCGAGAAGTTAGGCTACGAAGCCAATATTTTAGACCGTGTTCACAAGAACAAACATACGACTCCACGCGCGTCCAAATTCCGAAAGGGGCCCCAGATTGCCAGTGGACCTGAGACGGTCAGCAATCCTGGAAACCGATGGGTCGAGCAGGGCGTGGACGAAATTCTGCACCTGAAGATCCTGGAGTCCCTCTTGGACACGGATGAACCGGCGACGATCGTGTTGGCGACTGGAGATGCGGCGGAAGCCGAGTACTCTGGTGGCTTCATGCGCATGGTGGAGCGTGCGCTTCAGCGTGGCTGGACCGTGGAGCTGGTTAGCTTCTCTCAGGTGACGAGCTATGCGTATCGTAGGAAGGAGTTTAGAGAAAAATGGGGGGATCGCTTCCGGTGGATTGAGTTGGATGACTACGTGGAGGAACTTTTTGATTAAAAGGCTCATGAAATATCATTCGATGAATGTTAATACTCGCCTCATTTCATAGAGAATTAGCATATTACAGTCAAATGAACTGTTTCGGAGAAAAATATGTTCACTTGTAGTCTCACTATGTGTCCTGGCGTTTTTTACGCCTATTGAAGAAATATGCTCCAGAGGACGTGATATATAGTCCCAAGTGAGCTTATATAGAGGAACCCAGCAAATGTGATGAGATCTATTGATCTCTGTAGTTGTAGTTTGGCTGTGTATATTTTGCAGAGCCTCGCACTGAGTCAGCCCGGCCCAACGTCATTGGGCGCAATACTGCTCCCTGCCACTGCTGCCGTGCCCGTCAACATAAATCAACTGCTGAAGTCAAGTTCCGTCACAGTGGTCAAGACTCAATCTCTTTGCTTCGTCGTATCTGATCCGTTTTCCCGATATCCGCCGGACTTGAACTTCGTGGCAGAACATAAGCTCCAGCGTGGGGTCTTGGCATCAAATTTATATCGAAAAGCTCGACCCAGCTATCAAAAGTTACCGAGCTTCAGCAAGGCGAAAGAGCGAGCTCCGGTTATCAATAGCTTCATATTTAAAGTACTACCTCTTGAACGACAGCATTCCATTATGGCGCAGACCTTGGAGCAAGATTTCTTCGGCGGGGCCATCCGCGGCGTTGTGCCGCAGCGTTGGATCGATGCAAGGTTAGTTACAACCCTTCCCCATCTTCAAAATCCTCTCTATGTCTGAGTACCTGGTAGATTGAGATATCAGAGTGGACCGAATTACTCGGAATCCCTATCCATGAGCTCAAAACACCGGGTCAAAAGCATACTTCCCATCATTTGATGTCTCCTCACCAAACCGCCCGCTACACCAAGATACTAAACCACTACACAGCAATCTCCGCGAAATTCCAGACCATCAAGAGATCTTCCTCTCACCGGAATCTCTTTCCAACATGATCGTCGAGATCAATCAGCGCGTCAGCAAAGAAGACGCTTTAAACACCCTCGCCACCCTCAGCCACCAGCACCCAACCCTCGCAGCCGGCTGCGGGAACATATCTAGTGCGACGCCCGAAACCCTTGACCAAGCAGCCGTGCTGTATCATTTGCATGATCTCTGCGACGAGGGCGACGCCATGCAAATCGTGACCCCGCCTCAGCGCGTGAGTGCATCCCGTCTGGGCGTATCTGCGCCTCCCGGTAGTGTGTTCAGTGCGTACAAGGGGATTGTGCAATTCAAGACAGCGTCGCGCAAGCGCGGGGCGCGGGTTGCGGATGCGAGTAATGCCTCTGCTGTGGATTCGGCGGTTGCGGGGGCGTCGGTTGATGGGGAGGCGGGATTGAGTTCTAGGTTGACGTGCCACTATCTGCTGGTCAGGCTTGAGAGCCAGGAGACGGACCTTCTCGTCTTCTTCAATGTGCCGCATGAGGAGTTTGACAAGAGCGGGGATGTGCAAGGGTTGTCGAGGGAGGAGACTGTTGCGGATGACACTGTGCGGGCATTGACGGAGAAGTTAGAGATTCGGGATTGGGGACTTTTCGTTTGATTTTTGTGGTCTGGGTATGTCATTGGAAACTGTTGAATGGTTTGGTGGTGATGAAAGAAGTGAAACTGGGCTACATGGGAGGAGCATGGAGGCATTGGTATTTGCTGAGAAACATGGGCCATAGGGAATCGCTCTCTTCGAAAAACGGGGATATCGAAGCGATAGACACTATTCAAGATTCAGGTAGTCAATGATATCAGATCAAACGAACAAAGCCACTCATAGCGATGCGTGATGACGTCTACAGGCCTCCACAGTTGCAAAAGAGACTGATATGTTTCGCACGTCGATTCAACAGACCGTCAATCCGAAATCAGACCAGATCAGTCCCAATTGAAACAAAGTAAGAGTGGAAGTATATGAATTTCAAAAAAGATTGGGAAATATGTACTAATGCACCAGCACGCTTCAGAGATGTCAGCTTCGGAAATGCAAATGCAGGAAATCTACATTTCAATCTGAACCTGGGCAAGACTCTTGGTGACTTGCGCCATAGCCTTCTTCTGAGGAGACATGCGTGGCTTGGGCTTTATCTGTTCCAATCGGTGCCTGCAAGTTCCACAGCGTTGTCGCTCCGGGTCAATACTCTTTGAATGTCGACCATAAGTCACGCCACACCCCGTACAAGCCCAAACATATTTCCAATCAATCTGGTATGAGTGTTTTGTAGTAACATGGATCTGGCCTCCGTAAATCGGATGGTCCTTCAACCTCTCGGCACATAGCTTTCCCCAATTCTTGAAGCTGTTTCCGTGCGGGTTGTCCGTCACGCGGGAGACCATGAAGTTGGCTAGATGACAGTATTCGTGCGCGAGAGTATTGATAAGACGGTACTCATCGTCAATGATGCGCTCAGCGAGTTCGATCGTGGCGTGGTGGATGTGTTGTGATGCGCCTGTCCGTTGGCCGTCTGGGTCTCGGGTTTCAACTAGCTCGCTGCGCCATTGAGCTCGGCCTGCTGTCTTCTGAAGGGTTTTTGACCAGGTAATTTTTACACCACCGGTAGGCTTGGCGAGAAGGTTGACCTTGCCGCCGGAGACGGCGTTGTCCAAGATTTCGAGAAAGGTCTCGGCGAAGTTTGCTTTCTTCTTGTTGAAAGATTCCCTGCGTGCTTTAGCTGCACGCTTGGCATCTGCTTCGGCCTTCTTGATTGCTGTTTTGCTAGGTGTTTTGGAGGTTGGGGGTGTCTTGGGTGGTGTGACGCTCGCTCGCGACACGGAATCGGACCCAAGGCTGATGCCGGAAATTGGGCTACTATCTTCCTCATCTGAGACATCGAAATCCTTGAGTAGATCTATCACAGATTGTGCAGGTGTTTTCTCCTTACGGGGTGAGTGCTGATCAATCCAATGGTTCGTTTCTGTCTGGCTCCAAAAAGCGTCGACGCTCTCGCGATGTGGCGTTGGCGGAATGCGCATCTTTTCTTTCGTGGGGGAGCGGAGTCGATTCCGTGATGGACTGGACGGTGGTGTCTCTAGGCTCTTTGTAGCTGGTATGAAAGCCGGTGTTGGGAACTTCAGACCTACGATTGAGCTATTGGTATAGTTAGCAGGCACGGCTGTACTCGTTTAGGACACCTGCAACTCTTACGGAGAAGTGTCTGCCCCCAGCTGTGCTGGTTCGTTCTCAGTGTCCAAATGTAGCTCGTTGAGCTTCGAGGATAGCTGGAAATCGTCCTGAAGAAGATGTCTAGGTGCCTCCTTGGGGGTAGAACGGGACTTGATGGCGTCGGAAATTCTCGTCTCCAGGAGAAATGGTGCTCCGCGGGAATTTTCTTCCAGGTCCTTCTTGAGAGTGCCAGTCTTGGGCTTGATTCCTCTCAAGAGTCTCTTTCGAGTGGATTTTGGCGGAGGCGGTGTTGGAGCCTTCTCAGATTCTGTCTCTGAGTGTGATGTCTCGTGGTAACTGATATCTTCGTTGTCACTAACAATGAAGTCTTCCAATGAATCAAAGCTATTATTCCCGCAGTCGTCCTCCTCTTCGGTTTCAGAAGAGTGCATTTCTCTCACAGGCGTATGGCCCGGTTGGCTTCTTCCGGGGCTTCGCGGCAAATTCTGGTTTCGTCTTGCAGGCGAGCGTTGCGACCCGGGTTCCATTGGTGTTGCGAGTGCTTCTATAAAATTATCCTCTGCATTGTCATTTTCTTTGTCGTAGTCGTCTGTTTCCACTTTGATGCTGGGTCTCGGGCGAGGTCGTTGGATCGGAAGGAGCAGAGAGTTGACCTGCGAGGTTTTGAGCGTACGCCTTTGTGTTTGTTTGCGAGGCGTGTTGAAAGCGGAGCTTCCACTCTCGATGGCGGGGTCAGGGAAGATGTCGAACATGACGCTCGATCCCGGTTTCTTTCGTTGTGATGACCCTCTCGATAGTGAAGAATTGCTGCCGGCGCGGCCACTTTCCAGCGAGTCAGTGAGGCTTGGGACAGGACGTTCGAGTTTCTCGCTAGGCGTAGGTTTGGGTCGTGCTGATGCACGAACCAACGGGTTTGATGTGTTGATTCTGGCCATTTGGTAGTTTTCGCGGCGTTATATCTCGGTCTGACGAAAAACAGATCGGCTTTGTTGTCTTCCAAATGGCCTATCTGGGTACTAATGGCGATTCGGACGCGACTGAGCAACAATTGCTGCGTTTGGGCTGGCTTCTGCTCCAGTTCGAGGAGGATTACGATTCCTGTGATGGAGGCTCTTTAACCATGACGGACTGTCAACGGCTAGTTGTTGGCACGGCAACCATGTGCCACCTCATATCGAACTATACCAAATGGGCTTCGCTGCAGTATATCGCGGTGCACACAAAGACCTCTTAATAGGTGCGAATACATGATGACTAGCGCTCTTATAGGACACTGTGATTCTGCACGTTGACGTGAATTGCTCCGACCGGCTCTACCCCGTTGCTTGGCATCAGCACAACATTTGTTTACAGAGACCTCGATATTCCGAACTCGAACGTTCAATGTTACTAAGAAAAAGTGCGAACATTCTTCTGCACTCGATCTCTCTGGAGCTTTGGAGGGGACGATGACCATCACTAGATGATGCCAAAAACAAGGTGAACGAACTAACAAAGATTAGGATCAGGCAAAAAGATAACAGGCCCGAGCCGCGGATCGAACGCGGGACCTCGCGCAGGAGTGCTTAGGTCGAACCCTAAGCGCGAATCATACCACTAGACCACCCGGGCTGTTCATGTGTTGTCGTGATAATTTTCGTTATGTAAAGCAGAAAGTTTTTGCGTTCGTTCATCCCTTCTTCGTAGGCAGTCACAACTTCTGTCTATTAGGATGAAAGGTGGCTGCTTCTGACCTTGGAATCGGTCACTTCCAGCATGAATTTCACAGCTCATAACTCCTCGAATTCTTGTTAGTAATACGGCCAAGAACCATATGCAACGCTAACTTTGTACCCGCTTGATCGTAGGCCAGAAATGAATATATTTTTTGTCCCCAAGCTTCGGTCACCTGCACTTGTATACTTCAACAAGGGGCTATAGCAAACGACAATCATGGACCACCAATCAAACTGCAATTCAGTAGTATTGTACCTCTCTCAAGATATTCGAAAAGTAACAAATCAGTAGCCCCAACATGGGTAAGGACTGGAGACAGAAGGTGCCCTAGCAAGCAACCATCGATGTGGTTACGAGAACATGTCATGACCCGGCATGGATTTGCTGACGTTTAGACCCGAAATTACCCAATAGTCATGATGCACAATGCAATTTGGTCAAAGTAAGTCGACGAGGCCTGGGTTGAGTCCATCGAAGGACCCATCCGGTAAGGGACAAAAACTCGAACACCCCGACCACCACGCTAATCTGGATGGCAAGTGGATCGAACCAGACATTAAGAAAAAAGCCACAGTTCCCAGTCGATGCAAGAATATATGTCTCAGATCTAGCTTCAGCACTACCCCTCCTCCATAGCAAACAAGCTGGGACCACAGTTGCCCAAGCCACAAACATCACGAACGACCGGTAAACCTCAACCAGATGAAGTAGGCACAATCTTCAAAACTGACCCAACTACCAGCTTAATTTGCCTCACTTGGCAGCAATTTGTAAGTCCAAGGTTGACGCGAGGACAGTGCATGGACCTGCTCCTACAGTAGAGTCGTCCCAAACAAACCTTAACCCTAGCTGTCTACCAGACAGGTAAACGCGGCCACGTAGTCGTGGAATGAACAACTCCCCGAATAATGCTGACTCATGCTAAAGGGCCCCTGGTCCCTGGATCGACAAGCTCCGGTCGGGGCCTCGGCTGCTGGCAACCGGGCGACTGTCCGGTGGCATGGCGAAGGAATGGGATGATCGGCGTCCCCTTGCCGATAGGTTTCATCAAGTAAGAGACGCGAGTATTGTGGCGAGTCAGCCCACTGAGCCTAGGCTAGAATGTCGCAGTCAGTTCCTCGACAAGTGGAAGGATCATCGACAGCCCATAAAAGGCAAGTGTGTGTTTATCATTGGACAAGGTGGTTTTCCACGAACTCTATCGTCAAGTCACATCGGAGCCAAGTCGACCTTATGTACTGTGCTTTGAACCCCGGTCTATGCAGAGCATTGCAGGTGATGTGAGAGGTACTGTAGCCCTCCGTTGCATATTGTGTGAAGACAGCAGATAAGTTAATTGGCCATGGATCATGTCGATGTGGAGGGGCACGGCTGAACCGAGCACAGCCCCCGAATTACTTGAATATTGACCCGATTACCTGGATGTTTACTTGACAGGAGGCAAACTGGACGATCAGCTCGTGTGTTATTATCAGATGTGTCGGGGTGGCAATTCGAATCCGCCCCCACCCCCTTGGTGTTCACACCAAACCCAAGGGGCTGCAGGTTTTCACGGCACTTGGTAAAGCCTTGACACTAAGCCACCGACTGACAGAGCACCGCGAGCTGCAGCTTCACAATTAGGCGCAGCCACACTTAAGCCGTAATGGGAGTAGACGGATCGGGCATCGAGCGTATTGGAAACACGGCGGGCGAAATACAATGAACTTGCAACATCAGGGGAAGTCCGTGGCGCGCGATCGCTGACTAGACCCTACTAGCACCCGAGACAGTTTATTTTTGGTAGCCATTGGAAACCGCGGCAAACCTACTCAATGAAGGAGTAATAGAAACTCTGGCACCTCAGTGCAAGGCATTGGTGCACCTAGACTGGGAAGGGGAAGGATTTCAAGCTTGGCCCCGACCGGCTGCAGCTTTGGATGTGTCGTTCCTGCGGTGCCGCCGTTGGACATGTCTTGAGTACCTACAGGTGTGACCACGTCGCCATTTCCGAGTGACGGGGAACGGAGGAGCTAGGAACCGAAGCCGAACGCGACAGGTGCTCGGCATAAGCTGTGCACTTGATGCCCGTCTGCGCGTGGAAGTCGCAGGCCGTTGCGTGTCCAGCCCCTAGGGCGACCGCCGCTGGACCAATGTGGCCAGGGGCGAGGCTTCTGGTCCGAGAGAAAAAGCATTCAATGATCCACCAGGCGTGTGGAACAGAACGAAAAGGCTCCATCCAACGGTGGAGATGGGCTGCCAGCAGCTCGTTTCAAAGTTACTAGTTGCGTGTACCGTACGTAAAAGATACTTTCACGGATACTGACTCGTCATCTGTTCCGGTGTACGGGATTAAGTACCAGGGTCATTTTACATATGGCGATATATCTCGACTGAAGATGCAGGTGTCTTCCAGTACGGCACTCGAGCTGGGCGTAGGCCAGCAACATATTCTCGCCAGTACCCTCGACAAATCACGAAGTATCGAATCCCTTTTTGCAGGGGTTCTATTATTAGCGAGACCGGTAGAGGTCCAAGTTCTATGTACGTGGCTAATCCTAATTTTGCTATGTACCCAAAGGCATTGGAAATGGTGGCTTTCAAGGTTTAGGAAGCAACAGGTTTACTGGGCACGGAGTGGGGGTTCGGAAAGAGCTGAGTGGCTCTGAGACCTCGATGCGGGCTTATCAGAGGCCGCGTAGTGCAGCATCCGAGATTAGTTCAACGGTGAAAACGACGCTAAGTAGTACAATTTGTATCGTAGGTGGCAAACTAGGGGCACTGGCGTGAAAATCCTTGATCTCCTATCCAGGCAGAATTGTGAACACCAGATCCGGAAACGAAGAGGAAAGGGGATGATCACTGTGTCTTTCCTAAAGGACGAGGGGGAGGAATTCAACAGAGTGTGGTTCCAATCGCTTGAGAGCCGTGGTTCACCACCCGGACAACGACCCAGATTCTAGCACCCAGCACCCAGCACCCCAACCTCCCCGCGTAGGTACCATTATCAGTCAAGAGGCCTCCCGGTAAAAAAAAAGAAAGGACCACTGCATACAATACCAGGACTGCTTGGAAACCAGGAATGACCGACGAGGTGCAACGCCATCCCTGCATACCGTGGTAACAATAACAAGGCACAGACAAATCAGCGGGGGCCATTGCGAACGGTATCAGTAACATGATTTGGTACCAGATTACCTGGATTACGGCGGTGGGGCATGTTTCAGGGGCCGCTCAGATTTCCAGATTTCTCTGGGATTCCGACCAGCTCTCTACCCGGCATCATTGGCCCAATAGCTGGAGATCAAGTCCCCATATTTACCGTATTGGAGGACAACAATGGTATCGAACACAGCTCCAGGATGGTGCATCCCCCTGAGTCGAGGTTGTATCTAGTACATACTTGACTAAGGCCAGCCACATAGTAGCAGAAGTACCTCGTACACACGCGTACACGTACCGTTGTAAATTAGAACAAATTCCCCCGATCCCAAAATAACAGCACTGCCAATTATTTTCCCTTTCCCTCTCTTACTTTCCCTCCCCTTCCCTTCGTTTGCCTCTGGTCCATCCATCAACTTGCTTACTTCCATTCGTTTTTTTTTTAGAGAGGAAGGCTTGGAGCAAGGTTGCTCTTTCCTCGTTGGGGGTTTCACGTTGTTTAGTTTCGTCTTTCGCTCATTTAACCAACTGCGGAGTTTGACACTCGCCAACTTCGCCCTTTCTTCGGCTTCTACGTCGTTAACGATCTGCGCCATTCGCTTTTGTGTCCATGCTGCAATAATTCATTCCGGCGCATATACCTTTTTAATTCTGTGGATGAGTCGTGGTTGAGGTAAGAGTGAACACAAACAAAGAAAAAAAGGGCTCCAGTATCGCAAGCGACGTGGCAGGGACTGGCCTAGACAGGGAATCTCCTGGGCTGACCGAGGCCTATAGAGCTATCATCAAGCAATCGATTGCGACTCTCTCGTCATGTCCGGCTACCCAGCAGGAGGCCAGTACGACGATGGCTACGGCCATCCGGCGGCTCATGGTGACTCCTACTACCAGGACGAACACGCCCAGGGCTACTACGATAATCAGCAGGAGGGCTACTACGATAATGGGTACAGAAGCCATTGAAACAATCACGAGTTTGACTGCTAACAGTGGCATCTATAGTGCCTATTATGGAGACGAAGCCGCTGGGCACGCCCAGGGCGGATACGCTGAAGGAGGCTACTACGACCAGGCTGGCCACGCTCAAGAGGGTGGCTACTATGGCGATGAGTACTATGACCAGGCTGGTCAGGGCCAGGCTCGCCGTGGCGGCTCTGAGGAGGATTCAGAGACTTTCAGTGATTTCACCATGAGATCTGAGACTGCCCGTGCTGCAGACATGGACTACTATGGCCGTGGTGACGATCGCTATAATAGCTATGCCGATAGCCAATACGGCGGCCGCGGTTACAATGGCTACCGTCCTCCGTCTTCCCAGATTTCATACGGTGGCAATCGATCATCCGGTGCCTCCACCCCTGTTTACGGCATGGAGTATGGAAACGCGTTGCCGGCTGGCCAGCGTTCGCGAGAGCCCTACCCTGCCTGGAGCGCGGAGGCACAAATTCCTCTGTCAAAGGAAGAGCTCGAGGATATTTTCATTGATCTTGTCAACAAGTTTGGTTTCCAGCGTGACAGCATGCGTAACATGTACGACCACATGATGACGCTTCTCGACTCGCGTGCCTCTCGCATGACGCCTAATCAGGCGCTGCTTTCGCTGCACGCCGACTACATCGGCGGTCACAACGCTAACTACCGCCGTTGGTACTTCGCTGCGCACCTGGATCTCGACGATGCTGTCGGATTTGCCAACATGAAACTTGGCAAGGGTGATCGCAAGACCAGAAAGGCTCGCAGGGCTGCTCAAAAGGCCGCGAAGAAGAACCCCGAGAACGAAGAAGAGACTCTCGAAGCATTGGAAGGTGACAACAGTCTGGAGGCCGCTGAGTACCGCTGGAAGTCTCGCATGAACCGAATGTCACAGCACGATCGGGCCCGCCAGATCGCCCTGTACCTGCTTATCTGGGGTGAGGCCAATCAGGTTCGTTTCTTGCCGGAGTGTCTCTGCTTCATTTTCAAGTGCGCAGATGACTACTATGGCTCCCCTGAGTGCCAGAACCGTGTTGAGCCCGTTGAGGAGTTTACCTACCTCAACGAGATTATCACGCCTTTGTATCAGTACTGCCGTGATCAAGGTTACGAGATCTCCGATGGCAAGTATGTTCGCCGTGAGCATGATCATAACAAGATCATCGGTTACGACGATATGAATCAGCTGTTCTGGTACCCCGAGGGTATCGAGCGCCTCTCCTTTGAGGACAAGACCCGTCTGGTCGATATTCCGACTCAGGAGCGTTGGCCCAAGCTCAAGGATGTGGTCTGGAAGAAGGCATTCTTCAAGACATACAAGGAAACCCGTTCCTGGTTCCACATGGTTACCAACTTCAACCGTATCTGGGTTATCCACTTGTGTTTCTTCTGGTTCTTCACCGCCTACAATTCTCCGACTCTCTACACCCCAAACTACCAGCAGCAATGGGACAACAAGCCATCCTCGGCTAAGTACCTGGCTGCCGTCGGTTTTGGTGGTGCTCTAGGCGCCTTCATTCAGATTTTCGCCACCATTTGCGAATGGTGCTATGTTCCTCGCCGTTGGGCTGGTGCTCAGCATCTTCATAACCGGTTCATGTTCCTACTTGGTGTCTTGATTGTCAACCTCATCCCTGGCGTTATCATCTTTGGTTTCCTACACATGCTTCCCACCAAAATTCAGAACCCTGTCGGTCTCGCTCTTGGTATCGTGCACTTCGTGCTGGCTATAATCACCGTCACATTCTTTTCGATTCAGCCCCTGGGAGCACTCTTTGGAACCTATCTCAAGAAGCACGGCCGCCAGTACGTGGCCAGTCAAACATTCACTGCCAGTTTCCCCCAGCTTCATGGCAATGACATGTGGATGTCCTATGGTCTTTGGGTCTGTGTCTTTGGTGCCAAGCTCGCTGAGTCCTACTTCTTCTTGACTCTGTCGTTCAAGGACCCCATCCGCATCTTGTCCCCCATGACTATCTTCGAGTGCACTGGTGTCACGTACATCGGAAACGTCCTCTGCCACAAGCAACCCCAGATTCTTCTCGGCCTCATGTTCTTCATGGACTTGACCTTGTTCTTCCTGGATAGTTACCTGTGGTACATTATTTGCAACACAATCTTCTCTGTTGCTCGGTCGTTCTATCTCGGTGTCTCCATCTGGTCTCCTTGGAGAAACATCTTTTCGCGACTTCCCAAGCGTATCTACTCCAAGGTCCTGGCTACCACTGATATGGAAATCAAGTACAAGCCCAAGGTTCTCATTTCCCAAGTCTGGAACGCCATCATCATCTCGATGTACCGTGAGCACTTGCTGGCCATTGACCACGTTCAGAAGCTGCTGTACCATCAAGTTCCTTCTGAGCAGGAGGGAAAGCGTACTCTGCGTGCCCCTACCTTCTTTGTTTCCCAGGAGGATCAGTCATTCAAGACCGAGTTCTTCCCTGCTGGCAGCGAGGCTGAGCGTCGCATTTCCTTCTTTGCTCAGTCCTTGTCCACTCCCATGCCCGAGCCTCTGCCCGTCGACAATATGCCCACCTTCTGCGTCCTGATCCCTCACTACAGTGAGAAGATCCTCTTGTCGCTGCGTGAGATTATTCGCGAAGATGAGCCCTACTCCCGTGTGACCGTCCTGGAATACCTCAAGCAGCTCCATCCCCACGAGTGGGATTGTTTTGTCAAGGATACCAAGATTTTGGCGGATGAGACTTCTCAATTTAACGGTGAATTCAGCGAGAAAGGAGAAAAGATGCGCAGAAGAGCAAGATCGACGATCTGCCCTTCTACTGCATTGGTTTCAAGTCCGCCGCTCCCGAGTACACTCTTCGCACTCGTATCTGGGCGTCTCTTCGTTCGCAGACCCTTTACAGAACAGTCTCCGGTTTCATGAATTACAGTCGTGCTATCAAGCTGCTGTACCGCGTTGAGAACCCTGAAGTTGTGCAGATGTTCGGCGGTAATTCGGAGAAGCTCGAGCGCGAGTTAGAGCGCATGGCTCGTCGCAAGTTCCGTATTTGTGTGTCCATGCAGCGCTACGCCAAGTTCAACAAGGACGAGCGTGAGAACACCGAGTTCCTCCTCCGTGCTTACCCTGACCTGCAAATCGCCTACCTCGATGAAGAGCCTCCGGAGAATGAGGGTGATGAACCCCGCCTGTACTCGGCCCTCATTGATGGTCACTGTGAACTCCTTGAGAACAACCTGCGCAAGCCTAAGTTCCGCATTCAGCTTTCTGGCAACCCCATTCTCGGTGACGGCAAATCCGACAACCAAAACCACGCTATCATTTTCTACCGCGGTGAATACATCCAGCTTATTGATGCCAACCAGGACAACTACCTTGAGGAGTGTCTCAAGATTCGCAGTGTTCTAGCTGAATTCGAAGAGTTGACCACCGACAACGTTTCGCCTTACACTCCTGGCATTGGCAACCCCGAAACCGACCCCGTTGCTATTCTCGGTGCTCGTGAATATATTTTCTCCGAGAGCATTGGTGTCCTCGGTGACGTTGCTGCCTCGAAGGAACAAACGTTCGGTACTCTCTTCGCGCGTACTCTTGCCCAGATTGGTGGTAAGCTGCATTACGGTCACCCTGATTTCCTTAACGCTACCTTCATGTGTACTCGTGGTGGTGTGTCCAAGGCTCAGAAGGGTCTGCACTTGAACGAGGATATTTACGCTGGCATGAATGCTGTTCTCCGTGGTGGTCGTATCAAGCATTGCGAGTACTACCAATGTGGTAAGGGTCGTGATTTGGGTTTCGGTTCCATTCTGAACTTCACAACCAAGATTGGTACTGGTATGGGTGAACAAATGTTGTCTCGCGAGTACTATTACCTCGGCACTCAGCTCCCGCTGGATCGCTTCTTGTCCTTCTACTATGCTCACCCTGGTTTCCACTTGAACAACATGTTCATTATGCTTTCTGTGCAGATGTTTATGATTGTCCTCATCAACCTGGGTGCGCTCAAACACGAGACCATCACTTGCCGCTACAACTCTGACCTGCCCATCACCGATCCCCTCCTGCCGACCTACTGTGCTGATCTACATCCCATTGTTAACTGGGTCAACCGTTGCGTGGTTTCTATCTTCATTGTGTTCTTCATTTCCTTCGTTCCCTTGGCCGTGCAGGAATTGACCGAGCGTGGTGTCTGGCGCATGGCAACTCGTCTGGCTAAGCACTTTGGTTCTTTCTCCTTCATGTTCGAAGTGTTCGTCTGCCAGATCTACGCCCAGGCTGTTCACCAGAACTTGTCTTTCGGTGGTGCTCGCTACATTGGTACTGGTCGTGGTTTCGCCACTGCCCGTATTCCCTTCGGTGTGCTGTACTCCCGTTTCGCCGGTCCTTCCATCTACGGTGGTGCCCGTCTGCTGCTCATGCTGCTGTTCGCCACCTCCACTGTTTGGACTCCCGCTCTCATCTGGTTCTGGGTGTCATTGCTTGCCCTGATCATCTCGCCTTTCCTGTTCAACCCCCACCAATTTGCATGGAACGATTTCTTCATTGATTACCGTGACTATCTCCGTTGGCTCTCGCGTGGCAACTCCCGCTCGCATGCCTCGTCCTGGATCGGTTTCTGTCGTCTTTCGCGTACCAGACTGACGGGTTACAAGAGAAAGCTCCTTGGTGTTCCTTCTGAGAAGGGCTCTGGAGATGTTCCTCGCGCTCGCTTCACCAACATTTTCTTCAGCGAAATTATCGCTCCCTTAGTTGTTGTTGGTGCCACCCTTGTTCCTTACCTGTACATCAACTCCCGAACGATGTTCAGTAACAAACCCGAATATGCCTCGAACGCGATCATGCGCATTGCCATTGTGGCCTTCGCTCCTATCGGTGTCAACGCCGGTGTTGCTGGTGCATTCTTTGGCATGGCCTGTTGTATGGGTCCCCTCTTCAGCATGTGCTGTAAGAAGTTCGGTTCCGTCCTCGCTGCCATTGCTCACGCAATCGCCGTCATCGTCCTCATGGTCATCTTCATCGCTCTCTTTGTTTTGGAGTCTTTCAGCTGGGCCAGAACTGTGTCGGGCATGATCGCCGCCATGGCCATCCAGCGCTTCATCTACAAGCTGATCATTTCTCTTGCGCTCACACGTGAGTTCAAGCATGATCAGTCCAATATTGCCTGGTGGACCGGTAAATGGTACAACATGGGTTGGCACTCGATGTCCCAACCTGGTCGTGAATTCCTTTGCAAAATCACCGAGCTGGGTTACTTCGCTGCCGACTTCATTTTGGGTCACGTCATTCTCTTCTTCATGTTGCCCGTTCTCGCAATTCCTTATGCCGACAAGTTCCACTCAGTGATCCTGTTCTGGCTGCGTCCTAGGTATGTCCCTTCCCGAGTCTTATGACTGTAAGATTCTTTGCTAACCTCCCTCCAGTCGTCAAATCCGTCCTCCAATCTACTCTCTCAAGCAGTCCAAGCTTAGAAAGAGACGGGTTGTTCGTTTCGCCATTCTCTACTTCGTCATGCTGGTTGTCTTCGTCGTCCTAATTGCTGCGCCGCTTGTCATTCGCGACATGGCCTCAATCAGCTACAGCATTCGTCACTCCCTCTACAACATCGTCGGTGTTCAGAAGGGCATGATCGGTCTTCTGCAGCCTTTGGATGCCGGCCTCAACGACACAGCCACCTACTACACTGGAAGCCATTTGCCCGCCGGTTACAAGTCGCCTTCTCAGTCGGTGGTTCCCACCGCCGGTGACTACCAATTCCACAAAATGATTTAGAGGCTCTTAGGCCCCTGTATGAAAATGGCTTGTACAAAGTTCTGTCTTCTTAACATCACTTTTTCTGTTGCTCGCTGCATTCTTTCTAAATCCCTGGCGCAATTGTTGATCTTAATGGCTTGTTGTGTGGAATGACTTCCATCTTGGTGGTTCGTCCACTGCCCATGGGGGGTTTACCTTCGTTTGCCATTCTCATAGCTCCTTCTTTCCTCACAAACTTAACGGAATACAACATGCATTGCTTCATTTTTATTATGATCCTCACGTAGTTTCTCTGCCTTCTAGCTTCAATTATATTTCGTGTGAGCCTTGTCTGAACCATGCGTGGACTACAGGGTCTCAGCCCCAGGCACCTCACGTGACGTTGCTTATTCCGACCCGTCCGCGGCCCCCTCGATGTCTGTCCCCGTACCTGTCTCCAATTGCTTTAAACACGGTCCTTTCGGTTCGACTTCGGCAACCTATTCAACCGGAACCTTCCTGCTGGAGTGAGTGCGCTCTGAGCGCCCCGGAGTACGCCAATATGGACTTCCAGGAGACGCAACGTCTCCTGTCTGAGTACCTACACGAACTCGCGAACCTCTTCCACCGCGTCCCCGGTTCTGCAATCTTCCTTCGCTACGTGAAATCCAGTTACCAAGATGATCCAATCCGTTCGGCGGTTGAGCTCTTTCTCTTTCTCTTCGCCGTTCGCTACCTTCTAGCGCCGAAATATTCGACCAAACCCGGTGTGGTGTCATTGTCGGAAGACGAGATAGATGATCTTGTGGATGAGTGGACGCCTGAGCCACTTGTGGGCAAGCCTAATACCTTGGAGGAAATGGAAGTAGAGAAGCGCACTGTGATAGTGGGGTATAACTTTCCCGCCCTTTCGCTGAGCGCTCTCGGACATCTCGCTTATTTGATCTTGTAATCGCAGTCCCGTCGGCCCCAAATCGAAGCTTGCTAATGGCCGCACTGTTACGAACCTCGCCTCTTACAACTTCTACAACTTTAATACCAACGAAGCTCTCAAGGAATCGGCTATCCAGACACTCCGGAACTACGGCGTTGGTCCTTGTGGCCCACGAGGATTCTACGGTAACCAGGATGTCCACATGAAGACTGAGGCAGACGTGGCGTCGTTCCTCGGTACCGCAGCTTGTATTATGTACTCACAGGCCTTTTCGACGATTCCCAGTGTCATTCCGGCCTTCTCAAAGCGTGGAGACATCATTGTTGCCGACAAGGGTGTCAGCTTTGCTATCCGGAAGGGTATCCAGATCTCTCGCAGTATCGTTCGCTGGTATGAGCACAATGATATGGAGGATCTGGAACGGGTGCTCGCCAAAGTTACTAAGGAGCAGGCTCGCAAGCCGTTAACTCGGAGGTTCATCATAACTGAGGGCCTTTTCGAGTCTTATGGCGACATGGTGGACTTGCCCAAGATCGTGAGTAAAAGCCCACGTCAAGGTGACTTGGCAATGTACTAATCAATACTGCAGATTGAGCTGAGACTCAAGTACAAGTTTCGTCTCATCCTGGACGAGACCTGGTCGTTCGGTGTCTTGGGCCGCACTGGCCGTGGTATCACCGAGCACCAGAACGTTGACGCAGCTGAGGTTGACATGATTGTTGGGTCGCTGGCTGGTCCTCTCGTGGCCGGTGGAGGCTTCTGTGCTGGCTCCGAAGAGATTGTTCATCACCAGCGGATTTCAGCCGCTGCCTACACCTTCTCTGCAGCTCTTCCCGCTCTCTTGTCAACTACTGCCAGTGCATGCATCAACCTTCTTCAGAACAACCCCGACACCGTTTCGCAGCTCCGGGAGTACACCAAGGCTATGCGGGCCCAATTGGATCCTCGCAGTGACTGGATGTCATGTACCAGTGCGCCTGAGAACCCGATTCTCATTTTGGTTATCAAGCCCGAGGTTGTCGCTTCGAAGAAGCTTTCCTATGAAGATCAGCAGTTCTTGCTTCAGGATGTCGTTGACGAGGTACGTCCACTTCCATCATGTTATCGTCCCAAATTTGCTGACTCTTATGCTCATTCAGTGCCTGGCCAACGGAGTCCTCATCACCCGCCTTAAGACTTTAGAGGACAACTTCCAGCCAAAACAAATCGTTCCTGCCGCTCTCAAGGTGTGCGTGACCATTGGCCTGACCAAGAAGGAGATCGAGAAGTCCGGCACGATCATCCGACACGCGATCACGAAGGTGTTGAGCAAGAAGAAGTAGATCTTCCCACCTTCCCTCTACTCTTGCATCCTCTCGCCTTCAACGAATGACCGCCCATGCTCAAATGACTTCCGGCATCCGCTGGGTTTGAAAATCGTCATTATTCATACGCCCTAATGCCTCTTCCTCCCGTGTATTGTTAAGCCGCTTTGCTTGTTCATATGCATCTCTATTGCTCCCTTGTACAGCAATGCCCGCTCACTTCTTTCGCTTCTATGGGCAGTCTCATACTCTTCAGGTACATGGCTCTAGATTGTTTAATACTATTATTCTCTGGCTACGGCGTTGGCTGTGCCAAGTGCATTGATAATTTGTTCTATTGCCCAGTATTTCCTAATTGTACAATCTCCTAGTTGATGTTCCCTTTCTATTGCGGACAGGGTGTCAAGGAGGTGGCCACTTGCTGGTCTCATTCACAAGTGATACGTCTAGTGGAGCTGAGGCCTACATCCCTTGACTCGAGTTTTTCGAGCCCTTTCGGCCATCCCAGGCTGAATTTGTCTTGGCTTAGAAGTCTCCAGTTAAGGCAGAATCAACGCCAGCGTCTTTTCTACCCCTACACCTCTCATAGATTTATGACCTCGAACCTCACGAGAACCTTCTACCACTTTCCTCCCCTCGAGGAGTCTGATTAGCCCGGCATCTTCGCGGCCTACCTGGAATGGGCCCAGCATTCCCCAAGCCTGCCGTAGCGCCAGAGGAATTCCTCGCCTCAACCCGAACTAGATCTTGCCCCTCGAGCCCTGAATCCAAGATCTCCTTCAAAGGCTCCCTCGAACGTGGGTCAATGTCTCCCTAGACAGCAAAGCCCAGCCAGGGATACCGGACTCTTTAGCCCAGACCTCATTCCACATGTCACCCCACCCGAGAATAGCTATGCCCGGATACGCCATTGTTTACCTGTGAAGGGCCCATGCTCTGATGGAGTTTCTTGAGCCCTTCGAATATAATCGGCTTGATCTGCACGATCGTCCTTGGGGATAGTGGCGGTTTCTGTCACTCCTGCTATAGTCTGAGTTACTAACTAGGTTCTTTCATTGGTTCGGTGCGATGAAGCGCCTCACGATTGCGTTTGGCCTGTTCCTGGCTTGTGGTGCATATGCGGATTCTCAAGGTACGAGTAATCCCACGAGATTGGATCAATTTTGCTAATTGAGGGAAAGGACAATGCTCCGGCGAGATTCAGACTCAAGGCTCGGAGGTGGTCATTTGGGTCAATGAGCAAGGAGTGCCGTTTAGCACCGAGACGAACTACATTACACCGACTGCTGTGCCGCAAGGGAATGTTAGTAAACAACAACCCAATAGTCATGATCTGGATGGTTCTTAATCCATTGATAGCCTACCGTTGTTCCTCAAGTCTCAGTACCGAAGCCGGATGTCGTGGTGAGCGATGATGCACCAGCACCAGCGGCGACGCAAGATGAACTCAGCCATGATATGCCGACAGAGAATCCAGTGTTGGAGAAGCTTAGGTTGAGCAAGCCTCCTAATCACCTGGGAAGCCCTGCACCTGCACCACCAGCTCCTGCCCATCCTGCCCCTCCTCTTGGTCCGCCCGAGCTTCCTAAACCTCAAACTCAGCTTCCTAAACCTCAAGCTCAGCTTCCTAAACCTCAAGCTCAGCTTCCTAAACCTCAAGCTCAGCTTCCCAGTGTACCACTTCCAAAGCTACCGCTTCCTCCACCCCCTGCGCTGCCTCTTCAACCACAATCACCTCATGCAGCACCTCATTCGCCTGCTCCTCATGCGGACTCTCATCGCCGATTTGGAATATCTTATTCCGCATATAAAGCAGACCGATCATGCAAGAGTCAGGCCGAGGTAAACAAAGAGCTGGGCCAGCTATCTAGTTACAAATTTGTTCGGATATATGGCACGGACTGCGACCAGACGAAGCTAGTCGCCAATGCGGCCCGGCTCCACAATATGAAAGTGTTCGCAGGAGTACATGACCTGAGTGATTTCCCTGCTAGCCTCGAAACTTTCAACCAAGCCGCTACTAGACCCGACGGACAGAAGGATTGGTCCGTTTTCCATACTATCGCCTTGGGCAATGAACTCGTCAATGGCGGCATGGCCTCACCTGGAGACGTCGTCCACGCAGTCGGCCAAGCCCGCACTATTCTCCGTGGCCAGGGTTACCAAGGACCCGTCGTGACCGTCGATACATTTTCCGTCCTTCTCAAACATCCGGAACTTTGCAAAGTATCAGACTACTGTGCCGCAAACTGCCACGCGTTCTTCGACGCCACAGAACACGCCCACAATGCCGGTCCCTACGCTCTTGAACAAGCCCGCCGTGTCTCGAAAGCCGCAGGTGGCAAGCGTACAATGATCACCGAATCTGGATGGCCACACGCTGGTCGGTCAAACGGGGCAGCAGTCCCATCACCGGAGAACCAGCGCGCCGCCGTGGCAAGTCTCCGTAAAAGCTTTGCGGACCGAAGTGATGATCTAGTCCTGTTCACTGCGTTCGACGATCTCTGGAAGCATGATAATCGGTGGACCTTCGACGCGGAGCGGTTCTGGGGAATCCACATTGAACAATGAGCCGGCTTACTTATATGATGGCACGTTTCCCATGTAGATAAACATTCAATTTTCGTGATAGACGCAATTGATTTATCGCTTCCAACCACTGACTACCCGTGAATCTACCCATTCACTGCAAACCTCCATTGATCTCGACCACACTCCCATTCATATAGCTACTCTGGAATATCCAAGCCACCACATCTGCAATTTCATCCGGTTGGCCCAGTCTTCCCAGAGCAACCTTCTCAGCCGCCCGCTGCATGGTTTCTTCGCCCGACACAACGGACACATTCGTCGAGGTATATGGATCTCCCCCCGGAGCCACGACATTGACTCGAATACCCCTCGGGCCAAGCTCCAAGGCCATAGAATTGGAGAGCCCAATGATACCAGCCTTTGGCGCGTGGCTGGATGCCAACGATAGAAGAGACGTTCACGACCGATGACCCAGACGAAAGGTGTGGTATGCTAGCTCGGTAGACGTTGAATGTACCTTGGAGATTGACCCTGATCAGGCCATGGGCGTAGTCATCTGTAGTGGAGTACACAAAAGATTAGTTCGAAGGGAACGCCGACATTTCTTTATTATACAAGGTCATATCTATTAGGTCTATACAAACCCATGCAATGAGAAGGAATTGTACGTGCAGGAAGAACGCCACAACCAATTCCGAATTCACTAAGTTCAATCGGATGTGAACGGAACTGCACTCTCGCGCCGAGCGTGCTCATCCAACCTATCCAACCAGCCACCAGGCCCAGAAAGCTCCTCAAAAGCCGTTTGGTTCGGAGGCAACTGCCAGAAGGAGGCCGTCCCAGTCTCAGACTGACGTACCGAGTCCAAGTCACGGAAACGCTGGCGAACAATGTCCTTCAAAAGCCGGTGGGATTTCGGGCTCGGTGACAGACCGTGAAGATCCATATCATGCAGGAGTCCTATCACGGCTGGGAGATCGTTGCAGCCGTGCCAGTGGAAATAGATCATCTCATCGCAGAGTGCAGAGGATGTTCCGAGGACGGAGGACGTACGGCCTTGGTTTTTGATAGTGGAGCGGAATTGACCGATGAGTTGCGATTCCGGGAAATGAGTGTTCAGAAGACGGAACGCGACGAGGAGGGTCTTTGGGTAGAGCTTTGCAAGTACCGGGGTGATAGGTACCACGGCGGGGATGTTGAGAGGACCAGAAGGGAGCACTGGCTTGTCTTTTTCGTCCATCGTGCCCGAAGATGAAGAACCGTCTGCAACTGTATTTGACGATTGCGTTGGTTCTTCCAAATGTTGCAACATGCCGAAAATGTGCTCTTGACACTCCTCCCATAATCCCATATCGCCTCTACCCTCTTCAATTGCCTTGAAAAGCTCATCTTCAATCCTCTTCGACTCCCGTTTTATTACGATATCAACAGCATCGCTGATCGTGATCTCAAAGTCGGGGTTGGCCTTAGAAGCTATCGCCGAAAAGCCGAGATCACTATAGCGAATCTTGCCCGAGCCTCCTGGTATATCAAATGGCTTTTTCTGGAAATCCCCGCGCGCGGCAGACGCAGCTTTCTCTTTTTCTTTCTCTTGCTTCTTTTTCTTCTCCGCTGCTTCCTTTTCACTCTTATCAAATATATCATCAAACAACGCAATCAAATCGTTGACGTTCTCTGGCTTGGGTCGACGCGTTGATGCCCGGGACGGTTTTGTGGTTTTCGCAGCTGGCTGCTCTTTCTTGAGTTGTTTCAGCAAGTCCGCAAATATCATTTTCTCGGCAGGGGTAATAGTCTGGAGCGGCCGCGACAAGGGTGCTTGCTCAGTGGGCTCGATCTTCGGGGCGACCTCTTCAGCGCGGCGGCGCAGAAAACTTCGCCGAGGTGCAGGACGATCGTTTGTCGTCGAACTTGGTGATATCACAGAGGAATTTCCCGGGCTCTGGCTTTTTCGGAATGCTGAACCATCTTTGAATGGTTCATCATTCTTGGGGGCATTACTCCCCGAGTATTGACGTTGAAGCCGGTTGATCGGAGGGTATCGACATAGCGATTGTGATAACGGCGCAAGTGTGCGGGTCTGGTAAAGAAATGGCGCCGAGCTCGATGTGGCCGATTGGAGAAATGCTCGAGAGATTTTGGCCATCGAGTTGATTTGTTGCTGCTCTAAGAGCGAAAAAGTTCAAGCCGGAAGCTTTGCCCATTAGTGTCACATGACCTCGCGTCTTCACGCGCGTGCTCCGCGTTTCCCATCCATCACCATTGATTGAGATCTCATCTTTAACGGCTCGTCATGGCTAACGAATCTACGATTGGACTCTCGGAGTTCGAAAAGCAGCGCCTTGCGAATATTGCGGAGCGAGATGCGCTTCTGAAGCAGCTCAATCTTAAGGCGCAATCCAATGGCATCTTCGGCTCTCCGAAGACCCCTCGCAACAATGCCTCGAAGTCGAGAAAACCCACCCCAAAACGAATCAAAGAAGAGGACACCTCGATACTTCCTCGACGACAGTCATCCCGTCTGAAGGGTATCGCTGCAGAAAGCGAAGTCCTCAAGCGCAAAGCCGAAGACGATTATGAAGCGGCGAAGGAAGCCGATCGCGCTAAGCGCATGCGCCGAACTGACGAATTCTCGCAAAGTGACATGTTCATTGCTGGGCAGAAGCTGAGCGGAGACAGTCTTGTCGGCGTGGATGTCATTACGAAAGGTGTCGCAGAGCCATACGTCCGGACTTTCGACGAGGACGACATCAAGAAAACTACGAACAAGGACTTGAAGGCGCTACGGGAGGAAATGAGTGGTCTACAGCTATGGGAGACCTGGGATCCGCAAAGTAAGATCCTCAAATCAACTGTGTGTGAATTATAGCCCAATCACTGACTCGACACAGGAATCAAGATCACTCCTGAACGAGTTTACTCCATGACTTTCCACCCCTCAGAATCGAAACCGCTCATCTTTGCAGGTGACAAGATGGGTCACCTCGGTATTCTAGACGCCTCTCAGGAGAAGCCAGATGTGGGTGATGACGACGAGGACGACGATCCTGATCCGGTCCTCACTACTCTCAAGCCTCACACGCGCACCATTAGCTCCATGATGGTTCACCCGTCTAAGCCCACCCATCTCTACACAGCCAGTTATGACAGCTCAATTCGCGAGTTGGATCTTGAGAAGACGACCTCTGTTGAGAAGTACGGACCGGAATCGAAGAATATTGACGAGGCTCTTTCCGCCATTGACATGGCTGGAGACGATCCCAACACATTGTATTGGACGACTCTGAATGGTGGTTTCGGTCGATATGACACGCGCACTCCTCTTTCTGAGAAAACCGTCTCGACCTGGCAGCTTTCTGAAAAGAAAATCGGCGGTTTCACAATTTGCCCTTCTCAATCCCACTACTTTTCAACCGCAAGTCTGGATCGTTTCCTAAGGGTGTGGGATCTGCGCAACCTGTCTTTTGATGAACCGGCCTCGGTAGCTGAACATGAAAGCCGTCTCTCTGTTTCTCACGCTGCATTCAACGCCGCCGGTCAAATCGCTACCTCTTCTTATGACGACACGCTCAAGCTTTACGACCTTGGCGCCAAGGGTCTTTCATCCTGGGAGAAGGGTCACGGCATCTCTGACCATGATTTTCGCCCTGATACCGTTGTCAGACATAACTGTCAGACTGGCCGTTGGGTTACCATGTAAGCCCTCCGTTCTATTTGTTGGATTGTCGAAAGCAAACTAACCTTTTTATCTCCAGTCTTCGACCTCAATGGCAGCTGAATCCCCAGTCACGTATTCAAAGATTTTGTATCGGTAATATGAATCGCTTTGTTGATGTCTACAGTGGATCCGGCGACCAGCTTGCTCAGCTTGGCGGCGATGGCATCACTGCTGTCCCTGCCGTTGCAGTCTTCCACCGCAGCAAAAATTGGGTCGCCGGTGGCACCGCCAGTGGCAAGGTCTGTCTTTGGATGTAGTTCTCATGGGAATTTCCGAGAGACATCGAGATATGCCATTTTTGGCTACGTTCACTCACCATTTGATGGCTACTGGCATTTTGTGGGTGGTTTGCTCGATTAGCAAGATAATCGTTATTTGAATACCTGAAATGTATAATTGCTCGAATACTGAGAACTTGTCATTGTCCTAGAACAAACCTCGGCTCCCATCGAGATCAGGTATCTCGATCCCCTTTGCTCCCGCCCATGATCTACATACACCCCTATCTTTAAACGCTGCTTTCTCCCGCCTCAGCGGCCAAGACGACTGACTGGCCTCGGGTGAAAAGATTGACTACGTACAGATCACGGACCACTTGTCTAGTGAATAGATCAATCAATGATAACAGGGCCCTGCGGTCTACAAGAGAAGGAATGATTGAATCAAAGCTGAAGGCTTGTACGTGCGTTTACATTTATAGATTACGTCCCTTGTCCGACAGTAGAAATTGCACGTAGAAAGCCCAAAGAGCCCATGACTGGCCACAAGGCCAACACGCATGATACAAACAAGAACAAGAGTCCATTCCGTCTATCAGGAACCCATCAAGAGTATATACACGTAGTCAACCCAAGCGCATGGCCGACGCCAATGCATACAAGCAAAAACAGCACATCGGGGATTGAACAGCGGGCCCAATATAGCTTTTAAACCCGAGTCCATGTACAAAAGTCCTTTTGTCTTGCTTTTCTACAAAGCCGGGTTCCAGGAGAGACATGTATGTGTGGATCCTGAAGCACGCACGAAAACTAGGAAGAGGGGGAAGGGTATCGACACCGTGACACATGCTGCGAGGACACTAAAAAAGGAGGATTGATGAGAAGGGGAGATGAAGGGGATGCGTGGACTTCATGAGCACATTGAGGAGAGGAAGGAAAGGATTCGAAGCCAGGAAATGGGGTGAAGGGCGAGCGATTAGAATTCGTTTCGGAGGTCCTCGTGCGAGTGTCCTTGCGACTGGTCGCGGTCTTTGGCTTTACGTCGGGAGGGGGCCGGGACGAAGTCAAAGAAGCGGTATTTGCTAGATGACTCTTTGGTGACGCTGGATCTGCGAGCTTTGGCATTCTCCGAGTATTCGAGGGAGTAGGTGGATGAGTTCTTGGAGCTGCCGGTGCTATCCCGAGCATCGGACCACCTTGGGATGGAGAAAGGCATGCGAGCTTGATCCCAGGTAGCGGACGAGGAGCTGGGTGGCGTGTCGTCCTCTTCTGGTGCGTAGTCGGTCGATCGACGACCCATAGCCGGCCGTGGGGCAAAAAAGCCGATTGAACCGCGGTGGCCCGCGACTTGAACATTAGCTGCGACACCTGAGTCTGCCGCCGGAGTCGTTGGTTTACTCGAGCTTTCATCATAGAAAGTGACGGCTCGCTCCATTGAATCCACTAGTTCCTCCCACTTGACCTCGAGGTTTCCACTTGGCCGCTCGGCTTGCTCAGCTTTGCGTAGAAGCTCTTCAGTACGTGCTTGTAAGCTAAGAGCCAGCTGGTGGAATTTGGTAAGGAACGGGTCCACATCTTCCAATTCAGACATCCGGCTTGGAACAATATCAAGCCAGACACGTACCAAGTGTGCATAGCATCGAGCGTGATCAATCAGGAATGGCAGGCTAGGGAAGCCCTCGCGGGAGGTAGCTGGTAAGCGTCCGAGGATTTGAACAGGGGTGGTATAGGAAGGCGTGACAATGGGGGCCGGGCGATCAGCGGCGATGTTGCAGATATGATCAACGAACTGCTTGAAATCGGCTCGATTTCCGACCAAAAACTTATTCATAGGCTCCATCCACGGTTCCTTGTTCCCAAACGTCGTCATGTTGGCAAGTCCTTGCAAGGCCTTGGCAATAAGGGTCAAGGTACGCTGGGCACGAGGACGAGGATGATCCTTCAAAAGTCCGAACAATTTAGGGTTCAGAATTGCTGGACAGAAAAATCGTAGGAACAAGAAACCCGAAACACTGCTGTAGGTGACAGAGCGCAGAAAATCGCCATAACGATCTTCCGCACATGCCCGGACGTGACGGAAGATGCGCCTCAACTCTGGAGGGCAACGGGAGACAGAGAGCGCGATCGATTTCCAAACACCCGTCGTGAGGCCAATCAAAGTCCGCCAATTGCGGTCAAGGTCCTCTGTGCGTGGTACACGAGCCGGGTCCACTTCACACTCAGGATCGCTCTCATCAATTTCACGAAGTCGTTCCCCGATTGTTTCCTCCAAGTACTCTTTGCCAAGACGACGCATGTGTAGATCGAGTGCTTTGGTGAGCAGCGAATTGCCACGGAAGAGAAGATTGGCCTCCACTGTGGCTGTTCTGCCCATATCCCTCACAAGGATCTCACGTTCTTGGCCGCCTTCTCTCGTGTCATTAGAATGTATTCTCGTCGTATAGCGCAGTCGATTAGCGGTGGATTCCTTATGAACGCCGTCAATCTCATCTTCGATCAACGCTGAAATCCAGTCCACAGTTGATCCCGAGACCTGGTAGATGTTCAGAAGCATCTCCGATAATTGTGTTAACTCAGATGACATCACTTGGGCCATGCTGATTGTCAGGCCGTTGGTGAATTGGTGAAGGATTTCCAGCATTGGTGCGTATTCGTCGGTCATCAACACGACTGTCTCGTCCATCCGAGCTTTCATAAACATCTCTCCGATTGCTTGGTCGCGATCGTCCAAAATCGGCCACCACTTCTCGATGTCCGTACCGGCGTCCAATTCGTCTAAGCGAAGATCGACCCGCCCGCAAATAGAGTCTTTGGTAGAAATCTCAATCTCATCCAGCATGTTCACTGCGTTAACATCTTGACTAGATGAGTATGACCCAGAAGAAATGAGCGTCCAGTCCCTTTGTGCTGGATTGAGTGTCTTGACTAGGATGGAAGCCTGGGATAAAACTGGCGGCAAATCATTGAAAGTGAAATCCTCGCGCCAAAAAGGATTCGAAGTGCGATATTTGACCACAGTTTTGGCGCGGATCTCTCCATCCAAGAGAACCTCGGTATAATAATCGCTGGGTTTGAGCGGGGACGATGGAGCAGAATAGCCGTGGGATCTGGATTGCTTACGACTGCGCGGCGCTTCTTCTTTGCTTTGAAAAAGTTTTGCTTCCGTGATTCTCAGATTGAGGATTCTTTCAATACGGAACATGTCCTTAAGAGAGGAGTGCTCGGGGGGTTTCTGCTTCTGGAGTCTTATTCGGGTCTTCCTCTTTCTCTGTTGATGACGCGGGCCCATAGAGTTCGGGAATGGTAAATGCGCGCAGGAGCACGAACCAGACTTCAAAGAGAACGCGTGTTTCGAGGGCAAGATAGATAGGACGCATACCCGGATCAAGGACTGGGTGTGCCGTATACTGCGGATAAATGGCGATGCAGAACTCATCATCCAAAACCGAAGAGTCCAATTGCTGGATAGAACAGCGTGACAATTGGGAGAGTTGAATGCATGCAACGAGGGTGACATCGGATTCGGTATAGAGCTTGAAGATACCATTCTCCTGCAAGGTACAGCTCACACGCTGCCATGAAGAGGAGAGAGCCCTGGACTGTCTATAAGTAGAGACGCGGCGTGCGGAGACCGGTCGTGCCCCAGATGCGGACGGTTTGTCCCATAGAAGCATTTTTCCAACTTTGATGATAGCCGCTTCTTTCTGGGCTGCGCTGTCTGAGTTTCGTCGACGCTCAGGTATCCGGCGCTCTCCAATTACAACTTCTTGGGGCTTGGTCATCTTGTTCTGAACGCCTTTGGGACGAATAGGTTGCCAACAGAGTAAAGCAGCAAGCCACGAGTCGAAAGTCTCGTGGACGTGAGGTCGTAGTTGAATTCCAAGTCCCGATGTGAAAGTGGAAACGCTGAGGTACGTGGTTTGAAGCTCGGAATCGTATAGTGTTCGGACACGACAGCCGCGCAGATCGGGGATCAAAGTCTTCGCCAAAGCCGGTTCTCCCTTTGCTTGGTAGATCAGACTCCCCGTCGCAACGTTGATAGCACAATACCCGGAGGTCCAGGCGTTGGAGGTCCCGGAACTTGTAGTTGCAGATCGAAACGAGAGGATACCATGCATTCTTCCACACGTGGTCTTCATGAGTTGTAGGATCTTTGCGGCATCAGTATTAGATAGAGGGGAGGCGAAGGCGGCTTGGTTTTGCGCTGCTCCCGAAAGGGAACTGGATAGGTTACTGACTCGCTGGCGATGGAAGGTAGGAGACTGAATCGATGGAAAACCGATGGAAGAAGACGAGTCCTCCGACACTTTCCCTTCGGGCACTTTAGGCTGAGACGAACTGGTAACGTTCACTGATCCGACACGTGTTCGAGTTTTGGATGCACTGGATGGCATATCGCTTCGCTGTTCTTCCAATGTCGCGGTTCGTGATCGTGTGCGCTGGGTCCTGCCATCCACCGTCGTCTCTTCATCAGTCCGTTCAACGGTTCGCGGTCGCATCGTGGTTCGGGGTGAGGGCGCGCTATTCGCGGTAAGGGGTTCGGGTTCGGAAAGGGGGGAATGGGAATCTGGGGTGACGGTTCGAATGGTCGCTTCCCGAAAGTTGTCTGGATAGATCATACCATGGCGATCCTGGGAGGATGACTTCTTGCTAGGCCGACGTTCCACGGGACGACTGTGGAAGGCCTGGTGTATCGAGCTCCTTTTAAATCCGTTGGGATTATCGGACTCCATTCTGCTCGATCGTAGGCTCTTTCAGAGCCGACGTGAGCGCGGCCGAAAGGAGACCCGCACGGAGGAAGAGGGAATTCGGGCGCGCGACGCAACCTCACCTCAAGACAGTCGATACGTATACCTCGTGCGCCGTTTCAAGAAATGGAAGTCGGGTTTGTCCAAGAAATTGCTAGAAGAACGCATGGAGTCTAGGAGGAAGAGGGTTGCGGCTATCGAACATTCGGTTGGGCAGGACGAAGAGACAATCGAGGCGCGGGTCACCGTCGTTTGTCTGATGGGTGCAAGACCTGAAGAAACAGAAATGCGGTGAGCGTCCAGTCCTCCAATCGATCGAAAATGCGACAGGTGTCGCTACCAGGCTGAAGTCAATTATGGCCCGAGCAAGCCGGGAGGGATGGGAGAGGGGCGTGATATCATTATTGAGTAGAAAAGAAGAGAGACCTGAGTAGACGATGAGGATTGGGGGAGAGGAAAAAGCGCGCACACACCTTCATCAGTCCCCTTTGAAATTCGAAGTCTTGAGATATTGCCGTAGGCGTGGGAAGGGAGGAAGGAGAGGGGGGGGGGTCGGCCTGGGGCGTTTGTGCGTCCGTGATTTGCAGATACCCCAGCAAATAGGGCGGATGGAACAACGTAGGGCGTAGGATAGGGAACAAGTTTCAAGTCAAGAAACCTATGTGTTGACGTTGGGTAAGGGAAGGTGAAGCGTAAAGCGTGAAGCGTGAAGGAGAGGAGGGGAGAGGGGAGCGAAGTGGATAGCGGGAGCTGAAATGAGTACAGTATAAGGAGAATGGCACTCCCACGAGGCTCTCTTCCTCGCATTGACCGCAAGTCTATTTTTGCTAATTATTTCCATGTCTACTTCTATTCCTCCTACAATGTATTTTTTTTTCTTGTTTTTCTCTTCCCATTGCGGTACACTCTCTTCGCCTGAGACCCTTCGGCCAGACGGAGACCCACAGCGCCTCGATGCTGTGATCGTTAAGCTTTGCAGAAGGGAAGCTATTAACCGAAAATGCCGAGTTAATTGGGCATTGCGCAAGCAGCTAGGGAGAATATCTCCGGGCTGTGGCCGGACGTACTCCATGCTCTATGTTCCATGCTAAATTGCGCAGCACGGACTTGGTGGGTCTGAGGGGGAAAATATCCCTGAATCATGATTCCTAAAAGCCACCAGGAACTCGTCGATCAGACCCAACCTATCATGTTTCCCCGTTTGACCCCTGCCCTCCGCTGTCTGCTGAAACCAAAGTACAAACCAAAGTACAGTCCAAAGTACGGGGAGAGGGGGGAGGGGGACTCCCATGAGAAAGACCAGCCGAGTGGATCTGCCGGATCTATGTGATCTCGATGGAGACTAGAGAATAGAACCCGTCTTTGGGTCTCCGGTTGCCCGCCAGCCTAAGAAAAAGAATAAAAAAAGGACCGATCGTGGGAAAGCCCTGAAAGTGGAGCCGCTCGGGGCGCCGTGAGTTCCCAGCTGAGCAAGTGTTCAAGATGGACTGAAACTCAGGAAGTTGACGAGCCGGGGAGGAAATTCTATAGTCGGGTTATGTCCGGAGCATGCTGCAGGCCCATCCCAGGACTACGTAGGAATACGTGCACGTTACGATCAATCTTGTACCCCGCACGATTCGCAGATGCTTGAGTCGCGCATTCTTTTACCGCTCTCTTCTCCGCCTTCGCATCAGACGGACGATGCTAGCTTCAACGTACACGAGAAATTATTACTCTCTGAGTATGCAAGTGCTTTTCGTGCCTAGTCTTATCGTGCTGCCATCCCGTGTACTTTACCTCTGACCTTCTTTCTGGTCTAAATATAATTGATGAAGCTCTCGAGCTAGAAGCCCCTGAAATTTCATGGTAAGCATAATGGACAGAAGAGACCCGCCTTGTCTGTTTCGGCTGTCTTGGATTTGCAGTGTGCGTGCTCGACGTCCAAGTCGTAGACAGGACAGGGTAGGAAGTATCATTAAGAGTAGACCTGAGCTCCGAGGGTGCAGTTAGTAATGATCGACAGAGTGGCCTGAGGCCAGCAACTATGTCACACGGGGCGGTGATCACGGAGCTTCCGCAGCTGTGGACGATTCACGCGCAGGTGTCTGACCTTGTCATACGGTCGAGACTAGGTCGACCTTTAGAACTGCAAGAACGAAATACGACATCACCGGCGACCGTTCTGGATCTGCAAGCGGGTCCTTACGTCGTTGACACCCTCGTAAACGTTACGCGATGAACACCTAGCGTTGTCGACGTCAGCTCAAACCTGATGAATGACAAAGATGATGTCCTCGAACATACTCTCGCGATTCTTACCCCCAACGGACTCTCAGTCTGTCTACGAAGCCATCCGGCAGAACGATGCGGACTCCGAAACCTCCGATACCGAAGAACGTGCGAATCTAATACCCGGAAATGGCATACAGGAAGGGTTCAGTGATCGCGAGCTGGATGATGCGGCCGATACTGGGACCAACGAGTTGTCAAGCTACCGGGAGGGCCCAACAGGTCGTCGTCGTAAAACGTCAAGAGCACGATGGATGACTCGAGAGTCACTGGCAGGTTATGAGCTGGATGACCGAGATGGGGATGTGCCACTGTCGCTTTTGGTGGAAGGGAATGACGATGAAGAACTCAAGGCCCGCTTGCCTCCTCCACCGCATAGCATGCCCGGTCGATCATTCACCTCCAGCCCTCCACACACGCCCGAGGTTACTCAACGCCCTGGCGAAGGAGGGTTCCCTCGCCAGACGACGGAAACTATCGCCGATAACCAACACATCCTGGGACGCTGGCTCCCCTTCCAACAACACACTATCCTCACTAACACCGACCCCAAGAAGAAAGCGATGTGGCGTTGGGCGAACGTTCAGGACCTGGACAATTTTCTCCGGGACGTTTACATCTATTTCTTGGGAAATGGCTTCTGGTCCATCTTGCTCAGCCGACTGTTGAACCTATTGTAAGCTTCTTCGTACGGATTGGATTAGATAAAGACCAAAACTGACTCGTGCAAAGCACGTTCGCCTTTATCGTGGGGTTCTCCACGTTCCTCACCAACTGCATTGATTATAGCCAAGTCCCCGGCAGCAAGACTTTGAATGAGATTCTCATCCCCCAGTGCACGTCTAAAATGTCCGGAGGATCCACTTTTTTGCTCTGGTTACTCAGCTTCTTCTGGATTGGAAAGCTCCTCCAGTATCTGCTCGACATTCGTAGACTCTCCCAGATGCACGACTTCTATTTCTACTTACTCGGAGTCGCCGATGCTGAAGTTCAGACGATCTCGTGGCAGGAAGTTGTCAGTCGTTTGATGACGCTCCGTGATGACAACCCGGCTACCGCAGCCGCGATCTCTACTAGGCACCGGAAGTTCATGGGCAGCCAGTCCAAGCAACGAATGGATGCTCACGATATCGCCAATCGGTTGATGCGGAGAGAGAATTACATGATCGCCTTGGTCAATAAGGACATTCTGGACTTGACTTTGCCGATCCCTTTCCTTCAAAACCGGCAGCTGTTCTCACGTACCCTCGAATGGAATTTGAACCTCTGCATCATGGATTACGTCTTCAACGAACAAGGACAGCTGCGTTCCTTGTTTCTCAAGTCAAACAACCGACGAGCTCTGAGTGATGGTCTTCGTCGACGTTTCATATTCGCTGGAGTAATGAATATTTTCGTCGCCCCTTTCCTAGTGGTCTACTTCATGATTCATTATTTCTTTACCTACTTCAACGAGTTCAAAAAAAACCCGTCCCAGATTGGGTCCCGCCAGTACACCCCGCTGGCCGAGTGGAAATTCCGCGAGTTCAACGAACTTTGGCATTTGTTCGAACGTCGAGCCAACATGTCCTATCCTTTTGCCAGTCGGTACATTGACCAATTCCCAAAGGACAAGACTGCTCAGGTTGGCCGCTTTGTTGCCTTTGTGTCTGGAGCTTTGGCATCCGTCCTTGCTCTTGTCTCGGTGATTGATCCCGAACTATTCTTGGGCTTTGAGATCACGCATGACCGTACGGTCCTGTTCTACCTAGGAGTGTTTGGTACTATCTGGGCATTTGCTCGCGGCTTGGCTCCAGAGGAGACCGAAGTGTTTGATCCCGAGTATGCTCTCCGAGAGCTGATCGACTTCACACATTATTGCCCTTCAACCTGGAATGGACGCCTCCACAGCGACGACGTACGCAAGGAATTTGCAGTACTATACCAGATGAAGATCGTCATTTTCTTGGAGGAGATCTTGAGCATGATCTTTACACCTTTTGTATTGTGGTTTAGTCTTCCCAAGTGCAGCGATCGGCTGATTGATTTCTTCCGCGAATTCACGGTCCACGTTGATGGGATGGGCTACCTCTGCTCATTTGCAGTATTTGATTTTAAGAAAGGTGCAAACGACATGTCTCGAGGCCGGCGCCGCAATTCAATCACGGGAAAGCCAGACCCACGATCCGACTACTTCTCTACCAAAGATGGAAAGATGCTTGCGTCCTACTACGGTTTCCTGGATAATTACGGCCACGGCAATGGCAACCAGCCCAATTCTCGTCGCCATTTCCACCCTCCCCCAGGCCTGCCCACCCTACAAACTAATTCCACGGCTGATCTGATCGGTTACCCAGACCGATACGACCTGCACAGTCGCCCTGGAGCAGCCGGAGCATACGGTTTACAATCCATGCTCGGCGGCTCCCGTTTCCGACCCATGATCCCAGGCGATCAACGCTCCCCTGGTCCATCCATGCTATTAGACCCGCATCATCAGCCCTCCGCCTCCGGATTTCGCGTCACACGCGGTACCAACTACCAACGTTCTCGTCTAGCACGTCCAACAAAAGATTCCGTCGTAGACGAAGAACAGTCCCAGGATATCCGCGATTCATCTGCCGGTCAGCCCGCCACCGTCGGAGCTTCCAGCGGCGGGGTAACGGACAGCAATCTCGGTGACTCGTGGCGCATGAACACGACTCCGAACGTCAATGCTAATGCCGACGCCGATGACGACAATGAGAACATCGATGAGATTGCTGGCGGCGCGGGTGTTCTGGGCTTGCTTCAGCAGTTCCAGAAAGCCAACACTGACGGCCGACGTACCAATGTTGGAATCTAGAATCTTTTCTTTGACCCTTTCGGCGCAATTGAATACGGATTATTCTAGGGTAACTAGCATTGCATCTGATGCATGCGCATGACATGACTTTACGATCAATTCGGTGTTGCGCTGGAGCTCTTTCATCTGATGTTTTATGTCTTTCAAGACCCCGGAATATACATACATTTGCTTCATCATTAGTATTCTCGTGATGGCTCTATTTTTTATCATCCCGCCCGGCCTAGTAGAGCACCTGTCTAGCACTTGAGTAGCATTTGAGAGCACCGTTACTCTTGAAAAGGTTGCCCTAGACGATAATATGGAAACCTCCAATCGCCAATTTCTCACCCAAGCTCGTTACGTCGTTGAGTTTTATTTCAGATTGGTCCAGTATTTTCTTTTGATTCTTTTTGTGAGAACTTGCATATGTGGTGCGGAAAATTCCGACCATTGCTGGTTGGATGTGTCTGTTTTTGTGCTGGACAGGATGGTGGGGGTACAATTTGCAACTAAAACGGATTATAAATGTAATTTTGGTACTCGGTGTAGGGTTTTGTGGGCATGGACGGTTCATACTGCATGCTTATACAAGTGCAAACAACTCATCCGACTCAGGTGTCGTGATTTCTAATTCAAAGAGTGCAACACTCCGAAAACAATCGCATGTGTTTTATATGGATGGGTCCCAGTGGACTCAGTGGACTTGGTGGACACGTCTAGGCCCGGTCGCGTGTCCTTGATAGGTCGATCCTCGAGACCCTTGCTGATCCTCTCCGATCCAGGGGCCGGGGGCGTTGGGCCTTGCCCTCAGGGTTTCCGAGGGAATTGAGGCGGACATTTCGCAAAGCCCAGGATCTCTGCTGGCAGGAAGGGTCCCTAAGAAGGCGGGTGTTTGTTGGCAGTCATCCAGTACTTCTGGGGCTGATGGGGCTTCTGAGGCTCCACAAGGGTCGAGGAAGGGGCGAGGCTGCAGCGCTAGGTGCTCTCTAGTGTCTAGTGCAGTGGTAGTGTAATTTGAATCATGACTATACATAGCAGTCCCAGTAGAGGAGACTTGATTGGAACCAGGGGTCCAAGGACAGCCAAGGACAGCCAAGGACAGCCAAGGCCAAGCCCAAAGGCCAAGTCCAAGTCTGAGCCCAAAGGCCAAGTTCCGAGTCAACTCCCCCTGTGGATCTCACCTCCGCATGTTTACAGTGGAGTCTCGTGACATAAGAACCCTCTCCACTTTGCTTTTCTTTCCCTCTCCTTCGCCATTTTTTGGTACATTCCTTTCCTCCCCTCCGCCCAGAGAGAGGGGTGCTCGCCATGTTTCGCGCCCGACGCTACCGCATTTTGCTCGTATTTGCGGCGGCCTTTGTGTTGACCTTTCTCCATTTCTCTCGGTCGCGCGACTGGAACTACACCGTGATCGAAGACCCCGCAAAGACCCCCTCGCCTGGTTCTGGGCACCCGAACACTCGTCCGGAGACGAGGCCACTTCCTGTTCCTGCAGAGGAGAGCAAGCAACTCCCCCCCCGCGCCCAATCACGGCTCCAGCTCGTCCGCCAACAAGCAACCGAATGTTGGCCCAGAAGACTCGGCAAGACTTGAGAGCAGTAAGCAATTAGAAGCTGGTTCGAAGAGCAATGCGGCCGAGAAAGTTTCCAGCAAGATCAACTCGGATGACTCGATAAAGGCCAGCGTTGACAAGCAGTCGCCTTCGAAACCAGAGGCTGGATCCTCGAGCTTAGGGAGCTCGCTCTTCTTGCAGGTCGAGGAGATCGATCATGGAGGCACGGGCAGAGTCTCGGTGGAGCACCCCGAGAAGGGTGTGTCGAGACATTGGCAGAAGTTCCCTGAAAAGTTCCCCGTACCCTCAGGCGAGCTGATCAAGCTGCCCAAGGAGCGCCCTAAGGCTATTCCCAAGCTACAGGCCAAATTCAAGGATGAATCGACAGTTGAAAAACAGCAGCGGCTGCAGCAACTGAGCGCCGTCAAGGCCGAATTCAAGCACGCATGGGCTGGATACAAGAAGGCTGCGATGGGGCACGACGAGGTCAAGCCTTTGACCGCTGGAATTGATGATCCCTTTAATGGCTGGGGCGCGACTTTAGTGGATTCTCTCGATACGCTCTGGATCATGGATTTGAAGGATGAATTCTCCGAGGCGGTGAAAGCCATCAAGAAGATTGACTTTACCACCTCAGCCAGGGAGGATATACCAGTCTTCGAGACTGTAATCCGGTACTTGGGAGGTTTGATTGGTGCGTATGATATCTCAGGCCAAAAATATTCCGAACTCTTGGAAAAGGCAGAGGAACTTGCCGAGATCTTGATTGGCGCCTTTGATACCCCAAATCGCATGCCGGTTCTATATTACCGCTGGACACCGTGAGTCGTATACCATGGCGAGGCAAGTTTGCGTGCTAATCCTCGATGGCAGAGACCACGTTGCCCGGCCTCACCGAGCCTCAGCCAAGGCTGCCCTGGCCGAAATTGGTTCATTGTCTTTGGAGTTTACCCGATTGGCGCAACTGACCAAGGAAGATAAATACTATGACGCGATCGCCCGCATCACGAATGAATTGGAGCAGCTTCAAGACCACACTAATATACCCGGCTTGTGGCCTCTCCATGTCAATGCACAAGGCTGTGCTAAGTATACCCCCCAGCCGTGACATTGGTACCCCCACGCGCCAGGGGAATCGCCGAAAGATACACGCTTCGTCTTTTACAACCTCTGCCACCTCTGCCACAACGTCCACAACTGCCGAACCTACCACAGCCACCCGAAAGCCGGTCGCTGTGCCGACTGATCTTGACAGTTATCTGCGGTTGATTCAGCGCGATGGCTCAATCGACTATTCTCAATCGGAGCCCGCGGTCTACAGTCACAGTGGAAGTCATGCACAAGATTTCACGACAGCAGACAAGTGTGACGGTGGATTGGAGCTGCCCCTTTCGCAACGCGATAACAAGTATGGCTTGGGAGCTTTGGCCGACTCGACCTACGAGTATCTGCCTAAGGAGCATTTGCTGCTGGGTGGTGTGAATGAGCAGTACAAGAATATGTATAAGAAGGCGATGGACGCTGCCCGCAAGACTCTTCTCTTCCGACCTATGTTGAAGGGTGAACGCGACCTTCGGTTCATGGCATCTACAAGCTCACTGAACCCCGAAACCAAGGAGCCACCTCTTCCAAGCCAAATGATCTACGAGGGAACCCATCTGCAATGTTTCCTTGGAGGCATGTTGGCTGTTGGATCCAAGGCTTTCGGCATTGAAAGCGACATGGAAATTGCTTACAAACTGACTGACGCCTGTGTCTGGGCCTACGAGGCGACGAACACCGGACTTATGCCGGAAAGATTCCGAGTTTTGCCCTGCGGTAAGGACAAGTCCTGTGAATGGGACGAAGCTCGCTATGAAAAGGAAGCGCAGCGCTACTCTTCCGTTCTTGACGCCGAGGCGCAAGCTCGCTTCCGCACTAGCGAAAGTGCATACGGACAGCGCGTGAAACTAAATGAAGACAACAAAGCACAAGATCTTGGTGCGGGTGGCACGTCCATTCCTCTTCCCATGCCAGGATCCATGAACCCGCATGACGAGGATCCTTTACTCAAGCGTGATTCTTTTGAAATCGGGAGAACAGCCCCGAGTCCATCCCCTCTACCCCGGACTGCCGCCGACAGTGAAAGACTTGATAATCGCGATGCGCCTCAATCGCCTCGTCTTCCCCAGTCACCGGCCCTATCGCAGGCCGAGGGCAATGAGCGACACGACCGCATCCCGGCCGGCATGACGAGCATTTTGGCTCCGGAGTACTTCCTCCGTCCCGAGGCCATTGAGTCGGTGTTCATCATGTTCCGCCTGACAGGCGACAATTACTGGCGAGTCAAGGGGTGGAAGATGTTCGAGGCTGTTGCGAAGAACACACGTAGCGAACTCGCGCATGCGGCAGTTAAGGACGTCACATCGCAGAAGCCTACCCAGAAGGACTCGATGGAGTCATTCTGGCTAGCAGAGACACTCAAGTACTTTTACCTGCTCTTCAGTGATCCTAGTGTGGTGGATTTGGATAAATACGTATTGTGAGTACGTCTGACGTCGACGTGGGGACTTTAGGGCTGACTTGTTTTTTTTGTTTCCCAGGAACACCGAAGCGCATCCATTCCAGCGCCCAACTTCATGAGTTATGTTTTTCTGTTAGTGTTTTTATTTTTATTTTGTTTGAAGCTGTGTTGCATAGTGATACCAAAGTGCATATGCTGTTCATGTTTATTTTGTGATCTATCACCGTAAATCCATGTAGGTCATGGTAGTCTCATCCAGGTTCATAATTACAAGTCAGTGTAGTGTGGCCCACAGTGGAACTGATTTCCCCCGCCTCCATCGCATTCCGAATCTCCAACTCCCCTACATAGGACGGGATGACTGCTCTGACACACCCCCGAAGTCGCAGATCTCCGGGTGGGAAATGGAGCCCGAGGCTTTGGAGCCCGAGCAGTTCTGGAATGGTAAGCTGCTGTTCAGGGAGAGCTTCACCCTCCCTCGGACACGTCGACCATCCCATGCGAGCACCTATTGACACCCGACAGAACTCCAAAAAATCGTCTCCAAGCCCTGCGAATCCGAAGATAGCATTGACGATGCTCTGCGAGAGTATCTGAGCTTTTCGACCCAGTACAAAGGTGACACATCACCCTCTCCCCATCAAGTGCCCTTCCGTGCTGCGAAGGTCTCTGAATGAACACGCGGCTGACAAGATGGTGATTTTTGGATGCAGATGAGTTCCTCAGTACGGATTACGACATTTCGCGCTGCTCGTATAAATTATTCGCGTCGAGCATCTTCGCTGCACATGCGGATTATGTCCGAAGACAGATTATCTACGGTCTCTTGCAGGTACGACAGTTGGGAGAACTGCCCGAGACACACGCTAATCCTCCCCCAAGGAAGACGATCCGAACACCCTTCACCTGATTGCGTCGTTTCTTTTCTTCGACGGTCGGCAAAATGAGGTGGCGTTCCAAATGATGAATGAGGAGGGCGCGTTTGCGCGACTCCTCGAGTTGATTCAGGCGTTGCGAAAGGAGGAAATGGACGGCGGGGCGGGTCTCCACCGGCTTTTGATGGACTTGTTATACGAGATGTCGAGGATACAGCGTGTGAAGACCGAAGATTTGGGTAGGTCTGAGCTAAATCTGCAAGCCAAGGCTGGTCACTGACACGCTGGTAGTGCTTGTCGACGATGATTTCATTCGATGTCTGTTCGACATTATCGAGGATCTGTCCTTCGATGTCACGGATCCGTATCACTACCCTGTTATCCGAGTATTGGTGAGTGTTGAGACTGCCTTGATCTGATTATTGCCAACGCTGACCATCTGTGCAGCTGGTATTGAATGAACAATTCATGATTTCGGCTCACAAACCTGTGGATGAAGAATCCTCTTCAGGCCAATTGACCAACAAGGTCATCAAGATTTTGTCGATGTACGGAGGCTTGTACAAGACCTTTGGCGAGAATATCATTCTGCTTATCAATCGTGAAGGTACGAGCTAGAACACCAATCCCACACGAAGCTGCGATTAACATTCAAATAGCGGAAACCTCGTTGCAATTGCTAACGCTTAAGCTCCTCTACCTGATATTCACTACTCCAAGCACCTATGAGTACTTCTTCACCAATGACCTCCATGTGCTGGTGGACATATTGATACGCAATCTTCTTGACTTGCCCGAAGAAGCCGTTGCGTTGCGACATACCTACTTACGCGTTCTCTATCCGCTTTTGGCACAAACTCAGCTCCGACAGCCACCACATTACAAGCGACACGAGTTGAGGAGGTTATTGAACATCCTTGTCCGTGGCCAGATCACCTATGGCACCGAATCTGAACAGGCGAAGATGCTTCACTTCGAAGAAGTTGATGACACCACTCGACGCCTTGTTGCCAGATGTGCGACAGTTGAGTGGTTAAAAGATCCGGATCAACCAGATCAGCTGCCAACTCAGGACACTCCTACACAAGCAGTCACTGCTACGATTGATACAGTTCTCGACCAGACCATCCAGGAGTCTCCTGTAGATATCGGAGAATCACTTCATGTAACTCGCACTATCTCGCGTGACAGCAGTGTCCCAGACTCGCCTGGAACAGCATCTCCTACGAGAATGGACTCGATAGACTCTCGATGCTCTTCAGAGACGCCAATATCACGTCGACTCAGCGCCGTGCAACGGCTCGGCATGCTTGAACCAGCATCTGCATCTTCTCTCAGCGTTCAAGCAGTTGCGTCACTACGTGAGAAGCCAGGCATCCTTACGCCAAGCCGCAAAGACGGCCATGCTGCCAACAGTCTTTCCGGCGACACCCCGATCATTCGCCTACCAAAGGTCAGGCCTGAGCCTCCTAAAGCTCGACGATCGCGAGGCAGGCGTATGGCAGCTGATGATGAAGATCAGCAACACTCTGCAGGCACCAGTGGTGACCGCAACACGATCCCCGAAGGCGTGGAAGTCAGTCCTTCGTCCACGCACACGGCTCCAACACCAACCATTACAGACCCATCGTCACGGGCGCCTCCTGGAGAACGGCGCAACTCCACCACCAGCTCACGCCTCGTACCTCCAGTCCCAGCACACTCTCGTCGCTCCATATCCACCTCACCCCCAGCTGTCCCTCCTCCCCGGCGCTCAGCCCCCACAACCCCCTCATCTAGCCACCACCGTGCGATACCGATAGCCGGATCAGGAAAGCACGGACAGAAGCCCCTTCCGCCCAAGACGCGGCGCTCAGGCCGCGGAAAGCAGCATCTGCAAACCAATTCTATCGAGAGCGGGACAAGCAGTGGCAGTCTGATCAGAGAGAACGAAGCAGAGGTTGTAGCCATGAGCACTCTACCGCCTGGCCAACAACCGCAGTCATCGGAAGATGGCGTACTCTCCGACCCATTTTCGCCAACTTCTCCCACATCACCAGCTCTGCTTGTGCCACCATCTGAACAGCCAGAAGGGGGTAATGTACCGTTGAGTGTGGAAGAGGCAGTGCAGAATGTATCCCTCCACTAGAAGCAAAGGTAGACGGACAAGAATTATGACATACATCAGAGCATGAATATCATCAACAAAAGCTGAGCTAGTTCGTAAAACGCTGAATCAAAGTTGGGCAAAAAAAGAAGTAAAAATACAACGCTGCGAGTTTAACCCGGCCCAACCATCAGGGAGACCAAGCAAGGACCTCTCAATCAAGAGAATAAAAATTACAGGAGGGTCGCCTTGACCTTAAATCTTTAAGCCCCAAGACCTTCCCACGCCCACAGCCGTGTTTCCCACGAAACTAACACACTGACTCACCCCCTCAACCTTTTGCTTCAGAGCAAGTTTATCCTCAAATCGACGGTTCACAAACGCCTCAGTCTCACTCAGTTCCGGCGTCGGATCACGCGTCATAACCATCTCGGCCGACGCATAGATGGCAGATACCCCCAACCGGCGCGAGTACCAAGATCCATCGACGGCGGGGTCACCAGCTAGACAGAGAATATCGTTTGAAAGGGCGTGAAGCTCAGTAAGAGAGAGGGGAATATTGCCAAGAAGAGACATTTGCGCAAGGGCCTAAACGAAAGAGTAATTAGCTATCCATTTCAAACACCCATATCCATGTTCGTATTGATGTTCATGTCCACATCCATTCCCACGAAAGTGCGAAAAGCAGAGGAAGTAAAAATGAGAGAAAAAGTGAGAATGAGAAAAAACTTACACCCGACCACTGCTCTTTAATATCCTGATTCATTCTCAATCTCTCCATCACCAAAATCCGACATTTCTCTTCAACGTCCAAGGAAGACACATCTCTCCCGGTCTGATCGGCAACGCGACGGAAGAGCGCGCCTTCTTCGACCTTTGCGCGAAGCAAACCGCGTCGACTAGCGAGCCAGAACAGGACGAGGTCGAATTCGGCGCGCGGGAAGAGCTGCACGGAGACATCGAGGAAGCCTGCGTCGCGGGCGCCGAGGACGAGGGATTCGGCGGAGAAGCCGTGGGTCGGGATGTGGGCGAGGGAGGCGGTTAGGATTGCTGTTTGGCTGTTGTTGTAGGTATGATCTGGGAGGCGGGGGTGGAGGGTTGAGTGGTATGGGCGGATGTGAGGTGGTTGTTTTCTGGCGCTGGCGTGGGAGGGCAGGGAGGGGCGGAGGTGGGTAGATGCGGAAGTTGACGTCGGGGTCGATGATGGAAAACGGACGGATTTCAGGGAGAGAAGGGCCCGTCGGGGCATACGAAGGGAAGCCATGGTTTTGGAGAGAGCTGTGTCAAAGTTGAAGTTCAAGTGTAGATGTTAAGGTAAAGTTACGGTACAAAAGTCAAAGTGGAGATCTGCACGTGCTCGAGCACAGACTTGCATTTTAGCAGAGCCTTTCCTTGAGAAACTGGAATTGATACTAGAACTTGGGACAGGAACAGGAATGGAGGGAATCATCAAAATTGAAAACAAGAGTCATGTCAGATTTACATGATCTGGTCCTGCGTGAGGCCGGTGGGCTCGGTAGGCTCCATCATGCTCATGTCCTCAGGTCCTGGGCCGGCATTCAGGTACTTGACAAAGGTGATGCCCAGAGGGCGTCCTCCGTACTGGTAACCGGTGAATTTGGCTGCGAAGAGTTAGCAAGGCCTTTCTGGTTTCTTTTGAAGAGCTATGCATCTTACCAATTGCAGTCTCTGCAGTGTCCGGAGTATCAAATTCGACGACACCAGTGCCGCGCGAGCGGCCGTTAGGTTCGTACTGAATCTCAGCTCTTTCAACCTTACCGATGGTCGAGAACAGGTCGATCAAGTCCTCATTGCAGGTGGACCAGGGCAGCTGTGAAGACATCAGTGACTAGAAAAAGGAAAGAAAAATAAACTAGAGGGTATGTCAATACTCACGTTACGCACGTAGATAACAGCGCTCTTCTCGCCGCCGGAGGTAGCAAAGTCGGTGAAAGGGTTCGGGGGAGACGAAGCAACAGGAGCAGGAGGGGCACCGCCGGCATCGAAGCCACCACCGCCAAAGGCAGGGGGACCACCGTAGCCACCGCGGAATCCACCGCCAAAGCCGCCACGTCCAGCGAAGCCTCCACGGCCACCGAAGCCAGGACCACCGCCAAAGCCACCGCGTCCACCGAAGCCGCCGCCACGTCCGCCGAAACCGGGACCACCCCCTGCGAATCGGTCTTCGCGGACCTCGAGAGGTCGACCCTGCCACTCATATCCGTTGAACTGGGCAATGGCATTGCGCGCATCATCAGGGGATTCGAATGCAACGATACCGGATCCCTTGGGCGACCAGTGGGGTCAGTGTGCACATCGGCACGGATGACAGCTCCCTGCTGGGCTATCAAACGGAGATAAAGTCAATTCGCCAAGCGTTCACACAGGAAGAGGTCATGACTCAATACAGTCCGGGCATGAAAGTAATAACTTACCAGCTTGGCGGAACAGATCCTTCAAGTCTTGCCATCCCACATTGAAAGGAAGCTATACATGGATCCGTTAATATCACCTGGTTTTATCCAACTTTAGCAAAACAGGGGGGGGGGAGTGCTAGGATAACAAACGTTCGACACATAGAGCTGGCGACCACCGCCGCCAGCACCACCGCCTCCACCGGGGTGACCACCGAATCCGGGTCCACCAAAGCCGCCGCGGCCTCCGAAGTCGCCGCGAGGGGGACCGCCGATGAAACGAGGCTCGGACTCACGATCCTGCCAGCGTGGTCAGCGCCATTCTCATTGTACCTCTTGTAGACTCGGGTTGCTGCATACCTCGCGAACGTAGACAAGGCGACCCATCAGGTTTTGGTTGCTGAGCGTGTTGACAGCTTGTTGTGCTTGCTCCCTCGTTGCGTATTCCACAATCCTGCAGCGCGGTTAACTATTGATCCTCGCGGAATGCCTTGAAAATCGAACTCACCCGCATCCCTACATTATCCGGACGGCCAGGCCCAGCCCGTCAACCCAACAGTCCATGCAAAGAAACCAGAAAAACCGCGAAAAATCAGGGAGTAGAAAAGGAACCAGCCACTCTACGCATTGGCGCCCACCTTCGACATTCCATTCGGAAGAAGTAACACATCGGCAAAGAGAACCTCTCCAGCTGCAGCGCGTTATCAGTAACCGATCTCACAAGGTCACAACTCAAGCGCATCACGCATCACGCATCACGCGTCCACTCCCACTCACCCTGTCGCATAAAATCTTTGAGATGATGCCACTTGACATCGTAGGACAAATTGCCCACATAGACCCGGCGGTCTTGCTGAGACGAATCACGAACGGATTGCATCATATTTTCTTTGGCGACGGTACGATCCTCGAAACGCGGCGCGTATCCACTGCGTCCACCGTAGGGCGATCCCGATGGTCCAGTAGCTCCAGAAGCACTCAACGGAGACCGTGAACGGCGATCACGGGGGCGATAATCGTCACGGCTGCGAGAGCGACTGCGTGGAGTGTACGAGCGACGGCTACGTCGGGGACTGCGAGATGAACGACGACGGGGCGAACGGGATCTCTCTCGCTTGACGCGGTCAGAATCGGGGTATTCGGGGTAAGAAGACATGAAAAGAGGGTATGCGCGATTGCGCGCGGATCTGAGGGGGGAAATTGGGTGGGGATTCAAAGAAGAGATGAGGGGGTTAGGAGGCTCAGCGCAAGGAACGGAACTCGGGGAGAATGGAGGTTGCGGATCAGGTGACTTTGAGACATGCGCAATCGAGGACCCCCCCGGACGTTGGACGTTCGGGGCACTGCTCAACACACTTTCGTGCACGCATTTGGAGGGGGGTTTTGAAGCTTTGGCTTTTGGTTTTTGGGCTTTTTGCTTTCTGTCTTTCCAAATGGATTCAAATTCCAAGCAACCTGTCTAACCCCCCTCCTCTTCCTTGAGAGACCGACTCAGTAGACATCAGGAGGCGCATGGCGTGGGCCGCCCCCGCACTGACCATCCTAAAGTCGCGCGGCTCCCACGACCCTCCAGAATCGTCGAGGCATAGATCGCGAGGAGGATGAGAGCTAGAGAGATTGAGACTTACTTGATAGGGACGATATACGTCGGCTGAGGGCGGGGGAAGACAGCCGGTTAGCCAAGAAAGAGTAAGGGAAGATATAGGGGAAGTAAAAAGGAGGAAGGAAAGAAAGCGGGGGAAAAAGAAGAAGTCAGGCGTCAATAGGTTGGACGGGACTGATTGGATGGAAGGCTGGAATGGTCGGGAGCTGAGAATGTACCAAGGGGAAAGGTAATACAGAATACAGTGCTGGAGAGGAGAGGAACCCACCCATGATTTCAGGAGTTGCGCGTGGAGATAAGTGTTTGCGGGTTGAAGAGGGGGGGGAAAGGATGGAGAGAGGCTGGAAGTGAAGGTGTTCGGATTTCTGATACTCGAGCTGAACCTGGCCCCTCCACCGCCCTCGTCTGTATTCAGGCCAGGCCCGAGCTATACTATGCCCTGGGTGCCGGCATATCCTGATTGACCCTTCGATCTCTAACATCGGACGGCTGAGATCTTACAAGACTCTGTACCCTCGACCTCACCAGGTACCGACCATCGGATACCACCCGTCCCACAATCCAAGGCCCTGCGGTACTCAAGGTCCTCACGTACCACGATGCAATCCGAGACTATTATCATTCCCTTGTGTTTCTCTTACTGGAGGCGGATCAAATGCCACGCATTGCAGTAGTTTCAACATGTATGTGTTGCATTGGTGAACTTCACTATCAACGAAGGCGCGGGCGTGGGAATCAGAGGGAATCACAAACAAAGAGAACAAGCCCACCGACGCCTCCGGAACGAACGCCTGCAGTGTCTATTGCTGGCAACGAGAACCACAAAAAAAACACCCCCCCCCCCAAAGAAGAAAAAAACGATGAAAGACCGGAGCGCCTGCAACCCAGGGACGCATGACCAAATGTACATGTACAGTGAACAAGAAGGAAGGGGGGTGGGGGGAGGTCAAAAAAATAATAATAGAAAACCAAGGATAGAAACAAAAGAAGGTAAAGCATGGATCACGCTGCCACATTGGTCGGCGGGTATCGACCGGGAATCTTCATGTCGAGAGCCACAACGCTGTCTTGTCTGTCTGGCTTGGGCCGGACGTCCCACACGGGTCTAGTACTGGCTTCGGGGCTTTCAGCATCTTTCGCGAGTCCGTCGAGCCCATTGGAGGGCCCTGCTCCCCCAAACCCGGCCACTCCCGAATCCTTGCTGTCATCAACGGATGTCGCCAAGGTTTGGTTAGTGTGGTTGGTATAATTCGTGATGTTGGTGTTGGTCGGTGCCGTGGAAGTACTTTCGCGACGGGCCACGTTGGGAGGCGCAGACTGGTCGCGACGTTCCGCCATAGCGACACCAGACATGGCAGCTACTGAGTTGTGGTCCCCATCAGAGCGAATCTCGCGGTCGTCGGCTTTCAAGCCGTCGCTCTGCTGCTTCTGTCTTTGCTTGGCAACAATAACACCCGGGCCGATCCAATCGCCATAGTAGCTGTCATGTTGAGCAATTTGGGGCCGATCGGCAGGACGGTCAGTGGCGACTGGCGAGGAGACACCGTCATGATCATAGGCGTGGAAGCGCGAGTTATCCGGAAGAGTGCTTCCCTCGGGATATGACCCCGCAGCTGCGATCACGTCTCGCCCAGCGGAGCTATCTTCACTGGATGGAGACACAGGCGCCTGGAGATGCCGGTCGATTTGCACATCGCTTGGGAAAGTCCCGCCGGGCTGCCGGGAGGCAGAGGTGGGCCGATCTTGACCGAGAACCACGGATTCGGCTGAGTACGGGGTCCGGTCGGCTTCGTCATCCTCCATAACTTCACTGTTCATGGATCTGCCGCTAATGCTACGCACGTGTCGTCGCACAAAAGCGTTTCGCGCCTCTCCCGTTTTATTGCTCAGGCTTTCGATATCCTCGTACCAGGACATCATGGTCTCGTGGGATTCGGCACGGAAGACCCACGAGTGGCCTCGATGCATCGCACCGGTCTGACGGCCCTTGAGCATAAACTTGTGGGAGCTGGAATCTTCCTGCGAGTGCGATCCAAGCTTCTGCTCTGGCAGGTACAATGACATGATAGGAGTCTGCCATGCCACGCGATCGGCCGACTTGTACTCGTGCAGGTGAGTTGGCGACAAGACATACCAGCCGGGAGTGTAGCTCTTCAGATACTTGCTCTTACGTTCAAGCATACCAGCGCGAACTTCGGCCGCCGCCGGATGATCCTTCCCATCGTAAGTGATACTCTCGACGTTGCGCAGTGGCACTCGGGGGTCGACCAGCTCATCGGTGTTGGCGACAAATGTGTTCCACTCATGGTCCTGTGGCATCGAAATCGGCCCCGCTCGAAGCTTCTCCACCGTATCGTAGGCCTCATCGGCTTCGCGCTTAAGAATGCTGGCGTAGGCGTTGTAAGCCTTCTGAATCTCGCTCACGACAATCGATTCAAGCTCGCGACCGGAATTTTCCAAGTTCAAGAATGCCCGGTGCAGATAATTCTCCTCTTCGATCTGCTTCTCCACCTGCTTCTCGACGTTGAGACGCATCAAGAATGGGTCACCTTTGCCTGATGTTGCGGAGGGATCACTATCAACGAGACCCAAGGACTCGTGCAGATGGCGCACGGCCTTGCGCGTGCCTTCGATTTCCTTCTCAACCGTATTCTTGAAATCTCCCGAAAGGTTCTTGATTTCCTTCGTCTTCTTCTGCAGGTCACTTCTTAAACCGGTCAATTGACTGATGACCTCAATTTCCACCTCGACGGCCTTGTTGGCTTCGTGATATCCCTGCCGGTGGAAGCTTTGGAGAATCTCAATCGCATCGGCGAGGCCACCAGACTGGAGGAAGCCCGGCGGGGTAGGCTGGCCGTTCATAACATTGGAGGCGGATAAGAAAAGCTTTGATCGGGTCTCGTAGGATTTTTGGACCTCCTTGAAGAAGAGGATCAGGTCCTTCAGGATTTTGCGCCAAGCTGCGCGATCGGTCAGTCGGGGTCTGTGTAGACAAGCTACCAAAAATTCATACCTTGGAACCGAGTTGCAGGGACCTCGGTCGGGTTGCCAGTCGTTGGGACGGGGACAGCGAAGACACTGTTCATATCTTCGGTGCCATCGGTATTGTATTTCTCACGGTCGCCCAAGCTTAAACTCCTCACACTACCGGCGCGCATGGACCGGCGGCTCCCATTGCGTCGCAAACTGCCCTTCTTGCTTAGGGATGCTTTCTTTCGCAGAGTACTCGAGCGAGAGGGGACTCCGGACATCTGCGAGGCGGATCGCTGGATGCTAGGGACATCGATGGAGCTGCGGTGACTAGCGGTCTCGAAGTCCTCCTTAAAACGGGGGTTGTGAGGCGCCGGGGACTGATCGCGAGCGCCGTGACTGTAGTGAAAGGCGGAGCTGTTGCCGGCATAAGAGTTGGGCCGGGTGGACGCCCGGAGGGAGCCATATGAGCGACTCGGCATGTTGGGGTCATTGGATTGTGCCCTCAGGTATGATGCATCCTGCACAGGCGTCTGCGGCCGCGCGGCCATGGCCATTATTGCGGGAGTATCGGGAACGTGGGTGAACGTTAGGGAGACACGTTTACCCAAGGATGTGAGATCGGAGGAACGAACAGAAAAAGAAACGCGAAAGTAATAACAGGAGGGGAGGTGACTGGGACAATAATCAAGACTATGGCGTGGCCGTGGTTACCAGGCGAACGGAGGTGTTTTGCGGGGAGTTTGCTCGGTGTAGAGCAGGCTTTGGGTGAGAGTCGTCGAATGGTGATCAATCCAGGCCCCACACAACAGACTATCGATGGACGGTGAAAAGGGATGGGAGGATCGAGGATAATGATAGCAAAATCGCAGGTTCATAAGATCGAGGAGGGGGAAAAAGATGAAGCCACAGTGAATGACGTCTACACGACTCGAGGTTCGATGACGAGCCTGAATTTTGGGTGAAAGCTTCGGGATTCCCGGCTTGTTGAGGGGAACGCAACTCCCCCCAAAGCTAATTTCGCACGAAATTCACAATGGTTGACGTCGAGGACTTCGGAAATATCCTCCGAGGGGATCTTTTCTTTTTTCTCCCTTTCTCACGGTTTCCTTTTTTTTTTTTGGACTTCTTGGTCCTTTCATTCAGGGGCTTGAATATCGTCGAAAGGGGCCGTACATTGATATGAAGATCGAGATCAATCTGGCTGCCTGCGTGGCTGACGACAGTGGCTCCGCCCCGTCGAGCCCCGTGCAAGTACAGTCAGAACACCCCTGGATGGCCACGCTCGCGATGGCGAGGTGATCCACACCAGCTGTGGCTCAGTCGGAGAAAAGGGGCCATTTCTGCCCGAAAGGCCCCTGATCAGAAAGGCTGCATGACGTCGGAACGGGGCATAAAACATGGCATGCCCCTTGCTGTGGCCTTGGGAGTGCACGAGGCCAATGCTTCCGAGCTTTGATGCCACCATGACTTAATAAGCTCAATCATCGTGGGAATTGATCGAAGTGGTGCCCCGATTTGGCCCATTTGGGTTACTCTTCCGTGCTCTGCATAGGTAGGTTCTTAACTTTCCCCCACAGTGGAACTCCCCATGCGTACTGTAGGCAAGTTCAATATATCAAAGGCAATCGGGACCTCGATGCTACAAGGTTTATCATGGGCCTTGGTTCGTGGTGACCCATCATGACGAGGTTGCCTTGCCTCGGTTCCATGACCCGTCTGTCTGTAAACGTGGGCGCCAGGATCCAGGATATCATCAGCTCTTCAATAGTCAAGGGTGTCATTCATGTAAGGTCCCCTGTAGTAACATGATTCATACGTAGATGATGGATTGGAGGTCCAGGAGACTTTGATATACCCGCACGATCATTGGCCACCCTAGGAGAACCCCTCCACGCGCCGGATTCTACCTCCACCATCACTGACGTTCACGACACGGCTCATATCTATAAAGATGGGCAATTGACGTCAAGCTGGCGATATGGATGGCTAAGCAATACCATATTGTCCTTGACTTAGTCATCTGACTCGATCTCTCCACAACTACGTGCGGCGCGAGGATATCCATTCCGTATCCTACAGCCTACTTTACACTGTGCATCGCTTCGAACAGAAGAAGGACTTATTCGGACTGACGTGTCCGGCATGCTAGAGACGCAACATGATGAAGGGGGATAATTTACACAAAGCGCCCGGAAAGAGAGAGAGGCAATCAATGAAAAGGAACATTTATGATGCAGGGACCGGAGATGTGGGAACCTCGATGCCGTACGCCTCCTTGATCCGCTCTGCACGGCGCTGCTCATAGCCCGGGCCGTAGACACCTGAGAAATTGTTAACAATAAGTACTGCGTTTCATCAAAGTGATCGTAATGGGAAAACATACCACGCCCCTCACCCAGCTCGGCAACGGTCTGCTCGCCGGCAGTCTGGAAGTTCTTCCGCAACGCGGTGCGACGATCATACTCATCAACATCTTGGTCCTTCTTATATCCAAAGAGGCTGCCACCAGTGTATTCGAAGACAGTCATAAAGGTTGACAAGGCGGCGCCGTAACCGAGAACCGCGGGGAAAGTACGGACTGCGGGCGCTCAAAGTTAGTACTTGGGCGGCAATTGACGAAAAAGCGGGGGGGGGGGGCTCTTTTAAATCTCACCTCGGAAACCAAGGATAGCACCGGAGAAGAAGCCACCGATCGCGGTGTTCCAAGTGTCGTTCTGCTCGCGCAAGTTGGCGGAGGCCGTCTTAACGAAAGAATAGGTACCTCCCATGGCAGCTAAATAATAAAGAGAATTAGCATTGACATCCCAATATTACTTTTCACACATAATTCGTACCAAGGACACCGACGGTGCTGCCGCTGCGCATGAAGATGCCCAGCGATCCGACGTTCTGCCTGGCCAGGGTGTTCTGGACAGCAGAGCCAACAAGACCAATAGTACCCGTCAGGGCAGTCGCCTTGATGGCTACCGAGAGCGCATCCTGGGGGTCGTAGCTGTGATCCTCAGACTCGTGGTGCGCCATGGTGGATTGGAGGGATGGAGCTGCGGGTGCAACGGGATGTCGTTCGAAATGGGATTTTGGGATGTGTTTTGCTAGAATTCACCGCCCTATTCACCGCCCTACTTGAAACATGGAGCTCGAGGCTCATTCTAGACAAGAGTAATCAGTACATGAAGGCTCTTTGGTCATTTCTTGGCTTGCTAGCTCTACGAGACTACGCCATACTTTGATGTTGGCATTTTGTCCAAGACTTTCTTGCTGCCACTTCTCAACACTCTAATCCAAGCTTGCCGCCCGCTGCTGCCCAGTGCGGTGGGCTCCCCGCTGTCTCTCCGCCAGTACGATCACATTACACGAGACTAAGCCGCTCACTTCTGCACACCTTGTTCGTGGCTTCGTCTGATGGACTGTTCCCATCTGGAAGTCCCCGAAACTGCTGTATTTCTCCAACCACCGCAAATAGCTGTGCCTTGTAACCATAGAGCCACTGCGTCATGGCTCATCCCCACAAGGCCGGTGAGTACTGACGAAGAACATCATCTGAGCCCGACAACAATGCGACATATTTACTAATTGCCGCTTCTTGATAATGTTATAGGCAAAACTGCTCCCCGGCTAGCGGAGGACATACGATTGTACGATCCAGCCCATCCTCCAGGTACCGGCCGCAACCTGCTCTCCGAAGTACCGCCAGTATTCCAAGAACGTCGTGATGGGCCACAAGACTGGATATCTTCCGAGGCGTGCCAGCATAAATACTTAATAAAAGCGGACCAAACTTTCCTGGCGCAGGAAGAGCTGAAAAGAAGGCCGGGTGCATCATCCAAAGTGTCTGCCATTTGCTCAAGGTGCCGGTGCCATCTACAGGTAGTGGTCAATCACAATAGTGGTGGAAATACTTTCGCACGACAAACCCGAGAGGGCCACCTTCATCATCTTGTGTACAAGTCAGGAAGGCAACACGGCACATCATCTGTTGAGGTGACAGAGCAGGGGCAGGTGGTTGAAACATTCCACTATCAATGCTCCCATATTTCGTGCTCGGCTATGGTATCGCTGCGGATCCTGTCTCCTCTCCTCAATCCGCATTTTTTATATCTCCTGACAGATCCAGAAGCGATTCGCCAGCGAGCGGAGGAAGCGATCGCGGCTGAGCCAGAGCGCTTGGAGGGCATGGCGAAGCCTTTGCCTATAAATGTCTTGGACAACCTGCGTCTCTACCTTTCCAACTCTCTTCACAACAACAAACTCAGCAAAGCTATCTCTGGGAAGAACAAACGTTTTATGATTTCCTTCGGTGTGGACGGTAAACCTTGTCAACAGCTCTTAGAGTTTCTTGGCTTTACGTACCGTGAGGTTTGTACCGATTTCTTTATCCCAGAATCAATTTCCTTTGTTAATTCTTTCACTAGGATCAAACTTGGCAACCTCCTCAGCCAGATCCGAGAGCGGAGACTCCATACCAAGATGCACTCTGTGTATTCCTTGACGACGTCATCCATGAGTTACTTTCATTAATTAACTACCGACCCTTATCGGAAAGAAAAGGAGTCACAGTTCCAAATCTACCTCCAACTGCATCAGACAGTATCCTTCAAGCTTTGGAGGCCTCGAACTGTCGGTATTACCCCGCCTATCACAAGCACCGAAGCTGACTACCGGAGTAGATTCGAAAACACCCCGCGCCGAAAACTTCGAAATGGCTTACGCTCCGTTCGTCACTCCTGTCCTCGATGATGGATACCTGCTGACTGTTCTGTTGAAGGTATTACGAAGATCTTGGAGTGGTCGAAAACATGGACACTCCGTTAATTATTGACGCCTACCGCCGACAAGTTTCCTTAGATTCGGCCAATGCACCTCATTACCTCGAATGTCTCAAATCCATTGGCATGCTCCGTGGTGGCCAAGACTGGGAATGTATTGATCAGGCTGTCCAGGCCGCCTATGCAGAAGGGAAGTATACCATGAACGACTTGGACGCGGCATACAATTATTTCCATCTCTCACGAGAGGATTCAAGCATCACCGAAGACAACATCATTGGGAAGTATTACGCATACCTGGGCTCGGTCAGCCAGAGTGACCAGATATTGGAAGCTGCACGGAATTTGTGGCGGATTGGCAACAGCAGGAGTAGCGATCGTATAATGGCCGTTTCTGAAGATCGCGTTGGTACTGCGGAACAGGCTGAAGTTTTCCTCGGCATCGACGCAAACACCCCGGATGACTTTATCATCACCATGTACACTGCAAAGCTCACCGACAATCCAGCTTGTAAAGATTTGGCGGACAAGGCACTTAAGCTGATTGCGGAGAATCGAAACTCAATTGGGTTGAAACATTTCCTTGATACTGGTGAAACGGTGGAGGGTGACATGGATATTGGGGATGCATACCGCCTGCTCCAAATTCCAGACCGGACTGCTGATGCCGACGCTGTCATAGCAGCGTACACCATCTGCGTCAATGAAAATGCCGGCCAAGCCGAAACCTATCACCGTGCTTTGAGCATTATTGCAAAGGAAATGGACAATGTCGGCCTAAAGAACTTGGCTGGCATCTCTACTGAGCCAGATCGTGATTTGTTGGAGTGGCCCGTTGGCCTGCAAAACATTGGCAATACATGCTATCTCAACAGTCTCCTCCAGTTCTACTTCTCAGTCCGCCCCTTCCGAGACATGGTCCTTGATTTTGAAAAACATCAAATGGACCTGAATGATGAGCAGAGTGTTTTTCAAAAGCAGGTCGGATCTCGAAAGGTAGCCAAGAAAGAAATCGAGCGTTCGCTCAAGTTTCTTGGGGAGCTTCGTAATCTGTTCCATGAAATGATCGGCTCTACAAGATCTTCCGTTATTCCTGGCCCGGAGCTTGCACGATTGACTTTGATTAGTCCTGGGGGCGAAGCTGCTATTCGTCGCAGGTCCACGATAGGAAAGTCCTCAAGTCTGGGTGAAATTGAAGGAGCACCTATTCTAGGACCTCTTGGACCCCCTCCTCCTATTGCGGAGGAGCAAAATGACCAGACAGTAGCCTCCGAAGTCGCCAAGTCGGTCCATGCCAAAGACCCGAACCCTGCTGGTGTGGGTAGTGATGCTGCCTTGTTGTCTGATGACATTGAGCGCGAAGGTCTCGGTGACAACGAAGATTGTGATGTCCTTTCGCCAAAGACAGGGGAGCCTGAAGGAGGGGTTCCTCTTGACTCCGATTCCAAAGCCCCTAGTCGTCCGCCGCCGGTCCCCCCTCGCCCAGTTCCGGAAGTCGATCGCCAGAGGCAATTGATTGAAGAAGTCGAGATCGGTGCCCAGCAAGACGTCACCGAGGTGATCAACAATGTTCTTTTCCAGAGTCAATGTGCCATTAAACCAATTCGTGTGGCCGCCGATGGCGAACAGGTTGACCAGATCAAAGAGTAAGCCTTTCTCACTTGAACTGCGAAACCTATGCTAAATATTCTCATTTCAGCTTGTTCTACGGTCAAACTCGGTCCTACATCTCCACTGGGAAAGGGACCCGATCCAAGGAGGAACGATGGTGTGATATCAAAGTTAATGTGGCAGGTGGTTCGCGTGATATCTATGCTGCGATTGATGGAGCTTTTGATGCCCAGAAAATCAGCGTTGAAGATACTGAAGCCGAGCAATACGGATCTATCACTCGACTGCCTCCAATCTTGCAGATCCAGGTTCAGCGGGTTCAATTTGATCCGGTGAAGAAGAGCTCTTTCAAGTCGACACACCACCTTGAATTGCTGGAGACTATCTACATGGACCGATACATGGACACTCAGAAATCGGAAATTGTGGATCGTCGTCGTCGGTGCTGGGAGTGGAAAATCGCACTAAAGTCACTAGAAGCTCGTAAGGCTGAGCTACTTCGAAAGCAGGTATGTCAAAAGGCCAATGGCCAGGCAAGATTCCAACCATGTGAACAGGTAAACTAACCCAACACCTAGGAGGAGGACGGCCTCACTATGTCCCAGCTACTCAGCAACGCCAAGGAAGCTCTAGAAGGCTTGGAGGAAATAACCGCGGAGGACTCTTCGCAGATTGAATCGTTATCATCTGAGCTAGATCTTCTCTCTGAGAGCGCGAATGCCGAGCTCCAAGCGATCGATCAACAGGCACAGGACACCAAAGCGATGATCTCGAACCAATTCGCTGAGTACCGCAACCTTCCCTACCGCCTGTACGCGGTCTTTGTACACCATGGCTCCGTCTCTTTTGGTCATTACTGGATCTACATCTACGACTTTCGGAAGGACATGTGGCGCAAGTACAACGACGAGTATGTGACCGAAGTCAAAAATCTGGATGAGATCTTCAAGAACACCGGTACCTCCAACCCGCCCACACCTTACTTCCTAGTCTACATCAACGAGAAAATGAAAGAACGCCTCGTCGATCCTGTCTGTCGCGACATTGTCCAGCACATGCCGGATGCCCCGATCGCCGAGACCTCTGCAGAGGTACCCCTCGCCATGGAAGGTATTCAGGCCACTCAACCTCCTGAGGACGTGGACATGGGTCTGCCTTCATATGATGAGGTGGCCGGTGCAGGAAAGGATTTGTCTCAGTCCAGCGTTGATCCCAACCCCTGAGAAGGGCATTTCTTAACGACTTCACACATTTAAACACGAGTCCAGTGGATCTGGAATACGACTTATGGATGGTAGGCCATATCTATTCAATCTCTTTATTCTAATGTCCTCATGTCTTTTGATGTCCCTGCATGAGCGAGAAGATCATTTCTATCATGTACATATGAAAGATACCACAAACGAAGTGTCATTAGACCGGCTAACCCTAGCTATGATTTATAATCCTAGAGCAGGCACATAATCTTACTTCATGATTTCCCTCGAACCCTGCGGTCAATTGCTGGCAGATTCAATGGAGGTAAAAACGAAGCAGTGAGGCCCGGCAACCATTGATGGGATTCTGATTCAAGAATTGAGGCGTGGAAGTGGGCCCCAACAAGCCGTTAACAGTAAGAACGCCGAAGATCGCCGCCAACAAGAACTACTGAAGCTGGCTTTCCATGTCGTATTACGTCAATTTATTAATTGATGGAAAGCGCACAGTAACATGAGATGGGAAACCCAAGTTGAAACTTACACTTGAAGGGCTTGTAAGATCTACAAAGACGTTCCGAAGTGGCCATCGGAAGAGGATATAGCCGGCGACGATGATAAGTCAGCGACCCTCTCTTCCCCGGAATCTTCCCCGCAGCGGGATCGCAGGAGGCTTTGAACACCTAATGGATGTATAACAGATCTATTGGAGTCTACAGAAAAATAATAGCACCTACAGTATTGAATATATAGCCTTTGAATCCTAGGAACCAGCAGAGTCGAATTAAATCCAGCAACCGAAGTCTAACCGATCGGCTCAGATACCATCGGGTGCGGTGCGGGTAAGCCTACTTTGTTCCGCGCGATCTTGCCGCCGCCTCCGCACCATAAAAGGCCTCGCACACCACTTCCTGCGCTCATGTTGCGCTTTTGACTATTAGGTGGACCTGATATTCCTCGTCATCCTTCTAACAGCAACTTATCTTCAATTCGCGATCATGCCTTCTCAAGTGGCAACATGTTTGCGCATCGCGCGGCAGTTCTCTGCTGATCCGGCCAAGGTGTGAGCTTCCACTATACTGGAAAGTAACTCAATGCTAATCTGAAACGCTCGCTATAGCACCAGCGCTTTCTGGCGCGCAATTTCTCAAGCTCCGTGCGACGCGCCGCGATCAACAAGGTCTTTGCGTCGGCCGAGGAGGCCATCAAGGACATGAAGTCGAACTCGACTCTGCTTGCTGGTGGATTCGGACTCTCTGGCGTGCCAGATACTCTGATCAATGCCGTGCGAGCTAACTCATCCATCCAAGGATTGACAGTGGTCAGCAACAATGCCGGCGTGGACGGCTCCGGTCTCGGTTTGCTCCTGCAGTCCAAGCAGATCACAAAGATGATCGCTAGTTACGTGGGCGAGAACAAGACTTTCGAGCGCATGTACCTTACTGGCGAGATTGAGCTTGAGCTGACTCCCCAAGGAACACTCGCTGAGCGTTGCCGCTCTGGTGGTGCCGGTGTCCCCGCATTCTACACCCCTGCGGCCTTTGGTACCGTTGTACAGACTGGCGACCTCCCTCTGCGTCACAACAGCGACGGTACTGTCGCGCTTTACAGCCAACCTCGCGACACCAAGGTCTTCGATGGCAAGAGCTATGTCATGGAGGAGGCTATCAAGGGTGACTATGCCTTTGTCAAGGCCTGGAAGGCTGATAAGCTGGGTAACTGCCAGTTCCGCTATGCTGCGGCTAACTTCAACGGCGCCATGGGCCGCAATGCCAAGATGACCATTGTCGAGGCTGAACACATCGTTGAGCCCGGGGAGATCGAACCGGCTGCTATCCACCTACCCGGTATCTACGTCAAGCGCGTGATTCAGAGCACCACCGAGAAGAAAATTGAGAAGTATACCTTCGCCAAGGAGGAAGGTGCCGACACCTCTGCTTTGGGTCAGGGCGAGACTGCCAACAAGCGTGAGCGTATTGTCCGCCGTGCTGCTAAGGAGTTCAAGAACGGCATGTACGCCAACTTGGGCATTGGTATGCCCATGCTGGCTCCTAACTTCGTTGACCCTTCTGTCGAGGTTACTCTTCAGTCTGAGAACGGAATTCTTGGTCTTGGTCCCTATCCCAAGAAGGGCGAGGAGGATCCCGATCTGATCAACGCGGGCAAGGAGACTGTCACTCTCAACCCCGGTGCTTCATGCTTCGGTAGCGACGAGTCTTTCGGCATGATCCGTTCTGGACGTATCGACCTGACTATCCTGGGTGCCATGCAGGTCAGCGCCAAGGGTGACCTGGCCAACTGTACGTGACATCGTCCCTTTCCCTTCAGTATCATTTTTTTTTTTGCTAATTTGAGTCTACAGGGATGCTCCCCGGTAAAATCAAGGGCTTCGGCGGTGCCATGGATCTGGTTTCAAACCCGTCGGCCACGAAGGTCGTCGTGACCATGGAGCACACTGATAAGAAGGGCAATCCGAAAATTGTCAAGCAGTGCGAGTTCCCGCTGACCGGCCCGGCCTGCGTCAGCCGCATTATTACTGACCTCTGCGTCTTCGACGTGGACTTCACCGACGGTCTCACCCTGGTTGAGATCGCCGACGGTGTCACCGTCGAGGAAGTCAAGGCCAAGACCGAGGCACCGTTCAAGGTCGCCGACGATCTGAAGCCCATGCTGTAAATTGCATTTCAATAATACTATCTGTTTGATGACTTGCGAAAGCATACCGAGATTGGCATTGTACATAGGGAATTTTGAGCTTTCGGAGTCATTTCCAACCGGCGGAATGGAACAAAGATATCATGTCTCCAAGACACTGAATTATTCCGTATGATCAGACATTTTGTACACCTGAGTAGTGATGCAGCATAGAAAGAGTTTTATATTGTACAAGCCATGTAGACCCAAAGCTCCCATGGACCCCCAAAAACACCTCGAAACCCTCAAACCCATTTATACCTAACGCGATATTGCAGTATCACTGCAAGCGCAGGATACCGCCGAGTCTCTTCTTTACCCGACCAAACCAATCGCGATTCGGCGCCTCCTCAAACTCGCGAATAAGGTTATCGAAGTATTCCGGGTCGCTGGCTGGGTATCGGATTTTCTCGGAGATCGGGTATGCACGCGCGAAACGGTTCTCTAGAAGAGCGGAGAGCGCATTTACTGAGGACTCAGAGATCTCTGCTTTCGGTGCTGGCGTCGAAGTCGGCGTGGAAGACGATGTTGGCTCATTTTTGGGGAGTGCAATGCGGGACTGGAGGTAATTTTGCACTGAAACGGAGGCTGGACGCACGGCGTCAGAAGGCCAGTGTTTGAGGATATGCGAGAGGCGAGTTTGGACGGAACTCGGGTTGAGGGACTGTGATTTGTTAGAATTAATATGGCATAACAGATAATGCTGGATTATGCTCGGAGGTGATGAATAGCCCGAATAGACATACCGGCTTCGACATGTTGCAGGTGGCAAAATTGTAAGAGCAGGCAGCTAAAGAAGCGATGACCAGAATCCAGAAACGTCGAAGGTCGGATTGTCAGCCGGGAAAGTCATTCTCTGCCTCAGGCACCCGCAACTCCCTGTTGCCTTCGCCCGTTTCCAACCATCCTTGAGTCTCGACTATCCTTTCTCTTTTTCCTATTTCACTTTGTTTCCCTCATTTATACTGCTTCCTTTCCCGGGCCTTCCGCTCAGCTCGTCATGAGCTCGCAGCGCTATCAACGGGTTTGTCTTCCCCTCCGCTGATCCTATTGCCCCAGTCGCAAGCGCCCCGTTATCACGACTCTTTCCCGACTAACATTCCCCACCCAGGTGAATGCCCAGGATGAAGAGGATGGCCCTCACTCCTATCAGTTGAACCCTGCTCGATCCGATCTCAATCCGACCTCTCCGCCGCCCTCATTCCGCTCTCGTTCATCCTCGCCGTCATCGAGACGACTATTGCATGACGATCCACTCCGCCACGATGACCAGGAGCTTGCTGACGCCTTTGGAGATGAGGACGGCTCTGACGATGACGGCGAGCCAGACGACAGGCAACGGTTGATGCGGGCCAATACCGATGGATGGGCGCCGCCGGATCATACACAGACCCCGATGTCTTCCTCGTCGGAATCGCGGAACGATGCACAAGAGCCGACCCGAGCTGCTCCAGGGATCGTACGACGACAGACTATGTTGCCGACCTTCGCCACCCCGGATCAGGGGGTAGTCGCTCCGTCGCTCCTTCTAATGACGGCGTCTTCGCCAACCTAGCGGCCAAGCCAGAACGAGGCGAGAAGAATGAGGATTTACCTCCCGTAAGTGATAATTTGAACACGGAAATATGCGCTCTGAATCCGTTACTGATCTGTGGTTCAATGTTTAGTCTTACGAAGAGGCGGCCGCCGACGCCACACCCCCATACTGGGAAACCACGATTGTGGCGCCTGGAATCGGATCCGACGAAGTATACGTGGATGGTTTGCCTGTTGGGTCTATCTTCTCATTTGTGTGGAATGCCATGATATCAATGTCCTTCCAACTGGTCGGCTTTTTATTGACATATCTTCTGCACACCACCCACGCCGCAAAGAACGGCAGCCGAGCGGGCCTCGGTCTCACCCTCGTTCAGTATGGCTTCTACATGAAGGGCGGCAGCGAAAGTTCTGGCACCGGCGGCGGGGGAGATCAATACGTGCCTCCCCCCCGACCCCAACAGTCACAGCTTCGATCCAAGCTCAGTTGGTGAGAACGGAGGAAGTGACGGAGGTGCCATGTCGACCATCAGTACCAGCGAATGGATTTCTTACGTCCTTATGATTGTCGGTTGGTTCATTCTGATCCGCGCGGTTAGCGACTTCCTTCGAGCTCGGCGCCATGAGCAACTGGTGCTTCAGAGCCCCGACCGTGGCCTTGGCGTGCCGGTGATTGCAGAGGGTGAGCGGTCTGAGACCGTTGTCTAATTGGGCTAGGAAAGGGTTGGGATCACCACGGCGTTGGCAGACGGAGTTTTATTTATTCTTTCCTGGACATTCCCATCTGGAGCACTCTTTTTACCTCTTTTTCTTTTTCTTTATCTGCATTCTCTCTCTCGTTTTATAGCCTGCTAGCTAGGGAGATACCAATTGTTGACTCTTCACTACGCCAACTAGGGAAGCTTCCAAAAGTATATCCAGACCAACAACGTAATCCAGCAGCCTGCCCACGCCGGCCGCGTACTGCGCCACACCTCCAGGCAGTCCTCTGTCGCACTTCCCTTGCTTCAATTCATTTTTGGCCAGTCAATCTGGAGCTAGCGTGCTATTCGGTAACACAGGGGGGGCAATTAAAGCTGAAGGCCCCCCATCGTCATGGATCACTGAGGGCCCACTGAAGGACCCGCCTGTATTTACTGCCCTTTTCCAACCCTCCCAAGAACTCCTCCTTTCAACCTTGGAACACCTCGACCTTGACCTTACTCGAACTTCTCGGGGCCGGCGCACTGCGGCCGCGCCATGTCTACCGTTGCGACCCAGGGCCCCGTCGAGGCACGATCGCTCTCGTCCATCACCGCCATCGCATCCAACCCCCCCCGCCTATCCGCGCAATCCCACCCACGAGAAACACGACCCTTTAGTGCTATACATCGTCCGGGTCCCCGGCAGTCAAGGTGCGCCTGTCTCATATCCTGCACTCTTATTCACACATCGTTTCTTCTGGTTCTTCATGCGAGAGCTTTTGGCACCTGATGTCGTCATGATAAGCCCATTATTGATAGATGCCCGCATGAGACAGATATATTCCTCTCTCCTCTCAAGCCACCGACGAAATCTAGCGTCTCCGCCGAGGCAATTAACGCGTCTCTATACTATCTCCATGTTGCGACACCTGACGACGATGCGCTACTGCAGGAAGTCGAGCAAGAGCGAGAGGAGGAGGCTCAGCGCCGGAGGGAGGCCTTGGAGGCTGCCGGCGCAGATGCAGATGATCCTTCGCAGCGCGAGTTTCTTCGTATGAACAAAGTCCGAAGGAAACCAGTGGGCGGCAAGGATCTAGACCAGGAGAATGAAGGGCCGATGCAGCAGAATAGCGTGCCTCAAGCTCTAGCAGAACTTCCAGCAGCGCCGCCACCCTTGCCGCGCCGACCTAATCTCACGCCTGAAGTCTCTACAGAGTACATGTCCTTTACTGGAACATCTGTTGCCAATGCGCAGCAACATCCTACAAATCGACTTATACCGGTAGTGCCGAGTCCGAATACCCCAAACATTCTCCCGCGGAGGCCTCTGCCACCTGTGCCTCCCACCGAAGAGCCATGGAATCAGCACCCCGCAGGCGAAGTTGAACCTCGAAAGACAAATCGATGGACCGCTTTTACCGGGAATCGTGGAGTTGAAGCTTGGAAGGAAAGACATGAAGTTTCATCCGCAGGCCGACATAGTCTTGATGCCAACAGGCCGCCATTGCCGCCACGCCCAACGTCACAGGAACGTCCACGCTCGGCAAATAGAAGCCCAGGTGGCTCTCCTCATCGGCAAAGAAAAGGCCCCCCCCGGCCTTGCAAACAACCCGGGCTTCACTATTACACTTATTCGACGTGATCCGTCGTCTGGGACGCAATGGAATGTTGCAACGATTACGGCACCAAGCCTGAGACCGCAATACTATTGATATTGAGATAGCTACACCAGGATATAATCGATTTACCGGGTCCGATGAACCCCTCTCACTCGCAAGCCTGGCTGCCAATCTGCCGCCAGGCTTGATACGCACCGCTGAAACTGCCATGCCGCAGCCCCTCCCAGTCGAGCAAATAAGTGAAAAGCAACTGGGCCCGCGGAAATTCCACCGCCAAGTCTGCGTCTCCAAACCATTCGACGACTCAAACGGCACTCGTCACCCTTCAGACCTTAAGAGCGGCTATTACGTCTTCAAATCACCCTGGAATGGCACCTGCACATTCTCCAGCAGCGTCAACGGCCGCAGTCTCAAATGTAAACATATGATCTCCGGACCAGGTCATGCCCCTATAAGCGAAGGCGAGAACCCCAATCCCGCTGTGACAGTCGCCGAAATTCGCTTCAACACTCCATTCCAAGCAGCAAATTTGCACTATCATACATCAATTCGCACACACGGGCACTCCCTCCAAAGTCCGACTCACAATCTTCCCCCATCTCCAGACTCACCAACGCACCCGAATCTGGCTACTTCCAAACGCAATTCCTTCTCCGCCCTCCTGAACCCAAATACCTACTCTCGACCACGTGCACAGTCGGGTCCTAATGCCGTCGTTCCTGAAAATTCTCGTCAACCCATGAGTCCGGCACATATCCTGCGGCGGACGTCTCTCCCAGCCCAGCGCTTCGCGCGCCAGACTCAATTCCAGCATCACCGGCGCAGTGAGAGTACGAGTAGTGGTGGAGCGGATTCAGACGAAGATAGACTCGATCTATCACTTGCGCGAGAGCTAGCGGGCGGTGGAATGCGCGGCAAGAGCGCGAAGCTGGGAAAGTTGATTGTCGAAGACGAGGGGATCAAGATGTTGGATCTTGTAGTCGCGGCTTGTATGGCTGTTTGGTGGCGTGGGTACTACCATTGATCTATTGCCTTTTCTTGTATTGGAATTAGCCGGATGGCATCCGAGCGAATGTGCCTTTGATCTGTTTAGCATAGGGAGGAGTCTAACGAATTCAAGCAATGGGTCAAAAATGTCGATCCATTACATTCGAGCGATGGTTTCAGCTTTATACGAATCTCATTTTTGATCAGCCTTGGATCTGGCTACAACGATCTATCTATCTGATCCTGATCCCGATTCCTGATCCGAAGTAATCATCAGGGCGTGCAAGGAGTCAAATCAAAGCGTAAAACACACCCGGGCATTCAAATCCTCATTCTCGTAACCAAGAAAGAAACAGCGCAGAAACAAGGCATGGCGTGAAGGGAGGAAGATAAAGAGATAAAGAACATGCAATCGTTCCAGCCTTTCTCTCGGAGGTATCTCTTTGCTAATTCATTATATCGTCATGCAGGCGAAAACCGAGTTTGCTGATGAACCAGCCGAAGCAGACGCAGACACAGACAACCAAAATTGTAGAATTTCAAAAAAAATTAAAAATAAACAGGCAATTAACGATGCACAGAGTCCATGCCGCGCTGCAACGATGACTCCAGGTCATTCGGGTGCCCGCCGTCGGCGGCCGCCTCCTGAGGCTTGGGCTCTTCGGTCTTCCAGCCGCCCTGCTGGTTCTCGGGGATGGGGACGTTGGTCTGCTGGGCCATCTGCTGCTGCTGGGCGGCGTGAGCCTGGGACTGCTGGCGGACGGAGGAGCGGAAGCGAATGACCTCGTCCAGGATCATCTTGCGCATCTCGGGGACGTCGTCAACGACCTCGAAGTGGAAGTCGAAGGTAGTTGGGCACGTGGGCTCATCCGAAGCATCGTGCCAAATGTGCAGGTAGGGGTGCTCCAGTGCCTGCTCAACAGAGATACGCTGCGACGGATCGAATGCCAGCATCCGGTCCAAAAGGTCCAGCGCGTCGGGATTGGCTTGCGGGAATAGACGCTGGAAGGGAATCTTGGGCATGAAGGGCAGGTTGCGCACGTATTCTTGTGCGCGGGGGGGATCCAATACGAGACAGAGTCTCTTCGTTGGGTGTTCCCAGGAAGTGAAGGATCTGGTTCAACTGGTCCACGTAGTCACGTCCCTTGAAGAAGGGACGTCCACCAAGAAGCTCGGCGAGAATGCAGCCAACAGACCACACGTCAACTGTGGATAAAGTTAGATTTTTAACAATAAAAATGATCGAAGAAGGTCACATACTAGCTTTGGTGTAGCTCTGGAAGCTCAACATGATCTCCGGCGCACGGTACCATCTTGTCGCGACATACTCTGTCATGTAACCGGCGTTCTCCTCCGGGTCGATTGAGAAACCACGAGCGAGACCGAAGTCACAGATCTTAAGCTCACAGTCGGCATTGACAAGCAAGTTTCCGGGCTTCAGATCTCGGTGCAGAACGTTGGCGGAGTGGATGTACTTAAGACCACAAAGGATCTGGTAGATGAAAGACTGGAAATGCGCGTCGGTCAAGGGCTGGCCGGAGCGGATAATGGCCGCGAGATCACATTCCATCAATTCTGTGGCATGTTAGATAATGCTCACAAGTATCAGACCGTTGTGGTTGCGTACCCTCGTAGAGATATGTTTCGTTGAAGTTGTCCGGGCGGGGGATGTCCATATCGTAAAGACAAGTAATCTGGCGCGTGTTAGCGGGGCACGCAGCACGCAGCACGCAGTACGCAGCACGAGGTGGGGGACGGAGCGATGTACATTGCGATGTCCACGGAAGTGCTGGAGTAGCTTGATCTCTCTCAAGGCGCGCTTGGCCAGAATCTTCTTGCTGAAGACGTTGGTAACCTTCTTCACCGCGACACCCTCGCCGGTCTGAATGTTGGTGGCGGCACTGGAGGGGGAACGACCAAGTCAGTTCGAAGCGCCCACGAGGAAGACACGACGAGCGCATCAAGAGACCTACCAGACGATGCCGTACGCACCCTGGCCGAGCTCTTTGGTGACATTGTAGTTCTCATTCACGATGAAGTCCTGGTTGAAGACCTTGAAGACCTTGCGACCTTGCAAATCAGCCATGGCGCCGGTGTCCACCGAGGTGAGAAAGGCAGAGGAGAGGAGAGAAGGGAAAAGAGTGAGAAGATCAAGTGGAATGAAACGAGAGAAAGTGCAACAGAGATAGGTGAAAGGGGGAAGTCTCGACTCGACGTGTGATGAGAAACAGAGCCCCGCAGTCCCCGCGGATGATCGGGTTCTTATGAAGACACGATGGACTCGGCCAGTGTGTAAGAGTCTAGGATTTTCTATTAAAGGAAAGAAAATAGAAGGAGGTTCGCTAGATCCCTATTCTCTATTCTCGCTGCTTATTTTCAGATAGTGATGGAGATATTCTCGTCTCGAATTGTGAAACTCTGACTCGCTGTCAAAAGACCTGAAACATGGAAACACCGTTCAAGTGGATCGGATCACTGCCCGAGTTTCGTGTTGATCTTCGATCCAGCCCTACTTCGATGCCTTTTCGCATATTTTCATATTCTTATTTCCTATTCTCCTATTCCCTATATCCTTCCACCCACTCGCTAGGATACTTTTGCTTCATTTCACTGTTCATATCTCGGCCGTTCCTCGACTTTCCCTTGTGCATTTTCCAGACGACGCTCCTTACGCAGTGCCTTCAGCTTGGCCCGCGACTCGTCCAGGGGCACCATAATTCCTGTAGAGCCGTAGAGATGCGCAAAGAAGAAGAAGCTCTCATTCAAATCCATTTCACAATAATACTTTCAGGCTCCAGCCAGTCTCTCGAATAAAAAAGATCAAAGCACCACTCCGCCCAAGACGGAAAGATAGTCTCCTTGGAAATACCGATTTCTCGGGAATTTGTAGATAGCATTTTACCATGGCCGGAACCAGACGTTCTTAGTTCAAAAGCAGTCCGAGAGGGCTGGAATGGTCAAAAATCCAATGATAAAAAAGACAAGATGTCAATTAAAGAAGGGAGATGGCGGAATATAGGATAGGTGGAGTTCATGTGAACGAACCGAAAAGGCATGAAAAATAGGTGAACTAGTTTCTGACTGATAGGATGAGCAAGCTAGACCATTATTACCTGCATGTAAGGTTTTGGACACAGAGAGCAGGCAGGGGAAGTATGGTTCAGTCCCTTCATAATTAAATGCTGTGGTGATGATCAGGACTAAAAGGGCAAAAGTATGGAAAAGATCATGAGTCACAGCCTGGGTCTATTCTTGATAGAGTGAAATCTCTAAATAGGCTTCAGTTCGATATAGGCACTCCCGTCTTTGAAGGTAGAAAGATGCCGATATCTACCCAAGGTGTTTCCGCTTTGAGGGCACCGCATTCCAACCGGCTCAATGTTGGTCCTGTTTACTCGACTACATGACTAATGTATGGGATACATTGAGTAGAATAAAAAATAATATCCGCATGTACTTCATTTCACTTTCGTAAGTCGATAACACATTTCTCCCCTACAAAGTGTTCTCCAACCTACGCTCCTTGCGCAAAGCACGGAGCTTCATTCGTGCCTCGTCGTAGCGCAACCTCCGTTCCCTTGGTCTGACTCGCCGGGTCATCGCGGTTCCGGATATTCACAGTGCGAGACTCCTTCTCTGATGCTCCCACCACGAAAATGAAATTGTACTGGTTAATTTGACCGGTCCGAATTTTCTTTGCCATCTGTTGTTTGTTAGTTGAGCCACGAGGTGTTAGGTTAAGAGAGACGTACTGTATTACCGCTGATATCGATATCGACGTTCAGCTTATCCCCCTGGAGGATCTGCTGCAATTCCTCAACGTAATCGTTGACAGCCGGCATGACGGGAACGATCAGAATCTGGCGGGGGCTGATCCAGAAGGGCCACTTGCCACCGAAGTGTTCGATCAGGATGCCAAGGAAACGCTCGAAGGAGCCGATAATGGCACGGTGAATGACAACGGGGCGAGCACGGCCAGGGCCAGGTTCGGTGGGCTTGACCTCCTTCTGCTCGGTCTCCTTAGACTTCTCGGTCTTTTCGGTCTTTTTGGTCTTCTCAGTCTTCTCGGTCTTCTCGGTCTTCTCGGTCTTCTCGGTCTTCTCGGTCTTCTCGGTCTTCTCGGTCTTCTCGGTCTTCTCGGTCTTCTCGGTCTTCGCGGCGGACTGGTTATCCATGTACTGCAAATCGAATCGAATCGGGGCTGAATAGTCAAGCTGGATTGTCGCACACTGGAATTCACGCTTGAGAGCGTCAGCAATGGTGATATCGATCTTGGGTCCGTAGAAGGCACCATCGCCCTCGTCAATGGTCCAGTCATCGCCCTTAAATTTGGTCATGGCCCTCTTCAGCTGGTCTTCAGCTTCGTTCCAGGTCTCTAGGGCCCCCAAATACTTTTCTGGTCTGGTACTGAGCTTGAGTTTGAAATCGAAGCCGAATAAACCGTAGATACACTTCAGGAAGTCGAAGAGGCCTTCAATCTCGGACATGATCTATGAAGATGAATTAGCCAATGCGTCAAAGTGATACTCCGGTTGAACATACTTGGTCCTGAGTGCAAAAAATGTGCGTATCATCCTGCTGGAACTTGCGTACACGGGTCAGACCGCTGAGAGCACCCGAGGCCTCGTTACGGTGCAGAACACCAAAGTCTGCAATGCGCATGGGCAATTCGCGGTAACTACGCTCGCGGTGACCGAACAGGACGAAATGTGCCGGGCAGTTCATAGGCTTGAGAGCCCATTCACGCTTCTCAACATCCAACTTGAACATATCATCCTTGTAATGAGCCCAGTGACCGGATTGCTTCCAAAGACCAACGTCATACATGTTGGGGGTCTGGACCTCTTGGTATCCGCGCTTGCGGTACTCGGTGCGAAGAAGAGACTGCAGAGCGTTGAAGATCTTGGTTCCGGCGGGAAGCAAGAAGGGGCAACCAGGGGAAACCTCATCGAAGAAGAACAGCTCCTGCTCTTTACCCAGGCGCAGGTGATTGCGCTTTTCGGCCTCTTCTAAGAATCGGAGATGCTCGGCCATCTGTTTCTTGTCCGGAAATGCGACACCGCGGATACGTTGCAAGGAGTCGTTGGTCTGGTCACCGAGGAAGTAGGCAGAGGAGTTCTGCATGATCTTGAAGGTCTTGATCTTGCCAGTGTTCTGGATGTGTGGACCACGGCACAGATCAACCAGTGTACCGCAGCGGTATACTGTAGATGACTCGCCGGTGACCAGCTTATCGATGTAGTGGAGTTTGTACTGATTGAAGATTAGGATAAAGAACAGAATATATGACGGATCTAGAATGATATACCTTGCTGTAAGAGAACATTTTCTTCAAATTCTCCTTGGACACCTCCAAACGGTCGAAGCTTTGCTTTTCCTTAAAAATCTTTCCGGCACGGGTATCAAGAGGCTTCCAGTCGGCCTCGCGGACGACACGTCTATTCATTATTAGCACCACCCAACATCCCGGTATGCGCATTGTTTACATACCCATCAGGCATGGCCATGTCGTAGAAGAAACCCTGGGGAGTAGGGGGGCCATGGGACAAGAGGCAGCCGAATTCGCACTCGCAAGCCTCGCCGAGAGTGTGGGCACTGGAGTGCCAGAACACCTCACGGGCCTCCGGGTTGCTGAAAGGTACCAAAAGAACCTTACAGTCACCTTCCAGAGGGCGGTTCAAATCCCAGAGTTCGCCATTCACCTTCGCGATAACCACATTGGCGCTCACATCCTTGGGAACATCGCGCAAGAAAGATCCGGGGGTGGTTTCATATGCCTTCGCGGGGACGGAGGTGGGGTTGCCGTCGCCAATGTCGAGGGTAACATTGATTTCGGGGTGAGGGCGGTTCTTGGTCTCCTCAAGATGTTCTTGCCAAAGCTGCTCGAAGAGCTCGTTACGCTCAATCAGCCACTGGGGGAGGTTATCGGCAGGAGGGGCGCTCTTCGCTTTGGCGTCTTTTGGCGGGGCAGCGGCAGGCTGAGAAGTGCCCTGAGCCTCGTCGGCAGGCCGGACGGGCAAATCCTCGGGGGCGTCAGAAGCCATGTGAAAATTTCTCAAAGTGAAAGAGAAATTGACCGGCAACGAAAGGTGAGGGGTCTTTTAAAACAAACTATGACTCCTCGTGCAGGGAAAATGACTCTTTTCGTGAGGGACCGGGCGGTGAGTCATGTGACAAAACTGCCCTGGCTAGCGACGCTTTACCGCATGAAGTTTCCACCATCCGAAAACTTCTTCGCCCATCACCCTCAATCCCTCAACACATCAACATGTCTTTCCGTGGACGTGGCAATGCCACCGGTGCGAACCGGGGCGGCTTCAGCAGCCGTGGTGGTGAGCATTCTGCCTCCGCGACGTTTGACGATCGGACTCGGAGCTAACGAAATTTTTTTGATCCAGGCCGCGGAGGCTACCAGCAGTCTTTCGGACCCCCCGCGCAAGTTTTCGGTAATGACAGTTGATATTCATATTGTATGGACTCGAGACTGATAATTTGGTTAGAGATGGGAACTGTCATGCACGCTTGCGAGGGCGAGATGGTCTGCGAGTCGATCAACCCCAAGATCCCCTACTTCAACGCCCCGATTTACCTGGAGAACAAGGTACGTCGTCGCTAAAATTAACCTACACTGACTGAGTCGCGAGACGTGGATCTAACTGTTGCGCAATAGACTCCTATCGGTAAGGTCGACGAGGTCCTCGGTCCCATCAACCAGGTGTACTTCACCGTGAAGCCCCAGGAGGGTATTGTCGCTACTTCCTTCAAGACTGGTGACAAGGTCTTCATCGGCGGCGACAAGCTGCTTCCTCTCGAGAAGTATGTGTTGCCATTGGCCCCCCTTAATCTGCGATCATAGCTGACTGTTGAAACAGATTCCTCCCCAAGCCTAAGGCCCCTGAGGGTGCTAAGCCCAAGCGCGCTGGTGGTGCCCGTGGTGGCCGCGGTGGTGCTCCCCGTGGCCGTGGCGGTTTCGGTGGACGTGGTGGTGGTGGCTTCGGTGGCCGTGGTGGTGCTCCTCGCGGTCGTGGTGGCTTCGGCGGTCGTGGCGGCTCCGGTGGTTTCTCTCGCGGTGGTGGCGGCGGCTTCTCTCGCGGTGGCGGAGGTGGCTTCGGTGGCCGCGGTGGCCGTGGTGGTGGCTTCCGTGGTCGTGGGTGAAGCAAAACTTGACCGTTGATGTCTATTTATGGCGTTTGGGGGATTCGGGAGCTTTTTGCAGGAATATTTCCTTTCTTCTTGTGCATCCTGACACAATTGCTGCTTCTCTGCCTACAGGATTGCAGAGACTGTAGAATATATCCAGTCAAAAAATTTGTTTTTGTTCATTTCATTATCAATGACTAGATCTTTAAAAGGTCGAGAGTACATATTTCCCGATTCGTAACTTTTTTCCTCGAGTGGCTGGAGTGTGGCACAGTTTGCATGTGCACCGCCCCAGGAATTCGGGAATGACGTTTGACCGCTCAGCGAATCTGTGCGTCCGTCAACACGAAGCAGGATTCCTCCCTCCACCCCCTCAGAAACCCCACGACACATTTTTCCCTATTTGATCACATTACTTGACCTCATGTCTCGCAGAACTTCGACTATGGCGTCGAGCAGTTCTAACAATGCCCCGTCTGCAGGTGACGGAGGTCAGTCCATTAATCTGCAGCTCTGCGAATGGATGCTCACGAGTCATAGGCCAGGAAAAGCAGAAGATGCTACTCTCGTCTGAACATGGCCACTTTAGCTTGATCAAGTCAGTATCTGGAATTCAGGTTGCTGCCTGCATCGCAGGGTCCTCTGCTAACGCTGCTACCAGAGCTCTCCATCTTGCCGATCTAGTCACTGAACTTAATGGTATGGAGCTCCTGTACTTGACATCGTGCATCTTCGGTTCTCACTGCTAATATGGATCTTATTAGGTTTCTGCGGAGGCAAGCTCATACCTCACGAATCGCCGATTTGCCGCTAACCGCCGAATAGTCATGTCCGTTTTCTCGTCTATGCGCTATTGTCTCGGTGAGCCCACTGAATACAGTGCCATCTGGGCTGCCCTCGGTTTCATGCCTTTCGGCCTATTCTTCGACTTCATGGACGGAAAAATTGCGCGCTGGCGCAAGAAGTCCTCCCTGATGGGTCAGGAGCTCGACTCGCTCGCTGATTTGGTATGTTCGCTTTTGAAGAATGTGTAGGAAACGAGCTCCTAAACCTCTCGTGTGTTGATAGATCTCCTTCGGCCTCGCCCCTGCCGCGGCAGCTTTCGCGCTTGGTATTCGCACATCTCTCGACCACCTGTTCCTCACTTTCTTTGTCCTCTGCGGTTTGACCCGCCTGGCTCGGTTCAACGTGACGGTGGCTGTGTTGCCTAAGGACAAGACCGGCAAGTCGAAATACTTTGAAGGCACGCCCATTCCCACTACATTGGCAATCGTCTCTCTCATGGCCTACTGGGTCTCCCAGAGCTGGACCCACGAGAACATTCCTCTCGGCCTCGTTGCAGAGGGTACAATCTTTGAGTTTCACCCGGTTGTGCTCATGTTCGCTCTGCATGGTTGTCTGATGGTTAGCAAGACCATTCACATCCCGAAGCCGTGAGCCGTGATCGAATCTGGTCATGTAGTATACTTGGGGAAAATTTACCAATGCTTGATTTTGGATAGGTGGCCTTGGAAATTAGTGAGCAGTGTTGCTGTGCATAAGAAGACCTGGACACAATCTCAATATACTTGATTGAGAATGATTCACATGTGTCGTGGTTTCATAGACGATACAAGCCCGTTGCATAGTCCTTTCATGACACGAAATGGATAGATGTCCAGTATAACAACCGGAATCCCTATTCGGAAAGGGGTGTCTTGCAGGTCATAGTGAGTGGGAAAAATAAGAATGTTGGTGTCCGAGGAGAACAGAGTGTGTAATCTGATGTGCTGCAGGTAAGTCATGTGTAGGCGGTACTTGAGGCCAACGGCGTGGTGACAAAAGCGTCGTATCGCCCTTTCGTAGACATTTCATTATGCTGACGGGCTGCCCCGGATGGTACACTGGCCGTATAGTAACCCGGGGACCCCACTCGCCTTCGTAAGCTCCAGCAGGTCACTGTAAGCCTTAACCAACATAGCGGGAGCCACTTCGGCCTCAAGCATCGATAAATAAATCAAGAAGGATAAAATTAGAGCTGCGATTCATCAAAAGAAGCCGGAAGGCAAAGTTGGTCGAAAGAACGACTCACCATACAAAGTAAGCATGGAGAGCTACGAAAATTCTATCTAATCAGAGACAGCGGTGATAATAGTAAGCCCATCACTCAGAAAAAGCTGGTGGAAAACAGGTCTTCGGTAAACCATCAAAAACATAATGGGAGGTGTGTTGGGACCTGTTTAGGTCCGGCGTGGACCTTTCTGCTACAAGGCATACATAGACTGTTCATTTGAATTTACTTCTAGGAATAAGACAGATTGAAAGAAATACTTGCGCAAGAAGCGATGTTGGACGAACGAGGTATGTGGACTAAAGAGCTGCCAGATTAAATGGGATGATATCCAGATCAGAGTTCCCCAGTGAGGGTTATTGAAGTGTTGGAAGAATCCAACAAGCCCGAAATAGATGCATGAGTTAAGTAGACTGTGTCGGTCAGCAAAAAGCTGGCTTGATCTCACCATTCGAAAGCCCCTGTGAAACGATAGTTTGCGCCAGACTCTTCTCGTACTTCTCCCTCACGCTTTGAAGGACAGGCTCATCGATGTGAGCTACTCGGACAATCAGGCCTGGACAAGCGCGTCTCCCTTGCGCAACCACTTTAAAGGGTTGGCCCGCCGAAGGCAGACGTGCAGCTCATCTTGGCCTACTTCGACGCGGCCCCCGCCACAATTTGGATGTGATTTTATCACTCTGGAAGAGTGATAAATGCCGAAGTTGGAGATACCAATTATGAACGAGCTTAGCCAGCTGCTTGTACGTCCACAAGTGCACGCCAAGCGCCCAGATAGCCTTCTTTCCAATCTAGGGATCGAGGATAAAAAATATCGTCAAGGCTAAGCCTGACGAGCGGCTTTGTCCAAGAGGTAAAGTGTAAATCACAGATCGAAGTCAACGCTCTCGGCGTTCATCAGGCTTTCCTGCATTGACCTCTTAGCGGCCTCATCTTCAGCACATTTGCCGGCAAGCTATGGCAGGATTTCTGTGCTGCCAAAAGAATATCTGAGCGATTCAAAGCAGAATTTTGAATTGCAGATCCGCATTGCTTCTCGTTTTCATACTATGCATCAGCTTGAACACCCATTCTGAAAAGCTGGCCAGTCCATCTGTTTTGCTCTAAGGTATGGAAAGGCACACTTCATAAGCGTGTATGCCTTCATTACTAACGCTATTTCTTTTTTTCCCTCTTATTTCAGGAGTATGTTTTAAAAGAATAAGTTTTTTGTCTAACAGCGGGCGTCAAACTTACCTTATGTCCTAACACAGGTATCTTGAATCCCGACGTGGTAGTCTGAGTGGGGATAGGATCCATCAAACACTTCTACAAATTCTAAGGTGCTATAGGGGCTTCATTGTAGTTTGTAAGAGTGGTACCGGACAATTTTGAGAGCATAGGGCTAGGTTCATAAGGTGGATTGTAAGAGCGCCGAGGGTCAAGAGCTCTCTTAGTAACAGACCTATTGGCAAACGAAACCTTACCCTGGAAAGCAACAAACATCAATCCATTATCATAACATGATCTTTTCTGATCACGTCATTATGCACAACATGTTAATATTCAACAGTAATGTTTATGTTTTGACACAGTGCTCATGCGAGGGGAAGCGGTATGGAAATCGAGGACTGGAGTTTGTTGCGGTCAACCACTCGGTCCAAGAGCATTTAAGTGACACCCAAGGTGGCTTTTTACTAGCTCTTTCGCCGATTTGTCTGATCGCGGCGGAAACTTCAACCTAATCGATCGATTCTAGGTCCGCAAGCCACTGCGAATCGTTGCCAATCTGGAAAATCATACGGATCCGCTAGTAACGACCCACATGTTTTCTTTTCTGGAACAAGCGATGTCGATCAGAGTCCGAGGTGTTCATGAACTGTATTTCAATACAGATACTCAGTAAGACCAGTCTTTTCATGGAGAACGTAATCTAGAGACCTGTAAGTACACAACCCGTGGCTCGAAAGTCAATCTAATCTAATCGAGATCTAAAGGCATCATCTTGCATACAGTCGAGCATCGATGTCACTGACAAGAGCGATCTCAGCTCGTATGATGATCATTTCCGTTTCGATTTGTGACAGAAACACTTCTTCAGGGCGGCTGTAATGCGGATCCCTCGGCCACACCATGTGGATAAGCCGAGTCAGCCACCGGTATTCAACTTGAAAATTTTCACGCCTTTTCCAAGTAGCGGTCTACATCAGGGTATCTGGAGAAAATAGCGCACTCTCAGGCATGTCCTACAGGTAACATCCCGTTCAATCACACCATGACCTGATCTGCAACCCGGGAAAAAAGACTCAATCTTACCGGCTGAGCAGAAGAAGATTTCCTAATATGGAGAAAGTTCAATTTTGATGTGTTTTGCTCCTTTACATCTTTCTGCGAACAAGACAGAGGGTAGTAGCTTTCGAGAAATCGCAGTCCAACCACCATCCAAGAATCAAGCATATGCCTCCTTAATCGGCCTCCTGAAGTATTGCATTGCCTACAAGTACGTAGAATAGGCCACCCCAACCTGCTGTCCTTGAAAGCATTTCGCTCGATCAGATTTCTATAGTCTCTTGTATCGTATCTTGTTGAGTTGCCATGTTTTCAAGGCTCGTCGTATAGTTCTGTTTTAGACATGGGCATGTTGGGGACACACCCTTTCTCTCTCTTTTCTGCACTTCTCTCACACTAAGTACTTTCCTAGACTAGTTTGCAAGCTGTGCGTTTTTTTTTCCCCCAAGACATGAAATGTACTGAGATGGCTGCGAAGTAGCGATCCATGCCTCCTATATCAAGCTGTCTGTATTGCCAGTCTTCCATTGACCTCGCCTTTTGAATAGACTCGGATAAATATAACGTACGTTGTCAATCTCCTACACCTTAGTAACAGAATTTTTGACGCCAAATTATAATTGATAGTCACTCAACTATCTGCAAGTTATATATCAGAAAGGAGGTCGAGGTATTATCTAACTGATTCTCTTCATCGCGAGATCAACATCCCTCTTCATAATGTATTCCGTCATTGCTAGAAATGCTTAGATCTCTTCCTACGAAGGGGATTTTCCTCCCAGGCACGTGAATGATGCAACAGACATGACGATGGAAATTCCCGCTAGCGCCACATTAGCTGGGTGAATGACGGAGAACGAAAGCGGACTTACCCAGGATCGAATTCATATAATAGTATCCGACTGTATCGGTCAAGACACCAGAAAAGAGTGACCCAACAAGTAATCCCACCGAGAAACTCAAGGTGGAGATTGAGTAAGTTCGATTATAGCCTCCATTTGGGCCAAAAATTCCTGGCTGCTTTTCTTCAGCCTCGTCTACTGCGCCTTTCAATGCAAATTGCTCGATCAGCCGGGGAACTTTCGAATCTTGACGCACAAATCACTCACATGTTGTCTCAATGGTAGATACACTGCTCATCAAGTTAGTGACAGCTCCAATAGATATGATGGCAGCGATATATGTAGCCTCAGCTGAGCTCTGAGGCGTGGCCCACGGAAACTCCTTTTGATCCGCTGCTCCGGCCAGCCAGAGCAACGGGGCCAGAAGAGTGAAACCGATTGTGGCCGGGAGCCGAGTGCCAATTTTGTCTCGAAGCCATCCGTATAGAGGGCTGGCCAATATGATTGGGCCCTCTAACCCGATAAATAGAAGGCCAGTGGGTAAGCTTCCCCAGCCAAATGCAAGGTTCACATGGATAGGAATGGTCGTGCTGTAGCTCGCGAGAATGGCGGAGTACACCGTAGAGCATAAGAGACCAATGATAACCCGAGGCTGCAGAAGAATCGCCCTGTAGAATGATGCGGTGGGCACACTGGCCACTTCTTCCGTTTGAGCGCTTGCCTTGGGATCGCAGGACGCCTCAGGGAGTAGAGGGGACTCCTCGTCTGTGCTACGTGATGCAGTGCTGGATCTGTCATGATCGTTCTCGGGCTTGGAGGAACCGCCCTTCTTCAATGGCTTTTCCACCATCAAGAATCTTATCACAATGTCCAGTGCAAGAATAAACAAAACACTGCCCCAAGTTATCCAGTAACCGGCTAACTCGAGTAGCACGCCGGCAACAGCTGGGCCAGAGAGGGCTCCTAGGCTCACAAAGCTCCGTACCACTCCAAAGACCTTTCCCATATTTTTCCCTTCAATTGAGTCTCTGAGGGTAGCGAAACCAATGATCCAAGCCGCAGTGCCGCCAATAGCTTGGAGAATGCGGCCAATAAAAAGCCCCGTAACTATTAAAACACCCGATATCAGTTTTGCTGTCTGGAGATATCGAAACATGTCAGAAGAAGCTGAACATACGGTTGGTTGATATTGCTAGAATAGCCGATCCGACAAATGTGAGAACCAATGAGAATATCAAAGGCGCCTTGCGAGATGAGCATCGATCTGCCAAGGGTCCAATGAATATTGATGAAATTGTTGACACAACCGCATAACACATCAAGAGAAGATAGGTGACTTTTTGAATGTCGGCAAAATCGACATGGCTGCGATTCTCGAGCATGTAGGGAAGAATGGGAACAATAAAGCCATATGAAAAGGTTTCTGGCAGTATCAAGAGGGTCAAAAATTAGTATATCTCTGCAATCTCTCTCTCCGGTTCATTCTCTCTCTCTCTCATCTCTATTTGGGGCAATTGTAAAGGGAACTCACCTGTGAAGCCAGCGATGGAGACGCAGACTATGAGAAATGGCGTTGAAGAGCGCCAACGATGGCCCCAAGGCCTACTTTTCGAGTCTTCCATAGCTCAATGATTGTGCTATTCTAGTACGAGTTGAGACTGAAAGACGGGCTGCTGGCTTCCTCAAAACAGAAATGGATACAATTATTCCAAGGCACCCGTGCACGCGAGCTAAGTGGCAACCGTGCTGAGTGGGTAAGGAGTTCATTGTATTGACATCAGCCCAGCGATCCCGAGTGATCTGTCGAGCTGTGGGTCTCGTTAGCGCCAAAATCCCACTTGTTTTTGTCTCTGAAATTGCAAGTGTATTTCAGACGAACGAGTTCCAACTAGCGTCTGCGACTAGTTAGAAACACCATGCAGCTAATTTAGCCAACACTGTAATCGCGATGAGTGGATTTCATGACCGTCTCAGACGCATTTGGAGAATTGCGCCAATGGATGGCCAATTATTCCAGCAAGTTCCCTGGCAACGGGCTTTCCCCTCAGATCAGTCCTTGCGTGGATCTGTCAGTGAAGTGGACGCGCCTCGAGGTGGGAACCCACGAGGAAGCAGGGACTAGCTGATCGACCCAGATACACCAGAGTTGATCGCTTGGATTGAACAAGAAATCGGACCCATCCTGTTTCTGCTCGTGAATAGTGTTTCATGTGGGCCATGTTTTGATCGCTGATGTTACGTAAATACTGTCACTTGCATGATTCGAATTGCATCGCTCGTTGAGTCTCACACGAGGAGACCTTTCGAGCTCGAACCCCAAATTTTCAATCGAACTTTACTTGCAGGGTCCCAATGGACCTGGAAACGATACTTTGGGGGAAGGTTACTCTGGTCTACTTGAAGGTAGAGTAGTGAATTCCCATCTCTCTAATGGTCTGGCTGATGGAGGGAAGGTGGACTCCGAGGGGCACGTATCCTTCAAAACAAGCCCTGGCCATTGCTTGACTATGCTGCACCTGACCATTCACTTTCTGATGAAATGGGATCAGAAGAGTCACTAGAGAGAAACTTTCGGGGTCAAAGTCTACTAATCATGCGATTAAGTATGAAGCAGTGCAGTTGCTAGTGTGATTGTTGACTGGATTTTTATTCTTCTCTTGCCCAGCGTTGCTCCCGGAAGGGCATTTCCTCACCAGTATTCGCCCGGCTGCCGTCATATTCACGTTTCCAGGCATAGTACTCCTCCAGCCGTTGCTTACCATAGGCGGCAGAGTCGAAGTCCAGTTCAGAGGTTTCGGAGTGAACGAATCCCCACAAAGCCCTAGTGTTCGTTATGTAAGCAGTGAACAATCAGAAGAAAAACCAAAATGGGGCTTTGTGGTGCCCCTGAAGTGCGTTGCCATACCAGTAGAAGCCCGGGATTCCTCGGTAACGATCAACATCTTCAGACAAGCGCTCGAGAAGTTCAGCTTCTGCCGATGGACTCAACCCGCGGTGCTGGCAGTAACTCTTGGTGTATGCGACGAGAAATTGCCGCCGAGTGTATTTCGAGGGAATCTTGGTATAGTCACACTCGTTTCCAATCCAACAAGCAAAATGACTGGCTATCTCGAAGGCGGCGGGGCAGGACATTGCACATTCATGGTCGATAAAGGTGACTTTGACAGGTTTAGAGCTGTCCGTCGCAATCAAGTCCTCGTCATCCGATTGAATGATGATATTTCCGGGGATAAGATCATTGTGTGAGAACACAAGCTGAGAAAATGTGTCAAATTTGTGTTAGATAATCTGAGCAGCATGAAACGTGGATGGGAAAGATTGCTGAAAAGAAAATGCAACATACGCCGTTTTCCCCGATGGTCTCCTTCCCATCAAACTCGTCAAGAATCCATTGCAGCTCTTTCTGTAGAATCAGTCGATTTTTTTCTTGGGTGGGTGTTCCTGCTGGCAGGGCATCGATCCAGTCTTGCATGACTGTCCATATGGAAGGTGTTTGGATCACGTCTTGGCCGTTCCCGTTGTCCAAGCCGTTCGATGAGTGGGCAGTAGTTGAGTAATCGAGTGAGGCCATCAAGCTGGGACCAGGGCTGGGGAGGACGGCATGCCAGTGTGCTAGGTGAGAAGCGATTGCGCAGAAGACTGGCGGGGAGTATAGTTCCTGCTCTCCGCACGGCTTACCGCTAACAAACTGACAGAGAAGACCGTTCTCGAAACGTGCGAGGAGGGGAGGAGCCAAGCCATGCTGAGAAAGAAGTAGGTGAGTCGCGATTTCCCCTATTTATTTCTACGTCAGCACGTCTTTTAATGAAAGAAGAATATGAATAGATGAGAATCTGGGGATCTGTTACTTTTACGGTTGATGAGAGCACCGGTATTCCCATATACTCGCATCAAAAGTGCTGCATTTTCCAGCTGCTTTTCTGTCAACCCAGGCTTCCGATTGATGACTTTGAGAATCTAATCAACTTTGTTAGTATGGAAAGTTGGCGATGGTGAATGGAACATTTGCACAAAGGACATGCAGTGTTGGTGAGGCCACCGGATAGGTGAACAAATTCAATATTGTTCCCAGCGTCCTTCCACTCTGGACGAGCCTCCAAAACAATAGAAAGGGCAGACGCATCGGCTTCTTTATGCCTATAATTCAAAGGGATATATTGCAAAGTGGGCGTGGCCCCATTCTCGTGTGATGCCATTGTGCAAAAGTGCAGGGAATGCGGGGTGTCCTTAATTTATTGTGAACAAAGTCCAAAATGAGGACGACCTTGATGACTTAGTCCTACCTTTGATTGTCGCTTCCAAGCACTGGGGGAAAAAACAAGCGGGGCCGAACTAATGGATGAACGCAACTAGGGTCCACAGTAAACACGGCAGGTTTTATTAGAAAGGGGTCGCGTGAGATCCATCAAGGCTACCGCCCGATCAAGGAAGCACTCAATTACCTCCACTTCAAAGTCCTCCTGCTTGGTCCAGCCATTACTAGAAATGGTCAAACTACCTGTGGAGTGCCTAGTGAAGAGGACGGTCAGATCGAAAGTGATCGTCGGTGGTCGTGTGCCCATTTGACTAGGCTTGAACATGTAATTTTTCCTCGCGTTCAGCTACCACCACGAGGAGTGGAGACGGTACGGCTGGGAACGAGCCGAGCGAGATTAGATTTGGTAGGAAAGCGTGTCGATCGATCCCCGAACTCTCGATCAATCGGGCTCCACTACCACAGGGGTCCCAGGGGCTGGGTATGAGCCTAAAAAAAAAAAAACTTGTTGAGGTATTTCACTCAGCACTGAGCGGAGGAGCTCGGCCTGGGAAACGAAGATCAACATCGTACAGATCCCGGTAATTTCCATTGCTTCGGAGACTGTTCAGCAAAAATCCAGGGAGCCGTGAACTATACATATGGCCAGTTCTTGCGATTTCTCAAGCGGTCCTTTATGATTGCAGTAATCTGTCACTACCAACGTCCCTTTCCTTTTAATGTACAGGCTTTCAGTCCTTCAACTCATGATAAATCCACACGTTCGGCTCAACATAAACCCCAATTTTGTCTCGACAATGGTATTTCACTGGTACCAAGCCACCAGGTATGAAGATATTCATGACGTCGCCATCAACACAAGCGCGGGCTTCCATAGCTCGGGCTTCGAAATCCACACCGGTCCACTTACGCCACTGTTCGTCCGTCCCACGTACCTTCATGCTCCTATGGGCCACCTTGGCGATTCGTCCGCCGAGACGAAGGTGTTTGCGTAGCCATGGATCAAAAGCACTGTTCCTCTGTTGATGGCTGTCAAGCGTTACGTTGATAGAGTTAACTTCAGGTCCTGGAATGCAATGAGTGCTATCAGTGGTCGAGCTAATAGTCCACTGCACATAGTCTTCCATGCTCGCTGAGGGATACTTGGGCTTCTGAGTGGGGCGTAATGGCACTACCATGGCGCGGAAGCTGTCATCAATGGCGGCCTGCTTCATTGTGCGGATGAAGATCTCGGCTAGACCGGTCCGCCTTCGATCGCCACGAACCGTGATGGACAGAGCTGAAAGTGCATTGGGCGGGTCATTGCTCAAGGACCACAGTGGGTCAATCAGCCCTTCACGGGAAAGATGCTGCTGTATTCCCCAAGAGAGAATTGTGTCGTAACCGCCTTCGGGAAGGGTCGCCAATACCTTGGGATGCTCGGAGAGTCGCGAGGTAGGGTCCAGGGTCAATAACTCGGGCCAGAAGAATGGGATTGAACGAGCCATCCCAATGATTTGCTCATGACCCGTGACATTGTCTTTTTCAACGGCGAGGAATTGGTATCGTGAGAAATAGTCGATTTGGAACAGAGCTGGAACAAACAGTTGGAACACTGGATCTTGGTCAAGAAACTCGGGCCAGAGAAGGTTCAATGGATGGTCGGCTTGATCCAAGTCCCTGAGTAAATCTGGTCGCTCGTGCGCTGTATAGATTTGAAAGGGCAAGGCATCGTGCGGTGCGAGAGGTGATGGCATGGTAGCTAGCTCTGGAGCCATCCGCATGATGAAGGGTGTAGGTAGAGTTGGATACCCTTTGAATCTCAAAGCCTTACGCACTTATATAGCCACATAGAAGACGCTTAGAACTTTGGAACTGCCTCTATATGAGTAATGTACGGAAGGAAACGTGTATCAATGATGAAATGACCATTACGCGAAACACAAGGAGCAGGAATTACTTTCACTACTCCTTAGGTTCCCTGCCCCACCCACACGCGGGTCTACTCCCTATTCAGCTCCTCACGGTTTCTTGTCACGACGACGTGTATTTCGCTTGGAAAGACAATTTGAACTTTTTGTGGTGGAATCAATGACTAGCGGGCCGGCTAAAAGTAAAGAAAGGAGATATTCGGCCGGTGGAGATCAGTTTTCATTGTCATCTGTTTTGTCCTTTTACGAATATCTTCCTGAGCCGTGAGTTTTCTTCCTTTCTCTTCCTTTGCGAATTGCAAATACCATCGAGATTTGTCACAGCAAAGCCATCAGCACATCATTAACATGGGGGCTATTCCTCCCTATTCTCTGCTTCGCAATGTGACCCCACAGGAGGCCTTGCAACTAGCAGCAGAGCAATGCCATGTCCAGGTCGCTGAGATAGAGGACATTTACCCTTCCACCGCTGCCCAAGAGAGCCTTTTTGCTCTCTCGGAAAAGAGTCCCAATTCCTATGTTGCTCGCTATGTATATGCTCTTCCCGATACCCTGAAGATAGGGCAGTTTGAGGCGGCGATCCTGTCTACCTTGGAGGCCCACACTATTCTGCGCACAAGGTTAATTCACGCCGGCATTCATGGCACTCTACAGGCTGTGATGCGAAAGCCCGTGGAGGTGGCGAGGGAAGATGATCTTCACGCCTATCTGGCATCCGATTGTCAGCAACTTATGCCACCGGGTGAGCCGTTGATTCGCATTGCTATTGTCCAAAGCAAACAGAAAGCAGAGTATCTGGTCATCACCATTCACCATGCCCTGTATGATGACTGGTCGCTGAATGTGGTACTCCATGATATTGAGAGCGCGTACAAGGGCAACGCTCTTCCGCGAAGAGCGTTTGCAGATTTTACAGAGTTGTCTTTGCATGCGCAGTCCGAAGAGTCGGCGCAAAAGTGGCGCTCAAAGTTTCAGGGACTCAGCAGCTCGGACTTTCCCCGAATTCCGTCCTCCGCTTACAATCCGGCAGCAAAGGGGTCCCTAATTAACAATATTTCCTTCCCTGAAGGGATGAGTGAGACTCGGCAGTCAGCAGTCATCAATCTTGCTTGGTCAATGTTGCTCTCTCAGTACACTGGATCGTCAGACTCTGTCTTTGGTGTCACGTTTACAGGCCGCCGAGCAAGACTCTCCGATATTGAGATCATGTCGGGCCCGACTATTGCTACCGTTCCGTACCGTGTGCAATTCGCACCAGAGACAAAAGTTGCTGATGCTTTGCAACATTTGCTTGACACAACTGAGGAAATGCTCCCTTATGAGCAACGAGGGCTGCGCAATATTTCTCGCTTGGGATCTGAGGCAGCTACTGCCTGCCAGTTCAAGAACTTGATCGTCATTCAATCGCCGCCTCAGTACGAGTATGAGTACCTTAGCGAAATAACGCAGGATCTGGATCTTTCTAACCATGCCACATTCGGGACGTATGCTATCACATTGGTATGTGATTTGCGTAAAAATGGCGTTCGTGTACAAGCAGTCTACGACGACAGAATTGTGCCTTCCGTTCAGATGCGGCGAATTCTGAACCAATTGAAAACCGTCATCGGTCATTTGACGGAGAAGGCTGATTCTTCACTGGTTGAGATCAACTCGACAAGCCCCGAAGACCTCAATGAGCTAAGGAGTTGGAATTATCAAATTCCACCAAAGTCCGACGAATGCATGCATGAATTGATTCTGGAACAGTGTCGCGCCCAGCCTGACTCTCCGGCAGTGGTTGCTTGGGATGGCCAGTTTACATACAGGGAGCTTGAAAAACTCTCAGGGGACCTCTCAGCTTTCTTGTCTGATCAGGGCATCGGACCAGAAACTTTGATTCCTATCAACTTTGAAAAGTCCCGGTGGGCAACCGTGGCCATGTTGGCCGTGATGAGGGCCGGCGCGGCTTTTGTCTTGCTTGATCCATCGAACCCTATGTCTCGGAATCAAGAGATCTGCCGAAGGGTGAATGCGGCATGCATCCTGACTTCCAAAACGTTGGAGTCATCATCCAGTGCGATGGTAGAACAATGCATCCCGGTTTATGAAGGCGCTAGCTCAGTGGGAACGCAAGGGAACCGCCTTCAGTCGGGGGCAAATAAAGTCTCGGCATCAAATCTTCTATACGCTGTATTCACATCCGGGTCAACAGGGACACCTAAAGGCGTGCAAATTGAGCACGGTTCCTTTGTTACCAGCACAAAGGCCTACATCTCCACCAGCAAAATGACGAATGACTGCCGTGCGTTACAATTCGCCTCTTATGCCTTTGATGTCAGCATCTCAGATACGTTGGTGACGCTAGCTGCCGGAGGGTGCCTCTGTGTTCCGTCCGAGGAGGAGCGCAAGTCCGAACTGGCTAAAGTTGTGGCCACATACGACATCAATTGGGTGGATCTAACCCCATCACTGTTGCGGCAACTCCAGCCTGAAGACTTCCCATCACTACGTACCGTTACCTTGGGGGGTGAGCCTATGTTGCAGTCTGAAATCGATACCTGGGGCCCTCATGTTCGTCTGCTGAACGTCTACGGTCCGGCTGAATGCTGTGTCTTGTCGACAGTACAAAATTCGATTACTAACACAATCGATCCTCGGGATATTGGATTTGGCACCGGCTGTGTTACTTGGATTGTGGATCCCACGAATTACAACCGCTTGATGCCCATCGGCGCAATTGGCGAGCTTGTTATCGAAGGTCATACTGTCGGTCGAGGATATTTAGCTGACAAGGAGAAGACTACAGCTGCTTTTGTCGAAAGCAGTCCGGAATGGATGCAGTCGGTGCGACCCAATGCGCCTTTCACCAAGCTGTACCGCACTGGCGACCTGGCGCAATATACTCCGCAAGGCTCATTGCGTTACGTTGGTCGCAAAGATATGCAAGTCAAGCTCCGAGGACAGCGTCTGGAGCTAGAAGAGGTTGAATACCACGTGTCCAACGTCTTCCATGGCGTCCAAGAGGTGGTCGCGGATGTGATTAGTCCTGAAAAAGACGGCAATTCACAGCTGGTGGCATTTATCACCCAGAAGAATCAAGGAGAGCAACCAGAAGGTCTTTTCATAGAGCCTACTCAGGACTTCCATCGATCTGTCGCCGCTGCTATTGCAACTCTCCGACAGACTGTTCCTGCCTTCATGATCCCTTCCTTCTTCCTGCCAATCACCCATGTACTTCGAACAGTCTCCGACAAGACAGATCGCCGTCGCTTGCGAGAAGCTGTGGCCGCGCTGTCCCAGGAGCAGCTCCGCAGCTATCGTCAGTGGGGAGAGGCTCGCACGAAGAGAGCGCCCGATACAGAAGCTGGCCGCCAGCTGCAAGCTATCTGGTCTCAAGTCCTAGGGATCTCATCTGATCGAATCGGTTTAGACGATGGGTTTTTCGAGCTTGGTGGCGATTCAATCACGGCGATGAAAGTTGCATCCATGGCCAAATCGCAAGGTCTACCACTTTCTGTTCCAGATCTTTTCCAGAGCAGTAGCCTCGAGGCACTTCTCAAAGCAACCCAATCTCAGAATTCAGAACGTGCAGCCTGGGACTGGGAGGTCGAAACGACTCTTCGGTCAGATTTGAGCAATATTGCGACGTCGAGTGGCTGGAACTCTAGCAGGGACAAGCCTCTCCAACTCGCCTTGACCGGATCTACAGGCTTCCTTGGGCAAGAGATCCTCCGACTTCTCATCGCTGATCCCAGGGTTGATCAAGTTCATTGCCTTGGCGTTCGGTCTCAAGGAAAGGGCGTTGGGCGGCAGTCGGGCGCGCTTCAATCTGACAAGGTGATTGTTCATTCTGGAGATCTTTCCTTGCCTAACCTGGGACTCTCGGAGGAGACTTTCCTTCACATCATGTCAAACTGCTGCGGTATCATCCACTGCGGCGCTGATATCTCCTTCGTCAAAAATTTCGAGCTCTTGTCCGCCGTGAACGTGCGCTCTACACAATATCTTTCCCGACTCGCAATCCAATACCGCGTGCCCATTCACTATATTTCTAGTGCTGCCCTTTCCCACTTTACTGGACTTGACAGCTTCGAAGAAACCTCAGTGCGGCGCTTCCCTCCAGCTGAGGATGGAGAGGCCGGGTACCTTACTTCGAAGTGGGTAAGCGAGGTATACTTGGAGAAATGCAACGAGATTTATGGTCTTCCCGTGACAATCCATCGTATCTCGAGCATTGTCGGGCCCGGGGCGCCTGAGATGGATATCACCAATAACGTGTTGAAATTCTCTCGGAAGATGCGCTCCTTGCCGGATTTGAGCTCCTGTAAGGGCTATGTGGATCTCATTAATTTAGAAACCGCTGCTGCCAATATAGTGGGTGATTTGCTACGTCCCATTCAGCCAACTTCAGTCACTTATATCCACGAATCTGGCGAGGTTCGTGTCGCTGCTGACAAGTTGAAGGAGCACTTGGAGAAAGAGTCCGGGGAGGTTTTCACTGAGCAGCCCCTTGCCAACTGGATCGAGTCCGCTCGGAAATGTGGCATGCCGGTGTTAGTCGCTAAATTCCTTGCAGCCATGCCGCCCTCCGAGATTGACATTGCCACACCTTTTATTCAAACAAGTCGAGTGTATGGCATGGCTGGTGGTAAGTAGTTTCTATCACTGGGAGCACTTAGTTGGGAGAAATCAAGGCTAGAATAATTGAATTTGACCCAAATACACCCTGCGCTTGTCTTTAGAATATGATAGTGAAGATCAGCCTATACCTAGGCACTTCAACCACAGTAATCATCCAACACGAGATCGGACTATAGGAGTTGACAAATGCTTTCAAGTACGACTACTAAGACCCAGTTCATTTAACTTGCTCCGAAAGTCTATTGATTGTTGTGGCTTGAGACCGTTGATTTAGTACTGTTTAGTCGGTGCCTATGGTCTTAAAAAGGCGAAAACAACCTTGAGATGAGAAAAGCCGTGAACGCCGGCGCCTAAAGTATTTATATACGATGCAAGGCCCACGCATATCAAAAGCTCAATCCATTCATTCAAATGCTTTTTGTGAGACTTTTAAGATGAACGCTTTCAAGAGCTGGTCTTCATTGGCCGGGAAAGCGTGTCTAATCTTGCTTTCATTAGCTTCTCATACATCTGCTGGCGTAATATGAAGCAGTCGGCATTCGTCCAGTTTCACCGCGAATGGCTCAGTGATTGCTCACGCAACTTCGACTGTCTTGTACTTTGCCGTGGCTGGATACTCACATGGGGCTCTAAGTCCTGCACTGTTCTCCAGACACAAAACCCAACTGTGCCTTGGCCTTACGAGACCACTACCGATGGCACTGTAATTGCTTACGCGACCTCGACTCTCTCGTATATCGCTGTTTCTGGATACTCACTCACAGAGACATACGGTGCAGGGAAGTCGACTACCATCTCGGTTCCATCGTTCACCGCCAATCGTGCTATGTGGGATGAGCTTTCGGCATACAGCTTCCTGATTTACGACATCGATCATTCGAATGTCGACGAAGATGCGCTGTCAAGCAGTCTCCAGAATGAAGAGAAGGGCGGTGCAATGTTGGCTTGGGAATTCAGCACCGAGACCACCGACGGTACAGCTGCAAAGTTCAACCTTCCTGTCTCGATGAAGAGCGGTTGCGTGGAAAGAGCTATTGTGACAGGGTAACTGCAATCAAATTTGATGTCTGTACGACGAGATCACTTGGGATTTCATGACTGGGAAGCAAAAGTACATTTCCGCCGGCACGATTAATTTGTTTATAAGTTTTTGTCAGCTTCGACAGCCAGGTCGCGGACTGTTGTAATTTAGAACTCGCGTTGTTCAGATAGTCACGAGATCATTCGAGATTCGACGGTCTCTTTTGATCCCAGACGCGTATTTCAAACTGCGCAGATCCAATGCACTAGGTCTCTCCATCTACCGACTCTGCTAACGAGCCCAAATCTCCGACTCAACCGCTGAAGACTCTGATCCGACCAAACCCCAATAGTTACTCCGCCACCAGCGAACTAATAACCATCAACAAAACACTGTCAGCCTCCGAGGTCCTTCACACAAACCCCGAGCATCCGAGATGTAAACCTGTCAGATGGCGGTAGTATTATAAATCATGGGTCCCGTCTCAATGGAACAAGGCCCGATGTTCTAGACCGCGGGAAGTCGATTTCGATCTTCGAGTTGGGAATTTACATGTCCCACCCCACAACCAATCGAACGGGATGGAACTAGCACAGCCAGCAGAGGGGACGTTGTGATACAGAGGACCCAGTCAGAATTTTCAATCCGCACAAGTGAGTCCAATTTTGTTCCAGATGGTGCAAGGGGCGGGATTTTCTGCTGGCAGGTGGCGGACTTGGCCGAGCTAGCGGGCGCCACAGTGCCCGGAATAAATGTGTGGTGAGTCAAGGGAGGTCTAGACGTGCTACGATAGAATTGGAGATGGTACCTGAGTATTACATGCCTGATGTTGTTTTGTGCGACGGGGTTGACCGCTTCGGTACGCTTCGGGCGCTGCGAGTGCTGTTTTTATTATTATGATCGCACGACTCAAGGAGTCAATGTTTCAATATGACAAAGGATGTCTTGAGTACTTTTTCTGGCTCCTCGGCTCTTCAGGTTAAACGATTCCATAAGGAAACTCTTGTAGAGGCAATAAAATTGGCTCGGGTTTTTCCTGCCTCCTTGACTCGATCATTTTCTCATTTTCGACGTCATGATTGTGGGAGATCTTTCAAGCCCTATTTTTGCGCCCGTGATGATCGTCGATGGCTCGGTGGGGGTGTCGGGTTTATATATAGCATTTGCCTTTGGGGCTTCGAGAGCCTTGACGGACAAGCAAAGATCAATAAAGGAAAACATGGCTCAACATAATAAGCTAGACCAGGATATATCAACGGAACCTTTCGGAGGCTTTCAAATACACAATATACGATCATAGCTAGATGGGCCCTCACAGAATCGCCATCTGCGGGACTCAAAGGTGTCATCCACCACTTGCTCCATTGGCGCGAATGCAGGGTCCGCTGATCATACGCCAGGGTCTTGAAACCCGTTACTCAAGTTCTGGTGCATCGGAAGGAGTTGACGATAGATCAACAGATAGTCAACGAACACGTTCGCTGTTTTGCAATAATATACCCCATTGCCAGGATGTATTCGACATGATCAGGCCCGCCGCAGTCGCAAGGGTCCAGTGTTTTGGTTTTGTCATGTATTAATTACAACCTCTACAGGCGAAAGCTCAATTTCATGGTGCGCCGGTCCACCCACCGGGAGTGTCCGCTCAGGACCCGTGGAAATACCCTCGTCAGCGTCAGAGAGAAAAAGGGGGGGGGAGGTCAGACTCTGGTAGGACCTGCATGTACCAGGCTCGGCATTATCCAGATGCGACCGTGTACAGAACCGAATGGCGAGACCAGTATTAGCCTACTTTGAAGATTGGGGCTTCGGGTCTTCGGGTCCTCAGGGCGCTTGTCAAGTCCGTCTTACACCCCACGGAATCCGGCTCCATGCGCTAAGGAGTTTCATTTCCAGAAGGGGGGGAAGAGGGACTCGCCCCAGAAATTTCTGTCCGTACCAATTTAGGGCGATGAGACTGTTTTCGTACATTAGCGTGCGGTTCACTCTCAGCCACTGGGGACATAGCGTCGCGATGGTATATCCGAGGCTGAACGGCGTTGGGCTGGCATATCTTGTGTGCGTCGTTGGACGTGGATGAAGCCAGCGGGCACCAGGCGCCAATGTGACTGGAGCCATGCAGCCCGTTTCTATCGTGAAAAGGGGGAAGCGATCGACGAAAGGCCCCTGGTTCGCAACGATGGTGCCTGATTATGTCATGCATTTTGTTGCTTACAATTGGCCCGAGCGACCCTGTAAATTACGGGGAAACCGAAACGGGACAAACCAACACAACTGCCCACCCGTGCTCTCGACGGTACTGTAAAGATCGTCTGAGACCCCTTCGGTCCCTGACTCCTTCTCTCCTTCACATCACACTCGTTACTCCTCCCAGAGATATCGCTCTTTTCACACCTCCACTTTCGGAGCTCCTGCTCTCACGACATACGAAACTTTCAGGGGCTGACACTCGACCCTTTTCTCACCCGGGTTGTTTATCCCCGTTGCTCTCGCTCCCCGCCTTATCCGCCCTTCGATCCTCTGTTTCGTCGATCCGAATCGCCCCCTCTTGAGTACTCGTCGAGTCCGGCCTTCCCAGGACCCTAATATCAAAGCGCGACGTGTTGAAGACACCCTCGGATCCCCCGACGAATACACGCTCATCGGCACATTTCACTTGAAGTATCCAAGGGTCACGCAGGTCGTTTCCTTGTTCTTCGCCTCTCCGCTCAGACTGTGTCTAGAGCAGTGTTAATTTCTCTCGAATAATCCCTATCCATCCCCTTCCATCATGCACTTCACATTGACCGCATTTGCGGCATCTAGCCTGCTTCTCGCCAGTTCGGCTGCTTCCAAGGCGTCCAATTTTGGGAATCACCTCAATCGACGAGCCGGTGCGACCTTGGTCGGCTGCTACAGCAGCAGCGACGGCATGGGCAACCAGACCTCGTATACTTTCCAAAGTTCTGGATGGTGTTATGATCGATGCAGTAACTCTCCATACAACGCACCTGCGTTTGCTTTGACGGCGGGTTCTGATTGCCTGTGTGGCAATGAGTTCCCCGCGACATCCGATAAAGTGGACAGCAGCAAGTGCAACAAGCCTTGTGATGGCTGGCCGGAAGATATGTGTATGTGATGATGACTCGGCAATGATATGAATCACTGACTGACCATGTAATAGGCGGTGGAAGTGGTTTCTTCTCAGTGTATACAACTGGTCTGGAAGCCAATGTTCCCAGCTACTCCGACTCCGACTCCGACTCCGACTCCACAACTACGACTGCTAGCAGCACTGAGACGAATACCGCTACTACAAAGACCAGCGGGGCAACTACTTCTGTTTCGACTGACGCCAATGGAGCGACAACCGTCGTGACTGCCACCAGCGCGCCTCTGCCAAGTAGCTCAGATAATATCGCGGCTGAGACGAAGAGCACTCACAACACAGCCGCAATTGCTGCTGGTGTTGTGGTTGGCGTGGTCGGCTTAGCCGCCTTGGCAGGTGCGGTCTGGTTCTTCTACCACTCCAAGAAGCAAAAGGCCGAAGGATTCCGCGGTACCGCCGGCGCCTACGTACGTGAATCGCAGCCTCCATCCATGACGGATTCACGATTCGACGGTGGCTATATGGCCCAGCGCCGCCAAAGCAATGGCAGCATCGATGATGACCACGACTTCTCTCGCCGCATCTTGCAGGTACGTGGGTACATTTGAACTGTACTGCTCAATATATTAAACTCCCTCTCAGGTGACCAACCCCGACGCAGGTCGCTACCACTAAATGGTCAGCCCTGACCACTAGACTGCATGACTCTTTCCTTCCATTCTGTTCAACTACTCCTCACTCATCTCACATCTCGACTTCCGCTTCCATCCCAGATGCTTCTATTTTTGAGAGCCCTATTTCCTTCACATTTTCCTCGGATTATTTAGCGGAGTTATGATATCCGAAAGGCTTATGGCTCGACCCGATTCGGTGTCTATATTTGGTCATTTTTCTTCTTCAACTACTGGCCAGTTTTCTGGACGCGCGACTCGGGTACTGGATAAACGATACTCATCGTCCGGTGGTGGCCGTCTGTAGATTTCGCACTTTGCGACTATCCACACTGGACCTGTCACCTGAGAAAAGCCATGCTATTCTACTGCCATTTTGCATTTCGACAAGCAGGATTCAACAGGAGATCTTGTATCCGATAAGGCGTTTTGATTTCGGCTTTCGATGCTCCCGCCGTCACGAGCACACCGTTCCTTTACATGATTTCTTTTTCATCGCTAACCAAGATACTCTTCCATTTCTCTCGCCCACTGGATGCGACTGATTTGGCAGGGGTGTATCTTGCCCGGCCCTTTCTCGGCGTATTCCGGGGGAGCTTGGGGAAGATTATTAGCCTGTACCTAATGTGAGAATGGATATGCACAATAACTCTGTCATCCGCGTAGGGCTCTGCTTATTACATTCCAGGGTCAATGATCTGAGCTTGAGCACTGAGATATTCAATGATTATCCAGGCCTCATGACATTGGAACCTATAGAGATCTATCATCTCAGCGTCAGCGTAGGCCAAGGACTTGATGCATCGAATTTCCGACTATTCCTAGAATTTGGCGACCACCAATAAGACAAAGGAGTATATCGACCTCACGGAATAAGATGTTGAGTACAATCTTGCCCTGGCTATACCCTTCATGAGAATCCAACACTTTATTCGTTATCGAATATATTGCCAACCCATTCCATTCTTTCTGAAACTACACGTGCAGGTTTTGTTCCAAATGTTCCAAATAACTCCTGAACAGATCAATTTCCGCTGGCCCCCCGCAGTACAATCCCGGTTGGCATACAATTCAGACCTAGGCTCATTATCGCCAAATCGGGATCCAATATGCTCAAAGTAGCCCTGCAGACCAGGCACATGATCAAGCCATTTTCAACCCTTCTTCACAATCACCAGCAGCTCATCCCCCTGACATGCGCTCTAAGTAGTCCAGGATCCCTCGCCTTGAGCTTCCAAAGTATTCTGGAGTTTGTAGGTAGATCTTCTCATCTCCGCTGTGCGCGGCATCCATAACGGAGATATTTACTTGGAAAGTGGCAATTAATCGATGAAGGCCAGTCTGAGAGAACGTGATAGAAGACGCATGTGCAGTCGATCGCCCCCTGTCTTGAATGGCACATTCTTTGAGATGAGCTTGTTCTCTTTGCAAGAGGTTGAACAGTCTATTTCTTTTATCTCAAGTTGCCGCTTCCACTAGTCAGACTTCCTATGGGAAGTTCGACAATTCCATACTTTCAAGTAGCCAGCCGTGGTGCATTTGGAATAGGTATGAATATTGATTGAAAGATGTATTTTGCTTGACAGGAGAAGACTTTGACCGGCCCCTCGGGCTCGAGGCTTACTGCCTTGTATAGTAATCAAATCTATGCATTCTGCAGATACATCGGAGATGCAAAATTCCAGTACACTACACTTCTCACCACGTCTACCAGATACCGAGTTGAGAGATCTGGGTAGAAACTCCATAGCTCATGTCAGACATTTTCTTTCGAGCGGATTTCTTCGGCGTCGCCATCGTTGACGCTGGTCACAAGGGTTGCGTCGACGAGTTAGCAAGAGAATGATCGTCCGCGAGGTAACTGAGCATGTTCTAAAGCAGCCAAGTCCCTCGTAGTCTTCGATGCCCAAGTAAAAGTAGGGGCTTTGGTTGAATAGTCTTGCAAGACTTTGACGATACTCGACGTGCCAAATACAATTGGGGGATCTCCTTATCAGTGTTTTGCACACTTAGAAGAGCTCGGTGTCTTATCCCACGTGCAGTGAACTTCCTCAGCGCCAAATGCAAAAGGATTCAGACGTGTGTGCGATGGCACGGATCCAGGACGGTGCCGAACAAGCCTATTAGGATCTCTCGAGTTGGCGCGGGTAGCATTTTTATTTAGTATCTTCGGAAACAAGATGTCTGAATCCGACATGACCTAATGTCGGTCGAGCGAAACTGATCATTACTCGAATGAGAAATTTAGACCATTTGTTGTCGAATCTGGAGTAGTCAACACTTGGTGGGCAACTCACAACGCCACCAAGTATAATTGTGACGAAGTGGCGGTAACAGCGGGACGAGCCTTTTACCCCCTAATACGCCTTGATTCTTGATCGCCTCGGTGCCTCAGTGGGTTTGCCGGGAAGAATACGTTCAGCAATAATTAACTGTGGGATGCTGATTTCATCTGGGCAGTACGTCGAGATGGTTCAGCCTCGTTGAACATCAGTATCTGGAGAGACACCATCTGCGCCTGGATGATGTCCAATTCTTTTCCACCAGAGACTGGGCTATTCTCTGCAGGATTCGGATTTCATTTTTGTCCGAAGCGGATGGTTCCGCAAAAGCTTGAATCCTGCGCCAGGTACGCGATACGCGTCAGTGCGCAAACCCCCTCAATAATGTAGTTCGGGCATTTCCCCGAGTCCTGAGACTTGACTTGTTCGACAAATGAGTTCGTCCAAGGTAGGATCATATGTTCACTGGGGGTTACGCCTCCAAATCAAATCTAGGAGATTTGCGAGTTCGTGTTGACTTGAGTAGACCCTAAGGCTAACTATGTAACCTTTCAAAACAATGTAACAATACCCCCCCTGTAGATCAGCAGGAGAGATGGTATATATCCCTTGTTTTGCCAATCTGGCTCCCCTTTTCGGTGTCATCCGAGAAAAAAGTCCAAAGCCGATCAACATGGTAATCGTTTCTCGCGCTCTGTTGGCCCTAGCCGCCCTCGTCCCCGCCGTCGCTGCTCGTCCTAGTCAGACTTGCCGAAAGGTTCAGTATGACTTCCCTGCTAGCACGAACAAGAATGATCCTCGCGCCGAAGCTGTGAAGCAGGCCTATGTCCGCGAGTGGGACCAATACTACAAATATGCATTCTCCCACGACGACCTGCTGCCCCTCACCCACAACGGCACCAATGACCTTTTCGGCTGGGGTGCCAGTGTTGTCGATGCAATTGACACTGCTATTGTCATGGGATTGACCGATATTGTGGAGAAGCAGCTGAAGCACATTGCTTCTGTTGACTTCACGTAAGCTTGGAAAACTGATTTACTGGCGCTGTTTATTAACCCCAAACAGAAAATCTGCCTACATAGTCAACTTCTTTGATATTAACATCCGGTACCTTGGTGGCCTATTGAGTGCATACGACTTGATCAAGAGTGGAAAGTTCCCTAACCCTTATGACGAGCACCTGGTCGAGGCCCTGCTGTCCCAGGCAAAGTCCCTGGCCACTGCCATCAGCCCGGTGTTCGACACTGTCACTGGCCTACCTGCCTCACAGATAAATTTAACCACTGGCGAAGTTATTCAGTCCTCCAGTACCATCAATGGCACTACATACAATAGTACCAACACTGCGCAGGCGGGAACCATGATCTTGGAATACTACCGTCTCTCCGACCTTACTGGCGATGAGACTTTCCGCGAGCACGTACGTCTACACCCGCATAGGTGACCAGTTTGGGAAACAACATATTGATAGGCCGTGCTTATTATAGGCGAAGAAGGCCGAGAGCTATCTCATCAACCCCAGGCCAGCTCCCATTTACCCCGGTCTCGTCGGTACCGAGCTTGACACTGACACCGGAAAGTTCATTACCTTCGATGCTGGCTGGGAAGCTGGCGTGGATAGCTTCATCGAGGTAATTATTAGTACTAAGCAGCTATGTATGTATGAGGCTAATATTTTCCGCAGTATCTTATTAAAACTTATCTGTACGATCCGTCTGATGAATACACTCAACAGCTACGTGACTTCTGGGTTATTACTGCGGAGTCGAGCATTCAAAACATTGCGCTGCATCCATATCATCACCCCGAGCTGACCTTCCTATCGCAATCCGACACCAATGGTAGCCTCATGTGGACCATGGATGACTACGTTCGTCCAACCTGCCCTTGCTGCCCTGTCACTCATTAATATCTTCTTCTAGTCTTGCTTCGCTGGCGGGAATCTTCTTCTCGGTGGAGCGTATCTGGACCGGCCCGATATCAGTGATCTTGGAGTCAAGATGGCTGACAGCTGTCACTGGCTTTTCAATACCACGACTACTGGTTTGAATCCGTCAAGTAAGTCTACGCAAGCTCAAGTCTTTCTACTGTAGCTAAAAAGATCAGCGATTGCCTGGTACAACCAGAATAACACCGCCTACGACAACGAATACAATTTGAATGCCACTTACCGCGCAGAAGCCGCCAAGAATGGCTACTTCATCACTGACCCCTCTTATCGCGACTACCCTGAGCCTATCGAGAGTATTTGGTATGCGTACCGCATCACCGGCGATACTCGCTGGCAGGACTACAACTGGGAAATTTTCCAGGCCTTGGATACAGAGCGGTCAAAGTCGACGCCCTACGCTGAGATCTCTGATGTCAATGCTCCAGGTGGTGGAGAGTTGATCAACTATGTTGCCAGGTGAGCTTTTCAACTCTCAACATGAACCAAGATGGGACTGACTGGTGGCTTGTGTAGCTTCTATTTTGCTGAGGTTCTAAAGTATCTCTATCTCTCTCCTTCACTGAGACCGATGTCGTCAGTTTGGATGAGTTCGTGTTTAACACCGAGTGCCACCCCATGCGTATCAAGGAGCCTTGCAACTGAGGATGAAAGGTGGAGGGATGTGGTTGGATTAATCAGGAGGGGACTGTGAATAGCTTTATAAAAGCTTGTAAAGCCTTAGTTGATAGTATAACTCTACATGCTTAGATAGCAAGAGATATCTCCCTCATGATGTCAGCGTCTATAGAAGTGGTCTGCCCTCCGAAATTTGTTTTCTAATAATATCGATGCCTTTGAGACTACAAATCACCTGGTAAACTTTACAATTTGTCTTGAACGGATGTACCTCAAAGCTTTCCCGCAAAGTACTGTCATATGTCAAGTTTACGCTAAGAGCAGGTACAGTAATCCAGGGCTGCACCTAGGACTAGCTACATTGGAGGCCACGTAAAGAGCCTTGAGTCCACTCAGAATCCGAAGACGCCTGAGCCCGAGCGGAATTCCCAAAAAAACCTCTCGATCCCGACTGAAGAATCTAGCGATCTGGTATTCCCCTCACTTCCATGACATCAATCACAACAGGAATATCGCAATTATTCCGAAAAAACCCCACAGAGATCACCATAGAATGATAAAATCAGCGAAAGATTCCAGCGATATTGCATGGCCAACCTCACGACACAATCCCTGAGAGTTGTGCCACATGGGCCCAGGCACATCGGGACCCCGGAAATCGAAGGCGGGGTCGAGGTACATCCCAAAAGCAGCCCACGTGTGCTTATGGTGATGGGAGCCTTGCAAGTCCAGCACATATTACAATCATAACGTCTCCATCAGATATCAGATTATGAGATCATGCACATCCGTGCCTAGGCCGGGAGGATGCGCTAGGCGGGAGCTCGCCACGCGAGTTAAAATTTCCGGTAGGAACAATAAGACTCGAAACCATAGAGGACACTTGGCGGCAAGCATCAGTAAACTGAAAATCCACGATGTGTCACTCTTCCTCGTCGCATCTGATATGGAGTCGGGGACTAAACTTAACATCGGGCTCCAGGGCGGAGTTCAGTAGACCGATCGCGCAAGGATGTTTTTTGACAAAGACCACGGTAGTCCACTACTTCACCTGAAACCTGATCACTGCACGCCTGCACTACGGGAATTCATCGCAGCGAATAGGAATACTCCAAGAACCAACATTAAAGTCGAGATGTGACTCGTTGGAAAAAAACATGGGGGTGATGTCATCTTGCAGATGAGAGTCACCGCTACAGGTTGTGGAGGACTGGACATAGCCCCAGAAAGAAGCCCAGGGTGTATTATTTTTTTGCAGAAGCGCTGATGGCGGTCTGGTATTGCAGTGATTCGTGCGTTGACTGTGAAATGTTGGTGGCTTGTTGGTTTACTACAATAGACCATAATCTGCAGCTCATTGTTGTCTTTCAAAGCCAAATGTTGCTAATTAGGGGCTTTTTGTGTTGGCTTGATGCAACGCAATGCGCGTGTCCGTATTTAGGGAAACCACCTTGGTAATAGCCGCCAAGCCACCCAACATCTCTATTAGGCTTGTCGAAATCTATTCTTTATTTGGACGGTAGACTTGTACAAGGCTCAATCATCTAGATGTCCATACTGGAGATCTGCAACACGACACTGTTTATGGGGCTGTGGGGCGTGTCGATCTGAATATTTGATTGGGTTGCTCGTAAAAGTGTGGGTTGGAAGGGTTGGTAGGGCCTCTCGTGCACTAGTCCGATGCCGATGCTTTGTCCAAAGTCGAAGTCGGTGATTGACCGGTGCTTGATCGGTAAATTTCCATTAATCGGGTCACTTGTTTTATTTTCTGTTCAGAGCCTAGTGAAGCACATCTGCACACGTGAAGATAGGTCCAGAGAGGAGCTAGATAGCTGTTGAAGCAATCACAACACCGTGTGTAACAACCTTGAATCAGCTCACGCAATTACAGGCAAAGGAGCTCTATATTGGAGATCCCAAGTACATCACATCAAATACGCCTCACCACAAATACTAGTCAAGAACGAACTCGACAAACATATCCTGAAACAGACGATCTGCACATGGCTTGACGGGCGTTCGTTTCATCTAAACCCGGGATCTTCATACGCACTCTCACGGTAAACGACAACAAGTTGCAGGAGTCGATGAGGGACGGTACATTGCAGTCGATATAAATAAATGAACACTACGATCAGCAGCGTCCACGTGTAAGCAATCTGAAACACCCCTCAGATTGGCCCAGGACAATATCCTTCCCCCCGCTCCCAAAACCGACTTACAATGGCCTCGAATAGTCTAGTGGGCACAGGAATGCATACTCAGTGCAGTAGTGTGGCCCCCGATAGCCGTCCGCCAATACACTAGCCCGTTCTGGGCGCATGGAAACAGTACTCAGGACTTCGTTCGTTACCAAAGACATGAGTGTTACACAGTTGTATAGTGCTGATCGTTCAATTCCCCGTTCGAGCTAAGTCGGTTCCCACTATATCCTTGAACCCGGGATCTTTCGGCCACATGGCCAGACAAGGGTGTGAATCCTGCATCCCGACCGTGGCGAAAGGCCACTTAAAGGGGAAGTGAGACTGGAGCCGGGGTTCATTTAGCGGCATTCTCGTTGTATGGACGGGTTCGAGGTGATACTGGACTCGGCCGTCGGCTAAATCCTCGATACTGGAATGAAGATGAACCGAGCAAGCTTTGCGATGTAGTTCAACTCTAGTTCGGTTCGTTCCATTTCGACGGCCCTCGCCGACCAATTCCCGGTTCATCTCAATTTAAAAACCACGTGTATGGATGAATCCTTTACCGAGTCAGTGAGAAGTTGAGGACTCCGATCGCAGATGCTTGGATCCGAGACTCCGTCCGAGACTCCGTCCGACGGTATCGCGACTTATTGGTACATCCGGGGCTCATTGCATCACAAAGCGTAGACACACATGAGCTACGCGACCAGGCAGAATCCACCAGTTCTGCCTTGCCACTGCTGACGGCCACATGGCCTGATCTTCACACGCTATGTGAAACGTCGCTCCCCATAGGGCCGGCCTGAGGACCTGCATGAGGCGCAGGTAGCCATCCAAGATAGATCTACAGTTGACAAGGGAAACGTCAATCATGATGTGCATTCAGGCCCCCCAGTCTATGAAGTCGGGGCGTCCGACCATATCGGGCGGACGTCACGAGCAGAGCAATTGCCAAGTATTATGATCTGCAAAAAAAAGGGATTCATCAGGCGTAGATTTGACTTTGACCTACCACTCCCACAGCTGATGGCTTTTGCGGCCTTTGCAAGGTACCGTCCAGGTACCATGGACTCTGGCGGTTTCGCCGCTGATCGGTGCGGTTGTGAGTGTGGAGTGCAGGGTGTTCCCTCCCGCGAAGCATAGCCCGGGCCAGTGAAGGACTGTTCAAGGCTCCAGACACCTGTCAACACGAGGTAGTGAACCAAAAGATAACGCGTCCTTATTGACGGCGTTTACCCGAGATGCAACTCGGCCGAGGACTACCAGTTCGAAACCCTTAGTCCTCCCTAGGCCAAGAATCTATAGTCTGAAAACGCTGCACTACTCTGAATCCACTCTACGGAAATCCCGAAGCACTGACAGCGATCGTTCCACCTTCCCCATCGGTCGGACCGTGTAGATCGATCACTCTTCCCGGGCAGTGCTTGGCTCATCCGTAAAATACAAACGGCCAGGTCGAAGACACGGGGTGGAGACCAAGTACAGTAGTCAGGAAATTTCAAGAATTTCCCAATTCAGCTAGGACCAACACAACGGCCGAGAGAAGGATAAAAGGATGGCTTCATCACCAGTGCGCCAAGGCGCAGTGGGAGGTGGGTGGTCGCTTCTCTCACTAAGCCCAGAGGGGATAATGTACAGCCCTGGCATAGGCATGAGGCTGATGGCGCTTGACAGGTAAGGATAGTTACTAGCAGGAGACTGTGGACCCGGGTTGGAACCTAACGGTCATGAACCGTCCTGCTCGAGGTGGGAGAATTTCGGGAAGTAAGGTCAGAGCTAGGGTCGCGACCATTGTCGGAGGCCGGAGGCTTCAGTCCACCGAGACGAGTTATTCAAGCTACTTAGGGGGGGCATGCAATGGAACGAGTCATAAGAGGTGACCTAGGGGAGATTACCAACCTGATTGGGATAATGAAGAGGTTCCCTGATTTGGAGAGAGCACGGAATCCCGACAGTTAGGTTGCGTACCTCACTACTTTAGACTACATTAGCCAACCCACGCGGATCCATCTGAGCAGTCGAGTCTTCATGACCACGCTTCTGCAACTGATATAGAAGCCGTTGGTTGAAGACGATCCACTCGATCTTAGGTGAGATGGAGTGGACTAGTGGCCGCGAGGATGGATTTCGTCGCAGAGATGAAGACCTTCCTCCCTGAGATTGGAAATGGACCCACTTCTTATCTTCAAAAAGCTATGAGCGCGACAGGGGGACACTCACTGTCCCATCTCCAAAAGCCGAGACCACCAAAGACGGTCCACAAGAGCCTCGTTATGGAGATCTTCGTCATGACGCGATTCGTTACGGAGCTTCTCCGCTCATAGGTTTCTGCCTTGACACCCGATAATTTCCGGGGACTCTCCGAGTTGTTGATCTCTCTGTGAAAGCTCGACATGTCGATGGCCAACCTCCTAGGACAGGTGAAAAGCCGGGGGGAGGCTCAGAGCTCCGACCTTTCTGCAAATTGTATAGAGTTCATTTCGGGGAGCTCATTGAATCGGGTACCTTGGTGACTTCGTGCCAACACCGAGTGGCTCCCTGTCGCTGGGATTCAAGTAACGGGATCTGCCACGTCTAAAAAAAGAACCAACACTCAATTGTGAACCTTGACTCGCGACCACCAAACTCACTCTGCAGAGAGCCTTCGACTTGGAGGCTGTACCGTAGGCTATGCTCTATTGTTATGGTGAGGGTCAAATCATCTGTAATCTTCAAGCGATGAGACAGGGGAAGATAATAGTAGGGGCCACTCGATGTGAACGTATGTGCCGCGGGAACACACCTTGCGCCGTACATGGGAAAGGCATGGCCAGCGTGCTAGACAATGAATACAGAAGCCCGCTGCTTGTTCCCGAAATCGAAGTTCCAGTATCGTGCCGATCGGACCGTTCCTGATATCATCTTTAGGTACAGGACCTCGTCATGATCCGCATTATCTCAACATGGCATTGTAACCCTCCACGTGAGGGGAAAGCACTGCACGACGGAACTGGCGCGAACCACCAACCAGAGCACCGGGCAAGCGAAATTACCGTACGTCGACCCTTGTCGAGACTAGATAAGATACAGTTAGGGTCGCGATCAGACGAGGAGCCGAGATGCTATTAACCAGGGGGGAGACGAGCAAACCAGCCCCCCCCTGGGCTTGAAGCTCTAAACTTGGGTCTTGAGCTGTGAGCCATGAGATTTTTGACATTCACGCGCATGCCGCCCGGAGATCTGGACCAGAACGGGGGTTGCAAGGTTGTCTTTTGTGCTGTACGGAGTGTAAAGGTCGGCACGGGACTTCGCACCGACTGCTAAATGGGGGATTTGGTGGGGCGTTCAAAGATTTCCCACGCCCTCGACGCTGACTTTGGCACTATTATACTGCTGATTCGGCAGCATGGAGGTAAGAATGTACGTGAGACTATTGCCCTTGCATGTTATTCCCCATAAGCGTGGCGATTTGCCTCGTGGCAAATGCAGAACGAAGGATTTCTTCCAGAATGCTGGTAGAGCATCGTGTTTCAGGAATGTAGGTCATTGCCACTGGCGCAGATCTGACTACTAGGCCCCCCCTGTAACCGGATGCCATGAGGGCCAGGTTTGTATGCCACGCAGCATGGGGTGCATGCCCGGGCAAATCAAGTCATGTGCAGGATGCAGAGTGCAAGGTGCAGTCAGGGCGCAGGCCCCCCAAAACTGAAAAGAAACAGATTAGGGCATGATGCACACCGTGTTTCTTGGGTTGGTTGCAAAAATGGGGGACCTGAGGCTATTCTCATACCTATACAAACTACGGAGATCGAGTTCCTGACGTTGGGAAACTTCTCGGGCCCGAACAAGGGAATCGTTCATTCACCTCATACGGTAAAGGATCAACAGGAGTGAAACAAGCTACGGGCCCAGGGCCAAGAAGCCCTCTCTGCCTCCTAAGGCGCACTCACAGACCCACTAGGCTGACCCGGACTTTTCCACACCTCAGGCTTTGGTGCCACTTGGGAAGGGGCGCTGCTCTGATCATCCTATGGTCTTTCCGTCCAGAGTATCAACACCAGAATTGCAAATTTCCATGGATCATCTCAAATTGTGAGGGAAAAAAAAAGAATGAAAATAAAGTGAAATAACAGAGCGCCCTGAAAAAAGAAAAGAAATTTCTTTTCAGCCTCAAGAACAAAAGTACAAGGCACCTAACCCATGTTACATGGAAATTCAACGCATGAGATGATGAGACTAACCAATCACTGAGTGAAAGGGCCAGGCTTACCCGCATACTCCTCTCAGGCATAGAGTGCGATCCTGCGAGTTTCCCAGAGCGTGGAGAACCATGACGGAGGGCTGTTCCCCTAGTGGGGCAAACCCGTTGCGTTCCGTGGGAGCTTGGACTCGGGGACTGCCCTAGATCCACCATTTGGAATGTCCTTGTTCCGTTCTTTGTGAGAACTCTATCATGAGAACCCTGAGCATGAGAAGGTTCTCTCTTTTTTTTTTTTTGTAAATTCAAGTTGGCTGAACTAGAAGGCGCCATCCTTTGGGACGGCGGTAGAGAGCACTATCTTAGAACCAACACCGAAGAAAACCCCCTGTTGGCTGTGTCCCTCATGCGGGCGCTGGATCGGCGCCTCACGAGCCGTTGACACGGGTCTACACTGCATGGATACGGTGTAACTTTCTAGTATCGTTTCACGCCTCAGCCGCACTGAGCAACAACGTGGTGTAATTTTAGGATGGGCTTATGCTTGATCATCCCGAGCGATCATCGCCTCCGCGCCCGGGCTTGGTTCCCTTTGATCTAAGGTTAGCCTGTAATTATTTTGGTAAATAATTTCGATTTTATTTTCTCCATTTTTTTTCTCTATTTACCATGATTTCGTCTTATTTAATTCATTTTATTTTGTTTGGGAAGCCGCCTATTCATCCGGATCTGAGTCCAAGCCTAGTCCCCCATCTTTCTATATCAGTCCACCTTCCCCCAGTTGCTGTTTCTCCCAATTACATCACCTACCATTCTTTTCCTATATATCTTACCTTCCTCCGTGTCTGTAGGATGGTCCGGAAGATCCTCTACTCAGCGCAGCTCCAATACTCAGTCCGACAACCACATCGTCTCTGTTCCCAATTCCCCCGCTTCCACATCGCCGTCTCCTGGGCCTCACTCTACTGTATCAACCATGGTCGGCCGCAAAAACGTGCGCCGCAGCTCACAGACTGGCGCTTCCATGGATGTCACCTATACTCCTACCACCCGCCGTATCAGCAAAGCGAAGAAGGGGAAGCGTGTACATGCCTGCGAGTTCCCTGGCTGCAACAAGGTATGCGCCTACTTCAACCGTGATGCGCAAGGAAGCTGACTCTAATGGTACACTAGGTCTTCACCCGCGCTGAGCACCGCAGACGCCATGAATTGAATCACAACCCCGAAGCCTCGTACCGTTGTTCCGAGAGTGGCTGCAAGAAGGCCTTTCACAGGCCGGATTTACTGGCCCGCCACATGGAGAGACAGTGAGTTGCCCTTGGGTCATTTGTGCAAATAATAGGACCGCAAGCTGACAATTGCAGTGAGCTCGAGTCACAACCGGAATCTCAATGGGCTTTACAGCGCCAGACGCCCGTCATTAATGACCCGACTCCCGTTCCCCACTGCTTGCCTATGGATAGCGCATCTCTCCTCGACACCACTCCCCAGCAATCGAGCTCCATGTCGGTTGGGTCTCTCGTGGCTCCTGGCGTGCACCCGGAACTCGCCAGTGACTGCTCTCTGGTGTGGAACGGCATGAGCCTCCCTCTGCAGCAGCGCCCATCAGCAAACTTGTTTCAGAATCACCTCCCCGAAACCGTCGACAGCCCCTTCTACTCTTCGCCTGCAGAGACCTGCCCTTCGCCTCTATCCGATGCAACTTTCTCCCTCCCTCCTCACTCCAGTTCCTCCATTTCCTCCGCATCCGTTTCAGTTATTGAACACTACCCCAAAAATATCTTGAAGAGCGACATCACCTCTTCTCCGCTCCAGATGCATTCACCATTGCGATGGGACGGCCACGACGGCCTGCCGCCTTCACATATGGTGCCCATCTCTCTGGAAGAGAGCTTGGTCCAGCCTCCTGTTCAGTGCCACTACCCTTCCCCCTCTTGGTCCAGCGCCGACTGCTTGCCATACGACGAACATGTGCATTCCCTGGCTCACTTCCAGTCCATGAATTGGAAGCAGTGGGCCATGTGAAAGGATATCGAAGTATCGGACTTTGTTCCGCTTGATGACTTGTGATGAACCTTTTTTCTTCCCCTGCTAGCTTGCCTCGCGCATGAGGCAATGCGCCCTGTGCCGCCGTTCCCCACCGGGACGAGCGCTACAAGTCTCATGAGCATGGGTTTGGGCACACCAGACATGCGCGGCTAGTTCAGAGCTCAAATGCCTCAACGCCATTCGTGGGCCGGAGAACACCGGACCCAGACACCGAGTCGCGAATCGCAAGTCGTGAGCGCGGAGCTTCCGCGGGAGCAACTCAGTGGAGAAGTGTCCCCGCTCCGGGCAAGCGGCTCCACCAAAAGACCGAACAACTGCGAACACAGAGAAAACTTTTTCCTTTCATTTTCCTTTCCCTATCTACCCTAGAAGGTGGATATGCATGTGTGTGTGTGTGTGTGTGTGCGTGTGTGCGTGTCTATGATTTGACGATGCGTTTTGCGTTCTGCTGTATACCCCTGATCTTACTTGATATACGAATATCTTCTGTACATAACTGCGAATTGCATATACAAACACTTGGGCCATTGACTTTAACCGTTTTACCTGGCTTTCACAGTGCCTAGGAACTTAGCGTACCCAAAGAACACACCTGGGATCAACATCAAAGCAACATGCAAGGGTAATACTTGATAGGTTACTCCAACTCAAGTACCATGGTTGACTAGATCGCCGACATCCACGGTCGCATTCAACGGCAACGCGGAGACTCGGCATCGTAACGAGCAAACTTAGCCTCTTTGTCGGACGTTCCGGGATTTGTCCGTCCGACATCGCATCAAGGACACGATCACGAGGCTAAACAGAAGAAAAAAAAAAAACAAGAAAGAAAGAGACAACTTACAACTCTACAGCTCGAGACACAAACTCCACTTGCCAAACGCCAAACGCCAACCGTCAAAAACCCCAAACCTACTTCGAAATCTCAGGAGTTCGCAATTTCGCGAAGGAAAGATCGGTCGATCTCCGGCCCCGTGTCCGCGCCAAACAAAATGGGTCTCGACCCGATTCCCCCGTGCCTTAACTCAAACCCCCCCTGTAAATTATATTAAAAGGAAATTACCCCTGCGGACCACGATTCTGTGGTCCCCATTGTAACAAGAAGCGTGAGCGGCCAAAACTAGTCAATTCGTTAAGCCGTTCTAGGTCAAGTGGGACGCTTTCCTGTCACGTAGACTGCATAAGCGTACCAGGCTTTCATGACTCTCCTAGAGGCCCTTAGTTTCTAGGTATGATGACCTATGCCTAGCCGAGATAAGCCTGTTAACATCCACCTTAAGCGATGGACTCATTTACCCCCTGTCCGGAAATTGTCAAGACTGACTTAGCGTATGACTCAACGTGGTAGTCTTAGTCGAGTTCCACGTTCGTTCTCGTCAAGTGCGAATGAATGCAAAGAAACAAAAACAAAAACATAGGGTTCGGTTAGCCGTGTCCATGATAGGTTCAGCCCAAGGGCCGGACCGCGCAAAGGCCCAACCGAGACCATCTCGGCTCGAAACGGTGGAGGCGGGCGCCCGTGTCGATCAGGGGGGGGGTTTTGTGTCACGAGGCTCTGTCTGGCTTTCTACTTGCAATTGCTTCTTTTTTTTTTTCACTTTTTCTTTTTTCGTGGGGTGAATTTTGGAACGGGTTCACGGTGGTTTTGGGGTTAGTGGGTTGATGGTGTCGAAGTGGGTTTGGGACCTTCCTGGTTCGGTATTGATGTGCGCCCGCCGTGGCGCGTGCTTGGTGGAGATGTGATGAGTACAGCATCTAGGTCTAGTGGAATGTATGTTCTTATCTTCTCTCTTGTCTTGTTAATCGTATTGAATGCTGGAATTGAGTACCTCGGAGGTCTCTTTGCTGTTTCGCGTTTTGATTTGAGCCGCATGCACTGAGTGGCCAGGTGTTGTGGCCGATTTGCCCCGAGGTCGTGCGGCTATAAACGGAATCGCAGTGTCTTCTAGATACCGGCCCGAGGTATCATGAGGGATTTGATGAATGGATGCTACTAACGAATGGATACGTGGTTTTGAATTGTTCATAGAATTGGGAGATTCATTATTCGGTCCAGAACAATACGCTTTGCGAAACGCCGTGCCATCCTTGAGTAAACTAATAGCTTTGAAAATACAGCGTTCACGAGATAATCTTTTAGGCAGACTTGCCCTCCACATGCTCTTCGTATTGAACTTGTTCTTTCTTCTCTTCAATCTTCTCAACTAGCTCACGCTTCGTATCCTCCCCTTCAAACAGATAGGCCAGCTCCTCAAGGGTGGGACCAGCTGTCTCAACGAAGAAGAAGTAAACGACGAGGAAGACGATGAACACCCATATATCATAATAGATATAGAATTTCCACCCAATGTTTTTCAGTCCAATAGGGTTGACGTAGCTTCCAAAGATAGATGCTACTTGAATCGTGAGTAGAACGAATGCCCACGTCTTGGCTCGCATTTGAAGAGTGACAACTTCGAGAGGGTACGTGACAATAAGGTTGGTCCACGCAAAAGTGTAAAACGCTTGGAAAAAGAAGATACAAGCGATCACAACACGGCCGGCGGTTAATGAATTGTGTTCCAGGTATTGTTGAGCGGCAATCGTCCACACAATGAAGGTGACGAGAACGCCACCGGACCCGGTAAGGAAGAAGAAGCGGCGGCGGAATCGATCGATAATCAATGTGACGAAAATGGCGACAATGTATTGCCACAATGTGACCATTCCATTCACAAGTGTGATTTCGTACTCCGTCTTCAGGCCCGTGTCTTTGAGAATTTGTGTGAGATAATTCGAGACAAGCAAGTTACCAGAGCTTTGGCTGAATACTGCAGTCGCAAAGCAGAGAAAGATGCGCTTGAGATTAGCTCGAGAAGAAAAGAAGTCTTTCCACGTCATGTTACTCTCGACTTCTTTATCCAGAGCCTGTTGGATCTCGGCACACTCGACATTGACCAGCTCGGAGTTAGGATCGCACTCCCCGTGATACTTGATTAGTATTTGGCGCGCTTCCTGGTGGCGGCCCTTTGCAATCAGCCAGCGAGGGGATTCAGGACAGAACCAAATCAGACAGAATTGATATGCCGAAGGAACGACTTGGATTAAAGTTGGAAGCCTCCAAGACCACTGGCTAGAGATTCTGTAGCAGCCAAATGTGGCCCAGGCACCAATGACATATCCAAGCACGATCGAAGTGTTGTAGAAAGTGGTGATTTGAACACGCTCCTTGGGATGAGATAACTCAGTGACCAAGACAGGAGCACCCATTTGAATGAGCGAAGATCCTACGCCCAGCACGATCTTCCCTCCAATGTACATGTTCAACGACGTAGCAAAGAATTCAATGATCACGCCGGTGATAATGATGACGGACCCCAGTGCGGTTGGTAAGCGTCGACCAAACTTGTCACCGATCCAACTCAGGAATATGAAGGGAATCACGCCGCCAATGGCATTGGCCGCGCCGAAGAAGCCCAACTTGGCACCTTCGGGATGTCCGAATCGGTTTTGCCAGGATTCCAAGACCTGCATGCCATTCGTCATGGACTAGACTAGTTTAGACCGTATTTAGACCAACGTTGGAGAACTATGAACTTACCCCGTCGATACCGAGCGCTGCACTTGCAAGCAGGGAGGATGTTAAGAGAAAATAGAGCAAAATTCCATTTTTCCGGCGCCAGAAAGGCGGCATCGAGTCCACATCGATGGACGTGATGATGCCCTCAGCCGCATGGGCAGCAGCAGGAGCCATTATCAGCTATAGGAATTTGCGATGCTCTAGGGAATAGACTGGGCTCAATCGTCCAAGTGGAATGCAGTTCTGTCAGTTTGAAGGCATTCTCGCAGTTCTTATAGAAGTGACAGCTCTATTGGCAATACGAACATCCCAACATCCCTAAACTTTCGGAAGGTTTGAAGCACACGTGGTGAGGAAAGAACTTGCATTGCGGGGAAATGCCCCGTGGGGAAGTGAAGATTTCATTCGGGTTCCTGGCGGCGAAACGGGGAAACGGCGAAATGCAAAACTCGGGTCGAGTCTTGACCAGTAAATCGCCGAAACTATGCGGGATAACCCCATCTAATAGTTTCAGAGCTAGCTGTCTGCTATGAGCTTTCCCCAAGATTTCACATTTTTTTTTAACTTGAAACCTTCGCATCTCAAGTGTCGATTTGCCTTTTCCGAACAAACCGCAAAGACGCGCATTATGTCTCCTATTCCGCTGCCCAGCGATTTTGAATGGGGATTTGCGACAGCTGCCTATCAAATTGAAGGAGCTGTCGATGGCGATGGTCGAGGGAAGTCAATTTGGGACACCTTCTGTCATTTAGAGCCTACTCGGACCAAAGGAGCGAGCGGAGATATCGCTTGCGACCACTACCACCGCTTTCAAGAAGATTTCGATCTTCTCTCACGATATGGTGCTAAGTCTTACCGATTCTCAATCTCTTGGTCTCGGATCATTCCTCTGGGTGGGAGAAATGACCCTCTCAATGAGTTCGGCATCGATTTCTACCACAGGCTCATTGATTCCTTGCTTGCTAGGGGCATTATACCGTGGGTCACTTTGTACCACTGGGATCTCCCTCAAGCACTTCACGACCGATATGGTGGATGGCTGAATGTGGAAGAGTCACAACTTGACTTTGAAAGATATGCTAAGGTCTGCTATGAGCGTTTTGGAGACCGGGTGAAGAATTGGATTACTCTGAATGAGCCTTGGATTGTGTCCATCTTTGTAAGTTTATTGGCTCAATGATTGACCCCTCACTGACGGACCGGTTGAGGGTTACGCTACTGGTGGAAATGCGCCTGGACGAAGCAGCATCAATCCACAGTCAACAGAGGGTAACACGGCCACGGAGCCCTGGATCGTGGGAAAGTCCTTGATCATGAGCCATGCTCGTGCTGTCGCGCTGTATAACAGAGAGTTTCGAGCTATCCAACGTGGCAAGATTGGTATTTCACTCAACGGCGATTATTACGAACCCTGGGACAGCCAAGATGAGCGTGACAAACTCGCTGCAGAACGCCGCATGGAGTTCCACATCGGATGGTTTGCTAACCCAGTCTGGTGAGTATTGTCTCGAGGTGCCCCATTTACAGATACTGATTCATTCGGTAGCCTGGCACAGGATTATCCTGTCTGTATGAGAGAGCAGCTCGGTGATAGACTCCCCATGTTTACACAGGCGGAAATGCATCTTCTTCAACAGGCCGATATGGACTTCTACGGCATGAACTACTATACTTCTCAGTTTGCACGTCATCGAGATGAACCTGCGTCCGAGAATGATTTCCTGGGAAATGTTGAAGAGTTTCAGGAAGACAAGCAGGGCGTTTCAGTCGGCGAACCAAGTGGTGTTCATTGGCTTCGCTCGACTCCTAGTCTTTTCCGCAAGCATCTGACCCGAGTATACCGGAAATATGGCAAGCCAATCTATATCACCGAGAATGGATGCCCATGTCCGGGTGAGGACAAGATGGCCTGTGAAGAGGCCGTCGAAGATAACTATCGGGTTCGATATTTCCAAGACCATGTCGATGCAGTCGGCCTGGCTTGCAACGAGGATGGCTCAGATATTAGAGGGTACTTCGCGTGGTCATTGATGGATAATCTGGGTAAGTCTCATCTGGCAACCATTGCTGCATCTGGTGAACTAAGTCTTTTAGAATGGTCTGATGGTTATGGCGTTCGATTTGGTGTCACTTTCACCGACTACGATACTCTGGCAAGAACGCCAAAGAAGTCTGCCTTGCAATTGAAGGGCATGTTCGACGAGCGAATCGGTGCAGTGAATTCCCAAACTTGGACAGAAAGTGGCGAGTCATCTCCTCTTAGGAATGACAGGGCACGAATTTAAAGCGTCTTATGTGTGAGATTGTTAGAATCATTTCACAGATTGTCATGAATTGCGAAAGACTAGAATGGAACCAAGATAAATGAATTGCATACTTTTACTCGATAAATCTCACCTCTTTCTCGGGATTGTGAACCCGAATTTAGCAATAATTAGGCAAAATGTTGGGGTAAAAGCTCGCTACTAAGACCTCGACTGGACATTCCCCGCTTCGACATCCCGCGTCGGCGAAATTCAAGACGCGGGGGGGGGGATTTGACCGATGCTAACGCCCAAATGTCAGGGTCCTTCCTCGACACATTTCTCCGTCACTCCAGATCGCATCGCCGTATCAAATTTGATGGCAGCTTCCAGCCCTGCCAGATCTCGAGCACCGGCCAGAGCGTGTGATCGATGCCGACGGAGAAAAGCAAAGGTGAGCGCCAAGTGCAACAGAAATTGCCCCGGCCAAATCTCAACGGCTAGAGTAACGCTGAAGTAGTGCGACTGCTCGGATCTATCGTCAATATGCAGCAGTTGTCGATTATCGGGAGAACCATGCACGTTTAATTTGCCGCTGGCTAGACGAGGACCCAAGACAAAGCGACATAAGTTCACCAGTGAGGCACATCCAAGTTGCCTGGATAGCCCCACGGCGCCTTCTTTGGATCTCTCGGGACGTAGTCCTAACACTGGTCTGTGTATCACCCCAACTGCCGCTGCAATATCACTTGATGCATGGGGCTCCAGTCTTACAGCTGTGGATCCCGCGCTCTCGCCCGAAACAGCTCATACTGTTCGAACTTCCATCTCCGAGGCCGCTTCTGCAAGGGCCATCTCAGCCGTACAACGATGGCAAGATCTAGCACATGCACTGTACTCACGAGATCCATCGGCAAATCTAGAAAGAACTGTTAATCACTCTTTCGAGCTGTTCTTCCAGTATCTCTTCCCATTGATCCCACTTGTTCATGAACCCAGTCTTCGAGATGGACTCAACTTCTTTGTTGCCCGGAGAGATAACACAACGGCGAATAGTCTGATGTACGGGCTCAATAGTCTGAAGTATCCAGAATTGTGGCCAGATGTTACTTTCACATTGATAACGGCTGTCTGCGCCGAGGCAGCATTCCTTCTTCCGAAAAGCATCTTCCCAGAAGGCGAGAGCATCGCGGAGATTTTCCTTGAAGCTTCTCGTAACTGCCTGATCACGTACCTGGAGTCTGATCTTGAATATCCAAATGCCAATTCTGTTGCGATCCGTTACTTTCACTCCAACTGCATGCACGCAGCAGGCAAACCACGACTGTCGTGGCATATATTCGGCGAAGCTACCAGATTGGCACAAGTGATGCAGATGCATGAAGAGGAATCTTTACAGGGTCTCTCGCCGCTCGAGGCAGAGTTTCGAAGACGTGCATTCTGGATAGTCTATATTGGTGATAAATCAGCCGCAATCTTGAATAACCGGCCAATCACCATTCACAAGTTCTCATTCAATTCAGGAATCACCATTGGATATCCCACTGGAATTGAGGATGAGAATGTCCTGACACCGAGAAAGTGCCGATCCAGATGATACAAATACTCGAAAGAGTTTCATCGCAGGCTTCAACGCCAATATCCGGCTCTGGGAAAGTGCATCGGATTTGCTCCTGGAGATGCGACTGATAGACCAAAGCAAGACAGTCAACGGTGTCGCTCGTTCGGCCCCTACAGCCGAGGAGAGGTACCGATTGGATCACCTCTACGTGCTTTTCGCCACCTCGCTCGATAACTTGCCCTCACTGCTACAACCAGACAAGCTTGTGATGAATGTCGGCGAAGAAAGCAGTCGACTTAGTAGTCTAATGAGACAATGTGGTATTCAAGCGGCAAATCTTTACGTCTCACTACACTGTCTTAAGATGGTGATTACACAGAAGTTAGAAGAGTTCAATCATTACCCACCGACACGCAATGACATATTGTTACTGAGAAAGACCGATATCGCACGCGACATGCTGCGTGTCATTTGCGATGCTCCATTCTGGACATTGCAGGTGAATGGTGAACCATGTGTAAGTCTGTTGCCTCACACACCATAGGACAAGACTTTAATTATCGAGCAGGTCGAAAAGATCCGGCTTATTGGAGCCAGTCTACTTGAGATCATTGATCAGCATGAGAGCTCACCACTATCTGTTAGAGCGCGGAATGATCTCTCGGTGTTACTTGACATTTTGACCCGACTTGACTCGAAGGCATCGGATACTTTGCGTCGATTAACGTATTCCACCACCTTCCCGCCCACACCACCTTCCCGCCCACCCACCCACCTACTTCTATATTTATGAAGCAATTAAATAACCACAACGCCTTTATATTCAATTTAAACCTTCTCTGTACAGAAATTAGCCCTATGGCCAGGCCTTCTGCATACGCTGCATGCATATTGACGTCTGTTGGTCTGACTATTGGTGGTTAAAGCCTTCCGGGTGGGCATTGTAGAGACCACCCCGTCATCTTCTATATTGCTTAATAGACCAATGCCTTGCTCATGGGCTTCAGATATAGCCATACCTTCAGCGCGTTCTATCTGCCGTTTGGATAGAGATCTTTTCTGTATTTGCTTCTTGTTCGCAGCGCGTAGATCTCTGACTTCCTTCTCTAATAGAAGCATACTTTGCATTACCGTTTCGCATGCTTTATATGCTTGATTGATAATGTCTTTGGTAGGTGTTGGTGGGCTTTCCGACCGATATTTCAATAGCTTCTTAGCCGATTTAGCATGCTTCGATAGCTGGGTAATATTCCTTGGTGTCTCAGGGCAATAATTGCTTGATTTGCTAGTAGGTCGTTCCGCATTTGGTGTAGGTGACCGAATTAGAACATTAAGCTTCGATAGCACTGGTTCTAGATCTAACGGCACAATACCAGTCGCTTTGAAGGCATTCACAATAGTATTAACCTGGAAGGTATCCTGGCGCGCGCGTGGGTATGCCGTAAGAAAATCAAGCTTGTCAATAAGGTTGATTCCTAGACGCATTTGCTGGTCGACTAAGCGACTGTATGATCGCTTTAGAACAGCGAAACAGCCAACATCTAGTGGCTGTAATAGATGCGAGCTATGCGCAGGCATACAAAGAGGTATGATATCGTTCTTCGTGCATAGTTGATCAAATTCGGGCGTAAGGTGGCTGCCATGACCATCGAGAATTAATAGCCTGTATCGCCCACATCGCCGGCCATTTGTTAAAGGAATAAATAGCTTTTCAAGCCATCGAAGACCAATTGCATCAGTAGTCCACCCATTGTCGCTGACCTCGATACGCCAGTCACCAGGGACATCGGCACAGAACCAGGATTCGATAAAACGTTTGCCTTTAAATATAATCATCGGCGGTAAAGACCAGCCCGTAGCATTAACTGTTTCGATTGTAGTCACCCATTCGCGATTGCCTGGCTGCAGAACAAATCTACGGCCATAGTATTCAGCTCTGGTGACTACCTTTGCGGTAGAAACAAGGCCCATTGCGAAGCCTGTTTCGTCAAAGTTATAGATATCATCAGGTTGGATACCATAGCGCGAAATAGTCTCTTGCAATAGGCGAAACCATGCACGTATAATCCGGGGATCTTCTTGTTCCGCACGTCGATAGTCATACCGACGCGAGAAGCGTGATTGAATGGCCGGTGTCCGGCTAATATATCGAGTAACCCAATTTAGGCCAATTGCATCAACACCGCGGGCTGCAAGCAATAAGTTGGCCATATCTTCCACCGTAGAGTGCCTCAGGGGCTGCGCCGCGAGCATCCATAGAGAGGATCCACTGGGTAAGCGTATCCTCTTCTGTTTGGGTCATTTTATAGGATGTTGCGCGTCTGGTTGACCGAAATGAGTGGCCTGCGAGGCGGTCGCGTAGCGTGGAACGCGGTACGTCATATGTCTGCGCAGCAGCCCCTAATAGACGGAATTGATTTTTTCTGAATAGCTTGTATTGCAAGCTCGATCCTACCCTCTTGGTGGAGAGATTCTTGCTTGGTTTTAGAACGAATTGGTGGCATTGTAGGTGATCAAAGTGGTTGGGGATACGCGGAGACGCGAAATTTGGTTGGGTGGGCGGGAAGGTGGTGTGGGCGGGAAGGTGGTGGAATACGTTACTCTAAGATGCCGAAATTTCATATTACTTTCAATCACCCTATCAGAGTTTTCATGGGTGAGAGTTCTATGCCGCTCCACCTATGTCAAGCTTCGCCTAGCTTCACTAGGCGGAGCTCCGCGAGGTGTTGTCTGAATTTCCCCGTTTCTCCGAAGCCGTGTCAATGCGGATGTTGATCGTTTTCCCGTTTGTGGGTCTTTCGTTTCGAACGCCGAATGCGGATTTCGTAAAATGGAATAGCAGGGATGCCAACCCAGCGAAGTGGAAATTCATTAAGCCAATCTTTGATCTTGAAATTGTCTGCATGTGTCAAGTAGTCGATCATTTGCGTGGATCTGGTTGGCTACGGGTCCAAAGTCTTCCGGGGATATCGATTCACAAGACGCGGGGAAATGTCAGGCAGAGAGTTTTGGCTTAATCACCTGTTTTGATCAATTTAGACTGGGAGCGATCTATATAAGTCGGTGTTACTCAGTATCAAATTATCGTGCACTCCGGAAATCGTTGGCTTCCAGTCAAGCCCTACCAAAATGCGCTTCGTTCAAGTCTCTATATCGACGTTTCTTTGCGCGGCATTGGTCCGAGCTCTGCCCGAAAGGCCAAGCCAGGCGAACAAGCCGTCATGCCGCTTTGCATCTGAGTATACCCAGGAGCAAATACTTCGCGACCCTACTGATTTCATGAATGATCTGTTGTATTGGGAGGGGAAATTCCACCAGAACAATGTCTCCTACAACTCAGAAAACGGCATGTCTTACGATGGAACTAACATCGATTGGGTTACCGGAGAGAGAACCTTGAAGCATCCATTCAGCGCCGCCAGCAAAGAGGTAAGAGATATATCTCCAGCCAGTGTCTTGATGTAAATGTCCAATTGACTTCTACCCATAGTCGCTTCAAATCATGTTGTATGCCCATGCGATGGCCGGGTCCTCGCTGGCTGCTCGCTTTCTTTCTCCGGATCAACCAAGCGCAGCTCCCCGGATTGCCGCTTCTATCATGGAGACTAAGTTGGAGACTTATCTGCAATTCAACGAGACATACCCAGGCTTTGGTGGCTTTTTGCCTTGGTTCACCTCAAGTACGCAAGAAATCACACCCACATGGGACTGGGTAAATCGCGTTCCTGCTCTTGACAATAGGTACGAAATGTGTGATTCAATTAGAAGAAGAAGCCGCTAATGTCGGACTATCAAAGTGAACTTCTGTGGGCCGTCTACGGGTTTATTCAGGCTCTTGAGAGCACCGGAGACAAGTCATATGCCAGCCTTGCTCAAAAGTGGCAAATTTGGATGGACTATACCAAGACCACTGCTGCCAAGGTAATTCTCGAGCTCACCTCCCAAGTCTGCCTTTTGATGTCTGGTTCGAATGCTTATTCATGAACAGATATTTTACCAAGGCAATGGTCGGGTTTGCGCTGTAATTGATCTCAAAGATCAATCTCTACCCATTGATCACCCTGATCAGTCCTACACATGCGAGGGCGACGGTCTACTCAATGACCCTTACGAGGGTGAACTGTTTACATTCTGGCTCCAATTCTTCGGTGGCCTATCGGATTCTGATAAGGAAGCACTCTGGAACGTCAAGCGACCTCAGCTAGTCAGCGTGGACTACCACATGGGCGATTTTGGGCCTATCACTGTCCAGAAAGGTAAGAAGCTCACTCACAACTTCGGTATTCGCCTCTGACTCTGGGACTAGGATATTGGTTCTCCAGCCACGAGACCTGGAAGGTCATGGAAATGCCATACTACGATATTGATATTGTTAGGTAAGTTCAATTTCTGGGGTCCATAGATTGTCTCCAAATAACAATTTTCTTCAAGACGAGTATACGAAAATGCAGAACGTGTTCGGACCTGCAATTCGGTCGTCACCAGAGTACCCGGCATGTTCGCATCAGTCAATAACATCACTGACCCCTCGACTGGAGATGTTATCGGATATATATCGAACGCTGGTATCCCATCAATCGCCAACCAGACTGTCCAGGAACTTGATGTCATTACTCCGTATAGTGTTTTCCCGACCATCTTGTTTGACAAGTCAGTTGGTCTGGCCTGGTGGAGAAATATGATTCTTGCAAAGAAAATGCAGAGTGAGTTCCGCTTGTCATATCACTTTGGCCTAAGACTAATACTGATCGCTGCTACGAAGACATTTATGGAAGTACCGAATCTGTGCGTGTCGACGGCACAGGAGTTTCCGCACTGGTGACTTGGGATAGCAAGATTACTACGGTCAATGCTTTGCTTGGGGGCGTGTCTGATTTTGTCCGTCAAAAGATGAAAGCGGAAAATATCTATGACGAGTTCGTCAGTCGCATAAGTGTAAGTACACCTACTGCCTCGGTATTGTTCCCTTTCAGCGGATTGCTAACTGTTCAATCAATAAATCCCAGACCGAATACTCGCGTGTGTTCAAGAACATTAAGGGAGAAAATGTTCAGTTCTGTCTACCAAAGGAAGAAGTCCCTGATGCGGGGCTGAAAGATTTTACTCTTTGCCAATAGGACTACTGAAATGCTGCGAATGTTTTTAATTTATGGGTTCTTACGTATAAGAATCCTTGAAGAGAATTCCGAATATATTGATTATGCAGTAGCTATCAAACTACCAGCTAGTGTTCACTCCATTCACTCCTTGCACGCCTACGAATACTCAGTGTTGATCTAACAAACTAGTCGCTTCCGTGTCCCGCGGCCATGAGCCGAGTCTTGATGTTCAATCGTGTTTTCATCGGCGATATAAATGTTTCACTCTCTCTTGAATGCGTCATTCCTAAGACTGTTCCCTAGCGTAGGAATCCATACTGCCAGCAGGCCGGATTAGCATAGCATCGCCGAAAGCATGTCGGGCACCCAGGAAAAAAAAATTGCAAATAGCAAAGAACACATGGTGAGAAAAGAAAAGTAAGAAAAGAAATTCGCCGTCACAGCATTCATGGACCATTTTTTAGAAGCATTGATGGAATCGGAAGTCGGAAAGTACTAATCTTATCGCAAAACCGGGAAAAAAAGAAAAGAGGGGAGAGATGTCATCATAGGCCCGGTGACCTTGGAATAGCTTCATCTGGCATGCGCAGGCAATCATCTAAGCTACCTTCCCTCTTATTCCTCCTTTTCCTCCTTTTACGGCGTCTAGGGTTTTCTTTAGTCATTCAGATTCAATCACCGAAGAACGGAGCACGACATCGCTCACAGTGTATCATCCCACTCGGAACACGCCTGCCGCAGAGGGTCTTGAGAAGAGCCACTCCGATTCCCCACCGACTCCTTGAAAAGAGTCGGATCTTCCATCTTATCTGATGTGCTGATCTATTCCAGCCTCTGATGGCAGTTGCAATATGGTGGTGTTTGTCGACTTGGACGATCCCTCTGAGCATCGCGCTTTCTCTGCAGAGAAGCCCTTCCCCCAGCTGATGGTGCCGGTCGCCACCGCCGACTCCGCTGAACTCCCGCCCTCACCTACCTCCTCGGATGACGAGCGCGGAGACGCGACGCGCGAAGAACTTGACAATCCAAACCGCAACGCCTTCTCGGCAGCGTTGAGCTGCTACCCGTACGGTCCCACTTCCCAATCCCGACTCAACACAAGACTAACTCCGGGGCCGCTCTAGCATCGTCAAAGAAATCGCCCGTGGCGTCGATTTGAATACCCTCCACGCCTTATCGCGAACATGCCGCCAATTCCACGCGAATCTAGCGCCATTCCGCCACCAGCTCGTCCGTGAAACCCTCCGCTGTGAGAATGAATACATCGAGACCGTAGCAGAAATGCTGGACGGCCGAGCCGTTATCCCCAACAGCGTCAAATCCGTTCTACGCCTTCTTAGCCAAGGAAATGGCGAACCAGGGCGTATGACGCGCGGCAAAGTGAGCAAATGCGCACGCGACATGGTAGGCGAGTGTCGCCGCTGCAACAAGGTCGTATGCAGAGTAAGTGAAAACATGCCCATCCGAGATAGCAGCCAATTCTAAAATTCCATAGAACTGCACGATCAAACCGCCTTCTTCAACTACACTTAAAAGTCGAATCCGTCGTCTTTGTCGAACGTGCGGCACCGCACCGCTCTCCTGCCACCTCTCTCATACGCACACAGAGCCTACTACCCCAGACCTCTTCAATGATGGATCGAAATCAGCTGCATTTGGGGCTTTCGCCCATACTCCGTGCAACTGCGATGATATTGTCTGGCTTTGTACGCCATGCGGCCAGACCCTGCGCAGCAATGACACAACATACAGACGCGTATGGGCGTGGCGCACTCGGTACAGCACATATCTTGGCGGCGGGCTCGGAACTGGTATCGGCGAAGGGTCGCAGGGCGTAAAATGCGGGCGCGGCGAAGGATGTCTTGCCGCGCAGGAGATCGAGCTTGAAGTCGATTGCGAAGCAGATGAGGGAGCTAGTGATTCTAGTAGTGCGAATCACAGTCCGACGGGCCATCCGCATCATGATCACTTGTCAAATGATGTTCATGAGGATGAGGAGCCAGGGTATTTCAGACAGGAGATCATTGGACTCGGCGGGAGAGTCAAACACAAGTCGAAGAAGAGGGTTATGGTAGGTGCTTGTGTGGTCGAGTATGAGGATGAACGAGAGACAGGCAAATATCTTGTCCGGGAGGAGGATGGATTACATCGTGCGTGGTGTGGGTGGTGTTCTAGGGTCATCCCTGCGAAAGACGAGGCTCGGGATTGATGGCTTAGCATCTGTGCTGAGTGTTCTGCAATGTGGACAATTTCCATGTCCTCATGACGCTGATGATGATGATGATGATACCCAATACACGGGGGGCTTGGGATGATTCATAGGCATTGTTTAATAAATTTGGATCATCTACGTCTCTTGAAAAGAACGAATGGGTAGAAACAATGATCAAACGAATCTTCAACGGTTGAACTTGATAGATCGAAATGCCTAACTACTTATGCTCACAGTCTGATTCAAACAGTCTTCAACACAGGAAAAAATGTACTCCGGCAATGCGTTGCTCCCAGGTGCCTTTATGCAGTCATCAATATCAATCACTCATCATACACATCATTTCTCATCCCCAGTCATATATATAGAAAGAAAAAAAAGCAAAGGCTCAAAGGCAAAGATAGGTTTAGAACGCAGTGATGGCTCTGATGAGTCCCTTAAGCTTCGACTGTTCTTTGGGTGGAGACTCATCGCGTCGGCGGCGATGAGTGCGATCGCGAGTTTCGCGGTTCTCACGGCTTGGGCGAGGCTCGCGGGCTTCACGGCTCTCACGGGGCTCCTTCTCCTGGCTAGTTCGGTGGCGGCGAGAACCTTCCGGCTTTCTCTCTTTCTCGCGAATCTCCTTCTCACAGGGCTTGGCCTCGGGCTCAACGACAGATCGACGACGAGATCTCTTCTCTTGCCGGACAGCATCTTCCTCGCGTCGAGAGTGTGATCCGCTGGAACGTCCGCTGGAACGTCCACTGGATCTTCTCTCTTCATGAGAATCACGCTCACGGTGACTGCTGCCATGGCTATGGGATGTAGAAGCTCGACGCGACAATTCAGGCGCCGGGGCTGCAGACTTAGACGTGGACTTGGAGCTATTGACGCGCAAGAGAGGGCCTTTGTTCTCCGATTGGCCGTTGCTCATGTACCGAAGGAAAGCCTTAGGCTTGGGAGCGGAGGTGGACATCTCCTTCGACGACGGGGGAGGCTTAACGGAGCGGCTCGACTCTTGATGAGAGGCACGACGCTTGGGCTTGGTCTCGACTATCGGTGGTTCAGCTTCCTTCACCGCACGCTCCGAGCGCTTGGACTTCTCCGACGGAGGAATCCCACTGCGCACTTTGTCGGCGGCAACGGCTTCGGACTGCCGCTTAGTCTGCGCCTTGGCTCGCTCTTTCTCATCATGCTGACGACGAGCTTCCTCCAAAGCCATGGCCCATCGGTTAGTGAAGACGCCACCACGTTCACTCTTCTGGCGCTGAAGCTGGAGCTGATCACGACGTCCATCGGAGGATGTCTTTGAGTACCGTCGCTCACGACCACTAGTCTCACGACCTTCCCGACCATCACGACCATCGCGGCCACTATTTGGTGAGCGTCTTTTGCGTCGGCGTTCTCTAGCAGCAGCAGCATCGCCAGCATCGCCAGCATGGTCCTCCATGAACACGGGCTGGTGCTCGTCGCGAGGCCCTAGGGCTTCTTCTGGAACTGGCTCTGGGGCTTCATCTCTTGGTGCGACTTCTTCAATAGCAGCTGGCTCTTCCACGAGGGCAGGAGTTGGTTCTGGGTCAGCTTCAGCTGGGACTTCCCCAGCAGGGATATCCTTGGGTTCCTCCACTTCAGGAGTGGGCTCCTCCACCGGTGGCTCAGCTGGAGTCTCTTCAGGCGCTGCAGCCTCCAAAGCTGCAGGCTCAACGGCTGCTGGCTGCTCCGGTGCGGCGAGAGCAGGGGCCTCGTTTGCTGTTTCATCGACTTCAGGCGCGACTTCCGCGGCTGTCTCAATGGCTGGCTCCGGTTCAGGTGCATCCTCCACTGGCTCGGGAGCTGCTTCTTCTGCAGGAGCTTCTGCGACCTCTGCGGCTGGTAGTTCAGAGGGAGATTGTGCAACCTGATCAGCGACCTCCGGCTCCGGAACAGGCTTTTCGACCGGAGCCTCGGGTTCTTCAGGGGCCGCCACAGGCTCCTCAGGGGCTGGCTCCTCAGCAGCGGGCGGTTCAGTCGCAGCCTCTTCGCTGGGAGTAACTTCGACGGCAGGCTCTTCAACCGTTGGAGCTTCCTCAGCAGCGGATGCTACGAGAGGCTCCTCGACAGGTACCTCCGGGGTGGGTTCCTCGGCGGGAGTGGGCTCGAGCTCGGGCTCGGGATCAGCAGGGGGATCAATAGCAGGCTCATCGACGGCGGGCGGCTCTGTAGCGGGCTCGTCTTTAGCTGCAGCTTCCTCTGGGGGCGCTTTCTCCTCAACCTTCTCCTCAACTGTCGCTTCAGCCGCAGCAGGCGCTTCCTCTGGAGTAGGCTCTGGCGCAGGACTGAATTCGGCGACTACTTCTTTGGGAGCCACCTCAGCAGCTGGCTCTTCGGTAGGCGGTTCAAAAGAAGGCTCCTCTGCCGGTGCCACTTCCGCTGTTTGTTCGAAAGGGGTTTCATGAATTGATTCCTCTGTCGTGTCCTTAGCGGTTGCGGCTTCACCGGGTGCTTCTTCTTTCGCTTCATTCTGTGCTGGTTCAGCAGCTTGTTCAGGCTCGGGGGCAGCCGGCTCCTCCATAGACGTATCCTTCGCTTCTTCAGCCGCTTCCACCACTGTACTTTCGGCCGAATTGTCAAGCGAATCGGGCACGCATGCCTCAGCGGGTGAATCTTTTACTTCCCCAGCAGCCTCGGAAGCAGCTTCCTCCGATGTAGTCGCAGGCTCCGCGGGTGAAGCTTCAGCAGGAGCTTCTTCTTTAGATTCCTCTGGGACTGGTTCAGGAGCTGTGTCAGTGGCGGGTTCCTTTGCGGGCTCGGGCTCAGGCTCCACAGCCTTCTCGGCGGCTTTGGAGGCTTTGCCCTTCTTCTTTTTCTTGCTCTTCTTTGAAGAGGCCTCTACCGGTGCGGGTTGGGGTTCAGGCTCGGCCACAGGCTCTGGAGCAGGCTCGGGCTCTGGCTCAGCGGCGGGCTCGGGTGCGGGCTCAGCAACTGGCTCAGGCTCAGGATCAGCAGCGGGTTCTGAAGCTGGCTCGATAGCGGCTTCAGGTTCAGCAGCAGGCTCAGCAGCGGGTTCGGGCTCAGCAGCGGGTTCGGGCTCAGCAGCGGGCTCGGGCTCAGCAACGAGTTCGGAAGCAGCTTCGGCCACAGGTTTTGGCGCAGGCGTGGGCTCGGGCTCGGCAGCAGCTTCAGGTTCAGCTTCAGGTTCAGCTTCAGGTTCAGCTTCAGGTTCAGCAGCGGGTTCAGCAGCGGGTTCAGCAGCGGGTTCAGCAGCGGGTTCAGTAGCGGGTTCAGCAGCGGGTTCAGTAGCGGATTCGGCAGCAGGATCAGGTTCAGGCTCAGCAGTTGGTTCGGAAGCTGCTTCGGCCACAGGCTCTGACGCAGGCTCAGGCTCGGCTTCAGCAGCAGGTTCAGGTTCAGGTGTAGGCGCAGGCGCAGGCTCAGGCTCTTCCTCCGAGGCACCTTTCTTCGCTTTCTTTCCCTTCTTCTTCTTTTTCTTCTTTTCCGAAGAAGTCTCTGCAGACGCAGGCGCAGGCTCCTCTGCTGGCGGTTGCTCCGGCTCTGTCGGTGCTGGTTCTTCGGGCTGAGCTTCCGCTTCCTTCTCCGTCTCGGCTGCACCGTCGGCGGGTGGAGAGTCCTCTACTGCTTCCGACGGAGCTGGTTCGTCCTTGGGACCATCCTCTGCAGCTGCTTCAGGCGCAGGCTCTGTGTTGTCTTCAGCCGGCGGATCTTCGCCCGGGGCATCCTTGCTTTCTTCATTTACTTCGGCAGGATCTCCTTCGGCTTCGGCGTCTTCGGCTGCTTGTTTGGCAATTTCCTCCTTCTCAGTCTCTACTCCACCATGTCCGAGTTCAGGGTCACATTCTGGAAAATCTTCGTCTGTGAAATTGTTAGTATCCCAGCGGTCGTGGCTTCAGAGGTACGTGCTACCATTGTTTCCATTGTCGTCATCTTTTTTAGATTCGCCGTCATCTGCTGTGGGTTCTGGAGCCTCTTCTGCCTTCTCTGGCTCTGGCTCTGCGCTTTCTGCACCCTCTGCAGGCGGCTCTTCAGCGGTCTCTGCTGCAGGAGCTTCGCCCTCTGCGCTCGGCGCAGGCTCATCGCCTGCAGGAGGGTCAGCGTCTTTGCCCTCTTCTTTGGCATCTTCGCCAGGGGCGTCGGCGGCTTCAGCAGACTCGGCTGGCGGTGTGTCCTCTGAAGGTTCTGTATATCTGAAGTGAGTACCCTCCTTCTATAAAAAGCTCGGTCTCCCTCGAATATGTATACAATGGTCATATTCCGAGGTCAAACACTTACCTGCATTTTCTGCTGGTGCGGGGGGTTCATCCGGAGACGCGCTTGGTTCGTCTACTGCAGCCTCGGCTGGAGGAGTCTCCTTCTCTTGCTCGGCACTTGGCCCTGTGTCGTCCTGGACCTTAGGTGCCGTCAGATCATTGCCATTGGGAATTGAAATAGGATAAGTATAATAAGATGCGGTGTTGAAATCGAAGGTCTGATAATGACGCTCCACCGGCTGATACTGATACTGAGGGAGCGATGCGTACTTGAAACCTGCTGAGTTCATCTTCAGCACCTGCAGCCTCCGAGTCGAGGGCAGGCTGGTTGGTGCTTTCTTCTGGCTCGTTTGGAGCAGCGCCGACGGGAAGGCGGTTGTTGCTGGTCTTATTGTTCTTCTTTTTGCCCTTCTTGCCCATGACCTCGGATTAATGACGTATCATGTATCGAGGCCGGCGATGCTGACTGGCGCGTGATGTGAACAATGGGAGCTTGACAAGCCGCTGTCAGGCTGAATGCAGGAAATAGTCGGGGCGGCAAGGGAAAATGAGGAACAAGAAACAGAAGTTTAAGGAACTCGAGACCGGGGTAGGGTACAAATGTAGTAGAAGACGGAATTGGCAAAGGCCATATGCTTGTCTCTTAGCAGATGGGAAATTAGCATTGGATAGTTATTGTGAGGCAGCGTATAATAGTTCGCCCGCTATCCGGGTGGATGGGATAACAACCCACTGCAAGAGCGGTATTGGGCCCTGAACGTCATCAATGAACTGCCCGACGACGTTAAGATGCCATTGGGCCACGTTGCTTCGGTCTCCATGAGGTGGGTGACCGGCATGGGGTTTTAGTGACTGATTAGGGCCGGACCCGGACGAGGGCAGCACGATCCACACTTGCAGGACGAGATGCAGTAGCAAGCATCCCATGGCGGGATTGGATTGGGAGTTGAAAAGCAAAAGGGCCCAATTCGGTCCAGATAGGAAAGGTAGTGCTGCAGCATCATGGAGAAAAATGGGTCTTGGTGGGGAACGGGTGCCACCATTCAACTTTTGTGATTTCTGTGGTGTTTTCCTGCTACTGAACACACACAACCTACAGTATTGGGGCAAAATGGGATCACCCGGGTGTGGGTCACGAGTCAATCGGTCAATCGGTCAATGGAAGGGGTTTTCACCGAAAGACCACTGTATTCTGTTGTGTTCCCAGTTGAGGTGCTCACAGTGCCGAGCGCGAATAGTGATGCAGTCGAACACCCCATTTCTGCCCAACGTTTCTCGGCAAGTGCGGCAAAAACAGATGCATGGTCTGGCGCCAGTGGGGAGACACTGACAAGGGCGTTGCCAGAGGAATTGGACCTTTGCTCAGGGGAATTCCGGGCCAGGCACTAAGTTATCGGTGGTGAGTCAACATAGCGAAATGAGTTGTTGGACGGAGTCGAGTTGGCCATTGCGCGACTCCACTCTCGACACCGACACTTCATCAGGCCGATCCTCGCCAGATGCTCCAGAGAGATTCCACAGCAAGGGCGCGGTCGGAATGAAGATGGGGCAATCCCCTATGCACTGCTGTGCATCACAGCAGTAGTGGAACGTCGTGAAGGGGCGAGGGTGGGAATCAGGTGACAGCTCATTTGCGATCTTCCGGCCACTGCTCGTTCACCACGTCCCCCGATCATCGGAATATCTGATCGCTAGGCTCCTCGTCTCAAGCCCCGATACTTGTTATCCCAAGACGGGTGCATGCGTCACCGCCTAGACTGTTCTCGCGACGGGGCGACCCGATATCGCCCTGTGCCGATCTGTGGTGCTCATGAAACCCGGTTGTGTTTCCAAAATTGGGTCAACTGATTACCCAACGCCCTGCAGCGGGCCGAGTATCCTGGTTACGCTGACAACTAATCAATGGCCCGCGCTAGAACCCGCTAGAGAGCTTCACTTTTGATGAAACCTGTGCAATGATGTGCTAGGGATGTGTTGGAATTAGGCCGAATTGAGTAACGTACCTAGGATTAGGCGAGGATAGCCTTTGGATATCTACAAGTGCGCAGTGTACTGTTGACTTCGGGGCCTCTCCATTGAATCAAAGAGACCTTGAAAGCTGTCAGCGATTGGCGTTGGCGTTGGCACCAAGAGATCGAATGTGCCCAGGGATTTGACCAGGCAACCTGGACTATCTGTGAAAATTACTAGATGTAGATTCGTCAACAAGTGATCTATCTCTGTTTCTGAAGACATATGTCTTCATGTCTCTAGAATCCATGGGCTCGGGATTTTCATAAGATCTATGAGATGTGAACTGCCCAAATCCTACATAATTCTATTCTCACAAAGCCATCCATAAGGATTCTAGCCTCTTAAACGAAGCATACGGCGAAATTGCCAAAGTTGATTTATACTCTCAATGTCGTACTTGCATTCGCCATTTACTACACCAATACTGTCTCCGATCCCCTAGACCTTTAACCTGCCACTCCAAATCACAATCTCAATCTCTCCCAACCAGCCCTCCGAACTACCCGATGATCCCTGACCAGTTAATCATACATAAATATGCAGCAGTCCCAAGCACAACCCTTCTCCCCTCTTTGTAGCTAATCACTCCACTAGCGCCTGCAGCCAACACAAAATGACGAATCCATCTAGGGTCCCAGCACCTCCGAGTACGATGTAACGATCAGACGAAGGATGAACTTTACCCGCTCAGTCCGGACTTGACTCTTCTCGGGAGATTATTTCTCAGGGTTATGTCGTGGGGTGAGAGTAGCCTGATTGGATGCCTCATCTTGCTGACAGTGCGTCACTTAAATGCTAGATTCTGATCCTGTGGGTTTGATCCCGTCTAGAGAAGAGAAGCATATTTGCCGGACTGGTTTCGTGCGTCGGGTGGGGTTGACTTGTTTTGTGCTGGCGTTGTGGTGCATTGGGTCATTTGGGTGTGATCAGGGTGCGTTGATCGTATTCACGCTGAAGTTTCTAGAATGTCTGTGCATACCTTGCCGTTTTCTAGTTTGAAGCACGAGAATTGTTGGGAATAGATGAATCAGGTACTTTATTCATTTAAGGGGTCATAATAATACCAAGACATCATCTCATACGGGGGTATCAGAGATAATGCGCTCGACACGATAGTCATAAAGCGGTAAGAGGATATCGGGCATCATCAAGGCACCTGCGCGCAAAACAAACGCGAGGGTAACCTATTGTATCGGGCCAGATGGACAGCTTCTTGGAAGCGTGAAAGATACAGGAACGCTAGGTATGAGATGTAACTACCAACACGCGAGTTTAGTGCAATTTAACGCATGCGTGCATCCATTTTCACACGCCAGCGAGGTCCGAACAACCTCATGAACACGATGACTGAGCTACTGGCTAGAGCAACCAAGCCAAGTATGGTGAAGAGCCAGCCGTTACCGATGGCACTGATGATGGGGGTCGTGACAAGAGATCCCACGCAGGAGAAAATGTTTCGAACGAAATTATTTAGGGCAACAGCCTCTGAAGACTTTTTAGGCACGAATTCAGTAAGCATGGTAGTAACCATGCTGAAGATGAGCATTGAACCGACACCAAAGAAGAAGTTGGCGATCATCTTGAGGTCATTGGTTAGTCGTCTGATATTGACAAGTGCGGAGCAAATCGACTTACTGGTACTAGCCAGTACACGCCCTTTTCGGCGGTCCATCCATACCAGATGAGAGCAACTGGGTAAAGAATAGCACCCAGCCAAGCGTTCTCTCGCATACGGTCCTCGGGACGGAAGACCAGTCTCCCTTTTTCATCATATCGTTTAGCCTTCCGCGCCTCGCGCTGCATGATGCTATCCATCCATCGCCCACCGACAAGACTGGAAGCAAAGTAACCCAGTGAGTTAGGTAAATAGAGCAGACCGATGATGATGGTCGAGAAGTTGTAGGGTGCTTTTCCAAAAGTGTCTTGAACGCTGACATTCAACACATAAAGTGATCCGAAGGCAATACTAGCGTAGTACACCGACAGAAGAACCGGAATGTACTGCAGGTAAAGAATAATCCTCAGAGGGTCAATGAATATTACCTTGAGCTTCTTGAGCCATCTTGCCGTGGCTCTCGCTATCTGTTGCGTCGACACTCGACTCAGAGGTCGAGACCCAGGGACTTCTTCATCTTCATAGAGCGGGGAAACAACAGGCTTCTGCAGAACCAAAGTTTCTGGTAGACAGACCAAAACAAAGATGAGGGTTACAGCACCATAGGCCGCAGCGAACCACATGGTACTGCGCCATCCCCATCGCTGGGCCAGGACACCACCAACAATGGGCGCCAGCAAGGGTCCACACAGCGGACCAAGATAGAAGATGCCCATTGCACGCCCTCTTTCCCGAACCTCCCAGAGGTCCGCGATGGTTCCGGCGCCAACAGCTTGAACCGAGGCTGAAGCACCGCCGCTAAGCATTCGCATGACGATCAACATGGCAATCGAGTTGGAGATGGCACATAGGCAATTGAAGAGCACGAAGAGAGCGAAAGAGGTTATATAGATGGTGCGTCGTCCCAGTCGCTCGCTGAATGAGGACCACCAGAGAGGGAAAATCGCCATACTCAGCATGTATAGAGCAATTGACAAATTAGTGATGGTGGCAGTCGTGTCCAGCTCCCTGGCTACCTGGGAGAGCGAGGCTTGAAGAAATTCATTAGATCTGAACAGGACAACAATTGATAAAAACAGCACAACTTACGAAAGAAGATAGAGCTTCCCAACGGCGCAGCAGCTCCTGCTACAGCGACAATGAAAGTAATGAACCACTTTGTTCTTCGTGGATAAGTCTTCGGGTTCTCAATCTCAGCTACCAGAGCAAATTGACCGAGCAATCCTCTGCGCTTCAGCCGCGGGACTGTGACAGCAGGACCAAGCTCAGTGGATGCGCGATGTAATGGTTCAGGTGCAGGATCGTTTTTCTCTTCGTCATAGCGATCCTTGTTCTCTTCGTCATGATGGGAGATACTAGAGGCATGCGACCGCGAGTGATAATCTTCCAACGGTCCTAGTCCGACTTCCTGGCTGGCCAAGACTGCTGAAGGTTCATCGCTACCTGAACTTGATGGAGGCAAAGCTCTTGTCTCGACGGCGTCTTTCCCGGAATCACTAGACATATTGATTCGTTTTGCCGTCGACGTGGAGTGGTGAATGGTCCAGTGGAGAAGTCCTGAGGTTCAACAAATCGGGACTCAAGAGGGACAAAAGAACCTTGCTCGACATGAGACAGACAAGCGATAACACCTGAAGATCAACGATGTAACGATATGAAACACCACAGCCTGGATGATCGGCGACCCAGATCGTTCATCTGCCAACTGCCAACGAACAGGCTCTATAAGGCTAATATAGAATCCGGAAGAGATGAAACGCGATAAGAGGAACGTGAGAAATATTCCGCGACGCTCAGAGCTCAGATGCGAGAAGAAGAGAGCGACGGCAGAGTTGAGAATGTTCAAAGCCGAACGAGGAAGGCGTGAACCTGATAATCGCCGACTATAGCGTTGCGAGTCCGTGGAAAGCAGGAACGATTCCCAGGCAGTTCACTCCTCTTACCGCGTCACAATTCCGCGGTTCGGAATCAGCACCTTTTGACACTTGCTTCATCCAGAAGGAAATTTGAGGAGCCTCAGGGGGAAGTCGCCGTTTGAATAGAATCGAGGTCATCCAGGATCCACTTGGCCACTTGGGCACGAAGAATGTCTGCACGCGGAAGGCCGAGAAGCACCGATGGGTACCGAAAGATAACAGCATCTCCAATTTCAAGCATGGATATTAATCCGATGTGAGGGGTCGGCAACTTAGAGATGCCTTCAGACCCAAGGCTCGAGATCCGCGATTCACGTCTGGGGACCAGTCATCGTGGAGAGTGTGCGTGCCGGTCTTCCGGGCAAAGGACCTGGGCGGTTAGTCCCGCCTGGAGATCACCCCAGAATTTGACCAGCTCGATTATGAAGGCCATCTGTCAGAGTTGATTCATTCTGGCTTCATTTTGACCAGGAGATTTTGTTGTTCTCGCAATTCACTGTGCTTTTACGGCCTACTGGGGACTTCCGTTTTCGGAAACTGGCCATGACTCTGGCTCCGGGAGACGCTACGTGCTGCCCATGAATAGAGATCAACAGCGAGGATCACAATGCCATCTGACAGTGTATAGTAGATTTTCCACCTAGCGTAATGTTACTGGGCATCAAAAAAACAATTCGAGCTCGAGCTCTCGACGTTGTTGAGGGGTCACGCAAGGGAAGGGGTTGATTAATAATCTCCATCATCGGCGCAGTAAACGAGATCGTCATCGTATTCCATCTAATTCTTATGGACAACCAGGTCAAACACTAACATCATTGCGTTCTTGAACTTTGCAAGGTTCAATTTGTATATTCAAAATGACAAATAACGTCGACATCAAAGACGTCCAGGGCACCCTGGCTCAGTACCAGGGCGCCAACTACGTTGACGGCTGGGCCTCACTCTGGGATAAAGGCGGCAAATTGCCCTGGGACAAAGGGTTTCCCAACCCCGCCTTGCAAGATCTGCTAGTCCAGCAGCGAGGTACTATCGGCGGACCTATCATCACCGATAAACATGGCCAGTCGCGCAGACGGAAGGCCCTGGTGCCCGGCTGTGGCAGAGGAGTCGATGTACTCTTGCTCGCTAGCTTTGGCTATGATGCCTACGGTCTGGAGTACAGTGCCACTGCTGTTGAGGAGTGTAAGAAAGAAGCAGCAGCGGACCATAGCTTGTACTCTGTGCGGGATGAGACGGTCGGGCGTGGAAAAGCTACGTTTGTGCAGGGAGATTTCTTCGATGATGCCTGGCTTCAAACTATGGGGGTTTCCTTGAATGATTTTGATATCATCTATGACTATACGGTATCTTGACTCGTCTTTCATGTTACTCATCGCGACATGTGTGTGGCATTCCCCTTCTAACGTGTGTATAGTTCTTCTGTGCTCTGGACCCGGCACTTCGCCCTAAGTGGGCGCTTCGACACACTCAATTGCTGGCTCCGTCTCCGTCGGGCAACTTGATTTGTCTCGAGTTTCCCCGTCATAAAGACCCCCTGGCTCCAGGACCTCCTTATTCTTCCTCCTCAGAGGCATATATGGAGCATTTGAGTCATCCAGGGGAGGAGATTTCTTACAAGGGGGGTATTGTCAAGCATGAACCTCTGAGAGGACCGAGCAAAAACGGCCTAGAAAGGGTAGCATACTGGACACCCGAGCGAACGCACGAAATGGGTCAAGGCGAGAATGGAGTGATTCATGACAGAGTCTCTATTTGGCGTCGACGTAACTAGGTGAACAAGATGAAAAGGCCAAGATATCGTTGATCTGCCCCGGTCTTGATCAAGCATCCCTCAAACAAAAGTGCCTCTGGGTATCATTATTTTAATTGTCTAGGCTTTTTTGAAAAGAGCGTTGTAGTGCTCCCCGAGCCCGTAGGAGTGTCGGTAATATGCCAGCCATATCATGCGCCTGCGCTTTTCCTCGTCATCAAAGCTGTCCATATCACCGCATTCAATCTTCTCCAATCTCCCATCCTTTTGTACGACATTGATATCGACTCCATATGCCCGTGCAATAGCCTGCAGCTCCAGCTGACCACCCCACTCAGCCGTCAGCTTGATCTTCCGAGTATAGACGTCCACGGGCTCTTCCATGAACGCCTCGAATTCTTCCTTGTGGTCAGTAATGAAGTCGGCCGCGACAGCGCGAACAGCTCGGTAGCCATCGTGCTGCGGTGATACGACAGTATCAATGCGGGATTGTGTCGTTGGCTGCAGGATAATTCGGCTTGGGTCCGGCCGCAAGCCGACTCCTGAGTCATCAAGCTGTTTGGCAACGGCAGAATACAGACAGTGGCCGTCTGGAGTGACCTCGACTTCCGTCAAGCCCAATTTCTTAAACACAGCATCCATAACTTCCTGCTCATTGCCTCGGTAGTTGGTTTGAGTGGCGGCTTCTTCTGCAGCGGCCTCGGCCTGGGCAGCTTGTTCGGCAGCACGGCGGGCAAGACGAGCCTTTTGGCGGTTAGGCTTCTTAAAGCGAGCCGCAGGTTCTTCTTCGTTGGCGATCGGGGTAGGCTCGGTTTGAGGTTGTGTTGTGTTGTCTTCGTTCGATTCTCCATTTGTCGGTGCCTCGCTTTCCAAGGTCAGGTCGTCAAGAGCTTCGGTGGTTTCGGCCGGGTCCCCGTTCAGCTGTGCAATTTCGGCTTGTTGTTTCTCAGTGAGATCCCGTTGCATTCGTTCGCACTCATCGTTGACGCCCTTGCGGGTTTTCTTGGTGGCGGACTTTTTCTTCTGGGTGATTCGCCCTTGGAGGTCCTTTTGCTCCTTGCGGTGCTTTGCCAAGAGTTCGTCCATTATAAAGACAAAAACAAATCGGTCTAGAACTGGGTATCAATATGCAAAATCCAAGGAACAAAAGAAAGTCGCTAGTCATGTAATGAACAAGGCCGCATCTCAAAGTCGCCCCGCGAAACCCTGACGGAGGTGCCCTAAATGCGAGCCCAGATAGGATTAGCGTAGTCCGCTTCGGGAAAACTTAATCACCGAATAGTCTTGGCCAATGGTACCTGTGTAGGCACAGTAAGGGTGACAACCAGGTATAGACTCAGAATTAAAGGTGTAGTCTCAAAAGTCTATTGAACATAGCTGCAAAGCAGCAGATTGTAAGTCGAGTCATACCCTAACATTTCAATGTCCACTCTTCAATGCGTCCTTCTTCAAATTGGTTCATAGTTCGACCCACCGACAAGCGCTTCTGTCATCACTGGTCAGCAGCTTGAGTTTAATAAATTCGCCTCAGATGGTCGAGTAGTTTAAGTGCATTTTTTGTCCCCACGAGAGAAACGCATAGCCTCATGATAAAGCGCCAACAAAATGAAGACAGGTGCTAGCCCCAAACTCAGCCTGTAATGATGTGCATTTGCGAATTGCACGGACCTTTACATGCCCACTAGTTCAACATTACTCAATGGCGGCCATCAATTTAAGATTCGTAAGACAGCCCTGCTTGCAGTTGAATAAAGCCAGACCTGGAGACAGCACGGAAGGCAAGACCAATCGCGATGGAAGAATTCGAGCTCCTGCGCACATAAATAGCCGCCCCTACATTCAATAAAAAAAATCAAGAGAGGCAAGCTGGCTGACGAAGCCTGTGCGCTCGGGTATGCGCGCACTTGCGAGGGATAGAAGCGTTATGAGAGGAATGAGGCTTGGGTCAGACTATTGGAGGTCTTTGGTTTACTCACGAAGCCACAAGGATAAGAATACCATTGTCAGTCTTGCCGGATAGAATAGTTGGCTACGACGAAAATGGAACATTGAAGGGGCTCAATGTAGCACGATGCTAAGGAAATAGTCGTCCTTGAAACGTGGAATGTTTGTGTCTATTATGTTCCTTAGTCACAATCAGCTGCAGCATTTTCCAAGCGTGGGTCCATCATGAAGACAAGTTTATCAGTCCAAGATCGACAACAAAAGGCCATGGCCGCTATAGAAAGAATATCACCGATTCAGCAATAGAACATCGCCCTTAGGTCCATGAAATTCTCGCGGCAATACAGCCTGTTTGGGCACAGCGTCCTCTTCGGAGAAACCGTGGCACCGAGAGCCTCGGCTTGTCTGCTCGGTCTTCGGGTATGCAGTGCAACGGGGAGCTTCGAGGGTGAGATCAAAACTATGGGTCCACGCATCTAAAGATTAACCTATACTTCATTCTTGTCAATCATGGATTCCCAAAGTTTGTTCGATGTTAAGGTGAGATCGTCTGTCTATTTGTTGTTGGTCGCTCTACTCACTGTATTTCAGGGCAAAGTGGTGCTGGTCACCGGCGGAGCCAAAGGTATCGGTCGCATGATCTCAGAGGGTTATGTTACCAATGGTGCCACGGTCTATATCTCATCTCGCGATGCAAAGGCTTGCGATAAAGCTGTCAACGAGCTCAATGCTCTTGGCAAGGGCAAGGCCCACGCCATTCCTGCCGACTTCTACAAGTATGACGATGTGAAGAAGCTGGCAGAGGATCTGGGCAAGCGCGAAAGCAGTCAGTCAACCCTATAAGCGTCTAGAAAATGACATTGTTAACCCTGATGGTTCAACAGAGCTTCATGTCCTTGTCAACAACTCCGGTTCGAACTGGGGCGCCCCCTACGACGAGTACCCTAGCGAAGCCTTTACCCGCGTTCTTACCCTCAACCTGCACCGCGTCTTCGATCTCACACAGCTGGTGACTCCTTTGCTAGAAAAGGCATCTGCTCCTAACGACCCTGCGCGCATCATCAACATTGGCAGCATCGATGGCCTTCGGGTGCCCTCCCTCGAGACATTCGCGTATAGTTCCAGCAAGGCCGGTTTACACCACCTTAGCCGTACCCTGGCAAACCACCTGGGCAAGCGAAACATTACGTGAGTGTCTATATTCGCCTCATATCGGTCGTCTACCAAAGTCTAATATGTATGGCAGCTCCAACACCCTGGCCTGTGGCCCCTTCAAGAGTAAGATGATGGCCGCCACCCTCAAGTCATTTGGTGAGGCCATCAAGGCTGGCGTCCCTCTGGGCCGCATTGGAACGCCCCAAGACGTGGCTGGTGCTTGCTTGTTCCTGAGCAGCCGGGCAGGCGCATTTGTGAACGGCGCCACCATCACGGTAGACGGTGGCAGTGCCATCTCGGCCAAGCTTTAGATATGACTCACTTATGGGTCAATCTTTCCGATGTAAATAAGACATTGAGCGGAAACGTCTTTCCATGTTTAATTGAAGAGTCGAGCAACTACATTCCAGAACGTAATGCGGACGGCGGGCGAAACCCCGGGGAAACCGACATGCCAACCCAAGGCTGGTCATCACCGCTATTTCGGTCCTAAAAAAGCCCTCTTTGCTTTTTCCCCCACCAGATTAATTTCTAGACCACGTTCACCCCAGAGAAGCAAAACATCCCACTGTAGCGATTAACGTGGTTAACGCGGACAACAAAGAAACCGGGTTGTGTTATCATTTTCTTATCAGGAGGCAACAGTGTGGAGCGGCGACATCATTGTCCACATAGCGTCATTTTGGAAGATCTTTCAACCATCCCACCTTCCTACACATCCCACATTCTCATCCTCACCATAGATCGATCAGAATCGCTTGATTGAAGCCGAGACAGTGTCATCTCATCAACAAGCTTCCCCCCTGCTCACCGATCCACTCGAGATCGCCTGCAGAACATTCACCGCCTCTACTTATATTCATCCCGCCCTGCAGTTGTTCCCGGATAACCTGGGAGTCGGTGTGAACAGGCCTTGCGTGACGCACAATCGACATACGGATCGCGATCTTTCAAAACCTAAGAGACAATGAGCTCACCGGAAAACCGCCAGCGGGTGCCCTCCCTCGATCCGTTTTCCCACCCCGATGTCTACTATGGCAACGAAGATTCGCTGTCCAGAGCCAGAGATCGGCGCCGTGCTTTCTCAGTGGTAAGCAGCCACCCTGCTCTTATGGTTACCCCGCGAGTCATCGCTAATATTACCCGTTGACAGAGCGTCAATAAGGACTATCACAGCCGTGAAGATATCAGTTTGCCGTCTAGACGTGGTAGCCACGGTTCGTCTAGCTAACTCCCCCGTATCCGCATCGCAGTGAATGCTGATAACGATGTCCAGATGAGTCCTCCGGACAACCCCGCAAATTCCTCATCAAGGTCGACGAAACCCTCGAATCCCTCCTGAAGCAAGAAGATACGGATCAAAACATGCAGATTACGATTGAAGATCTTGGCCCAAAGGTATGCTGCGTTCTTGAGATCAAGTATGGAAAAATGCTGATGATTCCAGACTCTCTCGATTGGAACAGCCGCTTCCTCCGGCATCCGGCGTGTGGATATCCGCGGTACCTACATGCTCTCCAATCTCCTACAGGAGCTTACAATCGCCAAAGACTACGGCCGCAAAGAAATCGTTCTCGACGAGGCTCGACTCAGCGAAAACCCAGTGGCGCGACTCTCTCGTTTGATCAAAAAGTCGTTTTGGGTGGCACTTACCAGACGCATTGATGGTTCAAATATCGAAGTGGCGGGCAAAGATCCGAAAGATTGGACCGACGACCTCGTCCCGGATTTACATCCCACCTGGTGCGCCGGAACAATTTGAATACTACACCCAGATTGCGAAGGCTCACCCCGAATTGCGTTTGGAAGTGCTCATGCTCGAAGAAAAAATAACTCCTGATTATGTTGTCACGAAGCTTGGTGAGAAGCCAGGCTTACTGGCGCTAGCAATGGAGAAAGTAATTGATGAAAAGACTGGCAAAGAAGATCTCAGGGGTGTTCCATTCGTGGTACCTGGTGGTCGATTCAATGAATTGTACGGATGGGATAGCTACATGGAGTCTCTCGGCCTGATCGTCAGCGACCGCGTTGACCTTGCCAAGGGCATGGTTGTGAACTTCTGCTTCAGCATCAAGCACTACGGAAAGATCCTCAACGCCAATCGAAGCTACTACCTCACACGCTCCCAGCCTCCGTTCTTGACCGACATGGCCTTGCGGGTCTATGAGCGCATCAAGAATGAGCCCGATTCCAAGGAGTTCCTCCGAAATGCCGTTCTCGCTGCTATCAAGGAGTACTACAGTGTCTGGGCATGTGAACCCCGTCTTGATCTCATTACTGGTCTTTCCAGATACCGCCCTGAGGGATGGGGTGTGCCACCTGAAACTGAGCCAAGCCATTTCACTCACATTCTTATGCCGTATGCGGAGAAGCACGGTATGAGTTTCGAGCAGTTTGTCAAAGCTTACAACTCTCGCGAAGTTGTCGAAGAGGAGCTGGACGAGTACTTCCTGCACGATCGTGCCGTGCGTGAGTCCGGTCATGACACAAGTTACCGTCTTGAGCGCGTGTGCGGCAACCTGGCGACAATTGACCTCAACTCTTTGCTGTACAAGTACGAGGTGGACATTGCCCGCATCATCCGCATCCACTTCAAAGACAAGCTTTCCATCCCTGCTGAGTTCCGCACACCCATGTCGAAAGATACTGAATTCGAGTCCTCCGCTACCTGGGACCGCCGTGCGCGCAAGCGCAAGCAGGCTATGGACAAGTATCTCTGGAACGAGGAGAAGGGCATGTACTTCGACTACGATACTGTCAAGCAAGAACAAACGGACTATGAGACTGCGACTACTTTCTGGTCCATGTGGGCTGGTCTCGCTACACCTGCCCAGGCTGCTGCACTGGTGTCGAAGGCCCTGCCTCGGCTGGAGGCTTTCGGTGGTCTGGTTTCAGGTACGGAGGAGTCCCGCGGACCAGTCGGCTTGGAACGTCCGAACCGCCAATGGGATTATCCCTACGGCTGGGCGCCACAGCAGATGCTCGCGTGGACAGGCTTGATGCGATACGGATACCAGGAAGAAGCAGAGCGACTTGCGTACAAGTGGCTGTACATGATCACAAAGGCGTTTGTCGACTTTAATGGTGTGGTCGTGGAGAAGTATGATGTGACTCGGCCCATTGATCCCCACCGGGTCGATGCCGAGTACGGCAACCAAGGAACCAATTTCAAGGGTGCGCCACGTGAAGGGTAAGTTGCATAGCCTCTCTCGCTCTGATGTTTTATATTAATGCTGGTTTCACAGATTCGGCTGGGTCAATGCTAGCTATGTCTACGGATTGGAGATTCTCAACGCGCACATGAGACGCTCTTTGGGAACTATCACGCCTTATGAGACTTATAAAAAGGCAGTCTTGGCTCAGGATGCTTACTGATTGAAGGTTTCATACCTCATGGCTGAATTTGCATGCGTGGAGTGGAAACTTGGGGTAAATCGTTGAATCGACAGAAAAGTCGCATCTAGAGATGAGTACAAAGAAAATTGATTGGCTTGGCTTGGCTTTGCATTTAATTCAAACAAAGATGTGACAAACATTTGAATATTCACTGAAACCTGCGTTATAAATCCATTAGGAGGCTGTTCCAACGCAGGATGATATCTCGCCGCCTATTTAGAACTGGGGAAAGACTCGGAACCTGTTTTCACCCCATCTTTGTATATACCCAGCCTTCTCTAGTTTGGAGTAAAGAAACCCACCTCTACCTTAGCCCACCTCCGTTCGAGGCCGCAATATCCCCGCAACTCCACATCAAGGCAAATTCACCGCCAGGCACCACCATGCGAAAATAACCCGGCAGCCATCGGCAAGTCGCAGGGCCTCCCGGGGTAACGTCCGAAAAAGAAGATCAGGAATCTCGAAATTCAAACGACGCCATCGGGCCCTCCGCAGCTGAGATGCACCGAGTGTGCTCCAGGTTCGACAATTACATGGGTGCATGCGCGGCGGACCCTGGTTTTCCCGAGGCTGTTCTCGTGGCTGGAGCTTGGGTGTACAGTCTGGTGATACAGACTCGTTCAGTTGCACGTTGCTCTTTTATCATCTCGCGCTGCGAGGGAGCTTAACTTGGTTGTTACAAATAGAGCTGGTGCTTCAGGGTTGGGGTTTGGGTGCCGTATGGGGGTTGGTTGTGTAGATCAGGTTATAGAAGTTGACTTCGCCAACTACGGAGGTCAGATGATGAGTACCAGACTATCTGAACGGGTGCTTCAACAAGTCCTCTTTGTTGCTGTTAGGTGGACGTTGAAGCGTCTTGAGGAAGTGTAGGTAAGCTCTGGATGAGCCGAGGTCCAACGGAATCAGTTAGCGTGAGTCATTTCAGTGGTCGTTGATCGTCGGGTGGAGTGTACAATGTTGGGCAAGGGTATTGGGCTGGTCACTAGAAGCGTCGTTTCCTCCGGTATGAATTCGTGCTCTTCCAATTTGTTCGAGTATTGAGGCACATAATCGAGTCAATGGCGTTTGTATTGATCGACACGATGCATTTGTCCGGCATAGAGAGAAGTTTTATATAGACGATGAGATGGCTGTACGTACTCAACCCTACGCTCCTCTAGACCCCGTTTGCTAGCTGCTACTGAGTAGCTAGACTGTCTCATGCTGTTGCGTATTCACACTCCGGCTCAAATGCTCAGTGGAGATGCATCAAATACCGGGGGATTACACAACTGTATTGATGACTCAGGCAGCAATCTGCATTTTAGCAGCTGATTGTTGTGGTGCTGTGGATGCAAGTGAATGCTGAAAAAGGACGAATGCCGATAGCGGAAGTTGAAATCATTCGCTTCATTGGCTAGAAAGCTCTACACAGATCGTGAACAGTCCTAGTCCTGTCCTTAAAGCCTGTGATCGTTGGCGCACGTGAAAGTTGCAGGTATTGTCATGTCGAAACGCACATGTTCGACGACGTCATCTGGGTCCATGGCGTCCCAACGCTTTCGCGTTTCTTCCAGGTGATCATTAAAATTAAAATTTTGTTTTCATGGACATGGAGATAGATTCTAGGATATTACTGATGAATTACCGATTCACAAATTTTCTTCACAGAGTTGTGAGTCAACGGTGTGTAGCAAGCAGTCGTGGCGAAGCGCCGAGCCTAATCGTCCATTAGACCGAGGATCTTAGAGTCTGGATCCTCTCTCCCGAAGAATCGCACCCGCCTCCGCCCTTCGGACCTCCGAAGCCTGAACATTGGTCGAATAGCTGGTTTCAGTACGGGAAAATGCCTAGGCTGCCTGGGATTGGATTCTATCTGTCCCGGTGAGCCGAGCGTTTACCGAACACTGGGTTGCTGTGACGCATTCGCAAAGTAAATAAGTACCCCGGGTTTCCAGCTGGCTTGTGATCGGTTTTGATTTTATCTTGTGTTCGCTGTCTCTCTCCTCCTCTTTTCCCTTGTCTGTATACTCTCGTCCTTGTCTTGGTTTACAAGAGCCGTGGACTATCGCAACTTGAATATATATACACTGTTTGCACCTCGTCAACATTATTTCTATCCTATTAGTCACCATGGGTCAATTCGAAGATGAAGACCGCCAGTTCGCGGAGGAGGTTCAGGCTGTCAAAGACTGGTGGAAGGACTCGCGCTGGAGATATACCAAGCGTCCTTTCACAGCTGAACAGATTGTCGCGAAGCGTGGCAACCTGAAGATCGACTACCCGTCCGCTGTCCAGGCTAAGAAGCTCTGGAATATTGTGGAGAACAACTTCAAGGTACGAAATCTCGGCGCAATATGAGTAGAATCAGTGCTAACTGGAACATTCGCGTTGATAGACAAAGCAAGCGAGCTTCACCTACGGCTGCCTCGAGCCAACCATGATTACACAAATGTGCAAGTTCCTTGACACTATCTACGTCTCTGGATGGCAGAGCTCTTCAACTGCCTCGTCCACGGACGAGCCTTCTCCCGATCTCGCAGATTACCCATGGTAGGTTGAAACATTCCAGGCAATTTGGGTCGAAATGGCATACTAATGCAAATTTAGGACACTGTTCCTCGCAAGGTCAACCAGCTGTTCATGGCACAGCTTTTCCATGACCGCAAACAGCGTGAGGAGCGTGTGACCACCCCTAAGGATAAGCGTGGTAATGTCGCCAACGTCGACTACCTGCGTCCCATCATTGCTGATGCTGACACTGGTCACGGTGGTTTGACCGCCGTCATGAAGCTGACCAAGCTCTTTGTTGAGCGCGGTGCGGCTGGTATTCACATTGAGGACCAGGCTCCTGGTACCAAGAAGTGCGGTCATATGGCCGGTAAGGTGCTGGTTCCCATCAGCGAGCACATTAACCGTCTGGTTGCCATCCGTGCCCAGGCCGATATCATGGGCACTGATCTCCTGGCCATTGCCCGTACCGACTCGGAGGCCGCTACCCTCATCACTTCCACGATTGACCACCGCGACCATGCCTTCATTGTCGGTTCCACCAACCCCAGCCTCCAGCCCTTGAACGATCTGATGGTTGCCGCTGAGCAGGCTGGCAAGAATGGCGCTGAGCTGCAGGCCATTGAGGACCAGTGGACCGCCCAGGCCGGTCTCAAGCTCTTCAGCGAAGCCGTTATTGATACCATCAATGCTGGTACCCACGCCGATAAAAATGGCTTGATCCAACAGTTCCTCAAGTCCTCCAAGGGCAAGAGCAACAGCGAAGCTCGCGCCATTGCCAAGGGCATCACTGGTGTTGACATTTTCTGGAACTGGGATTCGCCCCGTACCCGTGAGGGCTTCTACCGTTACCGGGGTGGTACTCAGTGCGCCGTCAACCGCGCCATCGCATACGCACCTTTTGCGGATCTCATCTGGATGGAGAGCAAGCTGCCCGACTATAACCAGGCTAAGGAGTTTGCCGACGGTGTGCACGCCGTGTGGCCCGAGCAGAAGTAAGTCGCGCCCGAGATGAAAAAAGAAAAGAGTCAAATCCCGATCTCATGAAATTAACAATTTACTAGGCTCGCCTATAACCTGTCGCCTTCGTTCAACTGGAAGAAGGCTATGCCGCGCGACGAACAAGAAACTTACATTAAGCGTCTGGGCGAACTTGGCTACTCCTGGCAGTTCATCACCCTGGCGGGTCTGCACACAACGGCGCTCATCTCTCACCAGTTCGCCAAGGCGTATGCGAAGCATGGCATGCGCGCCTACGGCGAACTTGTCCAGGAACCCGAGATGGAGCTAGGAGTGGACGTGGTCACCCACCAGAAGTGGAGCGGTGCTAACTACGTGGACAATCTCTTGAAGATGGTCTCCGGTGGCGTCAGTAGCACGGCCGCTATGGGTAAGGGTGTCACGGAGGACCAGTTCAAGCCTTGAATGGTGTCCTGTATATTGGTATCACGGCGTTTTGATTTCTTTTCATTTGTTGGTCTATGAGTTGATTCCCGTCGAGATTGTCCCGTAGGATGGCTTGACTTGTCATTGCATGTTGAAAATCAGTGCATAAGTACGAGTAATCTGATGCTTGAATGAAAATGTATATTCTTTTTCTGGAAAATTCTGTCGCATGGAAGGATAGGAGTCCCAAGGAGTTGTAAAGATCCATCTAGGCTGTAACAGGCAACACCCCTGCCACGTTTTTCTTCACGTCGCGGAGCTATCCCTGATATGGAGGGCCCGGACCGGCCAGTGGTGTGCGTGGGTCTCCTGTGAAGCCGCGGCAGAGCTCAGGGGTGCTTAAAGTGGGAAGTTGGCGGACTAACAGCGCCGAGCGGGCGCTGGGCCTCGCGGTTTGCAGAATTAATTTTGAAGGGATTGCATCGACCGAGATGGTGAACTACGTTCAAATAATTATATGAAACTCCACATGGCTAATAGGTAGTTCGTACTAGACCCAGGTGGTTCGCACGGCCAGATGCAATCGCGAGGGGAATGATCGACGACTCGGAGAGATTGAAAGGACCGAGCGGCGCATGTGGATGCGGAGAAGCCGCTGGTTTTCTGAGTTCTTAAATGTCACCCCTCCCAGTCGCCCTCCTTTTTTTCTGACGTAAGGATTCACATTTTCTTCATTCACCGTCAACATGGGTGTCCAGGTTCCTGAACTGCAATACACCTCCCTCGAGGAGATCCCCGAGCGCATCTCCACTGCGCGCAAGGCGTTCCTGGAGCACCGCACGCGCGATGTCGAGTTCCGCCTCGTGCAGCTTCGAAAATTCTACTGGGCGTGAGTGGCCTCCATTGGCTTCCGAAGACACCGGCTGACAGCTCTATAGCATCAAGGATCATGAGGAAGAGATCGCCGAAGCTTGCGCTTTGGATCTGAATAAGCCGCGCTTCGAGGTCGAGGTCGCCGAGAGCGGTTGGCTGCTCAACGATGTCGTTTTCACCACTCGCAACCTCCACAAATGGGTCAAGGATGAGAAGGCGGAGGATATGGATTTGGCCTTCAAGTTTATGAACCCTACGATCAGAAAAGACCCCTTGGGTTGTGTGTTGGTCATCGGGTACGTCTCTCCCTAGCTTGGTCGGTTGGAGACAAGAGGAGCTGGAAGCTGATCATCTGCTCATTCTAGTGCTTTCAACTTCCCCTTCCAGTTAACCCTGGGTCCTGTTGTGGGCGCCATTGCCGCTGGTAATACTGTCGTCATCAAGCCGTCTGAAAATGCTCCCCGCAGCGCTGCCGTGATGCAGAAGATCTGTGAGGCTAGTCTCGATCCCTCGTGCTACCACGTCATTCAGGGAGGTGTTGCTGAGACGCAGGCCCTGCTTGCTGAACGATGGGACAAGATCTTCTTCACTGGTGGTGCCAACGTGGGCCGAATTATCGCCAAGGCCGCAGCGCCCCATTTGACCCCAGTCGTGCTCGAGCTGGGTGGTATCAACCCGGCCATTGTCACCAAAAATGCTGACCCTAGACTGGTCGCCCGCCGTATGCTCTGGGCCAAACTCCTGAATGCTGGTCAGCTCTGCACTTCGCAGAACTACCTGCTCGTTGACAAGCCGCTTGTGACCGATGTTGTGGAGGAGTTCAAGAAGGCCTACAAGGAGTTCTATCCCCAAGGCGCCAAGGTTTCGCCTGACTACTCGCGCATCGTCAATGCGACTCACTTCCAACGCCTCAAGTCTATGCTCGATAATACGAAAGGCAAGATCATGATGGGTGGCACCATGGATGAGAAGGAGCTCTTCATTGAGCCTACTGTTGTCCTGGTGGACTCTGTTGATGACTCCATGTGCACCCAGGAGAGTTTCGGTCCCTTCATTCCAATTCTGCCCGTCGAGAACCTTGATGAGGCCATCAGCCTGGCCAACGGCGTTCAGGCCACCCCGCTGGGTCTCTACCCATTCGGCAACAAGGCCGATGTTGCGAAGAGTAGGCATCCTGTTTCTGAGTCTTTCCCCTCTATATTGCAGACCTGACAATTCTCTAGTTATCTCTAGCACCCGCTCCGGTGGTGTTGCCTGTAATGATGCCGCCCTTCACATCCCAACTCTGCCCTTTGGTGGTGTCGGCGAGAGTGGCTACGGCGCCTACCGTGGCCGCTCCAGCTTCGACGTCTGGGTACACCGTCGCCCTATCACCACCAGCCCTGGCTGGTTGGAGTCTATCCTGTCTATCCGTTACCCGCCTTACGCCGGCAAGCTGGCTACGTGGAAGGCTGCCACCGCGCTGGCCCCTGACTTTGACCGTAGTGGTAACCAGGTCACCTTCGGCTGGTTGCGATACATGTTGACTCTGGGTGGAGGAAGTGCTAAGGCCGGCGTTGGCCGTGCTTCCGTCGTTGCTGCCAGTGAGTACCAGCCTCTCCCTTGAGTTGTTGTCATGATCTACCCTATCTCTGTCTTATGTGTTTCTTGCTCTGGTTTTTCATGCAACCTTCTCACCAAGGCCTATCATCTCCAGACGAAGAGGATAAATAAGCCTTGGGCCAGACCCTCCAGCAACTTTCCACGACACGTTCCGAGTGCACATACCGTCATGAAGACTGTTGATACCCCCATCTGTATACCCATTTAAAGCAGTCCCGCTTCACGCTGTCATATTGTGGACACGTTCCCCACCTTCATTCCCCATTTCCTTGCACAAATGTCATCTCCACTTTCCCAAACTGGCTACCCAGAAAGTTTCATACACGTTAAACGCATACCCTAAAACATAATGGATTCACCTTCTTTTTGTCATATTGTGTTATTTGTCAATGCGGGTCACAGAAAACCCAGTGATGAACTCGTCTAACATGGTTTCTGTAGTTGCCTACGTCGTGATGCAGGTGCTTCAGCGCCGCGCCTCAAAACTCTGACGGAGACCAGTGGTCTTTTAATGTCTTGATATGGAAATAGCGTGGCCGAATTTGATCTAACCTTTGTCGATCCTCGTTTATTTTGGGACGTTCGGTGGAAACTCGGTAGTTCTTTTGGGTGGATAAGTCCTTTTCGAGTAAAATATTATGCTCATCTTTGCTTGTCTTCTCGATTAGGAAGTATTAATTTTATCAGCCGAGCCTAAGAAATACCCTTAAGTGGGTCTAGATTGGCTCATGGCTATCTGTTCCCGTATATCCGAAGACACCTTCTCGAGAGCTAAACGTTCGTTTTCGGAGAAAGGCTGAGATGGAGGATCAAAGTTTGTAGGCCTGTTCAGGATGTTCATGAGATAAACTTGGCCCAGATAGAGGTCTGGCCTCGTAAAGTCAGGCTACTTTACGGGAGTAAATCAAGTACATTTTATGTGGGACGGTACTAGATGTCAACTCGTGTAGTCTACACGAACATGTCATACAAGGTTCATGTGCTGCTCCTTTCATTGCTGATCAACTACTCTTTGATTACTATCACGCAAGGCGTGTCAACACTTTATAGAGCCTCTGGCTTTCCTGGATGTACCTCGCATTGAATTGTTCAGTTTCAGGCTCTTGTTGTGGGCGCAACGATAGTCGTGCTAGCAAACTCAGGGTAGAAAAGAGACTACTAGTTACGTGTCAGAAGAGTGAACCACTATTCAGTCTAAGAACTTCACTCCATCGCAAGCAAAGTCCTCCGCCACAACTTCTCCTCCTCCAAAATGGCAGTCTTCACATTCTCCTGCATCCGGAGCCCATGTCCCTCTCCTTGAAATACAACAAGCTTCACATCTTTCCCGCCCTGTTTCAAGACTCGGGTCATCTCTTCAGCTTGATCGAGAGGCACCACTTTATCCTCATCTCCCTGCAATATCAGCAACGGACTTTCAATTTTCTCCACATGAAAGGCAGGACTTCTCTCCTGATAAATCTTCTCTTTCTCTTCCTCGGGCGTATTCTCTGGGAAGAGGAGAGCAAAAAGATAATGCGATTCAAACTTGTGGGTCGTCATCACCATAGACTTTAGATTTCCGACCCCAAACTTGCTATTTCCTCCAGCCCACAGGGTTGGAAAATTAATCAGTGATTGAAGAACGGTATACCCACCTGCGCTGCCTCCCACGATGCCAGCCTTGGTAGGATCAACAAGACCCTGTTCCGCAAGATAGGCAACACAGGAAGCGGCATCATCTATGTCTTTGATACCCCAATAATAATTGAGGGCTTCCCGGTATTTGCGTCCATATCCAGTGCTACCAACATAATTGACATGGACATAAGCGTAGCCTCGGGACGTCCAGTATTGGGTTCCGAGATCTAAGCCTGGCGCATCGTGGCCCGTTGGCCCGCCGTGAATGGAGACTATGACTGGGGGCTTGGTTTCGGGCATCGGTATGTAAGATGGGTTATGGGGCGGGTTGAAAATTGCATGGGCAACGCCGCCTGTTTCTTTTCCCTGTGTTCGCGGGAATGTAATGAGTTTGGCAATAGAGTATGTCGAGGGTGACAATGGGATAGTGGTGGAAGATTTGAGAAGCACCTTTTCGGATGGTTTCGATATGTCAACGAGGTACAGCGCTGACGGAGATGTCACTGTACTCCCCAACACGACAAACTTGGTGTTTGAGATCTTACGAATCGAGTTCAGGGGAATATCCACGAGACCGAGCGATAACTCCAGCGCTTTGGAAGTTTGAAGATCTACAAGTAGTAGTGTATCCGTGGCGAGCTTTGTGGAAGTGACTACAAGCTGAGTAGGCGTCAAGATTATGTATGAGTTGCTGTTCAACAATTAGCGTGATGCCTTCAGTCCAAAGTCGGATACCCACTTTCCAAGTGCTGAAAATACTCGTTTGCAAGCAATTTCTGCTTCTTCCCATCCCGGTAGAACAAGTGGCAGGACCTCCAAAGATGAAGGATTTAAACGATACAGTTGGGCAAACCCAGTACGGTCACTGGTGAAGAACAATGTCCCATCTTCGTGCCATTTGGGTTGCCCAACACCTTCCACAGCAGCTTTACCGGCAATGTGCTTCGCATTCATTAGACCTACAGCATTCCAATCTGCAATGTAAAGTTCGCTTCCAGTCCACGGCATATCAGGATGATTCCACTGGATCCAGCAGATTTTCGTCCCGTCATGATTGAACCTCGGTGCCGAATAGAAATCCGCTCCTTGGCAGACACTCGTCACACTCTTATCGTCCGAATTAATGAGTGCAGTAGTATTCACGACACTGCTTCCGGAATGATCTTCCTGAACAGCAAGGATCAAGTTTGTCCGAAGAGGATGAACGTCGAAATCCGCGTATCGCAACTGTTCCGAAGCGGTGATAATCCGCTGAACATCATCCGCTGCTTTGAGACGGAAGACACCACTCGTGTTGGCGTCTGTGAAGATCAGACTTCCATCTGGGCTGAAAGTACAGGCACCACCACCGTATTCGTGCACTTTGCTTTGAGCACTATACTCTGATGGCAAGATATCGGTTGATTCCGTGCCCCGTTGTTCTACGATGACGCACCTTCCTTTCTCAGCTGGTCTGCCTTCCACGAGGTAGATTGCACCCGTTTTCGGCTTTCCATGTCAGCTACATCTGCTTATTGTGGTGCCAAGTTGACTTACGCTGACGTGGAGCTCGGAGAATGACACTATACTTCCTGAGACCAGATCAACTGATATCGGGCTGCTCCAGGTGCCATATGGCGCAACTTGGGGCTGGGGGCTCATCTTTGGCTACAGAAGAGCGTGATAAAGGTAAATATGAGAGGAAAGAGGCGAAACGTGGCTGACGGGAATGGGGACAGAGCTGAAAGGCGATCTTGCTAGATCTAGAGAAATGTGAACCGTTCCGGGTTATTCTGTGTGATGACTTCTTCATGGCAATACATTCATCACGTTAACGGTGATGCTGGGATTAATATGCGGTGAGCTAAAAAGGTTAGCGCTCTCTGGATTGATTTCCCCGAATCAAAGAGAAAGACTATCGCGGTATGCTGATCTCGAGAACTATTGTGCTTTGTTGAGCTTCCACATGGTAATGGCCAGTTCATATAACATGCCCAGATATTGTGCACAAAAGAAATGCCGAGAAAAGACCAGTAAACTTGAAAAATATTATTTCGATCCAGTCGTACTTAAGAAAACATACTTTGCCCATGGGTGGACTACTCTAGCTGTGCGATGTCGCCATTTGTGAAACGGTCGACTACTCTTTTCTTTCACCTTCAGTAAGAAGAATTCTCCTAGGGCAAAATGAAATAGTAGAGGAACAGATGCAAATACCCATTTATTACGAGAGAGGCTCAGTTGAACGGACTTGTGCGACGCTTGCAGGGCGCGTACACGATGAGCCCCCCGCTCAGCCTCCGAAAGTATTTTTTGTTCAACATTGCCGGACTGACCCTCATTGGAGGATTCATATATTATCAACGTAGAACAAAGCATGAAGGATCCTTTCTTTTCACTAGCGGTGCTATCGGAGTCCTGTCTCTCGCACGGACGGTTTGTCAAGGTCTGATCACCCATTGTTCACAGGTCAAGTCCAGCAAGAGACCGACGATGTTGCGGGCAAAGCCAACGACCTTAAAGATGTGTTAAGAGCATCATATTGCCTTCTTTCAGATGCAACTGCGTTCGACCCGTCTATAGTCGACAAGGCCAAGCTGGCTATTTAGTTGAGTAATGCGGTCAAAGTCAACATTCGGTTGGTGAAAATGCTGGAGAAAGCCTGAAAGCTTCCAAATGCATGTGCGAGTAGACGCTCGTTGTACTCACTTGTCTCGCTAAGCAACCTAGCCCAGTCGGAGGCATGTTGGCCAGCGCCCCATTCGGTCGAGTTCGTTTCTGTTCTCTTATTAACAACGCGCTCCTATGTCTCTCGGTTTGGGGAACATACTAGGAATCAGGCGGTACTTTCATTCGCCTATCCCAGACTCAGGACGGCGATCAAAATCTCTGTCCGTGTTTTCGATCGACTGATACGTCGAATAGGGAATATAGTTGGTCTTCTGCCGCTTGGACGGAGGGCATATCTCGCGGACTGCGTGGGGGGGCATGATGCTCACAAGCCTCAGACTGGGGAGAGCTTGGCACGAATGATAGCACTGTCACACTTTGGCTCGGGTGATAGAAGTTAGAAGAATGGGCTGGCTAAGGACTGCGGTCTGGAGAGGCAGAAGAGGCCTCGACAGAGCGCTTTATCCTTTTCGGCTCGACGAACTGGTGAGCTTCGTGAACACAATAGATAGGTTGAATGTTAACCTCAACTTGGCTCCTGAGTCTGCTGGAAATGTCGGTTTGAACACATTTGAATCATTTCTCTATTTCATGCACACGACTGATGCCAATAAACATAGCGCGATGCAGATCGACAATGAGAAATGAATGGCTTCAATGAAAGCGATAGCAACTGATCTGGCAATGCACGCTATATCGACACTAGACATTGTCAAAGGACTCGATCAAAAACACAGCCATGTTGACGACAAGCTGGACAACCTTGGCAGACAGATGGAGCAGGTGGTATGACTGCCAGCACCCTCATGAGTTGTATGGAGTGTAGATGTCCCTTGTTCTTCACCAGAGGGCCAAATGGCCATTGAACCAGCCTCACTGGAGTTTGATCATTGAGCATCAAAGAATTGGTCAAAGTATAGGAGATCTAGCTACCCAAGCACGACGTCGACGTCGAAGACCCGGGACGAGATGCATCTGCTCGAATCACCAATTTTTCCTTTCTGTAAAAGCCAACCCAAGTAATTTGGCCACGCTCACACACAGGGAGAGCTGTCAAGGCTTTGAACTATCTAATGGATGAGAGTGACTGTAGGCACCGGGTAGGCTATGACCCGCCAAGAGCATATAAACTCAGATTTGATTTCAATGGTATCACGTTAAATCATCTTCCCACATTGCGTTTTCTAGATCATGTTTCCACCAATACATGAGATGAGCCACCAGAAGGCAAGTTTATACAGATTAAAATGTTCCCTCTCAACAGCGTCGCTCGACACCACGCCGACTGACGCAGAGATATTTTACTCCCTTGTACGGCTTGACACTGTCACCTAGCCCTCGACTCCGGCGCTGATCAATGTTCAGGCTTTCCACCTTGATACCAGATGGAAGCCATCCTCGGACAGAGAAGGAGACAGAGGCAGAGTTGGGCATAAGGCTAGAATTGATTTGAGCTTTGGTTCTGCGCGGCCCAGGGCGAGATGTGGTTGAAGGTGTGAAGAACGTGGGAAGTTGAGATGGCTGTAGAGGTTGTGAAGGAGGAGTAGGCGTTTGAGGTTTGGAATGGTTCGGAGATGGGGTTTTGGCTTTATCTAGTGCGTCTGAAGTTCCTTCACCGGGGCTTTCAGTTTCGCCTTCGACTGTTTCTTCAAGGAGAGCGGCAGATCGAGATGATTTCTTAGATCCCTTTTCCTTGTCCTTCCTCCTCTTTTTCTTCTTCTTGGAGGGGTCGCGGTGCTTTCTGGTGGTGCCTGCGGACGGATCGCTGTAAGATGTAGGGGTTTCGTAATAGCCTTGAAGAAGGTTTGCATTGGCCTCTTCGTCGTCCTCGAGGCTGTCATCATGTTCCTCATCACCCGTTGGATAGCCTGCAACCGAACATCGAAGAGTCGCAGTGCCTGAAACGCTTCCAGCTTCACGGGTCGTGGGGACCCGCCATTCGAGTAGACCCGTGCTGCGAGAGTACTGGGCATCACCACGACTAGCTTGCATGTCTGTAATGTGCCGGACGGATTGGGAAATCGGCACGCTGACAACTACTTCTTCCAGGACAGGTCCACTTGAGTTGCTGATTCCACCGCTTAAAAAGGATGGTGTTGATGAGCCTGATCCGTTCCGTGGGACCGTTGGCTTCGAGGAATTACCCGGGAAGTTGGTATTCAAAGTCAACCTGACCTCAAAATCTGAGCCGGATGGCCCAAGTGATTTGCGAATGTCTACAATGGCAGGCAAAAACAGCTTCTCCATGTGACTCGGTGGCTCGTCTAGATCAGGGTCTATCGGAAGAAGATCAACCTCATAACCAGCCAGAATGAATCGACCGTCAGGAGGTATGAAGCTAAGCTCCCCGGGCTTTTCTCGCCAGCGAGCAAGTCTGACAGACGGGTGAAAAACCGGCAATTCGATCTTCCGAGCAAGCGATTGCTGACCTCCGGGCGCTGATAATGATAGGAGCATGTCAGGAACACCGGATATCTTTGCAGTGAATGCAATAGTTCCAGATGCCATTGCAGAGAGTAATCGCCCAGATGGGGCCATAGTCACGGAGAGAGATTCAATAATGTCAACGTATAGCTCATTTGATGTGTGTCGTACTCCTGACCGTCGCCATGGTATCGCGGGTCCTTGGGCAGCGCTAGCAGCGGCGAGTGTTTTTTTCAGAGGGTTTGTAGGTCCTGATGTCGGTGTTGATGTCCTGAGTCAAGATTCAAGTGTCAGAAATAGAAAACCTCGTCCAGTTCTTGCCAAGATCTCTTACCCAGGCATACTTATCCCGCTGAGAAGCTTACCCATCCACCCGGGCACCTCAACAACCTCTTGCAAAGCATTGAGCTCCGTATTGGATACTATTCCCCCATCGCACATCTCATGGAGCAGCTGCGCAACCACCTCATAGTTGGCCTGAATCTTGCTCGCAAGCAGCGGCGCGCCCACAAACTCCTCCAATACGTCGACTACTCGATGCAGGAATTCCAAGGCTAAGAGCGGCTCCGTGTCCACCTCAGACACGGCAAGGAAGAGCAGGTTCGATTGAACAATCGAAAACACTGTCACCGGTGGTGAGGCGTTGGGAATGTACAGCAAGGAGGGGCGAGGGCGGCATGGGCAAGGTAGAGGGGTAGGATCGCGGCCGCCGAGGGCGGGCGGGCTCGGTATACATGTTCGACGAGAGGGGCACTAGATCAAGCTGTCAGTACGATTTACTGCCGTTTTCAAGAGATACTTACTTGAGCTCGTCATAAATGTAGACGGCATCAATCTCTCCGCTCATGGTGGCTGTTGTCTGAGACAGGAAGTGTCGGAGTTGTATAGCTCGTGATGAAGCTGGTCATTCTGCCATCAATGTCCGCCTTAGATTGATTCTTGGCTGCGCGTGATTCTCCGCGATGCCCTCCGCAACTTGCAACCAAATCAGTAATTGAAGAACTTCTTTTGCTTCATATTCTCCCGGAAAGCTTGGATAGCAAATTCACATTCGACATGGCGTCTTCATCCAATAACCGTGGCTGGGAACTCCAGCCAAAAGATGCCAAACTAGCACTGGCCGAGGACAAATGGGACGACTGCATGGCCTGCAGGGTGACCGGTAGGTGGTCTAGTCTGACAAATTCTGACTTAAAAAACATAATTTGCTGATATATGATGCAGGCTCTGCTGCATTCATCGGTGCCGGTATCTACAGCTACCACAGCGGCATGACCAACCTTCGCAAACAAGAGAAGAGCATTATGCAAAGCACATCAAAATACAAGATGGGCTCGCGCCAGCTCGGAGTTTCCGCCATCGCTGGAACACTCATTGCCATGGGTGTCTACCGAGCATTCAATTGATAAGACGCATGGACATCCATCTGGAATCTGGAACTATGCAACAATCACAAGGATTGTTGGGACGGCAACTGTACGATAGGAAGCGCTTTCTAATCTACCTTGAAAGATATTTTGAGGTGGTTGTAATATATTGATTCATACTATCAGGAGCAGTAATCATGATGATAGCTGCCAAACCGGGTATTTCCACCACAAAAGCCTCTCTCTATATGCTGTATTGAAAAAGGTATAAAGAGGCATGGGAAGGGGTAAACGAACAGACCAAAGAAATTCATGAAAGAGAAGAAGCAGAGAAAAAGAGACCAGTGAGGTCATGCAGCAAACCATATGCAAGTGTCCCCCAACCCATAATGCACCCGAAAAAAGCAGCCCGAGTCCCTCCCAACTGCTGGGTGACAATCAGAATAGAAGATTCGTCATTTCGTCGACTTCGTAAGTCTGGGAAGAGTCGTGCTAGGTGAAGCGACCTCGTTTGCCTCCCCAAACATGTCCCCGGATAAGTCAAAGAAGTCAGGGACATTAAATTTCCTCTTGGACCCAATATTGGCAGGAGACTCTCGGGGAAACGGGCGGGGAATTGGTCGCGAAAGGTTGTTGTGGCGGTTTTGATGGCGAGGGTTGCGAGGCATCATGGAGACGCTGACTGGTGCACCGTCTTGCGAAGAAGGAGGGGTAGGGTTGTCAGATGATTGCATGTCCATTTCGAGGTCTTGGCATTGAGGGAATGTTGGACCGGCCGTGAATGTGAAAACGGTCGGTGGTGATGCGGGCGAAGTCTCTTGAGGTTGAGGTAGAGGCGTGGGGGTGGTGGTGTCTGTCCGGGGCATGGGAGGGGCAGAGGGGGCGGAGGCGGGGGCAAAGGTAGGTTGCTGACGGGCAGCGGGCTCGGAAGACGGAGCTTCTTTACGACCAGCCGCCGGTGTCGCACTTCGGTCAAGCTTGCCGGTGTCGGTGTCGGCCCGCTCATCGTCGTCGCTACCCTGGGCGGTTCCATCACACTTCTCAGTTGCCCACTGACGGACCCTCCACCCTTCTCCGTCACCGAGACCAAGGTTCTCGCGATCAAGGAAGTGGAGCAAGTCTTCTACAGCCTCTTGATAGCCAGCCTGCCGGGCCTGAGCTTGCTCGTAGACAGCATTCTTGTACAGATTGGTGACAGATAGCGCAGCCGCCTTGAAAGACTGAAGGAGTTGCTCGGGCGGCTGTGAGCGAGGTGTCGAGCTCGGCAGCGAAGTGTTCAAGGATCTCATGGAATCCATAGTGTTAGGAGGGATCGGGAGAACCCTGAGGAGGTCTTCGTATAACCGGAGGGAGGTGTTGTTACGGCGTGGTCAGATGTTACTTCAGCGCACTGTCAACGGCGATGTTGTCCCACGTGATACCCAAACAAAAGAAAAGAATAAGACAGGAAATAGTCCTTGCAATTTCCCGAAGACAAGTGAAAGATGCTGTGAATGAAAGAAAAGGCTCCCTAGCTCTGTAACGGTAGGTTGTCACTAGGGCGGAGGGGAACTAGAGGCGTAGTAGCCGATACTGCAGATGATCGGCTGCACTTTTTGCACTGGCCGGGTAACGTGACCCCCACTTTGACGGATCAACCTTTACTCCGCTTTCCGAAGGGCACCGGCTGAGTCAGCTTGGTATGGCCAATCAGCGCGTGTCATTGGCCGCGCCTGCACTGTTCTTCTCGCGCCTGGAGGCGTTTCTTTCTATCCATGTGCTTGATTGTTCCGCTTTCACACAGCTCCCCTTCTCGTTACACCTTACACTTCCTCACACTACTCTATATTTGATTGATTCTTTGTCCATACTCTTTCCAGAGATCACCAAACTGTCTACTTGACTCAAGCTTTCATCATCGGGCGGAGACGTGCTTGTACCGACGTGACTCCTGCGCTTTGCGCGCTGAACCAAAATCATGGCACCGGCCAAAGCTGAATCGCCGGCTCAGACCGATACGCCAATGACGGATGCAAATGACGATGCAATTCCCTCCATTCCTGTTGACGCGCCGATGGTACGTGGACCTGTTCCCTCCCGATTTGTGCCGCAATGTCGCATCCTCCCTCGACTGCGGTTCACTCTCCCCACACCCATAATCGACATTGCTGAACATGTTATCTCTATATAGGCAGATACCCCGGACTACACGGTAATGACCTCCTCGAGCCGCATACAACCATTGCATAGTTTCAAGACTGACGCTCAGTAGGATTCTGACACCAACCCAAATACTACGGCTAGCAGCGTCGCGGGCGACGCTACAGCTGATAGTCACAGACGCCGTACTGAAGTTACGCAATTGCGAAAGAGCCTTCTAAGCAAGAAGCATGACCGCCTGGACCAGTCGAAGGTATGTATTACGGTCCTTACGCTATCCATCTAATTAAAACTGATTTTCGGTTGCGCACGCAGGAAAGCGATTCCATCCGCCGATTCCGCTATCTTCTCGGCCTTACAGATTTATTCCGTCATTTCATTGAGACCAATCAAAATCCGCGTGTCAAGGAGATTATCGCTGAGATCGATCGACAAAATTCGGAAAGCGAAGCAAAGGCCCGCAGGGGATCCTCGCGTACTGGTGGTGCAGGGGGTGACCGGCGCCGTAGAACCGAGCAAGAGGAGGATGCGGAGCTGTTGAGAGATGAGCGACAGGGGGGCGAGACAACCACCGTTTTCCGTGAATCGCCTGCTTTTGTGCACGGCGAACTCCGTGATTATCAGATTGCAGGCCTGAATTGGCTTGTCTCGCTCCACGAAAATGGCATCTCTGGTATTCTGGCCGATGAGATGGGTTTGGGCAAGACTTTGCAAACAATCTCATTCCTGGGATATTTGCGCTTTGTCCGTGATATACCTGGCCCTCATCTGGTCGCCGTGCCCAAATCCACCCTCGATAACTGGAAGCGTGAGTTCGCGAAGTGGATTCCTGATATCAACGTTCTGGTTCTTCAGGGTGATAAGGAGGAGCGACAACGCTTGATCAATGAGGAGCTACTCGAAAACAACTTCGATGTGTGCATTACCAGTTATGAGATGATTCTTCGCGAGAAGTCTCACCTAAAGAAGTTCGCCTGGGAGTACATCATCATTGACGAGGCTCACCGTATCAAGAACGAGGAGTCTTCACTCTCGCAGATCATCCGTCTGTTCAACTCCCGCAATCGCTTGCTCATCACTGGAACCCCATTGCAAAACAACTTACATGAGTTGTGGGCTTTGCTTAACTTTTTGCTCCCCGATGTGTTTGGAGATTCGGAGGCCTTTGATCAATGGTTTTCCAGCCAGGACTCTGATCAGGACACTGTCGTGCAACAGCTTCATCGTGTACTGCGTCCATTCTTATTGCGACGAGTGAAGAGTGATGTTGAGAAGAGTCTGCTACCGAAGCAGGAGCTCAATCTCTACGTGCCCATGTCTGAGATGCAACGAAAATGGTATCAAAAGATTCTGGAGAAGGATATCGATGCCGTCAACGGCGCGGCTGGCAAGAAGGAATCCAAGACCCGACTGTTGAACATCGTGATGCAACTGCGCAAATGCTGCAATCACCCTTACCTTTTCGAGGGCGCCGAGCCCGGGCCTCCCTATACGACCGATGAGCATCTCATTTACAATGCCGGGAAGATGGCTATTCTGGACAAGCTTTTGAAGCGCATGAAGGAGGATGGCAGTCGTGTCCTTATCTTCTCCCAGATGAGTCGTGTTCTGGATATTCTAGAGGATTACTGTGTCTTCCGAGAATATGAGTATTGCCGAATTGATGGAACTACGGCCCATGAGGATCGTATCGCTGCAATCGACGATTACAACAAGCCTGGGTCCGACAAGTTCGTCTTCCTTCTCACCACGCGTGCTGGTGGCCTGGGTATCAACTTGACTACGGCCGATATTGTGGTGCTCTTCGACAGTGACTGGAACCCCCAGGCCGATCTTCAGGCCATGGACCGTGCTCACCGAATCGGCCAAACCAAGCAGGTCAAGGTCTTCAGATTTGTCACCGAAAATGCTATCGAAGAGAAGGTTCTTGAGCGCGCCGCTCAGAAGTTGCGTTTGGACCAGCTGGTCATTCAGCAAGGCCGTGCTCAGCAAACTAACAAGGCTGCATCTAAAGATGACCTCCTTGGCATGATTCAGCATGGCGCTGCCGATGTCTTTGGGCCCGCCGACAGCTCTGTCAAGGGCGACGACATCTCCCAAGATGACTTTGAAGCTATCCTCCGCAAGGGCGAGGAGCGAACGCAGCAACTGAACAAGAAGTATGAGAAGCTTGGCATCGACGATCTACAGAAGTTCAGCTCTGAGAGTGCCTACGAGTGGAACGGTCAGGATTTCACCGAGCGCAAGAAGGACATTGGCATCAGCTGGATCAACCCTGCCAAGCGTGAGCGCAAAGAGCAGTTTTACTCGATCGACAAGTACTATCGTCAGGCCCTGGCTACTGGCGGCCGGACCGCTGATACCAAGCCCAAGGTTCCTCGTGCACCGAAGCAGATTACTGTTCATGACTGGCAATTCTACCCTCCCGGTTTGCAGGAGTTGCAGGAGAGGGAGACCGCCAGTTTCCACAGAGATATTGGCTACAGGGCGCCGCTTCCCGAGGGTCCGGAGGAAGAGTTAAGTGAGCGTGAGGCTGAACGGGATCTTGAGCAGCAAGAGATCGACAATGCCCAGCCTCTGAATGAGGAAGAGCAGGCTGAGAAGGCCCGCATGTCCGAGGAGGGCTTCTCTAACTGGAACCGCCGTGATTTCCAACAGTTTATCAACGGATCGGCCAAGTTTGGAAGAACTGACTATGTTGGCATTGCCACCGAAGTGGACAGCAAGGAGCCTGAAGAAATTGAGGAATATGCCAAGGTCTTCTGGCGTCGGTACACTGAGATTCAAGACTACACCAAGTACTTGAAGGTCATCGAGCAGGGCGAGGACAAACTGCGAAAGATGAACCACCAACGGAAGATGCTGCGCAAGAAGCTGGAGATGTACCGCGTGCCTTTGCAGCAGCTAAAGATCAACTACACCGTGTCTACGACCAACAAAAAGGTTTACACCGAGGAGGAGGATCGGTTTTTGCTCGTGATGTTGGACAAGTACGGGGTTGAGGGCGAAGGTCTTTACGACAAGATTCGCGACGAAGTCCGGGATTCACCACTCTTCCGCTTCGACTGGTTCTTCCTCAGCCGCACGCCGGTGGAAATCGGTCGGCGCTGCACCACGCTGCTGAACACTGTTGCTAAGGAGTTTGAAGGCGAGAGCAAAACCAATGGCGAGGGCAAAGGGCGTGGTCGAGACCGCGACGAGGATGAAGAGAATGATGACGCGGCACCTGTGAAGAAAAAGGCTAAGAATGGCGCCACTGTAGGTTTGGACGCGCTCGCAATCATAGACCCCTCTCACTAACTGTTTCAGGCTAAACCGACTAAGAACAACACCAAAGCTGGTAGCAAAGCCGGCTCCAATGCTACTTCGCGCGCGGCCAGCGTCTCCACCGGACCTAAGGGCAAAGGTCGCAAGAAATGATCCGGAGTTCAATGTGTGTTCTGTTTCTATGTTCCCAAGTGCGTTGCTGGGTGTTGGACAGGGGCGTTGAGGATTTCCGGTACCAACCTAGTGTATTGGTAGAGAAAGATTAGAAAGTAATTTCCCGTTTCAAAGTGCTTATCTGGAACCCCTGCATGTGGCGCGCTCGCCTGATAGACCTGCAGAGCCTGGTGTGGTAATCGTGCAGATTGACCAGAATTCCATGATTTTTGCGACCGATCGTCGTCCAGCTGCCTCAAATCCCACGCTAAACTAGCTTGTCACCTGCAATGACGAAAAGGCGGCATTTTGACGTGCAAGTGACCAATATCCTGCTTCAGCTTCATAAAATGCGATGGAGTCCTTGATTCTGGTGGACCTCAATCATTCCATTCCTACTCTAGTGGCAATTTTCCCAAGCGTTATATAGTTCGGCAGTTGCAAACCATGTCCTGCTTCCAACTCCTCAAGTCCAAATTCACTCGCAAAGCTTCTACCAAAGTAACAACCATGGCTCCTTCTACCAAAGTCAAGATTACGGCCAACCCGCTCTACAAGAAGTCGGGTACCAAGTCGTACCTGTACGCTATGCGCAAGTATCAGTTCTCCCCTACCAAGCCTGGCCCATACTTCTTCGGCACCACGATGCACCAGACTGGCCGTCAGTACACCGATAAGCCGGTCGGTGGTCGGGTGCATTCTCGTTGGGTGCTGCAGAAGACACTCGCCGATACTGACGAGGTTGGCGAAGTCGGGGCCCAGGATGTGCAGAACGACGCTATGTACCTGGCGACAGTGGGTATTGGATCGCCGGCTCAGAACTTGAATCTTGATTTCGACACTGGTTCGGCGGATCTCTGGGTGAGTATCTTGTCTGAATCTTTGATGAATTGCATGGCTAACGGTTGATAAAAAGGTCTGGTCGACCAAGCTGCCTGCGTCGACTTTGTCGGCGAACGCAAACCACATGGTCTTTGACCCTACCAAGTCAAGCACCTACAAGCTCAAGGAGGGCTCAACCTGGAAGATCTCCTACGGAGACGGTTCATCTGCCTCTGGTATTGTGGGTAATGATAATGTCGACGTCGGCGGTCTTGTCATCAAAGGCCAGGCCATCGAGCTCGCAGACACAATGTCAGCACAGTTCGCTAGTGGAGCTGGCGACGGTCTGCTGGGTCTTGCATTCAGCAACATCAACACTGTCCAGCCCAAGGCCGTGGCGACACCTGTTGAGAACATGATCACGCAGGATGATATCCCTAAGTCTGCGTCTCTTTTCACAGCCAAGCTTGGCTCGTGGCGCGATGCTGATGAGCCCGACAAGGGCGAGTCTTTCTATACATTCGGTTTCATTGACCAGGCCACCGTTACGGCTGCGGGTGCAGAGATCGCCTATACCCCTATTGATAACAGCCAGGGCTTCTGGATGTTTAACTCTACCTCCGCGACTGTGAATGGTAAATCAATCTCTCGCTCGGGGAACAAGGCCATCGCCGATACCGGTACTACTTTGGCTCTCATCGATGATGATACTTGCCAGGCTATTTACGATGCAATTCCCGGTGCTAAGTATGATAACAACAGCCAGGGCTGGATCTACCCCAGTAACACTACTCTTGATAACCTTCCCGTTGTCTCCTTTGCTGTCGGTGATACGCAATATGTTGTTCAGAAAGAGGATCTTGGCTTTGCCGAGGCCAGTCCTGGATACATCTACGGTGGTATCCAGAGCCGTGGCGATATGACCATGGATATTCTGGGTGACACTTTCCTGAAGGGAATCTATGCTGTGAGTAGCCATCGACTTCAAGCAGGCATGCCGAAGACGAAAGTACTAATCAGCATTCTAAAAAGGTATTCGATGTCGGCAATCTTCGCTTCGGTGCGGTTCAGCGCAAGGAACTCAACCAGAACATATCAGCTCCCCCTTCTTAGAGCAGTCTGACGTTTTCATAAGATCTTCAGATTCCTCTCTATATTCCCGCGTTATCATCTGGATCGAGTGATTCAATATATACCATATAAGTCTCATGATTCTTACGACGGATCTCGATAGCTAGACACACTTATTTCATATCAATAACTACCTTCCCCTGTTTGGTATAACTAGCCTCAATGGTGTCCTATAACTTAACTACTTGAGCCCCAGAGTCCTTCTGCTGCACGTCAAATGACAGTGTCTTGTCAATATCGCCTTTGTCAATATCGCCTCTGGGTGCAGTGATCCAAACATCAACGCCCCTTCATAATTAACTGCTCCACAACTCCACAACTACTGACATCAGCGCAAGGTCGCCCACAGTGTTAATGGCAACATCCACACCCCTTCCATCGGTCAATACTGTGATTTCCTTGTCAAGTACAGCAACATGACTGCTTGAAGATAAGGACAGTATCGGAATTTTGATCATCACTTCAAGCTGCTGTCAAAACCTGCTTGCATCCCGTTGCGCCGGCCATCTGCACAACCGCAGATCCAACCGCCTCGGTAGCCCCAAGCAAAAGAACCAAATCATTTTCCTTGCCTCGAGCCCGTGGCAAACAGATCTGCGCAGTGGTGAATGGTACTCCAAAAGTAGCAGCCTGATGAAGCGACAAAGAAGCAGGCACCTCAACCAGGGCAATCTGATAATTAATATAGTACTGGCCATGAGCACCTTCAATCCGGAAGCTAAGAACTGAACCTTTGTTTCTATAGACAGTCTCTCCAATCTATGAACTGGAACGATGGGACTCATCTGCGATGTCAATCACTGTCCCTAAATAACGCGTCCGGAGCTTGTGCTGCTGTAATCACTGGTCTTCTCCTTGGTCGCAGCCCGGCAAGTCTCATCGTGGTAATTGCGATGTTAGCTTTCGCGGCGGGTCAGGCACCTTTGGCTTCAATGCCCATCGTACAAATATACCGAGCTGATATTTTATGCTCATGCTGATCACACCTTGGGGAATGTGAGTGGTCTTTCTCTTCGGCGGAACAAAATTTCAAGGTCTAATGAACGACAAGGACATGTCATTCCCATTGGATATTCTCATATTGAGTAATATGCCATAGAAAGACCAAGGTGTTACAGGATCCCTTGCAAACATTGGCGGTGAAAGGCTCAATTTCATCGGGTCTTGGACCTGTGCTCTTGAATTTGCAGAGACTGTGGAGCGATACGTGAATGATGATGACAAGGATCTTCTCAAGGGGCATCGGGGAGCCCTATGGATGGCCATCAGTCCTGCAGGACTGGGTACCCTTATCGTGATGTGTTTCCTGGTGGGAACTTGAGTGTCATCCACCAAAAGCTCAGCACAGGCTAAGTTTGACAAAAGCAAACACTCCTACGTACGGCCGTTTGTACAGAAATATATGAATGTTTATATTCATAATGGAAGTTGAAATTCCATAGCCCACAGAGAATCCAGATCAAGTGGCAGCGGTGCCGCAAGTGATGGACTCAGCGCTGCAATATCACTTTGAAGGTGGTCATTTGTTCCGCCAAAGGCTGGGTCAGGTGAGGCATCTCGAGCTATGCGCTCGAGGGCTTCGACACCTCTCTTCTTCTTATCCAACGAAGCCCGGACGAGCTGACGCGCCGTCGAAAGAGCTTCTTTGGCCAGGTGTGTGTCCAGGTGATCTACGATCATTTCCAATGTGTCCATGGTTTCCACAAGGAGTTCGCAGCTTGTGGGGGTGTCCATCACCAGAAGAGTGCACGCGAATTGAAATGCAGTTCCGATGACATTCCACCAAGGCTGATTTTGGCTAGCTAACCTCCGTGCGGCTGGTAGGGCTGCCGTACCTGCAGCAATCACACGGTCATTATGTCCCTGTTGAAATTTCGACTCCATGACACGAAGCCGACGGTATATACCTAAGACAAGGTCCGCACGTAGTAGAACAAGGAAGTCATGGTCCACAGTGAGATCGGTTATCGTGTCTAAAGAGGAGAAGAGCTCTTCCATCATTGACAAAGGATCCCCGGGCGGCATTATGGGAACAGCAGCCACCAGACTGCACAATTGACAAGTCAGATCCTTTTCTCCATCTTTGGGCTGCAGATGATCGAGAATATGGTTGTTCAAGCTGATGATAGATCTTCCATATTCGAAAGAAATCAGGATATGGAGACACGTTGCGACTTGTGCCGTCCGGTTGACCATGTTGAACATCTCTGTACTCGGTGTCGCATTACCAGTCGTCTGCATCACGTATTCAGATGCACGATGCAAGCCAGCTGCCTCAATCAAGTGCATGACCGTGCAACTTGACAGCCAGGTTACATGTGGCCTCGCAGTACAGCGCATGTAAATGGTTCGCAAAGTCCATGCTGCAATCTGTTCCAATGAAGGGAAGCGACTTATCACGCTATCTTCTAGGATCTCTTTCTGATGCAAGATGAACCACATTTCTTTGCCCTGGTCTAAGGTTCCACTGAATAATGAAGCCGTTGCGACGACTCCACTGATCATAGCCTCGAAGGCCATATCTTGGGGCTGTCCATGCCAATGCCTCTCACACAGCATGTAGACTTGATCCATATCCAAGAAGCCAAACACAGGATGGACTGTAGCTGTATAAACTTCGAGAAGACTTCTCATCGTATTCCATGGAATCTTCTGAGCAGCCTTAAAAGTCACCGCACAAGGCGGCTCCTTGCGAATACCTGTGTGGTATGCAAACGAGTGCAGACGTGGAATTTTAGTCGCCTGAACCTCCAAACCGACGTAAAGTGGGAAAGCGATGGATGAGTACCTTCCAACGTATCGAGCTTTTGACGGATCAAGGATTCCAGGGAGTACGGAGGATTCCATGTGTTGCTTGGGAGGCTCTTGAGGGTCAGTAGAGCGGGTCGTTTTCCTAGGCTTGGGTGACCCATCTGAAGGCACAGGTCGTTTGAGATTTGTTGATTGGACTCCATTACCAAATTCACAGTCGTATCCATACCCTTTGCAGATATTGCATGGTAAATTTCCATCGCATTTTCTCTTGCGGCGCCGGCAAGGGAGACATGCTTGTTTTGACCGCTGTCGCACTGGCCCAGAGAGCGATGACGCGTCTTGACTGTATCCCTGCTGATTATGAGGAGACATTGAGTAAACTTCGATTTCAGCGTTGCTGAAAATCACCAGGCCATAGTATGAGTAATGAATTTGAGGCAAATGTGCCAAAAAAAAAAAGCAAGAGAAGTAGCAGCCAACAAGCGCACGACGACTCGGCGGATAACGGGTAGGCGCCAAGAACCGCCAGCTGCATTAACTCCCGCATTAAATTGATGTTATGTAGCTGCTTAGTCATGCTAATGAATGATTTCGCTGAGTTGCTTGCATTTTGCTTGCGCAACGCCTCGTCGTCTGCGATCACATGGAAGACTCTTATAATTATAGACAGATGGAAGGCACGCCTGAGCCTAAAATGAGCTAAGCTTTTGATCACACTGCATGTTAAGTGGAATTATTTGATATCGTGATTAGAGAGGTGAGAGCAGATTGTCGAGATGAGCTAGACATAGCGATTGGTGAGATCGCTAGAATCTATCGAAGCAAAACCCTGGAGGCAATGGAGGGGCGAAAGTCATATCTTACAAGGTTATAAACAATGTGCGTTAAGTACAGGGCGGCGTTGGACTATCTCCAGTTCTTTGCTCAATACTATAAGGCCGTATTGCCCACATGATTCCAATGGCTAAGCTTAGCCGCTGCACACACCCAAGGATGAATTTAATACTTGACTACTTGTGAAAAATGAGTGGTTATTTCAAAAAATTACAGAAACTAGCTAGTAATATATTAGAATAGTGGGTTCTCTTCAAGACGAGACATATCCTAAGGGAGAAACGACTTATGCTTCTCAATAATGTTGCAGCGTGCCATCCAAAAAGGACAAGGTTCAGGGTTCAATATTTATTGGTGACTAGATATCAAGTATTGATCTAAATATCTCCCCATTTAAGGATCGGCTTGATAATCTTGCCGGCTTTCAAGTCCTCCAACGCTTGATCCAGCGAGTCTACACTGTAGACCTCAGCTAGCTTGTCAACTGGAAACTTGCCCTGCTTGTACCATTCGAGCAGCTGAGGCAGAAGCTATGAGAGATCATGTTAGTCGCGAAACCTGATTAACCGCCCAAAGAAAGGCTGAGACTCACTTTAGCTGGATCCGAGCATCCCTCAATCGCTCCAATTATCCGCTTGCAGCTAAGCATGATTTCCAGTGGATTAATGGTAAGTGTACCGGTGGCCGGAGCAACGCCCACAAAGACTAGAGTTCCCTCATGACCTAGAGCTGCAATAGATGCCTGAAGCAAAGGGACAACGCCAGTAGTATCAAGGATGTTATCGACACCTTCAGGGAACAGCTCTTTCAAACCCTCTGCAAGATTGGTAACACGCTTCGTGTTGAGCGTGTGTGTAGCTCCAAGAGAAGTAGCCAGCTCGAGTTTTGAGTCGACAATATCAACAGCGACTACAGTCTCAACGCCTAAGGCTCGGGCAGCCATCATAGCCGCCAGTCCGACAGCGCCCATTCCAAGAACCACGAAGCGGGAATTGGGTTTTGGCTTCAGAACGTTCAAGACGGTGCCAGCACCTGTGAGATACCCACACCCTAACGGAGAAAGTGCAGCAAAGTCCGAGTCGCTAAAGTTATAGTTGCTCTTGACAACAGAAGCTTCGTTCACGATGGCCAATTTGCTCATCGAAGACTGACCGAAGAATTGTCCTCGAACAGGCTTGCCTGCTGTTGTCGAAATAGGCGATTCGGTAGCAGAAATGCCACGCACACCCGCGAAGTTGATATTGGTGAAATCACTGCAGAATCCTTTGCGCCCATCTCTGCAGGGGTTGCAACTATCGCAAGTGGTAAAGCTCAGGAAGACCTGGTCTCCGTCTTTCAGGGTTTTATCTTTGACCGCCCTGCCAACCCGGCGCACAATACCTGCACCTTCATGTCCTAAGACTGCTGGATAATCTCCAACGGGCATGGCACCTTGTTGCACCACAATATCCTGATTCATCCAGGTCAGCATCATATATCGTAATGCCCGAGTACTGCTGGGGTTATCTCGAGATGCACCATACCGTGTGACACAGACCAGTGTATTTCATTTCAACGAGAACCTCGTTATCCCGCACTTCGTCTAGAATAACATCCTGAAGGACGAAAGGGGCGTTAGGCGCTTCGACCACAAAGGCCTTTGTTGGGATCTGTGTCTCGGGAATCATGATGGGACTTCAAATCGATACTACTGTAATGCGCGATCAATACGAGAAGCGTAGGAGGCGTAGGACAAGTAAGGAATGAGTAACTTGAAGGAATCTGGAGAAGGATCTGGGGAAATGGGAACGCAGTGGACCCTCTTATGATGGTTCGCTCGGGCTTGGTTCTCAGAGAACAATTTTGGGACGAATTTGCGGGTCATTTCCCCACAGCACCCGACCTTTTGGATGCCTCCCCCACATAAATTCCACTTCGGCGTCAAGAATCGGCACATCGATGCGCCAGACGCTTACGGAGCTGCCGCTGAGTCATTCCGTCTAGGTCTGTCGTCTACATTAAAGGTCAGTGCAGAGAGCAAGCTTTGTCTCCAATCCAGTCGTCGTTGATGAATGCGAAAGTTCTATGTCGAAGTAGACTCCGGATGTCCCTAAGGTCCGAAAAGGCAAAAAGTCGAGATATTCAGTTCTAGTGCACAGCCACCTTGTCATCAATTATAAAATACAAGCAGGTATCATATGTAACTGCCAAGACTATTGTACAGATCACCACATCCGCTGCCCCTTCCCCTTTCTAGCCGGCTCTGAGACTCCCAGAGGGGTTCGCAAAAACGTCTCCATCAAGAGAGCCGCAGCGACGCTGACGTTCAAACTATCGATGCGAGCTGGGTCAGATTCAACGCCTAGATGGGCGCTGTGTCGAGCACCAGGAATGCTAACGATCGCATCTGCATGTGACTTGATATGGGAGCTAAGCCCAGACCCCTCGCTCCCCATCATGATCACACTGGGAGATTGTGTGATAGGGTGGCTGCCGTCTGGTCCATCGCCTACTGATAGGCGGTCCAGATAGGTGGCACCGGACCCGGAGCGTCGGCCGCATAGAACTTCCATCCGTTGTTTTGGGACCGTTGGATGAAATCAATCTCGTTCTTGACCTGAAGAAGAGACATGTTCTCTGCTGCGCCGGCAGAAGCCTTGATGGTCACAGGCGAAAGAGGGGCTGAGTTGCGACCAGCAAAGACCACCGTATCAATTCCGAGATAGTAAGCGGAACGTATAATAGCGCCAAGGTTTCCAGGGTCAACGACACCATCCAGGAGTAGACACACCGGGTAGCGATACCTTTGTTCTCCCGACGGCGAGATTGGAGGGTGAAGAATAGAGATGCGGTCATCGGTACCATTAACTGCAGCTTCCTCCCGCGTTTGAGGTGCCAATTCTACGCGGAAATGGCTGTCGGTCATGGCCTGGACCGGATGGAAGCCACGAATTGGCAGTTTCGGCAAAGGCGATGCCTCCAAAACACAGCCATTGTGCGGTCTGCCAGCACTCATCTTGTCAAGAAGTCGGTCCCGACCGGCAAATGCCATTTTGACTTCAATGTTACTTGAGAGAGCCAGCTTGCGAAGAATAACCTTTGTGGGGCTAAGCTCTTCTCCGGCAGCTTGATAGAGATAGAGCTTGTATAGTTGGCGACGGCTGGAACGCAATGCTGCTTCAACGGCACCCGTGCCGTAAATGAACTCAGATGCCGGTGACGTGTAAGGTATCGACTCCGGGACCTTGACATTTTCCTTCACTCGCTCCGGGACACTCGCAGTAGCCCGATGAGCACGAGATACACCGTGAGTACTGACCTTCCGGGAGAACGACTTTACTTTCTCTGATATATCTGAATCCAAGTCGCGTGATTCACTCCTGCTTTTTGAATGCCCACGGTCCCGACCTTGCGACGGAGTTCGAAAACTGCCGCTCCGTACAAATTCATCGCGATCAAAGAGGTCGGAAACAGGCTTCCTTTCGGGCCTTCTCTCGTGCCACTTCTCGGGCTTTTTCTCGAAGCTCTTCTCGGGCCAACTTCTTTGGCCTTTTGATTGGTACTGATAATCATCTCTCCTCACCCGCCGGCGTCCATCACGCTCATCAAATGATCGACTAGACGAAGTCTCTCCAGGCTGTGATCGGCGAATACCCCGGCCAATAGCAGAGTTCAAAGAGGCATATCGAGCCGGTACTGAGCACTGAGTAGACTTTGTAAGCGATACACGCCCGCCAAAGGTTGATCTTGGAACGTTCAAAAGCATCTTGATGCTTTCGAAAGTAATTGTTTGCCCGTCAAGGCGAACATGGGAAAAGATACTCGGATTAAATGAAATCCGAGTCCTTATCTCCGATAAGATATGAACGGAACAACCATTTCCCGGGCAAACGCGCTCTTGTGGTGTTCACTACCCCAGAGTGCTCTCTGTCATTTTATATATCTCTGAGAAGCTGAGTTGCGATTCGTACTGGCCATCCTTGCTTTTAAATCACCTTCCAAGATTTTTTTTGAACCGCAAATATCTATGTCTATCCTCACTGTCCTCACAAAACACACTGGAAGCTCACCTGCTTCGCGTTCCATAGTGACTGTTTGCGCGGTTTCTATTAGCGCGTTCTGCCTCTTCAACTGACTTTCGTCGACATGACTCCTGGTCCTCTGGAAGGCCTTGAAGAGCCTGAGGCCTCTGACGCCATGGCCGCGCAGGACTCGAGCCAGCTTGCGGATTCCGCCTTGGACGAACTACACACTGCCAACGATGCCGTTCCAAAAACTCGAGAATCTAAAGGCCCAGAAGCCCCTCAGGAGGCTTTCACATCTACAGGATCCGAGACTTTCCAGATTGTCCCCCCAATTGTCCCAAATCCGAATGATTACGAGTACCTCCCAGGTCATTTCGCAGCGCGCCGAATCTTAGAGATCGACTCATCGAACGCTGAGAGGCCTCTTTATACTGTGCGTCTCCAAAGCGGAGAGTGTGAAACTGTGAGTTTTCTTTGTTGCTTTCATATCCTCATGGCATTCGGCTAATGTTTCTCTCCTTTGTTGCAGATGACCTACAATCGATTCATGAATTTAGAAAACAGCACCAAGGCTCTAGACCAATACAACCAAGACTCTGACTCGGATGATGATATCATGTTGATTGGCCGAAGACCTGTTTCTTACAAACTTTTCCATGCCGGTGATGGACCGGCATCCGACGATACGTACTCTGACAATCGAACTCGGCGCAAACTCAGCCGTTCAGCTACTCGTGGACGATACTCGGAGTTTTTCCAAACCGAACCAAGCTCGACAGCCCGAGAAGAAAGCTCCGCTGATGAGATTATCGATGCTCTGCCTCACACCAGAAATCTGAGACAAGGCGCCAGACGGGCCGGAAAGCGAGGACTCAGGCAAAGGCCAAGACAAAGCCTTCGATCATCCCGTTCTTCGTCCTCGGACGATTATTATGCTACGGTCAAACCTACACGAGTATCGGCGCGTGATAGAAAATCTCTCCGACAGAATTTACGGGAACGTCACGAGGACGATGTTTCGGAACTTGCAAGTGACGCCCCTAAGGAGCAAAGATACACTGGAGCCAGAGAGATTTTTCAAATCATCTCGCACGACGACGTGTTCCGGCAACGCCACTTTGCTTGCTGCGATACTTGCAGTTACTACGAAGATGATTCGGTAAAGGGGCCCTTAGTCTTTTGCCAAGGCTGCAGCACATCATACCATCAAACTTGCCTTGGCCCGCGGCACAGTCGAGAACACCTTGTGACAAAGATCGGTGATGGTCACTTCATTCTACAGTGCCGCCGCTGTCTTGGCATTTCTCACCAAAAACATGACATCTCTCCACATTTGGGCAAATGCGCGAATTGCCATGAGCTGGGTCCTATGTCGCAGCCTTTGCGACAGCGTCTCACCGCCAAGGAGGAGCAGCAGCAGCGTGTCGCTAATGATGGTGTGGACCCCGTCACCCTAGTTGATATGACTCGTGTGAACAACATCGACAATCTCCTGTTCAGATGCACCGGTTGCCATCGGGGCTTCCACGTGGAATGTCTTAAGCCGATGGCAGATATCGATAAATTTGATAACTTCCCGGATTACAGTGTCCACTGGCAATGCCAGGACTGCTCCAATGCGCCGGGTGAAATTCAGGAGATTCTTGCCTGGCGTCTTCTCGAACGCGAATCTATGGGATCGAATATTCCCCACTCTGAGATTGTCCCGGAAGTTAAGAAAGAGTATCTAATCAAGTGGAAACGCAAATCTTACTTCCGGGTCGCTTGGAAGCGAGGGGACTGGGTCTATTGCGTTAGTAATCCTACTACGCGTCGATCCTTTTTTATGTCAGACAGCGCTCGAAAGCCAACTTGGACAACAGAAGATGCAGTTTCTGAGGACAAATTGCGGGTTGACATTGTCTTTGAGGTGGCATACCGGGAAGATATCGCCGAGAAAGACAAGTCTAACCCTGAGACGGTCAAAGAGGCCTATGTCAAATACAAAGGCCTTAATTACGAGGATACAGTATGGGAGAAGCCACCCGATCCAAACGAAGCAATCGACAAAGATCGATGGAAGGACTTCTCGACTGCTTTCAATGACTGGCTGGTCCGAGGCGATATTTCAATTCCAGACCAAAACAAACTCAATGAAAGGTTGGCCCTGATTCGGACCCAGGACTTCGAGCAAGATCTGGTGATGCACACCCAATCCGATTTGATCTCTGGTGGTGACCTCATGGCATATCAACTGGACGGTGTGAACTGGCTTTACTACATGTTTGTCAAGCAGCAGAATGCCATTCTGGCGGATGACATGGGCCTTGGAAAGACCATACAGGTCATCGGTCTGCTCACGGTCCTCATTCAAAAACACTCATGCTGGCCTTTTTTGGTAGTATGTCCAAATTCGACCGTTCCAAATTGGCGACGTGAGATCAAGAACTGGGCACCAAGCCTTCAAGTCGTCACTTATTTCGGCTCTCGATATTCGCGCCAGATGGCCAGAGATTACGAAATGTTCCCACAGGGCGGAAAAAATCTCCATTGCCATGTTGTAATTGCTTCATACGAAAGCATGATCGATGATGACACAACAAAGGTTCTTAACAAGGTTCCATGGGTAGGATTGGTGGTGGATGAGGGACAACGTCTGAAAAATGACAGATCTCAGCTCTACGAAAAGCTCTGTCGCATGAAGTTTGGGTTTAAAGTCCTTCTCACGGGAACTCCTCTCCAGAATAACATTCGGGAGCTTTTCAATCTACTCCAGTTTCTTGATCGAGACAAAAATGCAGAAGAATTGGAAGAGGAATACAGATCCCTTAATTCAGAGAAGATCCGGGCCCTTCATGAAATGATCCGCCCGTTCTTCCTTCGTCGCACCAAAGCCGAGGTTCTGCCTTTCTTGCCTCCAATGGTACAGATCATCGTTCCCGTCTCAATGTCTCTGGTGCAGAAGAAACTGTACAAATCAATTCTTGGAAAAAATCCTCAATTGATCAGAGCCATCATCAAGAAACAGACCGGCCAAATTAGAAAGCAGGATCGGCACAATTTGAACAACATCTTGATGCAACTCCGGAAATGCCTCTGCCATCCTTTTATTTACAACCGGGCCATCGAGGAGTACACCAGTGATTCCGACAAGGCACAAAGGCACTTGGTGGAGGCCTCTGGGAAGCTTCGATTGCTCAACCTGATGCTGCCAAGGTTGCAGGAGCGCGGACATCGGGTTTTGATTTTCAGCCAGTTTTTGGAAAACCTTGATGTGATGGAAGACTTCCTCCACGGCCTGGGCCTAAACTACGGCCGGCTAGATGGCAGGCTATCCGCTAAAGACAAACAGCAACAAATCGATCAATTCAATCAGCCCAATTCTCCGATGTTTGCCTTCCTACTATCAACTCGATCGGGCGGAGTGGGAATCAATCTTGCTACCGCCGACACAGTCATCATCATGGACCCTGATTTCAACCCCAAGCAGGATATGCAAGCCTTGTCGCGAGCCCATCGAATTGGCCAGCAAAAACCTGTCCTTGTTTTCCACTTGACAACTCGTGCTTCGGTGGAGGAGAAAATTATGTTGAAGGGCAAGAAGAAGCTGGCGCTCGATCATGTGCTTATCGATCGCATGGAGGCCGATGAGGATGAAGAGAATCTAGAGTCAATACTTCAACACGGTGCAGCATCTCTGTTTGATGATGATGATTCGGGTGATATCCACTACGATTTGCCGTCCATTGATAGATTGCTGGACCGCAGTCAAGCTGAGAAAGCAGAGCAAAGTGCCACCGATGATTCTGGCCAAACGGACCAGCCGAAGTTTAATTTTGCACGCGTCTGGCAGAATGATCGAGGCACCTTGGAAGAGGTCGCCGAGGAGACCGAAGAGATCACAGCTGCCGATGTCACTGCCTGGGAAGAAATTCTTCGCGAGCGTGAGCGCGATGCCAATGAAGAGGCATCTTCGAACATGGAAGGTCTGGGCCGCGGTAAGCGCAAGCGAGCCACGATCAACTACCAGAATACCCGAGAGGAAGAAGCCGGAGATCACGAGATCCCCGAGTCCTCGCCTGTCAAGCGGCGGGGCAAATCACGCAGTAACGATGACAGTGATGCCGAGTTCCAAGAGGGTGGATCGGAAAGCGACTCGGCGGACGACGAGGATGCAGGCGCAGATCCCATGGATTTGGGCCTGGATAGCGGGATGCCTCCGAGGCCGAAAGCTCGTCCCTTCGAGCGCGTGCAGGTGCCGCCACATGCGATGCCGTCTCATTTCGATGGCGCTATGGATCCCCAGTCTTACATGCAGACCGGTCCGAAATGCCTTGCATGCGGCGAGCCTCATTATCCAGGCCTTTGTCCACTAAAGCGGGCGGGTGTTGAACACTGTCCCCTTTGCGGCTTGGCACACTTTGGAAAGCGCCGCGCCTGTCCGCATTTACGATCGCCAATTCAAATTCAACGCATGCTGGGGGCGCTTTCACAGAGCAAAGAAGACCCAAAGCTTGTCGCCATGGCTACAAAGTACCTGAGAGTTATCCTCACAAGCGATGCACAGCGCCAGAGGTTGAAGGCAGCAATGGCTGCGGGTGCTGTTCATCAACCCGAGTCTACTCAGGGAGCTACAGCATCTACTCTACATGCTCCTCCTACAAGTACCTCTGTATCCGCGCGGGTTCCTCAACGGGGTCTTCCTCCCGCCGCGCAACATCTCGGGGGCGAATCAGCTCATTATGACGTTACTGGCCATGATTCTTCCATTGTTGTCTCGAACAACACCAAGCCCAAGCCCTCTCCTGTTCGGACTTCCACGGGCCCTGTCACGAAGCAGCTCCCTCTCCAGTAGGTGCGCTGTTTCATATCCATCTCAGTTCAGAATCGAGCATTTTCATTTTGCATACATCATAGTGATCGCGGCGCGATGATATCATGACAGCACGCAAATAGAGTGTGAATGGCACGGGCATTCAATTTTCGAGACCTGCTCTTTCACTTCATTTTCAAGGGTGCCCAGATATGCAGGTTATGGGAAGCTTTCTTTTCTTTGTATTTACTTTACGACGATACCCCAGTGATTATAGAAATATTTTGATTCTAAAGACTTTCAGAAGTCGAACATCAAAGATTTTCCCAACAGTGCTCAAACTTAAGGGTAACTGATCTGTAAACATCAAGAACAGGAGCGTTAAGCTTCAGGCCACGCTGGACTTTGTTCCATCAGGGGTCATGCGGCATTGAGTGCAGCCTGTTAAGCGAAGTACAACGGCATGCGTCGTGTCCATTGATACGAACACGTCGGTCGCTGTAAAAGCCGATGAGAGGTAATCATGTTGGCTCTCGAACAGACAAGCTACCATCCATCCGGAAAACACGCCTCTCTGCGAAGACTGCGACACCTGGGACCTGGAGACCACAAAGGCTTTCGGCGTTACTCTAGGCAACTGCAATGATCTCCTCGTCAAGCTGATGAAGGCTGCGAGGGCTGCAAGTTCTTCTGTGCAATTTAACAATTCTTCATGTCGCTGGAGAACTCGACGTGACAAATTATCTGAGCGGGTGGTAAACTTTAGCCACCTACGTCTGAGATGCAACAGAAAAGGGATTCATGGGCATGACAATGTCCGCAGATGATTGTTGTCTAGACATGTGTGTTGTTAATGACTATGCAGGTATGACATTCGTGGTCGCATTCTGTTTAATGGCCATGTGCATAGACTGACTTTATCAGACCCCTCTGTTGATGGGCTTGATGCTTCCGGGAAGTGTCGGTCAGCTCGCGGGACGATAAATGCTTGACGAGAATTTCGGATTGGATGTCGGAATGTACAGGGCATGAGACATGCTATCCATCCAGTTCAGTTCCTTTGCCGAAAAGGGTCATCGAGATTTCCCCTACAGTGGATCCGCGGGTTATCACCTCTGAGGAGCGGAGCGGTGCCTACATCATCTTGAGCCATCAATGCTCCGAGGAAGAAGAGCCAGAAGAAAGCAGTCTCTCGATTCCTTTGGATGCCACGGCTTGTTCCAAGGCTGTGTCTGACGTCATTGATATCGCCCGCCGCTTGGGATATTGGTATCTCGCTTCATATCACCGCTTCCGAGCTTTCAGACCCGTCTGGCATTTTGAAAATCTACGGCCAGGCAGTATTGATGCTTGTAGCTTCGGCCGGGGATGAATCCCACGATGGACTGTTCCAAGACAGGAAGATTCTTTGTTCAAACCCGCAATGGGGCCTCACACAGATAAATGTTTCTGACCGCGAGAGCTCCGCTGGGATTCAAGTATCGAGAGGTCTCCACTCGCTGTGCATGGTTGGAATTTTGTGGAGAGGATACTGGCGCCGCGTATTGTACATTTTACAAAACGGCAGCTTGTTTGAGAATGTGCTTCTGGTTATCAATTTGAGGTGGCCAAGCTCGTTGGAGACCAAGATCTTGGGCCAAGACACAACGCCTTTGACAAAAGTGACATGCAGCGATATTTGCAGCACACTCTTCGGCAATGCCCACTTCAAGGTGACGAAAATATGGTGACGAAGCAAGTCAAGAGTCCGAGAAGCAGCTAAAGACTTAGACCCAGAACGTCAACACCCTCGCCTTGGGTACATTTGAAGACCCTTCTGACAAACTCCCTGTTATAGGGAGGATCGTACGAGCCATGAATGAAGGAACAATGGGAGACTACCTTGCCGGGATCTGGAGCAATCTTATTGTGTCTGGGCTTTGCTGGGGCCGAATGTTCTCTCTTCCGAGCCGCCCCGGAATACAGGGCTCCAACCTGGAGTTGGGCCGGCGTAGATGGTCCTGTGGCCATCAACCTCATCCAAACAGATGATACTCCAGTTTCATTGTAGGCGCAAAGGTATCAGCCAGAGGTTATCTCGCACCACATTGTGCTTGTGGACCCTTCCAATCCCTTTGGGCGTGTTTTGCAAGGGTCAAACATCATCCTCGAGGCGGCATGTATAGGGTTCAAAAAGCTGACTGATAATCCCAAGAGTCCCGAGAGTCAGCCGCAGGTTTTTCAAGCGAGACCAGTTCTGGATCAAACGCTGAAGTTCGACTGCGGCTGCTCCAGACCTAGATCAGCTGAGGTTCAAGAGGCAGACACGGCTCAGCTCACTCGAGTGATTGAACACCATGTCTGCGTCGTTCTCAAATTCGACGGATGGACCACGGAAAGCGATGAAGGATGATGTGTTCTTCTCATCTTAAAAGGCTCCGACAGCGATGAGTCTTTGACAAGAGTAGGATATTTGACAATTGGCTTTAGCAAGTGGCAAAAGCTGGCTGACCATTGCGGCACCTTCGATGCCTTGGGATGGGAAAGACGCAAGCTCAAACTGTTCTAATCGCGAAAGGATATGCGAGCTCATTTAGCGTTCCATGTTTTCCAACCCCTGTCCCGCCCTCGATAGTGTTTTCAAGCTTATTCAATGGCGAAGTTTTTGCCCGAGGTGATCATGTTGTAGGCGTGCTGGTATTATTATGCTGAATCCCGAGCGGCCCGAAGTAGGGTCTAATGATGTCACGAGACCACAGGCCATAACGAACACCCAGGACCAACCAATCTGTATCTCAGTATCGCAAGTCAATACGGCCTTTCCTTGGGTATTTTGAGGTCATATCCTATCACAATGTCGGAAATCAACTGTTAATCTATCCTTGGAGAACCGGGATAATGCACCACCCAAGGGAGACCATTTCTGCCCAGAGTTTCGGCAGTTGCAAGTTATGTCGCGGCAGAAGCGGCTTTGAGTGTTGTTGTGGCTCTCAGTAGGATCATATACCTAAGCAAGGGAATGGGTTAGCTCAGATGCTCCTCGAGGGCGCCAGAATGATGCTTGGCTCTTTTCAAACCTTGCACTCAAATAGACAGCGAGTGCCAATCTTGCTCCGCCTATTTGCAAATCAAACTAGAACGGCCATTATGGCATACAATACCTTTCGAATTTGACTTTGATCGGCAGACCGCGAGACTGCAATGGCATGAAAGAAAGAGATATGGCTGGATCCTTTTCTCCAGGGCCGTGATGGGAGTATGTGACGGGAAAGATATGCAAGATGAGAAAGGAACATGGATTATGTGCAGAATAGTCAATTGAGATCTCGACTGAAAGGCTGATGCAGCTAACCGACGGCTCCGCGGCCATTCAACTTGTTGTTTGTAGTCGTTTGGACGTGGCAACGACTCCGTACCTGAGACCTCTGGATACTTCGGTCTTGATCAATGGAAATGGTACGTATCTGAGGGAGAATCCAGTTTTAGATCGAGATCTTCAACTCGAGAATCCGTCAATGGCAGTTCCGGAATGTACAATTGCAGCCCATTTGTTGGGCATGAAACTGACAGGAATCAGTCTTGCTGCTTATTTAAATGGCCGTATGGCTCACAACTTGGCCTTCGCTGGGCCAGGAGTCTTGGACACGGTGAGTTGGTGTTGGTGTACCATCGCAGTGAAGATTCCAAGTCTACTGCAGCGGGGCGTCACCTTTTACAACCAATGTTCACTGTCGAAACACCATACGCTTTCACTTTACCGGGATATTCCAGCTTCAAAAGATCACTTCACGTCTCTCACTTCGATCTCTCTTCCTTTCCCATCTCTCCATCACACCAACTCTCATCCTTTGCTCTTCTCAGCTGGTTTCAACAATCTCTATTCATCTACACATATTATTATTTGTGTATCATTATCACTTGTTAAGACGAACGGCCTGCTGTTGTCACCATGGGCAGCCAGGATCGTCCTTCATTCTTTTGTTCTCGTCCCGATGGGAGCCTGACGCCGCTCATCGCGGTTGATGACCTCCCTCTCACTTTGTCTGTCCGCGGTGTCTCTCGTTCTCTTACTCCTGGTGACACTCAGGGGATGACCAGCTGCGGCGTTGCCACTCCGCGGGTCGAGCCCTGGATCGTCGATGGTGCTCCTTCTGATGCTGGTGCCACGGCAGATGAAAGGGCTCACGAGATCAGATCCCTACTGTTCAGGATCCTTCGTGAAGATAGCGTGCACGGGGATACCCGTTCTGCCATTCAGGAAGTCCTCTTCCGTGGATTTGATGCTCCTTCCCCGGTTGCTACGAGTGGCTCTTTCGCTTCTGCTGTCTCTATTCCTGTTCCTGGCACTGTTTCTACTTTCGGTCATGTTACCCAGTCCGCCTCTCAGTCTGGATTTGCCAATGCCCAAGAGGGCAACTTCCAGGTCAGTCAGAAGAACGTCAGTCACTTCATCAAGACCTGGTAACATATGAAAGACAACTGACTGGCTTCACAGGCACATAGCAAGAAGCAATATTGCTCCTACTGGATCCGTCACGGCGAGTGCGACTACTCTCAGCAAGGTAATAACACTCTTTCAGATCGTACTCAAATCAGAACATTGCTGACTTCACTTATCTGAAGGCTGCCTGTATAAGCATGAGATGCCTATGGACACGCAGCTACTGGAGAAGCTTGGTCTTCGTGATATTCCTCGATGGTACCGTGAGAAGTTCTCAGTTGCTAGTCTACAGTCTGGTCATGGAAACAAAGGTGGTCAGATCCAGTATGCTCTCACCGAGAATGCTCACCAGTCTTCTTCTCCGTCACCCCAGAGATCTATCGAGTGGAGCCCTTCTGTCAACGCACCAGAGAGCAACGAGGCTCGCTCTAACCAGAGTCGCCACAAGACACCTAAGTCTCCCCGTGGTCCTGGTTTCGGGCCTGGCAAATCTCGTGGCAATGTTACCAAGCTTCAGCAGTCACGCAAGAACTACGCCGAGTCCGCTAATGTCACTCCCACTTCATCCAGTGCCAGCTCTGGTGACTCTTTCGTCATTCCTCATGCTCCCAGTCACTCTCTCGGTGTTCCTCTCGCTTCTGCTCAGCAGAATGCCAGTAAATTCTCCGTCCAGAGCAAGCACTTACTCGACAAGGCTGATATGACCGCCAAGAGACTTGACCTGACTACCGGCTTCCCCAAGCTTACCGTGGAAGAAGATGTCCACACTTTCTCAAAGATTGGATTCCGTACCAAGTCTCGTCGTCCATACGAGTATGACCGCGATAAATTCGGCGGTGACGCCAATGTTCAAAGCCCGTCAAACGGTAATCCTCCCACAGTCAACCCTACCAATCGTCCCAATACATCTGTCAGCGGTCCTGTTTCCATTATTGTCAACTCTGATTTGCACCGCCACGTCGCTGTCACCACGAACCTTGGTCCTCGTCTTGTCCGTCCTGCTGTTGTCCCTGTTTCCCGTCATACTTCTCTCAACTTCAAGGACCCCGAGCAACGCCGTATTTACAACGAACTCCTGTCCAACAGCGAAGCAATTCACCCGCGCGACATGGAGTACACATACGGTGCTATCGGCGAGCCTGTCGAGTATCCCAACACTTCGTCGAATTCTAGCGCTGACTCTGCCTTGTTGTCCAACCTCGACAAGTTCTTTGACGAGGCTGTCAAGAGGAACGCCCAAGCCTGACAAATTAGTCGTCAGCATCCTCGTCGGTCACCTGTTCTTCCCGAGACTGACTTGTTGATTAATTACATGAGGAACTCCATGAAGCCGAACAAAATCAAGTCTGATATACTGTCAACTCGCCCAACACATGTTTTTTCTTCCGCGGCTTGGACTACCCTTCCGGGGACTCGCTGCCTATGTGGCTGTCGATTTGCCATCTTTTCAAGTTGGTGACTTGCTGCCCTTGTGCCTTTTGTGGTTGGTGAATTTACGGGGAGAGGACGAATTGAAGGATCTCGACTTGACATGACCTGAATGACGTGTTTCTTTGATGAAGTTTCTTTGAGGAAGTAGTTAGCGAATTCGATGACTTTTAACGCTACCCTCCCAATCTGTTAATCTTGAAGTCTAGATTCTGGCGATAACGCGCGAAGACGAAAGATCCTGTTCCAACTGCGAAGAAGAGAATGCAATCAACACGAATCTACAACAGTGCAGAGCAGATGACAGTGGCAGCGAGACGCCAATGGATTGTAATGTTATGACTATTGTACAGCGAGAAGAAAAATGAAGCCGATTAGACCTCCTGGAATATGCGCCCGCGCCTCGCAAATGTCGACCACAGTTTTATCCCAACACACCAAAGAAAGACCATGCAAAAGCATATACAACGCTCGTCTACGACTCATCGACGAACTGGCTTCTTACCTCCACGAGCTCCAACCTTGACAGCAACACGCTCACGCTCCTCGGCAGCCTGGGCCTTCAATGCAGGGTTGAACTCGGGGAGAGCCTGAACGGCATGGGAGATGACCTTGCTACCATCCACGATCGCCGCACGCTCCTTCTCAGCAGCGATGCGCTCGGCACGGCGAGCGGCCAATTGTTGCCGGCGCTCTTCAGTCATGTTCCAAGCTTCAGGGAATTGGACGCGAGACTTGGGCTTGTGGTGGCGGAGGTCGAGAGGAATATCGGTAAAGGCATCGCCTGTCTTGGCCTCCTTGATCAAAGAGTTGATAACGTCGGCCAAGTACCGCTTATTCTGTGCGCGGGAGCCGAATTGCTCGCTGGACATCTTGACAATGTCGGTCTGGGGGTTGTAGCGGGTGCCAACCAGCTTGAGGAATGTCTGGCGCTGGGCCTCGGAGAGATACTTGGGGGCCAAATCCTTTGAGGCAAGTTCCACAACGACCTTGGGCTCAGCCGGGTGCTGCTCGCCCATGTATGTGGTATAGCGGAAGCGGAGAATGTGTGTATCCGGAGGCAGGGTGAAAGGTTTGGCCAGCTCTAAATGGAAGACTGCTGTTAGGCACTGCGATGCATGAAAAGGGCGGTTTTGAAACTTACTGCTCAGCATTGGCATATCCCATGCCGCGATACGGGCATATTCTCTGACCTCCCGGTGCAATTCCAACTCAGCGTGTGCCATCGCGGTGATTTCGTCGTCATTGATCTCCTCATCACCGTCCTCTACTTGGGCAAACTCATCCGGATCATCCTCGGCCCAGAAACCACGCTGTTTGCCCCTAATATCTTCGAATCGCAGATCCTCCTCCTTGTCAATCTGGTTGACTTTCTTGTCGAGCTCGGCGAACATCGCGGCGCGCTTTTCGATATCGTTGAATTCGGCTACGAGGCGGCGATTCTCGGCATCGAATTGGGCCCGCTCTTCGGGAGCCATCATATCGTACATAGATCGGTCTTCCTTGCTGAGGAGGTCTGGGGAGTACTCAGGCGCAGCCGGGTAATCCTCAGCCTTGAGGTCCTTCGGGGGCGGAGGAACGACCCGGTCCTCGGACACGAATCGGAACGGGGATGTTGAAAATGACCGCGCAGGAAGGAACCTTGGGCCCCTTTGGCCCAAGGCTCGGGCTGAGCGTGTCAACGACCGAGCAGCGCAAGCCATTGTTGCGGGCGTGGAGTGTAGAATGGGCTACGGCGCACCTTCGATGTTTTCCACCTTGAAGTCCGCAATACGCTAAGCCTAACTGGGGCTAGTCCCAATAGTCACGTGGCTCAATGAGATACGGTTGCTATTGTCCAACACCTTCTCGCTGGGTACAGTCTCCGTACTTGGAACAGTTTAGTCGGAGACTATGAAGGTCTGCTTAGTTACGGTCGGGGCGACCGCATCATTTCTCAAACTCGTGCGACAAGTGCTCAGCGAACCGTTCTTGGCATGCCTTAAGCAACATGACTACACCCACTTGCTGGTTCAGTATGGCAAGGATGGCAAGCCCATAATGGACGAATTCCTAGCAAACAACCCAGACGGCAGTGAGTCATTACATGGGATTGGTATTGGTGGCTTCGACTTCAAGCCGAACCTGGACTCGTCAATCCGTCTGGCAATGGCCGATGAAGCCAAAAACCAAGAACAGGGACTAATGATTACTCATGCCGGTGAGCTACTATCTTCAAATCCGTGTCACTCTAAGTCTCTTGCCTAATTTGCTAGGTACTGGCTCGATTCTGGAAGGTCTCCGGGCTCAGCTTCCTCTCATTGTTGTCCCCAATACTGATCTCGCCGACAACCACCAAGAGCAGCTGGCAATCGAGCTAGACAGGACTAAATATGCAGTGAACACTTTAGTAGAGTGAGTTCATACAATATCCGACTATGTGTGTGCTCTGTTCTAATGCCGATCCAGGGATCTCGTCTCCGCAGTCGCAAAGGCTGAATCTATGCGCCACCAGCGACCTGGCATGAATGGGGCCCATGAAAGCAGCCAGGAGAACGAAATGCAGATCAGTCGTGCTATGGCCGACCAGCTTGCTACGCTCGACTGAATTTATCTTTTCAATAATTGTATATAATCGGTGATTGGGAAATTCTTTCTCTCATGGAGCAGTTTGGCGTTGGCGATTCATTTGACTCTGACTTGAAGGAAGATTCAGGATCTTCAGGGAATTTGGGCTCAGCGTGTTGAACGGTATAACGAGGAAGTGGCTTTCTATTGCGAGGAAATGTATAAATATCAGCCTTTGAGCACCTCTCGGGTTGTAATTCGATTATGATTCATGACTGGACCTAGCGTGTTCCGAGATAGACCGTCAAAGGCTGCTGGCCGATATATACGGATTTCAACGATGCAAGTCAAGTTTATCCCGAAAAATTTGTATCATCATTTTTGATTGTTACCGGCCCTAGATTTGAAAAATCATTGATCAAATGTATTTCCTAATTATTGCAGCTAAGTGCTTGGATAGCCTCTTCCATGCTCCCATGAACCAATTAAGATAGTCTCAACAACTCACGGCTAAAAAAAATTTTGAATAAAAATTCCAACAAATGATCGACGGGCCGACCTTAATTAGGTAGCCCGAACACAAGTTTATACAAAAGTCGTGAATCCACGGATGGAGTGGATGGGCGGTATCAGCCTCCATCATTGGCCCAAGCTCCTTGTTGACAACTCCCGACGCGAAAACCTTCCACTCCTGACTCGAGATCGGACGTTGCCCACTGCGCAGATATCTGCTGTCAACTCCCCGATCGCGCCCCTGATACCCCGAGCCGTCGATCCTAGGCCGTGGGGCCGTCCCAAATATTCGCCTCTCCAATTCCCCCGACCTCCTCGATCTCACACGCATCCCCGCAATGGCTGAAGCTACCCTTCACAACGTGCCAATTGTCATTGACAATGGCAGTGGTACAATTCGAGCTGGTTTTGCAGGAGAGGAAATTCCGTCATGCTATTTCCCCTCGTTTGTTGGTCGTCCCAAGCATCCACGGGTCATGGCTGGTGGTCTGGAGGGAGACTCGTTCATCGGCTCGCGCGCACAGGAGCTCCGCGGACTGCTGAAGATTCGGTATCCCCTTGAGCATGGTATCGTCACAAATTGGGAGGATATGGAGTCGATCTGGCACTATGTCTACGAGAACGAATTAAAGACCCTGCCCGAAGAGCACCCCGTGCTGCTCACTGAACCCCCGCTGAACCCTCGCGCCAACCGCGACATTGCCGCCCAGTTGATGTTTGAGGCATTCAATGTGCCGGCTCTGTACATGTCCATTCAAGCGGTTTTGTCTCTTTACGCGTCTGGACGCACTACCGGTGTGGTTCTCGACTCGGGAGATGGTGTCTCCCATGCCGTGCCCGTCTTTGAAGGTTTCGCCATTCCCAACAGTATCCGGAGGATTGATGTTGCTGGTCGGGATGTTACCGAACAGATGCAATTACTATTGAGGAAGGCCGGTCATGTGCTGCACACCAGCGCTGAGAAGGAGGTGGTTCGCATGATCAAGGAGAAGGTCTGCTACGTGTCGCTGGACCCCAAGCGCGAGGAGAAGGAGTGGATGAACAGCTACCATAAGTCGGACTCCAAGGCAGTCGACTACGTTCTGCCCGATGGACACAAGATCAAGGTAAGTCGTAATCTGATGTCACTCAAATAACCCCGTGTTAATGTTCCTTCCCCACACAGATCGGCCAAGAACGCTACCGCGCCCCCGAGATTCTGTTCGACCCTGAACTCATTGGCCTCGAGTACCCTGGTGTACATCAGATCGTGCAGGATGCCATCACTCGTACAGATCTCGACCTCCGCAAATCACTATACCTCAATATTGTGCTTTCTGGTGGATCAACACTTTGCAAGAACTTCCCCGATCGATTGATGCGCGAGATCAAACGACTGGCCGTTGAGGACATGAAGATTCGTATTTCTGCGCCTGCGGAGCGCAAGTACACCACCTGGATTGGTGGTAGCATTCTCGCTGGTCTCAGCACGTTCAGAAAGGTATGTATCGACTTTCAAAGACCCTGGCAACTAATCGCAAGCTAACTGATACTTTGCAGATGTGGGTTAGCGCGGACGAATGGCATGAGGACCCTGAAGTGATCTTCAAGCGATTTGCTTAGAGACAAGGTCCACCACAAAATCCAACCGTGAAATGTCCAACGCCTCAACATCCAACCTCTGACTTTCTACCCCCAATGGGAAAACGCCCCATTCTCAGACCGAGTTCATTGCCACGCACTACTATTGTGGCACACAGTAGCAACGAAGTGCCAAGCGATCACTTCGATCCTCTTTGTCCGACCGAGTCGTGTGTCTGCGACTTTTGATACCCCTTTCCATCGTTGCCCCTCATCCTGTCCATGCCTTGCGATGTGACATATTTGGCATTTTTGCCGCTCATATTATTGATTCTGTGGAAATACATTTTTCTTCGTACTTTTGGGGAGTTTCTTGTTCAAAGACGGATGGGGTCCTGTGGGTATTACATACTACTGGGGTTGCCGTACTGTAGAACATATCCAGACAACTGAGATAGTTTCAAGTTTGCAAAGCATTCTTTTCATCAATTGCAAGTCTGACCTAAGCTCATCCGTCAACAAAATGTTAGTTCATAGCTTAAGAGTTGATATGCATGCAAAAGCAGAACAAAGACGGTGACAACAAAAGTTCACCGAGCCCAGGACTGACTTTATAGATGTGCCATAAAATCATCAATAATGTGAGATCATTGAGAGCATTTGACGGCACGTACCGGTCTGCTTCCATTGCACCAGCTCGGCTTCTTTCCAAAACTCCCCTTTTGACGGAGAGAGTAGACTAATCTCGTTCGAGCCGAGTTCTGCCATCCCAGACCGCCAGCGAGGGAAGAAAAGCCCAACTATCCACTACATGCAACATCCACCACCATATATCGCAATTATGTCTCGCGTTTTCTTTGATGTCAGCATTGGATCGGGTAAGTTTTGACCAGACTGATATACATCCATAAATGGGATAACATCTTTACTTACCTGAACATAATATAGCTCCGGCCGGACAGATTGTCTTCGAGCTGTTCGATGACACTGTTCCCCGCACTGCTAGGAACTTCCGGGAGCTCTGCACCGGCCAGAACAACTTTGGATACCGCGGCTCCATCTTCCACCGTGTGATCCCCAAGTTCATGCTCCAGGGTGGTGATTTCACCAAGGGCAATGTACGTGTAGCGAATCTCTCACATCTCTACCCCACTACCCCACTCCTCTAGCTGATAATTATGATGAATGGATCGATTGACTAATTCACTTCCTCACATGCTACAGGGAACTGGTGGTAAGTCCATCTACGGTGCCAAGTTCGAGGATGAGAACTTCATCCACAAGCACGACCAGCCTGGTCTCCTTTCCATGGCAAACGCCGGAAGGAACACCAACGGCTCCCAATTCTTCATCACCGTGAGTTCTACCCAACTGACTATTCATTTCCATTTTTTACGGAGATAATTTGTGGTGTTTTGCATGGTGTCCTTTCTTGAAATTGTGACTTCTAACCTTTGCTATAGACTGTCGCCACCCCCCCACCTGGATGGAAAGCACGTTGTCTTCGGCCGTGTTGTCTCCGGAATGGATGTTGTGTCGAAGATCGAGGCCGAGGGCACTAAGAGCGGAAAGCCCAACTCCATGATCAGAATCGAGAAATGTGGAACTGTCTAAATTAAGTTACGCTAGTTCGGGTGTTAACCTAGTAGTCTATCTCGATACATAAACTATATTCCTAGTACTGCCAACTCTATGACTATACTTGTGCTAGCTTGGATTGAAGGGTTTACACTCCTCTTTATGTATGTTACGCGCCTGGAGCGGTGATCACGCCATTTCGTAAGCCATTCATGCAGCTTTCTTCAATGGGGCCTTGGCTGAAGTGCGGGGATTCAACTGAGGAGCCGAGAACAGAGACCCGCCATCGGCCAGAGACCCCAGGGGCGCCGAAGCCAATTCACCTGAAGGATTCATCTTGCATGGGATTGGCATTGTTCTCGTATCTGTCAGGTCCACAGTCAGTTCAAAAGTTCATTTTGGGTGCTATGTGTGGATTGTGTGGTCCAGCGCGAATCCACGGCCCTAAGCACTGATTGGATCGACATCAAGCATCCCCTATAGGTGATTGTATCACTGTTCGGAATATCTCTGATCTCGTCCTCAATTCTATCATGTTCGGGAGGCAGAGACTGCCTGAACGGGCAAGAGTTGTCTGCTTAATTTGCCATGTGCGAAAAGTATCATCTTTCCACGCCACTGTGAGTGACCTAGAACTAAATGAAGAACTGTAGATATGATGTGATCTCGAGGATCAAATAGATGGAGTCTGCAGCAACTGCAGAAGATGTAGCCAAGTTTGTCGGTTAGTTACTGACGGCCCCAATACCAATATCGCCAGACACTGATAATTTCTAGACGTCGTGGTCGCAGGCCTTACACAACCAGGAACTATATTTCTCCAACAACGCACATTGAATCGCCCCTTTCGCACGAAACAGGGTCTACTTTGGGTATATCTGATAACGTCAGAGCATTACACTCGCCGATGTCGTCGATGCAGGACTCGCAAGTTAATTGTCAAGCCACTAAACCATCTGCAGAAGCACAGGCGTTTGTTGCCACAGAGTCATTCATGTCCACCCTCTTGCACTTTTCAAACACATGTTATACCCGAGTCTGTGTACTTGATGCGTGACAGCTTCTCAAAGGAGCTTTTACAAGCTGTCGAAGCCACTTCACTACCGCCAAAGTCGCAGATCGAAGCATACAGAGACTCTTATTTCAAACAGCATTACCACCGCGCTGCTATCATTGATCGAGCCGACTTCTCAACAGATCATCCTTCATTAATCCCGACTCAGGCTATCTGTCTTTTAGGCTCTATGCTCCGCTACTCGGGCATCCATTCGCCTATCGAAGAGAGCGAGCCGTACTACAACAAAGTGAAAGCCCTCTTATACGCAAACTACGAGCCAGATCAGCGAAACGTTCTCAAGGCACTATGTATCCTTGCATTCAGGAACATCACCCCTCCAAAAGTGGTCAGCCTGGATTGTTCGTGGCAATGGATCGGAATGGCATCTCGTTTAGCCCAACAAATGGGGTTTCATCGCGAGGAGACCTACGTCCAACTTCCAACCCCGGGAAACGCACGTCGAATAATGTGGTTTCTCTTTGTGAGCTTTCTTCGCCATGCGTCTGATAGAGATTGTTTAAGACTGATTCAAACTACAGACCGAAGACAAGCTCGTAACCGCCTGTTTCGGCCGGCCTTCTCTTTTTGGAGATTTCGATTTCAAAATTCGACCGCTCAAGCTCGAAGATTTCGAAATCCCAGATCTTCAAGCAGAGCTTTGCATCGAATATAGAAATCTCAACGTAATCCTTGGCCGCCTAGTCGACTGTCACGGCCGAAAGGGCGAGGCGTCTCAAGAAGAGGTACTGCTCTCTACCCCAGAAGCAGCTCCATTATCTAACAACATACAGGCATTATCACTCCTCCAATCCCTCCAGAACTGGACCCACAACCTCCCACTCAACTTACATCTCTTCACCGATCAAATCCGCAACCCTTTCCGGCGTGATATCTACGAGGTCCACATAAACTACTTCGTCTGCGTCATAGTCTTCTTCCGCCTGTTCGGCTACACCTGTTCACCTCGGGCTCGACCGCATCCCTAGTCGCTTCTTCTTGCATAGCCCGTCTCTATCAAGAGATCATATACCGCGATGAAATCAACTTCCTCATGCCAATCAACAACTGGTCCTTGATGGTCGGCTGTGCTCCAAAGATTCGACACAACGCAGCTTGTCACGGGAAGGATCAACTGTGTGGGGAGGAATTACCTATCCTCATTGATGCTTTACGGTATATGAAGTTGAAATGGCCTCCCTCTGGGGTTTTATTGGATATTGTGGAGAGACTGTGTAGTGTTGAGGCTGGGGGGTCCGGATGATATTGAGGATGGTCAGGATTGGCAGCCTGCGGGGGGAAATGAGCCTGATCAATTATAATTGGATCTTTTGGAAGCATTGTTTCCCTTTCCTAGTGAGCTTAGTCCGAGGATGGTGCTTGTCAAGGGTTGTGGTGATGAACTGGATTAAGAGATGCTTGATAGAATGGTAGAGGCTGGAAACGATGACTTGGATTGGATTTTCAATGAATTTCAGCTTGGATTTTTGGATGCTTGATATTTACAGAATGAGCTCCACTATTTCACTTGACCTTCCTCATTCAATCGTGCAAGGTATATGACTTCCTACCTACCTCCCTAGTTATCTAGCTATTTCACAAATGATTATACCCCCGCCTGAGCTCCCCATGGGAAGAACTGCAATAGTGTTTGGAACAACTTTGGATCTCCTGCAACTGTCCGAGACTCAGCGTCAATCTCACCCTGAATAAGCTGCCGTAGCTCAGCCTTGGTAAGCTTCAATTGCAATACGACCTTCTCCAACGCGCCGGCCTTGTCAGATAACAATCTATAAGACAAAGCCCCGTTGCTCAGAATGAGCCTCCACGTCTCCTTTTCGTCTGTGACCTCGATATCAATCAACAACGATTCTTTGGCAGCCTGCGGCCCATCAATCTGAACAGAGAGCCCAGAGAACCACTGTACCAGGGTGAGGAGTGGACTCAATGACGGTGTGACTACGGCGGACGGTGGATTCTCAGAGTACGTTTTCTGCAAATCCTGAGCTCCAGTAAGGTAAAAGTTCCTCCAAGTCCCATTCAAACAACCATATCCAAGCTTCGTAAAGACGGAAGCAAGTAGCTTGCGTGCTTCGACGTGTTTAGGGCCCGCAGCAATGACATGCCCTAGCAGTGTAGCAGCGAAGCGTAAATCACCCTTGGAACTAAAATCCTCCGCCAAGCTCACTGTCTGGTCAGTGCCACCCATACAAGAAACATATCGGATACCTTCTTCCACGGGGGGAGGTTTCCAGAGATTGACGGGGTTGCTGTCGAACCAAGTCATGTATCGTTGGTAGATGCCTTTGACGTTGTGATTCAGAGAGCCGTAGTAGCCCTGTAAATTGCCAGGCATTATCGAGAGTCGGAGGTAGTTTGAGAATCCCGGCAATCTCAACACCTGTCAGACCTTTTTTCATTAGACGGACTGTCTGGTCATGCATGAAGGAGTACCATATCTCGCTGTTCGGAGATCATGCGATTGATTTCCTCCTGACCCCAAGTTGGCCAGTGGTGTCCGGCGAACAGGACAGCAGATTTGTCGCCGAAAAGAGCGATACTCTCGTCCAGATATCGCGACCAGGCTTTAGCATCGCGAACAAGTGCACCGCGCAGAGTAATTATATTGTGCATATTATGCGTACCGCACTCGGCGATATACAGGGCCTGCGTATCCGGGAAATAGAGGTTGAATTCAGAAGGCGCCTCTGCCCCAGGAACTATTTGGAAAACGATGCGGGCTCCATCGATGTTCATTTCCTCGCCGGTGGTCGAGACTGAGACGTTGGGGGGGAATCAGAGAGGTGGTGCCTTGCGATGTTGCTAGTCCCATTCCGCAGCCAACCTGACCCTCTGCGCTCTTTGGTAGAGTTGCGCCATACATGTACCTAGCGCGGCGGCACATCGCAGGTCCAACATGGATGTTTTCGCTGGTGGCTTCTTCCATGAACCCTTCTGGAGCGACTATGGGAATGGTAGCTTCCTGGCCCGAGGGTAGGACACCGGTGGCACCGCCAAAGTGGTCGATGTGGGAGTGGGAGTAGATCAGCCCGGTGAGTGGTCGATCGCCGCGGTACTTCCTGTACAGGGACATGGCAGCAGCAGCGCACTCGTTGGAAACCAAGGGGTCAATGACGATGACGCCCTTGGTTCCCTCCACAAGTGTCATGTTTGAGAGGTCGAAGCCACGCACTTGGTGAACAAGCCATGCTGGTAGGTGAGCTGACCCCGTTGCCACAGCTTTGGATCCACAGTCTCTGGACAGTCGCTCTCTAGAAATGCATACCCTTCTGCATCCCAGGCTATCCCACCGGCCGCAGTTTTGAAGGTGCATGGCTCAACTGTGCCCAGGAAGCCGCGCTTACGCGTTATCGAAATCAGACATTGTAGAGAGGAAATCAGGTTTTTCTTCACAGGAGAGCTGGAGGCGTCAAGTCATGCAGCTTAAGTAGCACAGGAAGATTGTGGGTCTACTAACAATAGCGTCAATGCGCTGCATTGTGACAACTTCGGCATCATCTCGGTGCTTGTACCGGATATGCCGAAGTAGACCTGCCACCCCCGCATCCTAACCCCAGGTTTTATAAAGTCGAGTCCCAGGGTGGAGTTAGGTATCTTTGCAGTTAATCGGAGTGATTCAGAATGGAGCAACTGGAGGCCAAAGGAGGCTTGGAGCGGGTTGAGATGGCCGATCGCTCGGCGGGCTCAACGACTGTGGACTTTGGCTTCACGCAAAGCGAACAGCGGAAGATTGTGCACAAGATTGACAGGCGGCTGTTCACTGGGCTGGGACTGCTATTTGGAATCAGTTTGGTTGACCGGACTAATTTAGGGAATGCGTCGATTGCAGGGTACGTGAAGTGCGAAGAGGTATAGAAGTGAACTGACAAATTCCAGCATGCAGAAGGATCTTCTAGGGATTGGGTCACGCTATGTTCGTTATCCGTGGTCACTCATTCTAACAGACTATTGACGTTGTAGTCACTGATTGTCCTGATTTTCTTCGTCCCCTATGTTCTGTTTCAGCTACCGAGCTCGATCATCGTCCGCAAGCTGGGCCCTAAAGCTTTCCTTGGAGGCATCACATTTCTATGGGGTGTTGTGATGATGGTGAGACCTTGGAGCATCTTCCACTTGTGTTAAACTTACATCAGGTCAGTGTTTTGGATCCGTCCACGACTGGAAGGTGATGCTGGGATTGCGCGTCATTCTAGGAACCTTTGAAGCGGGTCTCTTCCCAGGTGCAATTTATCTGCTTTCGCTGCGGTATACTCGATGTATATCGATCGGTCATTACTCCATACCCACGTACTAACTTGCGCAACTGATCAGACGATGTCCACAAACGCTACTCCTCCTTCTACTTGATAAGTATAGTCGGCTCATGCTTCACAGGCATTCTCGCCTATGGCATCTCACATATGGACGGAGTGGCTGGAATACAAGCCTGGTGATGGAATTTCATCATTGTCTTCTCACCTGTGTCATCGCTGTCACCGGATATATACTTCTCGTAGACTTTCCACAAGAAGCACGCAAAGCACGACATTTCCTGTCGCGGCAAGAAATCGACTTTGTGATTCACAAAATCAACCAAGATCGCCAGGGTGCTAGAGAAGAACCTTTTACATGGTCTGCATTCCTCACGCCAGCGCTGGAGTGGAAAGTTTGGGGTTTCGCAATGATTTTCCTGTAGGTTGGCCTACATCTCTGGGGAAAGTATCAAGACGCTAATATGAATAACAGGTGTAGCACCGTCGTCGCCTACTCCATGGCCTATTTCTTGCCGATCATTTTATCCAGTAAGATGGGCTTTAACGCCGGGCCATCGCAGGCTTTAACCACACCGCCATACTTCTTCGCAGCAACCATAATGTATACTGAAGGCTGGTTGGGGGACAGGTGGCGGATTCGCAGTCCAATCATCGTCTATAACGCCCTCCAAGCAGTCCTCGGTCTGTGTCTACTAGATTGGGCTGCCTCACCGGGGGTACAATACTTCGGCGTCTTCCTTGTCTGTGCCGGCTGCAATTCCACAATCCCCGCCGTCCTATCATGGCAGGCGAACAACATTCGAGGACAATGGAAACGAGCCTTTTGCAGCGCCAGTCTAATCACCTCAGGCGGCATGGGCGGTATCATCGGAGCGTCGATGTTCCGATCTCAGGATACACCGAAGTATTTGCCCGGCATCATTGCGTCAATTTTGTGAGTCATGATCCACACCCAGGAACCGAGCTAGAAAAACAAAATCCTAATGGGACATCGGCCAAATGCAATGGTGTGATTCTGATAGTTACCGGGCTTCTCACTGTATATATGCACGCCGCTAATCGAAAAGCCAGACAGGGTCGGTTGGAAATCAAAGGGTTGCCGGGGTTCTACTATACGTTGTAAAGGGGATCCACCAATGATCTACCGAGGTGAATAATTCTGGTTAACACCTTTTGCAAATCTTGAACCGAATCCTACCTCGTAGTACAAATCCAGTTTCAGGCACCAAACAGTAAAATCTAGAAAGATCGAGTGGCCGAGTGGCCAAGTGGCCCACGCGCTTACAGTCGGCCTGCCAAGTTTGGTGGCACAAAAGGCCGGCCCGATTTCCAGTTTCGATGTCGCCATCGGGGCCCACCGACTGAGAACGTCCACCCTAAGGTCCACAGTGAGATCTACGAAAGAAAAAAAAATAGAAAAAAAAAAAAGAGTGAAAAATTTTCTTGGTTTGAATCATTGAAGACAGCCGACGGCATGTTTTTCATTAAGCCCGAAGCTAGAAAGTAGTAGCCATGGCGCGGAGGGGGAATCTGAAAGACTAGGGACTAGATACAAAAGGGAATTGTGGGTAGTGAGGAAAATAAAGAAGAGAACATGGGACACCGAAAAACGATGCAAGATGCTGAACATTCAGTATCTATAGGACGCGATTGGAATGCTTAGTCCCATAAGGAAGAGGATCAAAGTCACTCGGATTCCAAAACCTGGCGTGATGCGCAGGTAAAACGCCAACCCATGATGATTGTAGAGTTTTCACAAGAAATGGTCCCCAACGCAGGGGTATCGAAGTTGAAGTCGATGCATAGTCGCGAGGACAGGGGTATCGGGCGACGAAATAGAAAGGAAAAAAAAGACTGCGTCTCAAGACGACATCGTCCCTTTTGTCTGTGACGAGCCCGCGATTAAACAAGGTAGCGAAATTTGTGAATGGTGCAAGAGATGAGTGAAAGCAAGAACTTTTTTGGGGTGGTGGTTCGTAAATGTCGTGATTATCGTAATGGTGATGCACTTAAGCGGCACCCTTGATCTTGCCCCAACCCTTCTCGAGACCCCGGCGGGCCATGTCGCGAGCACGATCAGCAACGGAACCGGTGCTGCTGTTGGTGGCGGTACTGGCGGCTGAGTACTTGCGGCTCAAGCTGGAGCTGGAATCGTCGCGGTACATCATATTGCCGGCGCCACCGCGGCCGACGTGGTAGACTGGGGCGGCACGGCGAAGATCGCGCTCGAGTTCTTCGTCGAAGCTAAAGATGGCGCGCTCGCTGGAGTTGTGGACGTTGCCGGCACCGCCACGGCCGGAGGTGAAAGTCGACGGCGCGCGTGAGTCGAGACGAGTGAGCGACGCAGGGCCGGTGGCCGTGCGAGAGTCGGTGGTCTTGGTGTTCTTCAGGCTGATGACATTGCCCTGGCCTCCGCGACCTGTGTACACCGCCGGGCGGGTGGTGTGAGGCACGGAGGGGTGAGGCTCAACAACGCGATAATTTGAAGCAGGCATGATGTAGATGTGTATAGTAGCTGCAAGGCAAGCTATAATGAGGATAAGTCCATGTGCAATGTGAGGTGTGAGGCGTAGAAGATTTTGCAAATTGCAGATATGACCCAAACAATTACAGCGGGGACCGTGTTATATAGTCGGATGGGACTATGGAGTCATTTCTCGCAATTTTCACCTTGTCACCGTGGCCAGGCACGACATCCACGGGTCACACGGTGCATAGAAGAGTGGGTCGTTGGACCACTGTGGGGAATTTTTCTCTTTTTTTTTTTTGGTCTCTCTCCTATTCTGTAACTTGGGGCGTCATAGGGGATAAAACGGCAAGGAGGGGATTCCCTTTTTGGAGAGTGGCACTAAGCGTGGGTGCTCCTGGGTGCTCCAGCAACAGCCCTGTGACTACATCTCGGAGTGCCATTGGCCTACATAGTTAGAACACCCCACTGAATCCACTCATTCAACCGTCGCCGCTTTACCAGAGCCGTCGCTGACCGCAGTCATCTGACTGGGTCCTCCCTTTTCATAACCCAATAAACCGGCTTCCCACGTAACAGAAACTGCAGTGGGCGCCAATGACCGCCCTCGGCGTCTGAAAACTGGAATGGACGGTTTCCATTACCCCCAGGAAACTCCTAGAAAAAACCTCATGGTCCACAATGGGATGTCTAGACCGGTAGCACCAGCGCACAAATGGGTACGCGTTCACCGCATCCATTCTCCTTGACACCTCGTGGCTCGGCTGAGCCCTCTCTGTCGCCATCCGCCTTCCCACGGGAGATCCCCGTGTGACCAGGACTGGTTCACGATGTATTGCATCATTCGAGGACCGTCTTGCTATTTTGGGCTCTATACCGTAGAAATTCCTCATGAGTCAACCATCCCCTGGTAAAGCGCTATTCAGCTTGACGCGTGAGCAGCTCACGCCATCAAGGTAGACACCGGCACTGCAACCCCCGATACCACATTCGCGACACCAAGGTAGCAATTAACCCCAAAGGTAATAATACAGATGCATTCCATACAATAGTCACTCTGTACAGATCGTGCACATTTCAAGGACTAGCCGATCGCAGTGCGATGACTCCACTGCGATGGATCATTGCGGGAAAATTCTTCCCCCTGTGTCCCCGTCGATCCGGGCTAGGGCGACTCCTAGTGTCGGTTCGCGCGGTCCCTGGGGCGATCACCTAAAACAATTCACGCACTCCCAGAGGCAGAAGCTTGAAACTGTTTCCGGTAGCATGCCGAAACGCCTATTGTTCAGGCTCCGTTGTCAATGCGATGATACGGTCGTCGGTAGTACGAATACGGACTCTTCGTCTGTCCCGGCAAACCCCTGGTCTCAGCCCTGGAATCTAAAATCATAGTTTTTTCCTTTTTTCTTTTTTTTCCCCAGACTCAGAAGAAAAGACTAAGAGCAGGCCCAACAAGGCAGGGCATGACGAGACTAAGCCAAAACGGCAATCGTGCAAATTTTCCGGATCAGCTGCGCTGACTGGTCAAGCGATCCGACCACGGCGCCGATGGCCAACCACAGCTTGTACTGTAGTCTGTGCGAGGACAATTTCCCCAGATTTTCAGAAGTTTCAGATTTCCCCAGACTCCCAACAGAAATACGTTCTGCGTCTGCCCTTGCTTCTGCTCTGGTGGCTGAGATATCCCGCCATGCTACCAGATCACACTGTGCGCTGTCTAGTGCCTGATCAGACCCCGTGATACTGCCCGAGCGTATGTTTCTCCGCATTTAATTCAAAGGTAGGATTCAACGTGCCTCGGGATCTTCTTGCCCAGGAATTACTTCCGCATCACCTGATAGATTATGCTGTTCATGTTTGCTTGTATAATAGGTTGGATGGACCCTACCCCTACTTCTCAATTAGTCAAGAGCTTCTAACCAATCCCCCGTTCTCGTATCCCCTAACTCAATCCTTCGTTCTCGTTGCGGGATTAAACGAATCCATAAACGCAAACGGCACATCTATCCCCCCACGTCGCACACACCTCGGCGTACCGGCTATGAGAATCCCCATTTCTCCCTTTAAACCCTCATGCATCCAGGTGGAGACAGCAGGAACCGGGCAATTGTTGTCTCCCACATTATTATCTAATGGTGAAGCATGATGACACATGATTATCGTCCAGGGCTGGTCGAGACCACCGGGGAGCCCGGGAGACCGGTTACCGATGACCGGTGCTGCCGGGGAAAGGTGTTTCGATGACGCAAGGTACTTGGTACCTTCCATGCGCGGTGTGATGCAGTTGTCATCTGCGAATGTAGTTGCGAAATCGATTGCGCAATTTGGGTGTGTGTTTTGAGACTTTACGTGTAGAACATTTAGTGTGCTTTGTCCCCGTTCTGTGCTTTGCGTGAAATTCTAAGACTCGTGATTGGATTACTCTCTTTTTCCGCGGAAAGGGGAGGGGGGGAGGGGGGCTAAGCCTTTGGATTTCCAACTTGCCCGATTCTGTGTCGGGGTTTGGTGTTATGGATACTTGGAATTCAGTCTGGTGTCCTTTGGAGGGTCTTGATTTAATTCTGGTAGACTACTTGTCTTGTCTAGAAGGTAGGACTGAGTTGAGGTGCTACAGTACTGAGTGCTGGATACGCCCATTGACAATAGCTGAATCAAAAGTAAACTATGCAGCCATGAATATACACCCAGATAGTCGCAGCTACTCCTGCCCAGGCCGTTTGACCTGAGCTGAGGCAGTCAGGTGTTGTATTATGTTCTATGTTTGCGTTGTCTCATGTACTTATTCAAGAACCCAAAAGCTTCAATTTCATTATTTTCCGTCAGTTCAATTGGCATTGACTTGAAGTCTATGTCCTCAGAAGGGAAATACTCACATCAACATGGCCATTCTCAGTGATTCTTTGAAGCGCCTTGCCTTGAGACTGAGGACCATGATGCTCTCCATGGCCTTTGAGTAATTTTTTTCTGTCATTTTTTGCCTGCATGCCTATCCCACGCAGCATATTTCATAGCGGGTTTCCCTATTTAGATTCCATTACATACAAGTTTCAAACTCCGTCAGACTACAAAAGGACAATATTCTCATACCCATTAGCCTTAGTGATCATGAATTCAGAATGCTGTTTCACCGCTGACATGAGCAAGTCGCACTTAGGATGTCCGCAGTCTAGAATCGTGTGCGTAATCATCTTCTTCTCGTCTTGTATTTGGAGTTCACAGGCTTTGAGCTCCTTTTTGATGGATCAGTGCAATTCTTTGGAATTAGAAGGAGACGATGGTAGTATTGTTTCTAGGACTGTGACGAGAGGAGCAGCTCCTGCTGCTTTTAATTTCAGTGGTCCGGTAAAGTGAGGAGCGATTGGCTCAAAGAATACGTGTATAATTAGAAGCAAGCTCATTCTTTCGCAGAGGGTTGTCATCAGGACTTGAATACTGGTTTCTTCAATCTGAGGTACTTTATACGAGTTTGAATTTCCCGTCAAGCTGTCAATCTTCTTCTCGTACTCTTTCCAGTCAACAAATGATCCGTGATTGTTGCGGCTAACATGAGGCTGAACGGGCCGAGTGTCAGCTCCCGCAGTGGATCGATCTCCTCGACCACTTCGAGGGATCACGTGGACATTACAGACGGGTACATCTTCTTCTCAAAGATTAAGCCTCGATACCTGATAGCTGGGGATGTCTTGCTCATCGAATTGCTTAGCATCTTGAATGGTTCGCTGGATTTTGCCGGGCCCGCTTCTTTGCGATATGCATCTGTCTGAGAGGCTGGACACCTGCCATTTTTGGAAATTGTACGCTACAAGACTTGAGCTACAAGCCATATATACTATGCAGGGTACCACTATAATATACACAAGCCAATATCAGGAACTGTGCCATTTGGATTGTCCAAAGAAAAGGATCAGGCACCTCGGATGGTGCCGAATCGAGGCCGAGCCTGATAAGCCTCGATTTTGCCAGGAGTCACCGCCAAATGCTCCTCGCCATCAAAGCTGCTCAACGTTTCGCGGCCCTCTATCTAGCACTGTCCTCTGCACTGTTCGCCTCGCCACCTATCGCAACAACCTTGTACGAGCTCGCGGTATCCAAAGAAGCTTTCCGCTCCTCGAAATTAGCTCAGACCCAGGTCGAGCCATTCCCATTCCCAACGGGAATTTTTGTCTCGCGCGCGACTGCAGCCAAGTGCTTGCAGAACAAGCCGACAAAATGCCGAAATATATGTATCCCTGGTTCCCGTGTGACTGAACTGTTAAGCTGACTATCTTTGCACTCTTCTGTAGGTGCAGCTAGTTTGACTTCCACCCCCATGCGATCTTCCATCAGATCGATCTCGTCCCGAACCCGGCGAGACAATAGACCCTCACACATCTACCATTTCCGCAATGTGAAGGCCAAGTGCTGATATTTCGCTCGATTATTAGGCGACTACTGTGATGTCTACCTCACACACGACTCGATGAGCGTGCGCAAGGCGCATAACTCAGGCCGCAACCACCTCCGCAACGTGGTGGAGTACTACCAGCGTGAGTTCGGCATTCGGTGTATCCGGATGTTCAATCGAACAAAAACTAACATTGCTTATCAGAGATCGGCCAAGAGAAGGCTCAATCAGTCATCGATTCCATCACTTCTTCCTACGCCGCTGAGGGCCAGCCTTTGCCAAATCCCGCCATGGTCCCTGGTGCATTCCCTCCTCCTTTCGGCTTCCCTGGTACGTCCCTGTTCACAGCCTTAGATCAAAGTACCAAAAATCTAACCACAAAATGAAAGGTCTTCCTGGCCAAGGTCCGCCACCTCCTTTCGGCCTTGCAGGCCTCCCACCTCCTGGAGCTCCAGGCGCCCCAGGAATGCTGCCTCGTAAGTCAACCCGCAGTTTACCATACAGACCAGAAAACCACGGCCAACAGCCTGCTGACAATTTCCTATTCTATCAACCAGCTCCTGGTGGTCTCCCATTCCCGCCTCCCTTCCCAGGCGCTGGCGCCACCGGCACTCCTCCCACAGGAGGCTTCCCTCCCCCCTCCCAACATGCCCGGCGGTCTGCCCCCGCCCCCCGGTGGGTTCCCTGCGAACTTCCCGATCCCTCCCCCCGGTATGGGAGGGGCTTTCCCTCCTCCGATGCCTGCTCATGGCGGTGCTTCGAATTCGCCCATCCCCACCGGGCCCCGTGGCTCAGAGGGGTATCCCCCGCCTCCTGGTCGGGGAGACCGATGGTGATCTTCCAGTGGGTCCGATCTTATGCTCTCAACTTTATTTTCACGGTCCCCTGTTTCAACGTCTTCTCATATTGGATGAACCTCTCATCCTACTCATGCTCATGTTGACTCCTCTGATGCTCTGACGTCTTCGAACGAAGAACTGTCTTGTAATGGGGCAAAAGAGCCTCTCTCGCGGCGTTAAAAAGGTGTACAATAGCGTTTTTCCTTTTTTCCACAAGAAACATTCATAAACAGGTTCCCGTATCGCAGACCTGGACTTTCTCGACTCTGCAAAACTCGCAAGAGAAAGCTTTAGCCGAGAACTCATGGTCTTTGACAAATCAAACATTTGGATCAATTCACATCCAAGCATCTATTGTTATTCCAAAACCCATCTAGAATGAAAGGGCAGAAAAAGGTCTCATTTAAACACTAGGACTACTTTGCGCGTACTATTAGCGTGCAAAGAAACGCGCGAACCCATGTAAGACACATTGGAGCAAAGAAAAGGAAGCTGTGTATTCCAAAGCCCCACGAAAAACCCAGGCCGATCTCCGTAATCCAAATGCATCAGAAACGCCAGGTTGTAGAGGGAAAATGAAAAAAAAGGTACACGTCGACCGCGAGTAAATCTCCTACCAGGGGAAGGAAAGTTTTGAGACAGAAGGAGAAAGCCAAGAGAGGTTGTAGGGAAAACATAGGGTGAAGACACTCCCGTAGGAGGGTAAAGACGTCCGGAGGCGTACGAAGAGAAGAGGGAGGAAAAGTCGACGTAAGGGGACACAAGATTCAACAACCAAAACAATAAGATACCGGACCCAAAAGGATGGCGGATGGAAAGGGATCATAGACCATCGCTGCCCGCTAAAAATCATATATCTTCATCTCAGAAAATTCAGGAAAATGATTCAAGAATTATTGGGCTGCACCTAGTGGTCGTAGCCGGCTCCCCGTTGCCATGGACTGGCATTGTTTTGAGCTCTGAATGTGGGGGCCATGGCTGACACGCCGACCGGCGCATCGCCATAGTTGCCCGGCCGGGGTGACGCTGACCGGCCGAACTGGTCGTATCCAGGCGGAGAACCCCGTTGGGGAGATCCATTGCTGGGGAAGAGTGGTACCGATGGATCCACAGGAGAGTGAGGCGGCTGGCCATGGGCATTGTTGGTAACGTTCAAGTTGTTGTTGTGGTGGCCAAAGCTGGCACCGTTGCCGCTCGAAATGGAGGCAGAGTCGTCGTCGAAGGGGTTCGATTGGTAATGTCCGGCCTTGACGTCGCCGCGGGCAGTTGCGCCCAAAGCATCCAACTCGGTGGTGAGCTGAGTCTGGGATTTGATGAACGAGCCACGATCATCACGCATGGGCTGGTAACGGGTATCGGGGTCCTTCGACACAACGGCATATACGGACGCAATCAGGACCAGAACGAGCAGGACGAGAGCGAAGGCTGCGTTATACACGAAGAAGACGACACCCATGACACCGATCATCATGCCGGGAGGGTTGAAGATGTCTGAGAAGACCAGGAGGAAGATAGCGTTGAGGAAGTTGACAGAGGCAATGGAGATGTTGTAAATGTTGGTCTTCTTGTCCATCCATGGACGCAGAACGCAGGCGGCAATCAGCATGGCTGCCTCCAAGATGACCAGGGCGACAGTCTGGACAACCGGAGCAGGCTGGCTGAGACCGATGAACATAGACTTGACGAGAATGTAGCCCAGGTAGGGAACAACGAAGTAGTATGCGGTGGCCCGGTACTGCACATAGAGGAAGCCCCACTTGTTGAGAGCCGAGGGATCGGAGTACAGGATATAGGCCGGGTTTTTGTGCATAGTTGTCGAGCGCTTAGCGAGGCGAATGACCTTTTGGGCAGCCCAACCCAATGCAATGAGCAAGGATAGAAGCATAACTACAGCCAAAACAACTTCGGCTGCTGAGTCTCGCTGGGTGAACTCCCAGAGGCAGAGTACACACATCTGAGGGAACCCGATCAAAGTTAAGCGGAATAGAATTCCGCGGGTGACAACTTTCCAGCCGTGACGGAAGTCCTGGAATTTGTCACTCTTCATCTTGCCGTGCTTGGCTAGCAACTCGCAAATTCCCTTGAAAGAGGCGACAATGATGATGACGACACAGACAAAGACCACGAAGAAGATGAGACCGGTCAAAAAGATGTTAGTCTCCTCAATATTAGCGCGGAAACCAACACGATCAATACCGCGTACGATCAAGAGCTTCTGGCTGGAGTTGGATCGCTTCGTAATGAAGCTCAGTGCTCGCGAGTCAAGCGCGCGCTTCATCATGTTGATCGCGGGATCAACGAGGTCACGCTTGCGGCGGCGCAACACCTCCACAGAGGTATCGCCGAGCTGAGAGAGAACGGTTGAAGGCGTACCTCCAGTCGCACGCTGATACCAGGTACAGATGGTCTGCAAAAATCCAATGTGAATGATGCCCATACTCCACTGGAAATTCTGGGTCCACGACTCCACAATTGGAGGCATATGAACTGAAGTCATACCAATCATGGCCTGAGACTGCATGAAACCGAACAGGGAGAGCGCGTTCGCCGCAACGTGAGCAGCAGTGTTAGAGTGGCCCAGACCAGAGGTAATAGCGGATGCTGCGAGACCAAGACCGGAAATGATAGCGGTTGTCCACGCGACACCCAGTTGGTAGACGGTCTTATTGTTAGAAAGATTGGCTTCCACACATGCAATCGTCTCGAGCGTATCCTTCTTCTTGATCACAATCTTGACAGTCGCATCGAGATCGGGAACCGTATAGGCGATACCAGGAATATTAGCGGCCGTGTCCGAGGGGAGAGGAAGCGAAACGGGGCCCAGATCGATGGGACCGGGTGCCATGGGGCACATGCCCATGCCGGAGATATCGCACGGGTCGAGTGTGCTCGAGTAGGCTTGATAGCCGTAAGCAGTTAGGGTCATGTCTGCGATGACCTTGCCGGAAATGTAAGATACACCATCGAAACCAATTGTGAGGGTGTTGTTATTAGGGTAGAAAACGACGTTAAAGTAGGTGGCCGTGAAATTACTAGACTCCATACACACGTTCAGCGCATTGGACTCCAGGAGCTTTATTGCCGACACCATCGGCGCCAAAAAGGCGACGAAGAAGGTAAGCAGCGCTAACGACCTCATTCTGGCGATATGCGAATCAGGTCGGTTGGAGAGGAAAATCTCTAGTCAAGCGGATAGATGATGGAGGGAAAGAGTATGACGGCGATTGTTAGAGCGGTACTCCCGAATACCACGTTAGCAACCGCCGGATGCGGAAGAGTCCTAGAGGCCGAGTTGGTGAATAGAGTGGAACTATTCGAATTCCACAGGTCGCGCGAGATGTGACAATAGATGCTACCTTTCGAAGGCGAGCAATATCGAGAATGCGATGAATGGGTCGGTTTATTGACGGCCCTTTACAGCTTCATCGGGTCCCCGAGTTGAACAAGGGGTTTGATATAGTAGCTGTTGAGTGAAAGGAGAGTAGGTGGACGAGAATCCGAATGGCGACGAAGCAAATTGCTACCAGAGTAGAAGCTAGGGCGTAAGAAGCGAAAGTGAAGGTTCAGGCAAAGGCGAATAGAAGTCGTGAAAGATGAACGAGTTGGGGGGGAAAGGAGAGAGATCGTAGTTGGGAAGAGCGAGCGAAACGGCAACACACACAGTATGGGCCAAGGAGTACCGAAGTACAAGATTGAGAAGATTGTGAAAAAAGATCCCTTGAGCAGGGTTGTACAGAGAAGAAGGGGTTCAAAGATGGGGGGAGAATTGTAGCGTTTTGCCTCTCTTGTCTCAGGGACGGGCGGGTCCAGGTGGAATGTGGATTGGTATTGTATCTGTATGGTAATCTGGCCGTCCAGGGACCCTAGCGGGGATGCCCAGGCCCAATAGTTGAACATTACGAGCGTTTCCAGCCCGTTTCCCTGACCACGGGTCCCTTGGTCCCCTTTCCAGGTCTACTAAGCCTGAAGAGGGGAATTCTATATTCAGGCACCGGTGCACAATTGGAGGTGTGCTCATTATTGTCGTTCTTCATTCCTTGCCCATTATTTGCCCTGGTTTTCCTAGGTGCCTGTCTATCTAACCCTCGGGGGTTTGTTTACTTGAAGGGAGCTGGTCCATAGAATTAGAGTACGATGCACGCGCGGCCTCGAGAGTGGTTCTGGGGCCCGAAAGCGGTTGATGGATCGTGGGCGGATTCTAGCGGGTCCTCAATGGACTGTGTACAGACCATCTTAGGTCATCTAAACCCAAGGGGAACTGTGGAGCGCGTCAAATCATCTGCAGATGGTTGGTGTCTTTCTTGCCCTTGGTGGATCTCTGCTGCATATCGTTACCCTCAGAGCCCTTTGTACCGTTCCCGGGGGTCTTTGCATGGGTCCTCTACCTACAGCAGAGGACTTGGCCTCAGGTACGAATCTCGTCTGCCTGATGGCACTGATGAGGCCAATTCCTTGGACCCCCTGAATGGAGCAAGGGGGTACACAAAAAACAGACTTCGACTCATGCATTCCATCGTAACAAATCTACATGTCTGAACAATCAAAACCTCTGTTTAAGTCTGCGTGGGTACAAGCCGGGTGATAAAACCACCATTGAGACCAGCCTGTCCCAAGATCAGCCAAATCAGATTCACGATTCAAATTAATTCGATAATCAACCCTGGGTGATCTACGAGCGGTCGCAATCAGAGTATTGGGGCTTCGGCGCCTGCACAGCCCCGGGAACGCGGGTACCCTTTGCCTCCCCTCCCATCATTCTGCAAACGTAGACATCATCTACAGTACACATGTTCGGTGCCAGACTTCGGGCGCTAAGCGCTCACCTTGGAAGTCTCCACGTGTGCTCTAGAACAATGGGCATGCTGACCAGGTCCGATGACTTTGACCCGAGCAACCTCCTGATCAGCGGGGAATGTAGTAATCCAGCACTTGAAGATCGGCATATCTCATGGTTGTAAGCCGTCCAGTTCCAACTCTACAGCACGTCATTCCTCGAAGAACATGTGCGACCTGCAAAGCTGAAGCTGATGCTAATGCTAATGCGCGCCTCACGGGGCTGTCGCCGCTCCTCTGAGCCATGGGTCGATACTCACGGGCCTCCTAGTCGCCCACTATTTTTGGATCCGGGTTTCAAAGGGCGCCAATTGTGTGCTCCTCATGGCCCGTCGATTACCCTATTCCCCCCCCTCAACGTCCCTTCTGATTCGCTTTGGCTCTACTTGTCATGAAACTTTTGTCCTCCACTCGTCTTTGTAGTCGCTTTACAATATTCGTTGTGGGTGATTATAGCCGCGTATTTCATGCATCTTCCAAGGACAAATCATCTGAGGGGGGGTGGTCTGTCGCCCAGGTGGATTGCGATCGGGCTGACTACATGTCACAACTAGGCTCTCGTGGCAGCAATTGTTGTAACACTAATCTGACAAGTCGCTCTCGTAGGAAACACAGCCACCTACCGGGTGACAGCCAAGAGCCATTGCTTGAGCCGAGCGCTTGGCGTGAGACACGCTACAACTGCGCCGTCCGACGCTATCGCGTAGTGAATTAGATACCCGCTTCTGGAGCTGGCCAAGGGCGCGGCGTCAGGCGCATCTGCCTAGCGTATTCGTATAGGCTCAGGCATTTCTGCACCTGGACTTGTACACGGCTTTTATCCTCATCTCAAAGTAGTATATTCCTTGGCGCCGTCGGTTCACGGAGAAGTGGGGCGGTACAATTTATCTCAAACGAAGTTGGCGGCACGATGGTTGATGCTTCATGAACGCGTCCGGCCGTATGATGCTGGAAATGCTCCATGGGGAGTCTCAATTAGGCCCAATCCATCCAAGGTTGATGCCCAAATAGCAAGGCACCAAGATGTCCTATCAACACGTGATGCGGAGATTCTGCCTAATCTTACCGACTAGAAAAAAAAAGTAGCAGAATGGTTTTCCGCGATAGTCTCCTCGAAGATCAAAACATACCAGTCCACCCAGACTAATCAATCCGTTTTTTCGGAACTCTTTTTGAATTCTTGTCTGCTCCGCACAGACTTTAGTGCGCTTATCTGGCAAGATGGCCGGCCCTGTGGACACCGCGAAGGACATCACGAAGAAGCGCAAGAGAAAGCACGGTTCCAAGTCCGCCGATAATGAAGAAGCCCCCAAGCCTGTGAAGGCCCAGGCTAGCCCCGAGGTGGCCTCGAAAAAGGCCGCTGCGCCCTCCAAGCCCGCATCGGACAAGTCGACGAAGAAGCGCAAAGTGAGCCATTCGCCCAGTGACGACGAGGAGAGCGCCAACGAGGTCGAAGAGGAGAACGAGGACAGCGAGGAGGATGATAACGAGGAAGTCGGGGATGCTATTGATGCTAAGGTGGAGGATGCTTCAGATCTGCCAGTCGTGGGCGATGTTCGCCTTCCCCAGATGGAGGGTGAGAAGCAAAAGTTCTCCGAGTTGAACCTCTCCGAGAAGACTATGAAGGGTATTCAAGATATGGGCTTTGAGACCATGACCGAAATTCAGCAGCGTACCATTCCCGCACTACTTGCTGGACGTGACGTCTTGGGTGCTGCGAAGACCGGTTCCGGCAAGACTTTGTCCTTCTTGATTCCTGCCATTGAGATGCTGAGCGCACTGCGTTTCAAGCCGAGAAACGGTACTGGTGTGCTCGTTGTCTCTCCGACCCGTGAATTGGCGCTGCAGATTTTCGGTGTTGCCCGCGAACTCATGGCCCACCACTCCCAAACTTACGGTATTGTTATTGGAGGTGCCAACCGCCGCGCCGAGGCCGACAAGCTGGCCAAGGGCGTCAATCTGTTGATCGCCACTCCCGGTCGTCTGCTTGATCATCTCCAGAATACCCAGGGCTTCGTCTTCAAGAACTTGAAGACTCTGATCATCGACGAGGCCGACCGTATTCTTGAAGTCGGTTTCGAAGACGAGATGCGCCAGATCGTGAAGATTCTACCCAAGGAGGAGCGTCAGACTATGCTTTTCTCTGCTACACAAACCACCAAGGTTGAGGATTTGGCCCGCATTTCCTGCGCCCTGGCCCGCTCTACATCAATGTCGACCACAGCAAGGAGCACAGCACAGTCGAGGGTCTGGAGCAAGGTTACGTTGTCTGTGAGGCCGACAAGCGTTTCTTGCTTTTGTTCTCTTTCCTCAAGCGCAACCTGAAGAAGAAGATTATTGTCTTCTTTTCCAGCTGTAACTGCGTCAAGTACCACGCAGAGCTCCTTAACTATATCGACCTCCCCGTTTTGGAATTGCACGGCAAGCAAAAGCAGCAAAAGCGCACCAACACCTTCTTCGAGTTCTGTAATGCCAGCCAGGGTACCCTGATTTGTACCGACGTTGCTGCCCGTGGCCTCGATATCCCGGCCGTCGACTGGATTATCCAGTTCGATCCCCCGGATGACCCCCGTGACTACATTCACCGCGTCGGTCGTACCGCCCGTGGTTCCAACGGCAAGGGCCGCAGTTTGATGTTCCTGCAGCCTTCAGAGGTCGGCTTCTTGAAGCACCTCAAGGAGGCCCGTGTCCCCGTGGTTGAGTTCGAGTTCCCCAACTCGAAGATTGTGAACGTCCAGTCTCAGCTGGAGAAGCTCATCGGACAAAATTACTATCTGAACAAGGTCAGTCTCTCCCCACACCACACCACCTGAATACCCTGCTAATATCCAGTTCTAGTCCGCGAAGGATGGATACCGATCATACCTGCAGGCTTATGCCTCCCACTCTCTCCGCTCCGTGTTCGACGTCAACAAGCTGGACCTTGTCAAGGTGGCCAAGGGCTTCGGATTCTCCGCCCCGCCGCGAATCGACATCCAGCTGGGTGCCAGCTTGAGCCGTGACAAGAAGCAGGAGCAGCAGGGACGGCGGACATACGGCAGTCAGCCCAGGAACGGCAAGGGACTGAAGTTCAAGCGCAAGCACGATGATTAGTGTATGAACGGAATGTGGCACAAAAAATACTGTAACCGGTCGTCTGCATCTTCATTATCGGCATGGAGTTTACTAGTGTAGATATATCTATTTCAATTTCAATGATTTGTTTCTAGATGGGGGTCCTCTGTGTAATTTACCCACAAATGCTTCAGATCACGGGTCTGGGCCCGGTGGTGGGGGGAGGGGTGGGAGAGTATCGGCTGGCCGCATTGCATGAATCGGAAGCGATGTACTGAGCTTTTCCCTATTGCAGATTGCGGAATGCGCTGGGAATGCTCCAAAGTTTGTGCCATGTGGGAAAGAAAAGGTTTCCACGTGGAGCTTCATGAAACGAGCCCTGGCAAGGCAGCCTTCGCATGAGGATGACAATGACAATGACAATGAAAATGCGGCTCTACCTGTCCGTTGCCCGCCATGCTGTCTACCGTTAATGGATGTGGCTTGGGCCTTTTCGCGCAGGGTCATTACGGCTGATTGGGCTCAGTCGATTGACACCTGTCAAATTTGAAGCTTCGCTAACTAGTGCAGTTTGCATCGATGAGCCACGAAAGTCCCGGTTCCAGCACTCGGCGATATACATTGTAACCTTCAGGTTCTATATATTGAGGTTCAGTCCAATCCACTAGAGACCACGCGTGCCCTGCCGAAGTTAGAATCGGAGGATGGGAAGAACAAAGACCTCCTTGAAGGCAAGCTTAGTGCGAGCGTATTTGTCTACCATTGACGGGCGCGAGAAATGAGCTCTAGCTGAGCATCTGTAGGCGCAGGCCGGACAGAAATCTTCCATGACATGCAGCAGGCCCTGGCCCATGGCGTGCATCGATGAATCGAAAATCTGAGTCCCCGATCAAACGTGAGTGATCCTTCGATGTGACTGTAGAACTGGAAAATGTGATGAAGATGATGAGTTGGCAGCTGCTGGGGCCAATCACTCGGGCTCCTGAGCAGGGTCGTCGGGTCGTCTGGGCGACCAGTCAAGTTGAACCGGTTCTGCGCCTCGGCCAACGGATGCACTGATGCACTGATGCACTGATGCACTGATGCACTGATGCACTGATTCCTGGATCCACGGAGGGCCGCAGCTGGTCCGTGTCCCTGTGTGACGAGGGGGGGCATTAGGTATTCATGGTATTCACAGGTGATGGGGAAGAAGAGAGAACATGGGAGTGGAAGAGAAGAGGTGTGAAGGATTAGATGACCAGCCTCCTCCAAACCAGAACCGGGGAAACCAAAAAGACGATCCGGGATCCGCAGGGCAAACCCACGGTTCCCGTTTGTTGATGTTCACCTTTAAAAAGATTCCAGCCATCTTCTTTTATTTTGGATTACGGGGGTTCCTGGGTTCTGGGTTTAATACCACTGCCTTTTCATCCCTCGCATAGACTTCTCTTCTCTTCCTTTCCCCCCTTCAACCTCATCCCCATCCACTTTTCTCCAATCGGGGGGGATCTGCGGAGGCTCGCCCGTAGCAACCAGCTCACTGTTCTTCACCGTTGCTTTCTCCCCTCCACCGTTAAGGTCTCTGCGCTGGTACGCTGAATCCTCCTAATATCATCTTCAACTCCATTTTGAGTTGCCTCCCATTCCTCCATTCCTCCGTTCCTCCATTCCTCCAATCCTCTCTCCCATCGATCTTTCCCAGCTTCTCCTCCTTCCTCCCCCACTATCCTAGTGTCAAACCCCGATAGCACGGAGCACAGTCACCACTTTTCCCCTCGTCTCCGGCAAAGCCAATCGTTCTCGATTACAGGAGTATGCGATTGTCGGATTGAGCCAGGCAGCCTGTCTCCACCATGGGTCTCGATACTCGCAGACCACTCCTTCCTGCCCCCACAGAATCCATCATCGATAGCCCAGGCGACAGCGCAACACCCACAGATCTGGCCACTGACCTTTCTCGCCGCACAGACAAAACGTCGTACTCGATCCCGGACGACGGCAGCCCTATCACTGTCGCCACCCGGCACCATCGGGATCGCGACGAAAAGGCAGCGCGATCACATCGCGATTCCCAGACTTCGCTTCTCATCGAGTACTTCGAGGGCGGGAAAGGCCCTGGCGGCGTGGTATCAAGACCTAGTGTGCGAGTCCGAGTGACACCCTCCGGTGCCAGGAGGAAGGACCGCGACCTGATCCAAATCACCGAGTCCGGCAGTAGTCGCAAGCCGGCTTACACCCGACGTATCTCCCTGGGCTCGCCATCCAAACATAAACAACTGACCGAGTCTGTGCTGGAGGATCAGAGCGCAAGTGACGACAACTCAGCTGAAGAGAGTCCGCAGTCATCACGGCGCCTACCCGTCGAAATAGAGTTGATGAATCGCGGCCAAGGCAGCGAGCTGTCAACAGTCTCGCGCGACACAAGATACATGCCTCCACCATCGGACATTTCGTCCATGCCAGCCGACAGCATGATCGATGCGCTATCGTCGGCCGGTCCTCGCCGAAAGCGAAGCCAAAGTCTCGAGCGTGGTTCGCCCCGCGAAGAGAAACAAAAAGGTCATTTGAAGGCTCCCACCCGCCAACGAAGTCGCAGTTTGAGTACCGAGCGCATCGCTCATCGTGTGGCAGAGAAACTCAACGAGTCACCCAAGGAGACCCATGGCAATAGACACAAAAGCAAAAGCCACACCAAAAGCGTCGGCAAAGATTATCTCGAAGCTGAGCCGAAGTCATCTCGACGACGGCGCCATGAAAAGGCTGAAGAGTACATCACCAGCCCGGAATCGAGTCTCTTGAGCTCAGCAGTCTCTTCAAATCGCAAGTCTGGTGATCAGTATTCTATCCGTTCTGGCGCCTCCAAATCTTCTATCAACAATCCCAAGTTATTGGAAACGGTAGAAGATGCCATCCGACGACTGATTCTGCCGGAATTGAAGGAGCTCAAGAAGGACCAAAAAGTCATGTCCAACACGTCGAAATTCGAACGGGACATGACCACCTCTTACTCGTCCGCCAGCTCTCGAGATGAACTGGGCCGTCGTCTTTCCAAGCACGCGAGTGCCCCGGATGTCATGAAGCCCATGGTTGTCTTGAACAAAGACAGCAAAGAAGAAGGTATCATTCTTTCTGGTGAGCCAGGACCACGGTCCAAGGAGCGCAAGTCAAGCAAAAGCAGTGAAACTTCCGACGCCGCCTGGGTCAAATGGGGTCGACCTGAGCTCAGCGAGCAAGACAAAATTCGCAGACAGAAGAGCAAAGGTCTTCGTGATGCGCAAGCTGCCGGCCGAGTAGGCTCGGCGCTGACCCAAGCAGCACTCAAGCACCATGACTCCAATTCCAGCCTGGACAAGATCGAACGCCACGAACGCAGAGCGAGTGGCTCCCGTAAGAGTGTTGACAGCTTCAAAAACAATGAAACGGAGCTCGCGTTCAAGAAACACAATATACCGCTCATGCCCATGCACAGTGCGATGGACTCGGAGATGACCAGAACCTCGTTACTTTCTGAGCGCACGGAGAGTCCTACCCCTCGCAACCAGGCCTTCCATGGAGAAGTCTCCCGCGGGTCGCCGAAACAGCTCGTCTCTCCCACCGCTCGTACCCCGACTCGAACCCCCTTGGACTCGCGATACGAGCTGGGCATGCGTCATGGAAATCAATCGCATCACAACCTCTCCATGCACAGCACCTCAGATCGTGACCTGCGTGGCAAGAGCCAGTCCCCAGGGGCAGGCTCTGGAGACTGGGCCATTGCCGCTGCTGCTGCGGCCAACCTGCTTGACGCAACTCAGCCGGCGCATCAAGCCTCGGACGTCGAACAGTACGGCCGGACCCTGAGCCCTATACAGAGCGTTGCAAGCGGACATACCGAGACACAAAGTGATCACTATGAAACTGAATACCACCACCCTGAAGGCAAGCGAGAACCGGAACCTCGTCTCTCAATTGACTCCCTGTCCTCAGCACCCAGCACTAATCTTGCACGGTCTACCCGCAATGGACCCAGCCCTAGCAGTCAGGACGAAGCTTTCCTAGGAGAGGGGGGTCCAGACCTCGGTTATGAACAATCACGCCGTGTTTCGGCCGAAGAAAACCTCTATGGTCACGACAAAGAGTCCAAGATTTCGGGCGATGGTGATGACAGTGATGTTGACTTTATGGACCGGATCAAGGAGGGTCAGCATGTCACTGGTGGTGGGGTGGCCGCCAACCCCCAAATTGTTCATCCTGTGGGCATTGAATCGGCAGTGGCCTCGTTGATGGATCCATCTGTTCTTGAGTCCCAGACTTCGAGCAACCGGTCCCAAATCGAAATCGCCGAGCGAGCCGTCACTCGCAGCCCCGAAAAGCGCGGAAGTCCCTTGAAGCAAGTTCAAGATGCTTCCAGCCACGATGAGACCTCCTTCCTCGTCGCATGGGGGTAACATCTCCCCGCAGAGTATCACACAATCTGTTGACGATCTGGAGGAAGCGGGTATGATCGCTGGCGCCGCTCGTGGGCTTCATAGCCCTCACGTCGACGACGATGCTCGCAGCCAGGAGTCGGAGTCGGAAATCAACACCAACCCGTCCATCATCCAGGGCCCGATTGGTGGTGTTCAAGGAAACCAGGATCACTGGGGTTATGACCCGAGATCACCGCCTGCCGAGATGCTGTATTATGACCAGTCTGGTGGCACAAAGGAAATGCCTCACAATGGACAGCGTGGTCTTGACGCCGAGTACCACGAAACTGCCAGGAACATCTTTGGTGGCGATGACTACTATCCCGATCAGCAGACTCAGCAGCTTTTCGGTATCCCTCCCGGGGCCAAGGATGAAGGGTATGTGTCTGCTGCTAACCCCATGTCCCCAAGTATCGGTACTCCCAAGCAAGGTAGCCGTGGTCTAGCTGGTGCGGATGCTGCTGGTGTAGGTGTTTTTGATAGCCCCGACGCCGATGATCCGTTCACCTCTGGACACCGCCGGGATCTCAGCGGCTACTCTCATGGCATTGGGTCTCCGCTCTACGACAGTGCCACTGGACGAGGCATCGAAAGTATCCAGTCCAAGGACATCGTCGCTCTGATGGATCATCTGACTGTGCGTGACGCTCAGCGAAATGCCAGAGATACTGAACTCTTGGTCACTTTAGTCCGAAGTGCAGCTGAGATGCGGACTTCCTTCGAAGCCATGAAGAAGTTCATTGCCCAACAGGACGAAATGCTCCTTGATACTACCGAAAAAGAACATGACCGGACTTTGAAGGCTCTCGGCGGCCCCCGACCATTGCCTAGCAGCTACTCTCGTGCCCATCAGCTGAACGCAGAGGATGAGGAACAACAGGCCAAGCGCAAGAATATTTTCAAGCGTGCACTCAAGGGTCTGAGCTTGAAGTCCGGCAATGATCTTACCAAGATCGAGAGCATGCTGGAGCAGTTACTTGAAGAGGTTGAGGCCCTGCGTGAAGGGCAGGACATTCCAAGCCTTCGTCCCGGCACTCGCCGTGCAAGCACTGATCCTACTGGCATCAACACCGATGACCATCGCGGTGCGCCTTTGGGTGGCCACTCTCCTTACCGGTCAAGCCCCCAGCCGCCCAACACGGATCCGCGCGTCAGCACTGTGCCCGAGGAGGATGAAGATGACGAGCACGATCTCGAGATCGACGAGGATGATCCTTATGTGACAGCACACCTGCCCATGCAAGAGCCTCTTCGCCACGAGCGCTCTGGGTCCCTGCCTCTTGCCACTCCTCCTCGCAAGCCGGTTGCCTCGGGAGCACGAAGCACCGATACCACACCGAAAGCTTCTGACAAAACTGAGAAGGCTCGCAAGCACAAATCGAGCAGCTCTTCTATCTTCCCTAAGATCTCCCGCTGGTCCAAGACTACCGCATCTTCCATGGGTGACAACATCCGCAACAGCATCCAGCCTGCTCGCAAGGAGCGTCCACACTCCGAAGTCTCGCGCTCTGGATCGGATGTCGCCCAGGACGTCTACCAGGGTGACTACTACGACCCTCAGGGCGATGATCGTATTCGGTCCACATACACTCTCGGCGAGGATGATCAAGAGAACCGGCCGCCGTCCCCATTGGTTCCTTCTCAAGTGTCGGAGAAGCCCAAGTTCGAGGCAAACCGACGCAGTCTCGACCTACAGCACCCTCAGCCTCGCCAAGGTCCCACTGGGCGCTTTCAGAACCACCTGGAATCGCAGGCGCAGAACTACATGGGCCCAGAGTCGCCTTCCTCAGACCACTGGGGCTCAAACCCTAGCCTGCCTGCCATCAACCCCAATCAGCAACGCTTCAGCGGTAATAGCCGCCTGTCTCCCATCTCCGATGCAGGCTACTCAGAGACCAGCTCCCGCCAAGCTGGCCCACCCCGGCCTCCCAAGGTTAAAGACGAGGGCCCATTGATCCCCGGGCGACCCCCAAAGGTCCCCGAGGAAGAAGAGCCGCCTTACAACGACCGGGTCGTTTCACGGGTACGTACTCCATCATCAACCGTGCCCGTTTCTCAAGCTAATATCCCAATCAAGAGCTCTGCCATCCGCTCCCCTCCAACGCGCAAGCCCACGGGCCCACGCCCCCTCACCTCCAGCGGTGCTTATAGCCCCAGCAACATCAAACGAACCCGCTACAGAGGCAGTCCGATGCAGATCGACTATGATGACGAATAATAAGTCCTACCGCATTGTGATACCCCAAACCCACGGGTTGTACTTGTGTCTAGCGTTTCGATTCGTTCTTCCTTTTTTGTTTTCGTTTTCCCTGCATTTTCTTGTGTCTTGACGAAGTGTGTGGCGTCCGCGCCCTTTTACGACAGTGATGATTATGCATTACACCGGATGTCTATCATCTATCTTCTATTATCCCTCCCATCTATGAGCAATGAGCGCAAAAATGATCTAGTTTTTCTTCTTTTCTATTCAAGAAAGATCTTTACTTCGCACAAGGGGGCTCACATCTTGTGCTTTCAGTGTTAATAGGCATTCGGGTGGGAGTGGCTGTTATGTGTGAATTATCTACTCAATCCTGGTTGCATCTTTTTTTTTTGCATGCTCGATATGATACCGATGGCTAAATGTAGATAGTGCACTGTAGTGACAATATTCGCTCCTCCCAAAGGCTTTCTCTCCAAAGCTTCCGAGTTATTTGTAGTGCCGACTAGAAAAACACTGCTTTTCCCTCTCCAACTCAATACATTGTGCTGGTAACTGTTCGATATCTTGGCCGGTTAGTCTATCTCGCTTTAAATCTGCGAGTTTAGTCTCCAGGCGACCAGAAGCACCACCCCGAGCTTAGTAGACTCCATTCGCTAGCACATGTCAAGTCAAGCTTGTAAGGAAAGTCCATTGTGAACACTCAGAGAAAATACAGAGTGTCCTTGGCCCTTTCCCTTCCGATCAAAGAGTGAGACATAGACTGTAAGTATACACCCAATACCAAACACCACCCAGCGTAGGATTTGAACACGGGAACTCCAGAAAGAATAAAAACGCAATACACGACATGAACCCGGAACATCATACTCTTAACCATCACTCCAACCAGCTAATAATCCGAGAAAGGTCGCACAGAAGTAGTTCCTCTCTCCCGAAAGTTCAATGCAGCCGTCGCAAGATTACTGTACTCCAATCCATCACTGACAGGGAACTTGCCAGGATAACTCTCTGTAGACCTCGACTTTGCCCGCTTGCTCATTCGCAGCATCAACAAGTTACTTGAATGATCCGTCTCTGTCGGGCACGAATGCACACTCGCCTCGCGCGCGCCATCAAACGATGCCACAGGTGATTTTTCGCGTGGGACTGGGATGACAGGCACAGTGATTGAAGCTGGTTCTGTCTGCTGATGAGTCTGGGTGACTTGTTGAGACTGGTGAATTTCGACGACAGAGATGCGTTGTTTGCTGGTGGTGTATTTTTTGACTGTGTCATGGACCGGGGAGTCTTTGACGTAGCGGTCTGGCGTCACGAGCACAGGGAGGTGGGAGTCATGGTGAACTATACCGGTTCGCTCGATGGAGTTCGCCGGGTAGCATCGTGATAGGGCTGGCAGGGCATTTCTGGCTTGGGAAAGTGATGTGGGATCGTAGACATATCGTGGAACAGATGGGGCACGGTGGGCCGAGTCCTCATGTATGTGGAGTCCGCTTGAGGCTGGCGGCGAGCGGTATAATGATGTAGGAACGATGCCGAGGATGATGTTCACGGTAAGTTTCTCTGCCTTTTCGATAGCGCGTCGTAGAGGTGGAAACTCCTGGCTTGAATTGGAGAATGGTTGGAGGATCCGGGAGAGGGTGTAGAGGAGTTGTAAGTATATCAGGGCTGTGATGAGGGCGAGACTTGTGCAAAGACCTATAGGAAGGTTGGCGTGGGAGTGAGAGCTTCGTCGGGAGGATATTGGTGGCATTGGAATGGTTTGGAACTGTATTGAGTGGTGCAGTGAATCAATGAATGTGTATGAGGGAAAAAGAAATGGGAGGAATCGAGTCATGGTGAAACTAGAAAAGAAAGGTCAACTTGGGAAGTTGGAAGGTGCAAATGGAAGGTGCAGTCGTTATAGAATTACTCTTCAGATCGACGACTCAACTATACTCCCCAAGTGGGGCTCTATCGTCTATCTCCAAGTTCCCGACTCCCCCTCCGCACCTCTTTTCTCTCACTCTCACTCATGACTCGTCTTGCTGCACACATCACCCGCTCATCTATCATGTCTGTTGCAGAATGCAAGCATCTCCGTCCGCGACGATTCGCGCCTCTCGATCCGACGCGGGCGTCGGATGCGCCAGTGTTGAAGGGCATCGTCTTCGACGTAGATGGGACCCTGTGGTAAGCTACCATCCTCAAGGAGGTTTTATCATTATTATCATAAAATCTTCATGCTATCAGTTCTCATATTCTGTATCACTCTTTTCTGCACCGAGGACATAAAATCACGTCAATATGGGCAGTACCGGTATACGTGACTCCAACCCGGGAAACTCGTTCAGCTTCAAATTATACGTTTCCACTCCTCCACTAACATCATTCAGCTTACCGCAACACCACATGTTCTCAGAAATGAGGTAATAACTCCATCAATACATAAAATACTATCTCCTATCCCAACCTAACAAATGTCAGAGAGGCACTCGGCATTGACCGCTCAATTGACATCCTCCACCATATCCGCGATCTCCCAACAGCGGAGGACAGAGCTGCCGCTGTTGCCAAAGTGCAAGCCGTGGAGCAAAAGGCCATGCTAGACCAGCAGCCACAGCCCGGGTTGACCCGACTTATGGACTACCTGAAGTCGCGCAGTCTGCGCCGCGGTCTCTGTACACGAAATTTCGAGTACGCAATATCCCTTGATTCGATACTCTTCAGTAATCTCACCCATCAGCAGTGCACCCGTGCAATATCTCATTCAGAACCACATGCCAAGCCATGTATTCTTGCCCATCATCACGCGGGATACGCCGAATGTCATTCCGAAGCCCGATCCGGCGGGTATCTTGCATATTGCGCGGGAATGGGGGTTGACGAATCGCGCAGAAAATTTAATCATGGTGGGACATTTCCTTTCTCTCATATGAGGAGATAAATGACGTTGACTCATGTGTTTGATAGGTTGGGGATAGCATTGATGATATGACATCCGGCCATATGGCCGGCGCAGCAACAGTCTTGCTTCTCAATGAACGTAACAGGCATCTCCAAGAGCATGCCCACACCGATCTTTGCATCAACCAGCTAGATGAGTTGGTTGATATCCTTGAAAAGGGATTCGTCGGTACCCGGGAGTCATAGTAATCATGTGATGAATCTCTGGGCAATTCAGCTTGTTGGACTGCACATTCTCCTATATGAAAAGTCACATCATGAGCCGGCTTCACGGTAGCAATTCCAGTACAATGCAATATTCTAGAGAATAGAAAATACAGATATTTACAAGACAGTATAGGATCAATGTACATATGCATTAGGTTCGTGATGTTCTCATTACCCCCAACCACGAAGATCGATATCAATCTCCATGATTATTTGCCTCTACGCGACTTGCCACCCCGTCCACGGCCTCGGAAGCTGCTACCACCACTTCCCCCTCCTCTTGGAGGCGGAGGACCGCGGTTTCCATTGAAAGGACGCGACGGTGGCTTTCCCCGAGGCTGGCTAGGGACAAACGTGCTGCTGCTGCCGAACGAAATATTGCCACGACCTCTGCCGCGCGATGGAGGCGGAGGGGGAGGGCGGCGGCCACCACGCGGGGGGAAAGCACCATTGTCACTCTCTGAGGACGGATCTCGTATCTTCGGACCTCGGCGATTTTTACTGCGTGGCGCCCTGGTGGGCGGAGGTGGTTTCGCAGAGACAGGCTTCGTTGAGGGCCCTGTGTTGAGGTTTGTGATGGTGCTGGGGTCAACGCCGCTGAGGGTGAAGGAGGAGTTAGGGAGAGGGTTGCGGTTAGACGGACAATCGCCGATCAAATGGCTTGAGCTAATGCAACGAGCACATGAGAGGGAGACTGTGACACCTGTCGCAGTAGGCTCTTGGAGCGTGGATTTCCACGCGGCACTACAATCAACTTCGACGTGGTTTTGCGAGCCGCAGAGGTCACAGGGGACTTCTGTGGTAGAACCTTTGAGGGGAGAGGAGCACTGGTCTTCTCCGTGGCCTCTTTCCCGACATCGGGGGCACCTTTGCCATGTAGAGCAGGAGGAACTCGTATGTTTATTCCACACACCACAGTGTACACACTAGTAGGTCAGCATTTCCTTAGAAATAACCTGTGGGGCGGAAATATACCTCTTTTGTCGGGCACACCTCGGCCAGATGACCTGATCCTTGACACTCAATGCACACAATAGGAAGCTGGAGATCGATTTCATTGATGTCAAGAGCCCAGTGCACGTATTTTGCCTGCTCCTCAAAGTCTTCCCGGCTCAAATCCACCAAAGCAGTGGGCGCGGTGGGATACTTGCGCGAGAAGCGCTGGAAGGCTTCTTCCTTGGACTCTGCCGGGCCGGAGGTATCCATTCTCTTTGCTGAACCATTGGTCTCACCATTTGTGACTCCATTTGGTTGTACACCATCTGCGAGCAGAGTCTCTGCCGGAGTCGCATCATTTGCGTTCTTCGCGCCAAGGTTCAGCAATATGGAGTCATCGGCTTCGGAGTTTGACGAAATCGAGCCATCCGACTCGCTCTTGGAGTCAACCTCGCCTTCCTCCAATTCACTGCTTGCGTTGGCCTTGTCCTTGTCCGCTGTGGGTTCCTGTGTGTCGCTGACTCCAGAGGAGATAGAGGCACTGCGAGTGCGCCAGTATGTATCATTCACAGCGTTGAATTGATTACTCGTCCCGTTGGACGGGGGGGCCTTCCTCTTTCCAAGCGTTGTGCGAACAGCCGCTTTCTTTCCTTGGTTCCAACTGATCGCAGGCGCAGTGCTTCCTGCATGAGGGTTGGCAGCAGTGGGTTCGGGCGCTTCTGATCCATCCGAGTTGTGCCCAGCGTCTGAGCTAGAACCGGAGCTAGATGTATCGTCCGGATCAACCTCTAAAGGGGTCTCGCTGAAGGAAGCGCCGCGGGGGAAAATCAGTCACATCTTGGCCGCGGGATCGGCTCCGTCGTTGTTTCTTCGTGGGTCGGGAATCGCCATCTTGGGAGTTTCGTGCAGATAATTTGTTTTCCCGCGAGCGCTGGAGACCAACTGATGCTGTCCGAGAATCAGCCTCGTCTCCCGAATTGTCTGCCATGGTGGGCGCGGGCGTGTATGAAATTGGCGTCGGTGTTCCGCGACTTCAAACCAGAGGTTTAAATTTTACGGTTGACGTTACGGACCACTTGCGCAGAGCAGTCGCCATCTGGGAGAGTTCATGCCAAAGATACCACATTGAAGGAGCATCATTGGCTCAAATAGAGCCCAAAAAAAAGTATTCATGAAGTTGAAGTACCCTTGTAGCGTGGAACAAGATCTAAGGCATCGAAGATTACAAGCACACGACCCTCGCGTGAATGTGTACTGTCTGTTATGATGGACTGAATCGGTTCGAGACCACGAACCAGTCCCTAAGATTAGGAAGGTATACCTAAGTAGGTAACTAGCTCACTGCAGGTTCTCATGCATCTGAAGTTAGGGGCACAAAGGTCTTCGGTCTAGGCTATGTCCGGGACGACTCGTGTCGGTTAGGCCACGCTTCAGAAATGGAGTCATGCAGATAAGACATGAATTGCCCCCAAGATTTGACCGTCTCGTCCTTTCGCCTTCTCGCCACCTACTCGGCTAGCCAAATCTAGATCTGTCCCGTGAAGTGTGCAATAGTCTCCAGACTTGGACTGTCCGTGCTGGAGCTGCCCCGTTGCACGTGCCTAGGACTTCCTCGTTCCCCGTCCTCTTTTTTTTTTCCCACCAAACTCCCTTGTTCATTTCCTTCCAGAAGAATTGGAATTGCTTGTTTCAAAGCATCTCAGACTTGATCGCGGCAATTTCGACCCTGCCCCCGTGACTCCGATCCGCCCGACCTTTCTCCAGTTCCGAGATCTGGGCCGTGTGCCACCTTCATCCCCACGCTCCTTTTCCACCACCTCCACGCCTCCCCCTCTCCAGTCAAGCTGGCGACCAACACCTCCAAATCCTCCCTGCTGGTCCCCAGAACCATCTCCTTCCCTCACGAGATGGACGGGCCACAGCGGTTATCCCCAAACACCCAGAAGCAGGGCCGCCGGCGTCGCTCGAGCAGTCTCATCTACCAGGAACCCGCCGAATCTATCGAGCACACAAGCGACCAGGCTGCTCTGCCCAACCTCAATGCGAATTGGGTCAATGCCAAGGGTGAGTTAGACTGGTGCCCCCAATCCCAGGAACTTCCCCGACCGATCCGGTCCGGACACCGTGGACGGGAAACGACCTCAAACAACATGGAACATCTATACTAACTACAAGTGTGTCGCATTTACAGGTGCCTGGACCATTCACTTTGTCTGCATCGCGGCCCTCAAGATCTTCTACGACATCATTCCCGGCGTCTCACAGGAGACCTCGTGGACCCTCACCAACATCAGCTACATGTTCGGCTCCTTCCTCATGTTTCATTGGGTGCGGGGCATCCCTTTCGAGTTCAATGCCGGTGCCTACGACAACCTCAACATGTGGGAGCAGATCGATAACGGCGACCAGTATACCCCGGCCAAAAAAATTCCTCCTCAGCGTGCCCATCGGGCTCTTCCTCCTCAGCACTCACTATACCCACTACGATGTGACCTACTTCATCATCAACTTCCTTGCCACTCTGGCAGTGGTCATTCCCAAACTGCCCTTTGTAGGTGTCTCTTGCATCTGACGCAGCCCATTGACTTTTGCTAACCCAATTTCCAGTCGCATCGGTTGCGAATAGGCCTATTCTCCGACATACCAGAGGAATCATAGGTATTCTTCGTGACTTCTCTTTTTCCTTTTGCTACATTGGCGTCTTTTTTTTGGCCTTCGAGCTCGCTCCTTGTCCTTTGCCTCTCCTTGTTCGCCCGCTTCCTCTTACCGAGGTTTTTGCATTGCGTTGATCCACGGAGTTTTGATCCGTCGTTGGCTGTCGCAAATTTCCTTTCCCTTTTGGCAAATATGACGAACCCACCCTCGACCTACGAGCGACAGAGACCGGTGTTCAAACTCTCTGTCCTTGTCTAGATCTCACACTTTTAAAGCTATGCATATTTTATTCTGCATAATCTCTCGGTTTACCTGTATGGCCTGGCCTGTGGCCCCACTCTAGGCTTTCATTTCCAAATTGTAGATCGCGTAAAGCTGAAGTAACATCCGTAGCCTGACTCTGCAGGGCTTCCAAAGGTCCGAGATCTGATGCTTAGCAAGTCAATGGGTTGGCTTAGCTTATGCGGGGGCATTGCATCATAGCTTAATGAGGCTGTACATGAGTGATTCGCGTGCTCAGAAGCACTTCACGATAGACTTGTTTGGCTCCTATCACTTTATTTGGCTTACGTACACTCCCAATATCATGGACATACATTCTGGAAACTTGAAATAATTTGGTGTCACTACTGGGATCATGTTTGCGAGAAATCACAAATGTTACTGTCACAAATTCTGCTTCTGAATCCCAACGATCAAAAAAGAGACTTCTGTGTTAACAACTCCTGAGTCACTCTAAATGGATTACGCTCCAAACAAGCCCCTCAAATCCTATCTTCCACACTTGCCTCGTGCTCCAGATGCCGTTACTTTGATGTATTGATCTTCCACATCAAGCCACCAAACAAGACGTGACTAAGCAATTATCGATAAGCGCGACAAAAAGACGCGCGACGAGACGAGATGTCGGACCAACATCCAGAGGCCATGGGTCCTCCGGAGGGTATGGCGTATCGCACGCCTGTAGAGCTACCATTCGAGATCGCCCAACATAGCGGAATCTTCTTCGAGGAACAACTGTGTACGTATCCCAGCGCAATTCCCGAGCCCCCGCTAATCCGACTACAGATACCCAAGCATTGACGCTCCTATTCAACACACTCGCCTCTGGGACCTACGCCTCGAAGACAGTGATAGCTCCACTACCTCAGCATCTTGCGCTAGCCTGTACCTTCCTCGTTCACCCGTCGACTACAAACCGTGCCAAGAAACCAGAACAGCAAGAGGCTCCGCAGGTCGCGCTGCGGCTCTTGCGGCTTATCAGTACTTTGCTTACCCCGAAAGATGCTAGGCTTGATCTGGCTTTCAGCTTTAAAAATACTCGATTATCGCGATCAGGAAGACTGCGTCATGCAGACGACACCTCTTCCAGCTCCAATGATGGGTCCCATGATAAGACCCTTTGGCAAAGATTGGACGTGGCAAACGAGTCCTCGCTTTGGTCGCGCGCCGAAGACTTTTGGCATGCTGTTGGATGGACATTTAACTGTTCGGTACTTCATCCCGAGCGGTGGGAGCATTGGCAGATTTGGCTCCGATTCATGTGTGATATACTTCTGGATGACTGGAACCAGCGCGAGCAAGAGTATGAACACCTGCAGGAGAAGACAAGTCAGGAAGAACAAAAAGAAACAACACAGGAGAGAATGACACGAAATGGATCTCGGTCGATCAAGAATGATGACTTAGACATATTCCGTGAAAGCATGTTCTTCCGGTATATTGACTCGGGAACACCTGGAAAAAATCGCCGAATTGTAAGGGCCATCTTTGCAGATGGTAGCACTACCTCGGTCAATGAGTTCCGTCAAGTATTTTCAAGAGAATTGAAAAGTTCCAAATCCAAATCGGCACCAGAAACGGCGAAAAAGCAAAAAAGCGAGGTCAACATTGACGAGGGCAAATATGGCGATTACTTTTCTCAAGATGATTCCGACGAGGAAGGCACCGAAACCACAGACCTAAGCAAATCCAATTCTCGCGCTTCATCTCCCCCAGAAGGCTCCAAGTCCCGACGGTCGAAGCGTACACGACGAGGCACCAGAACTGCAGCAGACGCTACCACCACCGTGCCAGTTCAAGATTCTTCAGACTCAACCACCTTAACCCAGCACAGCGGTGGCGTCTCTACCATGGGCGGGCTTAAATCCCTCGGACTACGCAAGAAACTCCTCGGTCTCCTATCGAAAGTCTCGGAACGACTTGAAGACGATTTCATGCCCGTCTCGGAGCTCTACTACCTCTTCGTCGAAAACATTCGTCCCCTTCCCCTCCCAATCTTCCAAACCTTCGTCAGCCCCTACATCCTCCCCGAACTCCCAGACGACCAACAAACCACCCTCTGTCAAAGTTTACTAGAATTCCTGCGCCAGAGTGGCGCCCCAAGCATGGACGGAGAATGGCTCGACCAAGTCAAGCTGGAAACCTGTTTCCTTCCATTCGCAGCGACGACCTCTAGTGCAGTTGATAACGCCAAGGTGTCTATTACTCTCGAAGCTCTCGTTATTCTACTGGCTAATGGCGATTTATTGACAATGACGCCTGAGTTCAAAGACGCCGTTGAGCGTGGGATTTCGCAGAGGGCTAGCCGGGTTCAGGATGATATGCGACGTAGCATTGCTAGCCGGAATAAGGAGTCGCTTGAGTGGTGCTGGTTGGTGGAGAGTGGGGACAGATTGATGTTCTTGGTTGAGATGCTAGCGTTCAAGGGGTACCCAGCAGAAGCCGGGTTGACGGTTGGCCTTTGTTAACGATATTGACGATATCAATGATTTTTATGATTCTTACTCAAAGCGAGTATCTGCCTTCCTATGCTCTCGTATTCACACTTGGGGTATTCGATAAAACCTTTGAAGTTCTTCAACGTGAGCACAGCGATGCTTTGTTTACGTTTACGGCTAGCTGTGCTACCCTGGATTTAAAGATGTGATGAAATATCTGTCAATTCGCTATCTAGGACCTTACTCATGGCATGAGTAGCCTCGATTCAAGTCAATTGGAATAGAAAAAAAATGCAGATGGGCGGGAATCATCGCACTAAAAAACAATCCACCGCGCCGACGCAAAGAAACAAGAATCAAAAAAAAATGCTTCAGAATGTCCACGTATCAAGAGTCAGTATAAAAGATGAAAACCAACACAAAGGCTTCCTGGCTCAAACAGTTGATACAATATCAAGACCACGCTCCTAAGGCGGAGGTCGAGGCCCAATGATCTGGCGTCTGGCGCCTCCAACGCCCAAGCCATGGCCACCGCGGTTTTGGTTATCACCGCCCAGGTAGCCATACTGGTGAACATCCCAGGACTGGCCTGGGCCTGTGCCAGAGGCGGAATCGGTCAAGCCGCGTTCCGCGGCGGCTTGGGTTTGCTTCTGATTTTCTTCCCATTCACGCTGGCGCTCGCGCTCCCGCTCCATCTCACGTTCCAGAAGGGACTTTGATGCCCAGCCACCGGCTTTAGTCTTTTGCTGAGAGGCGAGACGTCGGCTGTTCTCGGCGTCGACTTCGGAGGTGGTAGAGTAGTCTTGAACGCGATGGGTGGCAGGGGCTGGAGCTGTGGGAGCAGGGTTCGAGGAGAGGTAGCGGTCCACACGATTAGAATCCGTGTTGGCAGAGTAGGATACTGGGTCGGGAAGGGGACGCGGAGGCAGGGGAAGATCTCTGGCTGGTGGCGTGGGCTGAGATGACCTGACGGGCTCCGGGAGCGGACGGCGAGGAGGAGGTGATGCTTGTTCAGCTTGCTCGGATACTTCCTGTGCGGCTGGCATATCCTGATTCTTGATCCATTCTCCGGCGAGCATGCGGCGCTCTTGTTCAAGAGAAGAGAGGTCGTAGCTGGGCTTTGGAGGAACAGGCACAGGGCGATTGGGGTGGCTAGAGTTGCGGGCTACAGCATCTCCGCTCTTCTGGTCTTGAATTCCCTGCCTTTCAGTTTCGTATTGACGCTCACGTTGCTTGGCAAGCTCGAGTTCACGCTCAAGTTCTTTAATGCGGCGGCTCTCTGCTGTCTCTCCGACTGGCTCGGGAGAAGCAGCGGCAGCAACCTGACCCGCCTGATATTGGCTGAGGAATTGGCCGTTGAGACGAGCATCGCTAGCTTTTTTCCGATCTTGACGCTCCCGTTCAAAGCGCTCCTCGGCTTCCTTCTCCTCAGCAGCTCGGCGCTGCTCCTCGGCTTCCCATTGACGCTTCTCCGCGTCCCAACGCCTTTTCTCCTCTTCCATCTCACGACGCTCCTTCTCCCTCTCACGGGCCGTTGCTTCCTCCCATCGTCGCTCTTCCTCGGCTTTAGCTTGAGCCTCCTGCTCTTCAATCTCTCGTTGGTGTGCAAGTGCAGCTTCCTCCCTTCCAGCTTCTTGCTGGCGAATCCGGTCTTCCTCCTCGCGTCTGCGCTTCTCTTTATCGGCGAGGCTGGGGACAGTGGGAGACGATGAGGTTATTTGTCGGCGAGCGCCAAATGCAATTCCTTGGTTACCCTGGCTAGCTCCACCCATATATCCGTATTGATGAATGTTCCAGGCTGGTGCAGTCGAAGATTCGTCTGCCTTCTTACTCCAAGAGCTCATAGATCCACTTCTCTCAGTGTCGCTAACATTGCTGGACGCACGAGCTGATCGATTGTACAACCCTGGGCTTGATGAGCCTGTCACATTTGGGCTGACTATGTTCCGCTTGCTCTGGGGACCAACTGCTCGGGGGAATTTGCTCGGCTGGAGGGCATTCGCCCGTCTGCTAAATGCAGCGAGACACTGGAGGACTTGCGCGGGGTCTTTCGCTTCGTAGAGATCCACGGTCAGGAAGACGTCGTGCGGAGGGAGGCTAAGAGGTGGCATTTGACATGCGCGCAGAAAATGCGAGATATTCTCCATCTGTACAAAAGGCATCGAAGATTGCTTATACCTCACACCGGGTGACACGGCCATGTTGACCAGCCTAAGACAAGGGGTCAGTCCGGGTTCCAACTCCATTGACGCCACTTCATCGCGATCAAGTCTTACTTGCAGAGAGCCGTTCCATCCTTCAAGCCCTCCAGTAGGTCGCTGGATGGTAATTTCTCGCGCAGCATCTCCTCAATCCAATCGCGCACCTCCGCGGCTGCCTGCGGGGTATAGCGGGATAGGCGCATATTGCGCAGGTCTTTGTCAAGAGAGGTAACCGAAGCCATGGTCGGTGTATGATCATGGAAATCCTGTCCCGGCGGTCCGATCGGTCCAATGTATATGAGGGAAGTTGAATTGTTGATTTTCGGTCAGAGGGTATCCCTTTTTATCCGGTGCCTGATCGGCCCCAAGGGTGGGGAAGGGGGGTTGGGTATCAGAGCCGAGAAAGCACGACGTAAGTAACAAGTCGGAAAGAGTGGAACTTTGAAAGGAGTTTCTGTAAATCCCTTGAGGAGAGGGAGTGAGAGAGGAAAGGAATGGAATGCTCGGGACTGTTGATCTCGGCTCCGATGACGTTCCTGATCTTCTCTTCCCGCAACTTTTTCTCCACGCCTCTCCAATATCCTCAACGCCCTCCCCGCAAAAATGGTGAACAGTCTTTGGTTCAAGTGGAAGAGCCTTCGCTTTCCATGGCGCAAAATGTATATTGTCGGTTAGTCGTCTCATTGGAATCTGCGCCCTATGCGCTTTGGAATTCCCCAGCCTTGCTAATCAAGTACCAGGCGAGGACCTCGCCGGAAACACCTTTTGGGTGTTCAAGGATGCAGTAAATACCAACCGAATGCGACGAATCGTGAAATTTGACCCCAGAACACACTATGATGAAGTTAAGGTTACACGTGAGTGTTATTCTAGAGGATCTGCGCCAGGCTTTGGCCTTGCCACCGCAGACTGCATCTTTAATACATAGGGTATTATGCTAACTACAAATTGGATGAAAAGCGCAATGGCACCAATGGCTCCGATACCTTCGCGAACACCCGCCAACACTCGAGGAACAGCGACAAGACCTCATACGCCAGGCCAAAATGAAGAATCTCGCCCGACTCGCCGACGAACGTTGGGCCAGCAAACCCTCCTTTCTGGACAAACCCAAGGCAGAATACAAACAGCCTACACCGCAATATAGTCAGACTACCGCAAGTCCCACCCCCAGTGATGCCCCAACACAGAAAGCTCCGGCACCCGCAGAGCCAACGCCAACGCCAACGCCACCGTCACAGCCTGAACCTACTCCCACCCCGGCTCCTGCTGAGACCAAGTCCAAGAAACCCGAGAACCCATGGGATAAGGCTGTGAATCCCGGCGATGGCTGGCAACCTGAGTCCTGGACCCCGACATCCCGTCGGTGAATAGCGCGGCGATAAAACCTCCTTATCAACATCGCAAATTGACGCGCTGTGATTGGCCGAATCCCACCTCAAGCATGTATCTGACCTTTGACCTTGACCTTATACTGGGCCGATTCCCTTATAAGGGGCTGATTGGTATCTTTTAATCTTTCAATCAGGGATCAGGCTTGTTTAGCCATCATATCTCGAACTCAGATGCCCGCTTGGGCAGTTCCGCAGTTATTTGAGCTGGCGGGGATATGCCGTCAACCTGCCTGCAGCACTGTCTGGATGGGCGCTATTCAATTACCTTGGTCCTATCATGGCTAGTCATGACCATCTTCTGTATATTATTTAGTTTATATCTCATCTCCCGGGAACCTAGACCTGGTGTATTCCTGATGATTCCCCTTATCGATTTTCTATAACATTGTTCTTTATGTCCCACTTCCAGAAGCTTATAGTTTGCAGGCTCTTCTCCCAATCTACAATGGAGAGAACAAGAGATTTTTTCACGCAGCCCGAAGGCCGTTTTTGGAATTTTGAAGATTTTTATCTACCTATGTTAACCCTTTTTCTTCCCTGAACAAATAACAAGATGAATCAATTTTTGTTTTTTGAAGTTGCATTCACTGTTTTCAACAAACATTGTTTTTGGTGTTTTTCAGGCTTTTGTTGTAGGTTGTAACAGTGCAATTGACGTGCAAAATATGCATTTCCACGTGGGGTGGGTTTAAACCTGGCATAACAGTGCAACTCAACGAATAAGAAGAATGCGGCAAATGTTTTTGTGAAAGCTTCCATTTTCGTCGATTTTTGGGTTATTTCTGTCCTTGAATTTGGTTAGCGAAAGGGACCTTTCCTGCTAGTTGGGAGCAGAGCCGGATTTCCAGTGTAAAAGCAAGCGATCGGTGGAGGGAAACTGCAACGGAATTGGATCTGGTCTTCAGATGTAAGCCATCGCGTTACTTGCATCCGAATTTCTGATCGCTCTGTGGTTGTCCGGCTTCTTATCTTTGCCCTCTTTGATTAAGGTGTAGTAATAGAATGCTCGCATGTATCGCCGGGCCCGGTCGCAGTACTTGTCAGCGAGGAAAGCAGGGGTGGCGTAGCCGACAGAGCGGGTACAACGACCCATCATGTAGCAGATCTCATGAGTGAGTTGCTGGAGTGCGTCAGCTGGGTTCGAGTCAGACTTGCTCGATCTGAAAATCTCATCGTGGATTACGATGTAGTGTGCCGGGCGGGCTGAGCCCTGAAGCGGCGCCTGTGCCTGCATGTAGAAGTCCCAATACTTTGGGCGAGTGACGCCGCGGTCAACGACCAAGCCGCTCTTGGGGCCATATCTCTGGTCAGCAAATTGGAACTGAGTCGGGTAGAAGCGCACGTTGTGTCGTTTTCCTGCCACGACGATGGTGATATTCGCACCGTTGCCCCCGTACAGAGAAGTCACGGCCTCCTGAATCTGGGGCAACTCGTCTTTCAGGACCATATTAAATTGGCCGTCACTGACACCATCACGATAGACCAGAATATTGTTGGGAAGAGCCTTGTTACTAGCCTTCCAATGTTGCAGACGACCCAGCATCATCGCCTTGAGACACCCAATTTCCTCTTTGCGGGCCTCCTGCACCGTTACCTCACCAGGCCATTGCCCCATCGACTTGTCCGTGCTAGCGACAATACATGCCATGCTAGGGAATCCTTCGGGGTCCGTCGGAGACGGGTGAGTAACGTCAAGACCAACAACCATGGTTGTACCTCCTTCTATCAAGCGAGGCGCATTTTTGAGCGTCTGATTGTCACCGCCCATTTTTAAGTTGATTTTCATCACATTGTTGGCATTGTACTGCGAATTTTCCGGTCTGCCATGGGTGACGAACTTGCTGTAGAGACAACAATGGGTCATGACTTTCGCCTTGGTCTCACTCCACCATTTGAGGTGGTCGAAGAAGCGTTCTTCGCCTGCAGGAAGCGCGATGACCACCAGGTCGACCGGATTGTTGCGAATATGATCGAACATGAGCTCGAGCTGATTAATCCACTCCGCGGGTGTCCTTCCTATCTGTCTTGTGTGGATACCTCGGTTCCAAGCAGACCACCTCATGCCCAAATTTTTTCCCTCTGCAGCTAGACTGTCAAATGCTTTCTTGACTAAATCCATGTCGATGGAACTAGGTGAGCCCCTGGTATAGACGACGCCCATGCAATTCTTGATTTCGGCAGGTCTGCAAAATTGCTGGCCCCTTAGGTTCCAAGATCCATCCTTCGGCATCAGCGTCTTGGATTTTCCATACTTCAGGATCGGCGGCGGAAGAATGCGTGCGTTCACAGTGATCATTTCAGGTCTGAACTCAGTGTCGATACTCTTCAATGGATTGTCCATTCCCATAATCCTTCGACCGTCCTGCATGATAGACTTGAAGTTATTGGGCGGCTTTCGGCAGCTGAAGTTAATGATATTCTTGCGTTGAATGGCTGCCAGCTCACCCATGAAGCGTTGTCCCGCTGGAACAGTGCAGACATCAATAGGAAGGTAAATCGGGTGAACGAAACTGCCAACATTCACCACAGGCCAGTCGTGGTACTTCAGCTTCAAGTTGTATTCTGCACACTAGTGTTAGCCACGTTTAATTGAATAGAAACCAAAAAGTGTAATGTACATACCCTCCTTGAAGTGTTGAGTGACAGTGATGTATTTTCCAGTAGAAAGAGATTTGCCATTAGCGTCCTTGTCGTATCTGAAGAAAGAAACCTCGTCTGCAGTGGCTCCTATGTTCTCGTTTAGGAAACGGGGAGGATTGGGGTCTGGGACGAGTTTTGCTCTCGTTTTCGGGTGAGTTCCATGTGTTCTTCCATCCTTCTGAGGCCAAGCAAGTCCCCAGATGCTTCTCTGCTTGTGAACCAAGACCCCGCATTCCATGCGTTTTTCAAGATGAGTGACGTCCACGCGAAGTCGATTGATGTATCGATTGAAAAGAACATAGTCCGGGGGTTGATCGGGGTTCATCGCGTTGAAGAGGGTGAGAATGTTGTGCAATGGGCCTTGATGGAAGAATGAGCTGTGATTGACGCCCAAGTTGATAAAGATGTGATTGTCACAAATTCTCGCGCTAGAATTAAAGCCCCGAATGCACTCGATCCCGCCCTGAAGATCAGCGGCCTGTTTTCTCCCGTCGGTCCAGAAAACTTTGTTGCCATTGGAGCTTCTAATGGTCGTCACGCCTGTGTCTCTGAATGGATGAGCGCTCATGAGAATGTTCATGATTTGAAGGAATGATGTTCCATTCGGTGGTTGTGTCCGTACATCGATGTTGTTGAGGGTGCTGACCAGCTCCGATGGGTTGACTTTCTCGGTCAGTCTCAGTTCCACCGAGAACCTTTTGGATGCGTTCAGGTTACCGTCAATGGTGACTTCATAGGGACTGCCCGGTAGCAGATTTTTCATGGCAACGATAACCTGGGCGCCATCAGTGGCGGCGTGGGCCTTTTTGATTGTCTCGTTGCCCATGAGTTCCCTGAAAATCTCCCGATTGAGGCGGGTATTCTGCGGATCTGGTCTGACCCTCACTGTGTAATGAAACCAGTCTGCTCCGTGGAATCTGGCTTGGAAGAGGTTGGCGCGCATGACAACACTTGCCCCTTTAACACCGTATCCAGGCCGAAGAGCGAGTTCTCCTTTTTCAGCTCGTCTGCCTTTATTCTTGGTGATACATTTGTCTTCGAAGGCTTCAATTTCCGGATTAGCAGTAGCGGAAGAGTTGAACATCACGCTATATCAGACCATATTAGAGATACTTCATGATAGAATGATTTTAACAAACTTACTTAGGGTCTTCATCTGGTTCTGGGCGACCTCCACCGCCACCAAAACCACCTCGACCACGTCCGCCTCCACGCCCGCGTTGATTAGACCCACCGTGAGGGAGATTGGAAGAAGGGCCACGGCTGCCACCCCTGTAATCGCTTTGTCCACGACCGGATTGATCACTGCCACGGTAAGAAGGGCCAGCAGAAGAACCACGGCTGCTGCCACGGTCAACACTTCCCTGATTGCCAGAACGGCCACCATGCAAAGGGAAATTGCGGGCGTTGCGATTGCCAGACATCTTTCTTTATTTTCGAAGCAGATTATAGGATAATGTGACGAGGGTCGAAGTGATGGGTCGAGGATTGAAGGAAGTAGGGATCCAGGAATGAGGGAGTAGAGGAGATAAGGTGACGAGGATCGGGTTCTGCGTTACTTTGGGCCACGAAGGCTCGATGCCAGGATCTGGAAAATGGAGGTTAGAGGAAAGGAGATTTTGTTGGGCGGAATCAAGGATAAAAGGTGACGAGGGTTGGATGAAGAGCGTGTTTGGGTGTAAATCTTTGGGGAGCGGGCGTTGCAGGTAAACTAAAGAATCGTCAGTAGCTATTAGTGAAGCCAAAGGTGCAGTGTTGAATTCAATACGTGAGAGATGGTAGGAGAATACGATGATGGGAGTAGACAAGTCATAAGATGTGTGATGAGAAAGGCAGAAAATATATGCAGTATAGCATTGAAAAACGTCTGGAATGCGAGAAGATTGGAGAGGCGCAAAAGAACTTGAGTGATCAAGTCAAGACAAGATCACTGCGACAAACTGGGGGCAGAATACGTTCCACAATGGCAAATTTGGATTGCTGCGTACAAGCCGAATTGTGAAATCTTGTGGTTTCGGAACACCCTGAGAACAGCGACGGCGGGCGAGGATAATAAGGTAAGAATTGAGGTAATAGTGACAGGGAATGAAGAAAATTGTGATAGAAATGACAGAGGCAATATAATATTTTTGAAACGCTGAAACAGCAGTTTGCTTTGCGTGTGGTTCTCACTTACCTCTTCTGAAAGAGCAATCCAGCAATTTAGAAAAAGGTGCGAGTTTAATGGTCATCCATAAAACTCAAGTTTGATAATTGATGTGGAGAAAGAAGAAAGAAGAAAAAAAGGCTTGAAGAGGACAAGAAGTGTTCGGTGCAGCAGGCTGCGAATGTGGATGGAAGAATCGAGAAAGCCTCAAAGCTGGTATCGGCGCATCCCCTGTGAACCGCGTGTATGGGAGAATCTCAAGAATCCATAGTTTGCAGGGGATCTTTGCCTTGGAAATGGGGTAAGTCTGGGTAATTTGGGCCTAATGGGATAACAAAACAGCCGTGGGAGTTGACATCAAATCTTCTGTACGCACCGGTGAAGTGCGGCGATTGCAATTTATCCCGTTTTGAGAGAGATATTCTCGCCCGAAGAAAGCAAAGCACCAGGGCGTTTCGAAAGCTCAGGCGAGGGAGCCTTTGAACTCGTCAGTTTCGAGAGACGAGAGTCGCAGAGTCGGTTTGATAAGGGAGAGGATAATGATTGCTGAAGAAAGAATAGTCTCGTCAAGAGTATTTGTGGGTGTCTGACTGTTGAAGTGAGTGAGATGAGAGAAGGTGGATTCGTGAAGCTGCAGATCACGAGCTTTTAAGAGGAAAATGCGTGGCAATGTTTACTTCATAGCGAAGCTAGTGTCTTAGACAGATGGAAGTGAATGTTCCCGAAATCCAAGTGTTAAACTATGCCCGAGGTGAGGACAGCAGTGAAAGACTCGAAATTGGTGGCTGGTTAGTATGTCGTGAAAGTCGTGGTCACTTAGCTGATCGACAGTTTGAAGAAGAGCAGGCACAAACACAAGCGAGAGGTGAGGGTGAAGATCAAATGCGAACAGGTATCAGATCTTCAAGGCTCCCAAAGTCAGATATCAGAATATCGGAAGTGAATATCGTGTAGGATAATGCTGTAGTTAGCTATACAGTTCCACGAGGAAAGGGGTGGAGATGAGTTGATGATTTTAGACATTGGTGTATATGTCTAGACATTAAAAATACAGTAAATTTTTGTGAGGCATAACCCTGAGATCAAAGCTTGAAAGGTAAAAAAAACAACCAAACACCAAAGGACGACCAGTAGATATTCCCAATGTGATAAAACCCAAACACCGGCTCAATGAACAGACGAATCAAATATAAGAGATTGAAAGACTTAACAAAAGATGGCTTCCAGGGCGTCAACGTCGCCACCAGCCTTGCGCACAGCCTTAAGAGCTGCCTCGCTCAGCTTGCGGCGTCGGTCCTTGGCTTCTTGCTCCCGACGGGCTTTTGTCTTGGAGCTGCCGGAGGGCGCGACACCGCCGAGGATCTTATGGCTGTCATGGGCAGTGAAGTTCACGAAGGAGACGCTAACGGACTTGTTGGAGCCGCGGGGGCTAGTAGAGGACTTGGCCGACTTGGGAGCGTTCATGCTCTGACCCGACAGCTTTCTGCTGTGGGTGCGGCGATGGCCTTTGAGGCTCTTGGGTGAGCTGGCCTTGGGGGAGAGAGATGGAGAGCGGGAAATATTTTGGACTTGAGGAGCGGTGTAAGGAGTCATGAACTTTTGTCCATTTGAGGGCATCATGTTTGATGATGAGAACGAGGATTCGGTGGACATATCGAATGGGGGATCCATCTGGATCATAAGCCCGCCTTGCATCATATCGTTGTGGCTGCCAACGCTTTGCATGCGCTGCGGAGGGGCGGAGTGATATGCAGATGGTTGTTGCGCAACCTTGTTGGGCATGGGGGACCACCAATGGGTCTCAGAACCCTGGAGATCGGGAGTGAAGGAGAGGGTGGAATTAAAGGCATCGGACTGCCATGAGGAGATGGACTGGGGATCTGAAGAGTGAGAGGAAGAAAAGATGTCATCGGCGGAGGGAGGGCTGGAGTTGGTCAAAACCGAGGAGCCGGGATGGCTCATGTAATGCTGCTGATGGCGCGCAAGCGCACCAACGGAAGGAGAGGGCATGGAGACAGCAGGGGACTGATGGAAGAGGTGCGCATCATAGTGAGACATCTCTGCGGGTTCTCCGGTGTGGGTGAGGCTATCGGTATGCATGGTCTCATGCTGGGCGATAACGTCGGAAGGCGGGGGAGACAAGGGGAGGCGATCGGAGCCGGAAAGGTTGAAGCTCTGGACCCTTTGGGCCCAGGCCTCAGGGTATGCCATCCTTCCTTTATGGATAGAAGAGCGCATCAAACTGGGGGAGAAACTTTGCTTGCGCAGGAGCGCACGTCGCTCATTGGGATCGCGATGGCGAATAGACTTGGGAGTGATAAGAGCACTTTTGGAGATAACCTTGCGACGGGGAGTAGCGGGAGGAGTGGAGGGAGAAGAAACAACGTTTGTGGCTGGGCGAGAAGAAACCTCGAAGTTGTTCAGGCCGAGGTCAGAAATGGCAGAGGGGTGGACGGTGTCTTGAAAAGCGAACTGCTCAAGTCCCGGGCCGTCCTGCAGGGACCAGTCTTTAGTCCAAGGTTGCGGTGATTCACGCTTGATAGTGGAGCCGGTCGGGGAGTGGTCGCCACAGTCACTCAATAACGAGTCAAGCGGGAAGAGCTCTTCGTAGTCTTTGTTGCCATCGGAGCTCTCCACATTGACGTACTGGTTGAACAAGTCATCGAACGAGTGGTTGTATGGTTGGGCGAACATTTTGCTTTGTTTTCCGTTTGCGGCCAACAGAGACGAAGTGATGTGATTGGGGAACCAGAGAATCGCAAGATCCTACAGATCTCGGAGATGCCAAGTATGCGAGGATGCGGGTATGCGACGAGTATGCAGTGTATGCAGTGTATGCAAGAGATGCAAAGTCAAAGGATCTGTGTTTGACGGTTTGTCAAAGAGAGAAAACACTGCAGAGTATGCAAAGATAGCAAAGCAAACAAACAGATCGCGTCGACTATTTGAATGTCCGATGGCAGCTCCAGCCTCATCTTTTCTGCATACATTCCAATGCCTCCTCAAGATGGATCAGGAATGCTGTGTGAATGATCCGGTTGGCTCACAGCTTGCTCCGCCGGAATCTTGAGGAATGATTCAGGTCTCCGCTGGACCGGCTAAGCCAATCGTAGGGCCCTGATCTCTCTCGAGGGCTAAGGAAGACGTTGAAGGGTCTCCACACTCATTAGAAGCTTTGATGCAGATAGCCACCCTCGGGAATGCAACCCTCTTTCGCCAGGCCTAAAGCAGCGGGGGTGCTGAATTGGCCGAAGTGGCGGGTGTGGAGAGGCACGGTATGCCAAATCAATGCCCTCCTCCGCCCGATTGGTGATCCAGTGATGGCATTAGAAGGTACTATGCGTGGATCGGAAAGCTCGCCGAGCCCGAGCCGCTGAAAACCGGTGGAGCTGCCAGGACAGACGCTCTCACTGGCGGAGATGCCGGTCATCTGCTGCCGATGTATGCGTCATGACAGCGGGGATTCGATCATCAATCGCCCAAACAAGGTTAATTCGGGTAATGGTAGGATCTGCGCCTTCCTCTAGTGCCCGCCCTGTCCATTCGACCCTATCAGATGTCAAAGCCATACGGCCAGAACCGATATTTTGTTTGACCAGTGTTGTGCCGCAGATAAGACTGGAATGTGGATGGGAATGTAGAGGCTGGGTGGAATGCCACGCCCCCTCCAGCAATGCACAGACCAGTCTTTTGGAATTCGAGAAGGCCAGATTGACGCTCGTACCTGCTTTGCTTAGTATAGCGCCAGATAGCGCCAGATAGAAAGCTCCGACCTGCTCAGTGCACCCTGTTGGCTTCACCAAATTGACCTTGTTCTATAATTATCCTAAGGCACCTAACTTCAGGCCCGTTGACCTTCCACGCCATCTTCGAATGCAGTAGTGGAAATGATATCGAACCATGCCTGGAAGGATGCCTTGGAGGGTCTCGCCCGTACTAGGGCAGTCTTTGGGGCTTCCCGCCTGCTATCTTTGGCACAGCAACGGTACCGTTTGCCAAATGCGGCTGTTGAAGACTCGAGACTGGAGACAGCAGACAATTGACTGGAGACCTGCTCCAGAATAAAGCGGAGTATGTGTTCAGAGAAGGTTGTAACCTGATGCCCTGTCATTGTCCACGCGTCGCGGTCAGGGTCCAGTGAGGCGAATATATTCTTAGATAGTCACTGGCACATGATCAGGCACAGCTCAATGCGTCGAAAGTCCTGAAGCCTTATGTTTCATGCGAAGTGGAAGAGTGACAAAGCGTACGTCAGAGTCGCGTGAAGGGACCCCGGAATGCTTTGTTAGCTTCGGGTGAGTATGGAGTATTTTGATGCAAGTCTGAAGTCGAGCTCATGAAAGCTGCCTCTCGGATTCAGTAAGACCGGTCGGTGCGATGACCTTTTGAGTTAAAGTTGCAAACTGAGCTGGAGAGCCCTGGCGTACCGCATTCAAGAATAAATGCAGTCGATTTGAGCCCGGTGAGTAGTATGTGTCTTTGCCGTAGGACGTAGAAAGGAGCGCTGGTTTGCAAGTCCAAGAAGTCAAGGCGATGAGCGTAAACACTGTATTTCGCCGGGCGTTCCACGTTTCGTGTCTGGCAGTTTCCTAGGGGCCATTCCAGACCTCTTTTGGCCCCTGTCCAACGTAGAGCGTTGACGCATCTCTGGATCCGTACAAAAAGACAAGTTGTGGCCACCTATTAAGGCCTATCTGCATTCTATTCATTGCCATTGGGCTCGGAGTGATCAACTTAGGGCATCAGCACCGGCACACACTAAAGTGAGCGGACCCGGCTCCGCCTCAAAATCGAGGCACCAGCTGAGTCAGAAATGACGGAGGCGACCCCGTGAGGCGAAAGAACTGGAATCAACCTTGGAAATTGTCCACTGCCTTTTCTTTAGGCCCTGTGTCTGCTCAGCTTCGTCTTTGCTATTTGTCTATGTCACCTATTCATAGCACACATTAGAGCACCTGGCTTCCTCGTCCTCCTTCAGTTCCGCCAGAGTCGCCCTTTCGGACCGAACTCGACAGTGACTCAACAACCCCTCTGTTCACCCCGCGCGACGTGGATTCATCCTCGGTCTCCATCTTGACTACTCCTCATCTGTAAATCCGTGTCCAACTCTTACGCCCTCCTCGCAATCCGATCTGCGATCGCCTTTCCTTTGCGACCCTTGCCGCTTCAGCATTCCTGCTCCGTTTGCATCGCGTCGCGAGAATACCCGCGCCTCTTCTCACCCTTGCCATCTCACCCAACTTCAACATCTTCCTCCCATCCAATCCCTACTAAGGAGTACCTCTGAGGTTTCTCAGTCACCTACCCGATATCCGCGTGATCCGGCCCCCACTAGCAGCACAAGAAAGCATTATATCGAAAGCACGATCACAAAACTTATGAACACTATGAACTCTCTCTCTATTCTTGCTGGGGCTGCTCCCGTCAAGTGTCCTTAGGGGATCACACGTTTCTCGTGTGCCTTCACCATGGATCTCTTCCCTTGCCTTGGAGGCTTTCCATGCCACAACTGTGTGCTTTTGACCTACTTTTGAACTCTCCACCTCATCCTATACGAATCGATATCGGACCCTTTCCTACGGGAAAATTCGGTGCAACACTATTTTCAACCTACAGTCATTCTCTCGTCAGAACGAGGGAACACAATTGCCAAAATGGCCACCACTACCAATATCAACAGAGAATCATGGGATTCTCTCACCTCAACCTTGGAACACCTTGAAGTGTCTTTCTCCCGAGACAGCTGTTATGGATCGGACGAAGTCTCCATTTCCTCAAACAATACCGCTCCATTGCAGTCCGGCGTCTTGACCAATGTTGTCAAGCACGAGGAGCCATCCTTGCAGCCATTTTTGAAGTCAAACTTGAAGAACTCCTGCACAGTTCTGCAGGATGACAGCGAATCTGAGTCTGGATACGGATCAGATGAAATGGAAGACGACTTTGACGCACTCGAAGAAGGAGAAGACGACGAAGACGACATGTCTGACTTCTCTATCTGGGAGAACACTTCTCAGGATGTGCCTGAATCGCGTGAAGATCACACTGATCTCTTTGACGACTCTTTCATTGGATTTGATTCCATGGTTCGTTTTGATGATCAAGTCTGTTACATAGACTCCCCTGAATTCTCGGATGATGAGGAAATGTCCGAGAGCCAGATGACATGTCATGAGCAGTTCCTTCTCCACATGATGCAAAGCTCTCAATCTTCTCCATCCGACTCCCAAATGCATGAAGAGTCGGACGAGGAGTCAGAGAGTGACCACAAAGAATTCATTCGAACGGCCTCGCACCAGCCAGAGGATTTCCCCAGGGAGGCTGTCAACGAGGACCGAGAGATCTTTGTCGCTGAGATGAATTGTATCCATGGCATTGCAGACAATAACTACAAGCACTATCTCCGTACCCAGGTTGACAACATTCGACATGGCCACGAAGCTGAGTCCATGCATCCGGACGACCCATCTTGCATGTATCTTGATCAAATCCTGGATCATGTCATCGGGGTTTTCCGCAACCTCCTCGCTGCGGATGAGCTCAACGAGTTGGTCGCGCTCCGCGAAGCAGAAAAGGGCCTGATCCCCGAAGAAGGTACCATCGCTACCTCGATCCCAGCGTTGAGCCATCATCATGCTCTGCTGGACAAGATTGAGCGCTTCCTTCTTGACAGACTGGCCAAGGGTCGTGTGGAAGTTCGTCCAGACGAGCTGAGCTTCTTCGCCGGTGGTATCGCCCACGCTCTCGGCACTAAGGATCTACCTGCAGTGTAATAGATCTTTTGATTTCCTAGCATCTGCGACAAAACAACGCTACGACGTTACGATTATGATATGAGTCTTTTTTCGGCTTCGCCCGGCTCAGGCGAAAGGGAAAAATGGAACTACTGGAAGGATTGAATAGTTCGAAAGCTCTCGGATTTCTTTCGTTTGATGGCCGCCCTTGGGACCGGTCCCATCTAGGCACAACACCCTCTTTGATATTACAATGATTGAATGTTCAAAACGGACCTTGTCGCTGTAGATGTCCAGCGTAAATATCTAGATTGACTGAATCCCACGTAAACTCAATCGGAGACGCGCCTGATTCACCCACGCGTCCACTCCGGTCTCTGCAACATATCCAGGACGCCACAGCTCAGCCATCGCCATGGTCTCGACCACATCGGGGCACTCAAACCCTTATACCACCGAAACTTGTCTTGGTCCATACACAACACGCAATCTTCTTTCGTAAGTCTTCAAGCCAAGCACCGAGACAACGGCGAACTCCGTGCCAAAGCATTCCATCTCGCTTCTTGGTTCCTCTCCAGTCTAGCCTCACCCTCTACGTCGTTCACAAGTTACCTAAAATCAGAACCCACCCAATCCCATCCTGACCCGATTCCCCCGAGCGTTTCAGATCTACTCCCGCGCCCCTCCGCTCGCACCCGAGGCCCCGAACGTATCACTAGTCCTCGCCTATGGCCTCCATTGCCTTTTGACATGCGCATGTCATCGAGGTAGATAAGAGGCGCGGCACGCTAGTGGGACGTTGAGTCGGAGAATTTCTACGACTAGGTTCCTTCCCTACACAGTAGGGATGGACCGGAGCGGGTCTGGTCTTCTTACAGTACTTCTGGTGTTTTGGGGTGGCGGTGAACGGAGACGATAGGTTTCTCTCCAAGTAACCAGTTCGCTTTTTAGGGGGAAAAAAGGGGGGGCTTGACGTCTTATCGATTGTGGTCAGGGCGGGGTGGATAAGTACGGAGCACTTGCACCTCGAGACATTTCCCAAGTGTGGGTCCGCGCTTGGGGAATGGAGTGGAACGTATTGTACCTACAGTACTACAGTGACGGACACGCCAATCGCGGAGAATCCTTCTGGAAGTACTGTACCTAGGAGTTGAGCACACAGGATCAACTGAAGTGATACATTGCTCACGCACTGGCGCCCCTTGGCGTTTCAATGGCGTCCTTGTCTGTGCGACTTCATGTTTGATGCTGGGCAGAAATGATATGTCGGATTCGAATGAGAGCGAGGACGAATAATGCCATTGTGCAGTGTCGATCTCAATGGCACCAGAGCACAGATACACACAAGCCAGCCTTGCGGTGAAGAAGGAATGTATCAAGTCTACGTGCAGTAGTCCATACTAAGTATGCACCGTGTAATAGCTCGCTGCGTGCGGTCGATCATGGATGAGTCGTGAACCTTGGGACACTGACACGGTGACAGCGCCACCTTGATCTCCTTGGACACGTCCCCCATGCTTGTTCCAGTCTTGCCTATCTCCCTGTAGCAAGACTGATTCTTTGCGTCTCGGCCACATAGTGGATCCCTGATAGACGCGAAAGAATTCTGACAGAGTAACGGGAGTGGACCAGTGGGAACTTCAGAAACCGGGCTCGTCGTGGCGATCGTGACCGTATCCCTTCGGGGTTGAACTGCCCAGGCCACGGGTTGCACGGACGGCTGCTGAATATCACGGCCTATGAGCTGACGAGAGGCGAAAGCGCTGGAGTGCAGGGAGGTGATAGGAGAGGCCAATCGGAGAGCGGCCGGGGAGCAATAGACAATGTATGCGTTGTGATGCGATCTGATGTATCTTATACTGTACAAGAGTCGGCATGACGGTGGGTTGTATGCTGCCTGCAGGCAACTGGCCAGGTGGCTGCCCACCTCATCGTTCGCGTCGAGCATCTCTCCACGGCTTGGGGTTGCGGAGTCCCTTGGGAAATCCGGGCTCTCAGGCCCGCCTGTTGCCGATCGTGGATCAACTGATGGAGCAGATAATGGCCCTCACAGGTGCATGAATCAGGAACTGCCCTCCCCATTATTACGATATTTAGGTTGCGATATACACCGGGGTTCAGGGGGAAGGATTGACTTGACTGTTATGACCGTGACTGTGTGACCCACTCGCGGGGGAATCAAAGTGAATGTGTTTGATTCTACTGTTATCTCTGAGGAGAGCTTTGATTTTACACATTTTGTGGACTTGTTTGCGCCTCTGGAGAACCACGTTCCATGGGATCCAGATCAATAAAAGGTACCATGTCCGGTCTGACAGACCTAACAGCGAGGCCAGTTATGTACCTATCTCCTGGAGGCAAGAGGAACACAGACTCAAAATGTAGACCCGGAGAGGATGGTAATATACGACCCCGATCATATTGGAGGGGCAACCCTATAAGAGTTAAAAACTAAAAGACGCCCGATCGGAGATGCCTTTTTCGGGACCTCGTGGGCGTCCCCTGGACCCATGGAACAGGCTTGGCTGAGGAACGTGTTATTGGAACACGGCCGTGTGACTGGATGGAGCCAGGCCGAAAGTGGAGCCAGGGCTCAAGACTATCGAAAACAAGCCCAGAGAAAAGAGGTGGAGGGAAGAGTGTGGAGGGGGAGTGGAAGGCATGGAACCACGATGGAAGAGAGGCGAAACACCCACTTCGTCCACGACAGGGGTGCTGCAGGTACAGGCCGGTGCTGAGCAGCGTGCTGAAGCGGGAAGATTCCAATAATGCGCACGAACGTGGTGTAGCTCCAAAGACTAAGCCCACCGCCGCCGTGGCTATTGGGCCAAGTCTATCAGTGGAGATTTCATTAGTGCGAGTTGGGGCCCGTCGATCGTTAAATTCAGTTTCTGTCTTGGGTCTTTCCCCCCCCCCCTGACTCTTCAATGCGATAGGCGCCTGCGATCCAGCCTGATGTCTCCCGACCATGGATGGCTCAACTTGGGCTCAGGTACTCGGATCATACAGATCGTACGGTACCGTAGCAAAGGGGTTTGGCAAACGCATCCCTCGTGCAGGGGCAGCCACCCGCTGCAAGGCGAATGTGTATAGCAAAACGTGTAACGCCGATTACTTTATCGCAGACATTCAGGGCAGAATCGTTTTCTCCATAATTAATTCTTCGGTAGTTAACCCCCGAATGCTCACTGCTCCACTCTATCGCGAAAGCTCATTTACTCCTTTAAACTCTCGGTCTCTGCCTAATCCTCCGTATTCTTTCCTTTGGCCTTTGTTTTCGCTCGTTTCGGTTGTCGTTCTTGTTACCTCTTGCACTGTTCTTGACGGGTATGTTGAAAGCCCCCATGAGATGGACTAGAGTGACGTGCCCTGCATGCTGTGCAACTCGCCCCCAAAGGCCCCCCAAAGTTTCACGTCAGCACGAGAAATTTGGCAATGGGAGACCGTCAAGCTGACGGTAGTACAGGATGATTTGATTCTAGTGATTTGATTTCATCCCAGTCCCTGTGGAAGTGTCCCGCGCGGGAGGGAGAAAAAAAAGAGAAAGAACCGCTAGTATACAGATCCTCGGACCGGGTCCTAACCCCATCATGCAATCTTACAAAGGATCCGATTTCCTGGATGGACCCAAGTCCCGTTCTCGCACCAGCAGCATCTCCAGCGACTCGCAACTCCCCCCGAGTCAACCTCATGTCTCCCCCCTCCCGTGCGACCACCGCCGGTTTATATTTCATCGGCGTCCGCTTCCGAGATTATCACGTCTGACCAGGAGTTCAACGCCGCCGATTTTGTCGCCGATGACGAGGAACCCGGCTCGGGCGTCAATGCGCTGGTTACTCCCGCCGCCCTCTCGCTTTTGAACAATTTCCTCGATAACCTGTTGTTTAACATTCTTGCGGCCTCGAAATCTACGCAGTTGACGGCGATCCGGCCATGCCTGGCCGACGTACTGAAGCCGCGACTCGCGGGTGAAGTGGTAGCTACTGCTGATGAGGAGTTGAGTGAATACATGGGTGGAGCCGAGGATGAGCAGACCGAGTTTCGCGGCGGCCAGCAACCGGGCGGTGACTTCGACTTGGTGCGCTCTTGGAAATTGACACGCCTGCGGTGTATGGTCTATACTCGTCTGGGCGATATGGAAGAGGAAGATGAGGACGAATTCATTGCTCAGGAGGGCCTCCGCGAGAGCGATGGTGCGCCTCGCCGCTTCTCCAGCCATGTCGATAATATCACTCCCGCAGCCGCCATTTTTTTGACCTCGATCATCGAGCATATTGGTGAGCAGGCCCTGATCATTGCGGGAGAGACGGCGCGCTCCCGACTGTCAGCAAAGCTCAACGACGACGCGAGTGCCGGAACCGACATGGAAGAAGAGCACAAGACAATCGACCAGTTAATAGTGGAAGACCTCGATATGGAGAAATTGGCCTTGAATGCGACCCTTGGCCGATTGTGGCGCACATGGAGAAAGCGCAGACGCGGCAATACTGTCTCTCGGTCTTTGTCTCGCGCAGGGTCTCGTGAGTCCTTCCGTCGTCGCACCTACTCCTTGGCCAACAGCCGCAAGAGCAGTATTGTGACGATTGAGGAGCCTGTGACTCCCAAGGAACCTCTTCCTGAAGAGGTCCCTGCGCCGGTAGATCCGGCAGATGTGCCTTTGCCGATGGGCGACTACGACGTGCAGGAGATCGAAGTGCCGGGTTACTTGCATGACCTGGAGGGTGAGGTGCAGACCATGGAGGCTGTGGTAGCCCACAAGGTGCGACCGCGGAGTTTGATGGTTTTCCCTTCACCTTCGCTCGCGCCCAGATCTCCCGGGTCGAGAAACCAGTCTCCAGTCAGTGCTTCGGTTATTGAGAATCCGAAGCCGCTCCACCATGCTCGCTCCAGGTCAGTGCCAAATGCGGCAGGCAGCGTACGCGAGGTACAAGAACCTGCAGAGGACGAGCAGCCATCCCCCACTTCCAGCGAAAAGGCGAGGATGCTCGACACGATGTATGAAGATGACGAGTCAGCCGAGTTCGTGGATGCTGCAGAATCCGCCCCCGGGCTCGCTGTTACCACACCGAGCGAAGAGCCGGTGTTGGTGGATGAGTCTGCCGATAAGGCCAGGATGTCGATCTTGCACGAAGAGGAAGAGGAATCAGCTCCTCCAGTCAACGAATTGGTCGCATCCTTGCGGTCGGTCAGTCCCGACGAGGTGATCAATCAAGTCAACAGCTCGCGAGCGTCGATCTCAGCCTCGATTGAGCGATCGGGCAAGGAATTAGAGGTGATCGAGGGGACAGGAATGTGCGAAAAACCCCGGCCAGCGTCGACGATTGAACGACCGCGACGACAGTCTCAGTAGGGATCCCGCACAGCCTAATGCAACGGTGATCGATGCAGAGACTAGCTATGTTGAGAAAAAATCCGCCGTGGAGTCGCCGCCAGCAACGCAAGGGATGGACATCGCACCATCACCGTCCGCAGCCACCGTCGAGGCTATCGAAATCCCTAACGACAATCAAGATGCTATTGACGGCGATCAAAATAAGTCGGTCATGTCTTCTATCCCTGCGACCGAGCCCTCAATCGAAGATGTCGTGCCTGAGACGACCAACGATCGCTCATTATCTCCCGAAAACCCTCGCCCTTCGTCAACCTCCGGAGGTAGCGAGTATTCATCGAGATCCCGCAAAACCAGGCCTACTCCGTTGATCGTCGCAGCCAGCTCCCGCAGCCCTACAGGATCTGAGCGAGCAGCTGTTCAGCGAATGACTCCACGTCCATCTACGTCCGTCCCATCGGCTCAACCTAAGCCACGTCGATCCGATAGCTTCAGCAGCTCTAAGGAAAAGCGACCAATTACCGCGGGCTCGACTGCATCAGGAGTGTCCACCAAACTGAAGGGCATCATGGGTCGCCAACCTGGTGACTCGTCTTCACTCCGTCTGCGCAGCTCGTCCGAGACAAGCCGTGCATCTGGCAGCGGCGATTCTGTGGAGAACGACACCTCTGCAGACCTGGACAAATTAATCAACAGCGACGAGACTATCCATTTCACGCTGACCCCGCGGAGTGTGAGGGAGATGTCTTTCCCTGACTCGCCTCGGCCGATTCCTCGGTCAGATACTCAAGACACCCACGCCTTGGCTGATTTCATCAAGAACACCGCTCCACCAGGCGATGAACCGCCACAGCCGCAGCCACACAAGGCTCGAGCCTCTGTTTCCTCGAAGGCGACTGGAGAGTTGACGTCTCTTGGACGTGTCAGGTCGAACCTCGACTCCCCTAAGACCATGGCGCCTCCGATCTCCCCCATCTCTCCCCGCGCAGCACCTTCTCCCAAGCCATCCGTAGTTGGACAGGCCCGGGATGCTCGCCCTTCACCCAACTCAACTCGGGACTTTGCGGAGTTTATTAAATCGACAGGCCCTGCCAGCCCAATCGGAAGCACGTTTAGTCCCAGCCCCCCTCCGAGCGTGATCTACCAACAAGGCACCAACTTCTCAGGAGCTAAGACTTCTCGCCCCGGCTCGACCTTGTCAAGCAGCACGAAGAGCACAAGTCGTTCTGATGGGTCTCGACCTAAGGAGCCAAGTGGATCACGACCCAAGACTGGCCCTACTGAGTCCAAGCGATCCCCAACGTCTGAGCTCATCGACTTTATTCGTGAAGGACCGCAGCAGCCAGGAGCCCATCGCATTCCGAGGACAGTCGCACCATTTCGCAACACCATCGACTCGGATGACTTACAGTTCGACTCTGCTCAGCAAAAGGGCAGCTCCGTCGCCAATACCCGGGATAAAGCAACACCTCAAAAGTCATTGGTGTCTCCGGATTTGCGTACTGAGCCGCTGGACTCGTCCAAGCGCGGCCCCAGCCAGGTCCAAGCTACACGGTCTGCAAGCAGCGCTATTCCAGATGATGATCCACGTCCTGTTCGCAAGCAGAATCGAGTTCGGGACCCTTACGCGATCCCTGATTCTGATGATGAAGAGGACGACGAGCTGCTAGAAGAGCTTATCAACGCCAAGCCACCTCCTCGCCAAGAGGAGAGTTTACTTGATTTCTTGCGGAGCGAACCTCCACCCGACTTCTCGCAACCCACTCCTCAGCCTTTGAACGTCAGCACTCAGTCCCATCAATCGGGCTCGAATGGCTTCGCAAGCAGCGCATCAGACCTGAAGGCTCGCTTCCTCCGTGGAAACGCAGATAAGGGGCCTTCAAACAAGATGTCCTTGAGCTCACTGCGCTCGCAAAACAACGGCCACTCTCAAAACAACTACACCGCCAAGGTCGGCATGGAGCGTAACCCTGGCACCATGCCATCTACCTCCAACAAGCAAACGGAGACTGGCGCCTTAGCAGACTTCCTGCGCAACACAGGCCCTCCTGAGCCTCCACCCCAACATGAACCCTAAGACGAAGGAGGGTTCTTTCGCGCGATTCTTCACACGCCGCCGGAAGATTGAGGCCTGAGCCCCGAGCATCGATCTCATGCATTGAGCATTTGAAATTCATCTAACGATCCATACATATCATGTCCATCGCTTTGATCATTCACTCGGATGCATCATTTTACCATTCCTTTATTTATCGACATATTGTATAGAGGCCATGTCCCATTCTTCATTTCATTGTCTTCATGTGAATCCCTTTCTTCGCCCATTTTTCTTCCTTTGTGATTGTGATACTCTCCGGCACTGAACGACTCATACGGAACATTTTCTTTTCTTTCTCTTCTTTTAGGCCGAGACGGGATTGTCTTGGTTTCCTGTTGAATTTTGCGAGATACCATGTTTGAAATACCTATGCCTGTATCTAAAAGCCTCGACGCTCAGAACCATTTTCTTCTCATCAACCTTGGTCTTCTATTTTTTGTATCGTTCGTAGTCTTCGTAATGAGATGGAACATACTTTTTGTGCTGGTTGTGCGTGCGGTGCCAGACTCGAGATGAGGGCAATTTTTAGGCACTCATCGCGACGAGGACAGAACGCGACACTTTGGTCTACAGTTCTTAAATAGCATCATCTACCCTGGAGACCTTGTTCGGAAAGATGCAAATAAGCTGATATTGACTGCTGTTCTATAGAATTTACCTGGCCCGGAACATCGTTGATCCCGTTGATCCCGACTCCCCTTTCCAGGTGGCATCAACAGCGTCAACAGCTCACCTGTTTACCAATCCAATTGCAAGCCATGGGTTCCTCTCCCTTTACAATGAGGTCAATCCTCGCCCTCCTTCTCCTTGGCATTCAACTTGTCTCCGCCCTGAAGTTCGACTTGCCCGCCAGCAGCGGCAAGAACGAGCGATGCGTCCGCAATTTCGTGTCTCGCGACCAGCTTGTCGTGGTCACTGCCATCGTGAGCGGCAACAAGGGTGATGGCCAGCAGGTCAACATGCACGTACGTGAAATACTGTCCCCGGGGACTTGGTGTTCCAACCGTTATCATCGGATTACTATGCTGTTAGCTCCTTCTCCGCCGAACACGCGACGACTAACGCTTTTTCGCTCTACAGATCAAGGATGCCATGGGCAATGACCACGGTCGTCCTAAAGATATTGCTGGTGAGGTGCGCCAGGCGTTCACCTCTACCGCGGACACCGCCTTCGATGTGTGTATGGACAACCAGCTTGTCGGTCGTGGTAAGTTACCACCTACCTGCTAAAGGAGGCTTAGCGCTTGCCTGCCTGCACGAATGAACGCTCATGAAGGATAAATATAGGCGCCAATGCCAACAGCTTCCGTGAAGTCGAGCTCGACGTCGAGATTGGCGCCGACGCCCGCGACTGGTCCAGCATTCAAGTCCAGGAGAAGCTCAAGCCCGTCGAGACTGACCTTCGCCGTATCGAAGAGATGGTTCAAGACATTGTCACGGAGATGGAATACCTACGTGCCCGTGAGCAGCGACTACGCGATACCAACGAAAGCACCAACGAGCGTGTCAAGTGGTTCGCCTTCGGCACCATGGGCATGCTGATGGGTCTCAGGCGCGTGGCAGGTTGTCTACCTGAGGGCTTATTTCCGATCTAAGCACCTTATCTAGATCGTGCGAAGGGCGGTTGCATTTTGGAGTCGCTTATTCTCTGTTTCATTTCTGAATTTACGCAGCGCGTTCGAGGGATCCCTGTTTGTGTACTCTCTCATGTCTTATGGCATTCTGTTACAACAGTCATGACCTCAATGATACAAAATATAGGCTCTGCACATGCTGGGCATTAATTAACATTTGGCGTTGCCACACATGATTCTGCCGACGAATGGCCCGGTCTTTAGCTGTTCCGCTCTATGAGAACTGATCGTTCCTCAAACCTGCATTTCTTCAAAGAATTCATTCATTAAAAGGAGCATATAGACTACGAGGCAGATGCCCAATATCCTATCAAGCAGTCCGAAAGCGGCTGTGTAATCTTCCGAGGCTCAGTGGGCCACCGACCCGCAAACATTGCAAACCCCGAGACGCCGGGTAACGTACATTTTTGGGCCATTACTCCAGATGACATCAAGCTCGCGCAGCTAAGTACCTCTCAACTTTCCACTCTCCCAAGTCCCGATTCCTTCCAGGACAGCTTAAGGAACAACAAAATGACTACCTCGCGACTCATCACCCGCCTCGTGCGGCCCTCAGCTTCAAGCTACACCCCAGTCTCAGCATTGAACCGCTCATTCGGCTCTTCGGCTCTGCGCTTCAACGATATCAGCGACCGCGCCGCTGCGGATCTCCAGGCTCACCGTGAGATCCAGACCAAGAAGCAGCCAAATCAGTCCGTGCCGAACACCACATCCACCATGACTAAGGACTTCCCCAATGTTGGCAAGAATCCTCCTCCTCCTGAGATGCTCAGCTCCGTCGATCCTAACTACCGCCCTGCGGATCCCTACCCGGGCAGGATCGAGCATTTCACGGGTGGACGCCAGGAGACTGGTGCGCAGAAGCCGGAGCTCGGCGTTGGTGAGATGGAGGGTATCACTTTCAAGGTCGAGCCGTTGAAGCGGGTCAACGAAGACGTGACGACCATGCGTGCCCGTTTACTATGTTCGTTTCCCAACAAACCCGAACTACCATAGAGCGAACTAACAAAGCCACGATAGACCAGAGCCGCAAGCGTGGTATTCTCGAATCCGACCTTCTCCTGTCAACCTTCGCAGACGTGTATCTGCGCGACATGTCCCACGCCCAGCTCAAGGAATATGATAGCTTCCTCGATGAGAACGATTGGGATATCTACTACTGGGCAACCCAGGACCCACCTACCGAAGACTCCTCTGCGCCGGCCGAGGACACTCTGACCGAAACGTGGAAACAGACTGGCGCCAAGAGCGGCGAGTGGGCGCAGACGGTTGGCGCGTTCAAAGCTGCGTACAGACCTGTTCCGGAGCGATGGAATGGCTCGGCAGTTTTGGAATTGTTGAGGGAGCACGTTCGGGACAAGAGCGCGACTGGGTTTGAGTCGGCGAAGAACAAGAAGACTGGAGGCGGACTGGGACGGATGCCTAATGTTCAGGTGTTTAATTCGTAGATGTTCAAGGTTAGAACCATAGGGGGTGATTTGGCTTGTACTATATACGAAGATTTTTAAATTTGGTTGTACGGCATGGTTGAATACACTTGTGTTGCGATGATCGTGAAGTCGAAGTATACAGCTAGACTTATTTGGTGCTTGTTTTCCCTCATTACTTCACCGGGGATACTTCGAGAATGAGGGCCTTTATATTGGGCTTTTGATAGTCACAATCATGTCAGCACAGTGTTATTTTTTTTTATATAGCTAAGCATGTATTTACACATATTTGTTGTGCAGGTGAGTAAATGGATCAATCCAGTAAGGGCATGCATCTTTCTTAGTGCTCCCGATACTACATCCTACGCGAAAGGACTGAATACATAATTTCGTCCATAGACCTTTCATGATTCTTGTACAGAAATGGGTGATTAGTCACTAGATCGATAACCTCGCATAGCTATATCAGCAAGTTCTATCGTCAATGCACGTTATGTTCCCCTTTGGGCTATGCAGTAGATTGTTCGGTCATGTGATCATGCATCGGGGACAGCGCTGGTTCTATTCCATGTGTAACAAGGTCAGACTTGGCAGGATCAACCTAGAGCCAGGAATCAACGAACCAGTGTCCATAGCGAATCAACAATCGCAATCCAATCGAATCGCATGAGAACCCAAAACCCGATGTCAAGCACGTGATCTTCGCTTAGTTTAGGGCACGGCGGAACCACACAAGGCGCTGGCCAACCGGGTTAGGGCTTGGGCGGGCACGCAGCGTATCCTTCCTCTGCGATTTTATCTCCTCAGCGTCAACGACCTACTCCGCCCATCCTTCCCTTCCATCGTCTCATTCCCATCATGGCTGAGCAGCTGGTTCTTCGCGGCACCCTCGAGGGCCACAATGGCTGGGTTACCTCCCTTGCCACTTCTCTGGAGAAGTAAGAGACTCGCCTTGAATTTTCGCCTCGAATGTTCTTCTGACTTGAATTCGACATTTAGCCCCAACATGCTGCTGTCCGGTTCCCGCGACAAGACCCTGATCATCTGGAACCTCACCCGTGATGAGCAGGCTTACGGTTACCCCAAGCGCAGCCTGGAGGGCCACTCCCACATCGTCTCTGACTGTGTATGTCATATGCCCCTCCCGTCTCGATCGGAAACAGTGTGAAAAGGATTCATTGGACGTGGACACAATGGAATCGGATCGATCTACCGGGTCAATTGGACTGTCTGGCTGACCATTGGTCTTTTTCTTGCGAATAGGTGATCTCCTCCGACGGTGCCTACGCTCTGTCCTCCTCCTGGGACAAGTCGCTCCGTCTCTGGGAGCTGTCCACCGGTAACACCACCCGCACTTTCGTCGGCCACACCAACGATGTTCTGTCCGTCTCCTTCTCCGCCGACAACCGTCAGATCGTCTCCGGTTCCCGTGACCGCACCATCAAGCTGTGGAACACCCTCGGTGACTGCAAGTTCACCATCACCGACAAGGGCCACACCGAGTGGGTCTCCTGCGTTCGCTTCAGCCCCAACCCCCAGAACCCCGTCATTGTCTCCGCCGGCTGGGACAAGCTCGTCAAGGTACGCTATCACTCTCGATTTCCTTCGCAACGAGTCATCCAGACTTGTATCCTTGTTTTTCAAATGATGTTTGCATATAAACGTATTTGCTACTTCAGAGCCCTTACCGGCTATGAGACAACCATTCACCCAATGCCTGATGTTAAAAAACAATTCAACTTTTGTTGAATTGAGGAGGACGCAGAAACCCCTTTTTCTTCTGGATTCGTTTTTACGTTGATGAATCTGTCGCTAACACGTGAGCCTCCATTTAGGTCTGGGAGCTCGCTTCCTGCCGCCTGCAGACCGACCACATCGGTCACACTGGCTACATCAACACCGTCACCATCTCCCCCGACGGATCCCTCTGCGCTTCCGGTGGCAAGGACGGTACCACCATGCTGTGGGACCTGAACGAGTCCAAGCACCTCTACTCCCTCCACGCCGGTGATGAGATCCACGCTCTCGTCTTCTCTCCCAACCGCTACTGGCTGTGCGCTGCCACCAGCAGCTCCATCACCATCTTCGACCTCGAGAAGAAGAGCAAGGTTGATGAGCTCAAGCCTGAGTACGTCGAGAAGGGCAAGAAGAGCCGTGACCCCGAGTGTATCTCACTCGCCTGGTCCGCCGATGGCCAGACCCTGTTCGCCGGTTACACCGACAACAAGATCCGTGCCTGGGGTGTCATGTCGCGGGCATAGATGAGTTGACGATGTATGTCGCGGGTGAAGGAGCAAGGCCTGTTTTTGATCTATCGCCAAGGGAATCAAAAAAAAGTTCAAAACCAGAACAAGACGGGCATTGGTTTGGAATGTATGAGCCACGAGCAATGAAGCACTCTCTGCCGGGAATGAGGCCCGGCCTAGAGGTTTTCTGACATGCCTAGCTTACTTGATTCAACATTAAAATCGAATGTCTGGAATCTTGTGAAGGCATGTGATGTTCTAATACCATGAGGCATCAAAATGTTTCCTATTTTTCTTCATTCGGCTTTTTTGCGTAGATGTGAATCTGTAAATGTAGTGAATCTGGATCGAAGACCTTAGACCTTCGTAGACCTGGTGCAATATATTCATATTCATGATCTGGACAGCTTGAATACTCGTGCACCTGCTCGGTCTAGACTTCTCTTCAACGCTGGACCTCTTTCAAGGCTTTGCTCAATCTTCCATTGATGGAAGTTCTACGGTTTCCAGTTTTACATGTGCATTCGAGGCAATATTCTGATGATCAAGCCGCGCAGAATGTAATTATATTGTCGTGAGGCTTCCACCTAATTCGATAACAGTGAGCATGAGCGAAAGGGCCTGAGATGGAATAAATCAAGTGTCCATTTCATATGCGCCTCCGATGTGACTTTTTCACCATTCAAACTTGGCTCAAGCTCATCGACATGATCAAATTTATTCACATCGTTTGCAGTAAGAAATATGCTCGTAATTAACCAGCAACAACATATATTGTCATCCTCTTCATTCAAGCGGCGTCATGCGGCATACTATGGTTGGTACCATCATGGATCTCTCTCAGGTGCTACTTTTGCCCCTGCAATGCCTGGATATACAATTTGAGCGTGGTAAATTCTCACTCCTTATATCCAGGCTTAGGGTGCTCCGCCAAGATCTCTTACTTCTTCGTATTTGAAGAGGGTCAAAAAGAGAGAACTTCCCAAGATGGATAATTCAAGGCAGCTTTTGCTCAATATGAATGAGTTCCCAGCTCTCAGGTTCCTAATATGATCTGTACCCTCTGTGTATTTTGGGTAGTGGTTTATGTCTTTGTTAAGGCAGTAAGCTTTCTGTTTTGGGTAGTACTTATGTCTGCTTATTTACATCTTGAGAGCTGTCAGTTGAGAACAGTCACAAGTCTCTTGGTTACAGAAATATCGAATAAAGACACAACTTCGTTTCAAGTCTAGGAGTTGTCTTTTACAAGGTCATAATATACATCAAGCGCACAGCTTACATGCCTCCACAGGTTGCTTGCCTATTTCTTGCTGAATCTCTTCAAAGCTGCATCTGCCATGGCAACTCCATCTTCATATCCCAATCCACTGGCCAGCGACTTGGCCTCGATATACCGTTGCTTAGCCACATCGGGCTTGTTCTGCAGCTCTGCAAGCTCGCCTAGATTGTATGTGGCCACGACACAGGTAATATCGCACTCTTCATCACGTACCGGGGGTTGAATGCGTGCCGCAACATCAAGAGACTTCTGAGCCCATTGACGCGCAGCCTCGATAGTCTGCTCCCGAGAAATGGCCTGCTTTTCGGCGCGACGGGAAGCAGGTAGCTGCACCTGGCCAGCCATAGCGCTGGCGACATCATTCAAAAGGGTCACTTGCTTGCAAGACGGCGAGTCACCCTCCGCCACTCGAAGCAATTCCAGTGCGCGCAGATACAATGGCATGGCAAGCTCGTGTCGATCTTTGGCCGTGTAGGTGGATGCAAGCTCTGCCAGCGCCGTAGCGATCTCAGTCATGTTCAACCAGGCGTCACTGTTTGCGTCACCAGAGCCTCCACCAACAGGAAGACCAAGCTTCTGACGACGGTGCATTTCCTTCAAACACAGCTCAACGGCAGCGACCTGCGCAGCCTCGGCCTTCTTGTCCTCCTGGATATGATCACTGGAGTACAGTTCCGCCAGCTTCATCTCCATGCCGACGACCTTCTTGAGTGCTTTATCGCGCTGACGGGCCTCGAATGCCTGCATCTTCTTTAATTCCTCCTCTGCTTCCTGGATGGCCCCATCTTTGATCTGGACATTGTCCGGAGTAGCCTTCGCCGATGCAGACAACTTCGCATCCTCCTTGCCGGCAGGAGTCTCCGCCGCCCGTCCTTCCTCAATCCACTTCATCGTCTCGGTCCTCGTCCGCTCCAACACCTCGACAGATGCCTTGACCAAGCCCGCTTTCTCCAACATCAGAGCCACTTGCAGCTTGATACCCATGACCTCGTCTGAGAAGGGGTGCATACCCAGATCAAGTGCTCTCCGCAGAGCCTCCTTATAAGAATTCAGCGCCTTGATCGGGTTCAGGTCGATCTCGGTGTAGTAGACCGCGGAACGAAGCGATTCGGCGACTGGTTGTGGGAAATTGTGGTATTGTGGTGCGACTTGGGTAAGTTCCACGTAGGAGATGTAGGTGAATAGGCACAGGCCACCGATCACGGATATAATGGCTAGTGGTAGCATGACAGGGTTCTTACGGAAAATGCCCTTGGACGCTTCGCGGTAGTTCATGCGTAAGCGCTGCGCGTAGGTGAGATAGCGGGAACGAGGGAAGGAGGAGTTTGCCAGCGATTTGACATTTTTATATCTTGGTTGTGATCCTGGCCGAGTGTTCTGGTTGCATATTGACCGGATAGTGGGTTGGCGTTGTGCTGGTAGGAGTCTCGGGGCGGAGCTGATGCGCCGCGATGCTGTGCGGAACATTTCGCTATGGATTGTCTCAGTCGACACTGATACGAGGCTTCAAAATTCCCCCAGGGTTCTAGGGGTTCAATGGTTGCGGAAGATAAGTTTGAGAGTTAAGACGGAACTCCCGCGGCTGATTTTCTCTTGGCCCAAGCTTCTCTCCGCCATATGACGTTGCCCGTCATCAGGTTGCCATAGAACACATCTTATTTGCACTTTGAGCATGAGATTCACCAGAGTTTCATAAGAGCTGCCAGTCCATTCGACATGTGTGGACGTTATGCTTTAGGCGTGGTAAGTCATATTCTTGACCTCACTGAGGTATATACTGACCTGGGCAACAGCGCTTGGCGTATATTCGACAGCGTCTGCAGGAGAGAGGGATGCAAGTGGATGAAGCGCCTGACGATGATGAAGTACGGGAGACCTACAACTTTGCCCCCGGTAACTTCGGAGCCGTTTACCGTGCAGATGTTCCTGAGAAGCACCATTCCGGCCCTGGAGAAGCTGCGGACGTGGAGCAAGGTTCAGAACGCATTGAATCCAATGACGAGAATGACAAGACGATGGAGCAGGTAGTGAATAAGACCAACCCCAGATTCAAGATTCAAAGTATGAAATGGGGCCTCATTCCTTTCTGGACCAAGCGTCAGCCGGACTACGGCTCCATGATGCGTACGATTAATTGTCGCGATGATTCCCTCATTGAAGATCGTGGCATGTGGACAACTATGAAACGTCGCAAGCGATGTATTGTGGTCTGCCAGGGTTTCTACGAATGGCTGAAGAAAGGCCCGGGAGGCAAGGAGAGGATTCCGCACTTCGTGCGGCGCAAAGACGGTGATTTGATGTGTTTTGCTGGGCTGTGGGACTGTGTATCATACGAGGGTGGGTGAGCTCACATAACTCTATGAAGTTGAAGCTGACTGACCATTCAGGCTCCGAGGACAAGCTCTACACCTACACCGTCATCACGACATCCTCCAATTCCTACTTGAACTTTTTACATGACCGGATGCCCGTCATTTTAGATCCTGGCACTGAAGCAATAAGCAAATGGCTTGATCCAAATAGAACGACATGGTCAGATGATCTACAATCTATTTTGAAGCCGTACGATGGGGAGCTGGAGTGCTATCCGGTCTCGAAGGAGGTCGGTAAAGTCGGAAATAATTCTCCTGACTTCATCGTGCCTGTCAACAGCAAAGAAAACAAGAACAATATTGCAAACTTTTTCGCCAATGCGAAAAAGAAAGACGATGTTTCTCTGAAGGAGCCTGCTTCCCAGGAGGAACCCGTGACCAATGGCGAAGAGAAAGAATCCACTACTCAAGGCGTCAAGAGAGAGCATACTCCAGATACGCCGAGCCACATGGGAGAAAGCAAGAAAGCAAAGTCCCAACAAACCTCGAGGTCTCCTTCGCCGCAAAAATCGAAGATGCGAAGTGCCACTCAAAACGTGCCGAGGAAAAAAACCAGCGAGGTCAAGCCAACAGATGGCTCACAGCGAATCACGAACTTTTTCAGAAAATGAAGATGAATGAACGATACGAAGCGATGATTCTTGTTTCAGAGGCAAATTCTACACAAGGGGTCCAAGCCATCGTTTCTTTTTGATCTGGAATAGTTTACAAGATGTCCTGGCTTCATATTGGTATACACGACGAGCTTTACTGTTTCTCAAGTTCTCGCAACCTTTGCACAAGCTTTTCTTTGAGGAAGGGACTCAGTCCCAAGCTGTTTCGAAAATCAGTATAGTCCACTATCAAGTGCTTCATCATCGAAGGTAACTTACATTCCCTCCCGAGTCACGAGTCTGTAAGTACCTGTGGAAAGTCAGTTTCACGCGAAGAAAAACAAGAAAAATCAATTGTCTATTACCACTGGACTGATAGTTCCCATTTTCACCAACGAATTGACCGTGGCCATCGACTTCAAGACTTCCAAAAATGTCCTCTGGCCTGGGACGTTGTTAGCACTCAAACGTACACTTTCCTACCAGTGGCAGTCTCACCAAGCAATCCTTCCATACTCAGGTGGCCGCCTATTGTCTGAAATATGAATCCAGCCACCACGACCAGCGGATCCCGCACCACCCTGGCCACTGGCACCGCCGGCTGAGTCGCCTACCTCAGCGCGCCGTCTCTTCGCACGCTGGCCAGTCAACAGCACACCCCTGTGTATAGGTTCGCCCCGGAAGTTGAGGCCATGACCTGTGCTTGAGACTGGGCATCGGGGTCCTCGTGCGCGTGCTTCGAACAGACTTCCTGGAGGATGGTGAGGAACTTGGGGTTCTCTCTGACTGAATCTGGGGTAGGTGGCAGTTTAGAAGTTACTCCTATGGCAAGATCTGCATTGACAGGTTCGGATGGTAGGAGCGAGAGGATATGAGAGTCGCCTGGGCCAGCATTGGGGAACACAAACTGCGATTGGATCAGTATATAAACAAGCGCTGACTGAATCCGGGGAAGAGCCGTACAATGTGAGGGTTCCCCTCCAATGTAGATACAGAGCGCACCTGATTCCACATAGGTAGGCGCATGGCCTGCCGGCCAATTACTCTTGAAGCGAACATCCCAAGAGCTGATGCGGTCGAGATCTGAAAGTATGCAGCAATACGAAGATCCAATCGTCATTTGGATGTCCTGAAGCGGGCGGTCCGATAGGCGGTGAAAGCTCTGGGCCCTCATCCGCTTTCATGGCTTTTGTTATTGAAGGACATCAGTCGCGAGCTTTGCGTCTGTCAATTGCGGTGTTGGTCCTGGCCAAGTTGAGGGAAGGGGCTGTATTATGATATTCAGCGTCTAATGGGCCATCGACCGAAATCTTCCTCCCTGCCTCCCATCGAAGGCACCACTTGCACATCGTGATCGGATTGCGCATTGACAAAGCACAACTGCGACTTCTACCCTGTGTCCTGAAAACCGTTAACAGACTGCGATTACAACCTCATACCTTACCTGAATTTGGCCAGCAGACTTCTATCATTATGGCAACTCCATCGGCCAAACCAGGCGCCACGCCAACCCACCTTTCCTCTCCGCACCCGTCCTCCGCGGCTCTCTCCCGCTCCATGGCTCATAAGTCCCCTTCGACAAGAACTCCAACAGGCGCGGGACCTGGCCATTCTCACCAGCTGAGCGCCTCTCATCATTATTCCACTCCTCTTGCCGTTTCAAGCGCGGTCGATGATCCGGTCAATTTCAGCTCCCCATCAGCGCTACTCGCGCTTAGTGGTTATGCAGGTATCAGTCCCTCACCTGCTGTCCACGACGGTCTTGTTGGCTCCGGAATGAGCGAAAATGATATCCAAACCCTAGGAATGCAAGGCATCAAGCTAGGCGTCGCGAGAGATAGTGACGAGGAAATGAGACACCGAATTGAGGAAGTGGTTCAAAGTCTTCGTGCTGCCGTGGCCGGTCGAGGTATATCTCGTGAGGGTATTGAGCGACTGGGTAAAATTGAAGGTTTCGAATCTATCTGGACATTCGACAATCTCAATATCGCTGGAAACTTTGTCGACCTGGAGATTGACTTCTACCCGAATGAGGCTGATATCGTGAAGGATGTCCGCTTGCGTTACGCCACACCGGAACACGAAGAAGGCGAGCTACGAGAGGAAGCCACCACTGTTCTCAAACGCAATCTTGTCCAGTCTCCGCAAGATGGCGAGACCGGGAGGTGGAAGTCACTCCAAGGCTTCTACGAGAATTTGCAATGGTTAGCAAAACTTGATAAATTGAGCCAGGAGGTGAATTGTTTTGAAGCTTTGGAGGGTCTTCAGGAGAATCTCAAGCGGATCTGGGTAGAAGAGGCGAAGCACGGAAAGTACAGTGGGGACTATGAACATCTTTGCACAGGAACAATAGGTCGTCCGAGCATGCACAAGGGCTCGCGCATCGGACTTGGTTTAGAGTACTGGGTCGAACAAGCTAAAATTCTTGATACAAAGAAGAGGAAGAACCTCGACGCATTGGCAATTGATCAAACGCAAGACCAAGCGGACGAAGAAATGCATGATCAGGAGAGGACGTGGGCTATCCTGCTTGAATGTGAGGAAGGGTACCCGTCTCTCCGCATCTCGAAGGAATGGGTCGGCAGTGAAGTTTTGACGACTGGCGAGAAGACCGCCGAAGAAGTTTCACCTCACACTACAGGATCTGTGAACTGGCTCGATCCTCCCCAAACCATGCGCTTGTCGCATGGTGATCATCCTGACCCCATGGTCCTGGACTCTAGCATGCTTGAGTCCACTCTTCCTAACCGTCGATTCGTCGCGAGGTTAGAGCCGGCTCTCGACATGCCAATTCCTGCAGCATCCGAGATCTATAGACACCTTGGAATGCAGCTACCGCAAGACTTTAAAATGGTCACATACGACGGCTTGTTGGTATCGAATGGGACGCCGCAATCAACGGACACTTCACCACATTTCTCTCGCAAAAAGCGCCGGATGTCAGTGCAGGCATTTGATTCGACCGGTGAACCGTGTACGAAGCAACACAGCTATACATTCCAAGCATTTGAGTCTGTTGCAGGTCGTACAATTCGCGAACTACCCATTTCACATCCTCGTCAGCTTGCTGATATTCTTCCAGTATGTATTTCTCTCGGCAGTCGAGTACCTGAACACTAATGTTTCTAGATGTTTCGTCAATATGCTTTACTTGCGAGTTTGATCAGAAAAGTCTTCCATCCTTCTGCCAAAGATCAAACCCGGCTTTCAGAAACGAAAACCACATCAAAACCCCAAGTTACTGCCGTTCAAGAACCAGTGTTCGTTACTGGCAAAGAGGGCACCATCATATGGACCAATGATGATCCAAACGAGGAAATGTTGAACAATCTGTTCGGTGATGGCTCCTCGAATCAAAGCGAAGCCACATCCACGGCCTGGTCATTCAGGAACTCTAGTAGGAGTCCAAGTCATATTTTCAATGACGACGTCAAGGTGGACGTGACACTGCGAACACAACTCGGGCAGGCCCCAGCCCTCATACTATTGATCACAGATCCTGGTCAGAGCGCCGGAGGCTGTGTGCTTGAGCCCGTACAACTTGCAATTTGCATCGAAGTCGGCCTCAATGGACGTATTTCGGTAGTGGACTCCTCTGGACTCGGCGCCGACAATCATCAGGACGGTGGCGATGCCGAGATGCAAGGGACGGAAAGCCCGGAGGAATCGCTGCAGGAGATCCACAAAAAGATCGCCAGAGTTCTGGAGATCTCGCAAGACCTGGGCATCTTAGTCGAGTGGGTCCTGCGCTGGCTGCGGCAGCGGGCCGGCAGCGGGTGAGGCGTGATGCGCGAGATGTAAGGCCGGAGATTCCGAATAGCCAGAGTGTGTCTAGACCTGGGTCTCGGGCATTACCCCTGATCCGCAGCACACAGATGCGCTGTAACATCAAGGCCAGAGTTCACCTCGATAGTCGAGGGTTGGTTCAATGACCGACTGCCCTCCGATTGCAGCCTCGTTGCAGAGTCTGTGTTTTGCACCACTGCCATAGCGTGTCCAATACACGCAATAGACGAAGCAGCTAGATCCTTGGTCGGTCTATTTGAAAAATTTGCGAGTGGCCAATCATTGAGTTTTTACTGCGCATGCACATCTGACGGCCCTGTCGCAGTTGCATTATCTCAAGATTCCTCGTAATACTGCTTGCAGCTGATGCATTACAAGACCGAGATTTTTCGAGCAATACGAGACACAATTATTCTAGAAACATGCCCTGGCCAAGCATACATCTTGTGACCTTATCTTGGGCCACCGCGATAGTTTCCAGGGTCCGGCCTTTTGTCTGCCATTACAGTTCATTGTTCTGACTTGTAAATAAATACTCACCAATGCGAAACACAGTCGATGAACAACTACGTCAGGGCCAGGTTTCGTCACATGATTGCCACGCTCCCCGCGAGGACATTGCGGCGCATCATCGCCAGGTCAGGAGAGAATCAGTTAAAGCCAGGCGTTTGGTGGTGGAGGGCTTCACTGGTCCTGCGTCGTCAAGTCGTCCTCTTGCAGGATAGTCCCTCACCAGATACACCAGTACATCAAAAACCTGGTGGATATGAGGTACAAATCGCTCAATATCCACTGTACGCGCCCAAAGCGCGCCAAAAAGGAACGTGAGAGGCATTCACATGGCCAGCCAGTCTCTGGAACACTCGAGGCGGGACTAAGTCGAAACATCATGCAGCGTACTTTGGACTAGGGGGGCGCTTTTAGGGCCAGTCGCCGAGACGACTCCACCAGTTGAGGCTTTAACGATAATTTCCAGATGACGCCATGACATAGCTGGTTATCAGTGAAAACCTGCCGCGGAGCTTGCTCCTTTTGCCCACACTTTGGTGACGCTTTTTGGGGGATCAATAAGTGTCGATTTATTTTGGAGCCAAGCAAGCCAGTCGAATCAGTCACGTTCATAGTTGCCTACTCGGGCATCATAACCAAAGTAACTTGTTGAAGGTCTACTGTGAAGTATAGCACGGGCGACGCACCGAGGCCTTAGTCAATCGGGCCACAGTCAGCGCAGTGTGTCAAGCCAATGACAAGGAGCCGATAAGCCAATACAGGTACCGTCGATCGATGCTAGGGCCTGGAATTACAATTCACCCTCTCCTGGTTTGTTCCTGTTCGGTTCCTGTGTCAGTCTTTTTTTTAATTTTTGATTTTACACTTTATTTTTCTTGAGGAAGAAACTTAACACATGGAACGTCAGCTCTGTGTGACCGCCGAATTCTCAACTCGGTGGTGGCCGAAACGTAGACACCGCCTCGATGTTTCACTAGGCTATTATTATCCGCGATCCGCGATGGAAATAGAAACTAGATAGGAGAACTGCGCCTCTACCTGTTCGATTCAATTTAACCAAAGAATTCACTTCTAGTCTGGAGTTATTTCCCTTGGCAAGCTTTATTCTTAGGTTTCGTAGACAGGGCTGACAAGATCGTAAGTCTCAGCCCCTCAGCCACTAGGTTATCGGTTCCTAAAACCCCCGATTTTTTGCTGCTCTTCGATTTGTCCGAAGAAAATACGGGGGAAGATCTGAGTCGCCACTTTGCATCTTTGCCCTTTTGTTTCTGGAGAATCCCTGTCTCGAATATTTTTGCCCCCAGCCTTTTCCGGCTCTCACCCGACAGAGTCCCAAAATTGCCCAATGCGGGTTATTTTACTTAGCCGAGTAAGGAAGTAAACCGAGAAAGAAATCGTCACACCCGGTACTGAATGGCAACCCACGGCCGACGTCGGGGCGGTTTTGTGGGCTCAACCTGAGTATGATTGGCGAGTCGGCGCGAGTTTCGAGAACGTTTTGCCACGCTCCACTTGCACCGGCGACTGAGCCTGATCGCTGTGAGGCCCGGAGTGGCTGGGTCCCTCCATTTTGAAATGGGGTTGCGGATCGCCGTATCCGTCACGTATGGGGTACCGGTGTCGTGATTTTCAAGCTCCATTGTATGTCGAAAGTGAAATGCAGGTACACTGTACAGGTGAGTCTCCGAGCCTCGAGCCGCGCGCTGCTTGCTCAGATAAGTGAAGACACTAGATACAGTGGAATATACCGATAAGACAAGACAGGGTCTGTCGTATCTGTGCGCCGGACTGGCCACGCGGGCGAGAGTGCCGCACGAGTGCACTGATAACGGAGTTTGGGAACTGGAATTGCGGAGGAAATTCTCGATCACGTCGCACAGTCCATGTGGTCTAAGTCGACCTAGTATGTAGCTCTTAAGGGGGATGTCAACAATTATGATAGACGCGAGAGCCTCGACAATTTTCGAGGGGTTAGAATGTTGCTTTTTTCTATAGTCTAGAATCACGGTCTATACTTTAAACCTTGCAGCTGATATGCGTCTTGACCGGAAGATCCCAGTGTCGATTGCTAACAAGATTTCTACGTGTTAGCAATCGGTGACTTTGGTAGCATTGGGTTTATCGCCATGCCCATGCAGGGGTCAATTTGCCTGCCTCGGACCAGACGGACCAGACGTTCTTGACATCGGGTCAGAACGCTCCCCCGGACTTTTGCCGCTCTGGATCAAAGGACCTGGATGATGAGTGGGGTGGCACTGGCAGATAGGACCTCCAGATCTGGGAGGCAGGTGCGCCTTTCGACGAATTGATAGCGCATGATTTGAATGAAATGAAGGCCATAGCAGCCCATCTATAGCGTTATCGGCCCAACGAGAGCGAAGCGATTGATCATACTAATTGAGGCTATTACAAGGCCCGATAGCTGATTGGACCTGGTTTATCTGGTTATCACAAGAGAAACAAAACCACCTCTCAAAAGCGAGAGTGGGCATAAGATGGCTTGGGTGGCGGTCTACACGTATTGATATTACGGCGTAGAAGTGCTGGATGCGGAGGTAGATCCAGGGTCTTGACACCCGCGAATTTCACAGAAGACGGACAGATTGCAATTCGGAAGAAAAGTAAAATAATGACTAGGACCATGTCGGCGGTTGATCATCGCTAACTCTACAAACAATGTCGGCGGCGACCGGGCTGTATGATGCGACGATGATGACACGGAGAGTTGAGGGTGGCGTGGAAACTCGGCAGATGGGGATACCATATCCGCACGACCGGGACGTGATCTGGATCCCCACCATTTGGCACAAAACCATATAGAAAAGAAACCCAAAGAGAAGGAAAATTTTAGACGTCCACATGGAATGAGTTAAGTCATGCGCCAGTGAGAGATTTTCTGTTTCCCCAACGACCTCGTTTTTGGGCTTGAGAATGTCCAGAGTATGAGGCACTTTTATGTGTGTGCGTTTGTGTGGGGAGGGGGGGGAAAGATACCGTAATACCAAAACGACTAGCCTGATTAGGCACATTGCGGATCCACGCCTTCCCCTTTCATGTCATTTTCTGATTTTCGTTTTTTTTGCCCAAATAGCACTTTTCGCGCTGCGTGACTAAATTTAAATCTTTATCTTCCTTGCCTTCCCCCCCACCTTCTAAAAACTCCATTCTTCCTCTCTTTGGATTTTTCATCCATCCGTTCGTGTTTTGCTTATCCTTCGGGATTCAGTTCTTCTTTGTCTTTTAATAACCTTCCTTGCTTGCTTGCAAGCTCAAAAACCCATCTCTACACACATACACCCATAATCATTCATTATGGTACGTCCCACCCCGTTAAACTCTTCCCGAGTGACTCACTCACTAACAAGCTCTCCAGGCTGCTGATTCAACTGTCATCTCCAACACGGAGAATGTGCGTTTGATTCTTGACACTTTGGATTTCCACAATGGCCGTTGAGCCAGAGAGGAAACATACTGACTTGCATGGGGTTGATAGCTCATGAAGTACATGTCCCTGGACCAGCGTGGTCACGTCCAGGCTGAGTACATCTGGATTGATGCCGTCGGCGGTACTCGCTCCAAGACCAAGGTAAGCTCACACCCGCATACTCGCCTATCCTGCGCATTCCACCGCCACACTCTGGTGGGATGGAATTGGGGCTTATCTTCTCGATAAGCCCTGTGCAGGGGGATTTTTAAACACGCGACTGCACCCATCCGCGTCACGTGAGCAATAGAGGGGCAGTCATGATCTTTGTGCTAATGCGCCTACGATAGACTCTGTCTAAGCCTGTCAAGTCCGTTGACGAGCTCCCCGAGTGGAACTTCGACGGTTCCTCCACCGGCCAGGCCCCCGGCGACAACTCCGATGTCTACCTCCGCCCCTGTGCCATCTTCCCCGATCCTTTCCGTCAGGGTGACAACATCCTCGTCCTTTGCGAGACCTGGGACTCCGATGGCAGCCCCAACAAGTTCAACTACCGTCATGAGGCTGCCCGCCTGATGGAGACCCACGCCAAGGAGGAGTTCTGGTTCGGTCTTGAGCAGGAGTACACTCTCCTCGGCACCGATGGCTGGCCCTACGGCTGGCCCCGTGGTGGTTTCCCCGGCTCCCAGGGTCCCTACTACTGCGGTGTCGGTACCGGCAAGGTCTACTGCCGTGACATCGTCGAGGCTCACTACCGTGCCTGCTTGTACGCCGGCATCACCATCTCCGGTATCAACGCTGAGGTCATGCCCTCCCAGTGGGAGTACCAGGTCGGCCCCTGCCCCGGTATTGACAGTAAGTTTTCCGTGTCGTCTGACCGATATGTACCTTTGAGAAAATCTGACCCGGACTGTAGTGGGTGACCACCTCTGGATGTCCCGCTTCATCCTCCACCGTGTCGCCGAGGAGTTCGGTGTTCGCATCTCCTTCGACCCCAAGCCCATCAAGGGTGAGTGGAACGGTGCCGGTCTTCACTCCAACGTCTCCACTGCCGCTACTCGTGCTGAGGGTGGTATGAAGGCTATCGAGGCCGCCATGAAGAAGCTCGAGGCTCGCCACGTTGAGCACATTGCCGTCTACGGTGAGGGCAACGAGGAGCGTCTCACCGGTCGCCACGAGACCGGCAACATCGAGAAGTTCTCATATGGTGTCGCCGACCGTGGTGGCTCCATCCGTATCCCCCGCCAGGTCGCTAAGGACGGCAAGGGTTACTTCGAAGATCGCCGCCCCGCTTCGAACGCTGATCCCTACCAGATCACTGGTATCATCGTCGAGACTATGTGTGGTGGCCTCTAAATGGACATTCATAATCATTTGGTCTTAGCGCTCCGATACCCTCTCGGCATCAACTGGGAGTTTGGACCACGAGAGCGGCCTGACTGCGTGAGGGAGCCTTCATAGATTTTCTCTTTGACCCGTGCCTTTTTTTCCATCTCTGCCGTCGCCTTCTTCTGAACCTCATCCTATCTTCTTTTTTCCTAGGCGCCAGGGCCTGCCTCTGCGTTCATCTTACCCCCCCTCCCTCGTTGCACTCGCCGATTCTCTTGTTTTGTTTCTTCTGAACCCAATCAACAACCAACCCTCGGGTTATGTGACACGTACAATAGCATAGAATCATTACATGGATGGAACATCAACCATCGTTTGAGAACACCACTACAATGGTGAAAAACTGTTTTCAACCACACCCACCCACTGTCGCAACCATGAATCCTATGTAATTCCATCCGTAACTATGTAAAGATGGGGAAGTATAAATTTATGGCAGTGGTGCAAAGTCATGATCATGAGCTCCCTGCAAGTAATCGAACCCATCATCCACCCACTCAACACAAGGAACCACACGGGCCCAATGAATCTTGCCTTGCATACTGCGTGGCAATCTCAACTTTTGGTTGGATCTATACCAGTTTGCAAACTGAATGGAAACAAGCATCACCCTCGGTTCATCCGTCCTATTCGGCATCCCAGCATGCCACAATCTGAGATCCCGAATAACCAACGCCCCTTGGGCAGTCCAGGCTGAATGCCCGGACAAGTCCTCCTCCTCTGTTCAAGCAAGTCCTCTTTGACTCCGCCATGCTCCGACTCCCGATCAACCACGTCCCGGTCAGTTTCAAGATGAGTCCCCAACCACACCTCGGTCGCTCCATTCTCCTCACTCGTCTCGACAAGATTGACATTCACGCAAAAGGCAAACGGCACCTTGGGCATCTCGAAATCAATATCAATATGCACCGGCTGCCGTCCTGTCGCCTTGAACGCCGTATTCGCACTATAGAAACGTAGAGCAGGGTCCGGACCCAGCATGCATTCTATCACGGATGTTGCGAATGGGTTGGCGATTACATCTTCGAAGATGTATTCTGCCTCGCAGACGGGTTCTTGTTGGATATTTCCTGTGTCGTTGCCGAAGTTTCGATGTGTTTCGCTGCGGGCGTAGAGGCGCGTGGCCTCGGGGACCATACGGGCGTTGAGCTTGTCCAGGTGAGTTGGGTTAATGGCGTTGGCGAGGACGACGATGCCGTCGTGGTGGAGAGCTTCGAGGGATTTCTGGAGGTGCGAGGAGTTGAGTTGTTTCGTGGACAGTTCATATGGGGTCAGTTCGATGATGGTGATTTGGGGGGTTGGAGGGGACATGGTGAGAAGTGATGAGATGAGATGAGAGGTGATTTTGTAGGGTGAATCATTCATATTTGAAGATGCAGTATATCACCGCTCAAATGCCTGTGACGAGAGGGGTATTGCCGAATCTCCGAGTTCCCCGGTTTAGTACTGTTCAGCCTGCCTATCTTGGTAGTGCGGGCCTGACATTGAACTAAATGTGATCTGATGAAAACAGATTATCTGTCACTTTGACCACAGAGTGACTGGTAATCTGAGGGTTAGCTCAGCGAACTCATACGCGATTGAAAGGCTCAGCTTTTCCTTTTTTCTGTCTAGGAAAGGTCCCTGGTTTCAACTGCTGCGCAATCCCTCATGCGTAGAATATCGAAAGATCAGCAGTGACTCGGTGAAATTGACGGCGCCTCCATTGACTTCCTAATTTATTTCCTCAATTTCACTGAAATTAACAGCACAGCGTCTTTCCTTCGACCTATCGACCTACCATCCCACGCGGCTTGCTTGAAGGAGGCCACATCAGGTCAGATTTCTCACGACTTAATGGGGTAGCAACATGAGCTTCATACTGTAACATCATATCTTTGAGGGTTGGCTTGAATCGCTAGGAAAATCGAGCTGTTGTTGCTTAGATGACAAGATCAACAGGTGCTATTCTGACTGACTTTTGATCAAAAGGTCGATGGGCTATCTGAACTAGAGATAATACAACGATCAAGCTACAAATTCAAATTGGAAAATCTCTAGTAGTTAGAGTGGGCAGCGTCTGTGGCTTGCTCGGTCCAGCCTAAGACTTGTAGCATCGAGTCATCATCTCGTAAAACACTTCGGGACAGCTAAGGAAGAGGGTCTAAATGTGGTTCTGAGACCGGCTCCCTATATCGGCGGCGAACACGAATAGGGTGGATTCCCCCAGCTTGGCTTAATGAAGTGCCCGAGATGGTCGTGCGTACCGACAATGAGCCTTTTATGACTGTTTCGAAATTGTACATTGATCGCCTTGCCCAGGACATTATCCAGGATAAATCTGATCTCTACGGAGTTAGGGGGTACTGCATACCATTCCGGGGAAGGTTGGTCCGAGCAACGAAAGGCACAGTATATCGACCTTGCATTTGGGATTCGGCCTAGACCTTCTTTTCGGTAATTGACAATGTTCAACAAGGTTCCAGTCCTGATATGCAATTTAACATATCCAAAAACTAGCTTCTTTTATCAGATCCAAGATTTATCTCGGGCCTTGCAGCTGGTGCGGTCCTCAATGCTGCCACCACTAGCAGGCGGTGATGAAAGCTGGCCTCGATTTGTTAGATCGCCAAGTAACCCGATTCTAAAGCCTCATAGTATTGAGTTCTTTAGCACGACTGAGGATCTCACTAATCTCACGAGTGTTCTGGCAGAAGACAGGCGATAGCAGATTTGACATGGTAGTGTTTTCGTTCCGTTCAGTGATCTGAGAACGCCCGGGTTATGGTAGACAGGAAAGAGATGAAGATTATAGAGAACAAATGCACAATTCGATTGATCGCGATATTAGGAGAAAGCTTCAAGGGTTTTTTTTTGACAGTGCCAGCGGTGGCTCGTATACCATTCTAGTCGAAATCTCAGGTTTCTATCCGTCTTGAATAGTCACGATTATACAATTTCGTCCATTTATGACATTATACTCACGCGTATAGATAGAAGCACTGCCAAAAATGCACACTAGCTTATCGGACGCGTGTCTGATTTAACGTGATCTCGGCTTCGAATAATTTGGTAGGAACAAGCGACGAGCTAGACCCTTTGTATAGATTCCTGCCTAGAGGCCTACCAGGGCATGCTTCAAGTGAACTTCATTCCTTTCTGGGCGCAAAGGGATCATGCAAGATATTCAATCCTAGGCTCGCTTTGAAATCGATACACTTTTGACTTATTTTTGACTCGTTGACTGAACATCTACAAACATGAATGTTCACCATCTCCTTTCTGTCTCTAGCTTTCCCCGGCAGGTGTTCCTCGGAGTCCGCCGAGTGGGTCTGCACTAGTAACCATAGAATGCAATATTACCTTTTTCTTTCTACAGTTCAACTATTTTGCGAATTGTACGTCTAATGGAAAGCGAAACTGCAGCTACTACATCAACCTTTCAATCAGTTATTCTCTTATGGGCCAAAAAGGAAGCTGGAAAGATAAATCCCAAGCCCCCCCCCCCAAAAACTCCCCATGTTCAGCACGCTCTCGTTCAGGAATAAGCTAATCTCCACTTTGGCCTCGGTTCCCAGATAAGAAGGAATAGCCTTGTCTCATCAACCAGTCCGATGGTGTGATAGGCCTTGGACACTTCATCTTCTAGCGCTGAAAGGATTTCTTCTTTGGAAAAAGGCCCAGTTTGCATTTTCTCTCCAACTGCACGGTCATGGCAAACACCAACATGACCAAGGCGAGGAGTCAGTACATCGTCCACGATGTTGAAGATCCACTGTCCCCGCGGTCACCGCCAACTTTCAGACTGGCTTCCGACAATGGACAGATAGTTTCCGAGCATGAACGGTTAGGCCTGGTCCGTGGCTTGTCGCAGCGACATGTGCAAATGATTGCTATCGCGGGTGCAATTGTAGGTGGAGGTCGATGCATACTTTCTCCCGGCTATTAACGAATACAGGGCACGGGTCTTTTCTTGGGTCTGGGTACTTCTATTGCTACCGGTGGTCCGCTGGGAGCTCTGTTGGGTTATGCCTTTGTGGGCGTGGTGGTTTGCGCTATTCAATTTGCGCTGGGTGAAGTCGCCGCCTTAATGCCGGTGACGGGTTCTTTTGTGCGCCATGCAGAGCTTCTTGTGAACCCTGCGCTGTCATTTGCAATCGGTTGAATGTCGTCTATGGATGCTTCCTCAGTGTGCCAAGTGAGATCTCCGCCAGTGTGGTTTTGATTCAGTATTGGACGGATATCAGCGCCGCCGTGTGGGTGACGATCCTGATCGTCGTCTCCGTGGTGGTAGCCATCTCCTTGGTCCGAATCTATGGCGAAATTGAATTCATACTCGCCATCTTGAAGATTCTCCTGGTCGAGTTTGTGGTCATTCTGGGCCTGGTCATTGACCTTGGTGGAGTGCCGGGTGTACCACGACGAGGATTCCACTTCTGGAAAGACCCCGGTCCTTTTGTTGAGTACATTGCGACGGGCTCTTGGGGCCGCTTCTTGGGTTTCTGGGCTGTCATGACCAATGCAGTCTACTCATTCACCGGCGTGGAATCTTTGGCCATGGCCGCTGCTGAGACCAAGAACCCACGTCAGAATATCCCCAAGGCTTGCAAGCGGGTGTTTGCTCGAGTGTCCATTTTCTATCTTGCAGCCGTCCTCATCGTCGGGATGTTGGTGTCGAGTGCTGACCCCCGTCTCGGAGATGACTCCGGTACTGCAGCCACGAGTCCTTTTGTTCTCGCCGCCAGCGATGCCGGTATCAAGGTCATTCCGTCAATCGTGAACGCTGTCTGTTTGACTTCTGCTTGGTCTGCTTCCATCAGGGTATTCTCGCAGGTACGAGAACGCTCTATGGTCTGGCCGTCAAAGGTCATGCTCCCAAAATCTTTCTTCGTACTACTAAGTGGGGTATCCCATACATGTGTGTTCTACTGCAGATTCTCTTCTCGCTCTTGTCCTACATGTGCGTTACAACAGCGCCATGAATGTCTTCTGGTGGTTTGTGGACTTGACCGCTGCGGGTACTTTGGTTTCCTGGATTGCCATAGCGCTGAACCACATTCGCCTGTTGCAAGCTCTGAAGAAGCAAGGCATTTCACCTGATCAACTGCCGTGGCATAATCCTATAACTAGTGAGTGGAGACCCGAAGACCCTTACTTATCTCGATCGTTTTGATACTGACTTCAACCAGATACTAGCTGGTTCGCCTTGATCTCTTGCATCGTCATTCTACTCACTGGAGGTTTCGCGGTTTTCACAGACGGCCACTGGGATGTAGCCACTTTCGTTTCATCATATTTGTAAGTCATTCCCCAACCTGGAGCGCTCCGGGGTGTCAAAAGACTAATGCGAAATGTAGGGATATCCCGCTGGTGCTTCTAGCATACGGAGGCTATAAGCTGATTCGTCGGACCAAGATCATCCCTCTCGATGAGGCCCTATTCAGCAGGCGATCCAAGAAGCCAACGATGACCCTGATAATGTCCCAATTGAGAGGGACAGCCTGTTGGCAAAGAATTAATATCTTCTGGGGTTGAGATGCTTGTGGCCTGAGCGCCGAGCGAGGTCATTGGTGTATTCGGGGTATTCTTCGAACCAAGAATCTAATAAATTATCGTAATATCCATATCACTATTGCCAAAATCTGTTTACAACCATGACCGCCAAATTAAATCTTACTCGAGGTTAGCCTTGCCTCGTCTCGCCCAACCCATTAAACTAGCTCCGATCCCGGTCAGACCACGCTGTTTCACTTCACGACGACGTGCGTAGTCGACGGTGTTGCCTTCATCATCCTCCACGGGATCATCATACCACTTGTCTACGTAGCGAAGGAGAAGCTCCATGCTAACAGCAGCCAGAATACTCGCAATCAGAATGCCAATCATGACCAGATTACTCTTGCGATACTTTTGCCGACCGGGAGCTTCATAGTCACTCTTCCATCCCGAGTACAACGCATAGGTTGTCAGGATCACGCCGGTGTTGCCCCATCCGGAGACAACAGCCGATGCAGCTGCAACGCCGACTTCACCGTGTCGTGGCTGGAAGATCTCCGCGGTCCACGTCATGGTGATAGGCACGGTCGGTCCAAGGCCGAAGCCAACGATCAGAAGTCCACCGTAGCGAGGCCAGGGGTCCTCGTCAGTACCCGCGTAGCTAGTCAACAACAGGCCAAGGATCTGGATCAAGACAGGAACGGAGAAGAAGAGAGCGCGGTGGCGATGGAAACGATCCGAAAGCGGAGTGACGAGTAGAATGGCGATAAGATCCATCTATCGACATGTTAGCAGAGAAAACGACACTCAAAAAATCAATGAGCTCACAATCCAGATAGGTGCAGTCAGCAAGCTCAGGTCAACGCCGTTCAGCGACGGATCAATAGCAGCGATAATCACGTTGGCATAGAGCTGCACACCCACACCCACACCCACGACACCAAAGTACATAATGAGCAGCGGCCACAGTCTCCAATCCAGGAAAACATTCAACAGGTCTCGCATGTTCCACTTCGACTTGTGGTACACGCGCTTCATGTCGTGATAATGGACCACTGCATCTCGGCCGGTTAGGGCAGGTCTGCTTGTTGGCAGCCAGCGCAGAAGCCAGTGACGCTCGGGAATAGCCTCGCCCGGGGGCACAGGGCGGTCTGGCAGCCACCAGAGCTGTACAAAGCCCAGAGCGATGGTGGAGACACCCCAAACCAGGAACATCCACTGGAATCCAACATAACCCCGCACACCATCCATCTTCTGGAAGCCGGCGGAAACAAGGCCTACGACGGCAGCTGACACTTGTCCAGCGGTGAAATACTGACCAATGCGTTTCCCAATGCGAGATGGCGGATAGAATAGAGTGAGGTAGAAGGCCATGCCGGGCCACAAGCCGGCCTCGACAATACCGAGCAGTAGACGAAGCAGACTATGTTTGAGTTAGTCTTGGGATATCCCCAGAATAGGGTGAAAAGTATGAACACACTAGAGACTCCAGGCGGCCTTCATCGCTGTCATGCAGGTGCCAATCAGCCCAACGCTGATCACAATCCGACTCATCCAGATGTGAGGACTGAGTCGGGTCATCACCAGGTTGGAAGGCAGATCGAACACCACATAGCAGACATAGAAGAGTGCAAGAGCAGTGGAAATCTGGTGAGCATTCAAGTGCAACACACTTGCGAGATCATGACCGGAATCTTTGTTCATCGTCTGCGCCAGACCAATGTTTGATTTGACGGCGGACGTCATAAAGTAGATAATCCAGAAGGCAGAAATGATGCGCCAGTCCAATTTACTGTATTATGCGTTTAGCTATATGGAATGTCGCTTTTTGGAGGCCGTGACTCACCTGTAGATACGCTCGATGTTTTCTTGACTGAACTCCTCGGAGTTGATGTCGTCCAGCTCTCGCGGGCTCGAGGCACCCTGTGGTTGTTCCCGGACATCTTCAGATGCTGGCCCCTTGTTCACGCTCATGATGGACTCTGGAGTGTGCGTTGACGTCGTCGTTGAATTTGCCCTCTCTTTTCTCTTTTTTTTTCTTTGAGATCTTCTCGCACGAACAACAGCCGATGGAAATACTCAATCGACTAATCTTTTCAGTCCCCAAGCATGAGTAGAGTCAAAACGTGCCGGTATGTGATTAATTCCGCTGTGTGACTGTCAGTGGGCGGTCATCCTCATTTAAGGCCTAGCGGGTCCCCAGAAGATAGGATTCATCAACCTTAACCGAGGTCTGAAACCGGACTCGGGGAGCCAAGAGGAAGCAAAAAAGCGGGAGAAAAAAACCAAAAGACGCATCGTGTAAGCCTACCTCTAACAGCAAAGACAGACAGAGACAGATCCCCGGAAGACTCCGCTAAAAATCGCGGTATCGTGACGAAGTTCGCCGAGCGGAGAAAAAAAAGGAGCGGAGAAGGCCCGTTTTCAGATCTGATAGTCCGATTAGGGGGGGGTCTTGGCACTTTCCGCGCACACGTCTCCTTCTTGTACTATCTTCACAGAGACACGAACTTGGAGTGAGTCGCTCTCAGATAGAATGAAAGAGAAAACATAATAAAGACGTTGAGCCGTTGAGGTTGAGTCGCGGGAAAAACCTTCCGACTCTCGGCGCTGGCGTTGGACGGGAAAGCCTCCCCAACAGGTAAACAGCTCTCACCGAGGATAACTTTAATCCTCTGACTTGCCTTCCTAGTTCTTTAGAATTCGATTTTGTTTTGGGCCTCGGTCACTCTTTCTAGGTGCTGGGGAATTTTTCAAACTTTGATCAGGCCATTCCATTTCTTACAGTGATCTTCGCTGTCACAATATTGGATCTTTTCCTCTCGCCTGTAGAGACGCCACTTGAGTTTGGCAACCTCGCCGCTTGTTACTCACCAGATCAACTGTAAGATTTTGGAAATCATTTGTATCTGTGATTGTAAATGCTATCTTTCATATTTCTTTCCCACAGCTTTTTCCCGAAGTTAGATGTTGCGAATCTATGAGGGTTCTGCGTTGTTTAAATAGCCCCAAATAGGGCCAGGTGTAAATTAATGCGCTATAACTCCATTACCTGCTCTTACTTGACCGATTCTTCAGGACCCAGGGCTTTGAACCGCCGGTCTCGGTAAAATTGATTCACGTGATACAAGCCCACTTATTGGCTGATTTGGTGACTTTGTGCCTAAGGCACTAATTCAAGAACATCGACATTAGGTTTTTTTTTTTGGCAGATGAGTACCCCTTAGTGCATGGAATTTGATACACAAAAAACTTTTTGACGACCTACATATTATTGAAGATTAGATTATCACATTGAAGAAGCACCGCGAAAGACTAAAGATTGCTGCTTTAACGAATGTTGACTTAGAGAGATGATATTTATTCAAGCTCGCCGTTAAGCTTTAGGCTAAGGCCAGGCCAGGATATTTATTTCGAAAAGCTTGGAAAGACTATGGGCATATAAGTATTCTGTTCTGGTCTCTGGAGTGATAATTTCATTCTTTTCTACTTCCAATCTTCAACAGGCTTTGCAGCATGAAATTCCTAGAGGCTCGTGTCCGCGCCAAGCAAGTGACCCACCGTATCAATACTCGGATTTTGACTTTATTCCATGTGTAGGCAGCAGTCTGATTGTCGGAGGTTCCGCAAGCGGCAAGCGGCCAATCTACAAAAGGGTTCGCGACTTCAACGAATATTGGCTTTGTAGCTTTTCTTATTACCTTAGCCTTTGGAGTCTAAGAAATGGCAAGGACCACCTGGACAAGAGGAAATACAAATGAATCAAGTATTTCTACTTCCATTCATAGCGCATGACCTAAAATGTTCTTTGAAGGTAGGTTACATTTCATGCATGTACACTGGCTTCAGATTAGTACCATTTCACAGGTTGTTGCAGAATTTTCATTACGAGCCCTATAGTAAATTCAACCAGACAGGAACTTAATAATTGCAAAAACAGAACTTCCACGACAAGGCACGTACAGAGGAAAGCAAAAACACAAAAAGTTATGACAAGAGTGGGATTCGAACCCACGCCCCGTAAACGAGATCAGGAAACCAATGTTTGGTGTTAAGGTGGACCTTAACCTGACGCCTTGGACCAACTCGGCCATCTTGCCCGGAAGATGTGATGACAAAGCATCTAGGGCTATATGAAAGCATTTGCTAGATGGCCTACCTTTTCTGTTGTGACAATTTCGAGTGTGCCGCCGTCTATGGAATTACGAAGCTAGAATCACGATATGACCGTAAAATAGGGCTAGACACTTTGTTTCTTTAGTCTTACTAGACTCGAAGTCATTCCCAGAGGGGCATGATTTGAAATATGGTAACTCCTAGCATAACTGCAATAAGACACCATCCACTTCTGGCCATTACAGCCTCAGTCCTAGCCCCATTGGTAATAATTGTACCAGCAGCGGAAGCAGAATTTGAAGGTGTAGACGTAGACGTAGAAGAAGCGAATGTAGACCTCGTATTGTCTGGCGTACTAGTTGGCGTATATTTCATTCCACTGGGATTAGTCCAACTAGTTAAGCGTGCTGTCGCACTACCCGTTATCTTGCCTGGCGTCATGCTGTGTGTGGCAGTGAAACATTTGCTGACAGCAGTATAATTTGGAAAGCGATCCGAAGCTGGCGTGATAGATGGGCTATCCTCCACCGACGTGTAGTTGGGAGACGGGAGTAGATTCGAAAAAGGTTGATATGGCGGAGTGACTTGGCATTCTGCAGCACTCAAAGAAGACATATAGGATGCGGTAGAGTGCTCATATGCTGCAGCGGACATTGAGGGTGAGCCACGGTAGCCGTGAGCATAATAGCAGGCGTCGCAGCCGCGCGTTGCTTCCCAGTGCCCACCGGTGCAAAGACCTTCTTGCTCAGCTAGAAAGTCGATTGGGCTAGTGCCATTTGCAGTGCACACAGCTTTGATGTACGTTTACTGCTCGCACGGGAATGGTGACATGGCAAGTGAAAAATTTAACGCACTTCCTGATAGCCGAAGCGACGATGTTCGGGTTATGTTACTCAGTGTGGAATACCACATCTTTTCAAGATAGAGATAGAAGCGGGATCGTTCACTATTGCATCTGCTCTTGAGACATAATAGGTACCAATCATCAAGGCGCTGATGCTGAGAGGGTGCATTTTGAATATCATCTTCCTGGAATGGGAAAGCGTGGGTTTAATAAGTAGCTGTGTTGATCAGGCTTACGAACAAAAGTCGGGGCAAAATGCGACATTCAGACCCTTTAAATAGGCCTGAGTAGAGGGAGAAAAGTGAAAGGGTTCAACCTCCAGGGAAAGGGGCGCAGGAATTTTGATTTTGCTAGTCAATTTGGGTGTACCTCAACGACAGGGGGTGTTGGTTCTCATTCAGCAGTGTTGATCTGGTATTAGAGCAATCTCACGCTTCGACCGCAGTGTCGCATAATTTTATTGGCGGCGGTTACGGCCGTGGGAGGCTTGTATCACTGGGAGCGGCCCGTGTTGCCATCACATCATTTAGGCTATCCTTTGCCCCATCGAGTATCTTGTGGTCACCCAAGCATCTTTTCCGGGGATGCAGCTCCGGCTCAGATAATACATACAGCCTTTTAGCTGTACAGTCTCCGGCCTGAGATGGAAAGGAGCCTAGCACGAGAACATTTTTCTCATTACGACCATTTGACAGGCTTTGTGACCAAGCGCAACGCAAATCACTGCCTACGGCCATGCAGAGCCTCCTATCAAAGTGTCTTGTAAGGTTCTGTTGGGCCGGCAATTCGCCGCCGCTAAAAGATAGAAAGGGGCTGAAGCGAAACAACTTATGATGTGAGCAAGATCAGGATTGCTGTTAGAAGCGAGCAGAGAGGCATTTCCAGAGTTTTATTAGTCAGGATGTGAATGAAAGGGCAGAAGTGAAATATATTCTCGAATGATAGGTAACAGAAAAATCGCTAACGATTTACTTTTCCTGGGGCTGCTCCCACCGAGACTAGGGTTAAGCCGCTTGGCAAATAACCTTAAAACCCACACTCTTGGAAAGTAGCTTGATGCATCCATAATTATAGTTCAAAGGATGAGCCGTATTGAGAAAACCAGGTACAGGAGATGTTACCGTGCTGTCAGTCTATGGCATGATGTACAGGAGAATCATTTACCCGAGTTACATACGGACTAGGGCACATGCATGATCCTTGCAACCAAGTGAGGATTATTGTACATTGACGCTTATCTAGCATCTTCTTATCTTTGCCCTCTGCACAGCTTCAACATGTCAGATTTAACGAAATCTCTCGAAGGGGCATCCCTTGCAAATGGGCTGGTACCTCGCCGTTTGCTCCGCGAAGAAATCACCTACTCCGTCGCGAAAGAAAAAGACTACAATGTACTCCATGAATGGAGCTACTGGGATCGTCGTTCTCAATTCTTCAGGCACATTCAGTCTCATCATCTGCTGCTTCAGAATATCGTCGCTCATCACCTCGGGGTTTCCTCCGATGTATGCCGCGTCACTGAGCCGCGAGAATGGATCCATGGGAGTTTCAATGTATGTATTAGCATCGACATGGATGCTACGGCGCGGCATTGTGGAAGAAAAGTAATGCTACGGCTTCCCTTGCCTTATAAACTTGGAGAAGACAAATATCCGGGGAGTGTAGATGAGAAGATCCGGTGTGAGGCCGGAACATACGTGTGGCTTCAAGAGAATTGTCCCACAGTACCCATTCCGGAGTTATATGGATTCGGGATGTCCACGGGCCAGGCGGTATGCTTCTACAGCTCCGCAATCCGCCACATATCTGATACTGATGCTTTCAGTTCACTGCCTTGAAGTTTCGCCCATTAATGACACGCATGATCTGGTCTCTTCGCCGGACCATCTCAAAGTGGCTTGGATATCCACTCGCAACCCGTTATATCCCAAGGACATATATAGAAGCATCAGTGCTAGGCTCAGGTTACCTATTGATTGAATACATCGACTCATCCCAAGGCGAAATGCTCTCCAACACATGGCCCGAAAAGCGCCAGGTCTCAAAAGTACGACAGAATCTTTCTCGGGACCTCTCTCGCACTCTCCTCATACTTTCCCACATACCTCTCTCAAAAATTGGGTCCTTCACCATAGAACAGCAAAGGCTACCTTACCCTAAGCAACAGACCCCTCACCCTTGACATCCACTACCTAGAAAATCAAAACATTCCAATCAATATTCCATGAGAGGGCACTCACACAAGCACGGAAACGTATGTCAACGACCTATTCTCCATTCACGAAAGCCGTTTCCGTCATCAGCCAAACGCAGTCAATAATTTCCAAGACGCCTTCTACCAAGCATGCGGATTGACCATGATGCGAAGTGTTTGGCCGTGTTTCTTTCGTCGGGATCTACTGTGTGGACCTTACTTTCTCAGTCTTACGGATCTGCATCAGAGTAATATCTTCGTTGACAAAGACTGGAATGTTACGTGCATTATTGATCTGGAGTGGGCATACACACGGCCAGTGGAGATGATTCATCCGCCAAGCTGGCTATCCAATCAACCGTTGCAGCTTATTGAAGATGATCATTATATCCCTCTACATGGAGAGTTTATGGCTATCTTTGAGGAAGAAGAGAAAGCTCTCGGTCCGGAGATGCAGCCGCCTTTTCCATTATACCCAATCATGAAACAGGGGCTGGAGAGAGGAACTTTGTGGTGCTCTTACGCTTGGAACAGTCCAGGCGCTATATTTGATATGTTCTATAGGCATATTCAGCCGCGTTTCGCTAAGAGTCACATTGATGAGGACTCTTTTTGGCTGATCACTATGCCGTATTGGGGGTTTGATAGTTATCAGTTTCTGGAAGATAAGCTGGAGGACAAGGCGAGGTACGATGAGGATCTGCGAAAGATGTTTGAAAGAACGGTGGATGAGTACGACGCTACTGAGTGAGAGGAAGAAATTCCTAATCATCGTAATGAGATTTCTCTTTGTGGGTTTACAAGTATGTGTCATGCTGAAAAAGTCCGACTTTCCTTCGTCATGTATTTCGTATACACGATCTCAACTGTTATTCTTGTAGGTGTCTGAAGCCTACCATTTGGGATCGTCTGTGGAGAAGGAGCGGTCATGTACATGGGTATAAGAAGCAAGAATACGAACGACCAATCAAAAACAGCCAGCTGCTCAATTATAAGAAAATCCATGATCTCCACGGTCTGTCCCCAGGACAGAAGCACGATTACCCAGAACCAGCGACGCGGAAGTCAAAGATGAAAGCATAACAGACATAAAGTCATTCGTGACATGTGTGGGTTGGTGGGCATAGAGTGAATACGCTCATGTGAGTCTAGCTGCTGCTATCCGACATGCTGCCGTGGGGATGCGCAACGTGAGTTCCCTTGCCGCTCTCCAGCTCGAAACCAGCAGTGAAGCCGCTCTTGCGCTTCTCGGAGACGTGGCTGGCACGGCGCAGGTGCTGCTCGGTGTCTTCGTAGTTGATGAGGAGCTCTCCATTCTTGCCATAGCGGTGGGGCTCATTGCGGGCGACAGAGACAACGTTGAAGACACTGGTGGTTTTGTTAAAGATGGTGTCCATTTCCTCGAGGGAGCGGTAGGAGGTCTCGGGATGGAAAAAGTAGACGACAGGGAAGATGAAGGCGTTACTGACAATCTGTTAGTGTCTTGAGGTAGTTATCACTGGAAGGGAGACTTACATGACCGCAAAAATGATGTAGGTCTGGTATCCGATGGTATCAAAAGCCACAGGGGTAATCATGACAACCATGAAGTTGAAGATCCAGTTGCTGGAAGTAGCCATGGCATTGGCAGGCGCACGGATACGGAGCGGAACCTAGGAAAGGTTAGCCACATGAACACTGATCATGGCGAGGAGAGACTTACAATCTCAGCGGGATACAGCCAGGTCATACCCAGCCAACCCCAAGCAAAGAAGGTATTGAAGACGAAAAGGAACACAGCAGCCGCGATACCGGCCTGGGAGTTGCCTACAAAGCTAGTGGCAATAGCCAGAACCATCATAGAGATCGACATGCCAGCAGCGCCCACTAACATCAGCGTCCGACGGCCAACCTTCTCGATGATAAAAACGGGGATCAATGACGCCAAAAAATATTCGGTGCCGTTGCAGGCAGCCAGAATACGGGACATCAGACCACTCATGCCGATCGACTTTTCGTAGATTGTAGCGGCGTAGTAAGTGATCAGGTTGATACCAGAGATTTGTTGGAACATCTGGTTGACGTAGGCGAGAACGACACGATGGAAGTGGCGGTTTTCATCCATGGTGATCAGATCGCGGAAGCCGACACTCTGATCGGCAAGTACAGCATCCTTGATCGCGGCGAACTCGGAGTGAACATACGGGTCGTCCTCAGGCAAATCCAAAATGGCTCCCAGAACCACGATAGCCTCGTCTTCGCGGCCCTTCAGAGTCAGCCACCGGGGCGATTCTGGAAGAGGCATCACGCAGAATAAGATGATTAACGCAAACAGGTTCTGGAAAGCGATAGGGAAGCGCCAGGCCACGGAACTAGGGTCGAGGAAAGAGAATCCAAGATCCATCCAGTAGCTGATGGTAATGCCAGCAGCAATCAAGGAGCCCTCGACCATAACGAGCTGGCCCCGATGGTGGGACTTGCTGCACTCAGATTGCCAGGTAGCTGGACATTCAACATCAGTGACCATAACATCACATGATAGACAAGGATAGAATACATACGGACAGTCGAAGTGTTCAAGCCGTTACCAATACCGGTCACAATACGGCCGACGATCAGATGCGGAAGCGAGTAGGCGCAAGACTGCAGCGTAGCGCCGATGACCATGATAGCGGATCCGGCGAAGATGGTCTTGCGGCGACCCAGGTAATTTCCGATCCAGATACAAAAGATAGCACCGAAGAAACAACCCAAGTTGTATGATGCCGTTGTGATACCTTGCACGGTCGAGCGATTGCTCTTCTGAGCGGCCGATAGGCTCATCTCACCGGCCTTGGTAGTATCGATTTCCGGGAAGGTTCTAACAAACGAGTTCAACGTCAACAGACCACCCATCACACCTTGGTCATAACCAAAAAGCCTATCGTACATTGTTAGCGAATGGAGCAATGGGCTCGAAGGAATGGAGCATACAAGAAATCAAGACCAGCAATGATACTGATCATGATGTTGAGGGACGTGCCCCTCAGTCCGAAATATGGCTTCATCGTGGGAGATAGAAAATATATGAACTGGGTAGGAGCAAGAATACAAAGAACCGGCTGGGTACAGTCAATGTAACAGACAATTCCCGAATCGTGTCAAGTCAATGTCCAGCAGTCCAAGCCTGTGGACGAAGAAGGAATGCAATGGAGTGTGAACGAAAAAGGAACCTTTAGGTCTGGGGAAGCAGCTGGGGCTTAAGAACCCTGGCGAGGTGACCTAAGATCCAGCGCCATGAGAGACATAGTAAAAAAAATAAAAGTGGACTCGATCGACATCCCAGAAGGAGCAGCAGGGTCGCATTGAGTCAACGCCGGATCAGGAGAACAGGTCATCTCCACAGACCGGGGAGTAGAGAGGGTCAAACTGCGATATCATCAAATCACGGTTCGGGCTCGTTGTCGCCAGCCCTTTTCGGCATCGGGTTGTACCGGTCAACAATGGCCCAAGGATGGCCACTTCATCGGTAAGATTCCGGTATCACGGGCCCGTCAAGGGTACGATTACGGGACTGAACTCGCGCAAGTCACCAGTCGCTGCTTTCAGTTCGAGATCAAAGTGGATGATCACATCGATGATGCCGGTTCTCTTCCTCGTGGTTCGCGTGGTTGACGGTACGTTTGGTCCGATGGGCCCCTCCCCGGATTCTCCTGTGGAGTGGTCTCAGGTCCCTAGGATTTACTGGACGCGACCCCTTACGCCGCATTGTCATACATACTCTATGTCACAGAGGTTTCGATTAATCTATCGATCTAGTTCATGAACTAAACCAGAATATTGCCGCGGTGCCGTGTCAAGGGCCGTGTCGACAAGGATCAGCCCGGCTTCGGGATACTTCAACAAACCACGGCGTCGGCTTCGTGTTGACGCACTGACCTTAGCCCTGAGATCTTACAAAGTACAAGGAAGCTTGATTCGGTGTCTGGAGAGCTGATCCCGAAATTTCAGGTTCTATCCTGGACTGCCGCCTATTTACTCATCGACTCCTAGCTTAGAAGGGTACTAAGGATAGAATGGTCAATGCTCAAAGAGAGTGCTTTCCTTCTCAAGGGCACTGGAGCCACTTCCCCAGTTCCTGAGGGCCCGGAGAAGCAACTATAAGAACGTGGAATAGCCTGAAATGGAAGATGAACAACCGATCGCGACGGCCACAGATAATGACACCATTGAAGACGGGAACGTTGAATGCAATCTTGGCCCTAACTTAATATAATTTTGCTATTGTTCCAATGTATTTTCTAGCGGGGAGACTGGCGCCCGAATTGAAGAATGAGGAATGTCTCGATATCGAATCTTCAAATCGAACCATGAACTCCGGTACAAACCCCAGGAAACTCCAGCTCGGTCGGGGCCGAATCTCGGGGTCTTCAATTCTTCAAAGTGGCCCGATCGAGGGCGGGGCTCGGCTTACCCTTTTCGGCACCCCGTTTCGAGCCTCCTCTTTTAGGTATCTACGTAATGGACATAATTGCACATTATTGGCATCTTTTTTATTGTATTTAGGCTTTTTAACCTGTTGAACGAGAAAAATAACTCGATTTGATCATTTTAGATTGAAACCCTAAATTCACGCACCTCGCCTCTTCCAGTGCATTGCCGCGCCAATGCCTGCCCGATGGGGCGAACCCATTTTGCATGCTCAGTGGGGAATGCATTTACATGATCTCAGCTCCTTGCTTCTTGTCAAGAACATCGGGCATCTCCCCAGGATACTCTCTGTGTGCTTTCTATCACATTCGGCCTCACCGATATACTCTCGAGGTATGATCCATAGATTTGGCTGGTCCCTGCACGAATCATGTGTACGCCACAACCTTCCAGTAAAGCTTAAGTGATTTTCACTCACTGGTGCATCTACTGCATCTCGAAGATTCTTTGTGCAGCGAGTTCCCTTTCCGCTGAAACCTGCAACTACGATGGACTGGAATTCTGTGCACCTCGCCTCATTCATGTCCCTTGGTAGACACGCCTAAGCATCCAGTAGAGCCCTCTCACGGGCCATCACCTGATTCACTAATATCGAGGTTGCATCCATAGCCCACAAATCCCGAGCCGAGGTTTCGATCTCTTATTGCACACAGAGCTGAGATCACATTTCATCCAGAACATAGTGGATAATTTAGCCACTCATGAGCCTCCGGATTCGAAAACGGACTCACAATATACTCCAGCTTTGTTCTGGCACCGTAATACCACAACCCCAGGCACCACGGAGATCTCGGAAAAGAAAGAAAGCTTACAGTAGCATCCAATCAGACCCCCCCCTTCAGACCATCTGCAAGTGGTCATGACTCTACCCGGGCGTTTAAACAATAGATCCAAATCATACCGTCGGGGAGGAACAGGAAAAAGGCCGGTGCGGGACTCGGAACAATCGCCCCGATCAAGTGCTCAGCCCATGTTGCATTCCGGTATGCTCCTCTGTTCCGCTGTACAAGTACACCGTTCTCTACCTCAAAGACTTCCTCGCATTGCTTATCGCTGACGAGTATGATCTCATCGCGCTTGCCAAGGGACGCGGAATAACCGCGCTAATGCTAGCCCGCTTATGCTGCCGGAACAGGTTTTCCAGTGGTGCGGCATTTTGCTGGATCGATCGGCAGAGCCGAACCCTTGAGGCCGAGTGCTAGGGATGCCGGGTCGGAAAGTCAAGTCAGTATGTCTCTGGTGGAAATGCGGTGTGCTGTCATGTTGGCTCGGTGTGCTACAATGACGACATTGATTGGTTCTGGTCATGTTGCAATGCAACTGAATCATAGGTCCCGCTTCATTTCGGGTGCTTTTATTGGTTCATCGTTTATCTGATTGAAAGAACGATCTAGATAAGGTGGGTTGAGGGGTACAGTCAGTGGAAGACCTTTGAGTTCGATATCTGTTCTGGACCGACAGGTCATTGATATCTGAGGATGGAAATGGTGTGCTTGGGATCGTGGGCAGTTTCAAGCCCTGTCGTTCAAGAATGGCAGATCTTCTGTCCTTGCTGGAGAGCTGCACAGGTAGTAGTGTTCTTGGGTTCGGATTGGCTATCCGACTCGGAATTATTGTAACGAGAGTTGCTGACATGGGCCAGGCGACTATGATCTATTTACTGGAATCCAATCACTACGTCTTCCAGTCAGTATACAGCTTCGAGAGATTTTCAATATTAATAGAATTTCTCAAAAATAATAAAAATGTTTGTCTGTGTATGCGATACCTATCGATGAGGGCAGTCAAAAGACATTGAGCTGCGCTTCCATCCGCCCAGAAGGTGGCCAATCCGGTCACGAGAAAACCTCACCAGCGCCATAAGTAACCCTCGCAAGACTCTCTTCGGTTCTAAATCTCGCTGTGGAGCATCATGTGTACACGCAGCATTAGGACCCGTCTCGCTTGGTGTTTACTGCAAATGGAGTCAACATGATCTTCTTCGCTACCCAGATCAAAGCCCTCCCACTGGGCTTCTCGAGGCTTTCACCACGAGGGCTCGGTATCGTTGGCATTGCTGACATTTAGCTGCCCGAATTGTTCGGTGACCTCGTTGGAGGAGTCCCAAGTATTGTAATGGGACTGACTATCCTGTCCATGGCCACCTTGTTCGTTCTCGCCGGAGCCTTCAGGCTGAGGGCATCGTCGCACGGTATGGCCCACTAATATACTGTTAGTCCTTTTCCAAGGAACAACATTGAATGGAAGACTTACTTTCATTGCAGCGGTTACACTTGACCTTGGACCAATTTTTGGGCATGGGGCATTCACGGGCGGGGTGGCCCACTGTGGAAAATAACGGTCAATTCATCAGTCGAAAGATCCGGCATGGAGACTGGAATATCAATCTCCAAGTCTGACACTCACTCCCGTCACAATTGTGGCACTGAATTGTCTCAGGGTTGCGCGGCTGGTCGCATTCACGGGCAAGGTGATTCTCAGATCTACAGCGCGTTATTTTTGGACACATCCTCAGGTGTGTCTCCCGTGGAGTATACATACCCACAGTTGCGGCAAGTGCGAGCAGCGCCACCACCGTCCTGGGTGCAGTCCTTTGCGAAATGACCGGCTCGGTTATCGTTAGTACCCACCACGACAGCGAAGGAACTCAAGTTAAACTTACTATTGCCGCATTTGCGGCATTCAACATCAGCAAAAGAGCGTGGCTCGGGGCATTCCCGGGCTTGGTGACCTTCAACACTGCATGCGAATTAGAATTGGCCAATTCAGATCTATCTCCGGGTCGTGAATTACCCGCAATTGCGGCAACCGTGCTTGCTTGTGCGCGGTTGGGGGCAGTCGCGAACACGGTGGCCCACGTTGTTGCAGTTCAGGCAGATGATCTCGACTTTCGAGACCTCCTTGACCTCCTCGGGGCAGTGCTTGGCAATGTGACCGAATTCTGAACATGCGGTTAGCATCAAGTACAAGATGACATAAAGTCCGGGTCAATTACCCTCACAGTTGCGACACTTGGCGACCAGGCGATCGTAGGGAAGTCCCGCATTACTCAGACGATTCATGTTCTCATATTCGCTCTCGGGCCAACGATCCTTGAGGGCCTTTCGGCAGACTTTCTGGCTTCTGAAAAGTCCGACTAGATACTGACGGTCCAGTTGGCCCTGCAAGTCAATAAGGGTCATGTTATCGGCCTGATCAGGGTTCTCCTGTGGACAAAAAATCAAATTATTTCTTGCTTCAGGAAACATATCGGATAAGTGAACTGACAAGGCCAATGAGATGAAGTTTGAAATTCTCCTCACGCATCCTCTTGGCAATGTCCAGATAATTCGCAGCTGGACACGCCTTTGAGTAGACCTGAATGGCCTTATTGAAATGTCAGTGGCGGGTCACGCAAGCGTGAGTGGAGTGACTACACCTTGCGAAAGTCATCGATTTCGCCATCGCAGGCCTCCTTCATCATAGCCCAAGCGTCTTCAGGAGACTTGTCTTCAACGCCGGACATATCGAACTTGCGGTTTCCGTGGCAGTCTTTCACCGAGTGGCCTGTCAAATCCAATTAATATCTGAGACATCTTCGTCCGAACCTTTTCGCGCAGGGTTGATAGGCCCGCACCTTCTTCCTTGCAGTTCTTGCAGACGATGGGTTCTCGGAGAGGGCAGCGTGCAGCTGGGTGACCCTCCGTACCGCAGAAGTTGCAGGTGCCGGTAAACACCTTAGGCTTGGGACATTCGGCCTTGGAATGACTATTCGTTCGTTTACGGTCAGCATTTGATGTCAGCTAATAGCTCACTGGATAGCTTACCCCTTTTCGCCACAATTGTAGCAGGCCCCGAATTGCTGAGGGGAGTTAGGGCAGTCTGCCTTCATGTGCCTATTCATGAAAGGTAAGCCAGTATCTCCTGTCGGATCATGGGATGCAGTTTACCCCTCTTCGTTGCAGTTGAAGCACGCTCCTTGCGAGTAGCCGCCGTGGTCACCTTCGTTGTGATGTCCAGCATCGATATCAGGATTTGGACAGTTTCGGGCAAAGTGGTCATTTCCGCCACAGCTTTTCAAGTCAGTGACTCAGACAGATTGTTCGTGGAGACAAAACATACTTGCGGCACATATGGTCATCGCCGAGTTGGGGCTTTTGGTTCTCATCGCCTTGATCTATTACTGATCAGCTTCTCCCGAGGACGATATTAATCATAAACACAATGTGGTTCAAACATACCAATAATCCAGCTATTGCCGTCTCCTTCCTCCAGGCCATCGTTGCTCTTGTGGTCCCAGTCAGTGGAACCGGCCCGCTCCCACATGTCAGACATGCTGGAACGAAATTGTCCCAGAGACAGTGACAAACTTGATTCTGGAGTCCCTCTGTCAGTATTGATTACAGAAACTCTGAAGGGGGCCACCAGAATAATTATGGATGGGGATGATGCAAGAGAAGACAGTCAAGGATCTGGCCATTGACCAGAGCTCACAAGGGAACAATCGAGAATAAGGATATCACAGGAACGAGACTCACAAGGCCTCGAATTCTTTACGGTTGATGAGCAGACAAGCTTGTTGATGTGAAATGTGGGATGGAGGGAGGAAGAAGAGAGAAGAGAATGGGAGAAAGGAAACGAGTCAACAACAGCTCGTTGCGGAGCGCGAACGGCAAGGCGCGAAGCAGGCTCATTTCTCAGATTACGATGTCACAGACGTACTTGTCAGACTCGTTGCAAGTTTATTTGCTTTCATTTGGGGATTTGTTTAACCTATAAAGAATACATATCTTACAGCAATAGTATCATTGCTGTGCAATTCCAGTGAAGATTACTTTTGCCCTCAATTACCGGAAGAGCCTGCCCAGCAGGCTACCGGCAATATTGTTCACGATTCCACCTCCCAGGGCGCTGTTCGCGAATGTCGATGCCTGGCCGAACTTGTCACAACGGGAGAAAGCCACCGTGTTGGTAATCGTCAGAATAAGGGCAATGCCTACATTAAAACAGTAAGCAGTTGATCTCAAGCATCTGCAAGATAACTTTGTTCCAGTGAAATGGAGACTCACCAACCAAGCTCAACCAAATAACACCAACCAGCCTCACGATGGCCAACACGGCCAGGCCAACCCACAAAGCTGGTGTGACGTACATACTCAGCCAAAAGAACCGCTTGTCAGTGGCGCTGATCGCGCGAACATTGGGGTCTGCGGACTCGAAGACCCAGTGTGAGTCGCCAGAGGTGGTGTTGACTTCATTCCACCATCGTAGGCCAACAAGTCGACGTCCAGCAATGTTCTTGAGGTAATAAAAGTCCGCGGAGAGGAGGAGCAGGGTCAGGATGAATACAAGGATGCTGCACAAGCAGGTTAGCGGGGTGGAGTTCTGTGGCGGCGGGAGCTAGATAGCTTGACGCGAGGAAACATACAAGTTGTCAATGAAGAGGACGCCAAAGAGGTACATCAGCAAGGCACCTGTAAGTAAGAGACATTAGTCCAACGTTCATTAGTGTTCAATCGCCATACACGTCACGGACCGATGCGGATTCCCAAGAAGACAAGTAGCGTGATCGGGTGCGCGCTGAGGCGCCAGTTCAATTCTCCCTGCTGCCCTTGATCCATGGTAAAGATCTGAGAGCCACTGATTCTGAAGCTTCAAGAAGCACCTTTCCGCAGCAGAATGCTTGCTTGTTGATTCACGGGAGCAGTTGCTTGAGGATCCCCAATGTGTTCACAACACGGGACAGCGCAGGGCGGTGCAATGTGGCATAATAGTGAGGGATTCCATGTTCATTGGTTACAATGTGAAGGGTCTCCACTCTTGCCATTGCCCTATGTATGACAACGTCTGGGCCCTATCTTCTTTTTGATCAGCTTGTCTGTTGTTCTTGGAAACATGGCTACACCTCCTGTGAGAAATCAAAAACAGCCTGTTCCTCCTTGTTGAGGTTTTTTTATCAGTGAATGACCTATGCTAAACATAATGGACGGTTATGTATTTCTCACCAAAGGGGATGAGAACATCCCAACCCAGATCTGGGATATGGTCTGAGGAACTAGGGTCAAAAATTGGGCAAAGCTACTTCTAGACAATTATCTGGAGGACCCGAGGACTTCTTCATCTCGTAGTATGCGAATATAGGGATCCCTATCTAGACTCCAAGCCAAATCGAACTCTCTATGGACTCGACAGCCCTACTGCCGTCATCCTTAACCAATCTTGATACCTCCACCACTAGCACTGATAACACTTCCCGTGATCCACCGAGCATCGGAGCTGCAAAGAAGCCCAGCGACATCCGCAATATCATCCGGCTGTCCGAAACGGGGAATACTCTGAGAAGGGTAGAATTCATTCTGCAATTGCTTCACAATGTCAGGCGGGCAGCTCATCACGGAATCCGTCTCTGTCAAGCCAACCGATAAGGAATTGGCCGTGGTTCCGGCCATGAAGGAGTATCTCTCGTCTTTGCCACCGAAAGCCTGTGCCCAAGTACGACACAGTGACTCTCCTGCTGATTTTCCGGCGGAGTACATGAGCTGCTCGCTCCATGGAACGTGGGATCGAATAGATGAGATGTAGACGATACGACTGTTGGGTTGGAAGAAGCGCCGGCGAACAAATTCCTCGACGATCATGACGGGCGTCTGAACATTGGCGAGTAGACTTTGCTGAATATGTTTGGAATCCATTTCTCCAATCGTGCCTCCTCCTGTGGCACTGGCGTTGTTGACAAAAATGTCCACGCGGCTATTGAAGCTCTTGATGATCTCTTCGGTAATGATACTGGCGCATTCAGTAGAGAAGATGTCTGCGACGACCGCTGTGATCTTGAGACTCGCAGGTCTCTGCCGAGATGTACCGTGGAAGGCGCGACTGGTAACCTCTTCATTGAGGCTTTCCGTGATGGCAGCAAAGCCTGCGTCACCAGTAGCAGTTCCTAGGATATTACATCCGCGGGAGGCTAGGTTGAAGGCGATAGCACGTCCGATGCCCCGAGATGCGCCGGTCACGACAGCGACCTTGTCGACAAGGTCTAATTCACGCACACGGGCCACTGGCGGAATAGCGATTGAAGACATCATTGCAGTACCACTGTCTTTATTCAGAGTTCGAGGACCTCTAATATATTTTTTTTTGGTATGCGCTGATGAAGTCCGCGTCTTCTAGGGGTCTCTTTGAACTTTGTGCGAGCTACTGTCCGAGCAAGTCTGATACTAGTTCTTGGGTTTCCCTCCTGTATTTAAGACATTCTGGCGTCATCCCCACTTCCCCAAGTTGACATGAGACTTGATTGTTACATTGGTAGCCCAAAGCTAAGACTGAAAGACTCGCTCGTATTTGTCCAAGGCTGTGACAGATGCGCCCTGCTTTCTTTTGCCTCGGATCTTTGAGCGTCCTATTGGCCATCGAAATGATCTTCAGCCAATGTCGTGGGATATATGCCTCATGCAATCAAATTTAGACCATTCATTTCATGTGCCTCAATCTATTTTCCCGGGCCAGCTATTTTTGTAGATCAGGGCAAATCTGATGGCTTGTGCAAAATTGCCTCAGCTGAGTATCGCTATAATACACAAACGTCAGTCTGTTCTCATGGCATCACAATTTTTGATTTTGCAAATTTCGATCCTAATTCCAGATTTATAGGCTCGATAAGTTGTCAAGAGTTAAATCAAGGACCAAAGTATATCGGTCAAGCTTCGGCAATTTCCAGCCATGCGGGGCCGATCCCGCAGACCAAAACATATAGCCTACTCATCGGCTTCTCTTCAAACATTGAACATAAAACTCGATAATCCGAGCGAATGTCTACCTAGAATACGAACATTATATCTCTCAATCTCAAGGGTAGCAAGTCAGAATCATTGCTGGTTCCCATAGCCAGAAGCATTGATACCATCTGTAGCCAAGCGCGGAATTCCCGAGGTCTGCTGCTTCCCGGCTTGCGTGGATCCTCTCACTGACAACGCGAAGCTCCTTCATCGACGCGACGCTGCGAACAATCGAATTTACGGTACATTCAGGCAACTCTTCAAATGGCTGCCCGTAACACCCTCCGTCGCTCGCTGCTATACGGTAAGTCGTCCTACGGTGCTATCGCGTCTTCCCCGCATTTTGATTCTGAGCTGCCTCGACGAACTTGAAGCTTACAGGCCCCTTTAAATGCAGTCCCCGGATCCTCCCAGCGCTTCCTTGATAAGTCCCGCTCTCTAGCAGCAGACTGCGTCACATATGACCTGGAAGACAGCGTCACCCCGCACATGAAGGCGGAGGCCCGCAGCCTAGTGCGCAGAGCAATTGACCAGCCCGCACCAGCAGGAATCCGGGAACGCGCAGTCCGGATCAATTCCGTGGATAGCGGACTGGCGCTAGGAGATCTTACCGAAGTGGTGAGTAGCTTGGAAGAGGCACAGCTACGCAGGGCAAGAGCTAATTATGAACCACAGCTCCAATCACCCAACCTGACAACCATCGTTATTCCCAAGGTCAATTCCGCCTCGGACCTTACCTTTGTTACAGACGTAATCACGCACACCCTCGCCGCGCAACAACAGTCACCAGAATCACGCCCTCCGATTTCGCTCCTCGCCCTTGTCGAGTCCGCCAAATCACTAACTAACCTATCTCAAATTTGCTCCGCGTCCCCGCTCCTCCAAGGCTTGATCTTTGCGGCCGAAGACTTCGCCCTAGACCTAAGCATAACTCGCACGCCCTCACTATCCGAATTCCTCTTCGCGCGCTCCGCAATCGCGACAGCCGCTCGCGCAGCCGATCTTCCTTCGACGATCGATCTTGTCTGTACATCCTACAAATCCAACAAAGCAGACGGATCGCCGCCAGCCGCATTGGAAGAGGAGTGTCGGGATGGTAGGAGACTCGGATTCAATGGGAAGCAGTTGATTCATCCGACGCAGGTGAAAGTTGCGAACGCGATCTTCGGACCCGATATTGAGGAGTCGAAGTGGGCTATGCGCGTCGTGATTGCGGATGAGAAGGCCGCTGCAGCGGGGCGAGGGGCTTGGACTTTGGATGGAAAGATGATTGATGTGCCTGTTGCTAGGAAGGCGAGGGCTATTGTTGACAAGGCGGAAGCTTGTGGTGTAGATGTTAGGGCTTTGCGGGAGGAGTGGAAGCATCAGGAGCCAGAGTGATTGAGCCAAATTGTACAAACTTGGTATATATCGAAGAGTACCGTATGCACTCATTCTGGACACTGCCTACTGGGAGGCCAATGAAGAGATTCAACGATAATTCATTGACCAATGAAGGATTTTTCATATTGAACTTGCTGGATGAGCACAATCTTGGCTAAAGATCAATGGGACTGAGCAGAGATTGGAAGTTGTTCCGCTTCAAAGATGGGGTATCGTGCGCATCTGCTAAGGGACTGACAAAAAGGGCATACAACAAATCATTGACTCTGTGTTTCTATGTCCTCGCGCTTGAGCAGTTGAATCTTGCCTAACGTGAGATTTGGTTGTGTACCATCCATTCCCACCGAATCGTCTTCCGCTATACTCTTGGCCATAGACTTGTCGTAGCTTGTTGGATCAATGCCGAGGATGCCACCGACATAACCTCCGCGCTCCCCAGGAACGCTGAATTCCCGAAACAAGTATCGCCATTCGTTAAGCCAGGCCTTGACAGCCTTGCCGATCTTGTCTTTGCCGTTCTTCGAGTGGTGGCCGGTGCCAGTGATTGCATAGACCACCCGCATACCTTCACGGGAATGCTTGAGGAGAATCTTTTCCAGGTATTCAATCGCTTCCTCTGGGTGTAGGCCATGCAGGTCAATGTAGAGCTCTTCCGAGGTTTCGTCCAGGCCAGCCTGGGTGTGATGTTGATTGCGTTCTTCGTACAGCTGACGTGCAGCTTCTCGGTGACAACGACGCATTGCGTCGTTCTCTGCTTGGCCTCGGAGTGACAGTGCCTTGGCAGCTCGAGCGTCGTTCCTGTTCCAGGCTTGGGCAGCGCTAGTGGTTTGTGTAAGTCAAGATTTCGTTTCCTTGGCTGGACCAAATCTGACGGGAGCATACCTCTGGAGAAACTTGTTTCGCACGGTGCCATGGCGGATCGCTTCCGTGCGGTACTTGATGTATTGCTGGTTCGCCCGCACGCCAGTCTCGAGCCAAGGGATGTTCTGTGGAGCTGGTATTGACATGGCAGCCGCACTATTCTCACGACTCTTGGTGTCTTTCCCAGTTTTGGAGGTGGACTTCCCCTTGTTTGGAGTAGGGGATGGTGTCATTCGAACGACGTCTGCCAGAGAGGAGGGAATGTTCTCTTTGGCCAAGTCGCGGTTGCCTCGCTTGCCGTTGTGCTTCTTGCCGGCATTCTTCGCACTCACAGCAGCGAGAGTTGGAAATGCATCTGGATCATCTACGGATGGAGCAGTGGGATTCAGCTCTCGATTCTGATGACGACTAGTTGGGCGTGAGTTCGGCCGTCCTAAATGGGTCATGCTCCCATTCCGTCTGCCCATGCTGGGGTGGAGTCCTGGAGGCATCGCTTTAGCGCCGGAGAGATTGGAAGGATACCGGCCGCCAGATTGATTTGCCCATTGGTCCTCCAACCCACCTGACGATTGCAAAGGTGGGAAAGCATCGGAGCCGTTGTCCATTTGGAACGGCGATCCAGCGGGCGAGGCGGGTCGACTACCACCTGATAGACTGATGTTGGATATTAGCTTCTCGGGGTCGTGTGAAAATGGACACCCATCGCCAGCCAGGCAACTACCCATCACCCAATATCTATTTTGGTTAGCGCATAGACGAACATTATCTGTTAAAAGGACCATCTCACTTGCACAGATGACTTGTCAAGTCATGACTGAAGCGACAGTCTGCGCGCAGACACTGTCCAGTAGACAGCCAGTACTTGCAGACAATGGGACTGCGGCTGTGTCCCGAGGGCGTGACTGGTCGCTGCTCCATGACCATGGACTTTCCGACTACTACGCGACCGTCTTGTTGCCGGGAAAATCCATCCGCATCAGCCTCTTGCGTCAGGGATGCGATGGTGGCCCCGAGATCATATCCGTTGGCCTCCAGGGCCGTTTCGATCTCGTCATTTGAGCGCTTGTCACCTAAAACCGTGCGCAAAATATCATGAGGGCTCATGTCGGGCACAAATTCCACCGCCGTCGCGCTGAGCGACGCAGGGACACTAAGACCCGTGGAGGAAGTAGTACTATTCGCATCATCTCCCACTAGCCAGTCGACATTACTGTCATTACCAAAATCAGGGTAAAATTCAGAAATTTGGCTTTGATCCGAGAATTCATAGGCATGTAAACTGGGAGAGTGAGGGATTGGTTGCGCAAGAGCGAGTCGGGGCGATGGGCGCGGCGAGGTAAACGGAGATGCCGTTGAGGAAAGCGGAGGTCGGGAGAATGCCCCGCGCGAGCTCTGCACCCACGAGGTACTCCCAGGGCTGGTCCCCAGATTTGAGTGAGGAGAGAGCGGCGTTGCGGCACGCTGCATCTGCCATGGTGCCGGAGATGATCTGCGGATTACTGTATGGCGAACTGGAGGGGGAGACGAGTCGGGTCGCGAGCGGTTGCGATGGCGCCAGAGGATGTCCAGCACGGCGTTCTCCAGCGACGACCCAGAGAGCGAGGTCTTATCGCGCAGATAGTCTTCGACCTTCTCCACCTGTTCTTCTTCGTCCAGAGCCTGGTCCTGGAGAATCTCCAGGCATTTATCGAGGAGCTCTTCCGAAACCATGTTGTTATGATGGGTGGGGGTAATGGACACGCCGCGAGGACGAAGCTGAAATAGCGGGAAAAAACTCCCGGCTCCTTTCACGTACGGGCGACAAGGACGCGTTCAGGTCTGAGTTTTCGATGTAATTATTCGAGGATTAAGGGCGTCAGAGTCCCGAATCCATGCTCCCTGATGATGTCGACTGGGAATCGAGGGCGAGAGTAATAAAAGGGGGTTCAAAGGACACGAACCGAGGGGGCGATTAATGACAAACGAAGAGCAAGGCGATTACATCGCAAAACCCTCAAGCAAATGGGGCTGCTTAGATGAAGCACAAGACAAAGGGGGAAAACAAAGAGGGGGGCGGAGAAAGGAGATCAACATCGGGTTGTAGATTGAGAGGCCACTCTCCGCACTCAGCCCACACTAATCATCCTTGCGTGGATTTACTCCAATGTGCCGATCTCTCTTCATCTAATATACTTCCATGATTGACATATCATCCCGACCTAGATTAACTTTCTATAACTTTCGATTTTATATCTCACTGTCACAAAGCTAATTCTAAGCCATTTGGGGGTGGGGGACATTTCACGCGGTGTCCGATGGCCGTAGAGAGGCAACAATCCTAGAGCTTTGTGGTCAGAAAATTTCTAGGGACTGTCCTTATCTGCAATCCAACCCTTCATCCGAAATAGGGCGCTTAGGGTCCAGAAGAATCCTTAGTGGGACCAGATCCAGAGAAAACATTCAAGTGCTCCAAGCGTCTCAAGCTCCGACGGATCCGCCTTTTGGGGCCAGACAGTATGCCTGCGCCGCCGCCTCCGACTCCGAAGCCTTGGCGTGTGCTTCGCCTTGACCCTTCATGTTAGGCCCCAGTTATAGGGCTTTCTGACGCCCTAAGCTTCTATTCTTCTTGAACCCTATCTCCTTGAAGCCTTCCCTAATTCCCGCCTCCGCATCCGCCGATCGCTCGAGCTTCCCCCAGATCAATTCCGTGTTCCGATCAAGCCTTACCTTGAGCCACCATGCCCGCGGACTATGAGTCCACGGCACGGGCATTGGCGCTGTCTACCTCGCCGCCCGAGCCGTTACCCGAATCTCCTGGTAGTGATGGTCGGTCGCCAGTCTGGAGTCGTTCGAATAGGCGGGACTCTGCCAGGTCTGCCCGTCAGGCAACCACCATGCGCGACAGACTCTTCGACCGCGGTAAAGATGTTTATCGAAAGGCGCTTGCTCGATGGGAGAGTATGACCCTGTGGCAGAAGATTGGGTTCTATGTTGCCTCGATCTTGACCGCTGCCGTGGGAATCGCGTTCCTGGTTTTGTCGGCCAAGGTGTTCATCTGGATTGGCCCCCTCGCCGAAAAATGGGAACACTCTCCACTAGTCGCTTTTGTATTATGGCTCTGTGTGTTCTTCGTCTCATTTCCGCCGCTGGTAGGATGGTCGACTTTTGGAACCGTGGCGGGCTTTATCTTTGGCGTGTGGAAGGGGTGCGCTGATAGAATCTCACCTTAGACATCTTGATAAGCTAGAAACGCTGACTTATGATCTTACTAGATGGTTGATCTATGCTACCGCGACTATCCTCGGCTCCACCGCCTCATTCTATGTTTCGCGAACAGTGCTATCGGGATTCGTCAAGCGTCTGATGCAACACGACAAACGGTTCGCCGCGCTTTCCCTCACGCTGAAATATGACGGGTTGAAACTCCTCTGCATGATCCGCCTGTGCCCATTGCCCTGACTCCATATGTAACGGCGCCGTGTCCACATTTCCTACAGTTCAGCCCTTGATGTATGGGCTGGCTACCGCGATCATCTCCCCCAAGCTATTGGTCCCTGCGTTCATTGGCAGCCGATTGCGCCTTTTGTCTGAAAAAGGCGAAGAGATGAGCGCAGGATCCAAGGCTGTGAATATTATTAGTATTTTTGTGACTGTCAGCATTGGAGTCGGCACCGGGTGGTATATTTATCAAAGGTGCGTTGTCCCTCGCGCCCACCTCCCAAGTCTCCAATGCACCAATGCTGACTACAACCTATGTTAGGACTTTGGCTCGTGCGAAAGAACTGGAAGCCAAGGAGCGCGCCAATATCAGGGAATCCCTCCAGGCCGATCATGCGGCCCACCGGCCTCATGGCAGATTCTCCGAAGATTATGACGAGAATGAGGCTGCGACCGTGTTAGCTCGGGATGAGGAGGAGCGTATTGGGTTTGACGACCTGGATGACGATAATGTCGACCTTGAACTCGGCGATGACAGCGACAGCGACCGCTCCGAGCGATGGAAGAAAAAGAACCGGAGATCCTACCATGATGAATTCACGGATAACGACTCTGATGATTACCCTGGCGAGGACGAGGCATACGGACTACACAGCCATGTTGGACGTGAAGCCTAAGGATTGTACAGAAAGCCAGATGAATAGGTAGAACGAGAAATATGACATTGCTCTATACACTGGTGAGGTGAAGATGTGAACATGCCGTAGTGAACCCAAAGGCGGACTGAGAAATACGCGTTGGCCCGAGGAATCAAGGCACATCGGCCAGAACTCTTCTACGGTTCTCTCCTCTCCCTTTCGGCCACCGCTTCGGATCACATTGATTCTCGATTGATGCCCGAGTTCCTAATCGCAAGGGTTGGGTCTGCGGGGAGGTGGGTGATTGCAATGTATGTGCCGTTCCAGCTGTCCCGACCCCCGATCTTGTGATCCTTGCAATATCTACATGCAAAATCTAAAACCAAGCACCATTGCGTGTACAGCGCCGGCCTCTAATACTTCTACAGATTAACGGAACTTTCTTCCTGCTTGAACACCCTCGTTTGTGACCTTCATGCGATGCGGATTGCGCCATGACTTAAATACATGGGGAAGTCTTGACAATTGATCTCTCACCTTGGTCTCCCGATACAAGAATTATCAAGGGCATAAATGCATCGTGAGAAAGCCCGAGTAGTGTTTTCTGATATGTCTCCATCAAATTCAAGTCCTCAGGCTGTGAAATCTGAATCTGGCTTGCACCTATCTTCAAACATGGATGAAACTACGTCCATGAGAATCCACGCTCTTGCTGGAATTCATCCCAGCCAGAATCCATACGCAAAGCCAGCTGTGGCAAATTTTAATTCAAACGCCGAGGACCAAGGACGGCTTCTGCTATCTCATTTTGAAGAATCAGAACCGCCTCCGAAACGTATGCGAATCTCGAATGGACTTGCCGAAGCGCCGCCATCTATCTCCTTTGAGGCGGAGAAGCATCCTGTGACTCTCGATGATGTCCAGCCTACGGTCATTGGGAATGGAATTCATACTCTCAATTGCCCTTTAGGGCAGTCACATACCGATGGATACCAACACCCTGTCGCATCTTCCACAACAACATCTTCGAAATCCTTGAAGCTCAGCAAATCCACAACACCCCCAACGACCCCATCTCAGGTTTTTTCCACGCCACCAATTTCTTCGGGGGTTAACATTTTGGTCAGTACGAAGGTTGATTTGTCCAAGTGCCGACCACGATCATCCATCCCAGCGAAGCTGCCGCCGGCTATCTATGCGCAGCAATGTGTAGCAGCAGCCTATGCATCTCGACTCGACCCGTACGCATTGCATGAAAACGAACAAGCTTTGTTGCAGGACCGCCTTTGCCACATGCACGTTACCGTCTATCTCAACATCCGAAACGGCATTTTGCGACTATGGACGCGGAACCCGATGGTCAGTGTCACCAGAGAAGAGGCTTTAGGCTGTGCAAAGGACTATCGGTGGATGAATCTGGCTGGTTTTGCGTATGACTGGCTAGTACGCCATGGGTACATCAATTTCGGCTGCGTTGAAATTCCGATTCCGCCAGTGCCTCCCAGACGTGGCAGACGCAAGGACGGACCTACCGTTCTTGTTGTGGGAGGTGGTGTTGGAGGTCTTGGTTGTGCACGTCAGTTGGAGGGGTTGTTCCGCCACTACCGAGATGCAGATACTGCTCCACGCGTTATTGTGCTCGAGGGACGTCGAAGAATCGGCGGAAGAGTCTATTCACACCCACTGCATAGCCTCCAGTCAAATATGCTTCCACCGGGTCTTGCTCCCAAGGCGGAAATGGGCGCTCAGATCATTGTTGGCTTTGAGCACGGCAATCCGCTTGATCAGATCGTTCGTGGTCAATTGGCTCTTCGCTACCACTTGTTACGTGATCTATCCACGATTTACGATATTGATGGTTCACCTGTGGACGAAGTACGAGATTCAATGGATGAAAAGCTGTACAATGATGTTTTGGATAGGACTGGGTTCTATCGCCACAATGCGATGGTGAAGCCCACTGCCGAAGGTGACCGCGATTTGATTGATAGCGGCCGTGAAACGACTACGGATGATGGCCTTACTGTAAGACAATATGAAGATGCGCGCGCGGCAGGTACTATTGATCTACTCGTCCCTACGAAGCGCGTCCGTCGACGTCGAGGAGTTGGACATAAGACAGCAGAGATCAAACCGAACGATGTGTCAGCGGACCTTGTGGGTTCTTCAGAAGAGAATCCGGCTGCTTTGGCGTGTCAGGCTACGGGATGGAAGCTGAAACCGGGCTACTCTGCCACCGATACATTGGAACTGGATGACATCGTCAGTCAGACGCGCACTCCAACCCTTGGGGCTGTGATGGACGAGGGTGTCAAACAATACCAGCGCATGCTTCCTTTGACACCCAAGGATATGCGTCTCTTGAACTGGCATTTCGCCAACCTCGAGTATGCGAACGCCACAAATATCAACAAACTCAGCTTGTCTGGATGGGACCAGGATATTGGTAATGAATTCGAGGGCGAGCATTCGACAGTCATTGGTGGCTACCAGCAATTACCATACGGATTATATTCCTTGCCCACTAAGCTGGATGTGCGCATCAACAAGATTGTGACCCAGATCTCGTATGATGCAAACGGATCTGGAAAGCACAAAGCAACCGTCCAATGCGAAGACGGAGAGAAATTCATGGCCGACCATGTTGTGTACACTGGCTCTCTTGGCACCCTCAAACATCGCACTATCAACTTTGATCCTCCTCTGCCTGAGTGGAAGTTGGGAGCAATTGACAGGTTAGGTTTTGGTGTCATGAACAAAGTTGTTCTTGTGTTTGATCAGCCATTCTGGGATGTGCAGCGCGACATGTTTGGTCTGCTTCGCGAACCGACAACTCCTGATAGTATGGCTCAGGAAGACTATGCAACCAATCGAGGCCGATTTTACTTGTTCTGGAACTGCTTGAAAACAACCGGGCTACCCGTCTTGATCGCGCTCATGGTGGGGGACGCAGCACATCAAGCCGAGAATACGCCCGACGACGAGATCATTACTGAAGTCACGGCGCAACTTCGGAACGTCTTCAAGGACGACGTTGTGCCGGACCCCCTTGAGACCATCATTACTCGCTGGGCGTCAGACCGGTTCACTCGCGGCAGCTATTCATATGTGGCTGCAGAGGCACTTCCCGACGACTACAATCTCATGGCTCAAAACGTAGGCAACCTCCACTTTGCTGGAGAGGCCACCTGCGGAACACACCCAGCAACCGTTCATGGTGCATATCTCTCAGGGCTTCGTGCAGCCTCAGAAGTGATCGAGACCATTATCGGACCGATCGAAATCTCTGAGCCTCTCGTCCCCGAAAAGCCCTCCGTCAGCGCGGCTCAAACACCCACGGGCCCGATGACCACAGCACGGAATGCAGCCGACCCTCTATCTACAGCCGCAAACCCAACAAATATCACCACCTCCGCACGCAATCCTCACTCCACCGACAAACATCGTAAAGACACCTACGACCAAGCGATGTGGACAGTAATCTACGCTGAAATTGGCTCAGCGCCTCTCCGGCCGCAAAAAGCAGGCCTCAACCCCTTCCTCTCTGTACCAAAAGGACTATTGGGCCAAATGCCGCGACCAGTGCGACGAAGCACGGCGTGCATCATCCAAGAATCCCAATGCCAAAGCCGCGCGTGACGAAATTCGCGCTGCCTCGGCCAGATGTGGCGCAAGGCCGACCCAGCCGAGAAGCAGCCGTACATTGATCAAGTGCATACGAACCGGCGCACGAATGAAGAGCAATGGGAGCAATACAAGGCGATTTATACGGAATGGGAGCGGAGGTCTTATGAAATCAAGGATCGGTGGTGCGCGCAAAACCCCTATGAGCAGTGGGAGGCGCCGCAGTCCGGCTTGGAATAGGATGTCGATTTCATTTCCTGTTTGATTAGTTCCCAATGACATTATGCCTCTTTATACGAAATGAATTTTCACTCTCTACCTGGCTTACTTCGCGCTTACATTATTGGATCAAGTGACAAGGGACTTTCATCTATTTCTATTTCTATAGGCAACGACCATCCCAAACGTAAGATTGGGAGGATGAGTTAGCGCCCGAACCCAGTATAAAAAAAAAAGCCAGGAAAGGAAAGGAAAGGAAAGGAAATCCGTCAACCATGAGATGAATACAAGATATGCAGGGGAATTGAAACACCGAACGAGTCTAGATGTGCACGAGCAAACTAAACAATTCACTCCGTAATGGAGATCGGATTCACGAGAGGAAAACATGGTATAAGAAGGGTATTTAGAGAGCGGGGTTGGACTTGTACTCGGCAGAACCGTTGGCAGAACCGTTGGCAGTACCGTTGGCAGTACCGTTGGCAGTACCGTTGGCAGTACCGTTGGCAGTCTCGACCTTGGGCTCAGAGGCACCCTCTTCGGCGAGGAACTTCTCGGCCTCAAGAGCAGCAATGCAACCGGAGCCGGCACTGGTAATAGCCTGGCGGTAGCGCTTGTCCTGGACATCACCGCAAGCGAAGACACCTTCGACGCTGGTGAGGCTGGTACCGGGCTGAGTGACGATGTAACCATCCTCGTCGAGCTTGAGCTGATCCTTGACCAAGCCATTGGCGGGATCGTGGCCAACAGCGTAGAAGAGACCGTTGGCCTCGACGAGTTCCTCCTTGTCGTCGACGACGTTCTTGATGCGGAGGTGGGTCATGAGGCCGTTGGCACGGGTCTCGCCGATAACCTCGGTGGCGACGGTGTTGAAGCGAACATTGCACTTGGGGTGGGAGAGCAGGCGATCAGCCATAACCTTGGAAGCACGGAGTTTGTCCTTGCGGACGAGGACGGTGACGCTGCTACCGTACTTGGCGAGGAACATGGCCTCCTCAGCGGCAGAGTCACCTCCTCCAATAACGTAAAGGGGCTTGTTGCGGAAGATGGGGACGGCACCATCGCAGACAGCGCAGGCACTAATACCGTTCTGCCAGTAGGTCTCCTCGCCGGGCAAGTTCAGGCGGCGGGCGTTGGCGCCAGTAGCGATAATGACGGCATCGGCAGTACGAGCGGGGGCATCGTTGGGGCCGTCACTCCATTCGGTCCACATCTTAAAGGGGCGCTGGGACAGATCGAGGCGGGAGATGGTCTCGGTAATAATCTCGGTACCGAAGCGCTCGGACTGCTTGCGCATCTTCTCCATCAGCTCCTGGCCACCGACACCATCCGGGAAACCGGGGAAGTTCTCGACGTCGGTGGTGGTGGTGAGCTGACCGCCAGCGGCGGTGCCGTTGGCGAGCATACCCTCGTAGAGGACGGGTGTGAGTTCAGCGCGCGAAAGATAAATGGCGGCGGTGTGGGCACCGGGGCCGGAGCCGATGACTGAGAAGGTCTTTGTGAGCATTTGATCAAATCGGCAAAGGTAGTCAATGGGATAATTGGCACTTACTAACGACCTGAGAATGCACCATTCTGGCGGGAGTCAGAGAATTGCCGCGCGCGGGCGTCGATAACGACTGTGAAAAGATGGAGGGCTTTGGTGGAGTTTGTTGGTGGAGAGTAGAAGCCGCGGCGGCAGTGAGTCCGATGGAACGGAGAGCGGAGGGAAAACGTCGAAAAGTGGAGGAAAACAGCTTGAAGGTTTGTCCGGAGAAGAGGGAGAGAGACGGTTTTCTAGAAGGGGGGGCAGAGCGTAGGTGGGGACAGGATGAGATCAGGTTCCTTCTGTGTCTTTCCGTACAAATTAATCATTTGCCCGCGTCGAGGCCCCTCGCTTTCTAATCACTGGGGCACGTGACAGGGCCGAGAACCGCTGCAGGTAAAAGTCGATCCCATCAATGCCGATTCGTGTCTTCCGGCTCCGATCGGGACAGTCTAGGTTCCTATAATGCTACGTATGATGAAAGAGGGAATCTGGGTAGGAGGGCGAGTCTTGTTAGGTTGAGAGACTCGATGGCTGATATAAACTCGGCGAAACCTGATCGGTACAATCACACCACTGTTGCCGAACTCATCGGTGGCCAGAACCCGCTGATTAGATCATATCTGATCTCCCTAATCTATACCAACGACCACCTAGACCGTGGTAGATCCACGATGCTTACGCCGCACCACCGAAAATATTATTGAGGGATGAATTCTAGGACGTTATCCTATGTCTGCTGACGGAAAAGATCAGGCTCAATTGCATCAATCATTTAGAAAAGACCAGAAAGTGATCTAAATTGAAAAAATCCAGATTCTCATACACGTCGTAAAGAAATCCTTTCCTGGGGGAAAGGACCGGCATAAATCATCATAATGTACATCAAATCATCCCGAACCACTTCTTCCGCTTCTGCTGCCTCGGTTCATCATATTCCTTCTCATCAGGCGACGAATCGGTGAGAGCATCGGGTGGCAGCCGCTGAGCCACTTCATCCGAGTCGTCCTCTTCACTGCCCGAATATCCTTCATACTGGTACTGATTGGTCTCAGTGGCAGCGTTGGCGCGGGTATTGTTGATTGTGTCATGGTCCTCGTAATCGTCGGGTTCGTCGTCATCGTCGGCTTCATGCTCAGCCTGCTCAGCCCGCTTCTTGCGGCGCGGCAGCCATTTTCGCCAGCCCTTGACCACCTGTGTAGGTGGCGGATCATATTCGGTGCCTTCGTAGCGCAATGCGGGCACGAGAAGCTTATAGGGCACAGTTATGCCAGAAGGGTCCTGTGGACTGATCTCCATATTGAAGGTAATGGCGAGGCCACCCTCAAGATCGACCAATGCGCCTGCGCCATCGTCGCCTTGTTTCGCAGCTTTCTTTACGGCCTTTAGACTGAGATTAGTTGGCCGACGGTGGAAGCGACCGGGCTCGGGCGCTTGCGGGTCATTGGGGAAGTAACTGTCTCCATTCTCATGAGGACGAGCGACGGGACCATCGATGCTGGATCGGCGAGCTCCGCCATCCCTGCCAAAGCTCATAGTCCTGAGTTGGAGGCCCCGCCCGCGTAGACAGACGGCGAAGCAGCCCGGGCGGTTTTCCACCAGCTCCCTTGTCCCCACGTCCCAGGGACAGGGTTCGCTGGAGTTTACCAGGACGGGGTTCTGGACTAGGCGTCATCTCTGATTCGGGGGTGCCAAGTGGCGTTGAACCAGGCAGGTATTCTCGTATAGAGCACCAGTTACGTCGAGGAAGCAGACGCTTGTTGTTTCGGGGCTTGCCGTCAACGTCTTGTGTGAAGATGGGAATCATGTCCTCATCTGTGTTCGAGTCCATGTGGTGCACAGTGTTGCGCTTATTGAGCATGTCTGAAATCAGCTCTGTCTCCGGCATGTTGGCGATGCCAGAGGAAATGACATTTGGCATGTATCGATAGTCGCGGTCCTTGGACACGGCCAGGCTCGTGTTGGAATAGAATTGTCCAACGGCAGCCAATTGAGCATCCCCACTTAGGATTGTCACTCGAACAGACTTCTCGGCAGCAAGGTCCTGCAAGTCCTCAACCAGCCACGTTCGCTCTGATTTCAGGTGCTTTCCGGCCCAGTGGTCATCAAACACCTCCACATTGCCGCCAGATCGATTAACGAGCCCACCGAGCATACCGGACTTGCCCAGCGACTTGCGGCTATTCAAGAAGCTCTTGAGCATCGCCTATGGTTAGGATTAGCATAGGCCGCAGTCACAAACAAGGAATTGATACTTACCACACGAGGATAGGCAATGGGCACACTAGACAGAACAATCAGATGTTTAGTTTGTCCCTTGATAATGTCCCGATGGCAGCGGTCCCAGATCAGGTCGCATGTTTCCTCTGCAAGGACCTCATTACTCTGTAAAGCCATGTTAGCATCATCTGTGATATCAATAGAAAAGAGAACTTACCCTTCGTTCAGTTCGACAATCCAGGCCAAGGAGGACGACATCGTTGCCAAGAGACATGAACAGATTTCGACTTCGTTGCTCAATGTAAGGACCAGGGTGAGCACCAAGAAGCCAGCTAGGCTCATCGGCCTCGGTTTCCTCTGGCACACTGTGGTGCTGGAACAGTAGATAGTACTTAAATGCAATTCGTCCCAATCCTGAAATGATCATACTCTGCATGAAGTCATCATGGTAAGAGCCAAAGCCTTCAAAAATCTCATGGTCATTCCACATATTGACCATCGGGATCTGGGAATTTGCAAGGGAAAAGAGGCCCTGTGAGAACCATGAAGCATAGCGCTCCAGGTAGAATTGCTCGAGTTCTGCGCGGAATTCGGCCGTAAAAGGCATGCCGTATCTCTCTCCAGCGTTCTTAATCTTCATCCATTCCTGGAAATGTGTCGAATCGGTAATGACAGAGTCATTGAATATTTGGTCACCCCCGCCAATCATGACATGGAAGGGCCGAGTCTGGTGCTCATTTAAGATGTCTCGCCAGAGAGGATCAGGTCCACAGAATCGGTTCGAATCGACTGAAGGGCTGAAGCCGTTGCCGCTGTGGAACATAATGTTCATAGACTGACCCATTGCAGGCACCCAGAAGCCCAATGCAGGTCCCTGGTTGATGCGATAGGCGATTCTCTGCTGTGTCGGGCTGAGCTCGATCTCGAGATTGAATCGCCAGAATGTCACATCGCGCGCAGAGTCGGCATAAAGACGGACTCCGGGGACATCACGATGGAACTCCGCAGTCTCTCCATCAACAGAGTTGATACGGTTCGAAGGAATCGGCTGTTTGCCATTCTCGGGCGTGTGGTCGATCATGCTGGGTGATAGCTCATAGATACCGTCATCATTTTCCACACCTGAGAGGTCCACTTCTTCTTCGAGATGATCCACTGGCTTGACATATAGTGGTCGGCCATCGCGACCAACTTTCATGAGGCCCGCGGTTGGATCAATGTATTCAGGGGCGAGGTCCGCTCCACTAACTTCAGCCGGGGGAGGAGGGAGGAGATCCATCGGTTGAGAGAATAGCCTCAAGGTAGGCGGATTTTCGTATGAGGAGCGGGAATCCTTTGTCACGATCAAGATGGAACCTCGCCAGATCTCTTTCTCCACAGGGCCCTGGGAACCATCGATGTTCACTTTCTTGATGCCCGTATACCGAAGCAGTGGGCCACATCTCAAGAAAAGCTTGGGCTGGAAATTCTTGTGCTCAGTCACACCTGGTGCATGTTAGCTGTTTTGTTTCCTGTGATTCTGGCACAATGTGTCATTTTACCTGTCAGTTTCTGAGCCGGTGTTTGATAGTTCTTAGGCAGAGCTCTGCTCTTCCGACGGTCTTTACTGGCGCCGCCTTCCCACCACGCTTTGCTCCGGTTGATATCAAGATGTTGGAAATCAAAGTCAGATGCAGCAAGACGAGCAATTGGTGCATTCTTCCACTCAAAAACGGGGGGTGGCGTGGGAGGTGGCATATCAAACGACACTGTTTGTTTCTCTCGCTTTGACTTTTGGTGAGACTCGACACTCTCTTGGGCTGCTCGTGCAGTTCGCAGTGCAGGCGGAGTCTCAACCCTCTCTGCTTCTGCGGCCTCTGCGGCTACAGCAGCAACCCTTAAGGGCTTTGAAGGACCTGACTGAGAGACAGAGCGGACCGGGGGCACGTAGCCACTGGGAGGGCCAGGGTTCGGACCGCTCACTGTGACAGACCTTCGAGGCACATTGGCCAACTTTGCCGAAACGGGGACGGCAACCTCCGTCTGGGAATGATGAGCACCTGCAGGGCGTTGGATAGCTGGATACTGTGGGGTTGTAGAGACATTTCTAGTATGACGCATGGTCACGCCTCCAGATTGTCGTGGCACGGGGGCACCTTGAGGAGCATCTTCCAAAATAATGTCTTTCCGTCCGCTCGTTCTGGGTCGTTCAGAAGTGACACGGTTCTTCAGCATTTGACTCGGTGGAGGAACAACAGCTGTTGATTCGGCTCTTGATGCGGCCTTCTCGCGTTCGGCCTTTTGGCGAGCGAGGCGTTCTCTGAGGCGCATTTCAGCTTCTTGGACTCGTGCGCGCTTCTCCTCCTTGCTGATTCCATTCAGAGTGACTTCCAATTTCTGTAAGGGCGAGCGATCGGATGCCCAGTCTCGCCGTTTCTCGGCTGTGGACTGTGAGGTATTAGAGCGACTTAGAGGTGACGGCTGCCCTAGGGAGATCGAGGCTGCTGGGGATGCGTTCTCCCTGCTCTGCATAGCTGGATCGGGTTCTGAGGTATACTCGGCAGGAGGAAGACCCCGAGGGGTCGTTGATTCCTCCATGTTGCCCAGCGGTATACTGAGGGCAGGTTTGCGCGTCGTGTAGTTCAGGTCAGCGGCTGGTCGATCACCAGCTCTTGTCGAGAAGGACTGCCTTCCATGTCCTTGTGTAGATTCTTGAGCAGAGCTATAGTTCGGCATGTCCGAATTTGTGGGTTCAAAATTCACATCCTCGTAGCTGGCAACGTCTGGGGCAGCCGATTTGTACTTGCGACTAACTGCCTTTCGTGACCCATTGGTACTGTGCGGGTTAGAGCCGCCGTTTGCCATGTCGGGCGATGGACGCAATGCAGCGGCAGCCATATTACGCATTCTCCTCTAAGCGCAAGTCAAAAGAACGATACAACTCGAGAGCGAAAGTCGACAATGCGACGCACAGTTGGTCCCAGTTGAAATGACCTGTCAATGTCAACCTCAAATATAAAGGCATTTTTTAGAGTATCAGGAAGCTAGCAGCGCATTGGAGGAGGATATTTGACGTACAATGTTCAGTCCGAAGTTTGGCCGCACTTGGACTTTTCTCTGCCTTAAGAGGCTCACCACATCATCGCCTGAAAGGCCCAGAGGTCAGGTACTTTGGGCGGGGAAGATGGCGGTGACAGGGAAGAGCGTCGCACGGGGCGCCAGAATTTCTGGATTAGATGATCAAGAAGGGGGGATAGGGCAAGGGCGAGGGCAAGGAATGGAAAAGAGGGAGAAAACGATGGAAGGCGAGAAAAGCGTTGCGCAGCGACTCTATACATAATTGCCATATTTATCCCGGTGGCTGGTTGACCCCAGCCTTCGCGCGGGGCCATCGCTGCATCCCGGTCTAATATACAATCATGTAGAAAATCCCGGTATAACCCATCACACACTACAGCAGAACAATATATTGCGTTGATGGATCCCAATCTCCCAAGTTGTGGTCAGCTCAGAGACCCCGGATCTCACGCATGCAAGGACACAAGGACACCAGCAAGCTAGTTGGATCATGCAGCAGGAACCCATTGATCCCCATTAGGCACGATAGACACAAAGGGCACAGGAGAATAGGCCTGGCTTATTACTTTCAAGGCTAGTTCTGGGCAGAGGAAGACAAATGGTGATGCCTGCCACAGTGTCCAAGCTTCGTACGTAAGCTCCTGGGGCGGTACGGATAAGCTGAGAAAGTACATACTGGCCCCAACTGTGAAGGCTTAGACCCGGACGTGAACCATGAACTGAACCCTGGTCCTTGATCAAAGCGTCAAAGACATCTTCATCCTCACCATTTCGAGTTGCGTGCCCTATCGAATCCCGTGTGATTACGGATAATCCTCCTGATTCCCATTCTCTCCACTTGCCACTACTCCTGAACCTTTCTCCTTTTGTCTTGAATCTAAAAGGGCCCGACGTTCATGGCCTCTGTTTCTTGCTCCCTTTGATTTCTTTCGAGAGCGAGTATTGTCCACCTCGGCCTTTGATCATGCGTGTCGCCGGCGGCATTGCTGTCGCCCTTGGCCTTGCGGGCGCCGTGTCCTCCACAAATCTACACCCTCGCTCTGACGAGTCGCGCGACTTCTTTGCACTTCATCTCGATGCCGCCACTCCTCCCTCCGAGATCGCACGTTCCTTGAATCTCCGCCACGAAGGCCGCATCGGAGAACTCCCAGACCACCATACCTTCTCGTTGCCACGGGACCAGAGCTCTGACTTCAATGCATTATTGGACGACCTGCAGTCCAGGCGAAAGCTTCGGCAGCGGTCGGGGGAGGTCATCGAATCTCGAGATCAAGATCCGACCGATGCCATCCTGTGGTCACATAAGTTGGAAGCCCCTAGGCAACGATTGGAGAAGCGGATGCCACCTCCTACCAAGGAAGTCGTCCCGCGATTTGCAGGGGAGGCGGAATTGAAGCTCCTCGAGGAACAAAGCGAAATCATGAGCGTTCTCGGTATAAGCGATCCGATCTTCAGAGAACAGTGGCATCTCATGAATGTCCTGCAACCCGGACACGACTTGAACGTGACAGGTGTCTGGTTGGAAGGTATTACAGGTCACGGAGTTGCAACAGCGGTGGTAGACGATGGCTTGGATATGGACAGCAATGATTTGAAGCCCAACTATTTCGCTGAAGGCTCCTACGATTTCAATGAACACTCCCCTACACCGCGGCCTCTTCTGTACGATGACAAGCACGGTACCCGCTGTTGCGGCGAGATCGCAGCCGCCAAAAACGACGTCTGTGGAGTTGGAGTCGCCTACGACAGCAAGATTTCGGGTATTCGAATTCTATCCAAGCCGATCGATGATCATGATGAGGCGGAGGCCATTAATTATGAATATCAGAAGAATGACATTTACTCTTGTTCCTGGGGACCTCCCGATGACGGCGCCACCATGGATGCTCCGGGATTGTTAATCAAGCGAGCGATGGTCAACGGTGTCCAGCAGGGTCGCGGTGGAAAAGGATCTATCTTTGTGTTTGCGGCCGGCAATGGAGCCATGCACGGTGACAACTGCAACTTTGACGGGTATACCAACAGCATTTATAGTATCACGGTCGGTGCTATTGACCGACAGGGCAAGCACCCTTCTTATTCGGAGTCGTGCTCAGCTCAGCTCGTGGTCGCTTACAGCAGTGGTTCCGGCGATGCCATTCACACCACTGATGTGGGTACCGACAAGTGCTACAATTTGCACGGTGGCACCTCTGCGGCCGGTCCACTCGGCGCAGGCTCAGTGGCACTTGCTCTCAGCGCTCGGCCCGAGCTGTCGTGGCGTGATGTCCAATATTTGATGGTCGAGACTGCAGTTCCTATCAGTGAGGACGATGGTAGCTGGCAGAAGCTTCCCTCTGGTAGACTCTTTAGTCACGACTGGGGTTTCGGAAAGGTCGACACGTATGCTTTGGTCTCGAAAGCGCGCACATGGGATCTTGTGAAGCCACAGGCTTGGTTCAACTCGCCCTGGCTCCGAGTGCACAAGAACATCCCTCAGGGCTCACAGGGACTGCTGAGCAAGTATACGGTGACTGCCGAGCAAATTACGAATGCTAATTTCGATCGGCTGGAGCATGTGACGGTCACGATGAATATCAACCACACTCGCCGTGGCGATCTCAGTGTCGAGCTGCGCAGCCCGGCAGGTATCGTTAGCCATCTCAGTGTCCCTCGCAAGCTGGACGGAGAGAGAGCCGGGTACGCGGACTGGACCTTCATGTCTGTTGCTCATTGGTATGTAAATCAAACTCTTCCCTCCAGATCTGCGGACTCACTCTATACTAGGGGCGAATCGCCTGTCGGTGACTGGACCGTGATTGTCAAAGACACAGAGGTCAACGATTTCGATGGATTTTTCATCGACTGGCGACTGAATCTTTGGGGCGAGTCAAAGGATGGGTCCAAGCAGCCGCTACACCCGTTGCCTGAAGAGCAAGACGACGATCATCCTTACGAGGACGCTCACGTTGCGACAACCTCTGTAGAGCCAGCACCAACAAAGACCGCTCCTCCTACGAAGCCCGATGACCACCATGACCGACCGGTAAATGAGAAGCCGTCGGACGCCAGACCGACCGATCCGGCCCAAGATAATGAGAAGTTCCCTGCCGAAGAGCTAGAGTCAACTCAGACTGCTCCCAGCCCAACTTCTACCCCTAGCCCCACCTCGGAGTCAGATACCTCGAAGCAGCACCTGTCATCGTATCTGCCTACCTTCGGTGCTTCAAAGCGAACCCAGGTCTGGATCTATGCCTCTTTGGCCATGATAATTGTGTTCTTCATCGGATTGGGCGTTTTCTTCCAGCTTCAACGCCTCAAGCGCCGCCGCACCAACCCTCAGGATGACTATGAGTTTGAAATGATTGAGGATGAGGATGAGATGGACCCAATGGCCGGAGGCGGTCGCACTCAGCGTCGTGGAGGTGAATTATACAATGCATTTGCCGGAGAAAGTGAAGAGGAAATGTTTAGTGATGATAACGACGAACCATACCGGGATCGGCTGGCCAACATCCCGGAGAAGGAGGGCGAAGAAGATGGCCATCTTCTTTCTGAAAAGCGTTAGTCGAGTTTTTATGGCATTTGATTGCATTGGGGCCTATTATTAGTGCTGCATGAGATAATCTGTTCATATTTGGGGCAGCATGCCTTGGGAATAGAAAGGGACCGGCTGTCTGGCGTTTGTAAATCTACCACTTCACGACAAATGAAGTCAAAGCATGTTCAATTACAATCTTAATGATGTAGGAATTTCCTGACTGATAGTTGGCTAGTTTAGCTTAAAATGCCCTGGTCGTCATAAGGAGACGCGATCGGTATCAACACCCCTCACGGCCGATGACGACGTTGCCGCTACGGGGACTCCGCCTTGGGGAAGGACATCAGCTACCCAGCATCTCCTTTGCCCCACGCTCTCCCTCCACTCTACTTGTTCCTAATCATCTTCATCCACTGCGCTCGACAAGTTTCTAACAACCCGCCAACTGCGGCCGACACTTCCCTTCCTCCCCTGCCATGGATCAACACGACGACTTCGATAGCGTCTCCTGGAAACACGACCCGGACAATGATGTGTCCCGGCCGACGACATCGGGAACGGATGCGGAGGAGTCGCATAGAGACGAGCATGACTCCAATGGCAAGCGCAGAATGAGCTCTGCCCACGATGAACCCCAGGCCGGTCCGCTGGCCGATGCCGTAGACCTGGCTGGCATCGGAGACGGTGTGCTAGAGTGCCAAGTCGACACCCCGATGAAAGAAAGCGACGGTACCAAGGACGCATATATCTCATACCTGGTCACAACACATGTGAGTGCCTTCGTATTTCATCGGTCTTGCTTTGAGAACCCAAGTGGTTACTGCTGCCTGCTCACATCCCGCCCGCGCCCTGAGACAACACTTGGGCATCGCTAACTCGCACCTCTAGACTGATTTCAAGTCATTTCAAAAATCCGACTTTAGTGTAAGGCGACGATACCACGATTTTGATTTCTTGTACAAGACACTCTATCGCAAATACCCAGCATGCGCCGTTCCGCCATTGCCAGACAAGCAGAAGATGGAATATGTCACAGGAGACCGTTTCGGGTCAGACTTTACGAAACGCCGGGCGTGGTCGCTACACCGATTCTTGAAACGTCTAACACTTCATCCTGTATTGCGCCGTGCGCCGCTTCTTACCATCTTCCTGGAGTCGCCTGATTGGAATGCACACATGCGGCTGCATACGAATCGTGGGTCAACAAGTACCGGTTCGGACAATGCCACGCCGGGCATCTTCGACAACCTGACAGATTCATTTGTCAACGCCTTCACAAAGGTCCACAAAGCGGATCGCCGATTTATCGAAGTGAAGGAGAAATCTGATAAGCTGGACGAGGACTTGTCGCACGTGGAAAAGACCGTGGCGCGGGTCGCGCGGCGAGAGTCCGATCTCGAAACGGACTACACCGAGCTGGCGACACAGTTCCGCAAGCTTGTACCTCTTGAACCGGCAGTCGAGATGCCCTTGCAAGTTTTCGCAGCCTCGGTGGAGGAGACCGCACGCGGTGTTCATGAGTTGAAAGAGCACACGGATCAAAATTATTTGGGCTCGCTGCGCGACATGGAGTCATATATCCTGTCCGTCAAGGCCCTCCTCAAGACCCGTGAACAGAAGCAGCTAGACTTCGAGGCCCTAGTCGATTATCGCAACAAGGCTGTGGCCGAACGTGATTCTTTGGCTGCCAACCCGGCTGCCTACTACGCCTCTAACCCGCTCACCTCTTCTCCCGCTTCCTTTATTCGCTCTAAGATGGAAGACATGCGTGGTGTCGACCATGAGCAGTCCCGGCGCGAACGAGTTCGCAAGCTCGAGCTTCGCATCGACGAGCTAACCCGTGAAGTCGAATCAGCCCGGACGACGTCGGAAATGTTTGACGAAGAAGTCGTTCGAGAGGTGGCAGACTTTGAGCGTATCAAGGCCGTAGAGTTCCGTGATTCCCTCGGCTCTCTAGCAGAGTCACACATCGATTTCTACCAGGGTGTCCTTTCCACCTGGGAGCGATTTATTGCCGAAATGGAGGGTGACTCTGAAATCGGTCTCGAGGCTGAAGAAGCTGCTATGGGAGTGCGGTAGACCGCTCAGGTGAGATGATAACCTTGGTATAGCTTTTCATGATTACTTTCCTTAGCTAGCTCCCTTTTGCCGACCATTCCATAACCATCATATCATCACTTTCATCTGCATCAAGTCTGCTTTGTAGATTCAGGACCTGTGCATCTTTGTATCTTGCTGTTCTGAGTCTAGTGCTCGCACATGTCGTTTGTAATCACATCTTTGATGGCGTGGCTGGACCTGGTAAACGATATTGGCTCTTGATGAAAATGGTTCTTGACGTGGGTGTTTTCCTGGTTGCGGAGGCGAATGGCGGGCGTAAATTGCCAACCAGAATGGGCCAAGTGAGGTCGTTGTCAGAAAGTCATCCCGTCTTAAATATATTTAGCATCGCGAAGGCTGATTCTGTATATCAAGAAGCTCCCCTCTCTATCTCCGGTCTCTACTCCAGACCCTCTGATGCCAGGTCATACATTGTGAGAGTCCGCTGGGTGTTGTCCAGATTTAGTCATTGGAAATAAGGGACTGGCAATCAAACCTTCAATAACAGAGTACATGACCCCAGTCAAGAGAATAATCATTTCTGTCAAGAAATTAAAGTTGGGCCTGTCATCCAAGGTGTACACGTTCATGATGGAATTTTGCAGAAGTCCTCAGTGGTGGACCAAGGTTGATTACTCAACGCAGGCGCGATCCCTTCTATCAACAACGCTTCCAGATAATCCAAGCCCATGATAATCTATTTTCATCGTGCGTTTTAAGAGTAGCACCTTGCCCATGGAAAACGCAGAGCATTTGTTCATCTCTTCCTGTACTATAGAGAGGTTGCCCCGTTATCGTGTGTAGATCGTGTTTGACGTGTTTGCACAGCGGACATCCCTCATCCTTAACCATCCGACTTTCCTCGTCACTCCAATTCCCAGACATAATGCGCCCAATTACAAGAGTCGCATTGCGGCCATACGTTTGCGCATCTTGCCGCCATGGCGTTGGCGGTGGTCGACGACGATTTGGCACTAAAATTGATCAAATTCCCGACATCTACGACGTAGTCTGCGTCGGGGGTGGTCCGGCGGGCCTGGGTCTTTTGGCTGCACTCCGTACGTCACTCAAGGAGCTCAAATGAAGCTTTTGGAAAATTCATTCTAACATATGACTATCAATACAGGTGCTTCCCCTATCACATCGAAACTTAAGGTCGCCCTGGTCGAAAGCCAGGATCTCAACAAGGCCCAGGCATGGAACATGCCATCAGACCAGTTCTCCAATCGGGTTAGCAGCTTGACCCCGTCTTCTGCTTCTTTCCTGCGCAAGATTGGCGCGTGGGAGCACCTTGATGTCAGTCGTGTACAGGAATACCAGGAGATGCAGGTGTGGGATGGCGAGACCGGATCACGAATATCGTTTGACCATTCCTGGGATACAAGTGCATTCGAAGATATGCGCACAGTCGCAACCATGACCGAGAATTCAAATCTTGTGCGTGCCCTTCTCCGTCGTATCGCCGCCTCGGGCGACGATGGTCTAACGCTCTTCTCGAATACCACTGTCGCCTCTATTGAGAACGGAACCGATCTTCAGACTGCTGGGCCTGACCTTTCCGCTTGGCCAATTCTCTCCGTAAAGCCTACCGGACTGGGGTCAGAGGCCAAGGAACCATCCCGCATTGCAGCAAGATTGCTAGTTGGCGCGGACGGAATTAACAGTCCTGTGCGCTCCTTCGCCGATATCACCACCCAGGGTTGGGACTACAACCGTCACGGCATCGTCGCAACTCTCTCGCTTGCAGACCTCGCTACACCTCCCTTCCCAGCAAACCTGCGCACAGCTTACCAGCGTTTCCTGCCCGCCCTTGGTGGACCCATTGCGCTCCTTCCACTCCCAAATAACCACGCCACACTAGTCTGGTCAACGACACCCGAGCACGCCGCGTACCTGAAATCGCTCTCCCAATCTGCCTTCCTGGCCATGGTCAACGCCGCTTTCCGATTATCCATGACAGACCTGAAATACATGATGGGCATCTCCAACTCCGAGCATATGTCTCACGAAGACGAGCTTGCCTGGCGCGTGCAGCACACTCCCCTCCCATCACAAACCCCACCCTCCGCTATTGCCGTGCAGCAAGGCACTATCGCCTCTTCCCACTGCGCTTCCGCCATGCATCACAGTATATCTCGCCTCGGGTCGCACTCGTCGGCGACGCCGCTCACGTCATCCACCCTCTGGCTGGACAAGGCCTGAACCTTGGCCTGGCGGATGTGGCTTCTCTTTCGCGGACAATCGAGTATGCCGTTTCCCATGGCATGGATATCGGTGATCTTCTTACCCTTGAGCGATACTCTTCGGAACGCTACCTCCCTAATGCGAAGATCGGCGGTGCTTGTGATCTTTTGCATAAGATGTATACCATCCCTGGGCAGGGCCCCATCACCTGGGCGCGCAGTCTGGGTCTGAATGTTATTGACAAGTTGCCGTTTGTCAAGTCATTCTTGATGAAGAATGCTGAGGGGTATTAAAATGGGTGTTGTCTTGTGTCCATAGTGTATATTTAGTTTCCTCTTCTTCAAATGTCCAGGCATTGGATCAACCACGAATATTCTTACAGACCGTTCTGCTTTTGAAAAGTAAGATATTATAGGTCCATCGAACCACCTGGCATGGCATCTTGAGAAGAGAATTAGATCAATGTCGAGAAATGGTATTGGGTATTCACGAATCCGCTAGTATATCCCAGACTTTTAAGCCTCCCGGCTCAAATGCTCTTATAACCGGATGCGTCTATGTATTTTGTGTAGAACAAGGAAACAAGAATGTAATGCTAACCGTAGCCGAACAAAGGAAACGAGAAAACGCCTGCATCAAGTCATCTCAGGCGCTAATCTTGACACCACCCAACTGCTCTGCCAAAGTGGCGCCGGAAGCAGAGGGCTTGTTGGCAAGGCGCTGTTGGAGCTCGTCGGCAAGCTGGGCAATGTCGACTTCGACACCTTCCTTCTCCGCGTGGCCTTCGGGGAGACCCATTTCCCTTGATACGGACCTTGCCGGCCTTCAGCTCCTCCTCGCCGAGGATGACGGCGAAGGGGACACCGCCTTGTTCGGCGGCCTTGAACTGTTGGGGCAGCTTGGGCTTCACCTTGTAGGAAAATTCAGCCTGGGAAGTGTTAGTGTATGTCACATTGGAGGAGGCAAGAGTGATAGTGTACCTTAATCCCGGCCTGCCACAGCTTCTGGGCGACCTCCATACGCTCCTTGAGCATACCAGTGAAACCCTTACCACCGAAAGCCATGACATAGGCATCGACCTCGCTGCTGCGGAAAGCGTCGGCTTTTTGCTCACGCTCAAGGCGTGCCTTTGTGATGGAGAAGATACGGTCGACACCGAAAGAGATACCGACACAGGGAATCTGAGCCTTGGGCATAAACATGCCCACCAGGTTATCGTAGCGACCACCGGCAGCAACACTGCCAACACCCAGAGTGGGGTCATTTGAGCGGTCATCATCATCGTTCTTCTTATCCTTCTTGCTGGACTTCTGGGACTTGATGGCCTCGGCGTCGCCCGCCTGCACAGCGGGTGCTGAGCCCTCGGTGACAACCTCGTAGATCACACCGGTGTAGTAATCCAATCCACGCGCCAGTGACATGTCAAAGGAGATCTTGTCCAGAACGCCGAAAGCATCCAGGTATTCCATCATCAAAGCCATGTCATCCAGACCGGCCTTGGCCGAGGCGTTGGCAGTGAGATTCTCGTCCTGCAGCAGCTTCTCCAGCAGCTCGCGGCTACCCTTGTTCATGACATAGCCCTCAATACGGTCCGCAACGGCACCGTCCAGACCTTTCTCGTCGACCATCTCCTTGCGTACATCCGCCCAGGGCATCTTGTCCAGCTTATCGACGGCACTCGAGATAGGACGAATCTTATCCTCAGGCACACCGCAGACCTGGAACACACCGTCCAAAATCTTGCGGTGGTTCAGCTTGATGGTGTAGCGACCGTTCCAGCCCAACTCCTCGAAGACCTCGCTAACGATTCGCAGCACCTCGGCGTCAGGCACCATTGGGTCGAACGCACCAGCGATATCGAAGTCGCACTGATAGAACTCGCGCATGCGGCCCTTGCTGATGGCGGGCTGGTCTCGGCGATAGACCTTGGCGATGTGGTAACGCTTGATGCTGCGTACGTCGGGGTTCATCGCGAGCCAGCGGGCAAAAGGAACGGTCAAGTCGTAGCGTAGGGAGCAAATTTCACCACCCTGGTCCTTCAGATCGTAGATGAGCTTGGAATCCTCGCCATACTTACCAGCCAGGATCTCGCGCAGCTCAAAAACGGGGGTATCGAGGGCAGTCCCGCCATGGCGCTTGAAGACGTCGGCGATGGTGGTAAAGATGCGGTCACGGAGGAGGGCGTCGGAGCCGCACCAATCCTTGGTCCCCTTGGGGGTTTTGAGGTTGAAAGAGACCTTATCCTTGGGCATTGTATCGATTTCACAGGAGCGAGGAGGAATTGAAGAAAAGTATCGAGGGCGGGGATAGATTTGATGGTGGGGGATGGTGGGGGCTCGGAGACGAATTTGATTCGAGGTCGCACGCAGGCTTTGGGCAGGCAAATGAGTCAGACAGGCCACAGGACGCGCGCGGATAGTGTCTGCAACTGCTCGTCGTGTTGAGCGTATGGCAATATGGATGGACGGCATAAAAGCAAACGCGAATGGACTGCAACGAAAAAAGGCCAGCGAATTTGGAACGGGCCATCTTCCTGCTTCGGGCGAGTTTATCCGCGGAGTTTATCCGATATTGCTGTATTGTTCCCATGTAGATTGAACGATTGGCGATGTGTGGTTAGGGGACCTTAATGAAGCTTGACTAATTGAATGAATAGCAATTAAATAAGTAGTATACATTGATGTCATGATATTGGTGTTATAGACTTTCGGCATACAAAACGGCTTGCCGGGCATCGCTGGACCGTTTTTCCAGTGCAGTTCAATATTCACTGTTCGCAGGAGAGAAGCACATCGAGAGGTCAAGAATGCCTAAGCAATCACACAGCTGAATCATCAGCATTGATGAGCACCGCTACAAACAATGGAGCGACGTCATGGAGAATCACTTATCAGTGGAGGCGTATATCCGGTTGTCTCCAAAGTAGCTAAGGACCTACTGCAAGAGGGTAAATGTCAACTCGGGCCAAGCGCGGCCAAGACATCCACCGCACCCCCCCAACTAAGCCATATTCACTGGAAGCATCTCCGTCTAGAGCTTCCAGGAAACCGACCATGCCACCCCACTGTGATGTACTCGGAGCTGAGCCGTAGCCATTTCCCCCCTCCCCGGTCGTGGGTCGCGGTCATGGCTAGTGTGGCATCTGCATCAGCCTTGGCCCGTATCCAGCTCTCCTTCGCCCTCGCCTTCGCCTTCGTCTGGCCCCTCGGGCCACCAATAAGGACCGGATCATCCCCAGTCGGGCGTTCAGACCCCAGTGTGAATGGGAGGGATGAGGCGATCCCTGCGATGGGTATATAGGGGTACACACCACGGTCCTGTGTCTCATCGGTTAGCGCGTGCAGCCGGGCCCCGCAAGGAGCCTTATTAATATTGACTGCGGGCGCACTATGTGATGTCCGATAATCTGGGTGCCCGGGCCGCGCGGCCGAGAACCTGGCTTTGATGTTGTGATGGTTCGATACTGGCCTCCCCAGATCTTTTGCCCCGGATTCAAACCTCGTGGTCATAGATCAAAGTCTGTGTCTTGCGATCAGTCGGGGGAGGACTCCACGCGCCACCAGCTTTCCCCACGTCGAGATTGGTCATTGGTCATTGTTGACACGCCATGCGAGGGGCGGAGACATGGTCTGTGAGCGCCAAACGTAATATAGCCAATCGTCTCGCCAAACGGTTGGGGGAACGGTTGGGGGAATTGGAACTCTGGACCCCGTCACGCCGAAGTCGTAAAGAGATGCCTGTTCCATGGTCGTGGAGAAGGTCGCCTCCACTGGGGAAATGCCGAAGCGGCAACACCAATGGCAAGGGCACTCAGTTCCCCCTCTTGTTATGCTTCGATATAGCCGGCGCACACGAAGGCATCATCACGAAGGTTGTGCACGGGAAAATCAGCGATTGGGCCAGTACCTGCCTTAGAACTCCACGTGGCTCGAGCGCGGCATTTCGGGTTTTGGGTTTGGAGTTCATCGAGAATGGTTTGGTGACGGCCCTGACTGGTCGGGTGGAAGCCTTAATGCGGAGGCCTTTTCTGGACGTTTCCGCGCGAAATAAGACGGGGCGGGTCTGATGTAGATAAGTCGCTCTTCCCGAGCACTCTTTCACTCACACACACACACTCCCTCTCTCTCTCTCTCTCTTTCACACCTCCACCTCACACCGTATTGCTGGACGCCACATATCTCTCCTCATTCCTCTGTCCCGATCCCCTCACCGAGTCCAAGCCCCGCGGTTCCTGCCTAGTGCCGTGCCGTTCCCCGGACGCTCTCCGCGACTCAACGTTTCTGGAGCCGTTTCCGACTTCTCCGACTTGACTTGACTCGAACGCGAATTCGAAAAACTGCCCACCCTCTCATGTCCACCTCTGCCTATCATCGGTAACTGTCAATCTCGAGTGATTCCTCCATGCAGCCTGTGCCCCACGAGGACACTCTCCCACGATGAAGGGGCTCTTCGGCATCGGCTCGCGAGGCAATGGGGTAAGCCGCTCTTCATCCCTACGAGCATCATCCCTCCTCGCCGGGGCACCCTGGGTGCACCCTCCCGAGTATTGTGAATATCATGGGAACTGACTATCTTTCCTGACACAGGCGTCGAACACCCCTTCGCCCGCCACGCTGCCGGTCAAGAAAGACCTCCAGACGCCACAGATAACCCCGCTGGAGAAGCGTTTGCAAGACATGGGTCCTATACGTGGCGATGGTAGCGACAAGTTCTTCGGCATGGAAAACGTGAGTCGTTCCGGTGGTCTCGTTAGTTAAGCCCCGCTGACCATGACGTGCGCGCCAGTACGGCAATACTTGCTACTGCAATTCGATCCTACAATGTCTATACTATTCCGTTCCCTTCCGCGAGGCCGTGATCAACTACCCCCAGCGCACGCCACTAGAGAGTCTTGAGGCCGCCCTCGCCAAGAACCTGCGATTCCCAAACCCCAATGCACACCTAGAAGCCGAGGCGCAGGCCGCCAAGCAGAAGGTCCAGGCAGCGGCATCGCCATCCGCCCGCCAGGCCGGCGTGACGCCCAACCAACCACAGAAACCGGAGGATAAAGATTCGCCGGAATACAAGAAGAAGGTGGCCCTTCAAACTCTCCCGATATTGGAAACAAAGAACAATGCCATGAGTTATGGCATGTCCGAGTCCCTCTTCACCTCGTTGAAGGACATTTTTGAATCTTTGGTCGGCAGTCAGTCTCGAATCGGTGTCATCCGACCACAGCAATTTTTGGATGTCTTGCGACGGGAGCATGAGATGTTCCGGACGGCCATGCATCAGGATGCCCACGAGTTCTTGAACTTACTACTGAACGAGGTTGTGGCGAATGTGGAGGCTGAGGCAACAAAGCAGAACTTTGCGGAAAAAGCCCTTCCGCCGTCAGAAAGCGTCGATTCTCTAAGCACAATGACCCCTAGCTCGGGTTCTAAATCACCTAACACCACGAGATGGGTTCACGAATTATTTGAAGGGACGTTGACGTCCGAGACCAAATGCTTGACCTGTGAGAAGGTCTCCCAACGTGACGAGGTCTTCTTGGATCTTTCGGTGGATCTTGAGCAGCACTCGTCGGTGACATCCTGTCTCCGAAAGTTCTCAGCCGAAGAAATGCTTTGTGAGCGGAATAAGTTTCATTGTGATAACTGTGGAGGGCTTCAGGAAGCCGAGAAGCGAATGAAGATCAAGCGACTGCCTCGTGTGTTGGCTTTGCATTTAAAACGCTTCAAGTATACGGAGGACTTGCAGCGGTTACAGAAGTTGTTCCACCGCGTCGTCTACCCATATCATTTACGGCTATTCAATACCACGGACGACGCTGAGGACCCAGATCGACTTTATGAATTGTACGCTGTGGTTGTTCACATCGGTGGAGGGCCTTATCACGGCCATTACGTCGCTATCATCAAGACTGAAGATCGCGGCTGGCTGCTCTTTGACGATGAGCTGGTGGAACCGGTGGACAAGAATTATGTGCGCAACTTCTTTGGCGATCGACCTGGCCTGGCCTGTGCATACGTCCTTTTCTATCAGGAGACTACCCTCGAAGCTGTGCTCCGAGAGCAAGCCCAAGAGGATCAGGCCAATTCGACAGTGCCGGTTGAGAACGGAGAGGCCGGGAAGACCAATGGATACCCCTTGTCATCCGGTCTGTCCCACGTCCACAGTGCCTCTCAAGTGCCATCTGAGAACCCGAACCGCATAAATGGCATTCACCGAATCCCCACTGCCCCTCAAATGTCCACGCATCCCGAAGCGCCCGAGGCGGAGGCGGAGGTTCCACAGCCCGTCTCATCACCTCAGCCACCACTGCCTCCAATCCCGGACGAACAGCCTCCTCCTCTGAGTCCGAAGAAGAGCGACGTACAGTCTCGCAAAGAAAAGGCGAAGGAGGAGAAGGAGCGCAAGGCATTAGAAAAGGAGAAAGAAAAGGCCGAAAAAGAGCGAGAGCGGGCTGATAAGCTCCGTCGCAAAGAAGCCGATCTGCAACAAGCTAGACAACTGATGAATGAGAGACGCGAAGCCGAGGATTTCAGACGGGCCGTCAAAGCCAGCGAAGCCGAGATGGCAAAGAACAGCGATGGCTCTGAACTTGGCCCTGAGATTGGGTCGCCGAGGAAACTCAGTTTCTTAAGACGTGGAAGCCGAAGTCTCAAGCTCAAGACTGGGCAAGGACAAGGAGCCTCGCGTCTCAACATCGGATCTGCCACCGATCCCGACGCCAGTCCCCGAAGCACCTCACCACGAAGAGCCTGTTCAATCTCCGCTCTCTCCGAAGGATTCTTTTTCCCTCGCGAACCCCAAGCTAGTTTCACGAAATAGCCCACCCGCCGCCAAGGACAACAAACTCGAGAAAACCGGACGTTGGAGGTCACTCAGCCTCAAGAAATCCTAGCTGCCCCGTGTATTCCAGGAAGCATTATCTTTTCTTGCATTTACCCAGAGTCTTGGATTTCACGGAGATACCCCACATTCATGCACATACAAGCGCCAATCTGCTTTGCTTCTGAACATAGCTTCCGTGGATGTATCATCATCTTTCTGTTTTTTATTATGATATGCGCCGTCGTTCTTTTCCCATTCTCCCGTGGATCCCTCATGTCGAGGGTTATCTCTCCACGGACCTGTCTTCTTAGACTCTTCGACCGTGGATTATGGCTATATCTTTTTGCTGTTTCCTGTTGTTTCCAGAGCTTACCGGGTCTCTTCTCTTTGTAACAATTACGTTGGCATGATAGCTACGTTGATGGGTGACCCATGCCAAAAGGGCGTTTGATCTTTGCAATATCTGGCGCTGGGTTCGGGATGTGGCGTTTTTCTCGACGCCTTCTTAGCGAACATGGAACTATTTTGCATGTTTCCCTGTCTTGTCTTCGCAATCTTAATGCGGTTAAGGAGTACCTCTCTTACAGTTATTCTCACCTGATTCTAGGCAATCTGAACGGACCCAACACTGTCCGAGTGAAGGGTGAAAAACATGTCGAGTATTATTTTCAAAGGGAACACATTGTACGATGATCTCAAGGAGTACCCCGGCCACACGACCCGTTTGGTACCATCCACAAAACCCCTCGTCGTTGGGGTGATTGTCGCGATGTGACTGGCCATCGTGGTATCTCGAATGATCACCGCCCGGGCACGAATTATGATAGTGGTTCCATCGACAAGTACTGAAAACCTGTTCCTACTGCGTGTGGCGTGCATTCTTCTCTTTTGTAATCATACAAATTTCCGGAATATCACTACTCTGGTACCACCCAACACTCCCTCCGGGTCGATTGCCCTTACCTGCATCTTGGAAGTTGTGGACGGCATCCTCCACACTTGCTTCACCCTCTGTCCACACATTGCATTCTTCCAGTGGTGTCTACCGTCTAAATGGCCTCTCCGTTGTTTACGACCGTCGGCACCCTCATCATCCAATGCATGGAGTAATCAAAATAGCAAGTTCAGATGTCCCAGTGGTGGTTGTGTTAGTGTCTAGGTTATTTAGACTACTGAATGGCCATGGAAATAGGCCAGTCAACGCACATCTAGTTACTTGATTGAACATATTTTATATATTTGGTAACCTCCAGTCCAATAGAAGACATAGATTGATAGCTACTGGGTCCAGTGCTCTAACAATCAGGTACCAAGCAGCTCGATTCAGAAAAGCAAAAAGAATATACACAAGAAAGCCATATCACATGCGGGTATCATTCAAACAGTGTCTTCCAGTGCCTTTAATTCTTCCTCCAGCAACGCCCATGTTCGCGGTAAGAAATTCCCTTCGAGCCAATAGTTTCCACCATAGTCTTTACCAAGCATCCAAACAGCATTGATCCCGCCCACAAGCGGTTTGATGGTATAGTTATGATATATCAACATCGTGCCTGGCGGATTAATCCTTGACTCGTCTCCATCACCTTGGCGCAGGACTGCGGGACCAAAGTTCGGAGCTTTGATCAGGTCCAACTTATTCACATTGTTGACAAACAGCACGCTAGCGTGTGGCTCGCCGTAAAACAGGTTTGGTGTCTTGTCGGAGGCGATATCCTGGCGCATCGTCCTCAGCATCGCCAAGGTCTGCTGAACTGTGCCCTGCGCAGCAATGTGACGTCGGTTACTGAGTGCAATCGGTCCAAGAGGTCCTCTAGCAAGCTCGGCCGGGAAGAATGCGAGCCCCGCCAGTACCATGTTCTGAAGGTAGACACCTGTCGATTCGAGGAGCAGTGGAAGGCGGAATCGAGCATTTGAGAAGATCACTGCGGTCACCGGGCGTGGGCTGGGCATAGAAGTGGCCATGGCGCGAGTGACCCACGCCGTCAGTGTGTCGTTATCGCTGACAAAGGGCTTCTCCCTACTCGTACTCAAGGCGGCTTCATCCTGAACTCGAGCCTTCAGCCGGAAGAAGATATCCTTTGGAAGATAAATAGCCCGGCGTTCCCAGCGAGGATTCCATAATCTATCCCACAGATTATGGAATATGAATTTCAGCTTGCCCATCCCCGTCATTCGCTGTTCGTCCGGCCCAAAATTTTCTTGCTTGTCTTCATGGGAGCTTTCTATAGTCTCAAGAACATCTTTATGTGCGCCAAACACCGGGGCAACTTCATCCTCACGACCGGCTAGCACCAGTGACCATGCATGCAGTAATGCTTGAATACCCACAGCGTCCATCATCGTATGCGGCCAGGTGAGTGCGACAAGAGTTGCGTTGTTGAAAGAGCTAACATGCAATGACAGTTGCGGTGCATCCATCTGTATCATTTCGTCAATGGTCGTTGGGTGGTCTGGCCAGCGTACGACAAAGGAGCGAAGATCGAGAGACGAGATCGGCTGAATTGACGGGCCATCGGTTGGCGTAGGAAGTTGACCAGCTACCGGATGCTCCTCAATTCTCATATCAAAAACATCGTGGGCGAATGCCACGGGCCGCTGCTCTTCTGTGAATGTCTGCGGGACATGAATCTCGAGCTTGCCGTTTTGCTAATTTATTCGTCAGTCCACCACTGTCCCCTTGAACCAGCTGTTTCGTATCTATTTACCTTGACCCTGAGCCGACCTCCGAGCTTCCTCCAATCTCCAATTTCGAACAGCCCTAGCAGAGCCTCGTGTAGCTTATCAGCGTCGAGCACGTCATTGAAGCGCATTAATCGGCTGATGAGAGCACGGTAGAGTAGAGTATCATCCAGACCATGGAGAGGATATACAATAGGATGTTTCTCATCCATTTTGGGCGGCTGAGTAGCTCAAAAATCCGCCCACGTAGAAGTAAGATGCGATGTGTTTAATTCTGAGAATGACAGTTTCTTCAGGGGCAAGAAGTTCTTTTAGATTTTGGTTCTAGATTCTAATTTGCAGTAGATCGAGAAACACAAGGATCGACTAAACCTGATCGGCAACTGAGGTATAGTTCAGGGCATTGATTCGCCCGATGGGGAAAAAAGCCCCTTTTGACCCGCCCAAGTCCAAGATGCACTAATGACCGAGACCCTCGTGCTTGGGGACTCACCTCCACTCGGAGTTATTCGGCTAGTAGGGGAAAAGTCTGTTGCCCACTTATCAACTTGCCTACTAGGCCCATTTGGATCATCTCCTTTGGTCCGAGGGATCCAGAATTTCATGCATATATGATCTCTAGATATCCGAAATAGGAGTATCCAGACTGAACATCATCATTCATGCAGTCGTGTGTTCGTGTGTTCAACATACCGGAGCTCTAGACCCTACAAGCTTCCTACTTCGCTAAACCGTTCTGACTCAGGTGCATTTCGGGTATATACATGAGGCTGAGAGACTGGGAAGAGATCGAAAGTTGAAGTGTAGACCGGCTGCAAAAAGCCCAATTGGTAAAAATCAAGCCGGCCAAAATCTCCGCATCAGTCCACCAGGTTCGCCATGTGAATTATCTCGGACCGATAGTCTGTCCTGACAAGACTATCAGTCCCACCCCTTCCTTATTCTTATAGGTTATTGCTCATGTACTTCGTACCACATATCTTGTGGTGGGAAACAGACAGGCTATGTGGGCCTTTGTTCTCGCTGAAATGCTAAAAGACTGCTTTTGCACGAGTGACAGTGTCAAGGGGCCGGAAATCAGGACCGATCCATCTCTCCTGGGCGCGTACGTCGACTCTGCAGGAACTGGGAGGTGCGGGAAATCAACCGAGGACAAGCTCGTAAACGATGATGACGGTGTTGATGATAATAAGGGGTACTGGAGAAGATTTGCGCATTAGCTAGAGTGCCCGAAGCTGCCACACATCTTCCATCGATCTCGAGGTTACGCCATGCTTTCAGAAATATCGTGCAGATTGGAGGAAGAGATATTGCAGCGACCAATACAAAGGGGAGATAGAGCTTACTCCGCATGACTGTGCGTACGCTGGCAATCAAGTTAATCGTCTTCGCCTTCACGCTGGTGCTGTCGTATGTCGCGCCGAAGCCCGGCTCAGCTGACGTGCGACCCCATCCGACTAAACGAGTCAAAGTCAAGAACATTAGAATTAGATCCGGAGAAAGCTTCGCAACAGGGTGGTATGCGACTGGGGTGGGAGCGGAAGGACGTACTGCGAGCAAGGAAGCGATCCTCGGACAGGATAGCGATGGAGTTGATGATGAGGATGGCGACTGGAGCATTGATTAGCTTATATCAAAAGAGGCACTCGCCAGAAGACCAACCCAGGAAAAGGTTCCCAAGGCCGAAGAACAACATCATGGCGCGTCAAGAGGTGGTTGGAGGAACGTTGATAAAGTGAGGTTCGGAAGCGCCAGATCTCCGGATCAACAACTTCGCTCACCATGAGACATGGTAAGGTCCGCACCACGCAAACTCCATGCGCAGAGCTAATTCTCCCTAGTGTTGGCAATTTTCGGCCTTTTTCTTCCGCTCTTGATCTTCCTTCATCTCCTTGTTGCACCGTACACCAAAGTCGAGGAGTCCTTCCACGTCCAGGCCACCCACGACATACTCGTCCACGGATTCCCCGTGCATGTCCTTGACGTCGACCGCACCAATTATGACCACTTCGCTTTCCCGGGAGCTGTGCCTCGGACGGCGATTGGCGCTGCCATCCTTGCAAAGCTATCGCGACCCATCATTACCTTGAGTAATGCGATCAATCCGCCCGGCATGGCTGGCGGCGGCGTCTACACTAATGGCACCGATCCCTCAAACCCGTCGAAAGTCCCACGACCGACTGCTATTGCGGTAGCACTGGCGAAACTGTCCAAATACTTGCCTAACTTGAGCGAGGGAATTGATCGGCAGATCCTCGGTAGGGATAGCTTTTGTTTTTTCCTTCAACGGCCAACTAAGCTAACACATTCACAGCTCGAGCTATTTTAGGGCTGTATAATGCAGCTGCACTACTCGTGTACGCGCATGGTGTTCGGCGGAGCTTCGGGACCATTGTAGCAACATGGTATTTGGCCTTCCAAGCAAGCCAGTTTCACATCATCTACTATGCCTCGCGGCCACTATCCAACATGTTTGCTTTCGGGCTGACAACCCTAGCCATGCGGTTTCTCCTCCCAGATTCCACACCACGCAGGGTCCGGGTCGGTGAAAGCCGTCTGTCACTGATACTGCTTACCGTGGCAGGCGTGATATTCCGCTCGGAACTTGCTGTGCTAGTTGCGACACAGACGCTATTCCTGCTCATCACTCGCCAAGTCAGATTCTTCCAAGATGCTGTCTACTCAGGACTCCTTGGTCTCTTCGTCGGTCTTTTAGCTACCATGATGACTGATTCGTTGTTCTGGGATCGTTTACTATGGCCGGAGCTGGAAGCCTTCCTGTTCAACGTTGTCTCGGGCCAGTCGTCTGAATGGGGAACAGATCCATGGTATTTCTACTTTGTGAATGCGTTGCCTCGCCTTCTTTTGAATCCATTGATATATCTCGTCGCTCTTCCCGTTGCTCTGCGCCAGCCCGCAACTCGGCAGCCGGCGATCGCATTGCTCGTGCCGTCTCTGGCTTTCGTCGCCCTGTACAGCATCATCCCCCACAAAGAGTGGCGCTTCATTATTTATGTCATTCCATCTCTCACCACTGCAGCTTCGCTCGGTGCGGGATATCTCTGGAATCACCGCTCGCGCTCTATTGTTGCTCGCATGGCTTCTTATGCCTTGGTACTTTCCACGCTTGCAACATTCCTCCTATCGAATCTTGTGCTCCTGCCAGCCTCCGCCGCCAACTATCCCGGTGCGCATGCTCTCAAGGCACTGCATCGTTATCATGACCAGGCGGCAGCCGGAAATGCAAATGGTGCTTCCGTCTATCTCGGCAATCTGGCGTGCCAAACAGGCGTCACTCGGTTCTTAGAACAACCCGCTGCATTGGGCTGGCACTACGACAAAACCGAAGATGAAGCTACCAAGTCCTTGGGCGCCTTTTGGGAAAAATTCGATTACATTCTTGTTGAGGCATCTGCGGATCCTGATTATGAGGATAGCGATGAGATCCAACTGCGAACCGCGCTTCCTGATTCTCATTGGGACACGGCTGACACCGTCGATGGCTTCGCTGGTATTTCCATCGTGAGACCTGGAACTCCAGCGGATGGAACTGCTGAGCGCAAGCTTTTGTCTGCGGTGGGGGGCCAGCGTGCAGTGGACTTCTACGAGCAAGTTCGGGAGTCGCTTCGCAATGTCGTGCTAAGAGGATGGTGGGTCGAGTTGAAAATGCAACCCAAGCTTAAGATTTTGAAAAGGGCTCAAAGGGGTCAAGTTTAGCTTTTAGGTTGTAGACTGCACTGTACATGGCGGAACTGGAGTGTCTCTTCTTTTTTTTTCAGATCTATTGAATCAACTGTACATCTCAGTAGCGGAGCGTGAACCCATCCACCTAGGTCGGATGTATGAAACAATCTCAACAATCAACCACGTTCAAAGAAAGCGCATGCAACAGGGTATTATGTATCATGATAGGCGCCTCGAAGAAGGCGGACTCAAATAGACAGAAACTAATTATCTCACAACGATCCCGGTGGGCCACCAAGACGTGCCATGCGAGTCTCTAGATCACGCACCCAGGGCTCCACAGTCTCGACATTCGACTTGAGCGCAGCTTCGCCCTGACGCATCTTCTCCTCCACAGCCGTGAGACCTTCCCGCCACTGCGCGATCTCGGAATTCATTTCAGCCTGGCGTTTCTCGAGCGCATCAAGCGACTCAGCGGCGTGGGCGGCACCTGCGTGACAGGCACGAAGAGAACGGAGACGCTCTAGAACACTGGGTAGTAATGGATGCAAAGATTGGATGGTGGGAAGTGTTGCGTAGAGAGCTTGAATCTTGGATGCATGGTCTTCGTCAGATGGATTAGAGCCGTCCGCGGTAGGAGCACCTTCGGCATCAGAGCCAGATGAAGCAATTCGCGCAGCTTGAGCAGCCTTGGCAGCGTCGACAGCGCGTTTTCGCGCTGATGCGAGGGCTTCGGCATCAGTGGTGAGCTTGCGAACTCTCGTGGAAAGAGCTTCAAGATGTGGTGTGGTCAAGCCAGGTACAGCACTCGGGCCACCAGCCGTAGGGTTCGTTCCCACGAGAAGACCAGTAAGGGCGGAGAGTCGTGATGTGAGCTGGTCGAGGGATGGCAGCACAGGTTGCAATGCAGGCTCGCTGATGCCATCTCCAACGAAGGGGTTTGAGGAGCTTGAAATTCCCATTGAAGCTTCAATAAAGAGCCAGTCGGCCCTCGAAGGCCGCGGCATGGGAAAGTATTCCCGCTGATGACGCCGTAACTGGCGGAGGCAATGTAGTAACAGCCGAACCACCAGCCGGGGGTTGCTGGCCTGGTGAAATTTGCGTAGAACTGTTCTCAGATCCTAATTTCTGGGACAGCATTGCAGCAGCAGAGTGTGGAATAGTCTGTCCACCTCTCGAAGAAGCATGCAGATTATCCAGCGCGCGGCTCAACTCCGCAACACCGTCGCCCAATGCACTTTCCGTCGACTTCTCGGTAGCAGCACTTTGTTTTGTTCCACTCTCGACGCTATCGTCATTTCCAGCAGATGCCTCATTCTCCATCTCAACCTTCAGTTCCTCAACCTCTCGGCGCAAGCGTGCTAGCCGCCGCTCGACCGATTCATCCTCGTCGCTAAAGTCGCCGAGATCCTCGGTACCATCTTCACGAACACGGCGCCGGCGCCGGTTCTTGCTCTTACTGCGGTAGGCTTGGCGTTTTGAGGAAATGCTGTCGGAAAAATTGACGTCGCGGGCGTCCACAGCGGAACCCATGAAGTGCATACGCGCCTGGTCCGCGTTGACGCCTTCGCGGTCAATGTCGGAGCTGAATCCTGCATCGTCATGTTCGGATTCGGTACGGACAGTAGTGGTCTGAATTGGAGCGGCTGTAAGTAAGGCTTATGATGGCGTGATTTGACAATCGCGGACTCACGGGAATGGTGGATGCCTCGTCGGTCAGGTCAGGGGTTTCGTAGATATCCGGGGCGGGATCCTGATGCGCGGTCAGTATATTCCGCGGTGGTATTTTGTCCACATCAACCCACTAGGTCAGGGAGACCGGCATATTTTTTGTTGAAGGCCATGGCTGCGGAGTTGGAGGAGACCGTCAACAATCAGATGCCGCTATAGCTCTCACTCGGGCAATAGTGATACCTCAGGCAGACAGGCACGCAGGCACGCAAACACCTTCTCACAGATGACTCAGCATGCACGTGTCAGCCTCGGGATGAGCACATGCTTCGAGCCGCCGCATACCGTGGACCCAGGCAGGTATATTAAGCAGACAATCAACCACATGCGACGTAGTTTCTGCTGACATTCCCTTCTTTGGTCCCGCCTACACTCTTCAAAACTTCGACACGAAATCTCCAATTCATCCGGTTGCATCTCCATTGACATATCACTTCCCCAAAACTACCCCCCACCACCCCGCATTCCAAGCTCTCCAAGATGGCAGCTCCCTCCACAACCACAATTAAGAACCTCACCGGGCAGTGGCAGATGGTAAGTACCTAGTGAGGATACGAGCTGGAAGACACTTGAGAAAATGACTCACAAACCCTTGTGTAACAGGACGCAACCCTGTCCGACCCCACCGATCCCATCCTCTCTCTAGTAAGTACAGGGACACATACATCTTACATGCGGGCAGCATTGCTCAACGCCTACCACACCAATGGCAAGACTGGAACAAAAATAAAACCCCACTAATATGGCGCAGCAAGGCATGAGCTGGTTCCTCCGCAAAGCTCTCCCCTACGCCACCGTCACCCTGCACGTGAAGGAGTACGCCGACGAGGCCAACCCGCAAGTCTACCATATCGATGTTGACCAAGTGATCACCGGCGGTATCAACGGAACCCAAGAGCGGCGCCAGCTTGACTGGCAGCAGCGTGACCACACTGATAACATCTTCGGCACGCTTCACGGCCGTTCGCGATTCATCCGTGGTGTGAAGGGTGCCGACGGCAAGGTTCGCCCAGCCGTCGAGATCCAGACTAAGGTCGGTGATGCGGCGGCTGATGAGAAGGTGGCGAAGTTCCTTCGCGGCGAGATCCTTGCAGATGGCTCGGCTTCAGAGGGATTCCTCGTTGAGGACGAGGGTGCTGAGTTCGGCGAGGGCGAGGGACTCTATGTGCAGAGCTGGGTTGTGAATGAGGAGAGCGGCTGGACCGCTGAGCAGGTCTGGTCCATCGTTTCTTGTGGGGTGTGGATTGGATGCTAACTTGTTCTGGATTAGATTTGGGGCTTTGAGTTGGTTAATGGCACCCTTCGCCACCACTCTCGTCGCGTTGCTGTCACCAAGGGCAATGGGCACGTCGAATTGGCACGACTTGTTTACGTCTGGCAGAAGCCTACGCCCTCGGAGGGTCATTGAGTACTTTCCGGCTTCACCGGCTTCCCGGCTTCGCATTAGACTGGAATTCAATGGACTTCGGTAGACCCATAATTCGGCTGCTGCTTTTCAACCTTTGCAGTTTGATAGAGTGAGTGCATTTCTTTGCTCGATGTTGTCTTACTGCAGTACTCAGAATTAAACTGGATTCGGCCATTCTGCAACTAAGAATTGGAAAATACTCTTCGCCAATTCAAAAATACGAATCAAGTATTTATTAACACAAAAAAGAGGAGAGGTGCTCTCAAATATATTCATTGTATGCAAAGTGGCCCGTAGGCAGTAATTTGGAGCCAAGAATACAAGGCACATGATCATGACACGGAGGAAGAAATAGTAATGCCAAAAATTCGGCATCGGACTTTAAGAGTGAGTAGGCATGACAACGGCAGCCTTGGAGCTGGTCGCATCCTCACTCTTCCAGTGGCTGGTGACGGTCTTCTGCTGGGTAAAGAACTGCAAGCCCGGCTTGCCGTAGAAAGTGTTGGCGCCACCACCGGCGATACTCTTCTTGTTACCGGTGAAGGAAAACATAGGTAGAGGGACGGGAATGGGCACGTTAATGCCAAGCTGACCAGCCTCAATCTCCTTCTGGAACTTGGAGGCAGTAGAGCCGGAGCGAGTGAATACAGCAGCACCGTTTCCATACTCGTTGGCGTTGATGAGGTCAATAGCATCGTCGAGGGTCTCAACGTTCAAACAGACGAGGACGGGACCGAAGATCTCCTCCTTGTAGCACTTCATCTCGGGGGTGACATTAGTGATGATGGTAGGGCCCACGAAGTTGCCGTTGGGGTACTTTTCGGGGTGCTGGCCACGGCCATCCAGAAGAATTGTAGCACCTTCCGCCTCAGCACTGGCAATGAGATCCTCGATACGCTTCTTGCTTTTAGGGCTGATGACAGGACCAAGGTCTGCACCCTCCTCGAAGCCACCGTTCAAGTTGAGAGCCTTAGCGCGCTCAGCAATTTCAGGCAGCCACTCCTTAGTCTCGCCTACCATAACAACGGTGCTCAGCGCCATGCAGCGCTGTCCAGCAGCACCAAAGGCAGCGCCAGTGATAGCGTTCAAAGCATGGTTCTTGTTGCAGTCAGGCAAGACCGCAGCGTGGTTCTTGGCACCCAGGTTGGCCTGCACACGCTTACCATTGGCAGAGCCGCGAGTGTAGATATACTCGCCGGCCTTGTTGCTGCCAACGAAGCTAATAGCCTTGATAGCGGGCTCGTCCAGGATAAAGTCGACAGTGCGGTGTTGGCCGTGAACAATGTTGATAACGCCGGGAGGGAAACCGGCCTCCTTGGCCAACTCAGCCAGGATCATAGCGGCACCGGGGTCACGCTCGGAAGGCTTCATGACCAAGCAGTTACCCGTGACAGTAGCAACAGGAATACACCACAGAGGAATCATGGCTGGGAAGTTGAAAGGGCAGATAGCCGCGACAACGCCCAGCGGCTCACGGTAGCTACGAGTCTCCATGTCCTTGGCAACCTCCAGGACTTCTCCGGTCATCTGGGTGGTGATACCACAAGCGGTCTCGGCGACCTGCAGACCCCGAAGAACATCGCCACGGGCGTCGGCGAAAGTCTTACCCTGCTCGAGAGTGATAGAAGCAGCCAGCCGGTCCCAATTTGAGCGGATCAAGTTGGTGAACTTGAACATGATTTGTTGTCTCGCCATAATGCTAGTGGCGCGCCAAGCGGGGAAGGCCTTCTCGGCCGACTCGACGGCGGCCTTTAGCTCCTCATCAGTGCTTTGGGGAACACGAGTAACCAGGTTGTTGGTAGCAGGGTCATGAAGGTCGATCCATTCGGTGGCCTTGGATGTCACGAACTCATTGTCAATGAAGTTGGCAGTGTCGATAGGGTTGGAGATCTTCTCGTGGGTTGTCGGGTATTCCGTCGCGGTTGTAGCCGCCGAGGTCGTCGGAGGAGCAAGCTGGCTGGCAGTGGCATGCAATCGGCGAGAGGCAGAGGTGGCTCCAGGTGTAGCGGTAGCTCTCTGAGCAGTCAATCTAGCATTTGGAGTTGCAGTTGTTAGAGACCGAGCACCGGCGGCTCGAGCCGTAACGGCAGGAGTGCGGGGGAAGGAGTGAAGGGCGGGGAGACGGGCCAAAGACCGACGGGCGGCCATGATCAAGTATGTACGAGGAGAGAAAAAGATCAACGATAGAATCTCTGAGAGGAAGGAGGGATAAGGGTGATCATGAGGGAAGTGGCAATTGGGAAGTATAAGAAGTATCACAACCCCAGGCCCGAGGTCAACCGACCGCCTTGCATCGGGTTACCCCATATAATCCGACAACAGTGACCTTTGGGTCGCCGATAAGCTCCCTCGGCACTGAGAACCAATCATGTGGGCCCTAGATATGGTTTCATCGCCGAAGCTGCCCGCAATCACACTCAATTGCCCTGAGCTTTCATTCGAGTGGGGAGGAAGTAGGCCGTTCCGTGGAGAACCCCATTTGATTTAAATTGGACTTTTCAAGTAATTACCCGGTTCGGAATTGGAACATACTCCATCAGGCAATTTCCAAAATGGAAACAATACTTTCCCCCGCAACGTTGAAAGTGGAGATGGCACTAGGAAATTCAATGGATACCTCTGATATAAGTATACCGAGCTCTCATTCCGAGGTGGATCACTACCTAGAATACTCCTACACAAGCCAAAATACAAACAGGAAAGCTAATCATTGGGAAAAAACGGTGTGATCTCATTTGGATTCATGGGGTAAGTTTCGTTCTCACTCTCTCGCGCCTTTTACTCCGCGGAGGAACGGGTGTTGCGCTTGGTAGCACCACTCTTGCCAGTGTCAGCAGAAGAGCTGGTAGCCTGGCCAGTCTTCTCTTTGGGAGAGGTCTCGGCTTGCTTGCCCTTGGGGGCGGGAGCAGAGCTGCTGGAACCAATAGCACCGACAATGATCAGGATGGAGGTGAGGAGAAGAGCCACCAGACCACCGGCAACCTCGGGAACAGTCTTGACAGCGTTGATGGGGTCCTCCTTGGCCAGACCGACAAAGAAGTCAATCTTCTGGCGGACGAAGGTGACGGGATCTTCTTTGAAGGTAACGGTAGTGCCCTCAGCGGGCTTCTCAACCTTGGGCTTCTCAGCCTCCTCCTGAGCCTCCTCGATGGGGAACTTAATGTCAAAGGTCTCCTGGCGGAGCTTCTCAGCATCCTCAGCGGAGTGACCAATGTAGATGTTGTCGAACAGAATATCGTTCTGCATGGTCCAGATCTCGAAACCGATAGCGCCCATAGCCTCGAAGTTGGAAGGGGTCTTGTCCTCGAAGTAGGCGGGGTTCGCGATCTTGCGGGGAGCCCAAGGCCCCTTGTAGGCAGGGTTGTCGATCATGGGGGCGGTCCACTTGCCCTTGTACTCGGGGTTCTTGATCATGGGACGAGTCCACTCGCCGCAGCCAGAGACGTCGGCACACTTAGGATTGGGGACAGTAGGGGCGAGCCAATCGCCATCCTCCTCATCATCCCAGTCCTCAGGCTTCTCGGCCTCAGGGTCAGGAATGCTGGTAGGCTCATCCTCCAGCCAGTCCTCGGGCTTCTCCGCCTCCTCGTCAACGATCTCGAAAGGAGCCTCCTCATCCCAATCCTCGGGCTTGGTGGCCTCGGGATCAGCGATCTTGACCTCGTCGACCCAGTCGGCGGGCTTCTTGTCCTTAGGGTCGTCAATCTCCTTCTCGGGGTTGACAGGAGGGTTGAAGTCCTCCAGAAGGCTACCCTTCTTAGAGGACTCGCCGTTGATCAGGATCTCGAAAGTCTGATCGGGGTTGACAATCAAAGTGTAGACGGAAGTGACCTTGTTGGTGCGGGCCACGGGGGGGAGTCTTGAGGTGCTTCTCCTCATATTCGCCGGTCTTGGGGTTCTTGTGACGGAAGATGAAGTGAACCTAGATGTTTTGTCAGTCACTGGGGACCACAAATGCGAGCTTGATCGGATGTTATTACCTTGTTGGTAGCACCGCACTTGTCGGGACCGAACATAATTACGTAAGGAGAGGCATTGGAGAACTCCTCCTGGTGGAGCTTCTTGTTGTCCTGAAGAAGCTTCAAGTAGGCTCCACCGCAAACCAGGGAGTTCTGCGGCTTCACCTCGTACTGGACCACCAGAGTTTTGCCCTTGTTGTCAATCTTCTTGGGGAATTTGGCCGAAATGGCGTGGTGAGCGGCCGGGTTCTTAACGACCAGCCCCTTGTCGCCCTCGATTCCCTTGAAAACGGTGGGCTCCTCAACGGCCCACTCGCCAACGTATGCCCAGTCCTCGTCGGACTTGGGGTCATCCTTCTTCGCGTTGGAGCGCTTCCAGCGGGTCTCCCAGTCATCGGTAAACTGCTCCAGGAACGGAGCCTTGAGAGCAGTAGGCTAAAGCATCATACAATGAGACAGGTTCATGACAATTGCAGGGTGGAGTCACATACCGTGAAAGTCGGTCTCACAATGGAGGTAGCATCAGAGTTAAGCTCAGGCTCCTCGGCATAGGCAAGGCCCATAAGGGAGGCCGAAGAGACCAGAGCCGTGAAGGCGGCAGCGTCGAAGCGCATGATGAATCGTACGAGGAAGCGCACAACCGGGAAAGGGAAAAAGAACACCGAGAGGGAAAAGAGGAGAAGCGGAGCCCCGGGTGGTTATATAGAAGAGCAGGGCGACAGTCCAGGTGGCCTCTTCCATGCCAGCTCCCCGATTGGGCTTAGCCCCTGCGAGGTACCCGCGACCTTTCGATCCCTTTCTATCTACATTTCTCTACTTGAAGCGCCTAGATTGGTTCTCCTGGAGATCTGTGCGATAAGTGTTGTAGAATCACACACACGTGCTTCAATTGCCTAATCAATAGCTTCTTCGGAGTCGAGCCGTTTCATCGTAATCCCCAAGTGCCGTGTGTAATGAGCGGAGCTGCAGAATCCCACCCCGCCCGGCAAGATTCATTGGATTGCGCCATGCGCCGTTACACCGTGTTTCTTCATCCCCGATCCATTTCAGCTGACTGCTTCGAGATCTCGTATTGGGCCAGGTTCCAATCGATTGTTCTACATCTGTGAGATTATTGCCTCGCTGGCTGGCTCAACCCCAATCTTTCGAGTCGACGTGCAGACAAGCACTTGACCTTCAGCCATGTGCGGTGATGAACATAAGGCCGTCGAGGCCACGACCAACAATGACTATCTCGTGCAGTCGGATGATCCCGAGCACCCGGCCAACCTCATTCCGGAGATGTGTCGTAAATTCTACAACTGGGGCTGGGTTACCGGCACTGGTGGAGGGGTAAGTTTCTGCGTAACAGAGAGCGCAGCAGAGAGCGCATCAGCCCGCTGACAAGCACCAGACATCGATTCGCCACGGCGATCACATCTTCCTTGCGCCCTCCGGTGTCCAAAAGGAACTCATCAAGTCCGACAACATCTTCGTCATTCAATGGCCCACTAAGAAATACCCCGCCGAAGACCGCAACTATATCCGCAAACCCCTCGCACTGAAACCATCCGCCTGCACCCCATTGTTCCTCACGGCCTTCGAGCAGGGTGCTGGCTGTTGTATCCACACTCACTCGCAGTGGGCAGTTCTGATCACCCTGCTCGTTGAACGGGAAATGGGCTCGGAAGCATGCTTCGAGATAAGCCACATCGAGCAGATCAAGGGTATCCCTCGCGGCAAGGGCAAGGGCTACTTGGACTACCACGACACTCTGCGCATCCCGATCATTGAAAACACCCCGTACGAGGAGGACCTGACAGAAGGTCTGGAGGCGGCGATGAACAAGTACCCCGACACCTATGCGGTGCTCGTGCGGAGACATGGAATGTAAGCATTGATCTTTGACCTTCCGATCTGGAATTTCCTTTTCTCGAAGGCTTTGATTCGCTGACACTGATAACAGCTATGTCTGGGGCGACAACCCTGCCAAGGCCAAGACCCAGTGCGAGAGTCTGGATTACATCTTCCAGTTGGCCGTGGAAATGCACAAGTTGGGTCTTCCTTGGATTAAGTAGATATTCCAGTGATGCGGATGGCCAAATAACTTCCCTCTGTGATGTGCACGAAAGACCAAAAGGCGTTATACCGTGTAGATTGGTCAAGAGCGAAATTCGAGGGAACCCTAGAGATGATGTGACGTATTAATGGTACCAAACGACTCTACCGTTCGTGATAAAGCAGGTTTCAAATCATAATGGAGTAGGTTAAGTTTGTAGATCTGTAACGATGTGTCGATCGTCCCAGCATTGGGAGAACGAGAGAGAAGAAGCCACTTCAGACCTTGGGGGTTGGAGATCCCGTGAGTGACTAAGGACTGCGGATCACCTCCACCTCCACTACCAGCTTCCCACCATCAAGTGCTCCGACCCTTGAGCTTCGAGTTGATCATTATTGCAATTTCTCCAATCACACACCTCTGCATATAGCTAAGCTTCGCGTCTGCTTACGGCCGGTGACAATGGACCTTGACACGGGAGACTCCCCGTGGGGCGGTAGGCAGTCATGATACCAGCTCTTGGGATTGCGATCTAATATTCAGTACAGATGAGCCTTCGCAGTCCTCTAGCCCCGTCACATCGAAGCCGAATACCAATGAAAGTGGTGCGTCTTGCTACTCACCATTTCCGCTTCCCTCAACCCCTCACTAATGGCGGGTCTCCTTACAGCTTCCGCCCAGCCCGCATTGTCTGTCAGTACCGCCGAGGTTCGTACACCTGGAAGACGAGGGCCACGGGGTACGCGCAAGATCAGCGCACAGGCAACTCGATTGGAAGCCGTCGATGACACATTCGATCCCCTTGGTCCGCTTGGAGAAGTGACGACTGAGACGAGCGTGACACCCACGGATGAAGCCCCGGCACCTCCCCAGAAGGAATCGCTTGGTGGTCGCGGTCCCCAGCCGACCTCGACATTTTCCCCGACCTCTAGCGGAGCTGGCCTGGCGGATTCTGTCACTCTGGAAGAAGAAGATGGTGGGAGTTTCCGAGGACCTCCGCCCGTACAGCCACCTGCCGATGCCGAGGGACCAAAGCGACAGACACAACCTAGCATGAGTGTAGAGCAGGCTGCGAAGCCGACATTTGAAATCAGTGTCGGAGACCCGCACAAAGTCGGAGATCTGACTAGCAGTCACATTGTTTACCAAGTTCGAACAAGGGTAATCAATTCTACCATATCAAATGAAGCTGAAAGAGCAAAAGCTAATTAATTGTGATGATCAGACGACGTCCAAAGCATACCGCGTGCCCGAGTTCTCTGTCAGTCGTCGATACCGTGATTTCCTTTGGCTTTACAACTCATTGCACAGCAACAACCCCGGAGTGGTTGTGGCTCCCCCCCACCTGAAAAACAGGCTGTTGGTCGGTTTGATACAAATTTTGTGGAGTCGCGGAGAGCTGCTCTGGAGCGAATGCTGAATAAGATTGCTGGCCACCCAATTCTCCAGCACGACGGCGATCTCAAGATCTTCCTCGAGAGCGATGCTTTCAATGTGGATGTCAAGAACAAGGAGAATCGGGAGCCCGATTTGGGTCAAAGCAAGGGTATGCTGAGCTCATTCGGAATCTCTGTCGGCGGAGGAGGCAAGTTCGTGGAGCATGACGACGTAAGAACACCTCAAGAATTGAATGCTTCAGCCTTACTAACTTATATACAGTGGTTCCATGATCGCAAAATCTACCTCGATGCGCTGGAGAACCAGTTGAAGGCTCTCATGAAATCCATGGACACCGTGGTCATGCAGCGCAAGGGTCTGGCAGAGGCCGCGGGAGACTTCTCTGGCTCATTGCATGCACTCGCCTCCGTCGAGCTTTCTCCCGCCCTATCATCACCTTTGGACGGTTTGTCTGAGCTGCAATTGCGCATCCGGGAACTTTACGAGCGCCAGGCGCAGCAGGATGTTCTGACCTTGGGTATCACCATTGACGAGTACATTCGCCTGATTGGCAGCATCAAGCAGGCATTCAGCCAGCGGCAAAAGGCTTTCCACACTTGGCATGCCGCCGAGTCTGATCTACAGAAGCGCAAGAATACACAAGACAAGCTACTGCGGCAAGGCAAGACTCAGCAGGACCGGCTGAATCAGGCCAATGCCGATGTTGCCGATGCAGAGCGCAAGGTGCACCAGACACGTTTGTTGTTCGAGGACATGGGCCGATTGATGCGCAATGAACTGGGACGGTTCGAGAAGGAGAAAGTTGAAGATTTTAAGTCCGGCGTGGAAACATTCCTTGAGAGTGCCGTCGAGGCTCAGAAGGAGGTAAGCAAACCTTCCTACCCAGGCTCTTGATCTCATGGTTACTCACACATCTTTGCAGTTAATCGAACTTTGGGAGACTTTCCTATTGCGTCTCGATGCCGGGGAAGACGGTCTTCCGTACTACGTGCCGCCTCCTGTATCCAGTGAGACTGGCGATGCTGCGCCAGAGTCCGTGGTAGCCCCCGTGCCCGCAACCGACGACGGGGCTTAGTTCGCTCTATTCATGGTTCTCGGAACTTGATGTACCACCCCCGGGACGGATATACCCTTAGCCCCATTGTTTATTCTACATGAATACTGCACCCAATGATCACTTTCAGCCAGCCGTCACTTTTTTTTTCCTTTTGTCTTATCCGCCTAGGCTCTGTGCCCTAAGAGCACCCGTCCAAATACCACTATCGTGTACTGTAACCTATACAAAACCTGAACTTCCCGAGCGCGGTCGGACACACACCGTATACACAGTCAGTCGTAGTATGAAGTGGAAAAGCAATCGTCTCAGCGCAAGCGACAATGAAGTGACGTTGCCACGTGAAGGTCCCTGATACTCAGATTAAGTCGGATCCACCCGCTTCTCACCATGACATGGCGCCAACCCTTGTCAAGAACTGTCCCAGTCGATCCTTAATGCATTAAGACCAAAAAAAGGCCCAACATCCAAGAGACATATACATACATGTCACTGAATTTGGCTACGAATTTGCGCTCATGAAACCTGTGGCTGTTCCTAACGAAGATACATCCAGGCCAGCAGAACTGGGCTTTGACCGCAAGACCCCCAGCCCCGGCCATAACGAGATTCTGCGGCGCTAAGGCTAGTTTCGGAGTGGCTTTCCAATCTCACCACTCTCATGGTGTCACTGAGCCGCCGATGGAGATTGCGCCAGCAGAATACCCACCTTGATAGGGCCGTCACGAGAGCGAGTTATGCGCTTGACAACGGGCTACCGGGAGAACGAAACCACCATCTTTCGTGTTCCGCCATTGCCAGTATCGCATTGCCATTAGCGCTCACGGGGAGGGGGCCTGAAACAGCGCCGCTGAGTGGCTTGGGGGTTGAGTGTTGGCCCCCACTGGGTCCCTTTGCGCTATGATATTGGGCAGTGTAGTGGTAGGCCTTTGGCAGGCCTTTGGCCGGGTCTTGGGCCCTGAACTACTGTGAGCTTACTCGGTTTTATTTATCTTTGGTCAGCATCCCTATCTTTCCTCCAAAGACTTTTCCACCTGGTCGATTTTGGAGTGCGAGGTGGTCAGTTTTGAGCTGTACGGTCGTTTTCGGTTCGCTATGTCGTCCACTATGGCAACGACGACTTCGTCGAGCTTCGTTGCTGCTGACTACACTACGAGCCCGGACTTTCAGGGCTGGTATTTGCAGACTACTCGTCCGTTCTCGTTCTTCTTTGTTGTTCAAGGATTCAAAGGCCCTGACTGACCTATACAGCCCAGCCTATCATTTGCGCGTCGACGCAGACCTACTACACGAGTAGCACGTTCGCGGACTGCTACGATCCCTCTGCTTCGGCCCCCATTCCTACGGGATGCGATGGATCTACAATTCTTAGAGGAGGTGATTCTGCAGTGTGGTAGGTTTCATGTTTCGTTGCTCATTTGTACTTTCCCGCGATACTCACCTTGATAAATTTCAGTGCCACGTCCTACTCATGCTCCTCCTATAAGATCTTCCCAACCGAGGGCTCCGATGATAGCGAGGCTGTACTGCGATATGCGTGTATGATCAATTGGGCCGCCAATAGTCTCTATCGCACCCTCCCTGCTCGATACTCCTCGTCCACCGCCGCGCCCGCGCAGACCGAGACCGCATCTGCCTCTGCCAGTAGGTGTATCAAAACAGGTCTCATAAGCCCGTAAGCGTACTAACTATTGATTTCCCATTCCAGGCGCAACAAAGAGCCATCACACCACCACAAGCACCAGCACACAAAGCACCTCAACATCAACCTCCACCTCCACCTCTACTTCCACCACCACCACCGACTCAAGCAGCAGTCTTTCAGGCGGCGCAATTGCAGGAATCGTCATTGGTGGCGTCGCCGCCATCGTAATTCTACTGCTGCTGATCTTCCGGAAGAAAATCCTAGCCTCATTCGGAAAAGGGAAGGCCGCCTCAGACGATGGACCGGCCTGGTCACCGGTCTACATGCCTCCCGAGACCCAGTCCGTGTCGCAAGCCACATCGAACTGGCAGACATCTGAAATGTCCTCGGACCAGCAGCCTCAAATGTTTCACGAGATTGATTCGTCGCAGGCAAAGAGGTCTCAGACAGTGCATGAATTGGGATGAGGTGGATTGTGTGATGATTCTATGGTTTCCCTATACCCAGCGTCCTTTTCCTCTTCTGGATGTTATACTTTTAGTTGTGACGTGCGATCTTTTTTTTCTAACACTGATATATGGATTTAATTTTCGATTCGTTTCGAATGTTGCCTGGGAGAAGCCTTCATAGAGATGACATTCGCACCCGCCACTGTTATCAGTGGATCTATCGATATTTCTTAGGTACCGGATTTCCTCTGCAACTTCTTGTCGTTCCCTTTCCATTTCAGTGCTGAAAACCTTGCCGCTCTCTGCTCACTGAGCAGGATTGGACCATCAGAGGATTCACCGTAAGGATCACCTGCCTTTTGTGAATGGTGCAAATATGCACCATAGGAATTGTATAATTAGATCGGGATGGCTCGATGGCTGTCTGACCACGTAGACTGGGCAACACCAACTATGAGGACACATACAACCCCCTCCCAGGCTCCGCAAGTTCCGAATGAGTTACTGCGCGCTGCCTTTAGTGTTGCAACATGAATCAATGAATGTGGTGGAAGTTGCAATGAACTGGGTAGATGTCTATTCTGTCTCGCTCTTGTGTAGTAAATCTTGTATATCGCCCGGTTTTCATGATACCTCAGGCCGCGACTGCATCTATTGTGTCATGCGTTTCACCACTACCGTAAGTATCAAGTATACATAAAGGTGTATTTCATAGCTATCTTGAGGTAGTGTATGACCTCGGCTAGACCCTTTTAATCTATTTACCATTATTTGTAGAGCTTGCGGCGATATTTTCTTTGATAAATACTAGACTAATTCGTGCTAGCGTAGGACTTTGGGGGTTATTCTAATGCTATAATAGGTAGAACGATTTAATTTAATTAGTCGGTATGCAAAGCCGATATATTACGAATTGGGCTTATAACTATTGAACATGAAAGTCAATTACCTTAATCGATGATATTGCAAACTCTAGTTTGTTATTTCATACCCGGAAAAACAAGTTCCTTAGGGATCGACATACAATCACTGCAAACATATAGGATAACACTTTTTCTGGCATGCGGGGGATGTTCACGCCGACATATCATCGTTGGTAATGTGATCGAGCTTTGTTGAGACAATATTACCGAAGGTGTTGTAATCCTGTTCGTAACTTTCCCTTGCTGACTGTTCCAAGTTGATTGGTCTTCAGTGTTCCTTCTTCCCGCATGAGCGTGTTCCGTGGGGTTTCCACGGCACTAAGTACATGTTGTACTTTGTGAACACCAGTGGTGAGCAACCTATTTAATGTCTGACAGGTCCCGGTTTTGATAGGGATGGCTTGCTTTCCCGTCAATCACTTCCTTGAGATAGTCTCCGAATTTCACAAACTCGAAGTCAGGGTACAACTCCTTTGAAGTCATGTACCCTAGCCTTTTAGCATTTTCAGGAGTGTTATCTCCACGCAAGCCCCACGATATCTGGTACTGCAACACTTGCATCATGACACGCATGGTCGGGGAGGCCTCCCCCTCAATGGCCTTTTCCACTGCTGCAAGTCTCCCATGTACTTCTGGTCCAGAGACCTGATAATTGGCTAGTTAGCAGGAAAGTAACGATGGGACCCTTCTGTGAAGAGGGGGTTCAAAAGGACTGAACATACATATTTTCTCTCAAGCTTCTCCCCACCGAGACTTTCCAAAAGGTCATAGATCTCGTTCTGCGAGAAGACCTCGTTGTAGGCGAGAATCATTTTATTCAAGGTACGAGGATCAACAATAATTCTCGCAACGTAACGGCCGATATCGCGCACATCCGTGAGAGCGCTAGGCATGTTGCCATCGCCAACAATCTCGTCCACTGGTATAATTGACGCGTAATCGATTCGACCAGAAGGAAGCTTCGGGAATGACACCTGATACCACCAGCCCACATCAATGATTGTGAACGGAAGGCCAATCTCGCGAATGTGGTTGTAAACCACTTCTTTCTAATAATTTAAAGAAATGAGTCAGCCTAATACACTCCTAAGAATATCTCTCGCTCAAGCTACTTAACTCTGCAAAGAACTCACTTGCTCACGCAACGTCATTACCCCCTTAGGAGGCGCAACAGTGATAAAGCCGCAGGGTATGAATCGTTCCACGCCCGCTGCTTTCGCCGCCGTAACCAACGGAAGTTGGTCAAGCTGTGCATCAGCACCGACAGCGGAGATGACCACATCGATACCCGTGAGAATCTTCACAAGCTCTTCATGGGGACCCTTTAGGTCGGCAGCAACCAAGTTCACGCCACGTTCTTTCAGAGACTGGTTTTCTGGTTTCTGGATGGACGAGGGCCGAGTGAGCGCATAAATATCCTAGATCTGGTTAGCACAAATCACTTGGAATACTCTACCCTTGAATCTGCCCGACTTCGAGGGGATTTCTCGAGGAGGAGGGTTTGGGTGCGCCAGGGGATACACACGAATTTGGTAGTCGACTCCAAAAGCCCATTCGCGATCGACGAGCCTGTCGCGCCCGCAGCGCCCACAATGAGAACTTTTTTGACAGACATGTATTTTCAATTTTGCTATGAAGCATCAATCGTTGAGGTACTTCAAGTTTATATACTTTTCCTGGGCAATAACCTCTCCATCCGAAACGGGCCAATTATTAGCCCGGTCTAGACGTCCGAATGGAAAACCGGGCGCGATCACTCATCCGGAAACGGAAGACAACTCGCCCGATCTAATACTGCGGATCGAGGGAGTCAAGGTCCGCGGTTTGTCATCCGGGAAACGGGAAACGGCTGGCCCGAGTCGCCATGCTCCGAGTTGCCATGCAGAGTGATAACTAATCCGATTGAAATTCACAGTGCAAGGGATTCTCGGAGTTCAAAAGCACGAAAGAGAGTGCCTGCAGCTAAGAGCAAATTGATCACTTTTGTGTGAATAGATGAAAGAGACCGGCAGACTCAATCCTACATCCATTTAACTTTACAACAATGATCCACACCGAGATCGAAATCAACGCCTCTCCCGTCACGACCAGACAAACGGTAAGTTCCGCTTTTCTTGCTTTCTGGGGAAGAATCGGTTGATTTCTCACTGATACATATACACACAGTTCCTGGATTTTGCCGCTCTCCCAAAGTACCATTCTAGTTTCTTCCAGTCCATCGCTCCAGTGAAGGCCGAGAAGAAATCACCAGAACCTGGTGACAAGCTTCTCGTGAATGTCAATGGGATGGCACTGACGCCCGTTGTTGAGGTTAATTCACCCACCGAGTTTACCTGGCGCGGCACTTTTGGCAGCACCTGGCTGTTCACCGGCGCGCATAGCTTCAATTTTCTGCCAGTTGGCGAGAAGACCAGACTTGTGCACTCCGAGGAGATTAGCGGACTCTTTGCTCCAGTGTTTATGATATTCGGGAAGGCAAAGGCCGAAGAGGGGTTCAGGAGATTCAATGAGGACCTCAAAAACTATGTGGAGGTCGGCAAAGGAAAATGAAAATGAGAAGTTTTAGAATCCTTGCGTCCAGTCCATGGCGCCTACATACTTCACTCACCGGAGTTCCAAGGGCTTGGGCAATAAGAATGCATTGGGCTCATTCGCTCAGCTCCTTGAATATTGAACCTATCTCAGATTAGAGGAATCATCGTTCTGTCGATGTCCGGTAGTTGCTGGGGCTTGGACAGTTTGGACAGCACGTCAATCTCGATGGGGTTCGAAACCGCTGTACAGACTTTGACTGCGACGTATATGTTGGATTACTCATCTCAGGAAAGCCAAGTTGTTGAATATGTGCCATGGCCGAGCTTCTGGACTACCCGGTAATGTTCCATTGATTCCACACCTTCGATAGGCTCGAATAAGACACGAGGTGCGTTCATGGTCGAAACCGTTGGTTCAATTATAGTGATCGATATGTGCATAGGGTGTTTGATAGCAAATATATGGCAGATTTGCCTTCTTTGGAGTGAGCGGACGAGGAGAGAAAGACGCAGGCGAATGCAAAGGTCTAGGGGGCAAGAACCATGCCTTGGGCCATCCTCTATCACAAACAAGATCTTGTGATACTCTATTGAAGTAAGCATACCGGAAGTGATGTTATAGTGAACCCTACTGAGTAATTCTAAGTCAAACATGTTTGCTGATTGTGAAGTGCCTGTGACAAATGTAAGCACGCGTGAAGCCGCTGTCGCGGGGTTGCATATCGCATTGGGGCTCCTAATTCAGTTAATTTAGTCAACTTCTCACACAGAATCAAAGAATCCAAAGAAGCAGTCTCTTATAGAGACTTCGGGCACGTTTCATGAGAGACCCGAGCAGCTTTCTTTCGATACGACGACGGCAGATTAAGATACTCTTCAGATGATCATGGCTGGTGCTGGTATCGCGGGACTTGTAGCAGCCATCGCCCTCGCGCGAGTCTCGACGATTCCGAATCTCAATATAATTATCCAGGCAAGCTCCGAAGCTTTTAGAAATCACTGTTCGCGTTGCGCTCAGCCCCAATGTATGTTCTTGATCACCACCAAGGCCATGAACCCCATGAGACGCATATCCATGGAGCGAATCACGCAGGGTATAAGTACTTTGGAGATACTCGGCGTGAACGAGGCTCTCATAGATGAAGTAGGCTACAGAAGACCAAGTGGCATTCCACAGATCTTTCATAATGTAATGTCTCCGTCTTTCCATCTGCAGAACTCTACTAATAATTACAGCCATTGGAAAACCGACCAAATCGTTTCGTTTGATGCACACACCAACGTTCCAGATCCTCGACACCACACAACTCGGTTTCACCGAGGTCATTTGCACACTGCTCTCCTTAATCACGTCCGTTCTCGGTCAATTCACTTGATTCAAAGGTCGCATGTGCAGAATGTACACAGACTATTTCGAGGGTGGAAGCAGCGCTTACGGTGATGTTCTGATAGGGGCAGATGGGATCCGATCGGTTGGTTGTGAGCCTATCCACACTCAAAAACCTGCAAACTGGGGGGAGGTACAGCGAGTGAGACAGTCCTTCGTGTCTGAATATAAGCTTCGCTTCACTGGGAAAGTACTCGTGAGATCGACTTTGGATGCATCCCTTGTAGAGGAAAAGTCTTTCAGTAGACAGAACGATTAGACGGGGAAAAGAGCCCATAAAGGAGTCATATCTCGATGAGATTCGGACACATTGTTAGCTGTAGAATGACAGGGCACGAAGACTCAATAATGCACATTCAAAATGATTTCAGAAGGTGCAACACTGCATATATGTTTTGCGATTGCAGCAAAAGAGACACGGAGTATTCACGGTTACAAAGTGCAAAGCCTAAAGGTGTACAATGGTGAAAAAAGATGATATATAGAATGAGTTGGCCATTCATGGAAATTTAAAAAACAGAAAAGACATATGTATAATGTACAAGACAAGTGATACAGAATCAAGGGGACCCAACTCCAAGCCCATTCAACAAGAATCGACTCTATTTCGTCTCTCAACGCTCGCCAATCGTCAGTCAATGGAGCTGCTTATTTCTTCTTCTTATCGAAAATCTTGCCAGTCGGCTGGGGCTCTTCCTGTCCAAAGGCGCTAATCAAATCCAAAAGGTTGTCCTCTTCCTCCTGCTCCGCCTGAGCCTGGGCCTTAGCAGCCTCCTCCTCGGCCTTTTTGGCCGCGGGGTCCTTAGAGCTCGAGCTGGTATCCGCAACAGGGGTATTCGCATCGAAGCTGCGGCCGAATCGTGCACGGAAAGCAGCCAATCGACCAGCCTCGTCATCCTCGACGTTCATCAGCTTGCTGCTGGAGGGGTTCCAGAGCAGAGAGTTGCGCGTGTCACGCGTGGAGCGGTAGATCGGGGCAGGAGAGGTGGTACGGTGGAGGAAGGCGCTGCCGTCGGAGAGGGTGATGAGCTGGGTGAAGGTATAGGGGCGCTTAGGGCGGCGAAGAAGAGTGGCATGGCGGCATTGCGAGCAGACAAATGTTGTAGCATTAGTTTGAGAGGCTGACACCCGGCCGGTGGGGAGGATCGTGGTTGTCGAGTTTGGTAATGTGGCCGCGGCGCGGCGGAGAGAGGTGTGCATGGACATTGTGAATAGGTTGACGCCGGACGATGCGGACGATTTCAAAATGTGCTCGAAGGAAACGAGGACCCGATCAGTTCATTAGGTACGCGCAACGGGGTCGCGGAGGTTGCGGAGGACAGATGAGAGTGGATTGATGCTATACAACCTTCGCAGAGAAATTATCGCCCCTTAGTCAGCAAACCCGACACCTTCCTGCGAACCAGATTCAAGAAATTCCAACACGCAGTCGCTATCGGGTCGTTTTGCCTGGGGATCCGAAATGAATTGACGACATTCGACTACAAATAATTTGCCGACTGATAGTCTAGCGATCTCACAGAGTGTAGGGCGATAGCTCCGCCTGAACAGCTGCGGGATGAAGCTGTCAATCCCGCGCATTGCGGTCCGAAGAGGCCTCGGAGGCGAGTTTTTCGATCTACAGGAGTATATCAGATGCAGTCGAGTAATCCTAATGTGCTTATAGAGTCACTAAATCCAAGCCTCTCTACCGCCACTTTCTCATCTTCGCCCCTCCGATACAACTCGCCGAGCTATCAACAATCGCAATGCGCTCGGCGACACAACAGCAATGCTGCCACTTCATCGAAAGAAAATGCCCCAAAATCAAGCCAAAGGACAGCAGCATCGACGCAAATACCCCCAACATCACCTCCCTCATCAATATCCGAACATGTCCGCCTCCTCATGCGTCGCGTGCCCTACCCTGTCGCCATCATCACAGCCACCGACCCCACCGGTCCAGCAGATACATCCTCATTTCGCGGCATGACCGTTTCCTCCTTTAGCGCAGTAACCCTTTCGCCAGATCCCGTGATTTCATTCAATGTGCGGCGACCATCAGAGACCTTGAATGCGTTACTAGCCTCAGGGCGCTTTCTGGTTCACTTACTCGCACCCGGACCCGACACCGCCACGCTCGCTAGAGACTTTTCTAAAGGAAACACCACTCTATCCTCGATTCTGAACGGACATGGAGACTTTGAATTCAGGGCACTGGACGTTGAGTCGAAGACGCAAGCTAGCGAGGCCGAGAGACCACTTCCCATCTTAAGACGGAAAATCAAGGACTCGAAAGAATTGCAGACCGTGGACTTCCCCTTCGTCTTCGAGTGCACTCTCCATCCGAACAAGATTGATGTGCATGATCACTCTATTGTGCTTGGCACGGTTGTACGCGCAATCGAGGTGAATGCCGAGGGTCTGGAACTCGATTGCTCCGGTGTAGATGAAAATTCATCGGCACACTTATGTTTGACCTATGCCAATACTCGCTTCTGGAAGATGGGAAGTGAGATATAATCGTTACACATACGACGGGCATGTAGCAGGTCACTTGTGCATCATAGAAGACATTACTGTTCGAGTGTGACTTGTGGTGCTGTACATAATACCTTGAAAGCAGCCTTCACTCTGCTACTTGTATATATATAATAGAATTTTCCCGTAAATCAACTCACAAGTGTTGCATCTACTGTGGTCTTTGGCCGTCTGCCAAATGCGGGTTAATAGGGTATAAAGTCCAGCAATCCTGCGGGTTTCATATCCTCAGGCCCCGACAGTATATCCTTCGCGATGTCCAGCATCTTCCACCGCTGTTGCAAGATTTCAATTGCTCTGATGATGTTCCGTATGTGCAACTTGGAATAAAGTTTCAAAAGGAGATCCTTGACCAACTTCCTATCAGGCCCAACAGCTTCGCATCTAGAAATAAACATGTCAATTACATCGAACTCAACCCACACGGGTCTAACTCACCCAGCTGTATAAATCGGCGTGGTCAGAAGGATCCAGGGAGACAGCGTCGTCACAGGGAGAATGACGCAGACTGCATCCAAGATAGCTCTCACACAGCTTTGAACTTCGACGCAAAACGTAGGCAGATTTTGCACCCGTCTATACAGATGTATTAAGCTCGCAGTTTGATAAGCTGTATTGCAGGCGCGGAATTGATCGATAGTGTTGGCATCGAATGAATGATGACTGGGAATTTTCAAGCCCGATTCGCGATCACGGCTAATCATATTCCGAATCGCGCGTTCAAGTCTTTTAACCTGGTCCTGATGCTCATTGTCATTCTCTGGGTCATTGTCGGTCCCATTGCGTTGGCGTGCGAAAAGGCCAATTTGCATTAGAGCCATGTTGAGATCTGAAGAATAGCCAGTATAGATATCAAAATAGTAATCATCACTACTATCTGGGAAGGATGACCCTATAGTGTGATCCGGCATGAACCCAAAGTCCGTGACGGCAGCAAGTGCTTGAATGGACCAGAACCATCGGGAGCATAACGAGGACCCCGATTGAGGGCCTTTGAGGTCTTGCTGTGAAGCCATTGCCGCAAGAAAAGCGCCAGCACCATTGACATGCACCCGCCACGATGAATCAGCGCGCCCGGAGAATATCTCACAGTGGCAAAGCGTTTTAATAGTATGGAGGAGAGGCTGGCTTGGGAAATCCGGTACCTCGAGGTCCCGACGGAGATAATTGATACTCGTCGAAATCAGCTTCAAGACAGTGGCTTCTGGTATGAATTGATCAGGTAATCCATTCACCAGAGTGGAGCGGTGAAGGGCCGACATGGCCATCACTGCATATCTCAGCGATTCTGAATGATGAATCATTGAGAAAATATCCTGGCATTCATTTTGTTGGAGGTAAGGGTGGCTGGAATTTTGGGACACCTCTGTGAGGAAATGGTGGAGTAACAGTCGAGTTTGAGAGGATAAAGCCGTAAGCGGCCGCTCGATATCCAGCATAGTACTTGCGAGGCTGGGAGGAAACGAGCTGCTGATAGAGCTGGCGCTTGTCAAATTTGATGTCAAGTTGATGCCGGGGGACTTTGTCTCTCTTGGAACGCGGCCGTTCCATTTTAGGACGAGTTTGTATTCACAGGCGATCCCCGCATGTTGACAGCGGCCACAAGCCGGTTTAGCCTCGTCGCATTTTTGGCGGCGCCTTTTGCAGCGTGCACAGCCATTGTGGGACCGCCTTGTTTTCGTGCTCATGTGTACTTGTATGCAATGTCTAGTGTTCAGTGGAGGGGATAGCAGGGAAAGGGTGAGCAACATTCCGGGTCGTTCTTATCGCGCTGAGTTGCCATTTAAAGTTAGCCCCGCGTCGACTCTTAGCACTAAGACAGTAGTAAGAAGACCCTTGGATCGACGATCGATCGTCGCTACAACTACGCGAAGCTGGCACCAAATCTGATGTATAAAACAAGCTTTTTATTCTCTCATAGGACGGAACAGGTGCATCTCACTTCAAGCTTCTCTGGCACCTAGTCTCATCGCGAGGACACCAATCATATAACAATAGCCAGGAAGTTCCATGACCATCAAACACAACTCGATGAGTGACCCGTAGGGGGGTAAGACGCAAGACAGAGGGCGATCCAACTGATCAGATGGAAAGAATAAGCGCATCTCAGACGAATGGGCAAACGTGCGGAATCCAAGGTCAACCGAGCAATGGTCTCAGCACCTTAATCGCGCGCCGACTTCGGGCTACCACTGCCACTCCTGCTGCCGCTACCCGATCCACTGCCAGCTCCACTTCCTCGACTCGCGGCCCGTTGGAAAGGACTAAGGGTCGGACGGACATTCTGGTACAAAAAGCCGTTACCATTCCCGTAGCTGTCCGATCCGGATCGATGCTTCTCGGAGAGTAATTCAGAGAGCTCGAGCTGCAGGGGAGGCAGGCGGTTGGAGTCAAAAAATTCCGAGCCGTATTGGCTGCTGCGAGCAGAGCGGTTGGAGAATGAACGATCGCGGTTGTAGTCGGTTCCGAAATAGGAATCGGCATTGCCCGCCGGAGAGGTCGTGAAATGAGGCATGAAGACGTCTTGCACGGGACTCGTCGGATTGGACTCGGAAGTATGCAGCGGGCTGGGCTTCGTCGGAGGAAAGCTGAGACCCAGTAGAGCACGGCCGTTTGGAGCAGCAGAGGTCGGTAAGCTGACTTCGGACAGCGGGTTGGTACCTGGCAGATTACCCTCAGGGGTAAGGGGGCCAGACTCGAGAAGCATCTGCTGTTGCTGTTGAATCGCCTGTTCAATAGCAGATGCCTGCTGCCAAAGTTCACTAGTGCGCAACTGGAAGTCCTGCACAGACTGGCTAATGCTCGCGAACTGCTCGTGGAAATTGCTCTCCAGTTTGGCGTGATCTTGCTCTCGTGCAAACTGCTCGGCGGCGCGACGCTCTCTCTCATTCAATCCTTGGGCATTAGCCGAGATGATACGCTCGTACTGTTCGTTGACCCGGGTACGACGGCCCTGAAGACGTTCACGCTTCTGCACAGCCGCATTCAACTCTTGCTCCAACGCGGCAATTTGCTGAGCTGCGGCAAGGCGAGCTTCAGTAAGGTCTTCTTTAGCCGCATTGAAGCGTTCCAATTCACGGTCGAAGTCGGCCTTGTGCGCAGACCATTGCTCCATCTCTTCCTCCGGTACATTCTCCATGTGGTCGAGTTGCACCTTCAATACCTCTGTCGCCTCCTCCGTCTGCTGAATGTTCCGCTCGAGCTGGAGCGAGCGCTGCTTTTGCCGGTTTTCATCCGTTCCGCTCTGGAGACGGTGGTGAAATTCTCCAACTCTCTCCGGATCTTTGAGATAAGAAGACGATGGTCATTCTTCGTCTTCTTCAAACGAGAGCGTTTCTCATTCAGCTTGGCTTCGGCATTGATAACGGAATTCTTCAACGTCGTTGTGGGGAAGAGGGGCGATAGGGCGGCTGAGGGGGAGTTGAAATTGCGGAAACAGCTAAAAGGCGAATGAGATTAATGACCATCACGAATCGAAAACCAAGGAACAAACTCACCTTGTTCTGTGTCGGTCGTGGCCGGAGTCTTGACACTCATAGCACAGAATTCCTCATCGGTATCACTGCGCACAAAGGAGCAAGTATAGGCACAATTGGGTGCGAGTCCGGAGATCTCGCCCCGCCAATGTACCACGCTTGGCTCCTTCAACGAGTCGGAGACTCTGCAGATCGTAGCGGTGGCCCAAAGCGCACCGTTGACACAAACATAGAACGGTTCCACCTCTCCATCTGATTGAGAAGGTTCAGAAGAGCTCGGCGCCGTAGAGTCGTCAGAGAGATCACCCGCGGCAAACTTGATCGTAGAACTATCCACATCCGTAATCCAAATTAGTCCATCGTCGAGAGAAGCGCCTTGCAAGTCCTCCTCGGTCAACGTAAATCCGCGTCCGGCTTTTGACAATGCTCGCGAGTGCTCGTATTCTCGCATCACAGTGACTTTTGTACTAGCGAGGGCGGCCCAAAAAGGTTGGCGACTCCGGACCTGATTGGCTTGTCTCCTGCGTTTCTTAGCTGAGGTGAGACGATCCTTGCTATCCTTGAGAAATTGCCCATCCGGGCCCATAAGAGAAGACGAGAGACTGGCAGCAGACTCGAGGGCAGAATCGGCCTGGCCCTGAGACCCAGCTGAAGCTTCTGTATCCCCACGCTTACCAGTCCTCGGTGGCGCGGGAGCCCGATTCTTGGCCATCGAACGTCTTGCCATCGCAGTGCCCGCTTGTGCTAAAATATGAACGGCGAGAAGACTTCTCAGCCAACTAGGAGATGCATTCGCTTCGGTTCGTCGGAATTCGGCGGGTAAAAAGTTCGAGTACTGAGCAAGGAGATCGGGACTGATGAGTTTGGCGGAAACGAGATGGCCCAGGACAAAGTCTTGGATGCCTTTGCTGCGAATGATGTGAAGAAGCAGAACAATTCCTACACACATGGCGTTGACCCCTCCATTCTTACCGGAGCCTCCGCCACCTAACGTGATAGCAACCTGGACATGAGCGAGGTCTATCGCGAAATTCTGGGCCCACGTCCACATGAAGAGGCCCCAGAATAGTAGACAGAATCCGTCCATGGCGATCATTGTCCCCAGAGAGGGGGTGCCGGCCGGACCCTGGAAGATATCGAAGTTCGACGACAGAGAGCCAGCGGCGGCACCACTCGGAGGCATGAAGGTCAAAGATGCGAACAAAAATTGAACCAGAGTCAGTACCATTGGCGGAAGTTGTAACAGAAAAATCAAAATGGCGATAGTGTCGTACATAGGACACGACTTCAGAATGGTGGAGGCGAGCTGGAGAGGGTTGATCGAATCGTTGGAGCCTGAGCGCTTCGTAGAACCATTGCGCGCCGCCGGGCCTGCCACGCCACCGTTTTGCGGCAGAGCGCCGTTTGCTTGACCACACGCCATGTCCGCACCCTTTGTATGTCCATTCACCGTTCCACGCGCATTGCCATCGGCCTTGGCCGCATCCACACCCTTGTTCGCGATGGTCGGAGACGTGATGACGGTATCACTGTTGGAACGACTTGCGGAGAGATCGAAGGGAGCGGCGGCGCCCGAGTCGGTAGCAGAGTCGTTGCCTGGGAAGCCGTTGAGGTGGCTGCTGGATTTCTGTTTGGTTACTTTCTTGCCGGGACCGACGAGGCCATTGTCGTGTCGATTGTTCTGGTTCTTCCTAGCCGCAGCAGATGAACGTGGCATGGACGAGGGGAGCCCGAAACCCAGGTCCGAGTCGGCTTGGCGGGACAGGGCCAAGGACTGGGACCAGGCAGGAAGAGGAAAGGGACGAGATGGAAAGAAAAGGTCCTCCGCGGACGTCCCTAACGAAAGATTCAGAGTGAGGGGAGGGAGGGGAGAGTAAAGGAAGGTGGTAATACGAGAAGGAGAGAAGGAAAAGTCACGGTGGAACTATGAGGTTGAGAAGAGAAAGAAACAGAAAAGTCGTAAGGTACGGTAAGGCGTCGATCATACACGCCTGGGCCGGCGGTACCTGCCGCTTTCTTCCTGTTGTATGCCTAGTACCCAACTTACCAGTTTCACTTTTTTGCCTTTTGTTTCCCTTTAAGTTATTCTATTGTCCTTCTTTTGAATTAGACATTAAGTTAGTGGTAGAGACTGCTCTTGTCTTCATCTATGGTCCCTACGATTGTAGCTTGAGGCTAGCAAGATCTGTGTTTTGGGTCCCAAGATGTTCCAAGTTCCACATCCGTCCATAGTCATGCACTAAGGCGGATAGCGATGCGGCAAACAGTCCATCACGTCCATATTGGGACCGAAAGAAAGCTCTTGCGTCTGCCCAAAATTGCGGCCCCTAGTTCAATTTTGCAACTCTGGGGTTTGGCTCACTGGGCATCATCCCGCGCTCTACCGGCTATGATAAGCTATGCAGGTGAGCTAGGCTTGAGGAAATGGGCGTGTGATCGAATCCTATCCTCAATTCATTGGCCCTTTACTATGAGACCGACTCACGACGATCACCGTTCACTGGGCCGCCCAGCTGCGGGGTTATTCTTGCGGCATACCTGGGGCATGCATGGGGACACGAGTCTTTTAGGCCCTTGGCCCACGATTGGGCGGATCCAGCCATCAAAGAGCCTACAGATTGGAACACGTAGGGCCCTAAGACGTTACCTCAACTGGGTATCAAGTTTCTCAAGATGGGTAGTCTCTTCACATGCTCGGCTATCTCGTGGCCGGTAGAGGCTCCGCTTAGTGGCACAACGGCCGATCCACGTCTTCATATAGAAAATTAAGCAATTATGAAAACTTTGTCGACATATAGGGTGGGTGTAGACCCCTGCTGCCTGGAAGTTACCGGGAGTTATCACCACAAGGCTAATCAAATCAGAAAACGAGGGAGACGAATCGCCCTCCCCTCTCGGCACGATTAGCAAACGCTTGGCATCGAGTTTTGCCTCGTAGATCCTGCGTTGATTCAGGTAATAGATCGGCACACCGGTCCCGGTCGTGTCTGCCCACCTTTGACCCTTCGAATCCCCCTCATATATACCTTCTCTGATTATTATGTACTTCAACTGATTAAAGTCGCAATATACTCACTTTCATATCTTCTTCGCATTGTCTTGCTCCGCTCCAGACCCATAGGTGCCGATCTATGGTCCCGGGAACCGGGACTTTGCCTTGATTCCGACAAACGGCCAGACTAAAGTTGCGCCGATCTCTGCCTCGTCCATTTTCCGGGCCCTTCCAGTCCCGACTTGATCGGGATGTTCTCCGAGGGCTATCGCCATTCAAGCATCTTATTGCGCCTAGGTTACGATGTACATTTTTGAAAAGTCTGGATTTCGAGATTGGAAGAAAGCGTAGACAGCTCAGACGCATACAGTAGTGGCGTGGCCACATTCCATAGCACCGAGCCAATGCCATTCGATTTAGACTGGTCGATCCTGAGATCCCTGCGGTGATATGCCCGAGTCAGTCGAGGGCTCCTCGCGTCTCTGTTCGATCCTTGTTGCCGTGATGATTATCACGAAGGTGCTGCCTAAGAAAAGGTGATGGGCAATGCACCAAGCCGTCCAGAAGGAAATGATTGAAACCTCTTCCAGGGGTTCAATCATCGCGTTCAGTATACGTATATACACTGGCAGATCGATAGGAAATGTAACCCAGAACATGTATCAGAAAATAAACCCATTGAGATGTTTCTCATTCTCAAGGTTCCACGCCCTTTCAATCAATTGATCAACTTTGCTGCCGTCCATGAAGCCACCATAGGTAACGAGAGCTCGTGTCTTTTTCTCAATTTCTCCCCTGGAACACGAGGTCAGCTTCATAAAATGCAACCCATGTCACACAAAATCATACCTTGTCAATGGAAGTTCGGGGTCTCCCTTTGCAAATTTCACCGTCTCAGTAAACTTGTGCCCAGCCTTGGTGGTTACAATAACAGTTCCTTGCCAACTTTCTGGGAAGTTGCTCTCAATCACCGGATCCAACTCCATCATCACACGATCTTGGAAATCTCGCAAAGACGAATCTGTCAGATCTTCCTCGGTAAAGTCAGTGATCATAGCCTGTCCTTTCTTGGCCGCCACCGCAAGAACAAAGCCCATCGAAAACTTGCTTTGGTGAACCGTCTCTCCCCGTCCACTGAGACCAAGGACATTGATAGCAGCCTGGTAAGTGCGCGCAATCACAGACTCAATATCCTCAAAGGCAACACCGTTCTTCCGCATGAGACTCAACAGCGCATCAACACTGGGATGAGTATGACGACAAGACGCGTGCCACTTGAAGCTGGATCGAGACACCTGGAAACTCTTGCCTAGATTTTGATCGATCGCCTCTGGGTACGTGCTTCCAGGAACCAACGCAATCCCCATCGCTCGGGGTCCTTCGAGGATATCGCGTGGGCCAAGGAGGCCGTCACGGGCAGAGTAGGCGGCGAACATTCCATCAAAACATGCCTTCGCTGTGTGTACTTGTTTTGAGTGTGTCGCATCCATTAAAAATTGCCACAGTCCCGCCGCTTGCGTTCCGGCTGTTCCAATCGCAGACAATGTGTGTTCGGTGTCGAGTTCCAAAAGGTGAGCGACTGCTGCCGCAACTCCGATCACACCTCCAGTTGCCGTCGTGTGAAAACGCTTTACCAGGGTCAGCATGGGTCAATATAAGCTGAGAATGTAAGAGGCGTACCTCGTAGTGACTCTTGCCCAGAAATTCTCCTACTCGGCAACCAACTTCGTAACCCACAACACAGGCCGTGATGAACTCTTGTCCACCAGCTTGAACTTCCTGGGCCACTGCGAGGGCAGCAGGAAATATGACAGTCGCCTGGATGTAAGTTAGCGTAAGTAAGCCCTGATTTCGAAAAAGCAATGGTTGATGGTCAAAGCTCAATGCGAGGAAACCTACAGGATGCATAATACTGCTATTGTGAAGATCATCCTGTTCCACCACATGAGACGACGCAGCATTGACTAGACTAGCAAAAGCTGGGCTAGTTGTGAACTTCAGATCTCCATCCACTAGTTCACTTTTCCCATTCGAAGGGCCCATTTGCACCGCAAATTTGGACATAGCAACGACAGCTGGATGGTGACGACCAGCGATAGTACAACCCAGCGTATCCAAAAAGAAATCCTTGGTTTTCTCCACAACATCCTGTGGGATATCAGCATACCGGAGATTCGCCGCCCATCTTGCTAGACGCTCAACTCTCGTGTCGCCAGCAGGCGAGTCAGAAACCAAAGTCATTATGGGATCTGGGACCTTCTGGTTAGATGGAGTTTATTTAGGCTTTGGAGATCAAGACGGTTGTGCACTCTTGTATTGATGTATTGATGTGTTGAATGTGAGGGGCATTATGGAGGTTAGTTTATTACCCCAATAAGAGCATCCCACCTTCCGAGGTAAAGCGCCACCCAGCGTCGTGCCGAGTAGGCGACTCTGGTTGGGAGCGGGGCGACTGAGCTGGCCTGTAGAGCCCCAACTCCGGGGTGAACCCGTGCCATATAGCCGATCCAATGGGGCACTTGCGAATCATCGTGTGGTGCATCCATGGATCCAAAGTGGATTGGTTTCTAGAATAGAATCTGGCGTAGAATAAGGAAACATGGTGGTTCTCCGTGCTCACAAGTGGCTTTTCTATACAATTCTCCCACACTAGCTACCTTTGTGGTTCAGCTTGTTGCCTACACCTTCTCCCAAATGCTGTAATAGGTCAGACTCTTCTGAAGAGGTATACATTATTCGATCACTCGTAGTAATCATGCCAAGTGAAAGCAGAGGAAGCTTGAAGGACCTCATATTGCTTAAATCAAGGACCAGACACAATAAAACAGGTCATTTGGTTTTAATTCTTTCTGGTAGGGCATGAATATGCGTCAAAAAAAATTCATTCTATGCTGGTGCTACCGCTTCGCGGAACCAGTATCTTCAACTGCGTTCACACGATCCCAGCTGTCGGTCTCCAGGGCCCGGACCCGGTTTTCGATTTCCAAAATACGCTTTTGCCAATTTTGCTTGGCTTTCTCCTGCAGTTCCCAGATTTCCTTGAACTGATCAAAGATGAAAGCCGGCATCTCGGAGGTCTTCTGGTTCTTTCTATAGTCGTACAGCACATTCTCCTCGTGGCAGCGAGCCGCAGGACGTTGGCGAGCTTCCGACAGGATCATTACCTGGAGCTGGAATGCAGATTTCCCAGCGGGTGTCGATGATGGATCGTGCACTAGTTTTTGGTAAACAGTGATCTTGTCCGGGAATTTCATAGGCTAATTTAACACAACCATCAGCCAAGCCGTTCATCAACAAGCCTGTCTTGACAAGCACTTACGAACTTGTAGTCGACTTTGATACTTCGCAAAATGAGCCCAATCCCAGTTGAGTTAACAAGATTGAGCCATTTCTTCTTATTTGCTGGATCGATATGATTTCCAATGTTTCGTGTCCAGTTCACACGAGCAGACTCGGCGTATCTGACATACGTGACGTTGTTGACATGCCCTGTTCGGTAGTCAGACTTGGGATCAGAAAAGAAAACTACTTATTTTTGGAGGAAAACATACCCTAAGAAGAATCAATTAGCACTTTACCGTGATATAAGATGTGTTTACGCATTGAGCGAGACAAACGACAGTGGCTCAAGCTTACCATGACATCCTAATCGATAGAACACATTCTAGGCGTCAGCAACTTTTCAATAGATGTTGTGATTTGATCGATCAGCGCCATACCATCTCCCCCCAAACTACTTTATGGCGATACAAGCTCCGCCTCTTCTCATCGGTCAGGAAGCCCTCGCTGCCAGCAATCAATTCTCGCCAGTCCCTAGCCAATTGGTGTAAGATTTCCCCCGCCTCATCGATCTGGTTCGGCTTGAGACCAAACATCATACACCTTCCAAGTCGGCGCTTCATCATAGTGAGCCATCGCGGGTCGATTCCGTGCGGGCGTGCTGGTGTGGTCTCCGGTGTCGGCGGGCGCGCAGTTTGTGCCGCTAGGGTGGTTGAAAAGAAACGGCGCGCACAAAGACGGGAAGATGAGCTGCACAGCTGCCTCTGTAATGTCAACCGGGGTATCATGGTGTGGGTGTCTGTGTAGGAATGGGTTGATGGAAACCGCCGCGGACATTGAAATGCCGAAGCTTGGGCCAAGCTTACAAGCTTCGGCGAGAACCCCGCGTGTAGCCGTATTCGTTCGCGTGCTTACTGTATTCATTCAGTGCTTGACTCAAATACTCGGTTATCTCAAAACATTGCTTCTCCTTAATTAAGCAAATAGTCAACGTTGATCGCTATCAAAACTTCGAGGTACTGCTCATAGCCGTGTCCCGAAGCACCGCGTAACTACAAATTTGTCAAAGTCGGTCAAGCAATCACTAGAACCTTCAAATCCTGATTTGCAAATCAGAAGCAGGGAATTTCAAGTTCGACGCGATTGACGGTTGCTTGACTTCATTGCTCCGCGTTCTTGTAGCCGATGAACAACAGCTTGAGATCTCCGCTCGGCCGTACGTCACCGATAACTCCCGACGCTTTCTCCAACTTCAGTTTCACGTCCTTTGCTATACACGTTCCCCCTCCACGAATCTGACCAGGTCCGTGATACTTCCAATTTGCCAACATCATCAACTGTCGTATGGTTTAACGATGGTCAACCCTGAGCTACGTCGGCAGGTCATTACCGTGTACAAAGGTAAGAATGACACCAGATTGACAGCGCCAGCATAGTCTTGGGAGCTTACGCTGACTGGGAGCCGCAGAACTTCTCTGGATGGGACGAGACTATCCCCTTGGATATCAGTATTTCAGAGACAGGCTCCACCGCGCATTTGCTGGCCAGGCTCATCTCCGCGACGAGGAGCAGATCCGAAAAGGGATCGCCAGGGCAGAATTTGTGAAGAAAGGTAAGACAGTCCAATGATACTATCGCTGAGGTCTGAGGCTGATCGCTAATTCTGACTCAATAGAGATCGAAGCTCTGTAAGATTTGAATCCTATATGCCCCTGTACTCGTCGACTTTGCGGCTGTACCAATCCTCTTGCGCCCATGCAATACGAATGTCTAAAACGCTGCACATCTCTAAAACGCTGCACATCATTGTCGATGTCATTCGATCATTCATTTATATATTGCTTTCTCGTGCCCGCGGTCGGGGCCGATTGATGAGGCAACTGTCCTCGATTCACACATTTTGTCATAATACATCAAAGCATCATACGAGCTCACATCTCCCCCTCGAATCCAAATTTTGACTTGAAACAGACACTGACAAGATCATCAAAATCCAGATACTACTTGAAGCGGTACCGGACGATGAAACAGCGCTATGAGACTTCTTGAAGCCCACGTTACCATGGACCTCGAAACTCCCCGACGAGAAATGCCCAGACCATATGCATCCTAGAAAACCTGGAAAGACAAAAAGAAAAAAAGAAAAAAAGAAAAAAAAAGAAAGAAAGAAAACCAGAAAATAATGATAACTAGAAACAATCACAAATTGGGGTATCACCAACACGAAGCGCTCATCAATGATCACTGTTTTGCGCCCACCGAAACACCGGAATTGACTTATGGAGGCTATGGTTTCATTTCTTTCGACCCCACCAGGCACTCACTTCGAGACACTCGCCACTGGCGAGACTGCCCTTTTGAAAAAGGTCGGCGGTCATTGCCGCCCACCAGCGGTCCCACTCGTCGCGACTCTTCCCACTGGCCTCCATAAGCAAGGGTTCTAGCCCCTCGATCATCTGGATGACCGTTATCAAGGCCGTCCTTCGGAGGGAGGCCTGTTCTGTGGTCAGTGCCTTGCGAGCACGGCCCTTGGAATCCTTGCCGGTTCCTTCTCGCTCCCACCGCAGGTCACCGAGTGGGATTGCAATGCGGCGACTGTCCACGTTTTCGAGGATATCAACCTCTGAATTAAACGACAGACCAATGGTGGCGCATGGCAAGGCTGTGAGTTTGCGGCGGTCGAACGACTTTTCGACCCAGGAGTTGTAGTCGACAAGGAATTTATTTTGGGCCATAGTGAAGGGTGTGGCGGCGGAGAATGTGTATGTGGCGGTCGATTCGGCGACCTCTTGGTCTTTCGTGGAGGTCATTCGAGCAGGTGCTGGGTTGGGGAGAAGTGATCGGAATACCCAGTCGGAGTCCCACACTTCGAGGATTCCTCCGGATTTCAGAACTCGGAGAGGTTCACTTAAGCCCGAGGCTTGTTGCGCGGGGCTGGAGGGGCACAAGCCCGCATCTTTAATGAAAACAAGATCAAAATATTCATCGGGGAAAGGTAGACGGGGCTTTCGTAGGTCATGTCGTTTGAATTGCCAGTTCATTCCCTGCTTGCGCAAATCCGGCGCGAGGGACACCACGTCGATGCCAACGAATGAAATGTTCGGTTGACCACGTTGGGCAAAGTGCTCGTGGCACAGGCCAGACCACAATCCTGACCCGCAAGCGATCTCTAAGACGCGCTTGGGCGGTTGATCGGCCGAATGGGGGTTGCAGAACGGGCCGCCAAAGACGCGCAGCAGCATCATGGTGCGCAGGCTCTGGCGGTGGATCTCGGGCAGGTCGCATGGTAAAGGATATGTGTTTTCCGGATCACGGAGATAGGTCCGGTCGCCATATCGCCCGAGTGGGTAGGTGTTGTAGTCCGTCAAGGAGCTCAAGGACGAGGAGGAAGCCGCGGCGAAAGTCGAGCTGAGATTGGAGTGAAGGTCCGAGCCAGAGGCCGCAGGGTTCGCGAATGAGGTTGTTCCTGCGGACATCATATCCATATCCTTCGATTCAAGCGCATCGATTGTCCGATTGTCTCCGTTGACTCTTCAATGTGGTTCTCCGGTCGGTTGCATTGTCGAGCAAATAAAGGCTCATGAGCTGTGCGACATGCTTTTTCGTGTGGGAAGCTCGAGGGGTCTTTTGCTCAAGGGGATATCCCGAGAGATGGAACAGAATACAATTAAAGACAAAAGACACAGAAGATAAATTTTAGTGTACGGAGTCGTTGGAAGGGTTTGGAAGAAAAACACTGCTCGGGTGAACTTGAGTCACGCAGTTGGAGTATGCATGAACGATGCCCTATTCCTTCAGAAACGGGCCGAGTCAAGTCAGGAAAAAAGGAAAAGAGGATAGAGAGGGGGAATGGAAGGAAAAGTCCAGTAGAAGGACGGTCTAGTCCCAACCCCTGGATCGAAGTGGCATTGGAACAAGTATCCACAGTGTAAAAGGGAAGCTAGTTTCTCGTAATGACCCTCTAGGTAATAATTACCTCCAACTCGTGGTAAACTACGAAAATGGGTGGCTATGGGGGGAAAAGGAGGCGCCCCCGCCAATGACAAGCACTGGCCGCGATTCGGCAAACTTTTCGTCTTCACAAACCCGTTCAAGGCACGCGACGTCTGCAATTTCTTGCCTACGAAAAGAGTCTTCTAAGACTAACCAGCTGGGGCAGGTGGTTGTCAAGGTCTCGACTGACATCATGAGTCCGATGAGTACCACGGACTCCCCGTGCCACTTGTCCCGGATTGATGCTTGGAGGATTCACCGGATCAGGCAAAGGCTGCCGTACGAACTATAGGAGCTTGTTCAGTAACTTTGCTATGAACGGGGCTCTTTTTGTATCTCCCTTGTTCTTTCCTTCCCCCCCCTTTGCTAGCATCATTCTTTTTTTATCTTTAGTCTCTCTATACCTCAAAATTGCCCCTCTGTCGGAGGGGCAGCAACACATGCCGTAACAAGCTACGCTGGGGTCTCTGGCCGGCGCGTGCGTAGTAAACACATGCAGAAAGTCGGGACCATGTGGTCGTGGCCAGAAGCGATCAATTTTGGAGTTGACAGGGCGCAGACTCGAAAATGGTGCTTTCCTCGAGACAAAAGTACCACCGGTACTCGGTGGTACTTGCCAACGGGTATGGACTGAAAGAGTATAGTAACATAATATGGGAGTACAACAGAAAATACGCCGCCGGAGATCCCTGCCCGCCATGTCCGTCCCAAATCTCAGGTACCCGGAGCCCAAGCTAGCGGTAGGTGAGACTTAGCTGCCGCCATAGCTCGTCTATCTGATACCGGCCTGCCCCGTGCATCCTTGTGGTTCCCTAGCCCCCGGTCTCTTCCCGTACCCCTGCGTTCTGACTTTCGCCTGTCCCTTTGACCCCGATGCAATGGAGCCCGGTCATGTTCCTGCAGATTGAAGAAAGTGGGTCTACAGAGTGAGAAGCACAATTAGTCAGTTGCCTGTCACGTACTTTTGAGGCTGTAGCTCATTGGACTTGTCAGATTCTCCCATTTCTACTCAGACATCGAGCGATAATGCGAGCTCCTTTTCTCATTCACTCAAGAGTGAAGTTGGAATCGACAATGCCCTGCCTGTTCTGCCGGTACCCACTGCCGCACGAAAGATCGTGCTGACGTGGTGTAACCAGGGGGCGGAAGCGTGCAAGAAGCGGAGCTTCGGCGGTGCTCGTGTTAGTCATGCTTATACCCGTTCTTGGTTCCAAATTTTGGGTTATCGCCAGCGGGTAGCGAAATCGATAGTTCAGGTGGATAAAACCTTTCGAATAATCTGGTGGGGGATCCGAGTGCTCGAGCATGGTCTCCGGATTGGCCAAAAGTGCCAAATTGAACTTGCCGCAAAATATGTTCCCGAGTACCAATTGCGGAGGTGGGAATGGGGAGGTTAAACAGCTGAAAAGACATGGTCAGTGGATTCTGTCTTGCCACAGAAGGCTGCTTCGGGTTTCGAAGAATTGTCTCAGTTGATGCCTATCAGCACAGCAGTATTCTCTAGCGGGAGTAGCGGCCAACAATGTGCGCCCCCGGATTTTGATTACTTAAGTTCGCATTCACCGACGCTCAGTCATGCACTGCTAGGAACTGCCTGTCATGATCATGGTGCAAATGCATCGTCCTCACTAAACGTAATTGTTTGTATCACTTTATTGAAAGGAAAGAAAGGTTGCAAGGAGATCATGCAAATGGGCCTAGCTACATTGTTCTCAATTCTCCAACTCTATTCCTAACAAAAACAACTCTCTCCACGATCTTCATTAAGGCATTTATTTGATGGTCTGGGAAACGTCTCCATCTTGGCGATCTTCAATTCGGTTCAGCACATAAGTCGTGACTGTCCAGTCAAAGGATCGTGTAGGTACTGTTTGGTCCAGCGGTACAATGGAAAGCGCTGGCTAACGCAAGGCCCTGCATTGCTCTGTGGACCAAAGCTTGAAAAGAAACTCACGAGCCTACTTCAAGCAGAACTTGCTATGAGACAGTGGACCTTGGATTATTTATTGCACCAGGTTAGGCCTATTATTATTACCTTAGGAAGTGAGCAAGCGCAACGCTAGAAGCCAGTCATCAGGTTCCCGGCGCTTAACGCCACTAAGCGACTCTCCTTAGGCGAACACCAGCCACTGGTTTCACAGACCTCCATCGCGTCTTCCTGGCCATATCTAAATTCCTTGTCAACGTCTACTTGCAATTTGGCGTACGAACCACCATCGCGAGTGACTAGAAATCGATCCTGTCAAGTCTTTGGCGCAGGCGAATCACATCCGGTGCATCACGTGAGAGCATAACTCCCGCCTTCGAGGCAAACCGTCCAGGACTGTCGTTTCGATCGCTCTACCTTATCGACCGACCTTCCCTCTGAAAGACACAATCGTGAGGACCATTCCATGATATTTTGACCTTCTCTCCGGACTCCCTCTGACTTTTAGGATCCAGTCGGCTCATTGGACCGACCATCGATGCTTGTGACTCCTCCGCCCGCCCTCCGCCCTTAGGTACCGCTCGACCCAAACTCGGCTTCACCACCCACGGCCATCACCCCGCTCCCACACGATCATCAGTGGCCACCGACCCCTCAATTCTGCTTGCTCGAAGGGGTTGTTCTGCCTCAGGACCCTATGTGGAAGAAGAGAAGAGACCGCATCCAATCCGTCACTCCTCTCCTCACCTCTTTCACCCCCATCCTGTCGCCGCTTGCCCACCCCCCGGCTCTTCACCAGGGCAATAAGACAAGGTCTCGTCTGCCCCGTTAAATGGCAGATGGTACCTACAGGTTCCAGCAGCCTGGGGCCGGGCCGTTCTACTTTCAAACGCAATCGCAGCAACACTCACACCAACGACATACCCTTCAAAGCGGGACCAATTCTCCAGGGCGATTGAAATTCAACCACGAAACTCCCTCCCCATCCAGATCGCCTCCTATTAATCAATCGGCCTCCCTCAATCCATTCAATATGTATGGTCAGGGCCATCAAGGACAGCATGTCATGATGAATGGCGGTCAAGCCCATCAGAGGTTTGGCATGCAGGTCCCTAAGTTCCAGTCGCAAAACCATCATCCCCACCATGCGCAGCAACAACAACAACATCACCACGCCCATCACACACAAGCTACGCACACCCTCACCCAACACCACAACTTCTCCACCGGCGCTCTTTCAACGACTACCCCTCATTTCACGCCGACCCACCTCCAGAATGGCGCGCCGAATGCGGTGGATGACATGGATGATTCTATGAATGAGCACTGGCAGCATCAACTTCAACTTGCTGCCGAGTCGCGACAAGCCAGCTCCCCTCACTACTATGCACGTGTCATGGCGCAGCAGTCCAAGGGCATTCAGATTTTGCCTAGTCAAGCAGATACGTCGGAACAGGGAGCTGATGGGCGCAATGGAACCGCCGCGGGGAAGCAGGCTTCCCGACAAGGTTGGAACGCGCTGGATTTTGGTGGCCAGGGATTACGTGCCATGGCCACCTCTCTTTTCAGCTATGGCTTCCTTGAGAAGCTATACCTAAACCACAACAAGTTGAAAGCGCTTCCTTCGGCAATTGGCCAGCTTCGGAAGTTAACTCACCTCGATCTTTCCGGCAATGAATTGACTGAGCTCCCTGAGGAGATCGGCATGCTGTCGCACCTCAAGAAGCTCTACCTTTTCGATAACAACATTCGCACCCTCCCTTACGAGATGGGTTACCTGTATCGATTGGAAACCTTGGGCATTGAAGGCAACCCTCTTGACGACGTTTTCAAGTCTCAGATCATGAAGGATGGAACCAAGGCATTGATCAAATACCTGAAGGAAGAGATGCCTGGTAAGATCACTCCCTTTCATGTTTGGGTTAGAAACCTGTGGGTTGAATTTTGCTAATCGCTTTGCTCCTTAGTTCATCTTCCTCCGCCCGATCGAGACTGGGTCATCCTTGACGAAACCGCGAGCTCGCCTAACAACCCCGCCGAGAAGATAACCGTGCTCTCCTACAACACTCTTTGCGATAACTCTGCCACCGAACAGCAATATGGCTACGCCGCCTCCCGTGTTCTTTCTTGGGAGTTCCGCCGTGAACTCATCCTCAACGAATTACGATCTCACAACTCAGATGTTGTCTGTCTTCAGGAAGTTGACAAAGGCAGCTTCAACAACTTCTTCCGAGAGCAACTGGCCTACAACGACTACAAGGGCATCTATTGGCCGCGTGGACGTGCTTCGCGCCTGGACGATGCAAACAGGATCGACGGTTGCGCCATATTCTTCAAGAGCAGCAAATACATCTTGCTGGATAAACAGTTGATCAACTTTAGCCAGTCTGCTGTGGCGCGGCCTGAACATAAAGGCAATGGTGCGGATGATATCTACAATCGTCTGTGGCTGAAAGATCACATTGCAGTTGTCGTCTTCTTGGAGAACCGTCAGACCGGAACGCGTTTCATCGTTGTAAACTGCCATCTATACTGGGATCCTGCATTCAAAGATGTCAAGCTAATCCAAGCTGCTATCATGATGGAGGACTTGACGGAGCTTGCGGAGAAGTACGCCAAATGGCCCGAGTGCAAAGACAAGGCCGCATTCCGGTTCTCAGAGGCAGAAAGCGGCTCTGAGAGCACCCCGACGGTGGAGCCTGCGCGGTCAGCGGAGTATGCTAGCGGCGACCAAATTCCTCTACTTATATGTGGTGACTTGAATTCTTCGCCTGGGTCCCCGGTTCACACTCTGATCAACTCTGGTCAACTGACCAAGGAGCATTCCGAACTTGATGGTCGCCTCTACGGTAGATACCAAAAGCAGGGTATGAAGCATCCATTCAAGCTTAAGTCAACCTACGGCGCAATCGGGGAACTGAGCTTTACCAACTACACGCCGGACTTCAAGGACATTCTCGATTATATGTGGTACACCACCAACACACTCCATGTGTCGGCGTTGTTGGGTGAGGTGGACAAAGACTACCTCAGCCGGGTGCCAGGGTTCCCAAATTTCCATTTTCCTAGTGATCACGTTGCATTGTTCGCGGAGTATACCGTCAAGGGGAAAAAGGGTAAAGTTGTCGAAGCGGATTTTGGGCCACAACGACACTGAAGGGCAGGAGCATTTTGACTCTTTTGAGACGGGTGTTTGTCTCGTCTGGTTTTCTTTTTCTTCCCATTTCTTTACTGTTATCTCAGAATCTTTGGAGCGGTGGGTTCTTACCTCGCTGTCTTTATTGCCTTGTCTCTTCTCTATTTTATCTTTCTTGTTGTCGTTTCTTCACCGTGATTATGAAGTCTTTTTTTTCATTTTCTCTTCTGTCTTGCTGTCCTCAATCTCCTGCCATGCCGTCGAAACCTCCCCAGTTGAAATGCCGACTGGTCGAAATAGTAATCGGTATAGCACTCTCGCTTTCCCCTTCCTACCTCCCTGCTTTTTCTCACATCTGTCTTCACGTTGGGGTTCCCTGACATCTTCTCGGTTTCATCTCACCTAATCTCTAACGTCATCTGGGGTTCACGACGCTTAGGGCGGGTTGGTGTTCAGGTGGAACAGGTGGCCGAAGGACTCGAGGTTGCTTTTTGATTTTTTGCCCGGCGAAGGGAGTTTTTGTGATCCATGTACTTGTTCTGCCGTGCCTTATTGAGAATAGAGCGTGGCTATTACCATCTGGAAATAGTAGATTGCAGTAGATATGCACTTTTGTGTACTAGCGTCTCGGGGCGCCACATCACATGCCACATGAAATCATCTCCGTCGGCATTGTATTCTTTCCACCCTTGTATCAACATCATGACTACTGAAAGGACATTTACCCTGCCCGATGGGCAGCAGGTCTATTCTAAGACATGGAAGGTTTGTCAGTCTGTCCCTCGAAAGTGCTCGTCACTACAGATCAGCGCCAGCATACCACTGCGACCCGCTCCCAGTTCCCAAGGCATTCGGGGACGGCGCATGAGGGCTATCGGGGCAAGAAATGAACTAACTCTACTCTCTTGTGATAGCCTGATAGCGCTCCCCGGGCAGTCATTGTCTTCATCCATGGATTCAGCGATCATTGTGAGTTTTAGAGAAATGAAAACAAATACCCTGGAAGGTCACTGAAAGGAACAAAAGGCAATGCCTACTACGACCTCTTTCCAAGTCTAGCCTCGTCCGGTTTCGAGGTGAGAGCCTTCGATCAGCGGTATGTACAGATATCCAGAGTACCCATGAACGGACTCTGCAATTTCCCCGATCTATACCATGTCCACCAAACTAAGCAGCCATACCCGAACCAGAGGCTGGGGCCGCACGGTTAAAACCAAAAAAGACCGCGGCAAAACCGGTGACACCGCTCAAGTGCTCTCGGACATGCACTCGTTCATAACCAGCACCGCAGCCTACGCGCAAGAAATCAATATTCCCCTCTTTCTCGTAGGCCACAGCATGGGCGGCGGCCAAGCACTCACCTACCTCTTGCACCCGGAGTCACCCTACCATAGCGCCACCAAGCCCACTTTAGCCGGCGTGCTCGTCTGGTCTCCGCTCATCACCCTGGATCCATCCTCCCAGCCGTGGAAGATCACAATCATAGCAGGTAGAATCGCAGCCCGCATCTTGCCGCGATTGCAGCGGTATTCGCCGCTCGATCCGCGCCTGATCTCACGCAATGAGACTGTGATTAAGAATTTCGAGACGGATGAGCTCTGTCATGATACTGGGACTTTGCAGGGATTGAAAGGCATGTTGGATCGGGGGTTGTGGCTGGATGAGGCTGGGGTGGAGCTTTATGAGAAAGCTGGATGTGTGCCCTTGTGGCTTGGACATGGGGTCGAGGATAAGATTACTAATTTCGAGGCAACGAAGGCGTTGGCAAAGAGGCTTGCGGGCAAGGGAGATGTTACGTTTGTTGAGTATGAGGGTGCTTATCACACTTTGCATGCTGAGTTGCCGGAGACAACGGCCAAGTTTACGAAGGACATTTCGAATTGGTTGTTGGCCAAGTGTCCTGCTCCAGTATCGGGCGAATCCATCACTGGCTTGGGAGAGAGCAATGCGAATTCGGAGCAGAAGGACGCGGCCGATCCGAACAAGACTGAAACCGAGGCAAGCAAGGCGAAGCTGTGAGCCGGGCGAGATTGGATGTAGCAGGCTTTTCATGCCGGTATATTTCTTCTTTCTATATTGTTGTCTATTATACAATTACCGACGGCTTTCTCTAAGCTTCTAATGTACAAGTGTTGATACATTGTTACCATGGCGGGATCGCAAATTACCGCGTAGAGGGATCCTCAATGCGTCGCCAGACTCCGACAAAACCCCCACCCATCGTGCGTAAACCGACTTTGGGACGGCAGACCATGACCGTATCATCTTCCTTGCCCAATTCTTCCAGGGCAGGGACATCAACGGTACTTTCTGAAGCTGGCTCGTCAGCGTCAGCGGGAGTAGCTTCATCAGCCTCGGAAGGTCCCCAGGAAGAAGGGTCAGCACCGGACTTCTTAGCCACGAGACGGACATCCCATTGCCGGCCACTGCTGATTCCAATGCCAAGTTCGACCACTCGTTCTTGGAAAAATGGCAGTCGGTTCTCCCGGATGATCTTGACACAGTCACCAACCTGAGTGATACTGGGCATGAATACGACCAGCATACCGTCTCGTTTCATGACAGGAGCTACATGGGGGATCCGAAGGTGTGCGGACGGCATGTCGAGGATGACATGAGACAGGTAGGGCTCAACTGATCTCGAACCGGTAAGCGAAGCCAGGACACCGGTCTTGGTTCGCTGCTGATTCTGTTCTGCGACCCAGTTCTCGACCGGACCAACGTAGAAATCAACATCACCGGTATAGATACCGCGGCGGAAGCCCCGTACGTTGCTCTCAGCTAGCGCGGAGAATTTTGACGAGACGTCCACGGAGTGGATGACAGCCCCGCGCTGTGCCCGCCATTCATCCCATTCCTGTTGTGAAGGGTCGATATTCGTGGCTGACTGCTTGTCTTCTGACTCTTTCTCTCCTGGTCGTTGGAGTCGATCTTCGACGAACCGAATTTGAGATCGCCGAGGCGGAGGAGGTGGAGTCGTGTTTGCCGCGTGAATGGCGCGTGCCAAGTGTAGAGTCAAAGAGCCATGGCCGGTGCCAGACTCGAGGATCTCTATCGGAGGTTCAGACTGGGCTGCGGGAGGGTTGACATGAATGTCGAGGAGGGAGACGATCAGGTTGGCATCGTGGGCGTAAATCTAATGGAGTGAGTGATTGTGTTGTTACACATCAACGAAGCGCATACCGGTGTCACATGTCGAGGTGTTAGGGCAACATATTCTTCCAACGTGGGAAGACTCAGTCGGAGATCCGGACCTACAACGAGGTTAGTATGCTGCCATGCGGAATGCCATTGTTTCCTACCTTTGTGTGCCTGAACAGCATCGCGGACTCGACTTCCGATGATGCGATCATGCTCCACGTAGCCCCGACGCAGATTTGTCTTGCTGCCTTTCGTCAATGGCTTCGTCAGGGAAGGCTGCTTGGTATGCAACACGGCTCGATCGCCCTCTGCATGGTGTCAATTCTCAGCTTAGCGCGAAGGTCCTCGATGGACGCACCTTGAAAGACGGAGAAATCTGTGTTGATAATGCGAGCTCGTGGAGCAGTCTTCGGCGGAGTCCACCCTAGGGCGCGCCTGAGGGACTGTAGAAGGCGAGTCATGGCAAGATCCGGGGCTAAAAATGACCAGAACGGGAAAATCTTGGGCGCGACCATCTGGGCCATTTACCCACTGCGGCGCCATGATTGACCCACATGTTGATCCCCGGCTTCCCCTCCGTGGTTCACCGGACCCCTCCATCATTTTTTCTCTTCGCGTCTTCACATATTGCCTCCCATATACTTGCATTCTACAAGTCTCAGATTTCTTTGATTACTACCTCAAATCCGCCACAATGGGGTCCGTCGCTCTTCCGTACATGCAGACCAAGCCGCAGTTGATTTTCTTCACCGACTTTGACGGCACTATCACAGTTGATGACAGTCGGTTTTCCCTCCAAATACATACAGAGCGCAGTGCTAACAATTCTTTCAAGGCAATGACTTCATGGTTCGTGCCCGAAGCCCCTCCGCACCTCGCGCAAACTGACCGTCGCAGATCGACAATCTCGGTTTCGGTGCCGAGCGCCGCAAGGCATTGAACGCGCGGGTCCTGGATGAGACTCTGGGTTTCCGGTAGGTGGGAGAAACGCATTGATGGAGGTATCAATCATTGACACGCGATATCTATAGGGACGCTTTCCGCGAAATGCTCGACAGCATCAAGACCCCGTTCAACGAGTGTATCGAGATCCTGAAGAAGAACATGAAGCTAGACCCATACTTTGAGGAGTTCTACTACTGGGCCAAGGAGAACAATGTGCCCATCGTCATTTTGTCCGGAGGCATGCGCCCCGTCATCCTCGCCTTGCTCGAAGAGTTCCTGGGCCACAAGATCGATAGCCATGTTCACATCGTTTCCAACCAAGTGGTCAGCCGGGATGGCAAGGATATCAACAGTGAAGGGGGCTGGAAGATTGAGTTCCACGATGAGAGGTAGGTTTCTTTTGCTATATGCGGATGAACCCCGTCTGCGATCAGTATACTCACACCCGTCCATTAGCCATTTCGGCCACGACAAGTCTCTCGAGATCAAACCGTACGCTGCTTTGAATGACAACGAACGCCCTGTTCTTCTGTACGCAGGTGATGGTGTTTCCGACCTCTCGGCCGCTGCTGAGACCAACCTCCTGTTTGCCAAGGAGGGCAAGGGTAATCCCCAACCTTCTTAGCTCGATAAATTGTCGTATCTAACATTAGTCCAGACCTTGTGACCTTCTGCCAGCGCCGTGGTATGCCCTACACCACCTTCCAGAACTGGTCCACCATCTTGTCGACCACCCAGGACATTCTCTCCGGCAAGGTGACTCCCAGTCAGGTGGCCGTCCGATCTAAGAGTGCGTAAGAAGGAGAATTATATAGACTTGAACATTTAGAGGGTACACAGAAGGGAACCTCCTGATTACCCAGTAATAGAAAGTACCAATAGAAGTACCCCATTGTCGATCAAAGCGGAGTCTTCAGGAGTCGAGGAGTGACCGCCTTCGGGGCTTGCGGGTCCAAGCGACCTCGAAGTTCCCCCCAAAACATCCATTCGTCTCCCTCATCTACTTTGAACGCCTCTATGGCTTTATGAGGTGACCTAAATCTGTCGGTCTTCTCTTGGCGTGGATCGCACCCAGCCATCGGTTGTGGGTGACATCATGCGACATTGCGCCTCTCGACTATCTTCAAAGTCCTTGCCAGGGTGATACTACATCATGGCTCGCCGGCTCGTACGTCTTCTTTGGCAATTCTGATGGGATCAAATTAATGTGGCTTCCTGTGCAGGTGCGAACGGGCGTTCAGCTCACTTTACTAGTGACTTTTGCGATCCTTTTGGTCGTATTCCTCGATAATCAATTTCGTGTCCTTCCCGACTCCATCCATGGCCACCTTCCCATGCACTACTCCGGCTATGTGATCACTGATGTGACAGTCACCAAGTGTTCATCCCTCAATCCCTTCTCGACATGCAAACTCGACCCGGAAATTTGGTACCGCATCGAAAAGGACCTCTACCTGCGCTCGGGCTGGACCTCGACTGCCTACGTTCAATTCCAGCGAAAGAAGGAGGAGGAGTTGACTGCGGATGACAAGGTCGTCGTTGACCTTAAAATCAGTCGCCTCACTCCTCCGACTGAGTATAGTCCCCAAGGGTGAGGTCGAAGCGTGGGAACCGCGACCGGGTGGTCTCTGGCTGAAGCGTTCAGCCTCTCGCCACGCGAGCGATTCTGGAAAGGCGGTGACATACATCGATGTGCTATTTGGTGCGGATGCCGTGGACCCCCGTATGAATTGGGAGGTTAAAGATACCCCTTTGTTGCTGGACGGTTGGACGGAAAAGCTAGAGACTCGAATTAGCATTCGGCGAGGCAACCCGACCAAGACCAAGAAGCCCACGCCCAGAATCAACGAAAATGGAAAGTTCAAGATCATGCAACTAGCGGACCTGCACCTGAGCACGGGTCTCGGTGTTTGTCGTGACCCAATCCCGGCCGAGCCTGTGCCTGGGCAGAAGTGTGAAGCTGATCCTCGCACATTGGAGTTCGTGGAGAGGCTTCTTGATGAGGAGAAGCCCGATTTGGTCATTCTGAGTGGTGACCAGGTGAATGGGGAGACATCTCCTGACGCCCAAAGTGCGGTCTTCAAGGGCGTCCAACTCCTCGTCGACCGCAAGATTCCCTACGCCGTCATCTTCGGCAACCACGACGATGAAGGCGACCTCAACCGAGCACAACTCATGTCTATATACGAAGATCTTCCCTACTCGCTTGCAGCAGCTGGCCCCGAAGACATTGACGGGGTCGGAAACTATATTGTCGAAGTCCTCGACCGCGGCAAGAGCACGCACTCTGCTCTTACTCTCTATCTCCTTGACACCCATTCCTATTCCCCCGATGAACGTCAATTCCGAGGCTACGATTGGATCAAGCCAAGTCAAACTCGCTGGTTCAAGAACACTGCCCAAGGCCTTCGGAGGAAACATCAGGAATACTCTCACATACATATGAATATGGCATTTATCCACATCCCATTGCCCGAGTACCGGAGCAGTGGAAAATACTTCAAAGGCGCGTGGGACGAGGCTCCTACCGCGCCTGGGTTCAATTCTGGTTTCAAAGATGCCCTGCAAGAAGAGGGCGTCCTCTTTGTTAGCTGTGGACAGTAAGTTCACCACTTTTCACGACCATGCCTCTCACCAAAACATTAACAATTTCACAGTGACCATGTCAACGACTATTGCATGCTCGAGCCAGATGCCAATGATAAGCCCTCGCTCTGGATGTGCTACGGCGGCGGCAGCGGCCTGGGTGGCTATGGTGGCTACAACGACTACGTCCGACGTGTACGCTTCTTTGATTTTGACATTGGTCCCGGCCGGATCACCACCTACAAACGCCTCGAGTGGGGACAGACAGAAGCCAAGATCGACGACATGATGATCGTCGACGGCGGTGCTGTGAAAGGTCCCAATGAAGCATCATGACGATCGTCTTCTTTAGCATTGTTTCTTTATCGGGCGAAAATGTATTCCTTTTGCCATTCTGTCGCTTCCGACGATTCCGTCTATTTTCATTTCGACTCTGTACATATATCACCTGTTTCCCTGTCCTTCCCCTTTGCCTGCAAAAGGTCGGCGTCCGTAGGATAACTATCTCATTGACTATCTCATATTTTCTTCCATGCTTGGTCTAAGCTGTGTACGTCATGCTTTGATCTAGCCTTTTGCGTCTGTAGTAGTATCGAATATTTGGGGTTTTTACCACCATTTCTCGAAAAACACTCTCTTGTCTCCATCTTCTCCAAGAATCCCCTTGAGTGACTCCACCAGTTCGTCCGTCATCTGCGGAGGCCCACATACATAAGCCACCGTTCCTTGGGGATCGAGTTCACCATTTCCACCCACTGCTGCACGAATGTCACCCTCACTGAGTCTTCGCGAATGGATTGCGAGATCAGGAAGAGGACCAGCGGCAGCAAGACTGGAAGACGAATTAGTGAGGAAGAGATCTAGAGAAATCTGTAGGCGCCGTGACAGCGCCTGTGATCGGATAATCTCGCGTAGTCGAGGAAGGAAAAGAACCCGAGCAGAATCGCGTCTAGCGACGCATTCTCATGACCCTGTGGAAGACGACTAGTATACAGGAAACGCACACTCAACGGCCTCACAGACTGCGTCTGGTGGAGGTGTGTAAGGATGGAGATTAGCGGACTGAGCTCCTGTTAGCTCCATTTCACAGATACTTTGGTCTTGGGATGGACACGGCTGTACAACCCGAGATCCAACGACTTAAAAAGAAACGGAAAGACAGATAGGGCGCTTACTTGATGCCAACGCCACCAGCGATGAAAACCACGTTGTGGACTTGTTGTATATCTACGCCGGAAGGAGGCCACACAAAGCTACCGCCGACGCGGATATTGAGTTCCTGACCGAGGATTTCTTCCTGTGGCTTCCAGAGCCATGCCGCGGGCGGGTTACCGGGTGATTTCTGGACGGCAAGCTCCACATAAGGTGGGTGTGCCTGGGATAATGGTGCAGTAGCCTCAGCGCCAAAGAGTGGATCAGGAGATTCTAGGGAGGGCAGTAATTGGGCGTCTGCCGGCGTGGAAGTGATTGTGAATCCACCAGCAGTAGCAATAGATGGAATATGGACATCTAGCCATTGTCCGGGTTGAAAGATGAATGGGTGTTTCTTATCCTGCTGTTCGAGCATAAGCGAATGGATTCATGTAGGGTGGGTTAGTGATAGACGCCAGTGACGGACTCGGCATACACTCGGTAGGGCCAACCGCAGCAGGCGGATTGAGGGGTTGATTTGATCCACTTGTGACAGGCGCACTGGGTATAGCTGGGTTTGACGGGGTTCGGCCGCCGTGCGCAGTTCGTGCGGGATCGAGTCTTTGCGGGACATGCTGCGGGCCGGGCCTGTGATGGCACGTTGGTAGTTTCGCGCACGCAATGGTTGGCACAATCGCAACCCTCTCATCTGGAGAAGTAAGAGCACTAGACAGTTTCAAGGTTCCAAGTTGGGTCTGAAGGAGAAGCAAGATGCGGAGTCATTGCCCCACATGACTTGCCCTTCAACAGTAGACCAACAGATCAGTGTTGAAGCTCATCCTCTCGATCTTCGAATGGTCTCAACAAGTGATATTTCACCACTTCCTGTTTCTTTAAAATGATCTGCTGAGTCAGATGCAATGTCATCCCATGCGCCACCTCTGGATTATGTCTACAACCACCTTAAATACTCTCACTTCTCTTTCCAAATGGTGCCATGCACATCACGGGGAAGTCGACCTCCACCACGGCGCTTCGCCAGTCTACGATTCATGCTCATGCACGAGCCGAGACCATGCTAAGATATCGCTGTGATTGCGGTGATGCGGAGAGTGCAGATCCGTGTGATACTGAACTAGTGTGTGACGACCGGGCAGCTCATCCCCCAGTTCGGGCGTCCCATTGGTGCCACAGCCCTGGCCCAATGCTTGCTCTGGCGCTTTGTCGTCCACCGAGATTGGCTAGATGTACCTTCCGGAAACACTCCAGGGCTCGTTGCAGTGGGTTTCGTCCGCTGATTCGTGCCCCTCGCAGTGCTGGTGCGATGCGGTCTCTGAGAGACTCGGGGTCTCGAGCTCATATCTAACGCCCTCCGCGCCCAGACTTGGAGGAGAGGAGTTTCTGATTCACTCGGCTTTGGTGTGAAGACCTTGTCTGGAATATTTACATGCGAAGCACTGAATGCTTCAGCCAGCCGGTCTGGTTGATTCGCCTGTTGAAGATCGCTTCTCTTCTGAATCCTTCCTTCGGAGCGAAACCTACTCGGCGCTAATCACCCAACCTGAGCGAAACCACCCAAAATGCAGTTCTTCTTCCCCCGGCGATATCGCCACCGCAAGATCATGCTCTGGATGATGGCTGGAGAGCTTCCGATCACGATCGTCATCTTGACTCTGACGGGTATCGCATCGCACAATCTGTATCAATCTTTGCTATGGCAAGATGGTGCAGACAATGGTTTCAACAGTGCCCCAAATGAAGCACTGTATGCCGCTGCTAATTACCGTCCATACACGGCGCCGATGGTGTGGTCATCCTTGTACGTCGTCCTTGGCTCAGTTCTACACGCCCAAGAGGTTGAGAGCTAATATCTGGATAGCTTGACCAACTACAACCTGGTGATCGGTGTGCTGAGCACGTTTTTGTGGATCGTGAAATTCCCCATTCACTGCATGCACCTGTTCTTCCCTCCCATCGCGGCGGTAGTCCATGGATCCATCATGGTCCTGTGGATTGTGTCGGCACGGTATCAAGCAGGAAGTGACATGTCGGACCCCAAGCACCCTCAGCCAGGACCGCCATGGTACATTTCCAAGAGCTGCAGTGTCGCAGCCCACAAGTCGAACGTACCATATTGCGAGCAGGCCAAATCACTCTTCGCTGTCTCCATCATCCTGATGTATGCAATATATTCCCAAGTCTTGTTTGACATAGAAGACTAACTCTATCTGCAGCGTATACTACTGCGTCGAACTCGGTTTCAGCATTCACTCGTGCTTCATTACTCCAGAGGAACGCGAAGAGGTCCTGGAGCAGCGAGAGGAGAAAAAGATCGAAAAGGAATTTGAGGAAGAGATCCTCAAGTCTCCCAGCATGATCCCCATGACTCCAGGCCCAATGTCACCCGGCCACATGACCCCAGGCTTCATGCCTCAACGGGGTATGATCCCTCGTACCCCAGGCTTCCCCACCCGTGGTCGCAACGGCTTCCGTCAATGATGGATCCCCAGTGTCCCCACACATGTTCACCCCGCGCACTCTCGGCTTCAACCGACTGGGTGCCAATAACGGAAGTACATCGTCGGACCTCCCCTTGCGGAACACCCCCGGCATACCTGCGCCCCAAATGTCCGCGCATATAACGACCCAGGAGATCGGGGCAAGCGCTGCATCACCCATGTACTTCCCTCCGCCACCGAAGAAGCCAAGCAAGAACTGAGCCCATTAAGCTCGACTTTTTCATCTTTTGTTTTCCATGATACCATCTTTTATTTTCCATGTGTCTTCCTCTTATTTCTCATGGAGACTATTGAGTCTCTCTGCGCGACACTCAGATACGCAGCTTTAGCCTTTTGACGGCTTCGAAGCATCAAAATACACCTTTTAAGTACATATCACGGCGTTTGAAGAAACGCTTGCGCTGAAGACAGAACAAATATCAATTAATACCTCATCGTATGAAGCCGAGTGCTATTCATTATTAATCGAATGGAATTTGAACCTAAAAAGAAAACGTAACTTCAATAATCACATCCTGCGGAATAATGGTACATCATCAGTCATGTTTCAAGGAGATGACCACCTATATACTTCAAAGATATGGAGTAGTGGAGATTGCAACGTTTAAAAAAAAGGAAAAACCGGCAAAGTAAGATGTCGATCATTAATTCATCAATTATGCTGATCGTCGAGCTTGAGCGTGCGCGTGATCGAACTCATATAAACTCCGCCTGTTGAAACAGATTGCAGATAAATTGGTCCAGCATGTTGAAAGGGTATCCTGACGCGAAAATTGAAAAGCCCGGGAGAAAAAGATAAGACCATAGTCTTCGTCTGCTAAGAGTCTGCCAATTTGGGATGAGAGAATAAATGTCAAGACCTAGGTAGATTCCTGGCGCTTTTTCTCCTTTTTGGACCAGCGTACTATGAGACGGTCAGCGTCATCTCGTCACTTCCGGGATGGAAACATACAGCCACAGGCATTACACAGGGTCTTGGGCCCATTAGGACCCTTTCGCCACTCGGGAGAATCGGCGGTCCCACAGTCGCTGCATGTGTGCTGACCCTTGAGTCTCTTGCGCCTGTCACCTTCTTGCGCATTACGGGCTTGATCTGCGGCCGTGGTAATGTCGATGTCACAGTGGACCAACCGGCCCTTACTAGAACCGGTACTCAGGCCCTGCGATCGTTCACCATCACCATAGTAAAGACCGGTCATAACTTCGATGCCGTCAATGTGCGATATTGGTTCAGTGGGAGGAGGATTGTCGGCGAAGAAGTCGCCCGAGTTATTATCAGAATCGTCCGAATTCGAGTTCGGAGCAACAGTCTCGCTTGATTCCTGGTCGCTCAAGATGATTTGCGCGGTGGCTATGTTCTCCATCATTGACTTGTGGTCTTCGATCTTGGGAAAAGGCAAGCGACTGAGATTTGCCTCTTCATCTTCCTCCTGCTTCAATTTGGCAATTTGCTGCACTAAACGTGCATTCTCGATCTTGTGTTCCAAGAATGAGTCGAGAAGCTGGGAGTTCTTCGTGGGGTTTGGCCGACACATGAGGAAGAAGCCCGTGCAGCGCTCCTCGGTCGAGGAGTGTCTTCCCTGAGCTGTATTATGACTGGCAATATGGGGGTGTCCGTAAATCTCCACCAAGCAGTAATTGTTGGTGGTCTTCTGGAATCGTACGTGGGTGCGGAAAGGCTGATTGCGTGCTACGGCATCATCCATATCTCGCAAGAAGACAGACCGGTCGTCCTCATGGATGTACTGACTCAGGTGGTTACCTTCGAGTTGCTTAACCGCGCGGCCAGTGACTTGCTTCGCAGAAGGCGATGCATAAGTGATCCGTCCTTGAGCGTTTAGTAGAACCAGCATGTCCTTCATCTCCTCCAAGACTCGTTCGATCCAACACGGGTCATTCTGTTGACCTGAGTATCCTCCCAGCTGTCTCTGCATGGCATACGACCCCGACGACCCCGCCATGTTCTGTTGCTCGACCATGTATCCGGGGTTGCCTTCACCAGAGCTGGCTCGAAGATGTGGGCTTGGCAAGTGCAAGCTGGTGTAGGCAGACTGCTGTTGGCTCTGGGCCATATTGATGAAGCGCGCACAGAGAGAGACGAGCTCAACTGAGTCCGATGCTGGTCAGGAGGTCTGTCGTATCGCGAAGTCGGTATCAGGGTTCAGCGAACAACAGGCGCATTCTCCAACAGAGGGTAATCGATGTATAGATCTGGAGTGGAAAATCTCATCTCCAAACTCCACACAGAGATTCGTGGTTTCAAAGAGGACGACCCCGTCCGGCGCCTATCGCACAGTGAACAGAAATTCGGGAAAGAGAAGGAAATAATACCCGGCCAACTGGTTTCATAGACGTCCGCCGATCTTGTGAAGTTGCCGCTCATGTAATCAGCTACTCATCTCACGTGATTTCGCGTCGCACCGACGCGAAGTGGAGAAAGTTGATGCATCACCAGCTGTCTGCGATCTGAGCGCTCGTCCTTTGACTATTATTCTTTTGGATGCGCCATATTCTCTCGTGCTTGTTGTGACCGAAGCCAAAAAGCCGGGTTTTCGCTCACCGACAAGATGTGAGTGTAGATCATTCTCCGCTTCCATGCTCATTGCTAACGGACGGGCAGGTGTACGTGTGCCCACTTTCCTCACTGCCGGGTACGACTCTAACTCCAGCTTCTCTGACAGCGAAAATCGATAAACTTTCAATCTTAGGGTACTGACTTTGTCCCGAGCCATTCCGACCTAAGATAATGCGATTCTCTCTGGATGCTAACCCAGTCACTTCGTTTCCAGAGTTCGTTCTTTCGATAACACGCGCAGTGAGACAATCCAGTTTCACGCACCCCTCACCCTTATTGTCGGACATAATGGATCTGGAAAAACGGTATGACCTCAGCGCCGAGAGCTGGCAGCTGGCATCTGGAAGGCACGGACGGAAGCTAACATTGGCCCAGACCATTATCGAGCGTCTCAAGTATGCTACGACAGGTGATCTTCCGCCGAATAGCAAAGGCGGCGCATTCATTCACGATCCCAAGCTATGTGGTGAGAAGGAGGTGCTTGCCCAGGTGAAGTTATCTTTCCTGGGCACATCCGGTGCGAAGATGGTGGCCACGCGCAGTCTCCAGCTCACAGTCAAGAAGACCACGAGACAGCAGAAGACATTAGAGGGAAATTTGATGATGATCAAAAATGGCGAGCGTACATCCATCTCTTCACGAGTAGCTGAGCTAGACCAGATCATGCCGCAATACTTGGGCGTCTCCAAAGCAGTCCTAGACTCTGTTATCTTTTGTCACCAGGATGAGAGTCTCTGGCCAATGAGTGAGCCGTCGGTTCTGAAAAAGAAGTTTGACGAGATCTTCGAGGCCATGAAATATACAAAGGCTATCGACAACATCAAGGCCCTTCGAAAGAAACAGAACGAAGATCTGGGCAAGTATAAGATCATGGAACAGCACGCGAAAGAGGATAAGGACAAGGCCGACCGGGCAGAAAAGCGGTCTGTCAAGTTGCAAGATGAGATCGAGGCATTGCGAGAGGAAACCCAGCAGATGTCGAAGGAGATGCGGCGAGTCGCGGATTTGGCTGATAAAGCCTGGAAGAATTCCGAGAGCTATGCCCAGGTCCTGGGCGCCTTGGAGGGCAAAAGAATTGAAGCTAAAAGCATTCAGACGACCATCGACAACCTGGAAAGGCACCTGGTTGTGCTTGATGATTCGGACGAATGGCTCGAATCTACCCTGGAACAATTCGAGATGAAACAAGTCGAGTACCAGCAACAGGAAGAATCTCAAAAGGAGACATATATGGAGTTGAAAGAGCGCATCGAGCAAACTCGTCACCGTATGGGCTTGAAGCAGGCCGAATATGGAAAATACGAAAATGATAAAGCCAACTTTGAGCGACAAGTTCAGAGACGACAGAACATGATCAATGAGGTTGCCCGCGGGAACAACATCCGCGGACTCGACGATAACATGGATCAATCGGCCGTCGATGCATTCATGCAGAAACTCCGACGTCTTTTGCGGGAGCAGAACCAAGCGCTCGACCGGGTGAAGCGCGAGGCTCAGAAGGAGCTCCGTGAGGTTCAGGAGACTTTGAATGAAATCGGACAGCGTAAATCCGCGCTTCAAGAGACTAAGAACGCTTCAAAGAGACAAATTGCGGCCAATGAGAAAGAATCGGCAAGCTACCAATCAAGACTCAATGAAATCGAGGTCGACGAAGGTGCTCAAGCTTCTCTAGAAGCCAAGATTGAAGACACTACCTCCAATCTTGCACACGCCAAAGATAGATACAAGACTGCGTCCTGGGATCAAGAGATCCAGAGCATCAATTCTCAGATCCATGACCTTGAGGATGAAAACTCCAGGCTGAATGCTGAGTTGATTGAATCAACAAAGAAAGCGGGCGATCTAGCTCGTCTGGATCATCTTAAGAAAGAAGCAAAGGACAAGGAGCGCAGCCTGCAGACAATGAAGGGAGCTCATGGAGACCGCCTCGCGAAAGTTCTGGGCTCCGACTGGCAACCTCAAACACTGGAGCGTGACTTTCAACGCGCCGTTGATCAAGAATCCAAGCATGTCAGCGATGCCGAGCGAGATCGTGATTGTGTTAGCCGGGAGTTGGAACAAGTTCAGTTCAAGCTCGCTAATGCGAAGAAGACTCTTAAGCAGCGGAAGAAGGAGCTCGATGATTGCGTGAAGGACATTCAAGAAGCAGTAGATGCAGAGCCTTCTGAGTACCCTGAAATCGTCAAAGAACGCCAAGCGCAGTACGATATGGCCCGTAAAGATGCCGACCAATATGCGGGCATGGGCGAATACCTCACCAAGTGTCTTAGTGCAGCAAAGACGAATAAGGTCTGCCGCACATGCACTCGATCCTTCAAGAATGAGACAGAACTCCAGGCTTTCACTAAAAAATTGGAAGCCTTGGTGAACAAGGCTACTGCGGAAGTCGAAGACGAGATTCTAATCGGTTATGAAAAAGACCTAGAAGCTGCCCGCGAGGCTAGTGGCGCATACGATACCTGGGTCCGCCTCTCAGAGACGGATATCCCGGCGCTTGAAAAAGAGGAGCAAGAACACGAATCGCGAGGAGACCAGCTCCTAGAAAAGCTCGAGTCTCATGATCGCATCGTCAGCGAGAAGTCGGAAAGCAAAAGAGAAGTCGAGTCCCTTTCCAAGACTGTGAACACAATCGCCAGATACGACGCTGAAATCAACAGCATCGCTAGTCAAATCCAGGACCTTTCTGCCAAGGAAAATGATGTTTCCACTACTCGCACTCTGCAAGACATCCAAGATGAAATTTCGGCAAACAGCGAAAAGTCTCGAGAGCTGAAGAGAACCTTGACGAAGCTCACCAATGAGAGAGATCAGACTCGGGCTCAGATCAACAATCTGGAGCTTCAGCTTCGCGATGTGAGAGAGAGCCTCAATAACGCCAAGTTCCAACTTGAGAAGAAGGCCGACCTGCTTATTCGTATTGAAGAAGTTAAAAAACTCAATTCTCAGCAGCGTGAAGCGATTGAAAAGGCCGATCAGGACATCGAAAGTCTCACGCCTGAATTGCTTCAAGCCCAAGCTCGCTACGATGATATCAGCCAGCGATCCGAGGAGCGAGAACGACACTCGCAGCAGGAGATCAACCGCCTCTCAGAAAATATTCATCAACTCGATCTTGCAAATGAAGACATCAATTCGTACAACGAACGAGGAGGCCCTAGCCAGCTCGAACGGAGCAAGCAAGAACTGTCCGAGATCGAGGAGCAAATCAGCAATCTCGAGACCAAGCAGGGCGAGATCACAAGAGAAATCAACAAGATCTCCACCCAGTTGAAAGACAGTGAAAATACAAAGCGACAATACTCCGACAATCTGCAATACAGACAAGCTACTCGGTCACTCAATACAGTCCTTGCGGAAGTCGAACAACTGGAAGAGCAAAATGCCGAAGTCGATCGCAGCCGTTTCAAGCAGGAATCGGAACGCTGGACCCGTGAACACAACGCCATTGCTGCCAAGCAAGCCAGCAAAATGGGTGAAATGAAGTCAAAAGACGATCAACTCATGCAGCTTCTCGCAGACTGGAATACGGACTATAAGGACGCAGCCTCAAAATACAAAGAAGCCCACATCAAGGTAGAGACCACCAAAGCAGCCGTGGATGACCTAGCTCGCTACGGAGGGGCCCTTGACAAAGCCATCATGAGCTACCACAGTTTGAAAATGGAGGAGATCAACTCCATTATTGGCGAACTCTGGCAAAAGACCTATCGTGGAACAGACGTCGACATGATCCTGATCCGCTCCGATAACGAGAATGCCAAGGGCAATCGATCGTACAACTACCGAGTGTGTATGGTTAAGCAGGGCGCCGAAATGGACATGCGAGGCCGCTGCAGTGCTGGTCAGAAGGTCCTGGCTAGTATCATCATTCGACTTGCTCTGGCCGAGTGTTTCGGCGTCAATTGTGGACTCATCGCTCTTGACGAGCCAACTACTAACCTGGATCGTGACAATATCCGCTCCCTTGCGGAGTCGCTGCATGATATCATTCGAACTCGTCAGCAGCAGTCAAACTTCCAGTTAATTGTCATTACCCACGATGAAGAATTTTTGCGTCATATGCAATGCGGGGACTTTAGTGATTACTACTACCGTGTCTCGCGCAATGAGAGACAGAAGTCTATCATCGAACGGCAGTCTATCGCCGAGGTGTGTTTTTGAACAGAATCCTGCTAACTTGTGCTAATTTGGCTTCAGGTCATGTAACATCTTTTCCACGTCGCTGACAGGTTGTTGCAGTGGTGTTGGACACCAATCCCTCATGCTTCGTGCATTCAGTTTAGGGGCGCAGTCATCCGGAAGCATTCGCATATGGGCGTTCAGGAAAACCAGGTCATTGATACCATTTGCTTACACCGGCCGAGCTATTTATTCACTTCCATCTTTATGTACAGGATGTATTGTGGCCTCAGATCTCTTTTTCCGGGCGACTCCTAATTCCAAGAGTCACATTTTTACGTAGCCATCAGTTTCCACCTTCGATCGTATGTAACACGAGGGACATAAAATCATTCTGTCCTCTCGCTCGATCCCACTAAGGTATGTTTCACACGTTCCAGCCACATCTCATCTGTCATTCACCTCTCAGTATTTAACACAGCTTTAATGAGAGAAAGCAAGGAGAGCTGGTACACTATCTGAAGATGAAGGCAACCAAAGCTAGAGAAGGGGTGAATCTCAACAAATCTTCGGGCTCCCTTTCGTTTCACAATTTGAAAGGGACGTCTCAAAGCTACGTAGATGCTAGGACAGGATTTCGCACCGAGGTCACATCATGGTGAGATTGAATCGTGAAAAGTTGAGCGCGAACAGCACCCCAGGAAGGGGATTATCAAAGCTTGGCGGGTGCAAGATCATAATGCCACTCGGATGGTGGGCGACGTTATGAGCCAGGTAGTGGGCTTTTGACGCCCAACAGGCTCTTGAGCGTGTGTCTTATGGGTCTTTCGTATCTTAACATTGAGAAGGAAGCAGGCGAGAGACGGGACGAAGGTCAATCGTGAGAATTTGCTGGAGCCTAGTCGGCGCACCAAGGTTACATCAACTATGCGATCTACTCCCAAAGCAACAAGATATGAAATTGTTTGAGCCTCGCCTCAGCTGAAGTGTTTTTCAGCTGTATTTGAGATTTCGTTGAGGCTACCTGCTGGCAAACAGCCGTTTCACGTTGCTCTAGGCCAAAGTCGGGGAGTACATTGAACGGCTAATGAATGATGTGAAGCGTGGCCCCTCACACCTGTTAGATCTGTATGCATCAGATAAATAAGTCCAGACCGTCTGATAATGTGCACGGGCTTCAAGTATTCCAATGGATTCCTGCGGTAGCCTCCCATCGACTGTGCTCAACCCGGCTCAATAAGCCAAGACGAGGGGCAGCGCAAGAGTATGTCAGACCACAGGACGATGTTACACTGAGAGAAAATCAGTCCGGACCCCCCCTGGTGCCTTTCACTGTTCTGGTTGGATGTGAAGCATTATGTACTTCCATCTAAACGGTCCTGGGGGGGGGGGCTGATATCCGGCTCCCGATGCTTGGCCCAGCAACATATCTCGAGAGCGTTGTAAATGACCCACCTTTAAACCCCAACATGTTTGTTCCTCGCCGTATATAGTTGATCTCACCAGGGGATTCCTTGAGCGATTTCCTTCTCAGCATAACAAGTGGCATTGAAAGGCCGGAGAATGTTACGTAATTGAGGTGAACTAAGCATGCAGAGTACTAGTCTCTGCTATAGAGTTACCTTGCGAACAGAGCTTAATGTTGAAATGCGATAGCAGGGATCAATTCAGCCCGACCGACCCTCAAGAGGTATCTGATGGCCTGATGGTCGGACTTGCGCAAATTGGCCATATAAATGCCATGGGTCCTAGCTAGATTTGATCTTGAAGTATTCCCTATCATCACCAAAGAAAGGACTCGATAAAAATTCAGTCTTTCCTTTCACCCAAGCCGTCAAGTACAAACGGAAGAATCACATGACACCATAGAAACAAACGACAAAACAGACTCCAAATGCTGTCCCAAACTCTTCTCCGTGCCCTCTTCATCGTCATGTCTGTTGCTTGCGCCATGGCTCTTTCCCCCGGTCCGCCATCCATGAGGATGAGCTGGACCGCTACGACGCATTTCTGGAAACTCTGCAGGACACTCACTTCATGGATATGTACCTCGAAAACAGCCGAGTCAAGATCGACGTCTACGAAGACCCATCCAACAATCTTGCTCTTTCCGAAACTTTCACTCCAAGCGACACTGCCCACCAGTACTTTGCGCAGGAGAATCAACGTGCGGAAGAGGCATTGCAGCCAGAAACTCCCTCGAACGAGGCAGCGCACAACCCGACGGTGGAACGTGACTTGGCTGCCTGCCCACGCGGTGACAGCTTGCTGAATAGAGATGCATCCGTTCTCGAGAAGCGCGTCTCTCGGTGCTACCAGTTTTGTGGAACGATTGCCAATTGTCGCGGAAATAATGGATGTCCTCACTGCTATGCTGTTCGACAAGGGTGTCTGTGGCAGAAATGGTGCCGTTAAGTTCCAAGGCCGGTCGTGTTACCTTCAAGGGCTGTGGGGGAGGATGAACAAGTTTAGTTACAACAGTATGCTTTGGCTGGAAGATATGTCTAATGGATTGCATCCAACATGCAGTTTATCTCTTACCCGTCCCTACTGTCACTACCGGTGCTATGGCGCTGTATTCAACATGCAATTAATTGCATTGATCCAAAATGAATATCAGAGATGTCTTTTCTGTTCCCCTTTCTAATGTGTAATTGACCAGATGTAGAGAAGAAGAAATATTCTGCCTGCTGTTCACTTTGTTATTGCTCAGCGGTTTGATCAAGTAAAGGTCCAATTGATTATCCTATCCAATCTCCTTTACACCAATCCTCAAATGACACAACGCTTGAAGTGATTTGCATAGCCTATGCGATCATCATATGTAGGAGGCATCGGGATCGAACCGGTCTCAAGGCGATCCCGGTGGGTCCGGCGATCGACGAGCGCCATCCGCAGTCTCCACAGTGAACCCCAATCATAAGCAGCTCATGGCCACTGCGCAACAGGTTTGAGGCCAGCTGAAGATGGGAGAATCTAGGCTATGGGGCACAATGTCAGAGCTGGACTATGTTGTCAGACGATGATACCCTTCTTAAGATCAGCATGCTTCCCGCTTCACTTTCATTCGCAGCAGTTCATTGCTCGACATTCGTTAAAATCCTGTTACCCGCGCCATGATGTGAGCAGACCGATCACTGAAGTTGACAGGCCATTCTTGGACCTTTGCCTCACGGAGAATTCGACCGTCGAGAGAAATGAAGATCTCATGAACATGGAATTTCAGATCCTTGTGACTTCCGCCTTTGTGCCGAGGAAGGCGTGCTTCTAAGGGTGCGTATTGTACGAATCTCGAGCACAGATGACTTGGGCATTGTGGCCCTTGCACATCACAGTATGATAGGCAGTGTTCCCTCTCGAACTGGATACAGGATCTCAACCAGATTCTCCGCGAGGGAAGGGCTCTTTCCAGAACCTCGTTCCAAGTCTTCGCCGAGCTACTCTTCATCCATCGCAAATCCCTGTCTGCTCAACACAGCATAAACTACCATGTGAACCTGTCTAAGTGGAATAGAACAGCACCATCCTTCTCTCTGGCCTCCGGCCCGCACATCGTAATTCTTCATCGGCCTCGATACTGATTATGTCGAGCCCGACAATAGTCCCGGAAAGCCGCGTGGACACCTCGACCCAGACGAACAAGCAGTTGATCTGCCTGATCTGCAAGCAGACATGAATCTACCGGGTCTTCTCAATCTTCGCAGCAAAGACAGCGCATTTAGCTCAATCGCGATGAAGGCAGCGATAGCGCTGTTCAACATGCGCCAGACAAGAACGCGAACCGCCACCTTTGGAGTTTTCACATCGGCATGCTCATGGCCATCCCTACCACCTGCACTGAAAGCCACAATGTCTGATCTAATCGGCATCTCAGGACCATGCATAGCAAGTGCTGCGGTTAGAGTCAGCATGGAAGAGGGACCCGATGGACCGGCAGTTGGCTCTTTACTTTAGCGTCTTGTAGAGAATGAAGAGATCAACCGCCATATCCATGCACCCCAGGGATTGATGCAAGAGCAGCTTCGCGAGACAGAGGCTTCAACTGCCATTACTGCACGTCGTCACCAATTGTTTAATTTCTTTGACGGGTGAGTGCAAGCTGATGCAGACGTGGAAGACAAAGGCCATCTCATCAGAACAGTCGGGCAAGGAATGGACTGCAGATTTTGCATTCGCATGAAAGTGCGCCTTTTCTGGCCCTGGGCGGATGCGCGTGTGGACGCATTGGGATGGAGCGCAGGTGCGTCGAGAAGAAGCCCAGAAGTGGCTGGATGAGCTTGTTGGTGTCACAAAGCACCTTACCACGGAGAATGCATAGGACAAGAAGGCTACGAATTTGATATAAATAGAAGAAACAGAGGTTCAGGTAGTTCCCTTGGATAAATCAATTCGAGGCATTTCAGAATATGTACTTGGCTATTCATCATCGGCTTCCACATCCATCTCAGCCTCTTCTTCGTCCAAGAGCGGCACGAAACGAAAGTCCACGAAACATACTGGACCCACAGCCTTAAGACCAGCACCAACAGGCCTGCCAGTAGGTAAGCTGTCATCCAGCTCGATCATAAATTGTAAACTCAGCACACCCTGTCGATCACCCCGAATGCTAACCTTATTGGCGACGGCCATTGCTCGGGCAGCTTTGCGAATCAAGGCAAATCGGTAGCTTTGTTTGATTCGGTCGCCCACCGCAGACGGCGGTGCGACAAGGAATGTCTCAGTAACAGTTGGAGCCATCTTTGTCCGAGTAGCACGGGCTCTGGAAGACCCGTCATCGGCCAACACCTTGTGTGTTTGAGACTGTCCTAGTGGATCAGCGCCTGGTTCATTGTGCCGATCAACCGAGAATTCCACGGTAGATTCGCTGAAAGGGCCACCGGCACCCGAGAGAGCAAAGTACGGCTCGCGGGTGGCACAGGCGGACAGTTTGAGGATGGTTGGGGTCGAGGAGTCGAGTTCGCCGATGGCGTTGTGCAGCCAAGCAGAGCGCATGATGACCTTCATGATAATGGCGTCACGCTGAAGTGGAATGTCGCTTTCGTTGCCCTCGAGTTCGTAGGTGACCAGCTCACAGGTCGTCTTTACGCCCGCCTCTGCAATGGCGATGCTGAGTGGAGCTCCATGGGAGGCATAGTGCAATGTGCAAGACCGGTCCATCAACAAAGCTGGGGCACTAAATGCACTTGATGCTGGATTGGTTTGCGGTATGTTTGTGTCGCGGGAGCCATCGGGCTCGGAGAGGTCGTTGATGCCGAAGATCTTCAACGTTTCGAGAAGAGCAGAGAGGGAGACGACGAAATGCGGATATGCCACTTCGGGATCCTCCTCGTTTTGACCAGATTCATCCCGGTCGATGTCTGTCGAGGCATTGAAAGTATAGCTGGTGAAGAGAGATTTGTCGAGGAAGGCTAATCCTTGGAGCACACGGCCTTCCTCCGCCGAGAAACGAAGTCCATCGGGGGTGATTTGGACAGAGGCTCTGGAAGCAAAGCCAATGCAAGAGAGCAGGGTGTATAAGTGATGAGCATTATTTGAGACACCGGTGAAGAGTGGCTCCATGATGGGTATTTGGTTTGCGAAAGTTTGATGATTTGGAGCTTCTAGAAGTACAGGCCCCTGTGAATTCCCTGCTTACGGTACATGGAAGGGAGATTGAGAAGCTCAACGGGTATCACGTTAAACATAGACTCCGACAGCGCAGATCATGAACACAGCTCCGAATCTAAGTAAAGCACCATATTGTCAGCAATCGATTATGCAATTTCACCTTTGATACTCACCCGAAACAAGCAGACGCAGGCACACCCAGAGAAGTGAAGCTCAGGAAGGAACGGTCTATTTTGAACAAGTCAGGGGAGTCAATTAGAAGTAAACGGGTATAAAGAGCTTACTCAGACCGAAGAAGCCTGTCAAGAGAATTGCTATATCACACATGATTAGTTGAGACCTAAAGCTCTTGGCGAGGTATGCGTACCAAGCACAAGCAAGTTGAAGCCAACGGTGAATTGACTGTCCTTGGACACAAGGGGAGAAGAAAAGGCGATGCGGAGGATGCCTCCCAGACTTCGTTCAGAGACATGGGTGAAGATTGGGAATTGATTAGAATGGTGCGAGACGTAGCATCAGTTGTAGATGCGACACGCTGATCTGGCCGATTGTCTCTGATTTAAGTTAATCCGGAGCCGAACCCCGGGGAGCGTCATCTCATGTCAAGGACACTCACGCTTGGAGGATAGTTTTACCCATCCATCATGGCTGTTGTTTCTCCAAAAAGTGTGTCGGGATTAATTCTTATTTGTTTCTTTGGCGATGTGTGCTGACCCTCTCCAGGTTCCAAGAGGAAGGCCTCGGAGGAGGCAGCTTCCCCGGAGTCTCAGCAGCTGGGCAAAAAGGCGCGGACTGACTCCCCAGAAAAAGAGGTACGATCGCCGAGAGAATATTCGAGGACAATAATTAGTGTCTAATTATGAATAGGAAGAAGATTCGCCCAAAAAGCCGGCGCTGCGCATCGTACCTTTCCCCGAGAAGGTGAGCTCCCATCGCCGCTGCAGCGGACCCCCAACGACCGCCCCCCACATTTGCGCATCAAATCCCATGATTCATTTCCAAACTCGATATCTGACTATGCTGAACAGCCCGCTGTTCTGGAAGAGCGCCGAGGTGATATAGAGTTCCGTGTGGTCAACAACGATGGATCACACGATAGTTTCATTGTCTTGACCGGCTTAAAATGCATCTTTCAGAAGCAGCTCCCTAAGATGCCGAAGGACTATATCGCACGCCTGGTTTATGATCGCTCACACTTATCTATTGCGATTGTTAAGCATCCTCTAGAGGTCGTGGGGTATGTACACCGAGACAGTCATCAGTCATTGTCACACCGGAGATACTAACAACGAGACGCAGAGGCATTACGTACCGGCCTTTTAACAGCCGCAAATTTGCTGAAATTGTGTTCTGCGCTATCTCATCTGACCAGCAAGTGAAGGGCTACGGTGCTCATTTAATGTCCCATCTGAAGGTGCGTCTCAGATCGTGCGTACCTTAAAAGACGATCTAACAAGGCTACAATAGGACTATGTTAAAGCCACGTCTCCTATCATGCACTTCTTAACCTACGCCGATAATTATGCCATCGGATACTTCAAGAAACAGGGTTTTACCAAGGAGATCACCCTCGACAAGTCTATTTGGATGGGATACATCAAGGATTATGAAGGCGGTACCATCATGCAGTGTACCATGCTGCCCAAGATTCGATACCTCGAAATGGGTCGGATGCTACTCAAGCAAAAGGAAGCTGTACAGGCCAAGATACGTGCTTTTAGCCGATCTCACATTATCCACCCTCCGCCCAAGGAATGGAAGAACGGAGTTCACAAAATTGACCCCCTTGCAATTCCTGCGATCAAGGAATCTGGTTGGTCTCCCGACATGGACGAATTAGCTCGCCAGCCACGCCACGGCCCGAATTACAACCAACTACTACACCTGTTGAATGATATGCAGAATCACAGTTCAGCTTGGCCTTTTACCCAACCCGTGAATCGCGACGAGGTGCCTGATTACTATGAGGTGATTATGGAACCAATGGACCTGTCTACCATGGAGGAGAAGCACGAGAAGGATATGTATCCGACTCCGCAGGACTTCGTCAAGGATGCAATGTTGATATTTGACAACTGCCGTCGGTATAACAACGAAAGCACCCCGTATGCCAAGAGCGCAAACAAACTTGAGAAGTTCATGTGGCAACAGATCCGCAATATTCCGGAGTGGTCGGTACGTGGATGCCATCATAACCCTGGGGAAGAACTTGATTCACTACTAACACGTCTTAGCATCTTGCCGAGGGGCATTAAGTGTCGAAGTTGCTTTCTTGCTAACGTGTTAACATGGAAAGGCGTTTGGGAGGGGGCTTTGTCAGATTAACAATACCCTGTGGATAGATTACTGGAGCATGAGGGAGTCGGATCAACTATGAAATAATGAAGGTTACCCCATACACCATGATTTAGAAGTAGTTTAAGGTTTTGTAAACAAAAGTATGATGCAATACGCGCTGGTCTATTGATAGGTGGGCCCGGATCAACATTGACGCGTTGTTTCAGAGCAGCAACCTGCAAAGTACGAGAAGGCTGGACTCTCCTCTTGCATCCCTGGAGCCCCGGTGTCGTTCGTTTCTTCTCAACCTCATGGGCTTGTCGTGTCTAACATTTAATTGATTGCGCCTCCCCGTCGGTGATACCTCCTTTTGCCGACTTTCGCGTTTCCCCGAGCTGTCCTCCTTTTCGGGCCACTTGCTTGTCCTGCCACGACTCGACTCAATCCTTTCACACAACACCCCTCTTTTGCACCCCACACGGTACTTTCCACTCTCTTTGATCTAGCTTCATATCGCTGTTTGTTGAGGGCGTTCAGTGTTCCTTTCAGACCGACGCAACCCTGCACGCTTCTCTACCCCTTTTGCGCCGCCCCCCTCGACTTCAATTCTTCGGTGCTGGACATTCCGCCGATACACCCTCAAAAGTCCGCAAGAATGGCTTCACCAGATCATTACTCCGATATAGAGAGCCGTAACAGGCTTCCGACCCTCTTTGAGGTCTTGAGCCGTCGCACATTGGCTCCCGTTGATCTCTTCTCATTTTACATTTACATGCGCGACCAGCGACGCTCTGTGGACTACCTCGACTTCTGGTAAGCTAGAATTACTCGAATAATCAGCCAGGAAACTAATAGCATTTGGTCTCAAGGCTCGACGTCTCTCAACATATGTCTTTGTGCCGACACTATGTTCGCGAGCTTCGCCGTTCTGTCCTCGTTGCGACTCCCGACATTGATCAAGTCGAAAGCAAACGATCATCCGCCATGCTGGATAACTTGGAGAATCTGGGCGATATTCCGATGACCGAGGCTGGGCCTTCGCGCATGCGGACCGACGAGAAGGACCGTGATGCCGATCAACGCCTGTCCGCGTTTCTGCGCTCCGAGACCCAGTCTCACCATTCACCACAAAACAGTGTCGGATCTCATTCTGAATACAGCAACGCTTTAACCGACGACCAAGCCCGTCCTAGCTCCGGCACTCGCAACGGCGATGACTCCAACTCACCCGGACACACGGTTGCGCGAAATGATATCCGTGCTAGCGCCGAGAAAATCCTTTACACCTATCTACTTCCCGGCGCCGAGCGAGAAATCGGTCTGCCGGAGGCGATGGTCAATCAGACTATCAACATGATCGAAGATGACGGTCGTGACGACCCCGAGGTTTTTGATCCCCCGAAGGACTTCGTCTTCCAAGCCATGGAGCGTGATGCATTCCCCGGTTTCTTGCAGGCCAAGGCACTGGGTAATCTCGTTCCTCTCAGCATTGTTGCTCGTCTGACCTTCGCCCTTATCAGCTTCTTCGGTGGATTCTGGGGAGCCTTCTACGTTGTCCTCCGCGACAAGCCTCGAGACATTCGCTGCTGGATCATTCTGCCGTTCGCGATTGCATCTTATTTCATCGTCTCGTATCAGTACAAGATCGATCCTGTTATGGCTTTTATCGGCTACAGCGAGTACACCTTCATGAACTGGGCTCCAATTCGCGAACCCTATGTTCGCAAGCTCCTCAACAAGCGTGCCATGGTCACCGCAGGAATCTCTTTCTTGACGGCTGCCGCTTTGAGCATTTTGTTCGTTCTCGTCCCCGGCACTATGCTGTGAGAATGTTCCGGTTGTTCGATCGAAATTGTACGCTGTGCTATGGGACTTGCTCTGCTCACTCCTTGCAGCTGTACGATGAGGTGACCAGTCCCTTGTCCTAATTTTTAATGTTTTGATCTGCTTCTGCGAAGCATAACCTTTGGAAACGATGCCCTGGGGTGCCAAAATTTACCGGGACTCTGCAACTCTACGGGCATCTTGGGGGCGATGAAATCGCTCTATTTTCTCCTTTTTCTGTTCATATCTGCCTCGTTTCGTTGTCTTTTATTCTCTTCTGCCAATACCCCTTTTGATCACTTGTATCTATGTTCTCAATGAGTGTTGCCGCTAGGGCTACGAATGTCATTATCAGCCATATATCAAATCTTTCTGTCAAATCGGATTATATCCGAATTTGCTTAAAAGAGCAATTCATGCGGCAAATGTAATCGTAAACTAGTTCATCAGGGCGTGGGAGCCTTGAAAGCTATCAAGAAGCTCATGCCTTGCGGCCCACTACACGCTTCGAATGTCTACTCCCGCCACGAGACCCGGAGCCCTCGTCGATATCCATCCGCGACCCTGATTCCCCATCCCCAGCCTCGAAATACCCATCATCATGATCGATATCATCCGCCTCGCGCTTGTTACCCATTCCAGCTCCAAGTCGCGCACCACCTTGACGCCCCCATGCTCCGGATCTAGTACTACGTCCGCCCGCATTTGACACATCAAACTCCTCTTGTCGCTGTTTCATCGCATCCTCCAGTTGGATCTGATACGCTCGCTCCTTGGCATGACGCTTCTCCGCATTCTCCTTGACTCGTGCAATTTCCGCTTCTAGATCGGACACTACCTCTCCACACCGAGCCTCCCACTGTGTCAAAAGAGAGACCATTCTGGGGAGAGATTGCGGTCGGACATCACGTAGAGGAGCGACAGATGTGACGTTGACGGTAGGCGGGGCTGTGGCGGGGGAGAGGCGGGCGGAGATCAGGGAGGCATAGATGGCGGTTGTAACGAGAGATTCAAGCTCGGCGGTTGAAGAGAGGGAGAGCGCGGTCATTAATGACTGATAGGTGAGGGGTTTCACTGTTGCTGAGAGGGAGAGAAGAGAGAGGAGGCGGAGCTTGAGGGTTTGTTCAATGCTTAATTTGGGGAGGTCGGGTGTTGCTGCGCTCATTAGTTGTGTTCCGTTTCTGGTACACGGAAAGTCAGCTCACCTTGATAATCCTGCCATGTCCCCCATGCGAAGATCTCTAGGAGCTTCAGGTAACCCTGGTACTCGGCGGGGGTATCAGGCGAGCTGAGCGTTTGAATAGTGGGCGTCTCAAGCAGCTCCGCGAAGACGTAGGTGTGCGGACTGGAGGTGGCATTTGTGATGATATTGGCTATGAAGCGAGGCGAGGTTGCACTGTTGGAGTTTGCCAAGTGGACGAAAGGCTGTAGAGCCTCCAGGGCCCGGGTGTGTGTTTGGTCCATGAGATGCGGCCAGTGGAAAGGCAAGATAAAGGTTGATTTTTGAAAATGGGCCTTGCAAGGAAACACACGATGTGTTCGATTATAGCTGATTATTGAAAAATTACAACAAAGAGGGAGAAGTAGAGACACACTGGTGGTTGGAGCATCAACAAGTTGGATGTGATGTTGAGTAGCTGGTTTGCATCAAGTGCAAACACCTTATCGATGAAGTAAGATGAAGCATGTGCTGGTAGTGAGTAGTTCGTAGTGAGTGGAAGTAGATAGTCATCTTCAATTTTCCCCTAGATCAATAATGTGCATGGATCATCTCGATTGTATTTCGTATTTTATAATATCATCCAAGGTGTCCATTTCAGGGTCCTTCATTGTTACACAGGCGCTTTGTCTCGACCCTTTTTCTCCTTGTTTGACACACCCTTCGCTGACACGGCGCCGTCGTTTCAGCATCGGCTTTCCAAGCACTTTTATAGGGCCTTTGACTGTGGATGCTGGTAAGAGGAAGATTGGGAAACGGCCTGTCATATAAGATAGACTTCATCTAGATGAGCTGGATAGCAATGCCGCGGGACGCCGACGCCGACGCAGCACTTTTCACATTCCTCAGCGTGGCGCGATCCTCCCTCTGCGTAATCACATCCTCTGCCTTTCTAGTTCCCTCTTCCCTGCTCCCACGCGACGTGGCATCATATTCATGTTCTAATCAGAACTGGTCTCTTGCTTCCGCCGGTCTTGATCGAGAAATGATCTGATCGGTCCAGTCGATCCGAGAGCATCCGCCTTGCTTGTCACGTTATCCCCTCCGCCCATCGCAAACGAGCTACCCACCTTCTCACGCCTTTATGCAATAGTCCGCCATCTCAAATCTGTTCAATACCCTTCTCGCCATGCCTGCAGACCTTCTCGGCGCGGGTATTGCGTCATCCGATCCTCTGCCCGCCATGGCCACAACAACCGTGAAGATCGATGGGATGACCTGCGGAGCATGTACCTCTGCGGTCGAGGGCGCTTTCAAAGGTGTCGACGGTGCTGGAGATGTGTCTGTCAGTTTGATAATGGGCCGAGCTGCTGTGCAACATGACCCATCCATACTTTCGCCGGCCCAGGTCGCGGAGATGATTGAAGATTGCGGCTTCGATGCCGCAGTCCTGTCGACTGAGGAGCAAACTTCAAGCACAAGCACTGGTAAGCTTGAAGCTCCGACAAAGCGATCTTCCAAGACAACTCTTGCCATCGAAGGAATGACCTGCGGCGCGTGCACATCTGCGGTGGAAAGCGGCCTGAAAGACGTTGCGGGTGTCAATTCCGTTGAAGTCTCGCTTCTTTCGGAGCGCGCGGTAATCGACCACGACGCGGAGACTATCTCGCCAGAACAACTAGCGGATATCATTGAAGACCGGGGCTTTGGAGCGAGAGTGCTGGAAACACAGGCGTCATCCGCAGGACCGGAAGATGCACCTGCGCTCGCCGATATGGTGGAAGATAAAAAAGGGCACTTGGTCACCACCGTAGCAATTGGAGGTATGACCTGTGGTGCCTGTACATCTAGTGTGCAGAATGCCTTTACCGATGTGGAGGGCGTGATTCAGTTCAAAATTAGTCTGCTCGCTGAGCGCGCAGTGGTTGTGCACGATCCGTCCATTATCACAGCCAACGACCTTACGACAATAGTGGAGGATGCTGGATTCGATGCTTCGATCATATCATCAGAGGCGCAGGAACCGCTGTCCAGAAAGATCCAGCAAATGAGCCTCAGTCTTCACGGGATACGAGACGGCAATTCCGCTTCGGCTCTCGAAGAAGACCTTTTGAGACAGCCAGGAATCAAATCTGCTTCCATTACTCTGTCAAATTCGCGACTATCTGTCTCCTTCGACACCTCTGTGATTGGAATAAGATCAGTGTTCGAGGTAATCGAAGCCGCTGGATATAACGCTCTAGTCGCAGACTCGGATGACACCAATGCGCAGCTGGAGTCATTATCCAAAACAAAAGAAATACAGGAATGGCGACGTGCATTTACTACTTCAGTGTCGTTTGCGGTCCCAGTATTTCTCATCAACATGATCTTGCCCATGTATCTGCACAGCCTCGACTTTGGCGCCTTTGAATTATTTCCAGGCCTTTACCTAGGAGATTTGCTTTGTCTGACATTAACAGTTCCTGTGCAATTCGGTATTGGACGCCGATTCTATATCACCAGTTTTAAGTCTCTGAAGCATCGGTCCCCAACGATGGACGTTCTCGTTATGCTGGGAACATCTGCTGCGTTCTTTTACAGCTGTTTCACTATGGTCATGGCCTTATTCGACGAGCACCACAAACGTCCGAGTACTGTGTTTGACACGAGCACTATGCTCATTACCTTCATCACTCTCGGACGCTGGTTGGAGAATCGGGCAAAGGGGCAAACATCTGCTGCTTTGTCCCGTCTCATGTCATTGACTCCATCCATGACAACTATTTACGAAGATCCCATCGCCGCAGAGAAGTTAGCTGATGGCTGGTCTGCTGGAGGCACCACAGATGCTTCGAAGCCGGCTTTGGCATCCGATAATTCATCTGTGAACCAGAAGATCATTGCCACAGAGTTGATCCAGGTTGGGGATATTGTTATCCTTCGTCCTGGTGATAAAGTTTCCGCGGACGGAGTGATTATTCGAGGCGAAAGCTACGTCGATGAAAGCATGATCACCGGAGAGGCTCTTCCAATTCACAAAAAGAAGGGAAGTCACGTCATTGCTGGCACTGTCAACGGCACAAGCTCAATCGACTTCAAGGTCATTCGCGCTGGTAAGGACACTCAGTTGAGTCAGATTGTGAAATTGGTTCAGGATGCTCAGACTAGCCGAGCTCCCATTCAGCGTATGGCTGATATTGTCGCGGGCTATTTCGTCCCAACCATCATCGGTCTCGGCCTGGTTACTTTCTTCGGTTGGATGTTTCTCAGTCATGTCCTGCCTGACCCGCCAGTGGTCTTCCAATCCGAAGATAGTGGTGGTCGGGTCATGGTTTGCCTGAAGCTCTGCATTTCCGTCATCGTCTTTGCATGCCCCTGCGCATTGGGTCTTAGCACACCAACTGCTGTCATGGTTGGTACAGGAGTTGGAGCCGAGCATGGAATCCTTGTCAAGGGAGGCGCCGTGCTTGAAGCTGCTACCAAGGTCAACCACGTTGTCTTTGATAAGACGGGCACATTGACCACGGGCCGGATGAGCGTGGCTCATGTTTGTATTGAGCCTCATTGGACTGCGAATGACTGGCGCCGTAAGCTGTGGTGGCTTATTGTCGGCCTCGCCGAAATGGGCAGTGAGCACCCGATTGGCCGGGCCATTCTGTCAGAGGCTAAGGCTGAGTCTGGTCATCCTGGAGATGATGGGTTGCCTGGCAGTATTGGTGACTTTGATGCCATTGTGGGCAAGGGTATCTCGGCTTTCGTGGAGCCAATGTCCAGTGCCGAACGGATCCGTTACCACGTTCGACTTGGAAATGCAGAATATCTCCGCTCAAAGAATATCGATATGCCTGCGTCAGTTGACCCCGAATCACCCGAAACACAAGAGGAGACAGATCTTGCAGCTCCCAAGCCCAGCGCGGCTGCTTCTGGTATTACACGGATTCATGTTGCCATCGACTCTCGCTATGCCGGAACTATTTCTCTTCGTGACAACGTGAAGGACACGTCAGTTGCCGCGGTGGCTGCCCTGCACCGCATGGGCATCGCGACCTCCATGGTGACAGGCGACACACTCTCCACTGCTCTATCGATCGCATCAGCAGTCGGCATCCCAGCCGCATCAGTCCACGCGTCGGCTTCACCGTCCGATAAACGCACCATCATCTCAGAACTCCAGCTACGGGGAGAGAAAGTTGCCATGGTCGGTGATGGCATCAACGACTCGCCCGCCCTCGCTACCGCATTAGTCGGTATTGCTCTGGCATCAGGGACAGACGTCGCCATGGAGGCAGCCGACATTGTCCTCATGCGACCCGAGGATCTTCTTTCCGTACCCGCCAGCTTGTCACTATCTCGCTCGGTGTTCAACCGCATCAAGTTGAACCTCGTGTGGGCCTGTCTGTACAATATCATCGGTCTTCCTTTCGCCATGGGTCTATTCCTCCCATTCACAGGCTTCATGCTTCCCCCAATGGCCGCAGGTGCTGCCATGGCTGCTTCCAGTGTGTCTGTCGTTGTCAGCAGTCTATTGCTTAAGCTCTGGCGCCGTCCGGCTTGGATGGACGTCAAACGCCTCGAAAAAGAGCTTGGCTCAGGTGCCATTGCTCCCGACATCGGTGCGTCACACTCTCGCAATGCCAGTTGGTGGACGCCTGCTACAGTGCTCTCCACCGAACGGCCACGTTCTCTTCGTCGCTGGGCCGGCGATGCTGTTTCTGCTCTTTGGTCTGCAGCTACTGGCAAACGACCTACTATTCGCGAAGACGAGGGTTATGTGCCATTGCAGACTGTAGAGCCTGTCTGATCCAATTTTCCTATTGACTTCATACGCTGTTATGTCTGATCTTAACGTAAAGGTTATGTGTCTCGGTTCGACCAATTTGTCTGACTTGGTAAAATTCTGGCGTTTGGGAAATGATTCTAGATTTTCGATACCTCTTCAGCATAGATGCATTGAATGAAATGCGAGTTTTCTTCTTCACCAACACAAATTCCGTTGCCTGTAGATTATTTTCATTTGGGGACTCTTCGAGGTGAGTGGTACGGGCATGACTTGGGCCGCATGTTTTTTGACGGCCGATATCCCAGCTCAAGCACACCTCTATTGTAGGTCTAGACCCAAATTCGAATGAGCCGGTATGCGCACTCAGGCACATTCGACGAGGGAACCCTCACCGTCGAACCCATTCACAAGCTTCTACTACGCAAAATATGGCCAAGTAAACCCGAAACCAGGTGAATCCCACAACCAAACACATTGCTATCGAACGTACAAACTCGCAAAGAAACAGTGATACTCCTTTATGGCTACCTAGTAGACCTAATCAGCAAAAGCAACACGAAGTTCTTCCACACAAGAATCTAAAAGGTGATTCTCCTCAACTAACGCGGCACTGGCAAATCCTAACTCACTGGCGAAGTGCGCAACAACACTACGTCCGACCTTGTTTTGTATCCAATATCGATGCCCTCCGACACTCATTTCCAATGTTCCAAATGGCATCTCCTCTTCGGCGGTTCCTGGGGCTCAACACTAGCAGTATCTCAACGCGCAAGCGTACCCGCACGCCGTGGGCGCCTTGATCTTCTGCGAAATACACACGACCCACGCTTTTGAAATTGAGATTTCGAGAGAGCTTTTTGAAGCAGCGAGTTCTCTCCGAACGACTATGGGGCCTTTCTCTCGCATTCATCAAAGGTGAGAAAAAGGGTTTGGAGAAGCGACTTCATAAATTGCTAATATGTCTGGGAATCGGGCGAAGAGGGTGCAGATGGCGAGAGTTTGGAATGTGTGGGAGATGAGTATCATGGTCTTTGGTGCCTGGAGAAGCTGCGTCGAGGTCGTTGGAGGATGATCTAATAGTCTTCGACGCATGCGCTGATGGAGGCGAATCATGGTTGATGATATTGGGCATACCACGAAGTAATGATCGAAGGTTCGTGGTGCGATAGGAATACATGCTCATTATGTTACAGGAACCGGTAATTCGGGCAGAATTGCTGCAGACTTGTGATAAGCACGCGGATTATGACTTCGAATAGGCAAAGATGGACCTCTACAGATTGGAAAGAAACGGGGAAAGGAAATCCAGCTAAGTCTCTTGTAATTTGATTCACATTGTCACAATATTAATCCAGATTGGACTGTAATCTGATCAGCATATCAAGCATATGTGTTGCAGGTCGTTATTCATGATGCCAATGGCACGAAATAAAAATCATCTCGGACTCGCTAGTCCATACTTCAGTTCTTCTTCTCGGAGTCTGATGCTTGTGTTGACTCGGTAATTCCGAAGTCATCCTGGGTTGTTTCTGTCGAATTCTCTGTCTTGCCTGTCTGTTCCTTGGGCGTAGAGTCGTCGAGGACGATGTCCCCATCTCCATCGGGGGCGTTAGCCTCCTGTACTACTTCGGTGGAGGCCGAGACCAAGACATCGGAGGCACCTTCGCCTAGAGCAGATTGGTTATTTAGGTCACCAAGATTAACCTCCACACCTTTTCCATCTTGCAGGCCCATATCCTGAACGCCCAAGAGTGCCGGGCCACGAGCATGGGGGACTTCGTCTGGAGATTCTGCTGGTGGCGAGGTAGAATTACGCTGACCAGTACGATGAGCAGCCTCTTCGACATCAGTAAAGGTTGTCGTAGTTTCTTTCGCAGATGCGATATTGTTATCGTCGCTTTCCATCTCTTGTGGTTGTGTTGGTACAGCTTGCTCTATACATGGTCAATTCTGTGAAGCTCATCAAACGAGGACCAGGGGGTTATATGTAACGTACCCTCCTCCAACCCGGAGACCTCGTCACCCTCGAACGAGGCGTTGGTGAGCCACGGAATCGGGGTGAGTAGCGCACCACCCAGAGACTCGTCGCTCCCTAAACCAGACGCATAGTCCGTAGTTAGGTAGGTCCCGGCACTGTTCGCGGGGTGCGCGAGTCCGTTCGACTGTCCGCTGGGGGTGGTGTTTTCCAAGATGCTAGCAGGAAAAACGTCTATGCCGCTAGTCACCGAAACCACACGGTCCACAGCTCGGAGATAAGCAGGTAATGTCCTATAGTGAGCTGTCGGGTGGAGAATAAGCTCCGCAAATCGCTGGATAGTATGCGGCGGCTTGCTCAGGAAAAAAGACTGAATCGCCGACTTGATAGAGCTCAGGAGAAGGGCAAGTGGTGGTGGTAGTAAGTCGCTCGACGGCTGTGTTGACTCAGGCTGCGAGTCAGGCACGCTCTCGGTCGGTGGCAAAGAATGGGTTGGCGCTGGAGTAGTTTGCAGATCGCCCGGAGCAGTATTCTCCTTATTACTGCTTTCGGGCGGGACAGTGGTCGTCTCAGAGGTCTGGGATGGCTGTTGGAACAGTTGGTGGTTGTACGACCCTGGAGGCACTTTGGGCATAGGAAACACATTGTATACGATCTAAGAGGGGTCAGAAATTCCACGGGTAGAGTCGCGTGAGGTATAACATACGTTTTCCAGACGCTCCAGTAAAGGCCCTACCATGCCACTCCATTTCTCTCTGGGTCAAAGCATTAGTCTCGCGAAATCCAGGGCATCGTGTAATCGCGAATTCACACATACAGGTCCATGGAGCCGCCATTGGCGACTGCCTGGAGAGCTTCTTCATCTGCAGGGGACTGATCAGCTACGAAAACGTGCCACCAGCAGGATGAGGGACTTACCCAGCGTCATCGTCGAAGTGTTTTAAGCTGCAGGAGACGACGATTAAGTGGTCGGCTGAGGCGGTGATGAAAACGGCGTTTGATTGGCTTGCACCTGCCTTATCGATAGTACCACGTGACTCTCCGCGAATTTTCGACGGAGGGGCAGTTCACGATGACTCTTTCTCATAAGCAACCCATTTCGCTCATCACAATGTGGAACTCGCCCAAGGTCGGAATCCTCGGTGGTGGCCAGCTCGGCCGCATGCTTGTCGAGTCCGCCAACCGATTGAACATCCAGTGCAATGTTCTCGACGCCGAAAACTCCCCAGCCAAGCAGATTAGCTTCCACAACGGCCATGTCACCGGTTCCTTCAAGGAACGTGACGCCGTTCGCCAATTAGCCAAGACTTGTGATGTCCTGACTGCCGAGATCGAACATGTCGACACCTATGCGCTCGAAGAGGTCTCTTCCGAAGTTCGCATGGAACCCTCTTGGCAGGCTATCCGCACGATCCAGAACAAGTTCAACCAGAAAGAGCACTTGCGCAAGTACGGTATCCCGATGGCTGATCACCGGGAGTTGGTCAAGAACACACCCGAGGAATTGGCCGAGGTTGGGGAGCAGTTGGGCTACCCAATGATGTTGAAGTCGAAGACAATGGCATATGATGGGCGGGGTATGTGGAATTGAGCTTTGCATTTGTGGAATCTATGCTAATGGTCATTCTAGGAAACTTCCGCGTGAACTCTAAGGCCGATATCCCCGAGGCTCTCGAGACTCTCAAGGCCCGTCCGTTGTATGCGGAGAAGTGGGCCTACTTCAAGATGGTTCGTGAATCTATACTTCAAGACGCTCAGGCTGTAACTCACAGTGCGATTCTACAGGAGCTCGCTGTCATGGCTATCAAGACCAAGGATGGCGTTCTGTCATACCCCACCGTCGAGACCGTCCAGGAGGACTCAATATGCAAGCTAGTGTACGCACCCGCCCGGAACGTCTCCGAGAAGATCAACCAAGCCGCCCAGGCCCTTGCCCGCAAGGCTGTCTCCGCCTTCGAAGGTAAGGGTGCCTTTGGCGTTGAGATGTTCCTCCTCGAGGATGACAGTCTGATGCTGTGCGAGATCGCCAGCCGCATTCACAACTCCGGGCACTGGACCATCGAGGGCTGCGCTCTGTCGCAGTTCGACAGCCACATGCGGGCCATTGTCGACCTTCCCATTCCCGCCAAGAGCCTTGAGCTCCGCACTCCCTCAATCATGCTCAATATCATCGGTGGCGCCACTCCCGACTCCCACCTGAGGGCCACCGAGGCCGCGCTTTCCATCCCCAACGCAAGCATTCACCTGTACAGCAAGGGTGACGCTAAGCCAGGTCGCAAGATGGGCCACGTCACTGTCACCGCCGCGACTATGCACGAGGCCGAGATATTGATTCAGCCTCTCATCGACGTCGTAGACGACATGCGTGCCCAGCGGAAAGACATCAAGACCAAGGCTGCTGTCTCCGGCCCCTCCAAGCCCGCCCCTCAGGTGGCCGTTGTTATGGGCTCCGACAGTGACCTGAAGACTCTGGTGCCCGGACTGAAGCTGCTGGAGAATTACTTTGGTATTAAGCCCGCCGTGGAGATCACTTCCGCCCACCGCACCCCGAACTATATGGCCGAATATTCCGCCGAGGCTGCCGCACGCGGCATCAAGGTGATCATTGCCGCCGCCGGTGGTGCTGCTCATCTCCCCGGTATGGCCGCCGCTCACACCGCGCTGCCTGTCATCGGTGTCCCTGTCAAGGGAAGTTCCCTGGATGGCGTGGACAGCCTGTACAGCATCGTGCAGATGCCTCGTGGTAAGTCACACTACGCACTATTCATGATAAGTTTCATCCCAGCTAATTGACCACATCAGGTGTCCCCGTCGCAACCGTCGGAATCAACAACAGCATCAACGCTGCCCTCTTGGCCGCGCGCATCATCGGTGCCTTCGACCCTGCCATCCAGGCCAAGGTAGAGAAGTACGCCGAAGAAGCCCGTGCCGAGAACATGGAAAAGAAAGGAACCAAGCTCCAGGAATTAGGCTGGGAGAAGTACTTCGAGCAGATGTAAAGTGCCTTCTAAATTATTTTCCAAAAATCTTTAACGGAAACCCAAACGCATGCGAGAAGATAAGTCTCAGAAACTTTAAAGAGGATAAATGCGGTCTTCTTGTCTTATACAGCGGAAGGCATTTTATGATATCAGATCTAGACGACAATGAAATGAATTTTACACTTGTGCATGACCTCTGTTCCCATTTGAACATCGATAGTCCAATTCAGGGTTTCTTGAAGCTTATGCTCTGTTGTGTGCCAACTGTGTTTCTATCCAGAGTGTCTCGGGTCAGTGACGGAGGCCAAGTGGAACTAGGCCCGCTGGCCAAAGCCCACAGCCCACTGTGGCACAGCCTTACGCCTTACCATAGGAACACAGTAGCCATAATCCAAACAGACCGACTTTGGTTGGTAGAATATTAGGCGAGATTGAACGCATGATGGTGGTGGCATTATGTATTAAGCTACCGACTAGACCAAAAAAGAGCCATACTAATACATAAAAATTTGCAAAAGGGGGAAATCATAAGCAATAAGCCAAAATAATCACGAGAACACAAGGAAAGGAAAGGAAGGAGCTAGGGCTTTCGTTGAAAACCCGGACTTGCATCCACCCAGTAGAAGTGTCATTTGCACATGCCATCGAAGGATGATCGCAGCTAAATATTGTACTTGTGTAACAATCTTAAGCAACGGTGGAGCTGGTGGTAACGGCGTGTGCGCCGTTGGTAACACCATCGCTGAGGTTCTTAGTCTTGTCGTTGACGAAGGCCTGGTCAACCTCGCGCGAGAAACCATTGGTGCCGTTGACGCCGTTGGTGCCGTTAGTGTGAGTAACGTTGGTGTGGCCGTTGGTGTAACCGGCAGTTCCAGCAACGCCCGAGGAGCTGGCAATGCCATCGGCAGTAGGAGCCTTGCGTGTGATCAGGGCCCGGAGTGGGGATGTTAGTTGACTCCTTGGCGCTACCGATACTGAAGATGGGCGACTCCCAGCGCTCACCCTTGTTGGCAAGCTCGACGTATTCTGTAGCCTTGCTGGAGACACCGCCGGGCAATTTGATGTCGGGGAACATCGAGTCGTGCAGAGTCAAGGCAGTCTGCACCTTCGTGTCACGCTTGAGAACGGCCTCGGCCTGCTTGGCCTTGGCCTGGGCGCGGGAGCGCATAGCATCGGCGTAGCGGGACAAGATGCTGGGGGCGTTCTCAGGGTCCTCACGGGCGGCCTCCTGGGCCTTGGTGGCCTCCGTGTGGATCTCGTGAGCGTACGCATCGCCCTTCTCAAAGGCGTTGCGGATCTGACCCTCGATGACCTTCTCAAGAGCGGGGCGAACCACACGGAAGAGCATGGGCTTGAACATAACAAAGAGAGCCTTGTGCTTGGACTTGCGGAGCTTGATGTTCATGTTCTGGATGTTCACAGAGATCTTGTCCAGCTTAACAAAGTGCTGCTTGTCATTCTGGTCGGCAGTTGAGGCCGCAATCTTAAAGCTGAAGCCCTCACCACCAAGGAAGATATCCATGATACCAGTATCGGTGATGGAGGGGAAGCCCTCCTTCTTGTTGATGTAGTAGCTGACATCGCGGAGATCAGCCTGGATACCGGAAGCAGCAATCATGATCTTATTGTCACGCTTGTTGGAAATCTTCTTGCGGCCCCAGCGGAAGTAGTTGTCACTGCCGAACTCGACGACATTGGGCATCAAGTTGTCACTTTCGATGATGAGGTTCTCAACAACGACGTCAACCAAGGGGTCGGAAACCTCGATACGAGGAATCGGAACATAGCGGACGTTCTCGAAGATACCAGGCAAGATGATATCGCGGACGTCAGTGAGCAGGTGCTTCTTGAAGACAATCTTGCCACCAGAGTCGCGGCCGAGGTCCAAGAATAGCTTCTGAACGGAGTCGGCAAGAGCTTTGTTTTGAGGGTCCTTCTCGAACTGATCAGCCAGGAACTTAATCTGGTCAAGAATCCTATCGGTGTGGCTGCGGTAGCGCTCACGAGCCAAGTAGCGACCCTTCTCGTAGAGCTCGTTCCATTGGCGGGTGCACTCTTCTTCCATGATGAAGCCCTGCTCGCGGAGGGCTCTTCGAATGAAGGTGTCAATGCTGGAGAACCAGCCACGAAGCTCGGGATCATGATCAGCATCGTGGTAGATATTGTTCAGAGACTCGAAGAAGTCAGACAGGGAGGTGTTGTTGGCAAAGCGCTCAATGAGAGTGCGCAAATCATTTTCAACGGCCTGGACGATATCGGTGGAACGAACGTCCTTGGCGGCAGAGCCACTCTGCGCGGTAATCTCCTTGGTGTGGCCAGCGTACTTCTCGGCTATGTCCAAAAGGGTCTCGATGGCTTGCTGATAGTCAGAGTGGCCCTGAACCTCGATAACCATCTTTTTGAGACGCCAGATGGTCTGCTCGCGACGCTCCTTGGGGATCTTATCCTGGAGATACTCCTTGGTCTGGTTGGCGTACTTCTTGCGGCGGCTCATCTCCGAGGGGGTAACCGACTCGTTGTCGGCAGTAGCAGTAGTCTCGTCAAAGGAGGGAGCACCGATGCTGGATTTGTCGCTCTTCTTGAACTTGGACTTGAGGTCCTCCTTGTTGATGTTGGGCTTCTCGTGCCAAGTGTTCTCCTCGGCGGGTGCGTCGATCTGTGCCAGCTGCTCTTCAGACGGGCGGACCTGGTTGGCAGCCTTCTGGGAGGCATCGGCAGCAATGTCCCTGATAAGGACGGTAGCATCGCTCACTGAAGGGTGTTAGAAAGCACGATGAGAGGAATTGCAAAGGCAAACTCACGGATCTTCCTGAACTCGCCATTGGTAATTAAGAGAGTACCAAGGGTCTTGAGGCCATCCAGGGTCCTGTTGGCATCTTGCTTACTATCCTCCTGGTTGATAGGCACGTTGGGGGCCTTGGCATCCACAGCAGTAATCTGCTGGGCCTGCCAGATGAAGTCCTGAAGAAGCTCGCCGTGGTTCTTGGTCAGGAGCATCTTCTTGGCCTGCTCAATCACATTGCGAAGGTCTTGCACGAGGACCTTACCCTCAGCAGAAAGCTCTGAAGGGGGGGACGTGAGAAACTTGGAGTTCAAAGCGCTGTTCAGGGCGACGTCGCACTGTTTGTTCTGTATGGGACGGGTTTTTAGCAGCGAATTCTTCGAGGACCGGCCGCAAACCGGATGAAACTAACCGATGGGAGCTTGCTGTTCTTGAAAGCTTCAAGGGCGTTAGCGACAGATTCAATTGAGCCTAACTTGGTGACTGGAGAGAACTGACCATGGAAAATACCAAACAGTTGGAGCTTCTGGTTGACGTCCTGCAGCCTGGTTAGTGACCTCTGCGACCCGATCAGCCTCCAATGGATCCCGGCGCATTTCGCATACCTTCTCCTTCTGCTTGGTGTCGGTGGGACGGTTCACGGCCTTGTAAGACATGATGGAGCTTGTATCGATCGTGTCAAAAAAGAGAACAAGTCCGTAGATGTCAGGTATTCTGGGGCCCCAGATTAGCGCGACCCTGATTGCGAGATCCAAGCGAACATACAGGTTGGAAATTAGGATTAGTGTGGAGTGAGGCAGCTTTTGTCAAAACAAAGGGGGGGGGTATCACGAGAATGAAGGAAGGTATGTGGAGAAGGCGAGTTCGAGGAAGGGATGACGACAGATATAAAGGGCACGCAAAGGAGGCAATCCCTACTTGAACGAGGAAGGAGTGAGCCCAAGTTACTCCTTGACGCAACTACCTCCTGACGTCATTTCTTCGTGGCTTTCGCACGGCTTGTTATTCCCCCAATTGTAATTGTAACGGTGACCTCCGTCACTGTCTGTCTACCATTTGTCATTTGCCATTTGCCATTTGCCATGACTGTCTATGGTCCTCTATTTGGTTGCCCGGTTGCTGGGACCTGGGTAGCTGGTAGCTGGTAGCTGGTAGCTGGTGGCAGGTACTGTAGCAGGTAGCAGGTGAGCCGCTGGCAACTATCGTAAGGCTAGGTTGGCCAGGTCCAGGTCTCGACTGTGCTGTACGCGCCACTAGTGCAAGGCCAGCTCTATTGGCGGTAAACCCGATCGAGGCATGAAGGCCCACGATCTGCAGAAACCGCCCGATCGAGTGGAGTCTTGGCAGTGGGGCTAGGACCGTTCCATCTCCAAATTGTGTTGGCTCCGAAACCAGGATCTCCTCCTCATCAGCTTGACGTCAATCGTACGATTCTTGGTCGCCCACCAAAGTCAAACGAAGGTACGTGAACCAGATGTATGTCGTCGCGGGACCGGTTTGCATCCCTGTCCCAGACTAGGGACTCTAGATTCTAGCGCTGGTCGCGTTCAGCATGCGCGTTGATCGATGTGCATGTAGCCACAACGGTCGGGGACGGTAGAATAATGAACAGGGCCACAAAAAATGAGAGCAGAGGCCTAGAAATGGTTATGATTGTGGCGTTCCGGGGGCTGTGTGTGGCCCCGTCCATTAGAGCTCTGGTGTTTGTTCCCGAAAGGGGTAAGTGGATGACACGCGGGACAAATTCTTGGGATGCTTTTTCCGTTGAGGTTCCTTGTAGTCGGTGGCGGAGGGCTCCTGGCGTCTACCCACTGTGGAGTTGATATCCTGCAATGGAGAACACCCACAGGTCTCTCAATCAATTCCTCGTGGGGTCGATGGGGCCGAGAGTGGGCCCATTGTTTGGTGGAGCGCGAAGAACTGTACAGTGTGCCCATGCGCCATCATCAATCCATGGTTGCCTGGAAGTCGAAATGGAGATGTGGGCGAGGTGCGCTATAATGGCCCTTGTGATGACTCCAGTGTTTAAAGGTCACAACTGGACACGCTAGCGCTCGGGTCTTGTTCTGACTGCAAGCGACCGAATTTCACCTGACGACTGGAGATAATTGATGTGGATTACTGTGATATTTCTAGCAAAGTGCGATGTGCGAGCCACGCTTCGACCAGTACCGCCTACTATCTTCGGCCACCTTCTCCTCCCACTCAGCCAAAGGCCCAACCACCTCCACCTGGAACTGACCAGCAACGAAGATCTCCCGACAAGGGAGGTCTAGCGTGAGATTTTCCGTATTCCCTGGGCCAGTCAACGCTTGCAGAGTCTTCTCTGACGCGAGGTATACCAATCGTCCGATGTGCGCCCAGTAGATTGTTCCCGCACACATGGCACACGGCTCCCAGGTTGAGATCATGGTGCATCCGCCGAGGTAGTCCCAGGAGTAGTTGTCAGATGCGTTGCGCGCCAATTCACATTCGGCGTGGCGCACATGCGACAGGGAGAGAGATGTCATGAGCTGTGTCTCGTTGTCCGGTGCGAGAAGGATTGCCACGAATGGCCGCTTTTGATGAATGTCTTGGGCGGAGGCTTGGAGAGCGAGGCATTTGGACGCGCCTGATTCGAGTTGTGCTGGGGTGAGAGGGGTCAGGGCTGTCGATCGGCTCGTGCCCGGCTTGCTAGGGCTAATAGGCGAGGCCATTGTAGAAATGAGGAATATCTACTTGTGTAGTGTACAGGTGAACTTGTGGTCAACTTGATCCAGGTATCTTAGGGTGGACGAAAGCCAAGACATGTCCGCTAGTGTGCGGCGGTCTCCGATGATAAGGAGAGGGGAAGTGCTTCCCCCTCTTTCACAAAGCAAAGATCTAGATGTTCAGGTGAAAAATGTATTGCTGCGCTGTATAAAAATGGCAAAGAGAATTATGTACAGTCATTCCTTTATGAAAAAGCTTCATCACTCGAGCTGGGACCGGCCGAGGTGTCGGATACTCGAAGGTCGGAGGGTTTCTTGGGACCGACGTCTAGGCCCTGCGATAGGGGGGACTCGGGCGTAGCAATCATACGCGCTTGACTATCGCAGTCCGCATTTTGAGATGGGTGGAAAGAGAGATCCACAAAATCCGAGAGATCAGTGGGTTGCGAACTGCTGCCGCACATTTCCGTAAAGATCACCAGTCGGCCGAGAACAGCGTACTCTAGTTTGAGTTTGACACTGTAGACAAATGCTTTTAGTGTGACGTGGATGTCGAAGAGGCCAGAATACTGGACTCCGATCACCGCGGCATCCATCAGAATCATGGCCAGATTAACGATCAGCAGCTGGATCAGGGTGCTGCGGTAATGGCCTCTTGGGCGGAGATTGAGGAGGCGCACTGCTTCGTAGGAGTAGATTCCTGAAAGAATCACCTCTTGTAATGAGAACGCGATCAATTGTATTCGCTCGAAGATATTGAACGCCGGGGTGAAGAGAGCCGATTTGTTGGAGTGGGAGCCTAGTTCGAGGACGGAGGCCGGGATGTGGAAGATGATCGCATCGACAATGATCATGGCGAGTGTCCAGCGGAGGATGACATGGTTTTGGACGACAAGATGTAATCGCGACCAGAGCACGAGGGACTGGCCCGTTACCATGCATACCCAGGCAATGAGCTCCATTGCTACTGGGAACATATTGTTGTAAATGTTGAAGATGATGAGGAGGTATCCGAGGCCGAAGGGGATGATGGCCACGGACGAGATAAGCAGACACCAGAAATAACAACCGCCATATCGCTTGAACGTGGTGAAGCACAGAACGACCAATTCCAATGCATTATACCATGCTACGCCGATGAGGCAAGCCACTGCAGTGCGCTCGGCGAAGTTGGTGATAGACCGTTCGGCTAGACCGAAGTTACTACCGGGAATATCGTAGCTCGACATAAGAGCATTCTCTCTGCGGCAGTCGAGTTGGAAATGCAAATGAAGGCGAGGTTACAAGGTCATTTGAAGAGCGTGAGGCAAAGCGTATGGCAAATTAAGGCATGAAGGAAAGAGGGCAGTCGATTAGAAGAGAGCCCATATACATACACAGGCGTATATAGACCCTAGGTATATGTATATGGAGGTAATTTCGAAGAACGGCATGTTCGAGAACAAAGATGCGGGGAGAGATGTGAGGCGAAAAAAAAGGTACAAGGAGGTGGCGGAGAATACGAGATAATAGCCGACCCATCTGTTCGATATCTCTCAAGCACCATTGGAGGGCGCACCGTATACTGTGGGGAATGGAGAAGCATTAACTCCGAGGAACCTGGCGGCGAATGGGTGACTTTTCCTTGGTACGGCCAAACACTAAGCAAAATGGATCCCGATCACGGCTGCCCAAGGAATGGCAGGTATAAGCGCGCTTCTATTGGCACTCAGGAAGCTTGCGAGTTTTCTCAGTCTTCACGCTGCTTCCTTCTAGGATCTCTGATTTTCAATTTTAAACATCACGATAAAGATCACATGATCATTGGGGGCCTTCCGTTTCAGGTGACTCTCAGGCGATTTGATTGATCGGTGATCCGAGATAAGGCGTCCATTATTCGCGCACTTTACTAATTGAACTTTGGCGGCCAACCGGAACCGCATCCCCATCACAACTGTATAGACTTCGACGTGTTGAAGAGTGATTCCAAAGTTGTTTACCGGGAACTTGATTTGACTCTTTTGCCACGTTTCAAAGACGCAAACGGCAGTCATCCCTCTCTTACGATTGGCGGAGCTTCTTTGCGACCGTGGAACTTGCTGACAGATCAAACTCTGCCTGATCCGGGGAACGTGTTGCCCATTCACGTCGGTTCGCCCTGGTCGAAAAGTCGAGAACATCATCACATGTTCAGAAAACGCACCGGGCCGTGCACCTTTGATGTCATGGCAAGTAGATAGCCTTTGGTTCTGCCTTTGAACCATGGGTTGTTGGGTTTTCGCTTCATTTGGGGCTGACGCACTCTAGAAATAGAGGTGGAAGTGGAAGTGGCCGTGGAAGTTTGAGGTCACGCGCGGATATAATTGGAATCCACCCTCGGTGCCAAAACAGGCATGTTCACACGTGCCCACGGGCCACCTAATCCCCGGACCATCGACCCAGTTGTTCTTGCCACTCGGTATCCGCGCGCGTGGACTCTTGATGCACATGGCAATTAAGTCGATCTAGATTCTAGACCCTATAGAAACTTCACAAAAGCCCGGTCTGCAATGCCCGCTGGCGTGAAGACGCCGGAATCGGTCACGTGGTCTTCATGCAGTTTGTCGCCGGTACTGACGTTTCTTCCTCCTTCATTGCTCGAATTCATTCGTTTTACGTAGCAGGAATACAGTTCCCGATCAGATCTCCTCATCAATGCACTTAGACATGCGACCTAATGGCGCGGGGGACTTGGCCTCGGGGGTGGATCCTGTGGATACCATCCATCAGAATGACACGAGATCCTCTGTCAAAACAGAGGACCGGGAAATATTAACCGACCGGTGAAGCATAGACTACACTGGGGAATGATATCTCTCTTTATCGCTCAATCGTATTCTACGTTAGGATGATTTCGAAGACTAACTCATTCCTGACGGTAGCCTCGGCAGTGTATTCGTGACCAATTGATACCTGGATACATGTGCAGTTAATGGATGTTATAATGTAACTTAAAACACAAACAAAAGCCTAGGCCAATCGCCGCACACATAACAGTCAAGACTACATAGATGCCTCACCATCTTTGGTGAGCTTGCCAATGGGAGTTTCCGCGTAGCCACTGAGAGATTCCATGTGATTTTTATTTTCGGCTTTCAATCATTATCCATTTTTCTGTCGCTCTCAGAAGCTAATGTGCTGCATCGCTCAACTACCTTGATTAAATGACCCATCCAAGCTGAGGAGACCAAAGGCGCCCAGATCAAGCCAATACCTGGATCAGTCATATGTAAAGTGCATTGCACGAAGACTCGTGGGTATGTTGTTACCCCTGCGTACGTCGTCATCGCTATTTTGATCGAAGCAAAGGACCAAGCGCTCGAAATGGCCACCTCCTTCAAGCAAGAGATGCACGTCGTCGAAGGTCTCGGCTTGACATCCCGCTGGGCGTGGAACCCATAGTCCCAAAATTGACCGGCTACAACCTCAAAGAATCCACTCCAGTCTTGGAAACACAGAAGAGCAAAAACCTGGTTTCAAGTTTGGGCAGCGAAGCACCGACAACCGCCCATATTTATCGAGGGTAGTACATTAGGTACTCCTCCACATTTGCATATATTCACCAGCAATGGCGATTGGATCCCTTCTGGATCATTTTGAGATGAATCTCTCTGTTCCAAGAACTGCTTTCATTTGGAGAATGACGGATAGCACACAGGATTTATATGCAAGCTCAACGTGTTGCACACCTGGACAATGAGCATAAGCGACGGACAGACTATGTAGGTAATTCGTTGCAAAACACTTCAACATGGAGGAAGTTCTCATTGATTTACCATCTACCCGGCGAAGGCACAAAAACCGGATGGATCCATGACGATCATTCAGGAACCTGAATTATGTGATTTGTAGACGTAAAATTACATATTAATAGTATACATTATAGTCACAAAGTGGAGCTTATGCTCGAAGGAGGTATCCTCCATGAACATTATATTTTTAATGTTCTAGACCAAATAAGAAAAAGATGGTAAAAGGGCGGAGGACGAGACACCAAAAAAAATCCCAAAGTCTTCCAAAATAGATCATACAAGAAAAAAGTACCCTTCCATGGGCCGATATATGCACACAAACTGGTTGTGGAGGGGGGGATTCACAAGGCTCCCGGAACGCTATACATTGCTGCGTGAGAAATGCCCTGCTTAGACATCATGGGTCTAATTTACAGGTTCTTGCCAACGGTGGCAACGACAGCACCGACGGGGGTGCCGACGGTGGGGAGGCCAAGGCCAGAGACAAGGGAGACAACCTCGGGGGAGAGCTTGACGAGGAGGTCCTGGCCGTCCTCACCGGTGATGGTAAGGACCTGGGTAATGGGGATGGAGAGGTCGCTCAGGAGCTTGTCAACACCCTGGCCGGCGGTCACAAGGACGGAGCCGAGGGGAACACCGACGGTGGGGAGACCGAGGCCGGTGACGAGAGCGGCGACGGAGGGAGACAGCTTGACGAGGAGCTCCTCACCGTTGGCACCGGTGACGCGGAGGGTAGAGCCGACGGAGGGGGCGATGTCCTGGACGATCTCACCACGCTTCAAGGAGGTACCAACGGTAGCGATGACAGTGCCGACGGGAACACCGAGAGAGGGGAGACCGAGACCAGAGACGAGTCCAGTAACCTCGGGGGAGAGGCCAACGAGAAGAGCACCGACATCAGCACCGACGACAGTAACGAGGCCGTTAACGTAGGGAGCGAGACCAGTGACGAGACCACCAAGACCGGAGGCGGAGGCGACGATGCCACCGACGGGGGCACCGAGGGCACCGAGACCAAGACCGGAAAGGAGAGCGGTAACCTTCGGGGCTCAGCTCAATGAGCAGGGAGCCAACGTTAGGGCCGGTGATGACGAGGATGTTCTGGAGCTCAGGGCCGAGATCCTGGAGGACCTTGCCGTTCTGGATGATGGGAGTCTTGGAGGCCATGCCGTTGGTGGCAGCGGAGTCCAGGTTCAGGAGCTTGGTGAGGTCACCGATGCTGGAGACCTTGGGAAGCTCATCGAGCTTGAGCTCCTTGGTGACATCGCCCAGCTTGAGGTCGTCAGCGAGACCCTTGATGCTGGAAAGGCTGACCAGGTCGGTCAGGCCAGACAGAGCAGCGGTAGGGGCGGGAGCCGGTGCGGCAAAGGCAGCAGTAGCCGCAGCGACGAGGGCGAAGAAAGAGGCCTTCATTGTGTATTAAGTTTAAGGATATTATTAAAGAGTGACTGGAGTTGGATGATCCAAAGAGTGACAATGATGGGAGAGAAAAGTTTAGGGCAGGAGCAGCAACAGCATTATTTATACAACGAGTCCAGAGAGAAATGCGTACAAGACCATCGGTGGTAGCGGGCCCCTGGTCTCCTATCGTGGAACATCGAGCCTTAGTCTATAACTAGAATCCGTTTTTGGCTGGTGGGACCTATTGCTCCATCATGGCAAACCCAATACGGCAGATAGAGACTTTCAGAACAGGGTCTTGGTCCCTGAGGTGGATTGATTATCGTCAGGGTTCACTCATGTTGAAGCCGCACACTCTCCTGTTATGGTTCCAACTTTCTGTCCCTGAACCTGTCCCCATAGCTCCAGTCAACAGCATATCACGACAAACATTTCAGTGAGCCGTTGTATCATCACAGAGACCGCTATACCCTCATGAGATCTCCCGAACAGGAAATTTATTTGGATTATTCCCCTATGGAGGATCGATACGGAGATCACCGGAGAACCCGCGCATCGATGCCAGAGGCCTCCAAATTAAGATCGACAGGTGTGCCAGAAGAGTGGGTAGAGGTGGATGCCGGTGGATGAGGATGAATGAGGTACTGTAGGTTGAAGGAGATGGAGATTGAGGTTCATCGTCATTTTGATCGTACGGTTGGCTGGCTAGCGCAAGCTAATATGGGTCCGGTGGGCACCGAATATCTCCGTGCTACGAGCAATAGCGCCGTCGATCTGTTGCCCGCGCCAGAAATTTGGTACGAGCTTCGCCCTTCCGGCAATTGGTCCAAAGCCATAAGCCTGAGTGACTCCATCATCTAATGAACCTCTCCAATGCGTCCAGGAGCAGTTCAAGATGTGTACTCTCTGTCCCGTTTCGATTTCGAGTGCGACGTGATCTTCTTTGCGACTCCCGTCCTGGAAACTTTCGGTCTAGTCTCCGCAAAGGATACGATCTACAATACTACAGTAATTCGCGCCTCTTGGATGGCAAAATGCCGCGAGAAAGTACATTTAGGGTTTCATGCGGAATGGAAACAGTGCATTGCGGAAGGTGACGGCCAATGACAGACCCCAGGTCCCTGACCACCCCCACATATTGGCGCTGACGTGCTGAAGATCATCTGCTCAAACAGGTTAGACCCTTGATATCATTCAGACAAATCAGGGTGCTCATCTACCACCAAAGTGCAGATCCTACTCAACCCAGTTTCCTTGTTCTCGTGGATAGGGGTTAGTCGGGGTCACGGCTTGATGGGCAGCGAAGAATCCCTGGAGAAGGCCTGTGGATTCACGGCGGAAAAATCCGCTAGGTACCGTAGGGGTCTAGGAACATGAGAGCTAGCTTGCGCATCGGCAAGCCACTCGGTACCTCCAGATCGATCGCATCATACCTGGAAGCTTAGCTTAGCCACCCGCATCACCAATCATTCCATTTCCGAATTCAGGATTTTTTTCCCTGAATATTGTCAATAGTGCCAACCGCTGACCAATATCTTGACATTTCAATTCAACGTGGCAATGTGGCACTAGTCATGCGTGGAACATTCGTGTCCTTTTGGGGGCTCCATGGCCCCCGATCATTACCCTGGGGAGAAGCCGGACTTAGCCCGTTGTGGAATCGACATTCCCGAGCGGACTATCCCAATCTCACCGTCCGTCTATCGGATCCATGATCTGTGGAAATAATCGCCCAACAGAGAATACTGAGATTGGCTTTCGCCCTCTTGGGTCATTGCCGCCTTCAGCCGGTCTCTCTGCCCAACAGAGGGCTTCCAAATGTTCACGCCTGCTAGATCCGATCACCATGAGACCCACTCATGCGCGCATTGCTACGACCCAGATTTGCGATTACGGATCGAGCTCGTTCTCTGGGTCAGGAACGATCCAATGTTTCCATGGTTCAGATTTCGTACATTCTTTCGTGGGGCAGCTGAAATCAAAGTCTAATGGTCCCGGCACGATGCCATCGGATACTTACGGCACAGAGGCCACACCTTTCAATAAACTTAGAGCCACTATTTAATAGTTTGTGTCTGCTGCCGGAGTGCTGCACTGTCCAGAGCACATGGAATGACAGACCAAAGGATCAGCAACGTTCAGTTGGAACGGGGCTGCATACAACCTGAAATTCCTATGCTGAGTGGTTGCCAAGGACCTCAAGGCTATTTCCTAGTCAATGTTTTGGACTACCGATTGATCATCCCTTTCCGACCAAGACCGGTCTTTCTCCGACTTATCCGATCGGGCGGTGGTCTTGAAAGACCTGATGAATTTTTCCATAGTCACTCCAGATGCGTCATGATGGGGCTTCACGGGGCCCATCTTCACATGTCTGAATGAAAGTGATCACGGCATATAAAGCAGAGAATACGCTATTCACTTGGTCCTGCAGGGAATCTCAAAAGATATCTTCCATGCATAGCCTTCGGTGGCGCACATTGACATGGGTCCTTGCCAAAATCATTACATTTTGAGCCGTGAAGGCGGGTCGAAAGGGTTTGATATTCGACATCATGGTGTAAAAGATTGCTGTCTACTCAGCTTCCCCAGCCCTCAGACCCAGCTACATTGTCTCACAACTCATATTTGCGTCTCCTTGGAGTTCCGCACGGTAGGCTCCGATGGTATATGGTGATCTGTAGGGTGGAGTATCAGTGTCGCGATCAACCCTCGATTCCAGCCAGTCCTAGATGGGTAATTGCAGCCCCAATGGGTGAATTGCGATCTCAACGAGACGGCTTGAGCCGTGCTTTACCAGCCAACCATCATAAATTAGACTAGACTAAAGTGGCGTTCTCTGCTCCTGTCTGTCGGATAGCAGCCACCATCTCCGGGATGTCAACATCCGGACCAAGACGGGGGTTCAAGGCTTCCTGCTCCGGACCTTGAATTGATTTGCCCTCATTCGGACTCGTGAGACCATGTTCCCACCAGGTATCTTGGCTTTGTCATCCTTGTAACCCCCACTTCTGAGTACTCTAGCAACATTGAATGCTGATCTCTACTTTTGTTGTAGTAGTTGCTATATGTCCTTCGCGAAGATCTCAAGTCAGACAATCCTTCAAATCCGAGCAATGAACACTACCTGTGCATGATCTGTCCGACCTTTTCGATGATGGGGTGTTTTGGGATTCCTTGGTTTCCTACTACTCACGCATCGTCCCAGAGGTCCCAGAAGACACAATGGGTCCCTGAAAGCTGATTATCGAAGTGGGTTCAAGACCTAGTGGTAGAGAACATGGCTTTTTGAAATCGCAGGCGAGAGACTGCTTTGGCACCCCGAGTCCCTGCTTTATAACTTGCACGAGGAAGCATTTGCCATCATCACCAGCTATCTTATCTCTGCTCCAATCCACTCATTCGACATCTCGCAAACTAAGGCATTGGAATCACCTTGAGCAGTTGGCACCTAGCTATTCCACAAATAACGAAATTCAACCGACTAGAGCTGACCATCCAATTATTGTCACTGAGAATCAAAGGAGATACGGAGCGTAGGTAAATGCACAGTATCCGCAAGCAACCAAACAAAGTCAGCAAATACCCATTCTACTGTCAAGGCCCTCCAAACTCCATGCACTTGCGCGACTACCATTATCGGCGGTAGCTTAATTTACTGTACGCTCAGTGTTTTGAGCATAATGATCTGGGCCAAAGAGGTTCCTTTTGAGGATGCTGAAAAGAGTTTAGGCCTTGCATGACCACTACGTCAATCAGTCTTCTGGATGCTGCGAAAGTGCAAGTGCACAACTACGTGATTGCATGATGATCTGATTGCCATGATACACTTTCGCCTTCCAAGGTACAGACCCAAGAGCCTCTATCATTTCTTTGATGCGTGTCGCTGCAACTCTATATATCGAATGGACGTCTCCATTTTGTTGGGACATTTGCGCTGTTTTTTCATTGACGTGGTATGTCAAGCATGAAGCTCTTAGGAGTCAGGGCCTTGAGATCATTTTCGTCGTACGATTTCATTTCTACTCGGTAAGCAGATACCGACCTGATTATAATCGCAATGTCTCCGGAAATCTCAAGGTAACAGAAGCCCTGAATGTCAAGTTGCTTATGTGGGTCGTGATTAGTCTCGCTGTTTTGATTAGCCCATTTGCTTTTCGTACCAATGCAATGGACGCCTACATTTCCAAAAACCAGAAAAAAGAAAGAAAAAAAAGCCAGAAGATGTGCCCAAGCTCCTAATATCAATTTCATAGCCGCGTGACCATCTACGTTTCTCAAAGACACCACAAGATGAAAAGCAAAGTTCATCTGCATTATGTATGATGATTAAAATGACAAGACACGCAGGAGTAGTGACACAGGTTGCGTGTGTAGTGCATATCTCCTAGCACATCCTGAGTACGAATTTCCATGATGCCAATATTACATGAAGGAGAGTCGGACAAACCAAAAAAAAAGAAAACAGAAAATTGAACGATGCTGATTAAGCCATCGAATACAAATTCAACCCAAATGATAACCGGGATAGCCATTACCGACCAGCGGCAATCCGGAGAGAGGAGCCTGGGAGTAAGCCTCTTGTTTTGGCACATAGCTCAGTGGGTTGTCCCTCAGCACCTTCCCCAATGGCGCCGATAGTCTCTCAAACTCCTCCAGCGGAGCCCGTAGTTCCCATTTCCTCGCGCAGACTTTCAACAGGTCTCGAATGTAATCAATGCAGCGGATAGCACGGGCCCGGATATTGAGACGGTCTTCTTCGTGTAATTGGGGGGGATCCGGCGTACCGGCGGGGACGGGAGGGGGAGAAGGGACGCTGGGGCTCAATAGCATGTCGAAGTTGTCGGAGAGGATCCCGACGAATTTATGGCCGACTTGATGCACCCGCTGGATGTCGAAGAAGGTGAGGAACGGGAGGAGACTTGGATTCGCCAGCACTTGGTGAATCTGGCTGATATAGTCCATGCACCGGTCGAACAGGAGGGCTTTGTTGTAGTCGCAAAGGACGGGGTATCTGTGGGAGGGAGAGAGGAGGATGATGGTGGTATAAATGAGCTCGAGGCGGTAAAGGAGAGAGAAGTGGTTGGGGGCGTTCTTGGGACATTCGTTGTACCATTGTTGACTTTGGGCGCAGAATGTCCATATCGAGACCAGTGATTGCGTTGATACCTCACGGCTACTGTAGTACATATCTTGGTATCCCCTGGAGAGTATCTGGCGTATCTTGACGATGTGGAGAGCCGGTGCTGGGCTCCGTAGGAAGATGTGGTTGTTTTCATCAAGCGAGCTCCCCGTGCCGGCCGATGGCATAGCAACGTTGACGGAGGCATCAGAAAAGGTGAAGGTTCTTTGTAAAGCGGTGCTCATTCCTCTAAGTTTTGTTAGCAATTATTATATTTTTTTTTTCCACCCGGAGCGAGTAGAGAACAAACCTATCCATGGAGTAGAGGCAGTGGAACACTCGCCGGCGAAGGTCGAGGCGGTCCATATTAGATAGGACCTCGGCAGGGGGATCTTGGTGCAGACCGAGATCTACCGCGACCCTAACAGCCATTCCAACGAGATGCCAGCTGCGGAAGCGGCCCGGGTCTACCAGGGCATACTGTGCAAGGAGCAAGATCGCCTGGATACATGTGATTGACCCCGGGCGCAGGACATCTTCGGCGAATGCCAAAGCTTCCGAGACCAAAGCCAAAGCTCGCTTGTGAGCCTTATCGTTGTTCTGAGAGGAGACCGAGGCGGAGGCGACGGCAAGCACCACACGCAACATCCAATGGTCGAAGGGTTTAGCGAATCGACCGCCTGACTGATAGACGGCATCTACCGAGGTCCAAAAGCTTGTTTCCACGAAGAAGGGTAGTTGGATAAAAACATTATCAAAATATATCTGCAGTAATGGGGTGGCTTCGTGGCGGGCAGGCAGCGCGTTGGGTGTGCGCTGGGGCGGATCTCCCACCGTCGCGACTGATAAGAGCAGATTGGCAAACGTAGTCTTGGACGTGATGCCGTGAAAGTCTCGTGAGGTCGCATTGACTGATAGAAAACCAAAGTCCCCTACAAGGTCATCAATATCAGACACTTCTCGACGATGTGCTGGGCCGAGGGAGCCGTCTGAACCGGTGGACGTGATGGACGTCTCGCGCGCGACGCCATTCCCCTCAGCGGAGAGGGAGGTTTGACGAACTCGGAGTTGAGAGATCTTCTTTTCGAGCTTCTCACAGTAGCCCTCGAGAGAAGCTACATAGCTGCGTTCTTTCCCTTTGGCGAACTCATCACTCGCCCCGGAGCAGGTACTGGCCTTTCCGACCTTCTCACAGGCGGAACAAGCGGGGAGCTTACCGTCGCACTTGATCTTCGCGGTACGACATCGCGAACAGGCGGCGACAGGACGGCTGACCTTGAGCAGCGGAGAGTCCAAGAAGGTGGTGGCCGTGGAGGGCATGCTAACAGCTCTTCATGATCCAGCTACTAATCTTTGAAAGGGGGGAAACAAGCCACCACAAAGTCAGCTTCAGGGAACATGGGGGTCTTTGTCCACCCTTTGGTCAAAACCCCACCGGGTCGCGTCACCACATTCTTTTTTACTCACAGGAGATCAACACGGCAATCTATTAGGCTATTTCGTAGGAACCGTTGGAAGCCACCCCTGCAGTCGCCGTAGGACTTTTGCCCCTTGGATCAATCCACCTAACCCGGTTAAGAAAAGACGTTGAAGTGAGTACAAGTCCAACCCCACCTAGTCCAAAAAAAATAAAAAATAAGAAAGAGGAAGGGGAAGAATAGAATAGTGTCCCCACGTTTGGGGAAGCTGGGAAGCTAGGGTTCACAACTCTGGAACCTAAGAATCTGGAAATATTCCCAAAAATCTGAGATTTAAAAAAAGAAACAGAAACAGACTACACACTTCCTGACTTGACTTGTCCCTGGACCGGGACTTGAATCGTGGAACCGCACAGACGATCGTGGTGTGTTAGCCTTTTCCTTTCCCCCCCCCCCTTCGGATCGGTTAGTCTCCTACGCTTCTCAGAAACGAAGTCGCCTTCAGCTGCTATCGACCGTGGTTTATTGACGCCCTACAAATAAGGACCGTCCTGGTGCGCCTGCGTCTCCACTGCCAGCGGAGACCTGCCGTCGCTCCGTTGCACCCAAACTCTTGCCCGTCGATCCAGATCTGGACCGAGGCTGGGCCCCTCACGCCCAATTCCCATTCTCGTTTCCTGTACGCGATACTAGAATACACGTCGTGGTGATAGGACCTTATTCACCCGATCTTTTCCCCCTCCCTTCCCCCCCTTGCACCTTCTTCCCCAACCTTTGGATCTCTGCCCCTCCCTCAAAAGCCTACGAAAGATCATGTCGACTGAGAGGGCTTTGGTGGACTTGATCGTGTCCTGGTCGGTGTAACGCGCATGTGATTTGTTCTTCTCTCTCTCCATCAACCATGAGTCAGAGTGCCCGGCCCGTCGTCGGTTTGCCATCACCAGAGGGCTCACTGGAGCCGCCCGACGGCCGGATCGCGCACACCCTCACGGCCTGTACGAGATGCCGACAGGTATGGTGCAATGTTCTATATTCTCTCTATCCCATATGCCGGATTCCGGGTGTTCAGTTTCCAGATTTCAATCTCCATTTTCGATTTCCGATTTTCAGTTTCCCGAACCTAATTGCCGCTCGGGACTGCGGCGTTTTTGGGGCTCCACTGACTGACCTGGCCTTCGTAGCGCAAATCCAGATGCGACCCCGGAATCCCTCGATGTGCTCCCTGCGAACGGAGCAATGCCAAGTGCGTCTATTACGACTCCACCCGTGACACCACCATCCCAAGGACGTATATCGTATCGCTGCGGGAAAAGGCCCGCGCCCTCGAAAATGAGCTCGCTCGGGCCGAGAAGGATATACAGCATGCCGCCGACGCGGAGTTGATGGTACGGGGCGCTGGACGCATCCGCTTCAACCAGCATGACGAGCCTCGATACCTGGGACCCTCGAGCGGTATCGCCATGAGCCGCCTGGTCATGGAGATCGCCAAGCAAAACACCGAGTCGAAAAGTATCAAGGATGTCGTACCCGAGTTGACGGCCCAGGAAATCAAGGCAGCATTTGCGCAAGAGGACTCCAAACCGACATCCAAGGTGTATCCCATGATCAGCTCACTTGCCGCGGACGAGCTTCCTCAGGATAGGACTGTGATCTACAGGCTGATAGATCTCTACATATTAAAAGGTACAAGTCTCCGTTGAGCACTGTGGGCGGTGGTGACTGACTTCCTTCTCCGCCTCCAGCACAAAGACTTCTTCCAACATTACACGAACCAAGCTTCCGCAGGGAAGTCGAGGAAGTGCTCAACGGCTCGACCGATCCCTGCTATAACTTTCAAATACGCATGGTCCTTGCCGTCAGCATGCAGAAGACTAGCCCGGACTATGCCGGCTTAGCGGACAGCTACTACTTGGCCGCCTTGCCATACCTAGAACCGGTTCTGAAGCAAATGGATTTGAGGGCACTGCAGTGTCTAGTCTTAATTGCTCAATATTCCATGTTGACTCCTACTCGCACAGCTGCCTACTGGGTCGTGGGGACTGCGGTCAAGCTATGCCAGGACCTGGGGTTAACAGAAGAGGCCACCATCACCAAGTCTCCTTGTGGCCAACTTTTGAACCCTTTAGAAATTGACATGCGTCGAAGAATGTTCTGGGTCGTAATTTCCATGGAATTTGGGCTTTCTCATAGCCTGGGACGTCCCTGTTGCTACAGCATCGCACACGACAATGTCGATGTCAAGTTTTTCGAGCTGGTGGATGATCGCTATATCACCGCCGAAGGCATCACTCCTGGTGCAAAACCCGTCCTCTCCAAATGCGTCTCTGTTCACTTCCTCAAAATGCGTCTGTTACAATTAGAGGGTCGACGAGTGCTCTACTTGAATCGACGTGAAACACCCGTCGATGATCAGGACCCGTGGTTCACCCAAATGCAGGCAAAGATGGACCACTGGATGGACTCCTGCCCGAGGAACGATGATGGTAGTGGGCTCAATGTGAACTGGTATGTATAGGCAGCCCTCCCCTACTGTTTGAGTTTCTGACAGACTCATTCTCTCTACAGGTTCGAAGGTAGACGAAATACCATTATCTGTCTCATGTATCGGCCATCACCTCAGATACCCGAGCCGTCTGTCAATGCGGCAAAGATCTGCTATGACGCGGCTGTTTTCAACATCGCCATGCATAAAGAGCAAACAATCACGGGCTCTGTCGACTTGACATGGATTTTCACTCAGTCCCTCTTCATGGTTTTAAACACTGTTCTCTGGACTCTGTCTTATCCTGAAATCCGCAAGGAGCATCCTATTGAGGAGGTTCAGGGTTACTTGGATACAGCTCTTGAGGTGATTGTCTTCGCGGCTGAACGATGGCCGGGTGTCCAGTCTGCATTGCTCCTTTACAGACGTCTCATCGTGGCCTGTCTAAAGGCCTATCAAACCGAAGAATCATTCGTCGTACATTCGCCATCCAATCACCCGACTCCGACTTCTTCTCAAGATGTCATGACTCCTCCGGCAATGTCCAGCCCCTCCAGCACCACGACTGCTTCCTACTACTCACAAGGCTATAGATTCAATGGAATGCCTTTAACTGATGAAAGCCCTTCAGTCGGTACCCTTTCACGGGGTCATTCTGCTGACCCTACCGTTCCGTTCCCGCAACCGGTTCAAGAACCCACTCCTCCAGTCTATGCACCGGACCCAGTCAAGTCGACACCAATTGCCCCTACAGTGCCAACATATGGCATTCAACCACCGCCTGCGGCGCCGGAGATCGGGTCTCAATTCACCTCTCACGACTTCGGAATACCTAATGACCTATTCTCTGATATTCTCATTGATCCCACTACTCCTTACAACCCCATGCCCTCAGGAATTCCTGGTGTCCAAGGATGGGATCCTCACTTCTCCCTTGCCTCGACCACAGCTGGTCATCTGGCTTATATCGACGCCGCGGTCGACCCAATGCAATGGACGACTTCTATCTCAGACCAGTACTCTCAGTACTTCGCCACACCTTTCCCATCCGAGTCTTGGCGTGAGCGCACGCTCAGTCAGCAGGAGCAGATTGAACTGATGGCATCACTGGAACAGAACATTCCGGACGTCTCTGCTCAGCTGGTGCGCGAGTCTCATGCCTTCTACCAGTCATGAATGACATGTAAAAGATTGGTCTCCGCCAGTGAGACTGATGTCTTGATGAGCTTCAACCAACAGATTATTAGCGCATGGCGACTGGCGACTGGAAGAAATATTTTATCTAGGCAGTCTTCTTGCATCGCCATATACTCTCAATTCGGAGTTCACAGATGTGTCCCAAGGATGACTTTTCCAGCGTTTCATAGCCTGAAGGGAAACTGACTTCTGTCTTGAGAATGAGCATTGGAGGGATGAGGCAGTATGGCTTGTATGATATCGACGTAATTGGTAATTGTAGACAGCGATTGACTCTCTGGGGTCGCCGAATGACTATTTTCAAATGTCAATTAAGAGAATAAAAAAGATGATGAGCATCTAATTTGTTCCCGTATGATGAAAGGCCATGACCGACTAGATATTGACCCGCAACTTCCTTCTTGCATGCGCCGAGCTGAGACCGAGTCCCGCGTCACGTGCCCTGCCCGTTTTCCCTCCATTCGAGCGCCATCTTCGACAGCATCTTGACCATTCGCCCCCCTCCTTCGCCCATTCCATCAGCCACGTCAATCTCGAACACGCTTGAGGTTTTACTCATTATTCCTGGAATGTATATGATCTAGGTTGGCCGTGGAACGACCTGCTCGCCCGTCTGAGCGACCGTCGATTGTCGACCGGGATCCCCTCTCCCACGGCCAGCGCTCTCGTCGAACTTTGCAGTTCAGACTCTCACTTGTGAAAGCAAGTTTTCTTTCAAACGGGAACCCTCTGGAACTACGCCTTCTGCGGGATTCTCATGTCTGATCGCAATCTTTCAGCCTTTCCAGCAGGTCCTCCTTCACCCTCGTCTCCCGCTGCCGTACTTCTCAAAGAGAACCGACAGCTTTTCATCTCCTCGGATCACATCCCTCAGACTCCGACATCGCCTCCGTTGATGTCGGTCAGCGACCAAAATCATGTCTCAAACTTCACATCCTCCCATACTTCACCGAACCAGGCGACAACCCACCAACCCAACACATCTTCACCTCCCTCGTCTACGCCGATGTCAACACAGGTCTCTCAGCAGCCAACTTTGAGTACAACGAACTCATTCCCTACTCCCGCCAGTAGCGTGAACGCTGCGTCGATGGAGGACGCCGATCACAAATCTTTCAGCCCAGGAACGCAGGAGCCAACAAGGAACACCGAGGGGCTATACAAGCAACAATTTGCAGATCACAGACGATATGGTCATGACCAGCAACCTTTGGCGACCGAGGGAGAGGCTGAAATACGCGATTTTGCCACCGGGCAGGGCCAGCAGATGACGGACGGAGACGCCATGGATTTGGATAAAGAACCAATTTCTGGCCTAAGGAACCAGAATCTCGGTCTAGATTCTCTTCAGAAGGATTTTACTTCGGCTTTCCATGTTTGCAAAAGCTGTAAGAACTCCCCGAGTTTATCCACGGTTGCCGCAGAAGCAGCTGTGTGATTATCTACCCTGGGAACCAAAGTTTTATTAACACGTGCTCTTTGTGCTTGACAGCGCCCATTGCGACTGGACCGGATCCGTCGCTGGATCTGATTTCCCTTTATGGGCTAGGCCCGGTCGCGCAGTCGGTAGCACGAATTGACCCCGTCACGGGAGAGAAGATCAATCGGTTGAGAAAGTCATACGAAGGAAAGCTGAAGGGCTTGGGTCTCGCGGGACGGAACAAGCCCATGAAACAGGAGCCGGGAGCACCTGGCAGTTTGCGGCATCTGACTATGTGGCCCGAAGAGGAGTGGCAAAACCAGAAGGTCTTTGGGAAGCAAATCAAGGTTGCAGATATTGATTCTGCCTTGCAGAGCATGCAGAGCCGCGCCATGCACTTGGAACCGGGTGTGGTTCCAAACAACGACTTCTGGGAAGACGTACTTGGTCATGAGAAACCGGCCAAGAACCAAGGCCCTGGGGATAATGGCAAGAAACCAGCTCCTATTCCAGGAGGTCGATATCCAATGCAGGCGAACTCAACCCCAAGGGCGACACAAGAAGATCGCACTCGGCCCAGTCGGGGCCGTAAGCGCCATTATGATGACAACAGCTTTGTTGGTTACGGCGAGGGCTTTGCTGATGATGATGACGACCCCGGATTCTACTCGAACGGCGAGGGAACTGGGAAAAAGAAACGAAAGAAGGTATGAGACTCGGCCTATCTTCGAAGTCGGGACCGTCGTCTAATTCGCAAACCAACAGGACCATGTCTCAAAAGTCTCCACCCCCATGTCAGAACGAGGTGGCAGTTATGGTGTGGGCATGTTCGGGATTGGCGCCCGATGAGACGCCTTTAGAGGCAGTTTGCTGTCTTCATTCTCCTCTTACGCGGCTATTGAGATCACTGCTTGTTTCACAGTGGGGTTGGTATCCCACTGGCTGGAATTGTCTGGTGCATCTTCCAAAGTTCCTTTCTGCAAGAATTGAAGAGCCAGGAACTGCCGACACCAATACTCATTGTGGTTTTGATCTTCCATATCGCTCCGGTCGGCTGATCGAAAACGCGTTGAAGATGGATAAAGGAAAAAGAAAATAATACCAGGAAAAAAAAAAAGAGCTCAGCTCAGAATGGGTGATGGAAATGAAAAATGTGAGGTGACCTGACGCGCGCTTCATAGTTCAATGTTTCTCACGGAGGATACTTGAAGATGCAACTGCCGACGATCCATACCCAGATATGGTCTGTCGGGTCTTGCTGTGGTACCTGGTCGACTTGGAAACTTGCACAAAACGCCCAGCGTCTCTTAACCCCCACATGGCACTATCCCCCTTCAGTTTTCACCATTCATTTCTCGTACATGTTGCATCACGGTGCTGGATATACCCGGCTTCATCTTATCGGACGGCGTTTTGGGGGGTTGGGAAACTGTATTCCAACGAGCATACGATCTGATTGTGCTTGTTTGCAGTTTGTTTTCTTTCTCTGCGTTTCTTTTATTTACGTGTCCCTTTGAGACTTCCACTGCTGTAATGGCTGGCTTTTCTTTTCTACAGGTGTCTTATGCTACAGCTTGGGGTCTTCTTTGTTGTGTGATATTTCAGCCTGCGGGGCTTACTTCCAGTGGGAGAGACTACTCCTTCTGTGTCCGATGTTAGGGCTCGATCAAAGAACCCGGTCTTTATTTGGGCCATCCGGACTGAGTCGAAAATGAATTGACTAAAGTCGATGATATTGCATCTTCTGGTTTGTAGCCTTGGTAAAACAAGCCGCCCAATGTGGACAAAGACCCCGATTACATTTGTCGATCCGCTTCCATCGATCAATTATACGGCGTCTAGACCAAGAATCACGCAAGGGATTCGCGATGTGGATCCAGTCTCTGGGCATACGCAACCCAGGTTCAGCCAAGCCCGCGAACCTTTAACTCCATGGCGCATCGACGCCCAAAGAGAAGCATCGGCGATGCCGTAAGGTGGCTTGGGGCTTGCATTGGGCTCAGACCATGCTGAGTTGTCGCTATAGCAGGGAAGAAATCAACACAAAAGGAATAGTTTGACATACGGCGGCTCCGATGGTCTGGGACATTTCGATTCCAACTCAAAAATCCAAGTCCACTTCCGACTCAGGCTCGCTTGAGCAGATACCCGCCGGGCCCAAATGAGTCTAAGCAAGCGACGAGTTCAGGATCTTTTATCCGCCAATCAAGATGTTAAGGCCGACTCGGTCCGAAGAGCTGCACTGAGCGCCGATGGGCCTTTGCTCGCTTCTCGCTCCTAATTACCTGTGCTTTGGCTCAGTTGCTATACTATCATGGCCTTGCTGGCTCGTAAGACACTTTAGCGGTCTAGCGGAGGATCAAGATTTCGCGAGCAGTGGGCGTCACACTAGCTTCACGCGCCGTGAATTGAAGCCCTAATTTGTCGTGGGCTGCATCGAAACGCCCCAATTGGGGATTATTCAGCTGGGTCATGAACACCACTCGGCAGTGAAGTCTTTCCGGCAGCAGGCTACCTGAGGCTCCGACGCTGGGTTCCACTCGCGGCTCCAGCCAAGGAGAAAAAAGCCGACACTAGCGCGAACAGGGCTGATCTCGGACAACACAGTGTGAGTTATCTAGCGAGCTTGAGCAGTCGTGGAAGAGCGTGTCGGGCATCCCGGACTACACAGGAGTGAGAGTTCTGCGTTGTTATGGTCAGTGTTCAGCTGATATAGACGCGTATAGCTCGGATGGGGATGTACTTATAGATCAAGAATGAATCTCGAATTTTTATTTTTCTTCGTCAATCACTGTTCTCCTCTATCGAACGGCTTTAAATCGCACAAGATGTCGGATTCGATTCAGACGGAGGATATTCCTCATGAGGTGTGGCATCCGACTTGGCAACTGAAGTGTATCTTTGCGGTTGTTGGGCTGCTCAACTTTGTTGCGGCACTAGATGCTACTTCTATCTCGGTGTCTCTTCCGGTAATTTTCTTCTTGATCTTATGGAAGATTGGGGTTACTGACACATGTATAGACTATCTCCAATGATCTGGGCGGAACAGCAACAGAAGCCTTCTGGGCTGGAACGTCCTTCCTCGTCGCCTCTTGCGTCTTCCAACCCATCTTCTCTCTCGCCTCGGACCTCTTCGGCCGCAAATCTATCCTTTGGCTCGCAGTGTCAGCTTTCACAATTGGCTCTATCCTCGCCGCCGTCTCCCATGGATTCGGACTCCTCCTCGTCGGCCGCTGCATCCAGGGTATCGGTGGTGGAGGCATCATGGCATTGACGGAGGTATTGATCGCAGACCTGATCCCATTGAAAGAACGCGGAAAGTGGTTCAGCATTCGCTCTGGAACCTGGGCTCTGGGTACTGTCGTGGGTCCTCTCATCGGAGGTGGTTTTACTGAGTCGTCTGCGTCTTGGAGATGGATCTTCTGGATCAACCTGCCCTTCTGTGGGTTGGGACTGATTCTGATTCCGATCTTCCTGAGGTTGGATAAGGTTCCTCTTCCTCTTCGTGAAAGCCTAGCCAAGGTCGACTACGTGGGCTGTGTTATGTTTGTCGCATCGCTTGCTGCTTTCCTCATCCCTCTCACCTGGGGCGGCATTATGTACGACTGGGACTCATGGCACACTCTCGTCCCTCTGATCCTGGGCCTTGTAGGACTTCTTACTTTCTTCCTCTATGAACGTTTCATTGCAGCTCACCCTCTCATCCCCGTCGTCATCTTCACCAACATGACCATGTCGGTCAGCTACATCGGCACTTTCCTTCACGGCGTCATTCTCTGGGCCATCGTCTACTACATCCCCTCTACTACGAAGGTGTGCTTGGCTACAGTCCCGTCATCGCCGGTGTCGCCGTTTTCCCCGAATCATTCACCGTGGCCCCTATTTCCGTGATTACAGGCATCGTCGCCGCGAAAATCGGCGGCTACCGCTGGGCCCTGTGGAGCGGCTGGCCTATCTCCATCTTGGGATTGGGGCTTCTCTGCCTCCTCGATGCCAACACAAGTATCCTTAAATGGGTATTTATCAATCTAGTCTGCGGTATTGGTCTGGGTCTTCTATATCCCTCTGTCATGCTGGCCGTGCAAGCTGCCGCGGACCCGAAATACCTCACCATGTCCGTCACCATGAGCCCATTCTTCCGAGTCCTCGGCCAAGCCGTCGGCGTCGCTATCGGCGGCGTCGTCTTCCAGAACCGCATCAAGGCCGAGTTCGGCAACCACCCGTCTCTCGGACAGACTGCTGAAGCCTTCGCCCAAGACGCATCGAGTCTTGTACAGTACATCAAGACTCTTCCGAAAGGGAGCGAGGAGCGAGAGCTTATCGAGAGCTTGTACGCCAAGTCACTGATGATTATCTGGGCTGTGATGTGTGGCGTTGCGGCTCTGGGACTGATCACGGGCCTGCTCACCAAAGGGTATACTCTCAACCAAGCTTTTACATCTAAGCAGGGGTTGAAGCAGGCTCCTTTGGATGTGGAGTCTAAAGCAGGCTTATTTGGAAACTAAGGAACGTCCAAATAGTGAACAATCGGATTAATTGGGGTCTTTTCTTCGTCTAATTTGTTTTCGTTATAGGGGTGCTTTCAGTTGTTGACACACTTTCATCCATTGTTCATCTTTCCTTTGTTTTGGGAAGCAAAGCATTTCTTTTATTCTGGGCTTTTTTGGGCTGGAAAGAATCACGAACGTTATGACATTTCAAGTGATATATAGATATCTGAGCATTTAATTCAAGCATTTACGTACCCACCTCTGAAGTGCAACTACGCGCCGAGATCATGTATGAACCAGCAACGATATCCGCCTGTAGGCGCATTGGCAAGTCGGCCTCGGGCCTTTGCGTCTGAGGCCAACAGCCAAAAGCCAGAAGCCGCACTGGTGAGCTAGCAAGTTGAGGTAACTGAAAATATATTTGTGTTACCTATATCTCGTTAAATGAACGACGAGTTATATGACTAGGGCGGGTTTCTAGGAGCAATTGTGCGATCAGAATTGGTAAATCAATTCTCATTCGATTCACACTATCAAAACTCGGCAAATTTTTAAATGGTAAACAAACAAGTTCAATGTGCACTGTTATGTGGAATTTCCCAGAGGCTGGGCAGGATTCCAGGTCGAATAACCTGAATTGTGTAGAACTGCTCCCTCATCCCGACATGTAGGCCTGAACATGTTGAGCTGGTAACCTCAATACAAGACCGAGGTTCACGGTCAACCCCAACCACTCGAATTCAAGGTTGGCCAACATTAGGAGACACATTTGGTTTCTCAATGGCCAGGGCCACTGACGTTTCCTGCTGGTCATCGGTCCCAACCTCCAGTAGAGTCGCATTTCTTTCCCTGAACGACGCTTCCCCACATTTCCCTTCATGTCGGATGTTTGCTCCTTCCAGTTCCAGTCCTTCCAGTTCCAGTCATCTATCAGTTCGACATCTGCCATGATGGTGAAAACACCTGAAGTAGATCCTGTGATAGAAACGCGTCTCATGTAGTCTTCACCTTGAGCATGAACGAAGACATGTTTTGGCTTGATGAAAGTCGGGTCGAGACGGACAGTCACTTGCTTCACGATATCGGGTCGCGAACTAGAGAGAAAGAACTCCCAGCGAGCCAGGTATGATCCATGGCCTGGAAGCGTGCGCCACCTATTTCCAATCACAACACGTATCATGTCCTTTGGTTTTGCAGCTTCTTGTTGTGTCCGAATATAACTCTGCAAGGTTGCAATAGCTTTTTTATGTTCGTCCTTGTCGTCATTGAATTCCGATAGCAGAGTTGGCAGGTCCACGATATTTTCTTGCTGTTACATTTAGGTTGTCTGGCTTGATTCACATACGAATAACAAGACCACGAACCTGGATTGTACGCCAATTATGGTAGGATTCTACAGTCGGCGCCCAAAGCTCTGGACTGGATTTACCCAGAGGATCAGTGACAGTCAGATCTTCAAAGGCAGGAACCAATACGTACTTGAAGGATAGAAGCGAATTACCCCCATGAGCCACAATAGAGGCACCTCGTTTTACTGATGATGTCGTAATGCTGCTGGATGCATCTGATCCTTTGGCGTGGTGTCCGCCGAGACTTATGCCAACGAATGGAGCCTGGAAAGTTGCGCTCAGAGTGTATTTCAGTTCATTCTTTCGTTCAAGAATCTGGCTTTCACTTGCACCGGTGATAGCCTCAGTCCTATACAGTCGGCCTCCAAGAGATACATCCTTGGCGAATACTCCTCCTAGGAGATCCATTGAGTAAGTATATAAGCCATAGTTATGACGCATAACTATCTAAGGCCTGAGGGGGAACGTAATCTGGAAAGAGCCGTTAGTGGTTTTATTTTATAGTTACTTATTTCTCTCTTTCTCTCTTTCTCTCTTTTTTTAGTTACTCTATTAATCGCGAATTCCTTCTTACCCTAGTTAGTAATATATAGCTAAACTTATTCATTTATTTTTTTAATACCTCTAAGTATAATTTAGATATTAGATGACTCGCTATCGCTATCTTACTCTATTTAATAATATCCTTTAATAAACCTAAACCTTTACAATATACTATAATAAAATAATATTATAGTTATTGGAATATAGACCAATGCTACATAGAAAGATCTATCCTTATATTCAACATATAAGATCAGCATTGCATTGATCACGTGACCAATTTGGGGCCTTCTATCAAAATGATATTTTGACCACTTCTGATTCTGGTCCGCGGCCCTCCTCCGAACGATAGGCGGGACCATTTTCCTTTAAAGGTAAATGGTCCGCCTTCAGGAATGAATGGTCCGTTCCTTCGGAGGTGCCTTCGGGCATATCTTGCCTGCGGACTTCGACCATAGTCTTCGGACCTCGGTGAACAGACTTCGACCCTCGGTCCCTCAAGGATAGGCGGACCACTTTCCCTTAAGGATAAAATGGTCCACCTTTAGGCATGCATAGCCTGATACTGCGGGGAAGCTTTCGGGGTAGCTGAAACCATCGATCCTTGACATTATTCTTTTGGCTTTTCTTCGGTTCCCTTCTTTGCTACCTTTATTATGTTGCTGCCTAGTATTTATATGTCATTCTAGACGTTATTTCTAGGCTATTCTAGCCTATAAATATATCCTTCTTTTCTAGCGGAAAGAATTAAGTCAGTTCTACTTTCCTGAAGTTATTTTCCACTTTCCAAAAGTCATCTCTACCTTCTTTCTTTTGATCCTCAGGACTGTGGTTCTGCCTTCGTTTAGGCTATATCTACTTATAGTCTATCCTACGACCTTTGACCTTCTACCTTTGTCTGGCACCGACTGACCTAGCCGGACTAAGGTTGATCCCACGGACTTAAGGGGCCACGATCTGCTTCGTGGTAGCTTTCCCCTTATATCCCAACAGTAAGTTATATGTTTTACCTATTTATCCTATTTATGGACCCTAAGGGTGACCCTAAGAGTAACCCTCGGAGGGTCAGATATATAGGTGCCCGACCCTTAGGGTCTAGAAATCGGACCCTCCACCCACCAAGAGGAGGTGCGGGTGGAGGGTCCGGAGGGTCACCCGCGGGTGAGTGCCAGGTCTATATCGACGAGCTTTTAGAGTAAGTATCCTTAATTAAAGCTTTCTTAAAGCGACACTTAAAAAGTCCGCCTTTACCTTCGCAAACTACGTTAAACTAGCTTATTAAAGGCTATTAGATCGTAATATAAAATAGTATCCTTCTTAAGTAAGAAATTAAGTAGCTACGTGCTATAAACGCTACGTAAAGGCAAAAGCGTACTTATATAATGTAGTGGGAGAATTGGTGACATAATGAGCCTATGTGTGGCCTCAGGCATGATTTAATGTCTGCAGTGCATAGTACATCTCCAGACACACTTAGAGGGAGACAAGTCATCTACCCAATTCATTCAGGATTCACCCAATTTCTTCTATCCATAATACAGTATTAAGATTATCCCGCACGGCCGCAACAGGGCATCAGTACGGCCTCACCTAGTATCCTCTACACCAGACAGGCAGTGTGTGTGTGTGTGTGTGTTGTCCAGTCTGCATCGCCAGACAGCCATCGAGCCGTTCCCATTTCATATTAGCGTCCCCGGGAAGGCTCTTTTGTTAAGGTATATCACTATACGAAGAAACACACACCTAAAGGGTAGGGATCGCGTTTGACCCTAAAGGCTATAAGACTGTCTGAGACCTTAAGCGGGAGACTATATTCACCAGTGATTGCGACGGCATATAGTCGGTGCGGATAAATGAGTGACTAGCTAAGATACAGTGTTCTCCTGAATATACCTAGCTCCTACGAGGAATACTATCGGACTAATATGCGGGAGATACGGCGGTGCTTCAGATACTACTAAAGATACAGCCTATCTAATTAAATACAGTAGCCGAGCAGGGGTACCTAGGTATCCGATAGCTATAGCACTCCACCACACAGATAATATTAATATAAATAATTCTATATTATAAATTATAAGAAGAGGAAGCGGCCTCGATAAAAAAAAAGGAAGAAGAAGAAGAATTATTAAAGAGATACGATCAAAAGTAAAGCGCACAGAGTTAGTATTTCTTTTTGGCTGAAAAGCTATCTCTTTTTCTATAAGTAAGTAATAGCGCACGGTATATAAGGTATAATAGCTCCTAAGCTGTCGGACCCTAAGGGTATTCTAACCTTTATAGATTACCGTAAACCTATACCAGAAAGATCCGAATTAACCCTAAGTAATAATAATTATACAGATAATACGGATTATAAGTATTAGCCACTATCGTCCTTAGCCGAACCGCCTAGTAAGGTATAGGCTATACCTTATCCTTACACAGTTTAAGTGCCTTATTTCTCTGTATTACTAGCTCTAGGATCCCTAGGAGCACTATACTTTAATAAGACCGATATCTCCGAGTTCCTAGAGAAGCTATAAGATATATATTTTAGATACGGCGTTAAAAGCGATAAAGATATTATAGATATATTACCTTAGTACTACGCGAAGGTCACTAAGTCTTAGGTAAAGAGATAAGACTCTTAGCTAAGAAAGGACTAAGATACCTTTAAGGAAGCTTTCTTAGAGCACTTCTATAATAACGATAGCGAGTAATAAAGGTACATAAAGATATACCTTTAATCCCTTATATAGGTTAAGCGGATAATATAGGATAATATCCGCTTATATCTTAATAAGTTCGATAATATCTCTAGCCGTATTTACTTAAAAGGCGAGGTTAGCGATATAGATAGGGTAAGTCTCCTTATCTAAGGACTTCCGCAGTAGCTTAAGGAGAAGGTTATTAGAAGGTATTCTTATAAGTAGTTACTAAAAGGGACACTAATCACTTATTTAGAGGTATATATAGTAATTAGGTTATATATTAGAGAGGAAACCGATATTCAGAGAATTCTTTTAACTATCGAATCTTCTCCGAGTAACCCTAAGCGTAACTAATAACTTTATCCCCCGTAATAGTCGCTTATTACTATTACAAAGCCTTAGGAAAATCGGTAACTAATCGCTAGTTAGGTCTAGCGTTAAGATAAATAGGATAAAAAGCTCAGAGAAATATAATCACAAATAGAGGCACTTACTCTTAAACTATAGGCTAGCTAAGATATAAGGAATAATATTCGGTATAAGCCTAATAGAAAAAATCCTTTAAATAGCCTCGGCGCTAATCCTCTAATAAAATACTAAATATACGGAGGTACCTACTTCTCTCGACTAGATTAATATCTATCTATCCCGCGATATATAAGGCTATAGTATTATATACTATAATATTACGAATCAGATAGTTTTAGGTACTATTAAATAACTAGGCCCGAGACTACGCGTGATCCTAGGATAATTAAACTAAGAAGCCTTCTAAGCGCAGTATAATAACTAAAAGAAGTAAGAGTTATATAAAGTATCTATATAGCTAAGCAGTAATATCGCTTATATCACTCTTCTTACTCCTACTTATCTTACGAACCTAAATATACCTATCTACTCTATTATTACTACGCTTCTTAGTACCGCGCCTATATAGGAGAAGCTCGAGGAAAGCGAGGATAAGGAAGTAATTATCCTATTCGGTACTATTAACGCTATTAAAGGCCGTCCTATAAAGTGCTATAGAGACTAAGATATTACTAGAATAAGGAACTCCTAGGCTAGCAGATTCTAACTATATATTACTAATACTAATAATAACAATATAATATAAGACGGACAGCCTAAAGAGACTTAAATTATATAGCCTTAGCAGGAAGCTGCTCCGCTATATAGCTAGGTTCTAAGAAGAGTCCGCGGCCCTATTAACCTAGATATTACGTAGCGAAGATCTTAGCTTTCGGATATTATAATATAAAAGATATAGGAAACCGAGATCACCCTTATAATTAGTGAGCTCGCTAGGTCTGCTCCGAAGATACGCGCTAGAATAAGCAAAGGTATTAGTATAGACATTATTAACTAGCGTATTAATAAGATACTCTCGTAAGTATATACTTAGTCGAACTTCGCAGATATCTCTCTCTCGAAGGAAGTAAAAGGTAAGATTAACTAAATTATAAGAGATATTACTAAGTATTATCGGGAGATAGGTAGTCCTATCGATATAAAAGATCTAGCCGCGAAAGTAAGCTACTAAAATACCTAGATAGCAGATACCTCGCCCGTGTCTTCTCCCTATAAATACTCTAGAGACCTCCTATTTATAATAGTTTCTGTTAGCGGATAAGTGGTTAAGGCGTATATTAATACTAGATCATTAGTTAATATTATCCGCAGAGATATCGCCTAATCTATATAGGCGCAGATATAGCTAAAGCTAAGGCTAAAGCTCGTTCCTATTAATAGCGGTAAGTTCGCAGTTAGTACTTATATTAAGAATCTGCTAATTAATATCGGTAATATCGTAACTAAGTTATATATTATAGTCGGGGATAGTTATACGAACGATCTCTTACTTAGTAGGATATAGGCGAAAGACACACTGCTATAAATCTCTGAGAAAGGTAATAGGAGGGTTATCTGCACGATATTAAGCTAGGACAGAAGGAAGCGCGTTAGCTTTAAAGCGTATTATCCACGGAATATAGGATTTTTCTATAAAGACTAACTCTAGCCCGAAGAATATAAGACTTTTGGTTTAAAAGCCTAAGTAGGTATTTAGCAGCCGCCTTAATACCTACCTCTATCCTAGCGGCTAAGTCTACTAAGACTATTTACTTAATAGTATTATTAAATAC